TTAAGATTATCTTAGTAGTCTACCGACTCTCTCCCTTTAACGAGCTCTAACTAAGGACTTAAGCTTAGTACCCGTACTAAATAAGATTCTAGGATTAACGAACCGATCCTAATAACCTAATACTCTATTCGGGATATCTAGCTTATAAACTCGGGATCTTTAAAACTAAAAAAGAGTAAAAAAGCCTATTTTAGGACTATATTAGTACTATTTAATATACTATACTTATAGAATTCCTAAACCGGCTTCTAAACCTTTAGTATATTATATACCTAGGATATTATACTACTTATACTAGAGGTGTTATTAATACTACTAAGAGGTCTATATATCTTTACTAGGCTAATAATAGTAGAAATAATACTTTTAGAGTACTTACTTACTATTTAGATAAATTAGAGCGAGAGAATATTTAGAATCTTACGTTTAGCTAAGCTACTAAAGTACTCTATATAGTAAATTACTATAGTAGAAGTAGTTATACTAATACTAGAGAAACTTTATACTATTTACCTATTTAACTTTTCGACTAAGCTTAGAGCTAGGATATCCTAAGACTAAATAGGGCTTTCTATCGTTTTTATTAGCTATTCTTATCCTTTAAGGTTAGGTCTAATCGAACGTAATTACTTATAAATACCTCGCTACCCTTACTTATATACAGTTAAACCTAGATAAGAATATAACTTATTCCTGAGTTCATTCTATGTTACTAACTAGGTTATAGGACTATTTAGTCTAACTAAAGAAACACGTAATATCGCTCTGCTTTCGTATCTTAGCCTTCCTTCTTTTAATTACAGTCTCTTACTTGTTAAGAATACTTATAATCTCTAGCTGTCTATCTACCTACTATAACTTATATAGCCTTAGATGTTTAAGGGCCTAAAGAGCTGTATCCCCTAAGATCTTAGGTTAAATATCCTCCTCTTCTAAATCCTCTTAGTCTACCGGATCGAATTAAGAGGCAATCTACTTAAAGAGGTTATCTAAGCTATCTTAGATAGCCTTATCTACTAGGTTTAGGAAGGTCTCAATTGATATAGCTAATATAATCCTTTGCTACTACTAAAGGCTCTAAATTGCAGACTAGATCTAAAGGGTTATAGTAGCTATCTTATCTGAACCTTAAGCCTGATTTTGGACTAGTATTAAGTAAGCCTAGTAGTGTTAAATAGTCTGAGATATAATATTATTCTAAGCTTAGATAGACTATCGAATAGCCTTTAAGACAGTTATAGTTCGTAGCGGTTACCTACTAACTTTAAGCTTATCTAGTATATACTTAAGCTACCTTCTTCTATAGTAAGCTTTAAAAGCATAGATAATGCCTTAATCTAGTAGCTAGCTCCGTGATGTTATATTTAGAGGAAGCTATGTAACTATAATGTTATGTAGTAGCTGCTAAGTCTATACAAGTTAGACAGCTGTAGTATAAGCACTGAAGTTGTCTATAATAAGCAGAACCTTTCTCTAGCTAACCCTTCTTAAGAACTAGTATAGCTATTTAGCTATAAGATCTGTATTTATCTACGCCTTCTTGTTAGCTTTGTAAATATAATCTAGTGCTAATAGTTGAATATTAGCTGTACTAAAGTAGCGAGGGTGTACAGCCTTACTAACAAACTAAGGGGGTAGTTTGTTACTGCTATCCGTATTTGTACATAAATGTACAGTAATCCTAGCCTTGTCTTGCTTAGTTCCTAGCCTAGACTAGCTTATAAGTGATTTGTCTAGTATATACTTGTAGAACAAGCTAGTCTTGTTACAGTTGTAGTAGTCTAAAGGGGCAAACTAGCTTGTAATAGCCCGTACTGCAATAAGCTGCTCTTCGAGTGCCTGAGAGTCTATGTCTCCAGCCTCTCCGTGTCTTGCTCTTTGCTTAATATTGTGCCTTAACTTGAAGCCTTATAGCTAGCTATTACTAAATACAGGCACCTCTATTTTACGGTATTGTAGTAGTCTCTTCTAAAACCTAGCTACCTGCTTCTTAATCAAATCACTAGTTATAATACTATCCTCTTTATTCTGTTAGTACTATTAGAATAGAGTAGTCTTAAGCTCTAGCTAGTAAGATATACGGAGGCGTTACTTCTTCTATAGTAGCGGATCGTAGCTACTGTCTAGGAAGTTATATTTGGTTAAGAGGCTTTCTAAGACTGTAGGCTGCGTTATACTACGCTGGAATTCGTTTAAGAACTACTACTAGAGTTGTTTTTAAGTTAGCTAAGGGTGTTATTATGTATATTAACGAAGGGCCTTCTTTTAAGAGACTAAAAGGCTAGGTGTCTTGCGGTCTAAAGGCATCTTTTTAATACCTAGTTTAGCTAATAAATTAATCAGGTTAAGGCAATATAGGTAGGTAAGAGGTTCACACCGAATTTTAGAAGTTAAAGCTAAAAGTATAGCGTTAAAGAGGTTATGTTCCTACGGAATATTACGTTATCTAGGTTTAACTGTACTAGACTACCTTAATACTTACTTATTTAGTTCTTAATATAAAAGATCTCCTTCTAGATTAGAAATAGAAAGAAAATAACTCTAATTATATTAATCTTAGATTACTACGGTTTAATAATATTCTAGGGTACTTCTATATACTAAAGCTTATCTATTTTAATCTACGTAGGTAGTTTTATACCTAAAATAGAATATAGTATTTTTTAACGTAGTATATAGCTACTTTATATAAATTAACTTTTCTAGATAATAATATAAAGTAGTTTTAAACTATACTAATTATAATCTCGCGCTATATAATCTATATACTACGCTTTACGGAGCGTAGGCTACTATATTACTAAAAGCTAAGATATTAGCGATAGGTAGCTATTTCTTAGTTAATAGAGTAAAACTATTTACTACTAGTAAAGCGTTATATTTACTTCGCTAGCTAAAAGGGGCGTAGCGAAGTTAGATTACTACACGTAGGATATAGAAATAGGAGAGTCCGGGGTTTAATCGCCTACTAGAATATACGATAGTACTCTCTACTAGTACGACTCTTTTCGTTAGTAATTACTTATAGATAACTATACGAATTTCTAGTTACCTACTTATAGCGATAATTATCTAATAACTACGCGCCTATTACTTATTATCTAGTTACAGGTTACTTAAAATTGCGCGGCCGAAGCGCTAGGGTAGGGAGGGGGGTTATATTTCGAAGTGAAGTGTAAAAGAGAATGAGGACGCGAGGGTGGGCGCGTTATGAAGTTATGCAAACCTATGATGCACGGGCCACTAATGCTGCGCCCACTTCCAGACGCAGACGCGTCCGTTTCCTGATGCGGAACACCCGCCAGGCAAACAACATTCGCACTTTTCACGGCACATTCCCTTGGCTATTGGAGCACCTGAGGGTGGAATACGAGTCTGATGGATGTCAGAACCCTTATTACGATGGACGAAGACGTGCCTTAGGATCCAGTCATCAAGGCCACCGACATACCCTCTCAAGATGTTACTGAAGACATAATACTCCGTGCCTTGACCGACTGGAGCCAGCGGGGGAAATTACATATTCTGGTTTCAAGACGTTGGGGAATCGCGTGGACGACGATCAAATGATGGAGACTTTCAATGGCAGCTGAGTCAAATTGAAGATGGACAGAGAGAGACCCATCTATCCTTCCACACATGCCATTCCAGCAAATTTTCATGCTCGCCAACCCTTCACGCCACCTCTTCCTTCTCAGCCCGCGACTGATGAGAACCATACAACTCCGGACATCGACCCACCCGCCGAAACAGCACAAACCTCCGAAACCACCAAGGAAGCACCTCAAACAGCTGATACGACGCATGCCTCGTCGTCGGCACCGCAAAGACATGGTCAAGCTCTTCCAGAGACCTCTCCTTGGTCTCCGGCAAAACCAGGAAAATCAACGACAACGCCACCACGTTCATGGCCGCGTAGAACCCGAACGAGCCCGTGGCCCCGAAAGACCTCAGCATCCGCGGGAACGTGAGCGATAGGACGGCTGCCCAGAAGTTGTTGGTCGCCACGGCGAAGCTCATCCCAATCTCGCGGTGAGACAGAGGGAATGCTTCCGCCGAGTAGACGAACGCGCAGGGTCCCTCGCCAGGGCTGTAGAAGGCGGTGAAGAGGAATATAAAGAAGGCTATTAGTCCTATCCTCGCGGTGCTGCCTTCGGGCAGGTAGAAGGATAGGCCTGTTGCGAGGAGCGTCCAGAACATGTTGGGAAAGGTGCTCAGCAGGAGATTCCGCCGGCCCCAGCGATCGATTGTGTAGAGGGCCGGGATGGCGAACACGAACATGGTCCTGAGAAGGTTAGAAAATGTAACGGCGAGTGTTATCGCATTGGAACGTTACTTACATCCCGAACCCCCAGGATACGAGCAGGGCAACGATATTTGAGAAGCCAGCGTTGACAAATATCGTCGAAGAGTAGAAAGCCACCACATTCAGACCGCACATTTGCTGAGCGATCATGATGATGCCCGAGGCTTGGGTTGCACGTCGAACTCGGGGGATGGTAAAAAGCTCAATGGCTCGCCTGAAGAAACTGGAAGAACGGCCTTCTTTCGACCCCTTTCTCTGTAGAAACAACGCCTTCTCTGCTTCGATCTGAACGTGAATGGTATAGAGATCTCTGGCAGCCTGGAGATGACTGTTTCGGACGCGGCAAAGCGATCGGTATGCTTTGGCGTGCTGACCTTTCTTGATTAACCAACGAGCGGATTCGGGCACGAAGTAGATTCCTAGGAGTAGCGGCACTGCTGGTATGAAGGCGGATCCGAGCTGGAGTCTCCAGGCGATGGAGCCGGTGTTGACGACGACGAGGTTGGCGGAGAAGCCGAGCTGGGCGGGAGGCTGTTAGTGTTTGAACCATCCTAACGAGGGCACTGCTCCTTACCATGATACCGAATGCGACCCACATTTGCCAGGACCTGTTGCAAGAAACGTCAGCAAACCTGTTGACAGCCGGTGCCGGTCTACGTACATGACAAGAGCACCACGAATGTTAGCAGGCGCGTTCTCCGCTGAGAAGACTGGTACTGTGACCTCCTTGAGCCCCATCCCCAAGCCAAGTAACACACGGCACGCGAGAATACCGCCCCAGGACTGCGAGACTGCTTGACCAATTGGTGCAATCAAGCTGAAAATCGCGCCCAAGAAGATCGCACCGCGGCGTCCAAGATAGTGGTTAACCGGGTCTGAAAGCCAGCAAGCACTGGAATATAGCGTCAGATGATGGTCGTTGGTTGACTCTGTCAGCACTCACAAGAGACACAGTGCAATATACGGTGCGGCATTGATGGCACCGACAATCCAAGAGTTCCTCTCACATGTTCCAAGCGCCTCGCACTCAGCCCCAGAGTCTGCGATGCCAAACTCCTGGGGGAAGGAGAGATTGGCACCATTGGAGCCCGTTTGATCCCAGCCTTGGATTGCGGCACCGACGGAGTTGAGCGCGATCAAGTAATACAGCGTTCGAGGATGATGCCATTTTCGAGTCTTCTCTTCATGGAGTACTCGTCTCTCGTCGTCGGTCAACTCTTCAATCGAGTCGATGTCGTTCGGCGATTGCGATACGAGAGCGCCTTTCTTCAGAAGATCAACCACCTCCGTGAGATGGTGCTCGACGGCATACGATTCAACGTCTTGGAAGAGTTGAGCCTTGGGGATTCCAGCTAAGGGGTTGTGGATTCTACGAGACATCAGCCATGCACACCAAACCAAAATCATTGTCGTATGAGTATGGCATTACTCTTTAGGCTCGTTTCGATCCATCGCTTCGACACTGGTGCGGTGGGCTTGCTTGATAACGTCCCCATCGTGGTTTCCGTTCTCGCTGTGCTCCGCTCGAACGATATCCGTGAGATCTACTGCACTATTCCACAGGTCAGTTGTCTCCAATGCTTGCTGCTGCACCAACATCTTGCGTACTCTTTGGAGTCCTTGCTGGCCATGGTCATTTCTGTCAGTCGTGAAGACGGCGTTGCAATCTTGAAACTGCATAGAGGACAGCCGCGTTGCCCTTATAATCGGCCATCGTTGTGCCGTGGGCTTTCCAAGGACCTTCTCGTCACGAGGGACGTGTGGAGAGGGACAAGAGAGCCGCGACCTTGGCTCTTCCCCAGACCCCAGAAGTCATTCTCCACATTCGGTCAGTGGCCGTGATATCCATGGTATGTCCACCAGACAGGTGTGGGGCATTAGCGTATTTGTGGCACACAGCATTATTTCGATGAGGACATCCGAACAAACACCGTGGGCCAGTCTTGATGCCTTTTGCGCTAGGGCAACTCTCCGTCCCGAAGGCAATGCATGTGTTTTGCTCAAGTGTATACGATCAACCATCGGATCGGTCCCATCCCATGGCACATGGTGCCGGCCAAGCGCTGCACGGAGTCTCGTCGTTCAATGCATTCGCCGAGGCGGGGGCGAACATGCGAGCGGTTGGTCAACTCACTCGATGTGCTGGAGTGTCGAGGCTCGCCAGTCTACATTAAAGGAATGGCTTCGGACGATGCCCGCTCATATCGTCGACAATTGATGGAGGCGATGATGTGTACCATGCCAAAGTCCAGCACATCCATCTCAAAAACGTTACCCCTTCCGCTATCTATAGGAGGAGTGCTACATCCTGACTACCTCACCCAGTCTTTGCTCTTCGACTTTAGGGCGAAATGGCGTTGGCTGGCAAGGTTGCAATCGTAACTGGTAAGATACCGGATCATTTGTTCAACGGCCCTTTGCACGTATCCGAAACTGATCTTTCTGTTTTCTCAAGGAGGTGCTCGGGGCATAGGAAGAGGAATTGTTCTGGGTCTGGCTCGACAAGGCGCGAAGGTACATTTCGCATCGAGCTAGATGTGGTACGACCCCAGCTGACGTGGTCCAGATCGTCTTCAACTATACGAATTCTTCATCCGCCGCGGCAGCCGACGACCTGTGCAAAGAGGTTAGCGACATCGGTTCCAGTGCGGTTGCTTTGAAAGGGGACATCACACTGGAGAGCACGCATACCACTCTCATTCGAACAACTCTCGATACCTTCGACACGGAGAAGCTCGATATCTTGGTCAACAACGCGGGCCTTGGTGACAACCGACCTCTCGAGCAGGTCACTCCAGAGATCTACGACCACCTGATGAACGTCAACGTCAGAGCTCTGCTGTTTATGACCAAGGCATTCGTACCGTATGTTAGGCGTGGAGGGCGAATCGTGAACCTCTCGTCCATCTCAGCAAGAGGAGGCTATGCCACGCAGTCGGTGTATGCTGCGAGCAAAGCGGCTGTCGAGGGGATGACGAAGGTTTGGGCGACGGAGCTGGGGCACAAATATGGCATCACAGTCAACTGCATCAACCCAGGTCCCGTCGATACGGATATGTATCGAGCAGCTGGGGAGGTTCATCTCGCGAGGATGGAGAAGGAGAACCAAAAGACGCCGGCTGCTCCGAGGGCAGGCACGCCTGAGGACATTGCGGATATCGTGTGTTTCTTGTGCGAAGAGAGGGCGAGATGGATCACGGGAGATACTGTGTGTGCGAACGGAGGCATGTTGTTTCTTTGAGGATGGTATATACAATGCACTAGACTTCTATAATACCATGCTATGCTGGCACGTGGGACGAAAGCTTGGGATGCTGCCCCACACTCGACGGTAGATGCTTTCATATGCTTTCTCACCACCCTCTTCTACATCTTCCCTACATGGATCAAGGCGCTTCAAACCGCAAGACGAAGCGTAACATTGCCTGTGACGAATGCAAACGACGAAAAGTGAGATGCTCAGCGGAGCCCACTTGTGCAGATTGTGCTCGGCATGGCAAGGTCTGCATATACTCTTCACCCTCACACCGAGTGACAGCGCTCCAACAGTAAGGACAATCTTCGTACAGTCGAGCACGGCTAAGCCATTGCAGAACCATTCGACACTATGAGACTCTCCTCACATCGATCTCCAAGGCCTGGAAGACCCACCTGCCAAACCTTCCGCTTGAGCAAGCTCTGAGCAACGAAACAGGTCCCATCACAGCATCTGACTCTCACGCGACACCTCAGGAAGCTCCGCCAACGGCAAGTGCCTTCAGTCTCCTCAAATATGGCTCGACAGACGCAGCCTCTTCCTCAGATCTCGGCACTCCGGAACAGAGCAACGCAGAAGACTACGAATTCGATGAGTCGCAAGACTTTGGCAACGCCATCGATGGCATGGGCTTTCTCACCGCCGAGGCAAGCAAAGCTGGATATACAGGCCCGCAATCTGGTATAGCTGCTCTGAAGTTTCTTCGTTCATTGCCGTCCGGCTATCAGGATGATAGTGGAGATGGCGTCCTACCAGTCTCGAATGGTCTCGCGGAGGGCATGAGAGCTAACACCAACGTCGACTCTTTCATCAACGACTACTTTGCGTACTATCATCCTGCATATCCGCTTCTACACGAGGGGCTGTTCAGAGCAAGATTGTCCGGTACGTGATCCTCTGTACATGATTTACGGATACTAATGTGTGCAAAGGCGCTGTGGCGAAACCACGAGATGGATCCTGGCCCTTACTGTTCAATATGGTCGTCGCCATGGGAGCGTTTGCCGGTGATTCGACCGATAGCGATGTCGACATACAGTACTATCAAGTTGCGAGAAACAGCATTTCACTAGACATAACCGAGAAAGGCTCGCTTTGCTATGTTCAAGGGCTAACGGTCATGGCAAACTACCTTCAAAAGCGCAACAAACCGAACGCCGGCTTTGCGTTGATCGGTATTGCCTGGTCAATGGCGCTTGCCATCGGACTGCATCGTGAGTTTGGTGCCTCATCCACTACGCCATACACCATGGAGCAGCGACGGCGGACGTGGTGGACTCTGTTCGTCTTCGTCTCTGGAGCTCAGCTCACACTTGGGAGGCCTCCAGCATCCCTGGTAGGCATCAATCTCCGCCTACCCACGAATCTAGATGATGCTAGTCTGAGCGTTGATATGAGTGAAGTGCCAGGCGCGCAGGAAGGTGGTAAGAGTCCATTCGCTGATGATCTATATGATATACGCTCACGATGACGGTCTTTGCAGCTACCATCAGTACCTGTCTCATTGCTCAGGTCAGACTCGCCCAGATTGCCAACGAAGTACAAACCGAACTCCTCAGCAACCAGGTTCCGACGTCCCAGAGGGTTGAGGTGCTCAGAAACCAGATTAAGACATGGCAAGCAGAGCTTCCACCCTGCTTCGATGAGGGTCTGTCGTATCCCACGTGGTTCGAGCTGCCAAAGCGTGTGCTCCTCTGGAGATCCTCCCATTTGAGAATTGTTCTCGATCGACCTCTGCTCTTCCGTGCGGTCACGGATAAAGTTGACCTTTCCATATGCGAAGGCCCTGTCTGGGAATGCATCAACACAGCTGATCATTGCATTCTGGAGATCTGCAACTTCCTGGAAAGCAACGATTTATGGAGACGCGGGTTTGCCTGGTATGCAACTTACTGGCTGGTCTCAGCTAGTTTCGTTCATGCCGTCTGTTTCGCCTACTCGCCACCGAGCCGGACGAAGGAGCAGTGGCGAACGAGGCTCCAGCAGGCAGTAAGCGCTCTTCAAAAGCTGAGGACTGCTCACCGCAAAGCTGGTCAAGCTGAGCGAGTATTGGGAAGACTGTTGGGTAAGTCAGCTTCTTGCGACTTGAGAGCTGGATATCTGACTTTGGACGTAGATAACACACAGCACTCCCCTCCAGCGGTCCCGGACCTGAGCACAGATTGGACACAGGTGCTGACCTCGGATACCAGTCTTGTCGACTTCTCCATGAATTACTTTGGCATGCAAGACCCCGAGCTGCTGGAGCCCCTGAACATGGACTTGAACGCTTTCGAACAAGATGAACAGGGCTCCATGTGGCAGCAGTCTGAAGGACCTAATGCAGAGTTCTCGGATGCTGCTGGCGGCATCACCCTTTCTAACTTTTCACGGGCGTGGCAACATCCTTGATCGAGCAAAAGGTCGAAGAGTCGCAGGGCGGGTCGCTACCGAGCCTTGCCAAGACTCGATGGAGCTGCTCGGTGACTCGCCGAAGCTCTGCATACCAACGCCACCGAATGCTTTTGCAGCCCCCTGGGACGTGCTATCGAAGGCGACATGGCAGAGGTCTCGGGTAGTGCCCATGTGCACTTGGCTGAGGTCCAACGATGCGCTACATCTGCTTGGCGGGTTTGCACCGAATCCATGTGGTCTCGTGGATTACGAAAAGGTCACTTCACTCCATAAAAACGGCCAATGCGAACGACAAGACTGGTATTCTTCCCCATGAACCCGGATTGATCTCAGCTGTCATCAAGAAAAACCACGCAAGCAGCAAATCGCAAAATGTCCAGCTTGTCATCCGTGGAGGTCATCGAACGCAAGCCGCGCAACATTGCGGTTCATACAAACCCTGAACACTCCTTACATCTGGTCGAGTCGGATGTTCCAAAGCCGGGACCAGATGACTGTCTAGTCCACGTTCGAGCAACAGGTAAGCATCACTGAAAGAACGACACCTTCCTCGTCTTCTCCATGAGCTAACGTTGAACAAGGCATTTGTGGCTCGGACGTGCATTTCTGGAAGCATGGCCACATCGGGGATATGGTTGTGTGTGGCGAGAACGGTCTTGGTCACGAGAGTGCCGGTTCTGTCATTGCTGTTGGTAGCAATGTCACCAAATTCAAGCCAGGTTCGTGGATCATTCGACATAGCTTGAGCCGTTGCTAACGGCGGAGACAGGTGATCGTGTAGCATTGGAATGTGGAATCCCATGCTCAAAGCCCTCTTGCGAATTCTGCAGAAACGGCCAGTACAATGCTTGCCCAGATGTGGTCTTTTTCTCAACACCGCCATATCACGGCACATTGCGTCGCTATCACGTACATCCGGCTGCGTGGCTTCACCCTCTGCCGGATAATCTCAACTTCGAAGAGGGATCGCTTCTAGAACCACTGTCGGTTGCATTGGCAGGCATCGATCGATCTAACCTTCGTCTTGGGGATCCTCTCGTTATCTGCGGAGCTGGGCCAATTGGTCTCGTATCTCTGCTAGCTGCCCACGCCGCTGGTGCTGCACCGATTGTGATGACCGATATCGACGAGACGCGGTTGAATCGGGCACGGCAGTATGTGCCCAGAGTCCGGACGGTGCTCGTTGGCAAGCAAGACCAGCCTAAAGATGTCGCACAGCGGATCGTGGAGGCGATGGGCTCAAAAGCAAAGCTGGTACTTGAGTGTACGGGCGTGGAGAGTAGCATACACACCGGCATATACGTGAGTACCGGCAAGATCCTTCCCACAGATTCCAAGACTAATGAAAGCAGGCATCGAAGTTCGGCGGCTCGGTGTTCGTGATAGGGGTTGGGAAAGACTTTCAGAACATCCCGTTCATGCACCTCTCATCGAACGAGATTGACCTGCGATTCCAATATCGCTACCACGACACATATCCAAGGGCGAATCGGCTCGTCTCTGAGGGCTTGATTGACCTTAAACCTCTGGTCACACATAGGTATTCGTTGGAGGAAGGTCTGGAGGCATTCGCGTCGGCTTCGAATCCAGCGGCAAGGGCGATCAAGGTGCAGATTTTGGATGATTGAGCGTCAGGAATATGCTATTCTCTGTACTTGTCAAACAGATAGGTTGTAGGAGCATCATTGTTGATGGAATAGATAGAAGAAGAAAAGTCCTCGTTTCGCGTCAATGTCGAAGCAATTGTTTTTAGCCAAAATTTGATTAGCACCCGCAAGGATCAAGGATCACCCGCGTTCCCGCCGCTAGCACGGAACCGTTGCCGCGCCTGCGCAAGTCAGGAACGACCTTGCGACGACGCTTGGTTGGAGAAGGGCCCTCTGCCACTTCCCACCCTCTGCACACCACCTACAGCCACTCCCACACGCTCGTTCACCACCGAAACCCGCCCTCGAACACCTCAATCATCCACAACCGACCCCTCGTCGCGACCTCACCCGCGCCGAACATCTGCCTAATCTCGCTCGTCAGCGCTTGGCCACCAGCAGCGACACAAACACGCCATGCGGCTTCAGGAGCTTCTTTTCGCTGCTACCCTGGCTCCGGCGGCCTTGGTGCTCGCAGACGTCAAATTCACCAGTCCTGCCGCGGGTGCTAACGTCGCTCCTGGCTCGATTGCTGTCGCGTGGGAGGACTCGGGCGATTCGCCGTCGATTGATGATTTGAGCTCGTATACGCTGCAGTTGATGGTGGGAGGGAATAGTGATGATGATTCGGTGCGTATACCCCTTGGAACGGGAAAGGGGAGGGATGAAAGAGCGAGGATGCGGTGGATGAGGAGTGTTGAAGGATTGAGGGCGATATGTGGGAGCGATTTCTGAGGAGACTATGCGCTGATTGATGAATCCTGTGCTAGATGCCAGTGATCTCGATTGGAGATGCACAAGGTGACTTCTCGACCGGTAGTAAGGTTACCGGGACAGTTCCGGTCACTCAGGCTGGGAGTGTCAAGAATGGATAGTGAGTCGTGTCTGACGAGTGCTTTAGAGCACATCCTGACAGTGTCGTTACAGCTTCCTCAAGATTATATCCACTGCAAAGGAGGGAGGAACAGTGATAAACTACTCGAAACGATTCAGTTTGACGGGCATGACAGGCACGACACCCCAAAAGTACGTTACGGCAGCGGCGGCGGTGTCTGGGACAGATGGACCGGAGACTGTGAACCAAGTCGCCAACAACGCGCAAGCAAATCCTGCCGCCGGTGGAGCTGGGGCTGTAGCCGCCGCAGGAGCGTACACGGTCCCGTACGGGCTTCAGTCTGGTCTCACCAAGTACGCGCCAATGCAGGTCGTCCCGCCGACAAAGATCACGCTTCAGAGCTTCAAGCCCCTGTACCCGACCAGCAAATACTCCGTGGCTACGACTTGGGTTCCAAAGCCCACAATCTTGACTACCCTTACTGAAAGTCAGACCTTTTCGGTCAGCAGCATAGAGAACACAGTAAGTGCGAGTAAGAAGATGCAGAATGACTTCCAGCTGACAATGTTACAGGCAGCCGCACAGTCCCAGCCTACAGGCGATATGGCCAAGTTCTTGGCCCGATGGAAAGACTAATAATGCATTATAACGAGGCGTAAAGGGGGAAAGCGGGAAGGGGCTGCGGTGGCATTTCAAGGCGCAGGTGGATAACTTCATTGGCGTTTTGAGGTTGTACAGCTAGTTTCAGGACACCCACTGGCTAGGAATCGGGAAGCGTTGTTGAATATTTTGTGTGCACAGATGTATATGCATGGCACGTTAACGTATAGACATACGGCGCTAATGTTATCAAAGTCCAAACATCGCGTGCGGCACGAAGTTCATTATGTGGTTCGAGCTCGAGAGCGAAATGCACCGCTGGACTGACTTAACTCGCTGCCATGATGCGATTGCTCGTCCGTTTGAGCGTTTTTTGCCCGATGGAACTTCGAATGTTAGCATGCTGCAGCGCACAAGGTCGTGAAGCATAGCTGTATTTGAAGTTATCTCCGTACAGAAGAGGTAGGCGAAGAGAGGTGGTGGGAAGGGCTGAGAAAGGCTGAGAAAATAGTAATATGGGACAAAATCTACATGTATGATGGCGAAGGTGCGCCTGCGCAATGCTCTCCACAAGGCCTCTGCTCTGCATCTATTATACAAGACTAGTACCCTTGTCCAGGCGCGAGTCCATCGACCTGATCAACGTTACGGCTGTCGCAAACACCGTCTCCAGGCTTGACAAAGACAGCCGTTTGATCAACGCGCTCTGACATCCAACATGTACAAGTATTTGGGTATGTCTCAGACACGGGCGATGTTGTATCTCTGCAGGTGAAGTCTCCTGCAGGCTCTTCGTCGTCTGCAAAGGGATTCGTGTGTTCGTCGACGACCGTCAGCTCATACTCGGCGCATACGTTTGAGAGCGTGCCGCCAAGTTTGGCAGTTATAGTGTCAGTTTGACAGCCATTTAGGATGGTGGCGAAGCGCTTTGCGCACTCGAAGGTTCCGTTGAATGAGCCCGTGCAGGCATCGTGTGTAAATCGTGTTCGGAACCAAATCGCGTTCGTTGTTCCATCGAGTGCGAAGTGCCCTTCGGCGCTGAATGCTTTGGTTTGGCCAAATTGGGAAGTCATATTCCCAATAGCAATGTACGGAACAAATTGAGCATTTAGCATGGGCTGGGCGCAAAAGGTGTCTATGAGGTTCTGGGCCGGAGGTTGGGAAAAAGGTGTTCCAGAACTCGCGCAGCTTGGGCCGGCTATAGGGATCGAGCCGGACGTAGAGGTGGGACTCGACTCTACGCGAGTGGTTGTAGTCGTCACGATGTCCGTAGAGTCCGAGTCAGAGTCCGAGAGTACTCCCGCAAGAGTACTCATACTTGTAACAGGCTGGACTAAACATGTTCAGCGACCATTGCAACCCACGCTGAGCCAAATATCAACTTACCGGTTGCTGTGCCCATTTCAGTGTACACAGTTGTCATCAGTGAGTCGTCAGGGAGCGGAGGAGGAGCTGACTGGACCGCAGCATCGATGACACTCGAGCTGGGGTCATCGACTGTCTGAGGCTTTGATGGATGATCCTTCCCCCAACGGAAGGGTTCTTTGGGATATTTCTTGGGCGAGTGGATGCCGGTATTGATCAAGTACGCTGCGGCCAAGTCAGCATCGACGGCTCAGCGCGACTGGCAAGGGGTGAGGTTTTCTTACTTGTAGTCCCAGACGGGAAACCGGAGACCACCCCATCAATAGAGTTCCAATAGATAAAATTTTGCGAAAGATCATAATGAGTCTCCAGTCCGGACCACTAATGACGGCAGAATAGCGGGAATCAGTACTCGTTGATAGCTGTCATCGTTGAGGCTGGTACAGCAACCCACCGATGTAAAAATCGCCGCTGTACCAGCAGCGTGCGGTGCGGCTTGCGATGTCCCAGACATCCTCGCTATTGCTATGTTGCTTTTGGAGTGTAATGAAACTAGAGGTCAGTCAAATCGATTAGCGAATGACTTCAAGCACATAGAGCATTCGATCTAGAACTTACGAACGTCCTTCCCAGGCGCAACGAAGTCAACCATTGACCCGTAATTTGAGGGTTTCCACTTGTTGTACGTGGAGTCGACGGCAGCGATACATCTGGTCTGCACGTTCGCACACGGATAGGAATCTCCATAATCGTCGCCATCGTTTCCAGCAGCTGCAAAGACACTGATACCGGCGTTGTTGGCATCTATTAGCTGGTACAAGATCCCGAATCCGTCGCCTACCCATCTGAAGGACATATTGATAACTGATCCACGAAACATCCAAGGATCCTTGCTGTTTCTGGCCTTTGCCTTGTTGGCGTTATGTTCTGCGGTTACGTCGATGATCGCTTGGGCCACATCACCTATTTCGCGGTTTACTCCTCTTAGATTGTTCAGCACCTTGACGTTGACTAGGGTTGCGTTGGGTGCGACGCCATACTGCCGTGCGCCAATTATACCAGCAACGCTGCGTTGGAACAGGTCAGCGTCTCTCATTGTAAACTGAACATCTTATAATGAGACTCACTGTGTGCCGTGGCCCCTTACGTCAGCCATGGTGTCATCAACATAAGGCGACTTATCGTCGGCTCCAAGGCCACCAAAGTTGCGCGCTCGCCCTTCGAAAAGCTCATGTGACGTGCGGATACCCGTGTCCAGGACATAGACCTGAACTCCTAGACCAGCGTTTTGAACATGCGCGTAAGGACCTTCGTCCGGGATGGGAATGTCGAGTCGCTCAGACGGCGTCGTGATCATTTGCAGCCCATACGGTGCTTCCGGCTCGGTTTCCTCCAAGTACTCCCTCTTGGAAAGGCGGGAAGTCCCATTCTGCCAGAAGGCTGAAGGCTCGAAGACCGTCACATTATGCGGCTCAATCCCATAGACCGGTCTGTTGGTTTCCACCATACGCACCCTTGGATCGCGGCGAACCTTCTCATCCCGGGTGTGCTGGTCCATTCTAGTTCGATACCCGAAGGAATACATGCGAAACTCAGGCAAGCTTGATAGATCTTGTGCGATGTTTTCGAAGTGCTGCTCCATAGTATAGTTCTGGTGAAAAATGACTAGGTACTCATCGGGATATTTGTCGTGGATGTCCATCCCCTCGAGCGGCGCCAGAAAGTCCCCATTCTCTCTCGACACTGATTGCGCTGTAAGAAAAATGAGTAATGTCAAGAAGGAAGCAAAGACCATGATCACAAAGACACTGTTCCCAGAATGGTCCGAATAGAGTTGTTAAATCCGTAAGAGATGAATGTGTCGCTGCTCAGATGAGCTCAAAATTTTTGATAAATGCGCAAGGACTCTTCTTGTATTCCAGAGGACAGAGTGGATAGTCTTACCACTGTGCATTGCTCTCAGTCCAATGATGCCCTGAAAGTGAAAACGAAGCGACTGTCCCTTCGATAGAGATCGCATAAACGCTGAACAGTCTTCATTGCGGCGTCGAGATCGAGGCTATCGTTTCAGTTCTGGACAAGTTCAGTGGATGGATGAATTCGGGTCAGCGTTGGTTCACGAAGCAGAGAAAGGGCGCAGTGCGGCACAGATGTTGGAGTTTCTGTATTGCTGGGGCATTGCAAACAGGTGAAGCGGGCGATGTTAGACCCATGTAAGCCTTGTGCAGGCCAGAGCTTGGCATGATATTTGTGGATCGAGCAGGTACCGCGCCCTGTGACAATTCGCTGCAACACCGATGGTCTTCTTGTCTGCAGAGTCCTGTCGCGCCTACATGCAGATAGAGGCGCAGCATGTAAGCGCCGCGACTGGGCGCTTGCGTAAATTTGATGTTGCGTTGATGGCAGATCCCAACTCGCCCAGTCTGTCAATTGCCGCCGGCCGGAGGCCATGAGTTACTGGGAAGCCATTCAGCTGGGCTTTTTTCAAACGTACTTGCGCCGCGCTGCGTCATGCCGTTGCAAATGCGGTTGTGTTTCTCTGTCCTCGGGCGTTTCGATGCTGGACCCATCGCACTCTTGGTGAGCACCTTGGCGGCAATCTAACTTAGGCGTGGCGAAATGCTGTGCTTGGGTGCTCTGTTGTAGACCGAAAGAGTGGTTTACCACGCTCTCATATGCGTATTAAACCAAGGCCAATCCTTGGGGCTCCACCATGAGGTGAGGTCGGTTGAGCAGATCCTTGGCACATGAGCCACAAGCACGTGATCTCTGTGCCGTCCCATATAAGCTTGGAGAGCGCGCTCATGGGCGCTCAACACAACTTCCCGAAAATGCCATCCTCGAAACCTGCCGCTCAACTTGACCGCCCTAGAGCACCGTTATCTTCACGAAATGTGACACGGGCGCAGTGGCCGCGCAGCACAATTATCGCCAGCATATTCTTACTCCTGTTGTTCTTCACGGCTACTTTCAGGAGATCAAACGTCACTCTTCTTTGGCGACAACTAGCACTGCATGATCCTACTCATCTCTCACGTGCGTATCGAGCACCTATGTTGAGTTGCGGGTTGCCAAGTGTTATCAACGGAAGCTACTGCGTCTTCCTCCATCAGGGTTGTTCGCTCGACAAGCACAAACACATCGTTGGAGAAGAAGCAGGTCTCGACTCGAAAATCAGGCATTGTTTTCCGGAGACGAAAGCTCATGGTCTCTACTACTGCGCAAACGACATCAACGATGTGATACTCGATGCTATTCGCGCCGATGTTGTTGTTGATATGGTGGAATGCGACCGGACGTCGGAGCCACTTGAAAGTGAGGATGTTGTGGTTTTTGAGGGAGGGCGAGAGTGAATTGGAGAAGTTCAGGTTGCCAGGGGAAGAGTTCATGCCGCTAGAGCTGAGTGATTTTGTCTTCATGGAGATTCCTTGGACAAAGGCCGCGGTCGAGGAGTCTAGGGAGGTAGTTGAGAGGTGTTGACGAAGGGAAAGGACATTGAGGGTGAATAGGACAATCATGTCATGGATAGCTACTACTCCATGGCTCTCGTTGTCGAGGACAAGCCCGTCGCCCACCCCCTTTTCGCGCGAGGGATGCGTCCTTGTCTTCTTCACGGCCAAAATTACCATAATCTTCGATTACCATTTCATCTCCACGAGATGTTCAAGTACCAGGCCAATTACCACATTCTTAAGAGTCATACTGCCCATCCAAAAACGGAGATCATGCTAACCATCCCCTCGAAGCAGACGTCCAACCACGGAAAATCTTTCTCCCAACTTTCGGGCCCGGCGCATATAGAACGCACTTTCCCTCCCCATCTCTCTCTTCCTTTCCCCAGCACACCATGAGCAACAGAACAACGAACATGACCAACAACAGCACAACTCTCCCTCCCTTCGTGGAAATCGGCTCCGGCTCCTGCGGCCGCGTCTACAGCAGCCGACACCCCAGCGGCAGTGAGATCGTGCTCAAACGCGCTCGCCCCGGCCAGACAGACCGACTCTGGCAGGACTACCTCATGCACACCAAGATCCTCGAAGCGCTGCACACCCCGCAAGGCCGGGATATCGACATCCTCGTCCCGGACGTGCTGGGGTTCGTCACGGAGACGGATCGGGAGTTGTGGGAGGGGTGGGAGGGGAGGTTTCCTGGGGATGGGAAGGGGGAGGCGGTGCCGAGGGATGTGCTGCTTAGTGAAAGGATATCGGCGGTGGGGAGGGGGATGAGGGAGGAGATGGTTGAGGTTTTTTGTGTGGAGGGACAGAGGGGGGAGGCGAGGGGGAGGAGGGAGAATGAGGATTGTCTTGTGAGGGTTTGTTTTGGGGAGGGAGGGGCGGAGGAGGAGGGGAGGGCGTCGAAGTCGGTTTTGAGGAGAGGTGAGTTTGATTCCCCCATTTCTTGCGCGTGTGAGGGTTGGGGTGAGGGTTCATCTCGAGCGCTTCGTGAGCGCTGAAGTGAAGCCTCTCACCTTCTCCTCAACCACGCCCCCAAGTGAACCTCACTAACCCCCTCTCGCAGCTGGCACCCTGCAAACAACCTTCTCCCTCCGAAACTTCCCTCTCACGCTCTCCAAACTCGACCGCGCCCCTGCCACCATCACCGGCCCCCTCTCACCCCCCTCCCTCACGAGACAAATCGCCCAAACCCTCGCCCTCCTACACTGGAGCGCCCACGTCGACGCCCGCGACGTCGAATTCGTCCTCGGAGGAACAGGAACCCTCTCAAACTCCACACCACACAGTCACCCCCTCCCTTACGACGAACTAGCCGCCCTCCCCGGCCCAACGAGCACCTTCAACCCCGTCTTCCTCGAGGCTCTGACCCGGCCCCTGAACCTCTGGTTGTTGGATTTCAACCAGGTCAAGACTATTACCATGGATGAGGCAGGTGTGGAGAGTGCGGTGGCGGCGTTTGTGGATAGTAGCCGAAGTATTATCCCCGTCCGTGGTCGGGGGATGAGAGGATGGAGGGGTTGTGGAGAGAGTTTAAGGGGGCGTATTTGGGGAAGAGTAGGGAGGTGTTGGGGGAGGAGGATAGGATGGAGCTTGCCGCGATGTTTGTTAGGAAGATTGAGGAGAGGGAGAGGGAGAGGAGGACGAGGATGGGGATGGGGAGGGATGGGGAGTGAAGGCCGCGAGATGTGAGAATCTCGGAAATATCCCCGGAACCTGTCCAAGGTCAAAACCCTCGACTGCGATGTCGTTGTCCTGGAACCCTTTGTAACCGTGGAGAGAAGCAGACCAGAAACCTCGTCGAGGGACTCAACGATCTCACGACCTCAAAGGCTCCGAAAGACGTCGAAAACTCCAGCCCGAATCCCCAAGTATCCTTCGCCGCGAAAGCAGTCGACTCCATCGTCTATGGTCTTTCCTTCGTCACAACCATTGTTGACGCACTGGGCGATGAAAGAAGTGCCGCACCTCAACGAGTGGCAAATCTGCGCGCCAAATGGCCTCAGCTACCAGCTAAGCCATCACGCCTCGACCACCACTCAGAGCTTCGTAGGCGAACTTTTCTTTCGACGACGAGGTTCGTAGAGCCTACACCTACACCCTTCCTCTTCCGCCCTGCATCCTGCATCGTCACCCGACGGCGAACCACCGAATGTGGTTATTGCCAGCCAAGAGGACTGGCCCAGCTGGGATGACTCTCGAAGAGTACGAGGATCTGAGCTCTATATCAGAAGAGCTGCCGAGCCAACCCAACGAGGTTCGGGTCATCGAACGTGCCGATGAAATCCTTCAAAAGCCTCAACACGATCCCCAAGATCCGTCCAGCGTCAAACCCCTTCTCGAGCGTGGCGTCGGCGTGGTCATCCTTCTTCCCCCGGAGAGAGGAACATCGAACTTTCCACCCGAAGCAAGGGAATGCACAGCCGGCCGGAACGGACTCCAAGGAGATGCGGAACAGATCTTGCCAATATGATCGAGGATCGCTGTGTGTCGACGGCGGTGGCTCGGTCGAGCTCATTCTCGCTGAGAGAGGATAGTCGGAATGGAACAGCCCAAAGGGCATTAAGGAAGAAAAAAAGCAGGATGCATTGATGTGATAACACTCTGAGAATCACAAATATATCCGCCTCCCTTATTCACAACACCACCAACTCCATCGCTTGCTCGATTTGTACCGCAGTCTTTGCAAAGAAGCCAGCTATAACCTACTCAAATCCGGGAAAGGAGTCAAGCCTCCTGTCATCTCATCACTTCGAATCAAAACAACATCTTCGCCACCGCATGCACCGCCTCTTCCGGCGAGCTCGTGGGATCGGTCGAATTGACTCCCTCGGCACTCGAGACCCCATTTACCATATGCGGATTCGGGTAGTAATACGCCGTGACCGCAATGAGAACGTACACAAACACACACAGGGCGCCCTCGAGGTAGTCGGATTTTTCATCTCTAAGGAAATTGCCGACGACGATGATGGCGAGGATGAGGACGATGGCGTCGAAGAGCTCGAAGTTGAGGGAGAGGGCGTAGTTAGGGCCCAGGCCCCAGCCGATGATGATGACGAGGGGCGTGTTGAGGAGGGCGGTCTGGATTGAGGCGCCGAGAACGTGGCTGAGGGCGAAGTTCATTTGGTTGTCGTAGGCTTCGTCGACGGCCGTGATGTGCTCGGCGGCTTTTTCCACCACCGGGACGAGGATGAGGCCGACGAAGGCGTCCGAGACGTGGCGGTCGTTGACGAGGTATTCGATTTCTTTGACGAGGATGACGGCCATGAAGCTGACGAACATCAAGGCGATCAGTAAGGCCAGGATGCTCTCGGTGAGGGTCAGTTTCGCCTTGGCCAGATCCTTGTGTCGGTCGTGATCTCTCTGCTCATCGGCTTCCAGGATATCTTCATAGAGGCCGTGATGGCTCCGAGCCTGGAAGAAGACGTACACAACGAAGGCGATCAAGAGGATGATGGCGGTGGCGCGTGAGATCTTGAGAGTTTCGGAATTGAGCATCGTAGAGTCTAGGCGATCGTAGAGGGAGTTGTAGTAGATTGTTGGAATCACGAGGGCCAACCCAGCGACGAGCATCAGGTTAGAACCCACTTCGGAGATGGCCTCGTGGAAGGTTTGCTGAGGGTGGAAGATGCCTCCGACGAAGAAGCAGAGGCCTGCAAAGTACGTTAGACATGCCACTTTTGGACACGGGTGAAGCAACATACCCAAACACAACAACATATTCGCAAGAATCGACCCCAAAATCGCCGCCCGAATGACCGACGAGTTGGCATTCCCAAAAGCAGGATCGGGATCAGATTCGGCAGAATCACCACCCTGCACCAGCAACACGGTAAACAGGATAACCTCGACAATCGACCCAAACGTCGTCTCGAGCATAACACCAGCAACCTTGGGCAGCTTCCTCGCGAGCTCCTGGCCCGCAAAGCCCACCAGATTCGCCGAAGGGACCATTCCTATATAGCCGCAGATGAAGGTCCACAGGGAGTGTTGCGGGTAGTTGAAGTACAGCACCAGCGCCGCGATGGTGAAGGGCCACAGGACGTTGGTCCATTTGCTGGCCGTGCAGGAAGACGTCCAGCAGATGCGGAGGAAGTGCCAGGGGTGGAACCAGGAGCGTCCGCTCTCGCCGTCAGGTTGGATGCCGGGCGTGACGCGGTGGCCGGCATGGTTAATGCGGTGGCCTTGTTCGTTGTACATTGGCAGCTCGCTTGGACTGCCGCCTCCGTTGGGGACCTTCTCTTGATCGTTTGCCGCATCGCCCGTGCCCCTGGCTGGGTGGTCGATGGTGTCTGGGTGGGCATCTCTGCGTCTGAAGACCTTGGTCCTGTGTCGACTCCAGGTCGCGGAGTGGTTGCCCTTGTGGAGGGGGGCTTGGGCGCCGCTGCTCATGATGTTGGTGAGATTCGGAGGATGTCGAGGTTGGCGAAGCTTGGTAAAGGCTTGGGTAGGGAATGCGGTGGTCGCGAGATCTCAAGGACAGAGCTTGTCTGTTATGTACAAGAGCTCTCAACGGCGGTGGAGGGTGGAAGTGAGGCAGTGTCGGTCAGAGCGCCAGCATTGGCAAGTGGGAAAAGGTTCAAGGAGTGAAGCCGTAGCGTCGAGGCCGAGAGCTGAGCAATGCGTCGTTCAGCAGCAAACCGTCGCGGTGAGGCCGCAGGAGGGAGTGTCGAATCGTCGAATGGCCGTATCGAGGGTGGTATGCAGTGATGATGTTCTCGGCAGGGAGGCTAGGGAAAAGGAAAGAAAAGAAAAGGCGGGCTCGCACAGCGAGCAGTGGTGTGTGTTTGATGATGTTTCTTCTTCCTCTCCATCTTTCCCACTTCCCTGTTTGCTGGCACTGCTGGCTGGCCGTCTCCTAACGCCTGCCAAGGAGGCCAAGTCGCGCTTGCGCGCAGGCGACATGAACAGCGATGCACACTTTGGGGGCCGCTTTGGGGGAGCTGAATCGAGTCGAGAGTCGAGACCACGCGCTATCACGGGATCTCCACGTCTAAGAATACACACAATACTCCGTTCACTACGCTGCACTCCAACGAATATCAGTCTGTAGGAAATGGTTGTTCTTGCTAGTATCCCCTCCAACCTATTGGTGATCGACGCCTACAACCTCATCGTGCAGCAGCTGTACAGCTCCAATTAGCTGCATCACTAGAAGCACGACTTGGTCAAATCAAGATTTACGTTTCTGGTGCAAGCGCCTACTCCAGCCTGGCTCGTTCTGAAACCACACACTACGCCATACTTCATGGTTCATTAATTATATGGAAAAAGAGAATCATTTACAGGCATTGACCTAGTTTCATTGCGCCGGACCCAACACCTTCGCTCGTGGACGTCGTAGTACTATATACAATATGAGTAGCTTTACACTTCGAGGAGAATCATACTACGACCGAAACGAGCCCAGCCCGAACGCATCGCCCATCTTTTTGCGTTGAAAACCACACATTACAGCAAGCCTGGAGCTGTATTCTAACCGATACTGTCGATGTCTTTCTTGCTTTCTAGGTCCCATCGTCTGGCTTCGCGGAACCAAACTGCGCGTTCCCGCAGATTTGAGCAACGTACCAGCCGGCGCCGGGTGACATTGGGTGGTTTGGTCCAGCATTGTAGTAGCCCAAGAGTCCCTCTCCGCAGTTCATGTCGCCAGAGTCGTAGTCGACTGGGAATTCCAATTTGCATGCGCCGGTGCGGATGTCCCACGCGCTGGCGGCGCATTCCTCTGCTTCTGCGCACAGCTGGCAGCAGGCAGAGGAATCGGTCGTGTTCGTCTGGTACGTCGCACCGCTAGTGGGTGTGTCGCTCAGCCAGTCGATGCCATAGCCGTTGTACGCGCTGGTCATGGCCGAAGGCGAGCATCGCGGATCGAGCGTGACGGTAGTAGTGAGCACAGTGGGAGTCACTGTAACATCGCCGCACTTGGATGGTGTGGTAGTGAATGCAGTGGCGATCGCATACGCTTTGCCGTCGGACTTGGTGCTGGTCACAGTTGCCTGAGTGAAGGCCGTGTAATCCCAGTAAGTGGAGGTTTGGCCGGCTGGAACGTAGGTGTGTGTTTGGCCATAGGTGGTGGCTGAGGTGATGGTGACTGTGCAGCCATCGCGCGGGTTGAGGCCAAGAGCGCGCTTGCTGTATGCCGATGTGGATGGTCCAGGAGCATCAACGTTGTGAGTCGCATTTGCGTATACTGTCTCAGTCGCAAACGGGATGGATCTGGAGATGATTAGTACAATTGACATAGACATATAAAGGCGTGCGACCCACATTATGTCAGTGTGCAAACAGGTCGAGTCGTAGCTGGTGAGGGTCTGAAGCGTCTTCGTGGAAGAGATGGTCGACCATTGCGTGAAGGTGCCGAGATCCTTTGCGCTGGTTGGGTGTTCGGTAACGACGACAGTGGATGAGTATGTCGCGGTCCTAGTCGGAACGATGACTTGGCTGGTCACCGTTTGGCAGCTGTCTTGCGGAAGAGCATAGCCCAAGCCAGCGATGAGCGGGAGGAGAGCGAACGAGAGCATAGCGAAGGATCTCTCTGTGGTGAAGCGAGTGAATTGAGGTCGGGTTGGATTATAGAGGTATTAAGGCCTGTCGACAGGAGTGGCCCGTCAAAGGCGATGTAAGGTGCCGCGCGAGTTCTGATGTATTCAAACGAATGTCGTTCTCCAGCGGTGGAGAAGGAAGGGTCCAGAAAGGAAGGGTGTTGTGTGTGCGGGTTGAAGCAGAGATGGAGTGGGAGCGGAGGAGGGAACGGAGCAGGTGTTGAATTAAAACGTTGGCGTCCCCAACTGTTCGCTCGCTCGCAGCGCCGCAAAGGTCATCGGTCGCACGGCATCGAAGCAACGTCCTGTCTCATTTGGACGTTAATGATCGGCAGGCAGAGGTCGTTTACGGGTTAAGCTCTTGGAAAGAGCGCAGGAACCCGCCGCCACCCTTCGTTCCCGCCTTTTTTTCGGACATGCGCTAGCCCGATTCCTCACGCTAGCCACGAGTTTAAACGTCAGATTCGACTGCACGCGCGAGGGGATGCTGGTCTTGCTCGTCGTTGGGGAAGCTTCTTCTTCATCACACACAGAAGCACCGAATGCTGCCGTGCCCAACAACATCCTCCACCACATCTCAAGCAGGTGAATAATGACCGCGAAACTACCGCCTCCGTCCTGCCGTGACTCTGACTCGCTGGCCCCAACTCTCCAACACCGACGAGATCGCGACGCAGAGCATATCAATGTGACACACCTAGCCTCGCGACCTGCACCTACCCGCGAGCCTGCTCCTTGCTCGCATCTACACAACCAAGCATCAAATCGCCAGCTTGTGCTCCCCACCACCAGCCATTCTTTCGCCACGAGCTGAAAATACATCTTCGCTCGTAGCCGATGGTGTAGTAGTGTGACTTGTCGTGAGGTTGGGTGGAGAATGCGTGCGTGCAGCTGCATGGTCGCATCCCTTGGTTGAGCAGTCTTCTAGCTGCAGCGCTAGAAATGTCGGACCTGCGTTGGATGCATTGCTCAACGCCTCTCATCCTGGCCAATACTGCCACTGGATAGATTGAAATATTGTTGAGATCCGTCAATGGTGTGAAGAGGGGTGTCGATGCATTTTCGTGTTCGAAATTTCTGTTTTCCGCTTTGGTCAGTGGAACCATGGTACCGACGCGTTCGATGTCTGGAGACGGCATGTTCAACACGTGCATGACTGTCAGGCATTCTCCGAGATCCACCACCCTTGCATGACCCTCCACACCCCGTGCTTCTCTTACCGTGGGCGCGGTACCAAATTGAATGTGAGAGTGCGAATGATTTCAATCGTCATTACATATCATCTTGTCATGCAGGATATTCGTCCCTGGCCGCCTGGGGCCCTCTAAGGCACGCAAGGCGATGCCGCTTCGCTTGGCTGGATTGAACAGGTTGGAATTGCTGTTCCCAAGGCCTCCCGCTCCTGCTCGATCAGCTCTCGAACTGATTCAATCCACCATTTTGCTGCTCAACAATGACAGGTATGTGAGCCAACATCTTGCTTCTCATCAGGTGTATGAGTTAGTCGAACTTTGCAAACGCCAGCTCGTACGCAAGACCAAGCGTCAATCGGGCGTGCTGCAGCATATGGTCGAAGTCGAGGTACTCAATCTTGTCGTCCGAAGTATGAATCTGTCGACCAAGGTCAGCAACACCTCACAGAACGTTCCAAGGGGTAACGTACCTTCTTGTCGCTGTCAGCGAAGCTCGACTCAATGACGAACGAAGAGGGGTATCCAGCCTTGGAGGCGGAGGCATGATCGGAGCAAGCATATCCGCACTTGGTCTCAACATACGGGATGTCACAGTAGGTGTCGACGACCTTCTTGATGAAGTCGGTGAGGCCAGGGTCGACAAAGTCGGTAATCACACCGACGCTCTCGGGCTTTCCAGCGTCTTTCGTGCCCTGCGTATATCCGGTCATATCTTGCTGCAGCATCGCCTTGACATCCCGACCCTCCTTCTCGTATGAGCTAAAGATAGCTTGCGAACCGAGCAACCCACCCTCTTCTGCAGAGTACCAGTGGAACTCGACAGTATTCTCGGCCTTGCCGTGGGCGATGTCCTTGTCTTTTAGAAGCACTCGGAGGGCTTCTAAGATAGTGACGGTGCCTGAGCCATCGTCGTCCGCTCCAGGCGCTGCGAGAATCGATGGGAGGAAGAGGTTGATGCTGTCCTGATGTGCTCCAATGACAATCGTCTTCTCAGACTTTCCAGGAAGCGTAGCAATAATGCTGTTCTGGCCCCATTCGTGCTCGAAAGGCCTCACAATGCCCACACCGGCATCCGCAAGCGTCTCATTGACCTGTCCCAACAGCCACTCCGATGACTGACGACCATAGTCAGATTTGTAATACCTCGTATGAAAGGATGTAAACGTCTCCAAATGCTCCTTCATATTCTCCTTCTTCAAGCCCTTCAACAGCTCCGATACCGTCTCATTCTGCGCCGGCTTCTTCGGATAGGTGACAGTACGGGTCTCCCTGTCCTTCTCGTGCAGGAAAAGTTCCGGCTGCAGGTGCTGCCGCGTCACGTCGAAGAACTTCTTGCCCTCGCGACGTAATGCCCACTTCTCGTTCTCCGTCACCCATCGTGTTTCCGTCGGCGATAACTGGACCAGGTATTTCTCGCTACTGGTAAAAGGCAGTTGGCCCTCTACCGTGCTAGCTACATCTTGCCAGCTTGGTAAGGTAAGCGCCGAAGCGAGTGAGGAGGATGCAAGGAGAGCCGATGCGACCTTCATGTTGGGTGATCCGGAAGTTCGATGAAGATGAACGTTTGGTGTTTGTAATGGATATTGTTGTAGCTTGGTGGATGCCTGCTATCTCGGTCGTGTGATAGCTGCAGGTACCGCGGACGCCGCTCCGACCGGATGCAACTGGCTGGTATGGAGAGGATAGTATTGAATGGTTGGGATGCAAGAAAAGGTATGGAGATGTGTTGTCGCTATATGAGTAATGTTTTCGCTCGGAAGGCGAAGATGCGCGTTGTCTGGATAGGGAAGCTGAGATGGTGAGCTCGTGGTGATTGAGTTTGTGGGCGTGGCTACGTCCAGGTTGTCGTCACTTCTTGCCCCCGCCATCAACGACCAATTGAAGGCGGCTTATTGCAGTTGGCGGGAAACAGTAAACAGCACCTCCGGTATCGTTACTTGGCTTTTAGAGACGTTCTTTCTGATCTGCTATACCATCGTCGACGTACATTTGAGAGGTTCCTCAAGAAGCTCTAATGAATTACAAGTTTCCTAAAAGTGCGCTTTCCTCTCCAAGCTGGGAGATCTGTATGTTGGGGCAAGTCTACACGGGAAGAGATATAAAATCCAGAGTTCACCATAGATGTTGATCCATCCATGCCTAAAGATGCTACGAGAACGCCATAAAAGCAATTGCCGACGACGAGATCATCATCAAGATCGATCTCGTTGACTCACTTCTTGCTCACATCCCTCTGAGTTGCAAAATGTTTAGATCTTCAATTGTGAGCACTCGTCAAATTACAAACCTGTGATAGCCGCTTACCACATTTTCGCTGGCCGACATCGGCTCAATGAGCAACGACTCGAACAAGAGGTATTAATTCATGCCTGCTCGCTGCTCCCAGCTGGCAATTTCTCTTGCTTGACTGAAACAACTGCTTCTTGTTCTTCTCACCTCCCTCACACTAATCCACCAAAATGCCCGCCGCAGTACGAGGTCCATCGACCTTGTACGACAAGGTATTCGAGCAGCACATCGTCGACGAAAACGACGGTACAATCACCCTGTACATTGACCGCCACTTGGTCCACGAAGTCACCAGCCCACAAGCCTTCGAAGGCCTCAAGAATGCCGGCCGGAAAGTCAGAAGACCCGACTGCACACTCGCTACCACCGATCACAACGTCCCAACGACCCCGCGAAAGAACTTCAAGAACATCAGCCAGTTCGTAGAAGAGGATGACAGCCGGTTACAATGCGAGACGCTCGAGCAGAATGTCAAGGACTTCAAGCTCACATACTTCGGCTTGGGAGACAAGAGGCAAGGCATTGTCCATGTCATTGGTCCTGAGCAGGGCTTCACACTGCCAGGTACCACTGTCGTGTGCGGAGACTCCCATACCAGCACACACGGTGCCTTTGGTGCCCTTGCTTTCGGCATTGGTACCAGCGAGGTCGAACACGTCCTAGCCACGCAGACTCTCGTAACGCAAAGGAGTAAGAACATGAAGGTGCAGGTCGACGGTGAACTGGGGCCAGGCGTCAGCAGCAAGGATGTTGTCTTGCACGTTATTGGCATAATCGGTACTGCTGGAGGAACAGGACATGTCATCGAGTTCTGCGGCTCGGCTATCCGCAGCCTCAGCATGGAAGCAAGAATGAGCATGTGCAATATGAGTATCGAGGGTGGTGCCCGCGCCGGGATGGTCGCCCCTGACCAGATCACCTTTGACTATATCAAGGGCAAGCCATTGGCTCCCAAGGAAGACTCGGCAGAATGGAACAAGGCCGTGAAGCACTGGGAAGCTCTGAAGAGTGATCCTGACGCGAAGTGGGACGCCGAGATCATCATTGACGCAAAGGACATTGCACCCACCGTCTCTTGGGGCACATCACCTCAAGACGTCGTGCCTATCACTGCCAAGGTCCCTGGACCCGACGACTTTAAGGATGAGAACCGCAAGTCGGCGTGCAAGCGGTCCCTGGAATACATGGGGCTTAAGGCTGGCACACCAATGACCGACATTGCCTTGGACAAGGTCTTCATTGGATCCTGCACAAATTCGCGCATTGAGGATTTGAGAATCGCTGCACACATCGTCAAGGGCAAGAAGATTGCATCGAACCTCAAGCGAGCTATGGTTGTGCCCGGATCTGGACTGGTTAAGAAGCAAGCTGAGCAGGAAGGTCTCGACCAGATCTTCACTGACGCTGGTTTCGAGTGGAGAGAAGCTGGCTGCTCGATGTGCCTGGGCATGAACCCCGACATTCTGTCTCCTGGCGAGCGATGTGCAAGTACCAGCAATCGTAACTTCGAAGGTCGTCAGGGAGCTGGTGGTAGGACACATCTGATGTCGCCAGCAATGGCCGCCGCTGCTGCTCTCACCGGTAAGCTGGCCGACGTCAGGAATCTTGCTGGCTACGAGCAAGCACTGCCCAGCGCCAAGTCAGCTGCGAAGACTATCGCCACACACGTAGAAGATCCAGAGTCTGATGTCGACCTCGACAAGATCCTTGATGCCCCTCAAACAGAGAACATCCAGGCGAAAGCGGCATCTGGAGCAGCTGGTGGCATGCCCAAGTTCACCCAGCTGAAGGGTATCGCCGCTCCAATGGACAGGAGTAACGTCGACACAGACGCCATCATCCCTAAGCAATTCCTGAAGACCATCAAGCGAGCCGGTCTATCAAAGGGCCTTTTCCACGCATGGCGATTCAAGGAAGATGGCAGCCTCAACCCAGACTTCGTCCTCAACCAAGAACCCCACAACAAGTCGAAGATCCTCGTCGTCAGCGGCCCCAACTTTGGATGCGGTTCATCTCGAGAACACGCCCCGTGGGCGTTGCTTGACTTCGGCATCAAGTGTGTCATTGCCAGCTCTTTCGGCGACATCTTCTTCAACAACACTTTCAAGAACGGTATGCTGCCGTTGAAGATTGAGAACGAGCAAGATCTGCAGAAGATCTTTGAGGAGGCCAAGGCTGGACGGGAGATTGAGGTTGACCTTGAGGCGAATGCTGTGAAGGATGCTTCTGGCAAGGAGCTTGCCAAGTTCGAGGTATGTTTCCAACACAAAACAAAGATGGTGATTCAATGTACTGACATTTCTTCCTACAGGTAGAACCATTCAGGAGACATTGTCTGCTGAACGGCCTTGACGATATCGGCCTTACCCTGCAGAAGGACGACAAGATCAAGAAGTTCGAGGCCAGGAGGACCGAGGAGACTCCTTGGTTGGATGGCTCGGGGTACCTATCCAAACACAGGACTGGTGCGGTGAAGGTTGAGGCTGCCCCTGTGCCCAAGACGAATCGTGGCGAGGAGAAGAGTGAGCCGTTAGAATGGTAAACTTGTACGAGATGAATGCAATTCAGAGATGCTTCGAAGCCCGGCAATGCTCGCCGCTCCTCTCGTGCCTCATTTTGCTCGATGTTAAGCCGCTGCCGGGGGATCGTCACATGTCAATCCACCCCGAACAGGATCAGATGCTGACCGCACGAAGCGTGCACTGCTAGAAGACCTTGAGACTGAGGCACATGAACAACTCTCGCAACCGCAAATGTCTATCATTTGCCGCTCTCGGTACTGTACTGTCAGGGGGTATCATCTCATTTAGTCTGGTCGCTCGCTCGCTCGGACTCCATCGCTCAACTAGTCCCTCAAAAACACAAATCAAGGAAAACAAAGTGGTCGCAGTAGCAGCCGCGGACATCGCAGTAGCCCCATCGCACCCTCCAACCTCAACCGATCCCTTCCACCAGAAACCCATCTTGTCGGAGTCTCCTGTCGCGTTTCATTAGCACATGCCACCCACCCTCACCGTGCGCGACAAAAATTGGGACGGACGTACATACGCAATCCTCAAACAGGCTTAAGTCGAAGCACACTTATTGACCCCCACGGTACACTTGCCGCAGCCGTGGTTGAGGCACTGCTCGTCGCCGAAGACCTCGGGGTTGCAGTAGATGTTGTAGCAGGCCATTGGTGGGTCGGTCATCTGTTGAATTCCGCGTTAGTATGCTTGTGGGGTGGTGATGCTGGAAGGGGGTGGGGACAGGGGACTTACGAGGTTGTTGGCGGGCGTGATGGCTGGAGCGGCCGTGGTGAAGGTGAGGAGGGTGGTGAGGAGGGTGAAGAGGGTGAGCTTCATTTTGTCGATGGTGTTGGAGTTGGTTGGTTGGTTGGTGTATGGAGTGTTGTGTTGTGTGGTGGATGAGTGAGTGAGTGTGGAGTTGTTGTTGGTGGATGGTGGTGGTTGAACGAGACGCTTGAGGTTGCTGGTGGTTGTTCTGAGTAAGTGGCTGTTCGAATTTCTTTTTGCTTTTATGTGAAGGAGGTGTGAAAGCTCGGGCCTATATCATGTGTCCGTGGCAGCCAGAGACGGCTCTTGAATGCCATCACTTTGGTCGCTTTGGCATGTGGTGTTGGAGTCCGTGATGTTTGTGCAATTCAGAAGGAAATTGGAACATCCCGCGCCGGTCATATTTGCAAGTGAGGAGGAACAAGCATGTGAAGTTAATCTTGAACTTACCTGAATAGCAGAAGAACCAGATAAGACGGGAGTCCGAGTAATGTAAAGCTTTTCATGTAAACCATGACGGCTGTATCCAAAATGACGGGCTTGATACATCCAGACGTATATCCACGACTCGTGCTAGATCCTGGTCATCTACTTCAACTCAAAGTTCTTCTTCTCGTGCTCATTGATCGCCTCCACCTTCTTCGCGCTGGCTGAGGTCGGGTCGAACTTGTATCCAATCCACTCCTTCGCCAACCTCCTCGCGAGCTCAATGCCCACGACTCTCTCGCCCATGCAGAGCACCTGGGCGTCGTTGCTGAGAATCGCCCGCTCGACGCTGAAGCTGTCGTGTGCCGTCACGGCTCTGATGCCAGGCACCTTGTTCGCGCTGATCGCCACACCGAGTCCAGTACCGCAGATCAGGAGAGCACGGTCTGCCTCGCCTTTCTGGATGAGCTTCGCGGCGTCGACGGCGGGATGTGGGTAGGCGGTCTTGTCGCTCGATTCGTTAACGCCAACGTCGATGACCTTGGCTACTCTGGGGTCTGCTTCCAGATCGGCCTTGATTTTGTTCTTGTATCCAACGCCAGCATCGTCCGCTCCCATCGCAATGCGGAGACCTTGTGAACCGTTCGCTGCCATTGTGTATATATGATCTTCCCTCAAAGCTGACTTGTATCGAAGCCTTCCAACGTCGTCGTATCCTCTTTCGCTTTAGGAACCTCAACCTCTTCCGCAACAGGTTCTCCTCGACTCTTGCTCTGACTCTCGTACTTCTCAGGATTCGACAAGTTCCCAACGACTTCGCTCGACTTGTTCCAGTGCTGCGGGTCAGGTTTATCGATGACGCTCGCCTTGCCGGTGTTGTGGTTGACGACCTTTTGGGAGAAATACTCGGACTGGATGTCAGACTTGGACGAGATCTTTATACGGCGGTTCGACGCCATGCTCCGAGACTAATAATCCCAACACTTGTCAACGAATCTTGGTGTGCCGGCTGATCTCATGCCCGCCACTGCAAGAGGGGAAGCAGCAGAGGTGGTTGATCGGATTGCCGGATCGAGTATCGCGATTGGTTCGTTTCTCCAGCTTGCCCACAGGCCCTCGAGACGGGGCTTCGGGGCCGTGGCCACTCCACGTGTTCGCCGAATTCCGTGTCAGAGCGTCGACAGGGGATCGATATATCTTTCAATCCATGAGCAGAATCAATATATCAAAGAACTGTACTGCGTGGCACATGCGTACGGACAATCCCGACATGGCCCTCAGCAGATCTGTAGGCGCTTTGCTGAAGGTGGCTTAATAGCCAACAATCATTGCCTGAACGAGCGAAAATGGTCGAGACCCTTTCGAGCTACGCTCGCCCGTACATGGCGCAAAACGACACTCGGTAGGTCCACACCGTGGCGGTCTCGCGACGACAACGTGTCTCCCAGGCTGCCGACTCCAACAAGAGGTATCAACAGCCATCCAGGACCTACTAATCGCCGCTGAGATCCGACAATCGCTGACTCGGCCAAAGGCTCTGCGCGAGGACGTCACCTTGCCATGTCGTCCGTTTCCAGCGAGCTGGAAAGCTTCTCCCCGTACTCAGACATCGCCGAAACCGCTGTTCGAGAGCATGGACAACGCCTGGCTGACTTGCTTGCGAAGTCCCCTGATCTGCAGGTCCAAGAAGTGTCCCAATACGAAGATGAACAACCCCGTCGCCCAGATATCGAGAGGGATACAGCACCATTTTCCTCCAATGCCCAGAGACCATGTCGGCTTCAAGTAGACTCGTCAGCCTCGCCGGATGCGCCATTCCGCATTCATCGGGGCAAACCCAGACAACGCTCCCTGCAACCCAAACAACGCAAGTCGAAGCGACCGGTCCAACATCGAAACTACACCGCGCCAGCTGTGCCGCTCGCACAGAATGTGGCCTCCTCTCATGCTGTAGCAGTTGCGAAGCAGACGCTGGACCTCTACCACCAACAGGGCACATTCTTCTCCCAGACGATGCTGGAGCAACTTCTTCCAAGGCTGGACTCCTCAATGGCATTGACGCATGCTGCCAGTGCGGTATCTTCAGTCTTGCGCTTTCGCTTTCGACCCGCATCTAGTGTACGAGCACAAGGACAGGGTCTTAGGGATTATACGAACGCCCTTACTGAGATCAGATCGAACTTGCGCAGCTCCGAGCCTCTCCTACTGGCGATCAACTTACTCTGCTACTACGAGCTGGTGACGGGCTTCGACGTTTCGGTCTTGAAATCACACGCGGCCGGGCTTCACTCGCTGCTCCTCGCAGATAGAGAGTATTGGTCCAAGAACACTGTCGGAAGAACAGTCCTACTCGGAACACGACTGCTGGCGGTCGAGGCGTGCATGGCTGCTGGTAAGCCGTCGCCCTTTGAGGATGATTCCTGGCTGGAACACGAGTTTCCCTCTTCCCGTCTGTCGAACGCCATCGCCTTGTCGAAATGTGCACATAGGATCTTCTTCAAACTGCCAAGGCTGGCCTACAATCTCAAAAGGATACGAGCGGGGAATACTGACTTTGAGATCATATGCGAGACTGCTGCTTTGGCGCAGCGCCTTCTTCGCATCAAAGATGATGAGGCCTATCATGGCATGCTGAGAGCTTGTCATGTGCGAGACACTCTTTCGGACGCCGATCGATCCATCATACCCACCTCTCTTGAATTTGCAGACTTGGCAGATTTCGATGACTTTTTGGATTACAGCCGGGCGCGCCTCACGATCACGACGCTCTGCCTGACGCTACCGCAGCTAATTCCAAGGTACGTTGTACCTCGGCAGAAGCAAGTCGAGGAACAGCAGCACAAAGCCATTGATGCCGTCCTACGGTGCTGGCAGAGTTGCATGGAAACGCAACGATTCGCCAAGAGCATGAGTACGACATTGTTCCCCTTGTACGGCGCGTTGAAACAAATGGATTCCTGGCGCGGCGTGCCGATTGAGGAGATCATATCATGGCTTGAGTACAAAAGCATCATCGCGTTCGGTCATGTCAAAGGGTTCAGCGGCGAAAGCGATCTCGTTGCGACGTGGGATATGTATTGTGGTGGGTCGGGTGAGAAGTCGATATTCAAGCAGTGGGCATAGTAATATAGTTACAGACAATGGTCAACAGCACATTCCAATGCGACAGGTGTATAGGACAAGTAGAATTGCGATGTGCAGACATTAGAAACTGCTAATTCCTATGCAAAAGCGCGCTCCTTCCCCCTCGAGCCTAGCGCGGCGCGCTAAAGAAGAATTCGCCGCAACTTCGGCTGAACTACGACGGGCGCATTCAAGTGGTTATAGGTTCGGAAAATCCATGCCCCTCACAAATCGGACGTCACTCAGGCAGCGTGGTCTAGTGGTCGACTCTCCATCACCTGCAAAATTCGACAGGGTGGCGTCCGATAGGGGGTTCAATTCAGGCCGAGGGGGGGCGGCGTTAAGAGGACTGGAGGACGTCCAACCAGCTATCCCATCAGCTATATGGGTAGTTCGGAGGGAGGAAAAAGGAAATGGGTGGGGAGGAAATATTCGAATACCGACCGATCAATCAATTCCGACTATCAAATCAGCTACCTACAAATCAAATCAGCAACCAAATCAATACGACAATCAAATCAAATCAGCGCCATCAAATGAAATCAAATCAGCAATCCCGACAACCGAATCAAAAAAGCAATCCCGACAACCAAATCAAAAAGTAAAACCATTAAGTTGGTTTTCTCTGTACACAAAAAAATTGTATACAGTTCTTTTGCACTTTTTTTCCCTTTCCTGCTGATGTCATATCAGGTAGGTCTGGTGTTCGAGTCCGGCTCGTGCACGGTATATGCCTTCTGAACTTTTGCACCATTAAGGGTCATTTGCTTTGGCGCATGTTGGCTGCCTGCAATCATTCTTTTTCGATCTTAGATGATATGTGAGTTGGTGATGAAGTCAAATTGCTTTTGCAATCTAGGTGATGCCTTTCTCATTTTAATATCTCGAATGACTATTTACAAGAACCCGTGCGTTCTCGTGCGTTCTCGTGCGTTCCCAGTGTGCGAAGTTGGCGGGTGGATCGATCAGCCAGCCGTCATCTGCTGGTTGCTTTTTGACGGTCAGATTGCGCCCCTGATGCGCCACGCCTCAGCTTGCTTGATGGACTGGAGTGCACATCACCAGCCGCCTGCTGTGAGCTCAGCTTGGTGTCGCCTTCATTTGCCCATCGTCCCAGCTGGCCCATCGGGCTCAGTGAGATGCCGCTGGCGCTGGTGTTGAAGTCTTCTGTGTACGAGCATCCTGCGCCTTTGCTGATTGAAGCGTCAAGTGTCGCATCACCTTCAATTTTAAATTCTGGTCCAGTCTTGCCATCGAGGCCACGAGCACCAGCATCGCATGGAATTCCTGCAGCGACTTGATCGCACAATGCTCGGAGACGTTGCTGACATTGTTGGCCGGCTTTCACCGGTGCCGTTTCGGTGAATGCGCGATTTTTGACTTCGTCGCAATATGCCCGCTCTCGAGCTGCATCGGCTGCCGAGTGCCTCACAGCCAAAGCCTTCGCGCAACGCGACGGCCAGCACATGGACTTCTTACGACAGGCGCTACACTTGGGGCCACACTGCTCGTATGTTTGGGTCGGATACTGCTTACCCCTTCATTCTCCCTGATTCGACGTCTGATACCTCGAAGCTTGGTCTTCCTACGCTTGATCCGCTTTTCGAGGTCGGCAATGTCCTTCTCGATGCGATCGCTCTCGTTCATGAGCTCGTGATTGATTTCCAGGTAGCCCGGAACTTTGGGAGGGATTTCGTTCATTTTGCTGGCTAATGAAGATGGGGCGTGTGTGCGTGGGCGCGGGGACCGTGAGATGGGCGGGAAAAACACAAACGAGCAGCGTCGTAGAGAGTGAGAAGGGAAGAGGCAACCATCCAACTTTCCCGGGAAACAGCAATGCACACCTCGCGAGACGGACTTCAGCAAGCCAAATCAATGAATAATAAGTCAAAGGCGCACATTCTTCTGCACAATTTGGGCCCAGTATCGTCTTACGTCTTTCTCAAAGGCTCGCGGTGGGCTTCTATGCGAGTGAAACTGCATGTATGCAGTTTCGATGACCTCTGAGAATGCCAGGTCATCATTCAGCCATCGAATATAGCGTGAAATTGGACGAGAGGATCGAAATAAAAATGCAAAGGTCATCAGACTGCCTAAATCGATCGCCTCTTTGTGTGTTCGAGCTTGCCAAATGAGACGCCGAGACCGGTCCAGTCACTCCTAGCTCGTAGCATTGGAAGATTGATGCAGCTTTCAACACTATACACTAAATTGAAGAGCTGCAAACATGACATGTGCCTTTATGTTGTAAAATCGAAGAGGCACGAGAGAGGTGAGGTTGAAGATCCATGTCGATCTCCACCCACCAGCTCCACCCAAGGCGGAAGCTTTCCGCTCGCTCCCTCGGATTCACGTACAAGCCACCTCCGTCTCAGTATCGAGTCGGCACAACAACATGCCCATCTGCATCGAATGTCGGTATCCGGTCAGCAATCTCTACACGACTTACAGCAAAGCCGATGACAAAGCTCTCGGGAAGGGAGTCCGCCTAACGCAATGTCCGCGCTGTAAACGCTTCGCGGACAAATATGTCGAGCACGACTTTGTGGTTCTTTTTATCGATCTGGTGTTGATCAAACCTCAGGTGCGAATTTGCAATTCTGTTGAAGCCATGGAACGGCGATTCACCTTGTGGACTTCTTTCATTATCGTTGCGATTCCCGGAAAGTCATACTAACTGCATTTGCTACAGGTCTATAGACATCTCCTCTTCAACCGGCTGGGCAGGGACGACGAGCGATTCGATGTATGAAACATTCCGGTCTCAAGCGTTACCCAAGACTAATACCCTGCAGCCCTCGATAGTCCGCCTGGGGATCCTTCTACTTCTCTTCGACGTTTACTTAACATGGGCGCGCATTGAGAAGGCGACACCATCCTCTCCATCCCTACCCCTATCGCCCCCTCCACCACTCCCACCCTTTCCATCAAGCTCAATCAATGGTGGCAGCGACCAGTCGAATCTAAATGGCACTGAGCTGGCGCAGGACGGCAGTCTACCATCGAGCTTCCTCGCCAAGCAGCCAATCCTGCTGCAGTACCTCTTCTTCCTGCTGCTTTGCACGCTGGAGACCATGTCATTCCATCTGCCGATTCGGACCTTCTTGTCGATGAAGTTCCCCCGACCGTTCTCTGCTGTCATCCCGCATTATCCACGACCGGCCTTGATCAGTACTGCTCTTCTCGTGTCGAGCTTCACCAAACTCTTCCCACTGATGCTGCTCGTCTGGAACTATGATCTACCCAGCAGCGCCAGTGCTGTATCCTGGGCTGTCATTATCAATAACGTTGCGGCGCTCGAGATCTTACTCGACTGTGGGTATATCAAGGCGGCGTTACTGGCAGGGGTCGGTGCGATCTGCAGAGCTGGGATCGGATGGGTAAGTTATCTCGACATGGATGCCGCTCTTCATATGCTCATATTTCTCAGGGTATATTGCGCGCCGTCGGCGTTGGAGGAGGAGTGGCTGCGGCTGGAGTAGTAGAGACTGGAGACCTCATCGAAGTGTGGCGTAGACTCATGGAGACAGTGGGCCTGGGCTAGAACTGTATTTCATGGCAGCGCATCGTATTGCAGTACATTTTGGGTTATCCGTTTCGCTGTCTTATGGCTCATGCTCTTCCCCATCCATCATGCCACATATCTAACAGTACACGCTCTTCGACCCTTTCTCGCTATACACCCCAAACGCCATGTACTCCGTCGAATGCTCATCACAAGAAGCTATTGCCAGCAGCCGGCCCCTGGTTGTATTCCGGTCGTAGGTCTTTTCGCTCGGGTGCTATGAGAGGGTGCCATTGCGCGAGGAAGGTTATTGCTAGGCGGTCGTCAGCTAGGCATCTCCCAAAGTCCATCTTAAATGCCATACCCCACATGAGCCAGCAACTCGCTGCTGAAAGTATTATGGTCGATCTCCATACGCTGCAAAAGTGTCAGCTGTCGGGCGCTCGTGGCGGTGCGATGCTGGTGAAGACGTACGCTTGGTTCTCGCCCTTGGGACTAAAGAACCATGCTCCGAGGGCAATGGCTACGACGACCACGATGCTGATCAGGATGCTCCATCTGAGATATGTTAGAAGCGCGTGGAAAAAATGAGACAGTTCTCTTACCCGTTCGCCATGTTGTTCTGTGATCGGTGGATGATGTATCGACTGGAGCTCTCCAGGCGGATGTTTGGATGAGGTCAAGCGACAAGCTTTCGGGAATATCCGCAGCTTGTTTGACTTCACTTCACCCTTAGTGGACCTCTCAGCCTACCCTCGGTATTCCGCTCATCTCATCCCCATTACTTTTGAGCTAACCAAGCAGCATAGAGCGTGGTTAGCAGTGTAGTCGCTTGTAGAAAATTGGGGATAGCAGTTCTATACGTTTCACCTTGACCGGACGGGTAGGAGAAGCACTTCACTTTATACGTCGTCGTTCAACTATGTCTGCCCCAAACAACCCCCAACGAAAAGACCACTGGACCTCGACAGCCTACAATACCTGTGCCGGCTTCGTTCCCAAGCTCACCACTAAAGTCCTCTCCTACCTCGACCCCCAACCAACCGACACCATCCTCGACATAGGCTGCGGGGATGGTTCCCTAACGTCCCAAATCGCCGCCTCAGGCGCAAAAGTGCTTGGAGTCGATGCCTCGAAATCTTTTATTGACACAGCGACGGAGAAGTACACTTCCTCGGAAAATTGTACATTCATCCTCCACGACGCAGACGAATTGCAAACCTGTCCCTCCGCAATCGACGGAAACTGGGACAAAGCATTCAGCAACGCTGCCATGCATTGGATTCTGCTGCGGGAAAACACTAGGCAGACATTCTTCGAGAATGTGCATCGTTCGTTGAGGAAAGACGGCAAGTTTGTCTTTGAAATGGGCGGCGCGGGGAATTGCGCTGAAATCCAAGCTGTATCTATTGCGGCTCTTGTGCATGCAGGTGTCTCTTTACACCGAGCAAGAGAGGAGTTTCCGTGGGTTTTCCCCAGTGCGGGGTGGATGAGAGGTATGCTTGAAAGGACGGGGTTTGAGGTTGAGATTTGTGAGTTGGAGTATCGGCCTAGTGTACTTGATGAAGGGGCGTTGGAGGGGTGGATTCGGTTGATGTGTGCGGATATGTTGGAGGTTGTGGAGGGGGAGGAGAAGAGGGACGGGGTGGTGAGGGAGATGTGTGAGGTGCTGGAGACGGTTATGAGGAGGGTGGAGGACGGGAGTATGTGGATGGGGTATGTGATGTTGAGAGCTGTTGCAAGGAAGATTTGATACAGGAGGGAGTCTGGGTAGACGTGTGGTTCTGTTCAAGATGATGTTGTACGTTCTCGCAAGTAGCTGCGCTATCTCGCTCAATCATAGCGCGATCTTTGACGAATGTGTGATGGACATCGTTCGCTGAAGATCTGCTCTGCACTTTCCGTGGGCGTTGTGTCCTGGAGCTGTAAATCTCCGAAGTTTGCACCATCTCAAAGGGCTCATTCTCATCCTGGTAGTCACTGTCTGAGCTGTCACCACGGGGATTAGGTCTAGAAGTTGCGCTCCTCTTGCCACCGAAGCTGGCGCTACTGGCACTCGCTCTCGGGCCGTTTTGCGGCTTGACCCTCTCAATGACTTGGTATTCCGGAGCCTGTTTGGTGCATTTAGAGCTTGCGCAATCTTCAATGGTCTGTCTCCCCGACTGTGCATAGACGACTGGATTGTTGATCACACTCTAAGCGGCTTAGACGGCCTAGGAGTAGTAGGGATGAATCTTCCACTCTGAGCGGAACTCTGAGGCTGTGCTTCATCCATGGACAATCGCCGAATTCGGTCCTGTGTCGAGTTCAGTAACGAGGTCATCACAGTGTCAGAGGGCATGCAGAAAGAGGGAGAAAATTTCTACTGGATGTGCTTCGTTGCGACTGAGATTGTGTCCTGTGCTATGTATGATACATGCTAATCGCTCAAAAATGCAAAGGTTCTCATCGACATGATGAGCCGCCTTTCCCAAGAGTCCAAGTCTCCCTCCATTGCCAAAGCTCCAATCACTCGTTATTCACAACAGAAAGGAAATTTGAGTTCTTGCTCTCCACGTCTTCCTTCGACATGTCCACCATCGCATTGTTGTTCATGGTGATGTCCTTGACCACATCGTCCCGCTGAGAAGGCCAGTCTGTGCTCTCATCCTCGTCGTCTTTTGAGTGAAACGACTCAAATGTCTCTGGTTGGAAGAAGGCGCGGTAGTTATTGACCGCTATCCGCACTTCCAACTTCTCCTCGTTCATGACTTCGATAAATCGTCCAGGTGCTGGTGGGAACGATTCAGATCGAGGATCTGCACCAAAGACCCGAACATTGCCCATCAAGAACGGATAGGAGACTTTGCCGACCTCGATTCCATCCGTGTTGTCCACAGATGTGTAGGACGCAATGTAGTAACGCCAAAGTTCCTCACGCTGAGACTCGGTCATACCGTCATCAGCGATTGGATCGTCGCGCTTGGACAGATAGACCCGAACTTTGCTATTGGTCGGATCCTGCTCGGTGGTCAGTGACCGCGTCTCGTCCGCTTTGGGATCGCTGAGACGTACGAAGTCGATTCGATAGACTTCAGAGTCCTTGACCATCTTCTCCACTGCCTTGCGGTAGTCAGTCTGCTGCTGCGCGCTGGTCTTTTCCTTCACACGGTCCTTCTTAAAAAGTGCAAAGACATCCGCTGACTTGTCCTTGCCGTCGCTGTTCATCGTCTGTAGTGCGTCGCGCGTCAACGTCATAACAATCTTCTCCACCGGGTAAAGTTGGTAGCCGGCTTGAAGGTAGTACCGCCGCAAGGTTTCCTCGATTTCGGTTTGTTCAACTTCGTTCCTGAGAAGCTCCTCGAACTTGGAGAGCATCTGATTGTAGTAGTTGGCGGTTGAGCTAGTGTCGTTGAAGTAATCACTGGGTAGCTTGTCGACGATGCCGAGCTCAATGGCGGGCTTGACCTTCTGCGCGTTCTGCACGGCCTCGCGCACACCATCCTCAGCACTCTTCAACTTCGTGAGTCGTTCGTAGAGCATAAGGAACAGACGCATGAAGCAGTAGATTGGAGTGTTGGCCCAGAAATGGAAGACGTCACGGTCCCGTAGTTCTTGAGGGTTGATGTTCTTGGAGCCGAGGACGTTCTTGTCAGTAGGATGGTCGAGCCAGCGTCCGGTGGCGATGTCTGATTTGTTCTCCGAATCTTCTGCGGCATCCGTCATCGTCTCGTCCTCCACGGTGTTCTCGACGTGGTCGCCGTTCGAGGCAATGTCAGGCGTCGACCCACGGCTTTCTGACGCATTACTGTCATCGCGTGTACGGTTGAGCGTCCTGCCTCGGTCCAAGGCCGCACGAAGCAAAGTGCTGTTCTTAGCAGCACCGCCTTTGCGAGACTTGACAGACGCCGAATCTTCGCCTCCAGAAGGTGGGTCTTCGATCGACTCATTCTGGGGGGACTGTTGGAATCGGCGGTCAATGGCGGCTCGGAACCCAATGTCGTCCAGTCTGAAGAACAAGGCGACAAAGTCGCGAATGAAGTTGAAGAGCCTTGGCTGGTCCGTGGCCATATGAGCATCCACGTAGGCCAGTACCAAATAGGTAGCATCCGTCAACACATCCACGTCGTCGACAGTGAACTCCATCTGTGGAAGGCGTCGGAAGCTGGGGTTGATATTGGCAGCCCGCTTCATCTCCTCGTGTTTGACTTGGATCTCGGCTTGGAGAGTCTTCGTCTGAAACTGTCGGCGGTCGTTCGTTTTGGCGTTTGCAGCTTGGTGATCGAGTGACTTCCAGAACATCTTTTGTGTCTGCTCGCGCCAAACCTTCTCCCACTCGCGTTGAGCCATCTTCCAGGTCTCCAGTCTCTCCTTCAGTCTGTTTAGGAGCACCGGAATGACCTGGTAAGGACGAGCATGGAGACTATCAATCACGTCCGCGCCCTTGTCTCTTCCGTACAACTTCATGATCACACGCTTGTAGATGGTCTCGCTCTGACCACCAAGCCCTGGCGGTAGCTGATAGTTCCGCTGTTGCGCTTCGTCCATACGTCGCAGCTGAGTCGCGATCGGCTCCAGCAACTGAATGGTGCGAGAGCAGGCTTCGATGTTGTAGTCGTAGTCGTGACGCTCCTCTTCAATGCGGTGCAGACCTTCCTCGTGCAGATTCTTGCGATGGGCGATGAATCCGGAGTCCTCTGATGCCCAAGTAGGATGCGATGCCCACTCATCGTTCAGAACGGAGTTGCACAGCTCGTCACGGCCACTGCACGGCTTCTGGCGCTCTCTCTTGGGCAACAAGCGGTAGCTGGGGCCGAGACCTCTGCAGTTGCTAAGCATGACCCTTCCAGAAGGCACCCGCGGTTTGTTCTCGATTATCACATCTTTCTCGTCATGGCCGAGCCACTGCTCGAACCACTTCATCAACTCAGCATTGCCACCGATGAATGCTCTCGCTCGGTAGAGGAGTGTCCCGCGATCGATGAGGTCTTGGCTGAACAAGTTGCAGAGCTTCAAGAACTCGTTCATGGAGTTCTTATTGCCAATTGCCTTCTTTGCCTTATCGAAGAAAGAGAGCTCCTCGCTGGTGGCCGCCGATGTGGTCGTAGGCTCGAGAGGCTCCGGCAAACGTGGAGTCAAGGTCGGCGACGCAGGTGGCTGGTCATTTAGCCCTTTGGCGACTTGCTGTCCAGTCTTCAGGCGCTTGTTGGGGTGCCCTGGGAACTGCGCTTTGCTGCCGCTTGGGCCTGCGACACCATCAGCCATGCGGTCCGCGGTGCCTTGACGTTGTTCCCTCTTTCTCTTGTTGTCTTTCGATGCGGGTGTCGGCGCAAAGTTACCAATCGGAGGCATTTGACCTCGTGCATGTGCCGGTGTCGTGATCTCACGCGACATGACGGGACTGTTGTACAAACCCTCACTGCGCACGTTGGATGTTACAACGTTGTTCTCTGCCTCTTGCCTTGCTCTTTCTGCTGCTTGCTTCGCATGTGCTGCGGATTCTGGTAGAAACTGCTTGAAGTCTTCGAGGAGATCGGGTGCGGTCTTGAAGAGGTGTGTGACTTGACTGTAGACGTCTTGGATCGGCTTTGATTCGCGCTGAATCACGTTAGCACGTGCGTTCAAGAAGTGTCGATTTGAAGCGGCTGCCCGAGACAAAGGCGCAAGCATGTTGTCGCCAAGGATCGGAGGTACAGATACTCACCTGGTAAGTCTGGAGTATTTCGAGGAACTGTTTGTAGATGTCGGGGTGTGATGCGAAGCGATTCTGAAGTTCGTTAGTTAAAGTGGTGGAAGCGCGGCGGCTGTTGCCGAAGTACGTCCGATGACTTACCTTGATCTTATTCACGTAGCTGATCGCGTGGTTGAACTCAACCGGGCCGCGCTTCTCAAGACCCACCTGAGCCGCTGCGTCGTGTGCTGCTGCATCTTGTCCAGGCATGGGAGTCGCTCGCGGCGAAATTCCAACTCTTAGCCCAGTACCTCCAGCGGCCGCCGATACAGCACTTTGAAGAGAGTTGACCCCCCGCTGCTCCTGCTGGTGTATTGCCCGCTGCTCCTCTTGTTGTCTCGCAGCTTCCATGGGCGAGAGATGCTGCTGAATAGGCGCCGCCGGGCCAGCCGGGCGACCACTTGGACTGAACATCATTTGGGCGCTTTGCGCACCAGGCTGAGGCGTAAAGGTGCCATTAGCAGGCCTCAGCCCCTCCTGGCCTCCCTCCTGCCTGCTGAGCGGTCGAGGCTGTGGCATTGACTGGACTGTTGTGCCCATGGGTGTGGTGACTCGGATGGCATTTGGATCGTCGCCAGTTCCGCATTCGATACGGTAACCAGGAGGCAGAAAAGTATTGAAGCCTTGGATGAGCTCTGGGTTGCCTGCGAAAAGTGTGCTGACCCTACCAATAACACCAGGCGTATCGATTGCGCCCGACTTGAAGTCTTTCATTATATCGAGGAACCGATTGTACACGTCCGGCTGCTCGTGGAATTGGACCTTGACCTGGTCCAGATAGCTGAGGGCATCGTTCAAGATCGGCTGTTGGCCTTGACCTTGTCCCTGAGGCTGTCCCATAGCCTGTTGCTGCTGCTGCTGTTGAGGTGGTTGGCCTGGTGCCCCCTGCACGTACCCCGAAAGGAGGCCTGCAGCTTGCGGGTGTTGGCCTGCTGGGCCTGGTGCAGGTTGAACAGGGCCCCCAGCGAAGATGTTTCCCGGACCAGAGGGAGCTCCCAAAGGTAGATGCGGCTGTGGAGGTGGCCCTCCCATGCCCGGATTGCCGAGCAGACCATTGGGGCCGTGTACAGTGCGTGGGCCTACAGCTACTGGCTGATGAAGGTGCACTGGAGGGCCTTGCGGTGTCTGATGCGGCGGCGCTTGCTCCATCCGCTGTCGCTCATGTTCTCGATGTCTCCGATCCTCCTCTTCCTTGATGTGGATTCTTTCCATTTCTCGCTCCCTTCTTTCGCGGTCAGCCAACACATTGGACTGACCCGTCGCCTGGCTGAGACTTGGAAGGCCGAAACCAGGAGGTGGACGCGAATCGGGCTCTTCGGGCCGGTGTTGCTGGGGAGGAGGCTGTCTCGGCGACGACTGGCTCAAACCGGCGAGGCTGGCGAGGGAATGCGCAGGCTGATGAAAAGGAGGGAAGGGTCCACCGGGTGGTGGCAGGCCATTAGCACCTGATGGTGGAGAATGTTGCGGATTGTGTTGTGGTGTACCGGGTCTAGTGGTGGCAGAAACATTAGCAGCGTTTCAATGCATACTCCATGAGAGACATAGGTAGGAGGCTGGTGTAGGCGGGCGTGCGACAGCTTCAATAGAGCTTTCTTCACTCCAACCCAAGCTACTCAGCAATCTCGCCACTTTGATCTGTCCAACTCACCCATAGTTAGGTCCTGCTCGGGGAGCCCCCTGTGACTGCGATGGGTCGCCGTGAGGGTTGCCAGAGCCAGGCTGCTGGTGACCCCAGCTGCGGTGCTCCATTCAAAACCGGAACGCCCAAAGGCGTGTCCTTGAGCTCTTCGTTGTTTCGACTGCGCAAGTCGTTTTATATCTCTTTCAGGGTGGTCTGATTGTTGGTTCGGGTGCTAGTAATCGATCTCTGGGTCGTGTGGTTGGGTGGATTCGCTGGTTCACGGGCGCGCTTCTTCGCGCGTTGTCGCTAACGCCACGGCGCTGGGAGCGGCCAAGATCGCAAGCTCAAAGATTGATCGCAAATGCGTGCTGTGTCCGACTGAGCGTTGAAGCAATGGGAATAAGACAATGGACAGACAGCTGGGGTGATAGCGGTCGTGAAGAGAACGTTCCCCAGGACCAGCTCGAAGACGGCTGCAACCGAAACAACGTCAGGCGCCAAGCACCTAGTTCAGGGACCGGCGATATCGCTCCCGAGAGGGCAAGCGGTGGCGGTATGCCGAAAACTTCACCATCAAAGTCCTTCACTCACTTGGTTGGTTACGTTAACGCTAGCCGCTGATATTCACGTGAAAGATGTCCGCAAACGATGCAGGCTTCAAGGCTGCGCTTGAGGAGGCAAAAGCGAGTGCAAGTGAAGGCGGTGTGCCGATTGGTGCTTGTCTCGTGGATGCCAATGGAAAAATCCTAGGCCGAGGCCATAACATGCGAGTGCAAAAGGGTAGTGCGACATTGCATGTATGTAGCTCTGTTCCTAAGTAAAGCGTGCTTCTACTTGGCTTACATTCATCAGGGTGAAACGTCTGCCCTCGAGAATGCAGGTCGCCTGCCAGCGTCTGCATACAAAGGCTCGACAATGTACACAACCTTGTCACCCTGCGACATGTGCACAGGCGCGTGCATCCTGTACAAGGTTTCCCGAGTCGTAATGGGAGAGAACAATACTTTTGTTGGAGGGGAGGAGTATCTCAAGCAGCGCGGCATCGAAGTTGTGAATCTGCACAGCGCAGAGTGCGAACAGCTGATGAAAAATTTCATCCAGAAGCACCCTGAGGACTGGTGGGTGATCATGCGAGGCTGATGAGAGGTTCTTGGGCTGACGGTATGAGGTAGGTATGAGGACATCGGCGAGGATAAATGAGCCTGGTCTGTTGACTGTCGCATTGCTTCCCGGCTACCAATCGCCATGCAAGATGTTCCGCTCGTGCATCTTCTGCTCCGCGACTGCTATGTCGTTGGGTCTTGGGAAAGCCTTGGCTTGATGTTCACCTAGAGCGCTGTCAAACGGGTTCGGGTGCGCGAGTCCGCGCGGAGTCAGCTACCTGAGATGCGATGGATCTCCTGGAAATAGAACTTGAGGTCTTCTGGCTTGACCCATGGAGTGATACCTGGCTGGAAGTCAGTGCCAAATACCAAAATCAAGACAGCAACGACATACCGTGGCCCAAGTTTGCAATCCAACCTTGCTTGCCTCCACCAAAGCCTTCAACCATCTCTTCGACAACCTTCGTGATGGCCTCGTGGCCTCCGAAGAGCACACCAGGATCTGCATTGCCTTGCACGACTTTGCCATGCTTCTGCGCAATGGCATACGCTTCCTTCGGTGCATGTAGCCAATCGAGCCCAACGATGTTGTAGTTTGTCTTGCAAAGATCTTCCAAAGCATACCAAGCTCCCTTGGCAAAGACGACCATTGGTACGACTTCCTCTCCGAGCTCCTGCAGTCTCTTCGGTAGATGGTCGCAGATGTACGTCAAGTATGGAAGAGAGAACTCTTTGAACGTGCTTGGACTCAGTTCACCCGCCCACGAGTCGAACACCTGCACGATTTGTGCTCCAGCAATGACTTGCTGCGCCAAGTACTCCACGCACAACTCTGCAATCTTCTGCAACAGCTGCTTGGAAGCATCAGAGTATCTGTATATCCACGTCTTGGTCTGCTTGAACACTTTCGTCCCACCTCCTTCGACCATATAACAGAGCAGCGTGAACGGCGCGCCGCAGAATCCGAATAAAGGTACTCGACCCTTGAGCTTCTTCCTTGTCATTGTGATCGCCTCGTAGACGTATTTCAAGCTCTCTTTCACATCGACTTCTCTCTCCATCACCTCTTCAAATTGCTTGTCCTCTGGTGAACCGAGCGGGTCAGGAAAATGTGGTCCTTTCCCATCCAACATCACAACCTCCATACCCATTGCCTGGGGAATGACAAGAATGTCGGAGAAGATGATCGCAGCGTCGATGAGCCCGTCAAAGCGGTCGATGGGCTGCAAGGTGAGATTTGAGGCGATTTCGGCGCTACGACAGCATTCGAAGAAGTCATGCTTGCCTTTTTCTTCGTGATATTCGGGGAGGTATCGTCCAGCCTGTCGCATCACCCATATCGGAGGGCGCTCGACTTTCTCGCCACGAGCAGTACGAAGAAGCAAATCGTTCTTGAGAGGCTCGAATCTCGACATGGTGGACGGTGGATGTGAGGTAAAGACTGGGGTTTTTTCCTGAGATTTAGTCGCTGGTTTTGGAGAAGCTTCTCTTATGTGTCCATCGGTCGTAGAGAGAGTAGCTCTGTGAACACGTTTTCAATGCCGCCAACACGTAGGAGAAGCAAGTTGAACTTTCATCAAGGTGGCGGCGGCCGAGGCTTAACGAGGGGCAGATCGCGGGAGGCGCTCCGATCATCGAGTGCCCTGATCCTCGAAAGCTTTTGAGACATTGGGACGACCAGCCACCGACTTCAACCATTCCCAACTCCAACGCGCTCGTCAAGATGTCCCTTCACAACAATCACCATTACTGCTTGCCAAATCAGACCAGGAGTGACAATGTCGAAGCGGAAGGCTGATGAGATTACGGAGCCTGTGACTTCCCCTCAAGCCAAACACGCCCGATCCAATGTCCCAGAATGGATGATCCATCATGGAGAACTACGCCCTATGCCGATGGTCACCACTCCTCCCCCAGACAAGAATGACATGGAGCCAGTCGTGCCGGAACCTGATGAAGAAAGTAACCTGATCGATCGCCTGGAATCCACTCAAATGGCGCTTATCAGACATCTGGACGAGAAGTGCAAACGCCTGCAGTTCATTGCACCCCAATGCGCGTCCACGATGGAGTCTCGACTTGCCAAGGTCGTCGATGCGATGAGGATGTTGAATAAAGAAGTCGAAGCCGTGAAAGCTGCCGAGTACCAGATCAAGATCGAATCCCATCAACGAGCATCGACAGGCCTCACAACCTGCCGGACCGGCAATCCGACGTACTTTGCACCTCACCAATATGTGCCAATACCTCAGACCTAATCCGGACGGTTCTTAAGTGGTATCTTCCTCAAGGATGTTACCGGAGTGACGGCCAGTCTAGGCGGCTATGAATGCGGACTCTTTCGAGGCACATCCATTTCCCTCATCGTTCCGCTCGAAGTGGAATACATGGCATGGTCAAATCATCCTCCGGCTCCTAGAGCGACCAAGCCTGGACGCAGCTTCCTATTGCTGTCTGATCTTCCTAAACGAGGTTTTCGAATGGCCCTCCCAGTGCATATGGACTTCATACGATAACCACACAATACTCGCGCCTGGACTGTGGCTCTCTGAAACAAGCCATAACCTGTATCACCATGCTCTCGAATACATTACTCCAATGCAACGCCTCCACAGCCCTGCCATGGTGTGCTGACGTTTAAAGTTTGGGAACCTTCATTGGACGCCACAGACTTGCCAAGCCGCCCGTGACCATGAGCATACAATGTCTCGCCTTGTCGAACTGCCTATGAGGCGATAGTTGCATTGAGAGGTGGTACGTGGTACTTTGCTTAGGGGAGCAATCGTCAAGACGCAAGCAAGCGAGAATAAGTACTGGCTCGAGCAGCAGTCTTCGGCGTCAACTTCTGACTCTCACTTACCTCCCTCCATCAGCGACAACTCGCCATCTACAGACGAATCAAACGTCGAGCGGACATGGGTCTCATCACCAAAGGCATCAAATATGGAGCTGTGGCTCTAGCCACTCGACATTCTGGGAAAGCGAGTGCCGAGTCCCAAAATCAGCAACAACAGCAAGCCATTGTCAACCAGGCAAACTCCATCATCGCGCAACAAGCCGTCGAACACGAGCAAGAGCAACAGAATCTCGTAGCGCAAGCCAACCAGATCCTTGCTCAGCAGCAGGCTGAGCACGAGCAGGCTCTCAAACAACAGGAGGAGAAGCTCAAGCAACAGCAAAGCCAACCCATGTACGTTGTTCCGGTCCAACAGGCTTTGCCGCCGCCACCGAACGCCTATGGCCCCTCAGCCCCAGGAACACCCTATTCGCAACCAACCACACCTGGCAACCAGTATCGCGATTTGAGTGGCTATCAGCATCAAATATGGTGTAACCAACAATGTGGCCAGACATGCAGCACGAACACAATCCGAAATTCGGAGTCAATGTCGACGATGGCATACGGACATAGTCCCCCACCAGTGCCTGGGTACAATGGATCATATCAGCAGCCTACGCAACAGTACCAGACTTATGGTCAGCAACAAGGATACCACGCTGGATACTACTGATCTGCTCTTCATCTCCATGCGATGTGTTCGTCTTGGGTTCCAAGAATTTCCTCCACAGCGCGGTCAACAGCGTCAAGAGTGCTTCATTGGCAAAGAAGTGGAACAAAAGAAACAAGATCAATCTTCGATAGCACCGTTCATTTCCCCAGCATGATATGCTTATTACTGTTCACCTCGCCAACCATCTCGCCAATCATAACTAAACAGAGGATCTCACGGGACGCACGGGAAGGATGAGGCTGAGCTCCAAGAATAGATCTCCACCTTGTGTCTTTCAGTCAACCTCACTTGCAAAGTTACACCACATCGGCTCGCGAAAGCATTCCGCAGTCCTCTAGTTTCCGTCTCGCTTGTCATGTGTAATCAGCCCGTCTATGGTATGGCTGTCGTTAGTGCCTCTAACTTTGGCCCAAGATCTACCGCGTGCGGCTGCAAGAGCAGGGTAAGAGGGTAAAATAGGTACCATGGCAGTTCACAGCAGGGCTGAATCTGCGAGACTCGCTTGTCGACAGAACAACAAAACTAATCGGGTCCCTCTTGTCCCCTTATTTCCATTGCTCTCGTTTCTCGATCTGTCTCGCGGTTAGTGGGCTAAAAATGAGACCACCACACTATGAGCGCGTGTCGCTCTTTCGAGAGGCCACCATGGCCAGGGAAATATCGAGTGAGAAAGCAGGTAAGGACAAAATGGTTGTCGAGGGATATGGAGCTAAGTCCTCGCAGCGAGCAGTATATACGAGCGAGAACCGCCAAGATACAACTACAAACCCGCCGTTCTTCGGACGATACCACTCCTCATACTCTTCCTCGTCACGCTTGGCCTTATAGGACTACTTGAATATGCCAGGATTGAACTCGCGGCTGGGGAGAACCGACTTTCATTCTCATCGAGTTCTAACAACAAGCGAAGAGACTTTGGCTATGAATATGTCTATCTAAGGGATACCCCGTCACAAGCCAGCGAAGATGCAACGGCAACCCCTTCGGCAGCATCAGCAATTCCAGAATCACCCGATGCGGGTACAGTCACTGCCGACCAATCTCCATCCGGCGTTACTCAATACATCCAGTCGAGCAACTATGTGAACCCTGAACAGACGATCACCCCAGATTCGACAATCGAGACAAGTAACTACGTGGGCACGGATAACACCCAGACGATCGCTCTGAGTCCAGCGAGTGGTGACTATGTCCCAACAGAACATAAACAGACAGTCACGAGCGGAATGACTGCGATGGCTCTTCCTACCAGTGACTACGTGGATCCAAGTAGAACTCATACAATAGCATACAGTGCGCCAACGGGTGACTATGTGCCTACCGAGAATACTCGTACCATGGTATGTTGGTTCGCAGCCGCGATTATTGCCCATTCTAATGGACTCACAGCCAGCTCCAACACCCACAACAACAGTCGTCACAACCTCGAGCGCCAGTGTAATCGTCGCCAGCGCATCCACATCAGCCATCTTGATCACCAGCGGAGGCCAGACCATAACCTCCCACACGACCATCAGCGCCCACTCGTCCACCACACAAGTCGCCCTAACACAGACGATCGTTTCCACACCAGCTTCCAACCCGCCTGAGCCTTCCTCTTCAAGCGATGCCTACGTCCTCCAAAACAGCGGCAAAGTCGGCGTTATCTCCTACAAATGGGATCCCGGCAATGTCTTCCTAGCAACATACCTTACCGTGGTCATCGCTGTTCTATACCGGATGCTGATCACAATTCTGAACAATAACTTCACCCTCATCGAGCCCTTCCGCCAATTGATGGAACCGAATGGCGCCCCAGCCGAGCGAGCTTTCTTCTCTTTCTACCAGAATCAGTCGAACTTATACGGACCCATCCCAGCCTTATCCAAAGGACGCTGGGCCCTCGCACTGGTCTCGACGGCATATCTCATTGCCTCGACTCTGCCGGCTTTGGCGTCTGAAGCAATCTGGGTGGACACGAATTGGAACTGTCTGTCACCCATTCAAGGCAGCAAGAATCCCTGCCAGCCACGGATGACGGTATCTGTTACTGTTGTGAGAATCATGCAAGGGCTTCTAGCTTTCATCGCACTTGTCATTGTCTTCATCACGATCTTGCTGCTGGTCAAACGAACGGGTCTTCCTGCGAATCCCAGCTCCATCGCGACGATCGGATCGTTGATGCGACATCCGGGTCTGGTCGACGATATCAACAACCTCCCGGTCGGGCCTGGCGCTCGTGTGTCAGAAATGAAGGCCGCAATGGCAGGCAAGCGATACAAGCTTGAGAGATACAAGACCGAAATGGGAGCCCTCCACTACGGCATTCGGCCCCTGACAATCGACCTCCACGACGAATACTCCACCCGCTCCAAAGGCCGCGGAAGCTACACCCCCATCGACAATAACGGCTCCTCCTTCTCCGAAGGCACCACCAAGTCCCACCGCTTCCGCTGGATGGACCTCATCCTCCTCCTCCTAACCCTAGGAACTTTCGGCGTCGTCCTAGCCTACTACCTCGACGGCAACCCAGACGGCTTCAACAACTTCTTCAGCAGCAACACCTTCGGCCCGCGATTCATCCTCACCCTAGCAGGAACCCTCATCGCCACCTCCTGGCACAGCATCGAGCAGACTGCCGTCGTCATGGCGCCTTACATCGCTCTCGCGACGAAACCTTCCCCAGCGAGGAGAACGCTGTGCTTTACACCATCTAACACGCCCCTCCTTTCCACCTGGACGACTTTGAGGAATAGATACCCCCTCCCCGCCCTCATCACCTTTACGACTCTCATGGCCGAAGCTCTCAACATCGTCATCTCCGGCGTGCCTTTCGCGACCGGCCAGACATGGGGCCAATTCCTCGTCTCCGCATATATGTCTCTCGCCATTCTCGGAATCATGGTTCTGGTCGTCGGACTTGTGATGCTGAGACGGAGAAAGGAGCCGAAAATCCCTGTCAGGCCGGACACGTTGGCAGGGAAAATGTATTATCTGAGCGGATCGAGGGTTTTGGATGATTTCGAGGGACTGGATGGCGTGGGACAGAGTGTGAGGGATAAGAGGTTGTGTGGGTTGGGGAAGAGGTATGCGTTTCAGCCGATGATGAGGAGGGATGGGAGGAGGACTTGGTTGGTTGATGAGGTTGGGGATGAGAGGGGGTCTTCGTGAGGTTCACGAGTTGAATTGTTCAATGCGTTTTAAGATACCCTTGTAGTCACAAGTCCGATAGTAATCAAGGAAAGCGAGACTGATTGAAGAAATGGTGTGGAAGGTCACAAAGCTAGACCTCGGGGTACACTTCTCGTGGCACATCTAAAGATGAGTCTGCTGGCGTCGTCGTGATTCACTATCGACCTACAGCCCGAGCAGTCAGATCAACAAGCACTCTAGAATGTACAAGGTGCTCAGACAATGTTCTTCTCCAACCACTGAGCCCAGTCGTCTTTAGTAAAGCTACTGGAGATCCCATTCTCAACCAAGCCCTACATTTGATCAGCAACAATTCCTTGATGTGACCAAGGTGTTACTTACATTGAATAGAACTGTTGGGGTCACATGAATACCCTGGAGGCGGTTGTGCTACACATGTTTAGTCCGTGGCGCTAGGTTCAACTTTTCGACGATCTCACCTTGATCAGAGGCTTCAAGTCGTTGGTGACCTGATTACCTATGTTCAGACTGCCATCTTTGTCCGGCTTGTCGGAGACCTCCAGCTTGGAGTATATCGTCTTCTCGTCCAGACCCGAGCTACTAGCAATCTTGGCGAGCCTCTCATACGTCTTGTTCCGTGTCTCGTTAACAACATTGACGTCGAAGAACTCGGTCTGCTTCTCGAACAAAGCCCTGGAGAAGTCCCAGAATTTGCTGGCATCCGTTTGCAAGACGGCTACACCGGCCTCGTGGACCAAGGTTGATGATGGATGCCATGGTTGGATCTTGCGAGAGTGAGATAGAGCAAAGATACTTGAGTGCTTTATTGAGGCCTACCTGTTGTCGGAAGATGAACTGGACCTTGTCTGCGTACTTCTGCCTGACGAGCGGGTAGACATCGTCGTAGACAGTGTTGAAGATCTTCTTGGAGAACTGGAATACCTTCTCAGTTTCGAGGCCTTGCTCTCGACTGCTTAATACTCACTGGGCAAACATAGTCCAAGACTGTGGCATAAGTCAGTATCTGCTATCGGGGATAGACGTATTGATGTCTTGTTGGACATACAAAGCTCAATGGTGTGCAGTGTTTGAGGGTGGGCATTGGCGACCAGCTTCTGGCCAGCGTACTTCGGTGCGAGGGCCATCTTCAGCTTGTTTTCTTGGATTGGAAAAGAATTGTTCAGAGACAAGAAGATAGTGGAGTTGAAATCATTCTCAGGTGAGGTGATTTATTTGTAGATGAGGTCATCGAGGCCGAGCGGACCTGACTCCGCCGGCAGTCGCGTCCCACGCACGCGTCTTCCCGTCAACCTCACCTCACCTCTCGACTCCAATCTGTAAATTGTTAATAGAGATCACTGTTCTCTCCAGACTGACAACGACATGACAATCACTTCACCATGGGCATTCAAGCGCTGCCGGACACGACCGTGCGGGCGATAGGCGCAACTCAAGTCTTGACAGATCCAGCAGCCCTCGTCAAAGAACTGGTGGATAACGCACTCGACGCTCATGCAAACTCGATATCGGTCGAGATTCATAACAACACCCTCGATGTCATCCAAGTCCGCGACAATGGACATGGCATTGCTCCAGAGGATAGACCACTTGTGGCAAGACGATACTGTACAAGCAAGCTTCTGGACTACGACGACCTCAAAGACATTGGCGGCTCGTCACTCGGCTTCCGAGGCGAAGCACTTGCGAGTGCTGCAGAGCTGAGTGGATCTCTCACCATCAGCACTCGTATCGAGGGCGAGCAAGTCGGCGCTGCATTGAAGATCAACCAAAAAGGAGAAGTCGTTGGTAAAGATCGAGCCTCGTTACCAGTCGGCACCTGTGTCAAGGTCACCGAGTTCATCAAAGCCAATCCTGTGCGGAGACAAGTCACGTTGAAGAATACAGAAGCCTGTCTCAAGAAGATCAAGCGTTGCTTACAAGCATACGCTTTCGCTCGTCCTCATGTCCGATACTCGTTGCGAGTGCTCAAGGCAAAGACCACCAAAGGAGATTGGGTGTATGCACCGAAGCTCAACGGGAATATTGAAGATGCTGCAATCAAAGTGATCGGATCTGCTTGTGCGTCGCAGTGTTTGTGGTCCGTGTTGGAGCATGAAGGCTTTTCATTTCAAGCATTCCTCCCTCGCCCAGACGCAGATGCCAGCAAGATCGGAGGTCATGGGTCTTTTATATCGGTCGATGCTCGTCCAGTATCTTCAGCTCGAGGCCACTTCAAGCAGATTGTCAAAGCATTTCGCGAGGCGCTACGACGTGCAGGGTCTCTCCTCGACGACATCAAAGAGCCGTTTCTGCATCTCGAGATCGGTTGTCCGGATGATTCATACGATGTCAATGTCGAGCCTGCCAAGGATGACGTGGCATTCGAAGACGCTGTCAAGGTCATAGAAGGGGTGAAGACGCTCTTCGCTGCCGTATATGCTCCTCAGACGGAAGAAGAGGATGTCCGCGCAATGTCACAGCCGATACTGGAGATCGGCCATGGCTTGGACGACCATGAGACAGCGGCGACGAGCGCAACAGCTCGCATAGAAGCAGCAAACGCTACCTCGACTGGCGTCAATACTGTTGAAGTACGAGAGGAACAGCCAACACTACCCAACGCAACAGAAGACGAACAGGTGACCTCTGAGCGGCGTAGAACTTTTAGAAGCAACATGTATGGGTGCGATGAGGAAGATCTTGAATTGCTCGAAACCCAACCGCAGGACGACCGCAGTGCTGCACATTTGGAAGAGCTACGTCAAGCAAACAGGGATGTCAATGTCTCCAATCCGTGGGTTCTTGCCAAACTGAATAGCTCGGTGCGTCGATCCGATGTACAGCAACCGTCGCCAAGAGACGATGAGCCTCTCCAGCGAACAGACATATTGAGCTCGCCGGTCAGACGAAACGCTACATTTGTAGAGACTGCCGAAGCTGCGCTGCCCACACCAAGACCGTCCTCGCCATCACCGCCAGCATTCCATCCTTCTGACCATGTCCCAGACATGCGATTGGCAAGAAATGGCAACACGATCGGCGCGCAGGACTTCCCTCCACCACAGATGTACACACCAATGCATTCGAGTGATCCGATCGAGCCACAAGACTTGCGTGCAAGACGCCAGAATCAGTCACCAGACTACAATTACGACTTGACCTCTGATCCGCCAGCTGGTACACCTCTTGCGGCTATTCCAGACATCAGCACACACCCTCATCGCATCCCGAGAAAGCAAGATCCGCAATCACGGTTGAACAAGCCATTCGTGCCTCCCTTCAAGGATGGACCTCCGCGAGAGAGAGTATGGTTTGATCATTTGGAAGATGTGGAGAGGCCTCGACGTCCGCGTCCAAGACCACAAAATGACGGTCATGGCTTGGTCGTGCAAGGCGAGCTGGGCGATTTGGTGGAAGACGCGAGGCCATTAACGCCTCCCAGGCGCAACCGCGATATCAGAGATTTTGTCGATGGCGGAGAATCGATAGCCTCTATGATCGAGGCTCGAAACTACCGCCGCGGACCAATTCGTGGATCAGACGCCAATCAAGAGACTCGAATCTTCGATGAGCGAGTTCGTCGTGACACCGACGATCTCAGACGGCATGGCTTCGTCCGAGCCAGGGAGGTTGCGGACATGAACAACGACCCCAACTCTCCTGAGAAGCACGCCAGTACTTCGAAGCGCCGCAAGACCAGCGAGAGACAACCCCTCCAAGACCTTAGCACCAACGCCCCGACTGCCCAAGAACCAGAAGCAGCCAACGACGAAAAACATCGCCCGCCAACAACCACAACCCCCTCCCGCCGCCGACAGAGCTCTCACAAACTCGGCCGCACCAAATCCTCCAAACTCCCCCTCGAGCGCACTCCACCCGGCCAGGCCATGCACAACCTCATTCTCCCTGTCCCCATCTCAATAGACGGGATCTCCAAAGTCGCAGGCCAGATCGATGAAGAGAGTTCGTTGCTTGGGTTCAATCAGCCTGCTGTGGGTTTTGAGAGTGTGTTTACTGCGGATCCGCCGAGTTTGGAGGGGCTTACGAGGAGTCTGCATGGGTTGCTTGTGAGAGCTGGCGGGGATGATGATGAGGGAGCTGGAGTGGAGGGGTTGTTTCGAAAGGTGCAGAAGGCGCTTGAGAGGCATTCTAGGAACGACGACGATGGTGGTGGGGGAGATGATGAGATCATGTCTCTGGTCTGATCTGTCCCAACGAACGATCTGTTTTGCTCATTTGCTCGGAATAGCGTTGGCGTCGGCGGATGGTGGAAGATACCCAATGGGATTGACTTGGTTTTGGCTTTGCTCAAGGGATGATGATGGCTTGCTCATTTATAGCATTCGGCTACGAATATCTCTATCCGATCCAGCTTTCATTTCACATCCAATGCGACCGATCGTTGGATCAGCTCTATCCACCATTCCCCTTCATAAACGCCATTCGTGCACCATGTCTAGATCTATAGCGCCCCCTTCTTCCCAGTAGAAGAGACGTCCTCATCATCCCCATCCCCATCGTCAAAGACATCCCGTTCCCTCGCATCCTCATCATCCGTGAACTCATCCCGATATCCAGCATCCAAGTCCGGCTCGTCCTCGTAGGTGGGATGTAATGATATGTCATCATCTCTACTCCTCAAAATGTCTACGGCTTCCTGCTCGTCCGGGTCGTCGGTGTAGTCGCCGTCAGGATTGCTGCCCCGTCGCCCGTTCGCCACAGCCGCTGCTTCCTCGGCTTCGAGTTGTTTCGCGCGGGCTTTTGTGCGGACGTAGATGAGGTAGCCTGTACCGATGCCCACTACGATTCCAATGGCTGCGCTCAGGTAGCTGACGATCTTCGTTTTGGTGTCCATCTTGTCGCCGTTCTCAGCGATGTCACCTATCCTCGCGCCCACGAAGATGTGCAGGAGGAGTTTGGGGGAGGCGATGGCCGTTGCAAGCATAAAGTTGGGCCAGGTGACGGTTTGAATAGTGCTGATAGCGCCATTGGCGAAGCTGTACGGCAAAGGGCAAAGCCGGATCATGCAGAGGAGTTTGAGACCGTCGTGTTTCAACACCAAGGATAACGCGGCGAATTGTTTGTTCTTCTCGGTCATTTTAGAAACGAAGCCTTTGAGGACTGTTCGCGAGACGATGAAGGAGACTGTGGATCCAATGACTGTCGCCGGGGCCATGATGAGCCAGCCTTTCATGCCGAAGACGAAGCCTGCGATGGTGACGCAGGTCGAGTATCCGATCATTGGGGGGAAGGAGACGAAGAAGGTCATGAAGAAGAGTATTAGCCAGCCTGCGGGTAGTTCTCTCCATCTCTTAGCCGCCGGGCTCAGCCAGGCGAAGATGCGCTCGTTGTATAACAGGAATAAGATCGAGAGTACGAAGAGGACCACTCCTGCCAGAGATAATGCCGTTCGTTGTAGGAGGGTCAATTTGTACCACATCTTCATCCCTCTCCGGTTCCACTTGTCTGCAGTCTGCATCCATCTCGCCGTGTTACTTCGTGGACGGTGCTGACTGGCGCTGCCGTCGTCGAGCGATCTTCTGGACCATATGGGCGATGTCGACCGGCGGGATTCGTGGACGGGGAGGATGTGGTCGTCTTCGTCTTCGAATTGGTCGGCAAGCGCTCGCGCGGTCGAGCTCCAGTCAGCCCGAGCCATGGCTGTGATGGTTGGTGGTGATGGGGGAGCAGAGGGATGTCTGACGATGCCGCTTAGTTGCTGCTCATGTATGGAATGCGCAGCGCTGTAGTAGGCAGCGGGATTCCAGGCGATGGGTGTAGGGATGCATTGCGCGCCAGGAACACCCGTTCGCGCTGCTGTGTTCGGTGCTGTGCTGACATGCACTTGGAGCTGCGCCTCGACTCCGGCGTTTGCGGCTCAAGACGGCCGACGTCACTGACAGTGACACGTGCGGCCCGCTCAGGTGAATAAGTGGTGGGATGTCTGGACGAGCAACATATACAGTTCCCAACTCCGTCTCCTGACCAACACCTCCAAGCCAACAGATACAATCTTGGCCACTTTCTTACCATCGTCACTGTCTTGGACAACGACTTGGTTAGAGAAGTACTAACGTCCCCCTCAATGAGATCTTCCTTGGGCTGCTCACGGCCTGACGCGTTGCACGAATCAGGCCAGATGCACCTGGGAGATCGTTGTTCCAACACCCTCTCGTTCAGCGGTCTCCTTCTCCACTCTCCTTTTTCCTTCTGTCCCAGTGTCCAATTCAATCTTTGAAAAGCAATGCCTGTCAGCGCCATCGACTCTTTTCTCTTCAAGAACCTCTTCGGCACCCAGCCCATCCGCAAGGTCTTTGAAGATAAAACATATGTTGATTATTATTGCATGAAAGTCGAAGTCGGGCTGGCTCTCGCTCAAGCATCCTGTGGCATAATCCCCAAGGCGTCAGCGAATGAGATAGCGGATGTAGCCACTCGATTGTCCTTGGACTACGACAGACTATCCGAAGAGACTGAGATTGTTGGCTACCCTATCCTTCCCCTAGTCCGGCAACTATCAGAAGGCTGCGGTGAAGATGCCGGCCGATACGTCCATTGGGGCGCGACAACGCAAGACATCCAGGACACCGCCGCGATTCTACAGATGAAAGACGGACTGAACATGGTCGAGGCGAAGTTGAAGAGCCTTACGGCTACGCTATCTGCGCTGGCATCGAAATATAGGGACACGCCTATGGCTGGTCGGACCCATCTTCAGCATGCTTTGCCGGTGACTTGGGGCTATAAGTGTGCGGTCTACCTGTCGAGCTTTCAACGGCACCTGGAACGGCTTCAACAACTTCGGCCTCGTTGCTTACTGGTGCAATTCGGCGGAGCAGCTGGGACGCTCGCCTCGTTAGGCTCCGATGCAGAGACAAGTCTACAAGTCCGCAGGACATTGGCCAAACAGCTAGACCTCGAAGATCCTTCCATCACCTGGCACACGGCTCGAGATGGCGTAGCCGAAATCGTCAACTTCCTCGCCCTCGTCGGCGGTATATTGGGAAAACTGGCAACCGATCTGATCGTAATGTCCTCGAACGAGTTCAGCGAAGTCAGCGAGCCCTTCGTACCACACCGCGGCGCGAGTTCAACTATGCCACAGAAACGAAACCCCGTCTCGAGTGAAGTTGTCCTCGCAGCCTCGAAGATCCTCCGTTCGAACGCAGGTCTATGTCTCGACGCCATGATCACAGACTTCGAACGGGCAAGCGGTCCCTGGCATCTTGAATGGGCCGCCGTGCCTGAGTCCTTCGTCATCGCGGTGGGAGCGCTCTCACAAGCCGATTTTGCCATGGCCGGGCTCGTCGTCAACACAGACCAGATGAACCGTAATCTCAACTCGGCCAAAGGTCTTATCGTTGCGGAAGCGGTGATGATGGAGCTTGCCAAGACATTGGGACGACAGAAAGCTCATGATATCGTGTATGAGGCCTGTAAAGAGACTATTGAGAGTATGAATGCTAGTCAGAGGCTGTTTGACACGTTGATGAAGAAGGAGGTGGTCATGAATGCTTTGACAGCGGAACGGCTGGCAGAGCTGTGCATGCCGGCTAATTGTCTTGGTGCTGCGAGTACGATGGTGGACAACGTGTTGGGGTTGAATGCTGGATTGGGGGTGCTTTAGTACAAAATATCGATGTGTAGCAAGTCGATCAGAGATTCATCCCAAACAATGCTTTCTAACATTGCTTCTTTAGGCTCTAACACTTGTCAGCACCTCGCCGCAAGACAGAAAGCAGGGTCTGCTTATTTTCTCGTTGTGCAGACCATCGACTTATCGACGCTTCCACTTCCGCCAAAGTCGTCACAGAAATTGCGCTGGCCCCTTTTCCTCCTGCATCGGTCTCGTATCCGCCAACTGTCGTCGTCGAACTCCTCTTCCAAGACAGAACACCATCAGAATCGTGATAATGACGCCGGCCTGGTATTCGCTTTGACTGCATTCGTTCTGTGGCCCGCCTTCAGGGTGGAACATCGATATACACTTCCTCAGCAAGTTTGGGGAGAGCTGCGGGTCTTCGGCTTGTCTTACACTACGGAACACAAGTACAAGCTGTTATAAACGGCAAAGACCTTTTGCCTCTCATCCAATCAGCATGAAAGCGCCGGGGTAGCTCAATCGGTAGAGCGTGTGGCTCTTAAGTCTAGAATACCTCAAGGTCGCGGGTTCGAGCCCCGCCTTCGGCTTTTCCTTCTTCTCAAAAAGGCCGTGTTCATAGAACACGTACTGGCTCGAACATTCTTTTTTGCATTTTTGGTCGGGGAATTTCCCTGGGCTGACAACTTCTTATTTTGGTTAGTGGGTCAAGCTTGGCTGTGATTGGCTGGTTGGTAACGCGCTAGTCCTAAGATAGCTATCAGGTCACGTTTCTTCTCCCCACGACTATCCTTCGCCTTCGCCTTCCTCTTCCTCGACCTCCTACTGTCTTCGTCCATCAGCTGCAACAGAGCATCTTGTTCAGTCTCTCAGCTTCGTCTGTGGCGACGAACATGCAATGACAAAGATCCATCGTTTAGTCACGGTCCTCTTGACAACCGGCAAAGACGTTGCACCGTTGCCGAACACTCTAGGGTCCACGACAATCGCCAGATCGCATTCGCAACATTCACCTTCTACTCTCAGTGCTCGATCAGTCATCGACAGCCCATCCAGCTCAGCCTGATACTGCTTCTCCAAAATATCTCGGAAGACTTCCATAGCTGATGACTACACTGAGGCTAGACCTGTACAGACGCTGTGTTCCGTGACGCCACACGCTTGACGCTGATGGTGCATTCGATACGACTTTATTCAGCCTAAGATATCCAGACAGACGGTAGCTATTCGACCAAGATCCTACAGGATCTGGGATGTCCATGTGGCTTCGGAGGAACACTCTATTGCTGTACCACATCCGTGATTAATCAAGAAACTAATCACGCCCCAACGCTCGGGACACACAGACGGCAACTCCACTCTGTGACTTCAGGCTGAACAAGGTGCGTTTAAGCTTTTCCATTACCTTCCTGAAGAGAGTTTAGTTGAGATAGCACCATCATTACGTTTCAGCCTTAGCAGTTTGGAATCAGCGCAACACCTCAGCACAGATCGTGGCATGATCACCAAGGGTTGCTCTTGGCGCTCGTACTGCATCGTTATTGGCAAGTTGGCGGCGGGATCAGTGGTTGATTCGTACTGCGGCGGTGCGGAGCGCCTGATTCTGATGCTAAAGCTGAGGTTCGATATGGCGAGCCAGAGTCAATGGGTGCGGTGTATGATTTGCCTCCCATCGTCGAAATGCACAAAATGTATTGAGCTCCTCGATGTGTTGCCATGTTTCCGCTAACGACTTCATACAGACTTGTAACACTATGGCACTACAGACACGCACACAAACACAACCGCCATCGGCACCGGCACCCAGAGCCAGAAAGGGGGCAGCCTGCCAGAATTGCGCCAGACGGAAACGACGATGCACTCATATCAAACCTTTAGGACCGCAAAAACCATGCAACGACTCACCGAAAAGCTGTGTCGTCCTACACAACCCAAGTTGTGGCGAGACGCAACTATGCCAGGAGCTTGCCACCACACTCGAATGTTTACGGATTAACCACACATGGCTCCAGATGATGCCGTGCCGAATCGGACAAGACGACGCCGTCGACAGTGCGATCAGGGCCGTTGTCAAGAACAAAGATATCGCTCTGAAAGGGTACACAGGGCCGACTCCGGCAAGTCTGGGACCGTATGTCAAGTCAGTGGAGAGTCTGAGGATTGCCATGGTGACGCGGGAGGATAGCCTGTCCGACAGTGTTCTCATGTCGGTGGCGTTGCTCTGCGTGTGCGAAGCATTGATGCAATCGGAGATGTTTGCCTGCTTCGCTCACTGGGCTGCTATGAGTACGATACTACTATCGAGACCTCTGTCGTGGCAACCGAGTGAATTGACCCGAGCCATCCTCTACCACATCCGCAACCAGACATTCCACATCCCCGTCGCCAGGGGTCAAATATCGCCATTCGACGATCCGCGATGGTACACACTCGAACCTGCAGGGGCATCGAGTCTGCCCACCGAAGTCGCCAGACTAAAGCTGCTAAGCAATCAACTCATGATCCGACTACCACGCCTGATCCTCCAAACCCGCACTCTAAGAAACGGAGCGGACGAGATCAAAGGCAAAAAAGCCCTCGCCCTCGCCACCGAACTCTCAAACCTCCAAGACATAGACGCCGAAAACAAAATGCTGCACCGCATCAAAGTGATCAAAACAACCAACTCGGACGACGCCGACTTCATCCCCTTCTTCTTCGAATTCACAAATCTATCAGACCTCGAGACGGCCGTGGTCTACTGGAAATCCCAACTCATCCTCGGACGCCTTCGTCTCAAACTCAAAGACCTCTTCCCGCACTACGACTTCGACGTCGACGAACTGAACACCAGTATGGAACGCATGGCCATCAACACCATGATGTCGCATCAGCACGCACGGAACCGACAGCAATACGCGCACGCCCGCGGTATGGTGGCGATGCCGACGGGGTGGACGGCGGTATGGGGTCTTTGGAAGGATCGGAAGACTTCGTTCAGGGGGATTACGGTGGATGAATGGAAACGATTCAATCGTGATCGCATCAATGAGAGTATTGCGATTTGGAAGTTTCAGGCGGGCGATAAGCAGATCGATGAGGCGTCTGACTTGCTGGCGGGTGGGCCTTTGGAGGGGACGTTTGTGGCGGCGTGAGTGTCCAGCATAACTTTGAGGATCATGGCGACGACTGACATTCGTTTTACAGGTTCGCACATATCCCATTCTGGGCGATGAATGTACCCTCGAAAGTGAGATGATGATCGAAAAGGACACCGTCCTTGTATTGCGAAACATATGAGAAACTCTCGGTCGCGTGATCGAGCGACTCAGACGACATCCAGTCGTCGATGATAAAACATGCTCTGGGTATAATATTCCTCATCCACCAACACCAAATCTCCATCCAACAAAACAAACTCATCGCTCACAGCCCATTGTAAAAGGGCGACACAGTCGCGGGCATACTACCCGGCCAACCACCAGACCTACAAAGGATAAAAGTCAACACCAAAACCGCCTCCACGTATGGGAAAAGAGCAAATCTCACCAAGTCCCAGCGCCACGAAAGGCTCTGTATGCGATATCGTCTCAGCATAATCATCGTTGTGCGTCGTCGAGGAACAAACTCTACCTTCCGATAAACTCCCCAACGTCGGCGTAGACGTGGACGCTCTGCGAAGAAGAAAGTGGTCGTCAGAACAGGCACTTTCAAAACAGAATCGTTTCAGCGTGTGGACTAACAGGAAGTGTGACTTAATAGAGTCACACAAAAACTGGCAGGGCGACGGGCAGCTCCTTATTCTCGAACGCTCAAAGTCAGAGTCGTCGACTTGCTTGATGATGATGGGAAAAAGGGTACAGGATGCTTGACGGGGTTAGAAAAGACTCACCTCATAACCCATCGACATATTCCTCCACATAGCATTCCGCTCCCGCCTCTTCGCCTCGCGGTCCTCCTCGCTCTCATCCTCATCGACATCCCCGACGAAAATCCGCTTGATCCAGCTCCGCGACGATTTGTTCGAGTCGGAGGACTTGTTCGTCTTGGTCGACTTGGTCGACACGCTGGGCTTGCGGAGACTGCTGGCGCCGGAGGCGCTGCTGGTGGAGGTGCTGCGGGATTTCGTCGAGTCTGCTGAGGAGGAGAAGGTCGAGCAGGAGCGGCTTTCCTGGCTGGTGCGCATGAGGCCCTTTTCGAAGTCGTCTGAGGGAGGCATGGCTTGTTTGGAGGATTTCCGGGACCAGCGGGGCTTGGACTTGGTTGACGATTTGTCGGAGTGGAGGGATTTGGTTGAGTAGGAGGGTTGGTAGCCGGAGTAGGAGTGGCTATGTTTGTAGGTGTATGAGGGTGGGAGAGGATAGCAGTTCATCTTGGCGGATATGGTTGAAGAGGAACGAAGTAAGTCTTATAGGAGAGGCGATGTGGGTATTCGCGAAATGGGCCTGGAGGGAAAGATGTGATAGTCGCAACTTGAGGTGAGGATTGCGGATCTCGCGGTTTTCAAATACCATGGATACACCCTTGGTGCAACTCTTTTGCGCGCAGCCCCCAAACCTTGCCTGACCCTTCCTCAGCTGCTCGCAAGGACGCAGGGCTCTATCCCTAACCGCATACCACCACACCACCCGCCGGGGCAGCCCTGAACGAAGATCATTAATGCATACGTGGTACGCCCGTCTGCCCTCATCAATCATCAGCACAACGTTAGAGCATATAATCCTGTTCGTCGCAGCTCCTAGCAGATCAGTCTGCGAAGCAACGCAGGCGAGCAAACCAAGTCACCAATCCTGCGAGCCACCTGTATCATTTTCCAACAACAGCACAATGCCACAGGAATGTGATCGACAAATCCTCGTTACTGCTGACGAGAGGGTTGGGCGAAGGCTCGTTCATTCGCCGTCAATCGCAGGAAGGTTCCGAGCGCGCGTTGTGATTCGTCAATGGGGAATCGAAACCAACATTGAATCCTTCTGCATCCTTCGAGTACGCTTCGGAATCCTTCTGTTCGCAGCATCCTTCGACCAAACGCCTTGCTTTGCTCGGCGCCTCCCAGCTGCGTCGTGAGAAAGCCATGTCACCTTCCCGTCGGTCTGCAATGCTTGATTCCCAAGAGAGTAGTAATTCCGTCGGTAGCTTGAACCCTTCGCCAGTGAGGTGCTATTCCCGGCGTCCAGCAAAGTCGAGCAAGTTCGAAACAAGGTGCCATACCACTTGCAAATGACAATCGCTCAGCCCTCGGTAAGGTTGCGATGTTTGAAATGCATGTGCTGATCGCTGCGTAACAGGTCGCGTGCAGGCGCGTGGATAACCATGTGTGGTCAACGTTGACTGCTCGTCGTTCGGGTGAAGTCTGTCTTCGGTCTGACCGCTGATCGCCCACTCAGCCCTGGATGACAGCGAATGCTCTACAACAGGGCACAGATGCCGACAGCAATGTAGTCAGCAGGAACGGATCATCTCATCGTCTCAGCTTCTCACCTGAGTAACAATCTTGCAACGAATTGGCGACGCAGAATGGCCTTCGTTGGTTTACTTGCCTCCTCCAATAACGAATTCATCACTTGCGGTACTCCAAAAGCAGTTCTCCTCCACCGTGATATGACGATGCGAATCCCGATTCGCAATCCTGACCACAACCCGCGACAGCGTACCCTACATGTACCTCAGAAGGGAAATACTCGGCTTCGTTCCTAGATCACAAGGTTGAGACGCAATCCTCAAGGTTCAATAGCAGGGCAATACTTGCGAAATCCCAGGCTCGGGGCATCTCGCGGGTCCGCAAAGTTCATACCGCTCGCAAGATGGTTTGAAGAGGATCTTTCGGGCAGCGACCGACATGCTCGTACTCAGAGCTAAGTAGTGAAGGATGAAGCACAGGATGAAGAGCTTTCGGGACCAACACCACTGTCGTCCACATACCACCGACTCATGTGCATTCCTCCTGGCTGGACATTCGACTCGAGGTGACTGCTGTCTGACGGGGTCATCTTTGTGGCAGAAATGTGGCTTGATCCTCCGCGATACGCTTCAAGCCATTGATGGTATATCGACCCTGAGTCTGACGAGAGAGCAAGGAAGATGCGCCGGCATTGAAGCCACTGAGGTCTGCTGCGTTTATACCCGTCCTATAGCATGAGGCTCACCTCGTCATCGAAGTAAGCGCTTCCGCTGCTGCAATGCGACGGTAGCAAGCTGTCGTACTGTAGTATCCTCGCAATATGCGCCAGCTGTTATCTCAATCATTGTCTTGGGTATCTTTCCGGAAACTCCCTTGCCCTAATCCATCATCCGCACCAACTCCAGCGCTATGCAATGTCACAGTCCACAGCATCATGCTCAATCACGACCCGGTCGTCGTCACGATCCCTCGACTTCTCTACTCTTCTCACGCAGGAAGTTCGACAGCCAAAGGAGCGGCTTCTCTGGCTCGTCGACCGCTAATCGCTTCATTCCTTCAAGCAGGTGAGGGGTGATGTTGCTGTTGAGGTACTGCCTTGTCGGGCCACCGTGGGCAACGGGCTGGCTCGGTCGCGCCGAGGGTTGAGGTGGCATGGAGCCTGGACGAGCATTTGCGCTGGAGGCCGCCGGCGGAGTCGCTATCGTTGGTGCAGGAGGCTGTATGGTTGACTGGTGTTCCACTTGGTTAGAGAGCATGGCCGGGTTGACCGAGGCAGGCACAGGCACAGGAGCAGGATTGGAGTCTTGAGCTTGTTGGATGCTGCTCAGCGATGTCTGGAAGCCGATCAGCATCTCGTGGAGGCGGCGAGCGTACGTCTCCTGGGTTTGGAGTTGGGTTGGAGGTACCTCGGGGACTGCTTCTTCCTCTTTCATTTCGATATCTGTGTTGTTGGCTGCAGCTGTGCCATTGGTGAGTTGTTCTGCCATTTTGGAGGCGTTGGATTTGTGGATGTGTTGATCGAAGACGGGTCTGGTTGGAGGCCGAAAGTTGAAGATCGCGTCGCGTCTCTCCCTCGAACGCCAAGACTCGTGCCCGACGTCACCTCTTCTTCTTTTTCAGCAGCATGTCCTCTTTCTGTCCACATCTCCCTCACATCGGTGGCTAAGTGGTGTTGAGATTTGTCGAGAAGATAAGATCACAGGATCTCATTTCTATGAGCAAACGATTGCTCACGCCAAAGTGCTCAATGGCTGCGAGCGCTTTCCTCGCGAGCAATAGAGACAACAGCGCTTTAAACGCAAATGACACGCACGAAACATCTCCAGGAACCTGCGGTGGGATTTGTCAATTAAATGTAATGACAAGCAGGAGAAATTGGATTGGAATACACTCATGATCGCTAGTCTCATCCATGCTCCGGCAGCACTGCCACGGTTACGATGTACCAATGAACATACTATCTTGCCGGTTGCATACCGTTCCCTCACTCGATCAGGACGTACATGTTACCCTGTTCTTCTCAAGATTGTACATGAAGCCTTGCTGGACAATGCTCGTGCAATAGACGCAAATGACGCTGTGCCGCGACAGTACAGCTTCTGCCAATCGAAAGCACTTAAGTCTGAACTTGACTTTCAATAGCGATCCAGGTACAATGCATGCAACTCGTGTGATCTTGTTGAGTCTCATTATCTAGCTTCTTTCCAACTTTGCAACATTCTGGACCCGGTGAGTTCTGGAACTGCTAACTTCAACCGCAATCATCACAGCTCGCTCACGTGGGACCACTGCAATTGCACCCGACACGCTGGAATCCAATCTCATTGACGCATACAAACGTCGCTGAAACACGCTAGCTTCCTCGAAAACGAAGTTTCAAGCGTTAGAAGCTAGTCGGCCTCCAGACCTCAGGTCTTGGCACAATTGAAGCAGCATCACGACTTCACTCAGCGCCGTTTCAAACTTCACTTAGGCAACAGCCCGCGCGACCTACTCCAAGAGCTCTTTCGACCATCAGCGGCTTGAGCCGAAGTGAGGTCTTGCTGTCACTTTGGCTCGTGCTACTATTTGATCGTCACGTTCTCTCTCACTTCTTCTCATTCCAACAACCACGACAACAGCACAGCAAGCACGCTGACAGCCTACCTGCTCACTTGAAAACCTTCTTGGCCCTTCTTGGCAACCCATAGCCAGTACACGACTCCCAGTCTGGCCACAAGCACCATGCCTCCAAAGGATTCCAAGGTAGGTCCCTGTCTCTCACTTTCAAGGGTCATTGATCACTCACTTTCATTCCAGAAGCCCAAGGCGGACGTCAAGAAGGATGTCCCCGCCACTCCAGACAAGCAGAAGGCTAAGGCCAAGCCGGCCGCCGCCCCCAAGACGCCAGCAGCCTCATCTACCGAGACCCCAAAGAAGACGCCTAGCAAGAAGGCGACCGTCTCCTTCAACCAGCTCACCTCCGAGGGCAGCGTCGTTCCAGTTACCGTCGAGGTCGAAGGCGACAGCGGCCATGCAATCCAGCGCAAGGCCAACACCTTCGGCCAGATCCTCAAGCTCTCTGCTAGCGAGACGTTCTCGGTTGTGAAGACGGTAGGCGTCACCTCATACCCCTCACCTCTTATCCTTCATCCATACTGTACTTAACTGACATGATATTAGATCACCTTTACCTCCGGCGAGCTCGAAGGCTGCCAAGCAATCATCATCCGCCCCCCAAAGGCCTTCGACTTCAAGAGCTTGACCCCGGAAGTCCGCGGCAGAATCTACCGCTTCTACTTCGCCTCTAAGGGAATCGTCGACGCCGACATCGTGCTCGACGGCAAGCGCTCCTCCAACAAGGAGGTCTACGCCAAGACGTACGCCGAGGGTCTCAAGAACCGCGTCGGTCTGCTGGCCCTTAACAAGGAGGTACGTCCCACCCTCCCCTTCCCCCATCTAGAGTACACCACTAAGGAAGATCTTCCAGTTTGGCAAAGAAGCCCAAGACATCTTCTACGCGCACACCATCCGCTTCGACTCCTCCTCCACCCTCATCGACTTCGTCTCCGCGACCAAAACCCTGCTCCCCCGGCTGCACTCGATCGCACTCAAGAACTACGCCAAGACCTCCGCGCGCAACGCCATGCACTTCCTCGCCGACGCGACCAACCTGCAGCGCCTGCGCATCGACCAGGGCGTCGTTGTCAACGAGCAGGACACGGCCAAGGCGGCCAAGAACGTCTACGGTGACATGTACAAGTTCCTCGAGACGGTCGGGGCCGTGAGGGGTGATAAGGCGGCGGGCGTGGAGTTGTTGAGTTTTGGGAAGGGTGCGTTGACGTGGAAGGATAAGAAGGGGGAGGTGAGGAATTATTCGGAGGAGATGGTGGAGGAGTTTAAGGAGAATTTGAGGGCGAAGTTGAAGTGAGTTGTTGGCGGGCCCGGTTTCCCCCCTTGCCCCCCGAAACTGACGAGGGACCGTCAAGATAACCAACCCCCTCTTCCTCCTTCCACACCACCCGACATCGAACGACACACGACTTTTCCAACTCCTCCCTTCTTTCACCAACGACTTTGCTGAACGACAAACAACACAGAAGCACCCACCTCCGCGCCTGGGTCTGCATCTGCGGCTGCCTGGTCCCAGGACACATCTGCAACGAGGAGATGCAGCAGCTAACGCCGCGGCGGATCCAGAAGCGGGAGAAGAATGAGTGGATGCATATCGGACATGGCGGACGCGAGATTCTCGCGGTGGTTTGAGATTTCTTTCATCCAAAAGTCACAGACAGGCAGGCAGGCAGGCAGGGCAAGGACTGGACTTTTTGGCTCTCCTTTGTTGTACTTTTGGCTTGTATTTCTAGGCATGAATGAGAGACAGACTGCAGTTGACTGTCACTTGAAGCGGAAGAGAACTTTGAAAATGACATGTGAAGTGAAGAAGAAAAGGTAGTGCTTTTTCTATCTCGAATTACCCGCCACTTCAGCAGCCGTCATCTCGTGACAATGCACGGCCGTCTCAACACATCTTCCCCATCATCATCATCATCATCCAACAACGTGCACATAGTCCAAGTTCGAAGAACCGTCCATTCGCATCCCTCGATCTGTCAAAACGCCGCGCCCGAATTGCAAAGTCCGCCGAAAACGCCTCGCACCGTCAAAGATCGCTAGAAAAGATTGTACAATCGAAATATAATAGTCATCAAGTTGTGTCCACCAAGCGTCGTGGATGGTTAAACATATCCCGGCCATGCTGGCTTTCTGTCTTTAAGAATAGAAAGCCCCTCGTTGAAAGCTCTCAACAGGCACATCGCCCTGCTTCGTGTACAATTTCGGAGGCTCCTTAGGCGCTTGCTTGACCTCCGCCTTTTCTTTCTCGGTGATCTTCATCGAGTTGGCGCGGCTACAACAAGTCAGCGTCCTTCCACAAACATCAACCACATCTCCGCGAGTACTCACCTCCCCGTAACGGCATTGCTAGTCATCGTATTGACACGCGAGTTCGCCTCGCTCCCCGGCGCGCTCTTCGCCGTAATCTGCGCCTGGGGTCTCCTCTGAATCACCTCCAAGTATGGCCCTGGCAGATATCCCACAGATCCATCTCTCGCGCGACATCTCCACCACTCGGAGGGCTGGCCCATTGGATCGGACTTGGAAAGCACGGCGACGAGATCGCCTTTCTTGACCTGGAGGTCGATTCCTTCCTGGAAAGGTTGGCCTGGCTGGGTCTGAGGAGTGTAGTCGTAGACGACTCGGCAGAAATCGAGCTTGCTTGGGTCAAGCGGTTGTTGTTGACCATCGGGTCCATTCGCAAGTTGTTGCTGCTGTTGTGCTTCTTGTGAGTTCGCCAGGGCGCGGATCAGCTTGCCCATAAGCCATGGCAATCCGAAGACCGCCACGACGAAGAAGATGAAAGGCTTTCGGCTCGGTTTTGATGGCTGCCCATCCGGACCAGGCTGTCCACTGAACGCCGCAAAGTTCGCAGGCGTCAGCTCTGTCGACGACGCAGGCGGCGGCCGTCCCGTCAACTTCGCAATCGCCGTCCGAATCCACCTCATAATCGTGAAGATGCCCAGAACGGAGCCGAGCGTCTGCTTGAGCGTGCCAAACTGCTCCGCCACGCTGACCATGGCGAAGAACGACGAATGCGTCGCCATATACGTGCTCTCGAGCATCTGCGCAAAGCCGCCAAAAGCACCGACTATGCTCTCGATCATCTGAAATGTGGCCTGCGTGCTGTTGCTGAACGTCTGCGTCAAGCTCTGGTCTTGACCATTGGGTCCGTACATGCCCTGTCCGCCGTACATGCCGCCCATGCCTCCGTATCCACCCATGCCTCCATATCCTCCGTACATGCCGCCTCCGTACATGCCTCCGCCCAGTCCACCGCCTAGTCCACCACCGAACCGGTTATAGGGCGAGCTGTAGGACGACATGCCGCCGTAGCCGTATGGAGAGGAGTAAGGCGATGGTCTATTGAGAGGGGAAGAGTAGTTCGAGGCGGTCCGGGTGGCTACCGCGTTCAGCGCATCTGTTCGGGCGGGCAATGCTGGCGCTGCGGAGGTCGGTGTCGCTGCGGTCGCCGTAGTCGTGGCGGTGGATGTCGGTACAGCAGCTGTATGACCATTAGCACTGTGTGCGCTGGTGACTTCACCAAGATTGTTTTGTCATACCGGAAACACCGCCTGCTGCGGCCCTTTCCCACGGCTTGGGTGGTGACCCGCCGGACATGGCGTCACCGTCGTTCCAAGGCCTCTATACCTTTGTCGCCGCTCGTCTGTCTTGCTCGAGGATGTGTTGTCGCCGTATGCAGTTGGATGAGGTGTCCTCGGCGGTCTCGTCGGCGTGTGATCAAGCGAGCATCTCGTGAGGGCGTGCGGAGAATCCTAGTCGATCACCCCAGTCCAACAGCCCAAGTCCCAACAGTGAACACAAATGCGCCGGACAAAGACAGGTAGGTAGGTAGTCGTGAATGATCGAGTGGCAGGTCAAGGGCGTTTGGGAAGACTGACATCGAGTTAAGGTTGGTCGGTCGCAAGTTGTGAACTTGCCGAGGCTGGGGCCGACTTGACGACAATCAGCAGCCGTGGGATTACATGCACGCTTTCTACTTCTCACCTTAAACTATTACATTCTATGTACATTTGTTTGAGAGACATTCGTGAATGGGATGCGATTGCTTTGAACAACAAGTAAACTGTACCGCCTGCCTAATGGGCTATCTGTGTACTCATCTCACGCACGCCGAGCCGAGGATGCCTCCACTGATCGTCAGGCCACAGCTTGGGTCATGGCTATGTACAGGCAAGCGACAACGCATCAAAGGAAAACACACACTCGCTCTCTAGGCACAACTAAGGGCCCAGGTGTGGCGCCGCCCAATGCATCTCTGCGATGTGTTCTGCACAACAAACAAAACCTACCGCAGTGTGAGACTGCGGTTCTGCGGTTTTCTTTCCAACTCCATCAAACTCCGCTGCTATCCCTACGTCGCAAATGAAAGCAAGGTGTCCAACCTGCTGCTTTAACCGCTGAGCTTGAACAGCGACACGAGGTTGCTCATGCTGTCGGCCGCCGTGTCGGCGATCATCTCAGTGAAGAAGGTCGAGCCCATGGTGCTGCCGAAGTCGACGCTGTCGTCGAGGACCTTGATGTGGATGTTGTTCTTGTACAAGAGGAGGGCGGCCTTGATGGATCCGTTGGTTGGACGAGCAAAGTAGTCGCTGTCACCGCCGGCAATGTTACCGTGAAGGGTGGACTTGCAGCGGGTGTCGCCAGGAGCAAGGACCTCGAAGATGTCGAACTCACCACAACCCGACTCCCAGCACGAGCATTCTGACTTGCCGTATTGGAGGGTACGTGGGATCTGAGCGTTGAGCAACCAGATAGCGGGCATGTTGACTGGGTCGTAGATGCTGGCAGCGCTCTGGCCGTCGTCGGGCATCTCGAACTCGAAGAAGAAAGCCTTGCTTGGGCCGTCGAAGCCGTGGTAGGCGACGGTGCCATCACGGTAGTAGCCACAGCCGTCACCGGAGCACTTGTCATCGGTCATGATGATGACCTCGGTATCAGAGTCCAAGGTGCAGGCCTCGAGGGTCTGAGGAGAAGATGCTCCAGACTTGCCGTCCGCGCTGGAGTAAGACAGCGAGTTGCCGAAAGTGTAGTCGAAAGTTCCGGAGCCAGAGCCACCCTGGTGGTTGAGGAAGACAATGCCGTCAGAAGTACCGTCGTCGGCGGAGTAGTATCCCTTGCGGGTCCAGCCAGAGCCGCTGCTGGAAGAATCGTCGTCGTCGGAGTCGTCAGAAGAGGAGGAAGAAGACGAGCTGGCGGAAGAGGTGGCAGGAGCCTGAGAACTGCTCTCGCTGCTCTCACTGCTGTCGCTGCCGCTGCCCCAGTTGCCCCACGAGCTGCCGCCATAACTTTCAGGAGTGCTCGCGGCCGCAGTTGGAGTGCTGCTGGCACCAGCACCAGCATAGTCGTTGGCCCAAGTCTGGACAAGACCGTTGATGGTCGCCGTGACCATGTCTCCTAGCCCACGTTTGTCCTCAGCCGGCTGAGCGTCGCGCGCATGGTGCAGATGTTGGTGAGCATGACCGTGCGCGTGACGGCGCTCGTGGGCACTCTTTCGTCCCACCGACCTCTTCTTGGAGGAAGAATCCGGAGCATAGTAGGCGAACTGCAACAGCTTGAGCGGTCCACGGAAGTGCATCGACACCTCCTCGTCCAAAGGCGACATACTTCCGGAGTATCCAAACGGAGAGCTGGCACACGAGCCGGAGCTGCCATCCATGCTCGTCACTCTGTTGTAAGAGCCAGAGCCTCCAACACCGGTGTAGGTGATTGCCTTGACCTCCTGGCAGTAGTAGTTGCCGTTGGTATCAGTGCTGCCGTGCGCGCACAGGTCGGCGGATGCTGTCGCTGCAAGCAGCGCAGCTGCGGTAAGGATTGAGTTCATCTTTGGGTGTATCTGTCGCAATATCGTGATGATCTCGTATATCGACTTTGTTCGTGTCTGTCTCGTTGTTCGTCGTCGCGTGGGCGGGCTTTGAGGTGGGCGTCTGCTATTGTGTGGATCGCTTTGTTATTGTCGTCGTTTGTCTATTGTTGACTCTGTTGTTGCTATCGCAATGCCAGCACCGAATTGTTGAGCGAGTGACAGGTGTGACGCTGCTGCGTAAGGAACGACTGCAGTGAGGAAGAGGCTCAACAGCGTGAATGAGAGAGGCTGCAAGAGGCGTCCGGGAGAGAAACGTATCGCGGGTGTTCAGGGGCGTGTTTCAACACACAGGCGGCTCTGCTAATTTCGGCTGCCCGGCGAATCACGAGCAGAGTCAAGTCGACACTAATGCATGAACCCAGCTATACTCTTCTCATTTCCTGTCAAATCGTTGGCTCTTGTTCCTGCAGCAGAGATTCGAAGTGGAGGAGGAGTTGTCGTCGTCACGCTCCGAAGAACTGTTCTTCTCGCTGTGGGCCAGGTGTACGCGTGCCTGTGAGGATGACGAATGGGGCTTGGGTCGATTTTTGTTTGGCTGGGCATCGACTCTGGAATGCTGCTGTGAACTCTTGTGAAAGCGCTTTCGGCACCACATGCGGTTCTCGAACGCCATCGACGTGACGGCTTGGGGACAGACTTGTGATTGTGCGATGCGTCGATGGCTGTTCCAATTCACACCAATCAACGCTGCCTACCCCATCTCTTGGACGTTGTACTTTAAAGTTAATGATCTAAAAACAAAGCCGCTTACCCGCCACACGCGATGAAACTGAATCGTTCATCCATCCCTCCCGTGCGGCTCCGTCTGCCGTGGTCGCGCTCCAGGAAAGACGTATAGGACGCGTATCCGGTTCGCGCGAGAAGTCGAACCATCAATTGCAGCAATCTTCACCACCAGCGCTCTCTGCTGGACTTCAATGATGTGCAATTTCGACAATCTTTGCTAGAGCGCTCGCCGCGCGGCTTGGGCAACGGAGCGAGATGAGGACTTGAGAATGACTTCGGCTCGGCGGACCACCTTTCGGGGTGGTGCCGTCCGCCAAGAGCACGAATCGACAACATTCGTGGGAGACCGTTGCTAGACGCTGATCGTTATAGGATCGGAAAATTTTCCATCACGTGAATATGGGAGGGAAAGGATGAAAAGCAGAGCACCAGTTGTAGATTCGGTGTGGTTGAGATGAGCATTGCAGATTGATTGATTGATTTCGTTGCGATATGGAAGATTTCGAAGGGAGATCCTCTTTCCCAGAGGGAACAGTGTACCTACTTCGCAACAGTCAGCATTCATCTTCAACCTCAACATCCGCGTCTCAGATCATCCTCGCAAGAGAGAAAAAAGTTCAGAAGTCCATTTAGATCATCGAAGCACAAAAGCGCTTCTGACATAAGAGGTACCAGAAAAATAGTAATAATGTAATGGAAATCATCATCGTAGTGCAGAAAGAAAACAAATTGTCTCGAACGTACCAAGTCTGCTCTTCAGCATCCCATGATACTGCTGATAAGTGGTAGGAAAAACTGTCAGGTTGCCATGCCACGGCCGGTGGACCAGGACCGCAGATGTCAGACGGTCGGCGGTGACGCGCGTGGCTGGAGGTGTATTATTCGTGCTGTCGGTGCACATGTGATGAGTAGTGGCGACGTGCAGACACCTGCCGGACAGAAAATTTCAGAGCATTTTCTTGCAGGTGCGTGATGTTCGGAGGTTGATGGCAAGAAGAAGAGGATGGATTTGGGGCAACAGAGTCTGCCGACGCCAAGAAGACCCACAGCTTTTTGTCGTGGCCAATCAGATCGCTTGATTTTTTGACTGCAACTTCACCTTCGTCCTGGAAGACAGACAATCACGAATCCTGTGGCGTATAGGCAATAATGGCGAGCAGGTGTGATAGTGGCATCAATATGGACGCTATGAGTACACAATTTCATGATGAATGAGCAATAATTCATTCCTGCAGGAGAGACAGTCCAACAAACCAAAGCTGCCAACCTAAGCGCTGTACCAGCACATTCATTTCGAATTTGACCAATACATGTACTTCCTGCAACCACTATCTTTCCTGATCACTACTGCCTGGTCAAGTTTGCAAAGACCGTCAACTTCTCCACATCCAATCCCTTGCCATCAGCATCTCCCACTTTGGCAGCTGCGACTTCAACTTCAATTCTATTCACGCCAGCCGCCAGACTGCCCTCGTATACATGCGTGCGTTTGCCGGTGTCGGCGTGAAACTGCGTATCCCGCTGCGTGAGCCGGCTCCCGTTGACGGTGACAAACAGTTTGTATGCGCGGCCCATTGAAAGGTCGCGTGAGATGGTGGGGGAGATTTGCAGGTAGTAATGCGTCGAGGGTAAGGTGATGGTCGTACTTTGTTGCGACAATGAAGAGTGCGGCGGAATGGCAATGCTGTACGGTTTCGGCAGCTTAAGCCAAGGATGCGTCGAGATGGTGACCGCTGGCAGCAGCGCTTCTGATACGGGATACGGTCGAATGGCTGTTGGTGGAAGTGCTGCCGGCGCGGTGTAATGGTAGCTGTTGGTCTGATACCCGTTTTGAGTAGGTGCTGGATACGGGCTTCCACTTGGTGGACGTGTCAGCGGCGGTGGCATCATGCCGTTGGTGTACGGCTGTACTGCAGGCGCGTAAGTCACCGGCGCAGGCGACAGTGCTGCAAGTTTCTCATTCTTCACACCGGCCACTGGCGGACTTCCTGCTTGAGTGCTGATCGGTGGTCTGATTCCGTTGGTCATCGGTGAAGCTGCTGGCGGTCTTCCATTCATGTCGGGCTGCTGGCGGTGTTGGGTCTGTTGGCCATTTACACCAGCTTGGACCATCAAGCGCTGGCGAGCAAGTGCTTCGTTGTCAACGCTGACGCCAGGGGTTGGAGAATTACGGTGTTGTGATAAGTTGAGTGTGATGCCTGACTTTGCGGGCTTGGGGCCACCGAGTTTGATGCGTGCTGCTGCGGGCTCCTCGACTTTCTCTCTGGCGTCTGCCAGGATCTTCTTGAAATGCCCCTGCTGCTGTCTTAGCACGGGACTGTCACGTAGATGATGCATCACCAGGGCTTACCTCAAATTCGCCGGCAAGGTCGTACATCTCGCTGCCGTCCTCATTGAAGTCTCTCGCGTTGCGCCAGATGAAGCTAACCTCATCCTCAAAGGCATCCCAAGTCTTGAAGTCGGTGATACCGGTAGGCGGTGCGCGTCCGTGGATTCCCTTGATGCGCTTTTGTACTCCTTTCAGAGATACAGGATGCTTGATTGTCTTGTAATAGTCTTCGAGCTTGCGTGACGGCAGATTGACGAATGGCGTATAAATCTCAAGGCCCCTTCAGAATAGTTAGCAACCCCACAGACTCCCAATGAAAGTCTGAACTCACTCTTCATCGGTAAACCGTATGAGTTCAGCAATGATCATGTGCTGCGCATCCTGGAACGATTTGCCAGTAAAGTCCATGTTCTCATGCTCCACTTCATCGGCGTCGCCATCGCCATCAACATCATCCTTTGCACTGCTCGCAGCTACTGACGACTTTCGATCTGATGGGGGCTCGGAGGTTTTGGGTGCCGTAGACGGCCTTGGCTTGACACTCGCGTCCCTGCTCTTCGGCTCTTCTTTCACAGATTCGCTTCGGTGGGCATTGTTGGTGAGTGTAAGCTTGGGCTCCGCATAGGGAGTCGGGAAGGAGGTGTAGTTCGGGTCTTGCCTGTAGGCCGGATTATGGACTTTCATGAAGTTGTAGACCAGTTTGCGTATCCGTTCGGCATCTTCGTAGATCTCGCTCTTGGGGACGTTGTACTCCTTTGCATTTTGAATCATACGCTTGAGGTCGCTCTCCAGGGTTGTCACAGTCGGGTACGCGTTTTGCTTGAGCCTGTATTCGATCGTCTCCAATGCGACTGGCATTCGAACATGTTGATAGTAGTCGGGCAATTCGTCACGTGGTGGCAGCTCGAGAAACGCATCGGCAATGGCGCGGCCGCTGGGATGAGTGTCAGTCTGCGGCAGCAGCAAGTGCAGGAGACGTGCAATAACTTACTGCTTGTCCGTTGCATTGTTCAAGGCCGCGAGGACCTTTCGGCCCACGACCTGAACGGCGGACGGGCCATCTTGCGTCGGCGCGGGCTGGGAATTCTGTGCAGCGGCGCATCAGAGTCAGTAACGGCTTCGGCAACAAGGCAGATGCAGTCGGTGAGAGGTGGTGGGAGGCGTGAGAAGCGGCTTATGACGGTGCTAGGAGAGAGACCATGCTCGACCCTCCCGTCTCCAAGCTCTCTTCCTCTTCCAACAACGCCAGTCGCGCAACAGCTTCACGCACTTCCTCGACACCTCGACCGCATCGGCGACTCTCGCATATGCAGCGCGACAAATACCAAGTGAGCGCGACGTACCAGAAGTTTGATTTTCTTCGATGCGCTTCCTCCTTCGCCAGCCGCCGGTACAGCGTTGGAGATCTTGCGCTTGCGCTCCATGTTCGGTGTGACGGCACAGTCGCCGTGCAAGATGGTCGGGAATCGCAACAGTAGGGACTGGGGATAATGCGCAGAGGATCTTGGGCGGGAGGTCGCAAAAGGACACAATCAGTGGGCACTCCACGAGTGTCAGGTCTCACTCGAGAGACTCCCACTTGGACGCGCCGACCGCCAAGCCGGATACTCCCGCGCCTCGTGCCTGAGGCATCACTTCACCACATCTCGAACTGTGTTATTTCTCTGCACTCTCAATATTTACAGCTTGCTTATTCACATTTCATACACGTTCTCGAGTACTGCTACGTAGTCTGCGCTTTTGACGCCAATCCCGCTGTTCAAGACACAAGTCCACCCTCACTGAGAAAACGCCAGGACCTTCTTCCAACTCCTTTTACATCTCAAATCCCTCAGAGCATGATCGTCAACTCGTTGCGCTTCAGCTTATCGTCCTCGACGCTTGGGTAGTACGGGACCATGGAATCCGAGTTGAATTGGTAGGCCTCGTTGTAGAGGCGCCAGTACGGCGTACGGACCTTGCGGGCTGGATGGAACAGGCCTGCCCAGACGTAGTTCATGACCGCACCGGTACCGACAGCCATTCGCACAGCGTCAATCGCCTCGATGACACGATCGATGACGTGAGGGCTGGTCTCGAACAGATTTGGGTACAGCAAGTTGAGCAGATGAAGCATGGCATCCTCGCAGCCGAGACCAACCACTCCCAGGGCAACGTGCTTGACGACGCTGGCGGCAGTCTGGCGATGGACCTGGTCTCGGTCGATCAAGGCGTCCTCGATGAGCGGGGTGACAGCATAGACGTAGTCTTTGCCCATCTCACCGATGTATTCGAAGAGGAAGGACAGCGCCTTGAGGACACCGTTCTGAACGTTCAGTTCTGGAACGCGATATTCGTTCATGAGCGCTGGCAAGACAGTGAATGGAGCGCAGGTCTCTGCCACGATGCCGATCGCCACAGCGGTGCAGACACGCGACTGACGCTCCTGGACACGAAGGTTGTTGAGGAGCGTAGCAAGCACATCCTGTGGTCCAATGGCCTTGGCGATGAAACCGAATGTGTTGTTGGCAGCACGTCGGATACCCTTCTTGTGCGCTTTGAGCATGTCGAGGAGCTCAAAGCAGATACGCATCCACTCACGTGCGTTGACGGATTCTGGTCCACGATCTGCAATACGACCCACGAGATCGATCGTGGTCTCTTGCACCTTCTCGTGTCTGTTCCTCAAAATTGGTGTAAGGCGTGGAAGCAGGTCTTTGATCGGCGGCTGCATGCTGCTGATACCGACCACGTTGACGATGCTCTTCATGGCACCGAGAATGCTGCCCAGTACCTCAGGATACTCCTCACCAAGATATTCGTAGAACACAGCACCGAGCTTGCCGAGTAACTGGTCCTCGTCGCACTGCTTCATGACGATGGCGATTCTGCTGACCAGATCGGCTGCTTGCTGGCGCACAGTGGCGGATTTGTTGTTCAACCGCCAGAGAATAGTGCTGACGATTTGTGGCAGATAAGGCTTGCATCGCGTTCCCAAAGAGTTGACGATCGTTGCGAAACCGCTCAGCAAGACCTGCTCCTCAACGCTCTGCTCTTGGAACGCATGTAGAATGCCGTCTACGAGGCGTTCTTCCAGTCGCTCGTTGATATCAGCTGCGCCTTGAGCAGCCACGATCTTCTCGATGGTCTCCACTGTCATCTTCCGGTAGGGCTCGCTCTCGTCTTTGAGGTTCACGACGAGTCTCTCGACCAACTCGCCGACGCCGATCTTTGAGCCAAGATCCACCGTAGTCTCTACAACCTGCTTGTAGTTGCGCTTGTCGATTGCCATACGCCGCACCCAGAAGTGCTTGAAGAAGTCATTGAGCAATGAGTCCCGCAGGTAGATTGGAGTGACACCCTTGGACTTGACGCACTGGCTGACGACCTTCAGCACGACCTTCTTCATCTCGTCGTCTGGACTCTGAAATTCACGAAGCAGGATCTCCATGATCTGACTGACGTAGTAGCTGCTGTACTCTTCGTCCATGAGTGGAATGACGAAGCCAACGGCCTTCAAGAAGCCAGCCAGGCCTTTTCCACGCTGCTTCCTCGCGCCGGTCCAGAGGGGGTTCAAGATCGGGTCGAATGCTTCGATACCATATGGAGCTGACGCTTCGGCAAGAGCTGCCATAGCAAGCGCGGTGACAGTTCTGACCTTTGTTTGCTCATCATTCAGGTTGTCGCCGATGCATTGTACGAGCCCGGTCAGGTGTGGAAGTACGGCGCAGCCCATGAGGATGGGAATCTGCTGGATGATCTTGACACCGGTATGACGAGCTTGCCATGACTTCTTGCTCTTGCAGACGGCCTTCAAGAATGGAAGAAGCGTGGGGATGCCCAAAGCAGACGCGACAACGGCGAAGGCTCTGGCTGTGGTGTTTCGGACATATTCGTCGACATGATCAATATCTGGTCGCATGGTGCTAATCATGTGGGCAAGACCGGCCGCCTTAGCAAGGTTGGAGATGATCTCGCGGCCTTCGACTCGGGCGTAGTAGTCTTGGTCGATAAGGAGTGGCTCGATAACTACCAGAATCTTGTGGGTGTAAGGCCGAACCAGATCATCGAGCTTGTACAGGACACGGTCAATGACCTTGACGAGCAAATGGCGCTCTTGATCCTCAAGACTCTTCTCCATCAGCAGCGGCAAGATCTGATCAAACAGCGGTCCTGCGCCAAAAGCACGAGCATTGTCCGTGATTTGACGCAATGCGGTCTTCCTCATGGGTGGAGTACCGTTCTTGACTTTGAGCAGCAGGCGCATGATCTTTCGCTTCTTAAGCTCATCGACGCTCATCTCATTCTCATCCGCGCCATCGACAAGCTTGCCGAAATAGGCCATGTCCTCGGCCTTGAAGAACTGGAGATCGCCCACGCCCGGAATATCGGATGGAAGCTGCTTGCCCATGGATCGAGCGTCCACAGGCTCTTGCATCATGAATCCTCCGGTTTTCGCAGGAGTAGCGGCCGGGGCGATTCTACGTGCTGGGGCTTGTGACGGTTCAAATCCTGGCGGTGGGTCGACGATCTTGTAGCCTTCCTTTGGGAGCATCTCGTCGAGCTCTTCGTCGGAAAGCGGTGCATTTCGGCCAGAGATATCCGTCCCAAAGCTGAAAGTAGGTTGTACTGGTCTTGGTGTAGCCTCTGGAGCTGCGACTGGGGTTGGTGCGCTTCCGCTGTCGACCATATCCCAGCGGGACTTTTGTGGTGCTGCTGGCTTTCCATTCGGTGCGGGCGTTGTGTCCCATCTGGATTTCTTCGAAGCAGCCTCACCATTTGCAGCATGTCCGTTGGCCACGGTTCCGTTGGCCCCGTTCGCGACAGCATCACCGTTGGTGTCCGCTCCACTGTCCCATCGTCTCTTCTTGGTCTTCTTCTTCTCTTCAGCTGGCGGGGTACCATCTTTGAGGAGAGCCTTGTGCTCGACGCCATCCATCTCATCATCTTCACCGTTCATCATTGTCTCCTTTTCTTTCTCTTCGACGAGCTTCTGCACTCGGGCCTCCTCTCGCTCCAAATCACGCTGTTGCATAACCTCACGATAAGACTTCTCGCCATCTCCATCCAAACCCCGCTTGAACCGCTGCTTTTGATAGTCCGTCTCTCTGTTCGCAATCTGCGCTTGCTTCTCCCTGCTCCGCAAGATGTCCGCCTCCGCCGTCTCTCCGTGCGCCCACTCACCTATTTGTGCGGCCGTAGCCGTGTACTGTCCCACCAGTCTTCCATCTTCCCCGTCGTCGTCGGCATCCTGCATGTCTTCATCGTCGTCAACGGCGATGGAGGTATTGTAGCCCGCAAATCTGTCGCGGGAGTCATCGCCGTAGAGGTCCTTGTCGAAGTTCTCGGTCAGAGAGGCCTTGTCGGAGTTAGTGCGCTGGCTGGTAGCGTCTTTGATGCCGTTCTTCCCTGAGGCCACGTTGCGCTCCAGCTGTGCTTGGCGCACTTTCTGGAAATCCGCTGCCAAACTCGTGTCAGTAGCTGTGCGCATGGACTTGAGCCTGCGAGTCTTACCGTCGGACATGGCGGCGGCCTTCCCGAACGAGCGGATGCTAATTTTTGTGAGCTTCGTGAACGGTAGGTGTTGACATGCGCTACCTTGCCGTATGCCGCCTCGTCGCGGTGAGAGTGTTGTTTGTGGTCTTGTGGCGGAGAGGTCGCGAGCAACAACTTCATGTTCGAACGAAGTAAGGTAAATTAGATTAAGGTTTGAGCTAGTCAAGCCACGTGACCGTTCGAGCCTAAAGCGCCGTCTCCATCAATATTTGATGACCATCTTTCACATCACCAACTACGGCAACATTCTCACTTACCCCCACTACAACGCATTTCGTGGTCCCTCAGATAGTGGACGACCTCTATCCTGTCGTTCGCCACAGCAAGCTGGAGCGCCGTCTGATGCTTGTTACCAGACAACATTGTTCCATCCGCCCCGGACTCTACCAGCAATTTGACGACCTCCAGATGTCCTGCCTCAGACGAAATCCCAAGGGCCGTGTGGCCTAAATAATAGCCCCCCGCGGCGTTTGGATCTGCCCCAACATGCAAGAATCGCCGGACAAGACCAACATGTCCAATGGAGGCTGCTGCTTGCAAAGCTGTGAGGCCTGCGTACTTAGCAGCCGGAGCATTTACATCGGCTCCTAAAGAGAGAAGCATTTCTACCATTTGAACATGGCCACCTAAAGCCGCAGCTTGTAGAGCTGTGCGTCCTCGATGCTGAGCCGTTGGACCATTGACTCGGCCGCCCTCCTCCAAGGATTCTGCTGCTGCTTGAAGAGGTGTGCGCCCCATGTAACGGTGAGGGGTGAGGTTCACGTCCGCTCCAGCTGATATCAGTCGATCTACGACTGCTTCCTGTCCAGCGCCAGCAGCCACCGAAAGCGCCGCTCTGCCCCCGTTGTTACCTCCAGGAGCGTCCACTTCGACTCCAGCTTCCAGCAGCGTATCGACAATTGCAATATGACCTTGCTGTGATGCTGCTTGCAAGGCAGTTTTCCCGTAATAGCCGGTCGGTAGCTCATTGGGACTGGCGCCTTGATTGAGAAGGTCTAAGACTCTTACCAAGTCTCCTTCAGAACTAGCAAGCTGAAGCGGTGTCCAGACATCTCCCTCGTCAGGGGCGTCTTCTTCTTCCTCAAGCATGAGATGCGGGATGCAGTGCCCCACTTGAATGCCGAATAGCACCGAGTCGTTCGTGGCATACGCCTGCCGGGAACTTGGGTGAGATCTGATTTTCGTTTTCAGCCTTGCGATGGTATGGTGTGCTTCTAAAGTTTGGAAACATCTCCAAGGACGGTGATCGATCCTTCAGGTCTCTAGATGTCGCGGGGCCTCTTATCAATGGAGCTTAGCTGGAGCTCGCCTGCAGGTGCCAGTCGTACTTCAACGACTCAACTAAAGAGAATCCTCTCACCTCACATCCTCTGCAGCTGCCGAACGCAACGATCAAGAGCCAAGCTCTCCTCTCGGTACTTCGAGATTGGCTTTAAAGCGCAATGTTTGAATGGCCGGCTTGATCGACGCACCGCCTGCAGATGGTGACACCAAGACCAAGCTCAGCCGCACTCACAGCCTACCAAAGATGTATGTTGGGACACAGTACATAATGACAACACTTCGCACTCTCGCGAACAGCTTGTCCAGAACTATAGCGTTTACAACCCCGTGCTCTGAACGACACCCATTTCAACCGCCATCATGGGCTATCCTTACGTTCCACTGGATGCCAACAACACGCAGATAAGGACGTTGACCATCGAGCCGAGCGAAACCCATGACTCCAAGATCCACTGTTCAATCAATACCGTCAGTCTCTCATCTGACATTGCCGAATATGAAGCCCTTTCCTATGTCTGGGGTGCTTCCAAAGGAACCGTCCCTGTGACCATCGACGGCCATCAGTCTCAAGTCACGCGAAATCTGCGCACTGCACTGCGGTATCTTAGAAAACCCCGCGAGCCTCGCACGCTCTGGGTCGATGCCGTGTGCATCAATCAAAACGATGTACAGGAGAGGAATGTTCAGGTGCGACGGATGGGTCAGATCTACTCTCAAGCATCAGGTGTACTCATCTGGCTCGGAGACGGAGATGCAGATGTCGAGCGTACCATGGCCAAACTGCAGGCACCGGATGCCTTGGAAGACAAACGGTACGACAACTTTCCTCAAGACATAGCGCACGGCATTAAGAAGCTGCTGCACAAACCCTGGTGGCATCGTGTCTGGACTATCCAAGAGCTGATCTTGTCCACCGCGGATCCATTGGTAGGCTGTGGCCACACTTGGCTCGAATGGGAGAAGTTGTACAAGGCCATTCTCGATTACACGACCACCATGATGGATGGCAAGGAGGGCATGATCATGGATGAAAATTCCTCTTGGGTCACTACGTCTCACGATCTCAACAGACACATTCTTCTGAGAACGCAGTGGAAAGAGCGTGAACACCTTGACCGACGTCGAGCAACCGCATCGGAAATCGTCGAACGGACACGAGGGTACCAGTGTACCGACAAGCGCGACCAAATCTATGGAGTTCGAGATCTCATCTGTGACGAGGAAAAGGCCTTCTTCTCGCACCCTGATTACGAGAAGTCCGTGTCCGAAGTGTATCAACAAGCAATGGTGGCCATGTTCACAAGCAAGAAGAATCTGACATTCCTCATTCACGCCGTTCAAAGCGGCGAAGATCGTGATCAAAAGCTGCCCTCCTGGTGTGCCGATTTCTCGCAGAGGATCTGGGATTCGGGCACATACGGGAACATAAATGGCTTCCCGGTGGACGGCAATGAGGATGAAGAAGCCCACAGACAAACAGATCTCTTCTTCTCGCACGATCCTGGTGCGAGATCTTTGAAAGTCCGAGCATCTTTTCTAGGCAATATCATCGCAGCAAGACCTCTAATCCCGCAGGTTGCATGGAACCAACACGGCGTTGTAGCAGCAATGACTTGTCCAGACGAGATCGCCCTTCTGCCGCGGGAGGAGGCAGGAAAGCTGTGGGTGTTCACGAACTTCGTCAAAGAGGTCCTTCGGATGAGTGCGATAGCGTTCAAGGTGTGGCAGAATCGATTTGGTTCCGAGAAAGCAAAGCAAAAGCTGGCGGACGGGGAAGTGTGGAAAATCGCTTTTGGCGGTCACTTGCTGTTCACCATTGTCGACGCTGCCTGTGCTAGAGCCGGTGTCGAACAAGTGACTGGAGATGATCGTCCGTACGAATACTGGAACGTCGAGTCGTTCATCCGGGAGAGCTGCCCCTGGTACGCGAAGACTCTTCAAGACATGGGCCTATACCAACCCGGCCACGACTGGCCCCGAAGCGAAGTACTCAAACGAGCACTGTGGGAGACTCTACTTGTCGTGGTGCAGATGAACTATGACAGTTGGTGGTCTGCTACGGACTCTGGATATATCACGAGAGCAAGTCGCCGAGTCAGAGAAAACGATGTTCTCTGTGAGATCTCTGGATGCAGAAAGCCCATGCTTCTACGACCACGGGATGACGGCGCATTTGAGCTCGTATGTCTGGCTGAGTCGGAAGAATCCCATCAGGATCACTACCGTACACACCTTGAGGAGACCGCTGCAACGGAGATCATCCTGAAGTGATCTTCAGCTTGTCTAGGAAGACATAGCCCAGGACATGAGCAACCCCACAGACGCCATGCCATTATCTGGACTTCACGGCGCCACCGTCTTGACACCACGCCTTGCCACCGCTTTCGACGTCCCCTGCCAGTCATCCGCATCCACTCCAGCATTTTCAGCATCACCCGGGTCCTTCGGGGGATACAGCTGAGCCACACGCGCCGTGTCTCCTTCACTCGGACCCGCTTGGGCTTTATCCTTCATACCACCCATATAAAGCTTATACCGCTTTCCAGCATTTGGATTCTTCTCGCCCTGAGGATGGCCGAGCAGGACTGGCTTGCCGAAAGAATTGTCAGTGGGAGGAAGCTCCTTGCCGCCATCGTAGGAGCCGTAGATCATGATGGAGTCTGGGTCGAATTTTTTGCTCCACGCGTTCTGGCCGATGAGTCCCTGGTCCTCACTGGGGAGGTATGCTCAAGCTGTGAAGCCGTACTTTCGGGCGATGGAGCGGGATTTGCAGGCTTGGTCGATGGTATCGGGCGGTTGGATTTTCGCTTTGGCCTGAAAAGGGGTTAGTGAGTGCCTTCGAACCCCTGGAATGGATGATACAGACCTCATCATAATCTTGAAGGTTCTCGCAATAAAACCACACATACTCAGAAGCATCAGGCCGAGCATGCTCGTGCTCGAGACCAATGGCGTGTCCTGCAGACCCCCTGATGATTAGAACCATCCCAACAACACATTCACTACAAGCCACACTCACCCAACTCATGCGCCATAACCAACACATCCTGCGGATGCGGACTCCTCTTCGCAACATCGGGAAACGCCACATCAAACTTCATCGTATGCCTCCCCGGCTCCGTCTGTCCCTCCAGCCCCCAATACCCCTGCGTCGTCAACCCACCCGACGCCGACCCCGTGATATCCTCAATGTACAACGCATCGTCGCGGACCACCTTCCCACCGCAGATATTGGGGCCATTAGCCTGGTCCGGGAGGATTTGAAGGGCGCTGGTCTGGAATGCAAAGTCCCATTTCTCTATGGCTTTCGCGAGGATGGTCTGAAGGGAGTCTTTGTCGGATTGTTTGACCCTGGCTGTTGGTTAGCACGAGTGGTTAAGGGGGAGGTGGACTGGGGAAGTACCAGCAGTAGCGGACTGGTTGGACGCCTTCTTGGATCACGGGCCAGGCGTTGTTGGTCTTGGGTTCGTCGCCTGTTGGGTTTCCTACGCTGTACCATCTTGTTTCGAGGGAGTTGTTCCGTGGTTGTGGACACCCAAGAGCATGCCCGAAGACCCCTAGCATCAGCCAGCTCAGTAGAGCAGAGTGATGCATGATCGTCGTCGATATGCTGTAAGATGAGTGACCAGTCTTCTCGCGAGCCTGGATGTGTCGCTCAGTGTAGCTCAGCTCGAGCGAACGTAGTTGTATGAAACTCACCACGGAGTGGATGTCCTGTAGCTCAAGCACTTACACGTCGCAACGCGGCACTCACCTGCTGCTGTTAGTCATGTGAAAAGCAGTGTGGTCAGCCTCGTGACAGGCAACACATCTGATTCAATAGCCCTCAAATGTAGAGCACTACTTTCTCTTGGTAAGGAGTTTCACGATCCCTTACAACTGCCACCCCGAAGGAATATCAAAGACCTGACTATCCTCCAACCGTCCACATGCCTGAACCACCACGCTGCCATCACTCCCCTCCGTAAGACAACTATTCGAGTTCGCCGTACTCCGAATGTTCCCGGTACGATCATACTTCCACTGAGAACCGCCACGGCAAGGACCCAACGTAGCCTGGCCCCCAGAGGGTGCGAGACACTCATTACTGTTGGAAAGGGGTTTGATCGTAGCGCCATTCTTCCCAACTCGCCACACCTGTCCGTCCGAGGCGTCACAGGTCGTCCAGCTGAGTTTCCCATTACGGGACGTGAGACAGTGGAACGAGTCTGCGTTGAAGATGATTCCCGTTGGGGTCCACAATGATCCAGCAGAAGACGAGCCGTAAGGTCTTGGACCCTGCCTCGCACTGATGCGGTACGATGCCGTGCCGTGAGAAGGGACAGTAGCTTTAATCGCGGCATTTCGCCCCTGAGCACTCAGCGAGGAGACCTTTCCAGTCCAGAGATCTTTGACTTGGAGGTTGGAACCAGGGCCAGGCCACCAGCCGCGTTGCGAGGAGCCTGCGTATCCGATTCTTGACAGCGGGACTTCAATGGTGCCGGTGCTGCTGCCGTTGTTCAGGATTGTAACCAGGCGGTCTCCGTTGGAGAGAGACTTCGCCAGCACGTCCCATGTTCCGTCGTGCGAGACCAGAGTGGCTTGTAAGGCGAGTTTGTCCTGGTCTACGGCGATGAAGTTCTCGTTGGTGAGGTATTCGATAGTCTCCTCGGGGAGATCGGGGATGTACGCGCTGATAATCAACGGCGCGGAGAGTGATGACCAGAGGGCGAAGTGGCTCTTCTTCTCCTCGAATGTCAATTCCGGCTCATCAGCAATTAAGAAGTCCGGGTCGTTGTAGTATCCGACACCCTGCTCTCGAGCAAGTCTCACTTCTTGATCATAGTTCGCCATAACACTGTTCCAAGGTCGCTTGCTGCTTTTGTGGACAACAACATCCTGGCTATGCCTAGCAAGCTCTCCATAGACCGGAACCCAGTCCATAACCGTATACCAATCGGTCAAGTTATCCTCACCAGCGAAGTATGCGGGAGCCGACTCGGAGAAGATAAGTGGATTCTCAGAATGACTGAAGATATCATGCCAATGTGAGTAGATCTCCTGATAACGCTCCTCATCAGACTGTCCTGGCTTAGGGTAGACATTACATCCATCCAGCTTGAGGTAATCAATGCCCCAAGAAGCGAACGTCTTTGCGTCAATCTCCTCGTAGCCGAGTGATCCAGGATAGCCACCACAAGTCTCATTGCCAGCATCCGAATAGATGCCAAAGTGAAAGCCGCGTTGCTTTAGATAGTTGCCCAACCAAGGCAGCCCATTGGGGAAGAGTGTCTCGTTCCATTGCAAGCTCCCATTCTGAGCACGCTCGTAAAGAGGCCAGCAGTCATCGATGTTGACGCGGTCGTAGCCAGCTTTGAGGAGACCTCTTGAGACCATTGCGTCTGCTGTTTCTGTGAAGAGGGTTTGGTTTAAGTCGCATTCAAATCTGGCCCAGTTGTTGCTGCGGAAGGTCAGCTCATGTATGGAAATCATAGTGGAAGACACTGACAATCCCATCGGAGGAGTCGGCAAGAGCTGAGGATTCTCCAGCGACGCAAAGGCTTGTTGAACAGGCAACACAGCCATTGCTACTACGGTCAAGAAAGACATGTTCGGGACAGTACGAAAGACCATTCGATAACTCTGCTCTTCTACAAAACTGTTGAAAGAAAGGTCTTCAAATACCAAGTATCCGAAACCATCGGCGAGAACAGCGACATGAAAACCGGGATCAGTTTTAACACTTAACATTCTCCTCATGCCTCGTCGACATACAACCCAAATCCTTCGTCCATCTCAAAGGTCCTCTTCTTTTCTTGCCCGGCGTACGTACAAACTCAATTCCTTGGCCGCCGTCTGCATTCGGCAAGCAAACAAATGGTTACGGGCAAATCGGGTCAAGATCGATGCGGAGACGATGTCGGAGTAACATTCGTTATCATGAGTGTAGGAGGGAGAGTATGTAACGGTTGCTTCTGAGGAAGTGGAGATGGGGTCATTGTTGGTCAGAGAAGTCGTGGGGAGATTCGAAGGAGCGGGCCAGAAGTTTTGGTGCGGTCGACGACATGTCTTCTCTTGTTTCCAGAGGAAGCGGTGTCGTGCTTGTCTTGAGACACGACTATGTTGCTAGGAGAGACTGAACAAGTAAGCAAAGTCTTGAAGACAGCAGAGGTCCTTTTGATCTGCCTTCAAACCTACCCGAGGCCAACGAGTTGCGTGATGAACCGCATGAACTCTCTTTCCAATCAAGCTCCCTCATAACACATACCAGCTCTCATACACTGTGCTCATCACCTTTACCTGTATCAAACTCTCATTACTATCAGCAATGTCAACACCATCAGCAACATCCACAGCCCTCATAACCTACGAACTCCTCGAACGCATCCTCCTGCACACCCCCATCCACACCCTCTTCACAACCCGCCGCGTCTCCAAAACCTGGCTCTCACTCCTCAACCGCTCCCTCCCCCTCCAACAAGCCATGTTCCTCGTCCCTTCCGCTCCAGCAATCAGCCCAACAGAGAGCACATACAACGACCACTCAGGCCGCACGCGCACAATCTACCCCTCGCAACCCCTCCAACTAAATCCCAGCGGCGATATCATCGGCTTGGTAAACCAACCTGCGGGAAGAGGCCACAGAGCGCCCCTTGTGACCTTCGGCCTCTCCGACCAGAACCTGTTCCTGGAGTTTGAGATCGAAGGCATTCCCATCTACGACGAGAAGCTCTTGGCTGAGGAGGCGTCGTGGAGGGGGATGCTGGTCACGCAGCCGCCGATTACGGCGGTGCATTTCCGGCTCATCAGACGTGATCCGCGGAGAGGCGTGATGACGATCTTCAATCCAAAAGGGGTGACGTTTGGGGATTTGCAAGACATGTCGGGGGAGTTTAAGAGGGGGTTTGAGAGGCCCGGGGAGGATAAGGAGGTCAGGTATGAGGGGTTGAGTTTTTGTTTGTTTCATCCTTTTACGGAGGATCAGATGGAGGAGGCGTGGTGAGAGGAATTTGGGGAAAGTTGCGTTGGGATTTGGAGTTATGAGCGTACCTGGACCTCCTTCGCCACGGCATGGCACAGCTCGGTGCGGACCCCGGCGCTCGTGAGCACATCAATCCACATTCTTTGTGTATCACTCAGGCGATCGTTCTCGCCCTTGACCTCGGCGAACATGACCTCACCCTTGCCGTGCTCGTCAATCCTCCACAGGAACAGGTCTGGCACCCCACCTCCACGTTGGCCGTACTCCTGGACGATTGTCTTCATCACTGTACTCAATGCCGCTGACGAGAAGCACGCAGCGATTTCGAGAAGATCTTCCAGAGCATACGTCCAGTCAAGTCCAACGACGCAAGTCTTGCGCTCAGAATGCTCGTCCCATACGCGTTGGATCAAAGTTCCTGCATCGCCATTACTGATCTCGTTCAGGCGAGCGTTGACTTCGGAGATTCTGGACGGGTAAAAGGCATCGCTGTGCAGGTCCAGTGGGCAAGTTTGATATGCGGTCTGGAAGACGTTGGGGATGTAGACGAAGAGGACGTCGTAGAAGAGGTAGGCGAAGAGTGTACGGAGGACGCCGCCTTCGCTGTGGTAGCCCTTCCATCCAAGGGCGCGGTAGCTGGAAAGACACATCTCTTCGACGCTGCATTCGGCCTCAAGTTCTTTGGCGGCCTCTTCCTCCTCAGTCGCAGCATTTACGTTCACGGCAGGGTCCACCCAGATCGTCTTCGCTCCACGGTTGCTGAGCTTCGCATTTTGGTCACTACTCCGCCTGCCATTCGTCGATCGATCTCTTTCGATGCGTATACCTTCGAAAGTACGCTCCTTGGCCTTGGTTAGGCGCACGTGTTCAAAATCATGCTGCTGTCGTTTTGGGATCTTCAAAGACTTCTCCAGCTTTGTCGTTCTCTTTTGCAAGTCCCGGTGGAAGATGAGGTGTGTCAGTTGGTCCTGCAGGCCGACCTCGCACGTCTGAAAAGCAACGCGCTTGAAGTGCTTCTTTCTCGAATCCTCGTCCTTGCATTCAGGCGGAGAAGGCAAATGAAGATACATATAATGTTCTTCTAAGAGTGCTTTGCGCTGATACCAGTCGCCACGGCGTGAGGTGTGGAATAGTCGTTGGTCCAGGAGCTCGCAAAGAATCTCGTGCTCGCGTTTGTGGTCTTTGAACTTGCCTGTGCCCATCACATATGCTGCTTTGTGGACAATGCGAGTGTAGACCCATGCAGGGGACAATCGCCGCAGGTATGCTCCTTCACCAGTGCTGTATATGCTGTCTTCCTTTCGTTGTTCCTCGGCAAGCAACACTTTCCAGCGTGGATAGACTTCGTCGAAGATATCCAAAATGGTCTGTAAACTGTCCTTCGTTGGCGTACCGTTGAATTCGAGGATGTTGTCGACACGGAACTGTGTTCGTACTGCCGCCTCAAACTCGAGAAGTAGTTGTCGAGATGCGAAAATGTTAGCTGATCGTGAGACAATGTACTCTGGAAAGTTGCGTCGAGCGATGCGGGCAAGTATGATCGTGGTCAATGACTTTTCAGTCCATTCGGTGGAGCGATAGAAGACAAGGTGAACACGCTCGAAGAGGCTCAAGGTAGGTAATGAAAGGCGAATGCAAGGACCAGTCTCAGCCAAGATCTTATCAACGAAATAAGAATCGCGATTTTCAAACTTCCCTGGTGTTGCCTCCCGGCTCGAATCATCGTCCTGTCCAGAGCCAGTCGAGGCTGCAGTCTCTTCTGTATCGGATCGTCTCAAGCTGCCAAAGCGTGAGAGAGACGTTTGTTGTCCGCTTGCCTTCCTGAAAGCTTTCAAAAGCTCCGTCTTGTTCTTCCCTTGAACCTTGGCATCCTTTGCAAATGCCTTTAGCTCGTCTAGGAGAAGAAGTGAAGATGCCTCTTCCAGGTCCTTGATACAATCCTGCGAGCGGTCCGCGAACGTGAAGCTGCCGCCAAACGTTGTACCAACGGGTGGATCAAGCTCGCCAGGGTTTTGCTGCTGCTGTGACGCTGGTGCAGGCAGCTCTCTCGCCTCCTGCAGCTCATCGATCGCGGTCTGTAGATCTGCAATGTCGCTGTGATATCCAAGACGATTTATGCGATGCCAGCTCGATGTCTTGCGCAGGAACAACCTGACATAGAGGTACTGACCCTCGTAGGTCAAGGCTTGCCATTGCTTGAAAACGGCATGTTCTGCCTCGTCGAAGAGGTGGCTTTCTTCCTCGAGGACTGTCTCCAACGCTAGATTGAAAGCGTCCACATATATCGAGCTTTTGCCTCTGATCCATTTATTGCCGTCTAGACGCTCTTGTAGGCTCAGCTCAGCCTGCTCAGCTGCCCTCGAGGCTTCGTAGGCTTCGATTGCTTCTTTATCCGTCTCGATAGGAGGAAGGGCTGTTTCGAGATCTGTTCGTCGTACTCGAGGCTCTGTTCCGAGAATCTCATTCTCACTGTCCTCATCGGAATCAGGAATCTCCTCTTTTTGAATCTTTGACGCGCTTCTTTGGACAAAGTCGGTTAAGCCGCGTTTCAGCCGCTTGGCTGGAGGTGTCTTGAATTCGTCTGCATCGTCATCAAAGTTCGTCGACTTTGGGTGAGGTACTTTCTTGCCCAACATGGCATTGTGTTTGGACGTGTGGCTGTCCTGCAGCATGTTCATTACCGCATTGCTAAGAACATGGAGCTGAAGATGAAGTCGACGTCAGGGCCATCGCGACCAAATGCGAGATCGCGCGTCGCGTCGACACGTGACCTGACTTCTCAATTTACCGGCGGCGAGATCTCAATTGTATGGAGGAAGTGATGTTCAGTACGTTCACATCGCACAAGATCCTCGACTATGATGACAACAGATATTGGATAGGCTAGTGACGGAAAAATATATCTTGCAAACCATCTCTCCGTCAACGAGCACGTGAAGGGCCTCGTCGCATGACGTACCCTCAAGACATCCCACTGCACTTCGTCTCGTCTTCACAAGCATCTCCATCTCCCACATCGTCGCCAAAAATGCGCCTAACAACGACCTTCCTAACAACAACCCTGGCCCTAACAACCCAGGCCCAACTCCTCCCCTTCCTCTCCAAACCCTCCCCAACCCCCGCCCTCGCCCACCCCAACCCCGCCGCCCAAAACCCCATGGCTGCCGCCCCAAACAACCCCCCTGGCATCCAACTCCCACCCACAGACTCCAACATTCCCCCCGACGCCCCTGCCAACGGCGACATAATCCTCTCCGACATCCTCGGCACCCAACGCCCCATCACCATCTTCGCCGGCTTCACACGCGACATCTCCAGCGTCCTAACCCGTCTCTCGACCCCCTCGTTAAACACCACCGTCCTCGCCCCCCTCAACACCGCCATAACCTCCCTCCCGCGAAAGCCCTGGGAAGACCCTCGCGAGTACGCTGTGTTGGGGACAGAGGCGTACGAAGGGCAGGAGGGCGAGGATCGCGCGCAGAGGAATTTGAGGAGGTTTACGGAGAAGCATGTTGTGACTGCGTCGCCTTGGGGGGAGGGCGAGAAGGTGGAGACGATGGGTGGCGGGAAGGTTTGGTGGGAGAAAAGGGGTGAGAAGGTTGTGGTTATGCCTGGGAGTGTGGAGGTTGAGAGGGTTGGGGGACGGGTGGCGAATGGGGAGGTTTGGGTTTTGAAGGGGGTGTTGAATTATGCTTCTTGAGAATGAGGTGGGAATTATTGGGGTTAATTGGTGTTGCGGCGTATGGTGGAGTGGAAGGTGTTCAGATATATGAGATCAACGACAGACATGATAATATCTTCAGCAGACTCATCTGCTTTCGCCGTGAGTTGCCATGGATTCAATTCTCGGAGTAGATTTTGTTTCGTCATTGCAGTGCTTTTATTTCCCATCCAGGTTCCAGCACTTGGTCGACCCAGACCGAAAATCGCTTCCTTCCACGCAAAACGCCCTCGCTGAAGTAGTGAAAATCTCTGCCCTCCTCAAATCGCCAAAGTCGACGCATTCTCCGACACAGAGCCCGGTGCTCGATCGCGTTCTATATCAGAAGGGTTAGATGTATATTCCCTTCGTGTTTTGCTTTGCACGTCGTCCTTACGAATGTCTGGGGGCATATCCAGCTGGGCTTGCTCGGCCGAACGCTTAATGCCTGCCGCTGTGGGCGACAGCTTCTTCTCAGGCTTGTTCTCTTTTTCACTTCCGTTCGTCTCGCTGCTGCCGTTTTCGCAGCTGCCCGTCTCCCATGCGACTTTTGCTGCGGCGGCGGCTTTGTTGGCTGCTTTCCGCTCGGCTTTGGTCATCTTGGGCTTCTCGAAGGCGCCGATTTCGAGCCTCTGGTCGACGTCTTTGGCCATGTCCTCCAGATCTGAGTATCCAAGCGTCTTGACAATGTCGCTGTAGCTCTTTGTTGCCATCATGCTTTTGTAGGCTTGCTGCTTGCCTGGTATCATCTGACCGAGCAAATACTTGGTATTTCCCCACCGATTTTCGACTTCCATCGATGTCTTGACGTATTCCTTCACAACTTCTTCCCAGCCTGCTTTGCCGCCCTCTGAGTCTGGTCGAAAGACCGAAGGATTTGTCTCGGCCGCAGTGGCAATCATGGCACCGTCAACACCATACTCCTCCATGAGTTTCATTGCCTCATCGCGGCTCGTCACGTCTCCGTTCATGAGACATGCGACGCCTGCTTCGTGGCATATATTCGCAATCATTTTCAGCTGGTCCCGTATCGCGCGTTCTCGAGGTCTCATCGGTGTCGTGCGGCAGTGAACGGTAAGCCCAGTAATTCCTGTAGCGACCAACTTTCGAACGAGCGCTTCGGTCTCCTCGGCAGTATCTAGTATTCGAATCTTGACGCTGATTCCTATCTCATTCGGCTGGCCGACATCTCGAACAAGCGCCTCCAATATCGAACACAGCTTCTCGGGAGTTTTGAGCAGAGCCGCGCCCATACCGCCGCTGGTGCTGAACGGCTTCGGGCATCCAGCATTGACATCAATACCAGCAACGTCAGGCGCTATCAGTCTTGCGGCTTCCACTGCAGTGTCTGGATTTGCAGTGCCGATTTGGTAGATCAGTCTGCGGCCCTCGCGCTCAGGATGTAGATGGTAGATGACGCTTTCCCGCTGACCCAGATTCAGGCTTGGGTTCTTGGCGCCGTTCGAAGATATTCGAGTGAAGTCTACAGTCTTCGTGGCGGCGTTCTCGTGTCGTGTGGTGCCGATGAGTGCCTTGTCAATCGTTTCCGGCCCCCACACAAGGTCTGCGCCGTACTTCAACGCCAGCAATCTCGACGGGCACTCTCCACTCCTGACCATCGGCGCAAGGACAATTTTCCCTCTGTAATCAACGCCATTCTTGGGGATAGGGACCCTTTTCGCAGCAGCAGCCATTGTTCTTAGCATGGATGGATGATGAAGCGTGACGAGGTCGTGCGTCCTGTACTCGGAAAGTATCGCCACCCAGAAAAAGTAAGCTGCGTCAATTACCGTCAAGCTGTGTCAATTACGACCGGATATCAGGTTAGTTCTCCCCGGGCCAGTAATTAGAAACTTCTTATCCAGTCCGGTCGAAACATACTTGCCCTCAAATCTTTCCCATGCGCACCTGCATGCTTGTGTTTGACGAGTAGGCAGCGCGCGCAGGCCTTCGACTTCCGCTGACCGATTCATGTCAGGCCGTCCGAGATACTTCTTCTTTGCTGCCGCGAGATGCATCTCAGTCGGCAGTCAGGATCATGGTGTTCTGGGGCAAAGCAGTATATTCATTAGTATTGGGGCAGCATGCGCGCAACTGTCCAAACACTGACGCTGCCGACAACGAGCTCTTCATGGAAACGCTGGTCTTCTTGTACCTTCTGCATTGCATATACTGCAAGAATGTTACGGGCTTGCCTCAGAGTATCTGGCGTGTATACACATGTCTCTGTTCCGGAAGCAGCTGCTGAGCAATCTTGCAGTCTGGAACGAGAGAAGTCATTGTAATGCCATATCATCACCGGCTCCCATCCAGCTTCTTGCACCACCCGGAGTGAGCAGTCGAGGACGAATTCGAGAAGTTGAGGCGATGTTCGACGCTCTCACGATATAAGGCAGGATAGGCGAGGCGAGCACGCTCATAGGGCGAATTGGAGATGGAGGAGGCGGTAGTCGACGCTCTCACAGAAGAACAAGACGAAGAAAGGCGAGGCGAGCACGCTCGTGGGGCGAATGGGAGACGGACGAGGCGGCAGTCGACGCTCTCGCCAGGCACATCGAAGATGAATGAGGCGGTCGACAACGCTCTCACAGAAGAATCAGACGAGAGAGGCGAGGTGAGCACGCTCATGGGTCGAATTAGAATGGACGAGGCGGCTGACGACGCTCTCTAGATGGACAGGTCGACATTAAGGATTTGAGGCGGCTGCCAACGCTCTCACAGAAGACGACACAAGACCGCTGAGGCGGTCGTTGACGCTCTCATCAGGCGATTCGAACACGGACGAGGCGACTGTTGACGCTCTCGAGCTGGGCAGGGCGAGATCAAGGATGTGAGGCGGTTGTCGACGCTCTCATCAGGTGGTTCGAAGGTGGATGAGGCGGCTGTCGACGCTCTCATCGGGCGGTTGGAAGGTGGATGAGGCGGCTGCTGACGCTCTCATTTGGGGGATGGATCGGTGTATCTGCCAAAAGATGAAGTCGAAAGCTGTTCAACAAAGGCGCTGGAGTGAGACCAGATTTAAACTTTGCGCTAGTCTTCTTAGCGCACGTCGCTTGGCTTCTTGACTTCAGTCTCGTCGTTTGTCTCTGTTTCTCTTGACCAAGCATCACAGACATTCTGAAGTCGCTTTGGCTGTTGCCCGCGAGCTCTTAGTTTGGTGCTTCATTTGCTTTTTAAAAGCATCTTATCTCGGCGGGCTCTTCAGGGAGCTCGCCTTCACCCGAACCAAAATGGCGCCAACTTCATCGGCATCATATTCCTCAGCATCGCATGAGACGGCACTGGATCGCACAGAGACAGTGCCACGACACCAGCTTTTGCGCCTGCCCGCAGAGCTGGTCGCGGCTGTCATTGAGCAAGGCGACAAGAAGGTCATCAAAGTCCTTCGACTTGTGTGCAGGGAACTGCATGGCACTGTCGACCCGCTCTTCATCAAGACCTTCTTTGCGCATCGTTGCCATTTGTGGACGCAGTTCTCCCTGGACGTCTTGATGAGAATCACGGATTCGCCTCGACTTCGTGCCGGCATCACCTCGATCGCGCTTGGACGACCTTCCCTCAGGATCACAAGCGACGACTACAACAAATACGAGCTGCGTGTTCACCACGCCTGCGAGACAATGGCTCGAAAGCAAGGCTGGTACCAGAAGGCTTTGGTGCAGATCCTCAACAATCTTCGCGACGTCCGACCATCACTGGAAATCTATGGAACTCAAGATTCGAGGAGGGATGCATATGGATACAGCGAATACTGTCGGCTCCTCAGAAGCGAGCAATGTCGGGATCAGGCGCCAGCTTGCCTGGGATCGAAGCCGGCAGTGTCCGACTGGCAGTTCTCATCGATATTCCTGGACTCGCTCATAGAGTCGGACTTCAAGGTGGCTCGGCTCAAGATGCCCATCGATCGTATGTCCATCCTGCCGCCTTTCGTACCAAAGGGAATTCGATTCGGCTTGAGCGTGAGCACTATGACGTTGCTTGATTTGGACATCAATGGCTTTACGTCCGATATCCTCTCTGACCTTCGAACTCACTCTGGGTCGCTTCGAGCTCTCAGCACGTTGATTCTGCGTAACTTTCCGCAGGCTCCCGAGGGTACGATTACCAATGTGCGCCTTGTCTTCTGGACTTTGGAACTGAGGTCCATCAAGCTGGTAGACGGCGTGACTTCCTCGAGGGAGCTGGACGCTCTTCTCAGCGACCACTGCCGCACACTCCGGTCCTTGGAAGTCACGAACTTCAAGATCGACTCATCGGATATCTCCCTCTGGCACTGGCGCTCGGTACTTCGCGATCTGTGGAAGGAGTATAGCCTCGATGAGCTTCGCTTGAGCAATTTGATGCCATGGCCACGGAAGGTGGAGGGAGCGTGCTCTGACTTCCGAGGTGCTGATCAGGTACAAGCTGGCCTGGCTCAACTTACAGACACCCTGCCGGCATCACGACCTGCATGGAGTGACGACATATAATCATCGTGTCGCACCCAGCACAACGGGGCAGAACATCGTCATGGCTTCGAACAGACCGACAGCACAAGCAATACCGCAGCGAGGAAAACTGGAATGCCAGCAAACAGAACGGCCAGTCCACAAGACCTGGAAAGCCAGCGCACGAACGTCGACATCCAGATTCGGATCAACTTCACCACTTCATGCCTCTCTCATCCTCAACTGCATGAACCCCAGGGACGTACTCGACGGTACTCTCAACCTCATGTGTATCAACCCTGAGACATCCAGATCGCTACAACAACGCACGACCTAGTCCAGCATTGATCGATATACGACGATTGACGAGGGCTTGAGCTCGCAAAAGCAAGGGCTCTACCTGATTGGAGATGCAAAAGGAGGTTTGATGGCATTTCGGTGAGCATGGAAGACATGAGCTGGTGCAAGATGCGGGGGACGGGGGAACAGAGGCAAACAAACAGTCGACAGGGGCTGCGGGTAGACATTGTTGTAGAGGGATAGCATCAAATGGAATTGTGGTGTCGTTGTTCAAGCAGACTCTTACTTCAAAAGATCGAAAGACTCCGGCATGATAACAGTAGTGCCAGATTTTGGGTGAATCACGCGCTATCCACCTCGCCGTTCCGCCAGCTTCCCCTGAGGACAGTCTGGGGCATTCTCTCCCACCAGACATCTAGGTTGGAATGCCTTACTACTGACTCAGCTCAGGTACCTTTCCCATCGTCTGTCGATGTTGGTTCGAACGCACACAGCTCTTCGGTAGCCTCCGTCTGCCGTCACGAGATACTTGGCATGCATATGGTGCCTCAGCTTTGACAGGTGAGTGATTTGACGTACCGGCCTCACACGGTCCTCCTTTAATGTAGTAGTGAAAGGCCTAAGGAAGAATAAGAAAGCTGTGTCGATTGACATGTTAATAGCTGTGATGTTAGAACAAAACAAAAGATTGGACGATGCGGGAGTCGAACTCGCATCCCCTGACTCCGGGAGTTAACGGCGGTACATCGAACTCCCAAGTCCCAGGACGCAACTATAGTATCAACTGCACGGTGAAAGGTGATACTAGGCCATTAGGCCAATCGCCCCTGAATCTGATGGGAATCGCAAGACGGATTTGACATGATAAAGGTGTGTTAGCAAGCCTCTAGGTTGGAACAAAACAGTATCTGCGCAAAAAAAAATCAAGAATCTGTTGGACGGTGCGAGAATCGAACCCGCGACCCCAGCCCCCGGACGCTTTATGGTGGCAGGTTCCACCGGCGCCGGGTTCCAGCGTCCTGGATAGATAGATGCAAGCTGGCAGGTTCCAACGACTAATCTAGCTGGGTGCCTTACCACTAGACTAACCGCCCTTTGAAGTGATTGGAAAGATCAACATTGGAATTCTTCATAAATGCAACCCGTTGTTCTCACTTCACATTGCATGTGAATGCCAAGACCGGTCACGTGGCGCCGCGAGGTGAATGTTCGGGAAATAGACTTTTTGTCGAAACCACTAAACAATCCAAGAGTCAATCACTAATATGGCCCAACCGGCAAGCTTATGAGTACAGAGCATGTAATTATCAAGATAAATGAAGCAGCACCAGTTCGTCTCTTACGCCAATCGGCACGAGGCTGGGACCACAAGCGGTAAATAGTAGACATTATCTGCTGTTGTCGTCTCAGGCACCCTCGAATTGAATATGGCTCGATGGGTCTTCACACTATGAGCGCTTTTCGGTACTCTGAACGAATTCCTTGCGTCTAGTGGTGCCACCAAGGCATCATTGTTAGAGCTACTGACTATCCAAGCCGTATAGAGAGAACTACAACAATTCTTTGCACAAGTTTTCTCCATTCGCCGGTTTTATTCAATTCCAAACTAGCTCAATGAGTCTTCTCCCCTAGCTGCCCTGCTTGCGCCGTTGCGCGGTCTGCTAATGTCCGGAGGCGACCTCTGAGACTGTCGTCGGACACCGTGTGGCCGAACTGAACGCTGAGTCTCCTGGCAATTTCCTTCATAGACAACTCTCCAGATTCGAAAAGCTGCCGGAACAGATGCCTGGGACGAGAGCGACCCACCCTGGAACTCGAGGCCTGGTTCCGGCGCTCGCTTACTCCCTCGTTCTGCGCAGCATTAGTGTCGAGATCATAACTTGCTTTCTTGCTTCCTTTGAATATCATCTTGTCAGCTGTCTCCTTTCCGAATTTTCGAGTGACTTCTCGAACGATTTCTTCGCGGCCCTTGCCCCTGTCGCGCAGAGCTCTCCTGAAAGTCGCAACTTCAAGCTTCAACGCACGCTCCTCCGTGCTAAGATCAGCATTTCTGAACACTAACCGGCCGGCCACCTCCTTTCCGAACAGACGAGAGACTTCCTGCATGATTTCTTCGTTTCTCGCGGCCTTCTTCTGTAGACGATTTCTGCACAAGCGAACCTCCTGCCACAACGCAGCTGCCTCCGTTCCAAGATCAGCGGGGTCGTTGTCGGCCACCTCCTTTCCGAACAGACGAGAGGCTTCTCGAATGACTTCTTCGTAGCTCGCGCCCTCTGCGGGCAGTGCGGTCCTCAGGATCCCGAGACTCTTGCTATCGCTGCATGTGCCCTTGGGTCTCAAGTTCTTGGCCGCCTTCGCTCCGAATGCATGAGTGACTTTCTCAATAAATTGTTCACGATCGCATGCCCCTGTCCTCGTCGTTTGCACATTGCGTTCTGCCTCCTCTTCCTGTTCACCAAAAGTGTCATTGCCATGAGCTTCGCACACCAAACCAACATTGGAATCGCTTCGTATCCACCTGCTTTCGGGGTCCTCAACACAATCCTCGCAGCCATCAATTCGACTCGAGTGAGGGCCAAGGCCGAAATCATTACGATGTCGCCTAAAGTCCACCACAGATCCATGGTTGCTGTCGACAAAGCCCAGAGTTCGATCGACATGTCCATCCGTACTGACACTGCCCTGCCGATACCTGCCGAGATCCGTCTTGAAGTGTGTGACGACAGTCAACGCTTGGAGGAATTGGGCGTGTGAATAAATGCGCAATGCTTCGCTCGAGGTGTCCCCAAGGGCGACCAAATCCAGCGGGGTTCGTGGGTCATCCCATAGTGTGGCAAGGAGGGTGCTGTCGTAGTGAGCCCATGCACTCCATCCGTTTGTCCGGAAATGAGCAGTGTAGGCCAGATCTTGTTCAGCTAATGCCATTGTGATTCGGAAGTTGAGGTTTGGCCACCTGTGAGCCAATGAAGACCAGGAATCGTTTTGAGTCGTTATGCCATCCCAACCTGTGCAAAGTAACAGAACATTTGTCTGCGGATCTTCAGGCGCCAGGGTTGCCATCTCGTCCAACGAGTCCAGGATATCTCTGATCTTGAGCGTCGTCGAGTCTTTTGAGGTAGGATCCAGGAACACTTTCCTGCTCGATCCCGGTTCCAACACATATGGCAACCAACACTCGTTTCCTGTGGCCATAGCTCGCTCAATATCCGACCATTCTGTCACAGCAATCCGCTCGATGCAATTCGACGAGAAATAGTTGCAGTATGTGGTATGAAGCTCAGTCGCTCTGGTCGTCAACTGCGCGTAGGTATTCCATTGTGGTCTCGAACGGCTTATCCTGACACAAGATATGCAAAGTGTGAAGGCTTTGCCCAGGTCGTCATCCTTGGTGATGGAATCCTCTGACAGTGGCTCAAAAGTAAACTTCATCATGTCTGTCGCCATGGATCTTCCGGGTCCTTCGCGCAAAGTCCACAGCACAGAGTCGGATATGGATGCATCAGCGCCTTCGTCCATGATGTCGATATCAGGACTGAATGTTTCGGTGTAGTCGCAAAGCCAGCCACTGATGCATTCTTCTCGGCTCATTCCCTCGCGTAGATCGATGGTTTCTGAAGAAGTGCCGTCGCAGATCTCACTTAGGGATACAGGTCGACCCTGACTCTGGATGAAGTCGCAGATAGCTGTGACTGCTGGGTACTTTGCAATGCCGACCAGCGAGTCCGTCTGAGCATCAAGATGTTCCGTTTCCTCAGCACGCTCGCTTCGACCTTGGTCCCGATTGTCGCCCACTTGGAAGCCCAGGCCCTTACGCCGAGTTTGCGAAGTTCCACGCGCGTCGCTTGCAGTAGCGGTTTTGCTCGGCCTGGGAGCACCGGCTCGAGACTTGGTACGATCGTCACGACCGTTGCGCTCACCTTGTTGTCTTGTCGTTGGCTCCAGCTCTAGCTCGGAGCCATCCTTCAGCACATCTGGAGACTCCAGATGCTCGTCAAAGATTTCGTTGTACACCTTCTGGAGAGTCGTGAATCTGGCTCGCAGGCCATAGTCTCGCCTCTCTTGACTGGTTTGAGGAAGAGCGCCTGTCCACGTCTTGCCTGTACGTGCGAACAGATCGAGAGCCAGCCAGGTGAAAAACCCGCAGTCGTGAGCGTTGTTCTGCTTGGGACACTGTACTTTCTTCGGCTGCTGCCATTCGACACCCCCCCAGTTCAGATCAGGATGGAGTGCAAGGAGTTTGAGAAACTCCACCATCTCCGTGCAAACAGACTTGGAAAGATCGATGTCCTCGTATGAGTCCACAATCTCACACGAACCTTTCGTCTTCTCGTGGTCGACAGTGATGATCACCAAGACCCAATGCATATTCTTCACATTGTATGGAATGAGGATCGTCTTGGTTGATGGGTCGATATCGTGGAACGGAACCTCTTCGAAACGATCTTTTGGCGGAATACCAGAACCATTGCTGAGGAGCCTCTCCAGCTTCACTGTGCGCTCCTTCAGGGCACGAACGGTGTCTTTGGTAGATGCCGGCCCCGGATTCCCATCAGCATCGGTAGACATTCTTATCACGAAGAGATGGAACGAAGACGAGTCGGCAACGTAGATCGTGGAAGTGCCCTTGAGATCTGCCGCCAAAGTCAGCCTGGTTGCGTGTGTGAGCCACATCATCAGATCCGTGGATGCCCATCCATCGAATTCAAACACAGGAGGCGCCAGCGTTTTGACAGCTCCGTGGGTGAGGTGAAGCCACTGATCCTGTTCGCCAGCCGCCTTTAGAAGATCCAGCCTGTGGTCGTTCATCGTAACTCCGTCTGGTCCCAAGGCGACCTTTTCCTGAAGATTCTCATGCAGCTCTTGGGCACGGTCTGCGAGTCTGATGAGGGGCGCCGCAAAGCTGCTCTCGTGAGCCAAGAGACTCCGCAATTGTTGCTGATAGTCAGCGTGATCCTTTTCAGCTTGCTGGATGCCAGCTTCCTTCTCTCGCTGTTTCTCTTGCCGCCTGGCCAGTTGTTGCGCTTCCTTCTGCTCCCCGGTCTGAGGCAGCATCGTCTGGGCAGCGGTGTCGAAGCCGAGTCCATCATCGTTGGTGAAATTAAAGTCATCGTCATCGAAACCCGTAAGACCAAAGATTTCGGCGTCAAGATCATCAGCGTTGTCATCGTAATTGTGGTGGTCGTCATCGCCGTCCTCTTCACTCTGCACAAAGGGTGTCTCTTCCTCATCAGCTGGGCCTTTATGCGATGAGATGGATGGACTTGGGGGACTGCGGGCAGGTGGATCCGAGATTTCGCCTTTTGGCTGCCCGGATTCGTGGTCTTCCGAGTGTGACGCACTGGTGGCTGAGTGTGCTGTATCATGCAGCGGAGTCAGTGCCCTCAGGGAGCGTCGTGGGCCGGCACCTTGGAGTTCAATCTGCTCCAGTCCAATGAGCATGTGGACGGCCTCTCCAAACACGTCGCCGGGCACTGCTTTGCCACTCTCCTCTGATAGGCCTCGGATGACATCGCCGAAAAGTACACTCTTGCCTGGCGGGATAAACCTAGGTATCGATCGTTCTGCCTCCTCAAGCGAGATCTCTTCCCTTGTATCCTCAAAATCGTCATAGTCAGGCGATCCACCCGATGGCGAGATTGATGCAGATCCTGTGGATGTGGCACTCGACCCGACGATGACCACATCTTTCACTGGGGTATTCTCGACACTCTGCAGCCTTGGACTCTTGAAAGCTGGCTGGAGCGGCTTTCGAGAAGGGATTGGTGCCTTGCGAGGAGGAAGATTTGGCGGCTTGCGAAGAGGCAGACTTGGTGACTTGCTTCTCAGATCGTGGCTCTCGCCAAAACGGATCTCATCATCACGACGACGAAACGTATCTCGACTGCGTGGGAGATCGCGTCTTGTGTGGAATTGGCGCAAAGGAGTTGGTGACCTGCTCCTCTCATATCGCCTATCTCTGGAACGATAGCGGCCTCCTCGATCTGCACTTCTCGAGCGCTCTCGCCGTCTGCTTGTCTCGCGTGGTAGATCCCTGGAACGATAGCCGGTTCGATGTCGAAAGGTGCCGTCTCGGCCGTGTGATGGATATCCACTTCTCTCGAATGATCTATCTCTAGATCGAGATCGATCTCTATGGTAGGCTCGGGTGTCTCGACTGCGTGATCGATAACGGTTCGTGTGAGACCTACTCGCCTGGCGTGAGGACCTATCCCTGGATCGAAGACTATCACGGCGGCGAGGAGATTCATCTCGACTGCGTGATAGATCATCACGGGCCGGGCTTCTCGAGCGTCTGCGAGTAGCTGGTGTTGGCAGGCTGCGCGAGAATCCATCACTTGGTCGCCAGCTGGATCCTGTTGTCACTGGCGCCGCGATCTTAGCCTTTATGTGGTCAATGTACTCCCTCTCCTTTGCATCGACCGGGGTGATCTTACCTTCACGCAGCTGGCGCTGGCGTGTGCCTCCAATGGACCTAAAGTAGTCCCTTGCACCCATGGTGTGGTGTGTGTTTTTAGAGCTCAGGTCCCTGAAGACCCGAGCGAGAGACAGCTGTGACGTGCTTACACGGAGGTTCAAGTCGATGCATGCATCAAACAAGAAGCCTGAAGAGGGAAGAGAAGAGAAGCAGGATTCTGGAGATGAGGTGAGGTTGGATCAGGGTGCCAAGCCTCGTGGCGATGCATGTTGGGAAGTCACGATGGATCTTCCAACCCAGACGGCAGGTATGCAACCTCCAGTTGGCATCATGTCCAAGATCTTCCCACAGGTCTTTGAGCAACAGGGCAACAAGCGTGCCGAACGCATTCCCTGCGAAGCGAGCGACCCATTGCCAGATTCTTCGTCGACGGCGACGCCGCTGGCCAGACCACTAAAAGCCAGGGATCAGCCCAAGCGGTACGATCTCCATCGAGTTACAGGGTATTGTTTGGAATACCGCTTCCAAGAGAGGCTGCACCTGGAAGAAAGACCTACCGTGACCGGCCTTTGGGTCTTCCAGCCATGACCTGACGATACTGGACCAAGACGGGCCTGATGTATGACTGAGTGGAAGAGTTGGACAGATGGAAGACTGAGCATCGCTCGTGGATGAAGGACTTCCGGTATGATCCCATCCTTTCAATGGTCTGCTGCCAGTGCCAGTTTACGCTGAGGTTGTCGCTGTGGCAGGGCATCTGCCACCAACTCGTAGTATACATTTTCTTTCGCGATGTGGGTACCGAAGCCATGTGCATTTCAAAATACAGTGCTGTCGACATGAGGTGAAGTCGACCACCGGGGGAAGCTTCACGTTGCCATGCCAACGATACTGCTTACTTGTGATTCCGGCTTGACGGTATTGAGGACTCTAGCTGGTCTTGGTGATTCCGGACGCCAGTCCTTCTCAGAGACCTGTGCTGGAGTCTTGCGAATAATGACCAGCATCTACCGATATCTCATGAGCGCAGTCGGTTATCAGTCCACTCTCCTCTTTCAGTGTAGCAGAGCAGAACTCCGATGCCAACCAACGAACACTTCATCCTGCCTGCGTACATCCCATCTCGACACCTGGTTCACGCTCTCACCTCTCAGCATCGACCACGTCTTCTCGGCATCAACCCCGTCTCTTCTCTTTCCAGCCTTGGATCGGCCTCATGCTGATATGGCAACGTTCTTCATCCAGGCGCTTCATATCTGACCTCCGAGCTCTCCGATTCCATGGCCGAGGATGACAAGTCGGCATATTTGATGCGGCGTGCTCACGATAAGGAAGTGTTGACCAGCAGCAAGATGTGATCACAGGAAGCCACTCGTACCCGTTCTGGACGGTCCCACTTTCACTTCCGCAAAGTGCTGCGGGCATTCGATCGTACACCAACCACCATGGAAAGAGCGAGGATAATGATGAGCCGGCGGTGCAAGAGCATGGAAAGGAGGAAGAAGCCAGGGCCGCAAGAGGTAGTTATAGTTGCCGGTTATCTTCATCGTGGCCGGGGATCTCGGGTTTGTTCAGCTTGGCTCTCAGTCGAATTGCGCAGATAGGTAGATTGGGACCAACCTTCATGGCCAGTATAATGTTCTTGCTCTCGCTCATGTTTCAATTGCCGGCCACAAGCGTCGAATAAGTTGATAACACCGGGCCCGCCAGCGAAGTCAGAGCGTCCTTGTGTGGAAGAGCAAGATCATGCGATGAGCGCCGTCAAATGCATTTCCTGACGTGGGCAGGCATCGTTTGTTGGTCAGAGATCAGCAACCTAGCGGTCTGATCTCCGTGTTCAAATGCCGCTTCCTGCAAGATAACTTTGTGCTGATTGGTGGGTCGTGGATACTCGTGGTGGTGCTCCAGCAAGCGACGGCGCCAGACTTGCATGATCTAATGATGGAGATACTGCTGTGGAGAGGAGGGAGCAGAGAGCGTGGGCTTTGTCTAGAATAAAGAATTGACTTGAAGGCTCGGCCAAGGAGCAAGGCAGCATGGCCTGCGCCAAAAGTGAACGTCCTCGACTGGTCAGAGAAATGCCCATGTTCTGTTCTCGATGGAAACTGACCTGATACCCTTTCCTTGGAGCGAATGACTGCAGTGCCGTTCTACCGACCTCATGCTCGAGATCCGACACATTGTTGTTGGACGTTGTCCCTCCATCCGCCAAGAGCAGTGCAGGTATCGGGAAGTTACGAGGGGAAATGCAGCAATTTCATTCTCTACCGCAATCTGGCTATGTACACGTGAATCATCTTGGAGCAATCATTACTGATTGCGCACTGTGCCCCGTCTGCTTCGCACAGTGCTGTCGGCCCCTCCATAATCTGGTTGCAAAACCTCGACGTGCGAGGCCACCTTTCGGTCCGTCCATCCAATGTGATTCAGAAAACAACGACGAAAATCAAAACCCGCTCAAGCTCGCGGCATATCTCCCATCACTAGCTTGTCAGAGGACCACGAGCCTCTCTATGCACCACCTCGACCACGGCCTCGACCGCGGCCTCGACCACCTCGACCACCTCGACCACGACCGCCACGACCACCTCGACCACCTCGACCGCCATCGTCGCTCTCGAAGAAGTTGCCCATTGGACCCTCGCTCGCTGGCGGGGCGTCGTTGGGGAGATGCTTGGGTCGCTTCTCTGGTGGCAGCAAGCCTCCTGGCTGGGCAGCGAATCCTGTCGTCGGGACAGTTCGCTTCGGGCCAGCATAGACTGGAGCCAATGCAAGAATTGGCAGCAGGGTGTTCTCCGTGGGCGCATTCGGTACCTCGCAAAGGATGTCGGCAATGTCGGTATGACGATAGATATCACCCTTCTCTTCGAGGTTCTTGACGAGCGCGTTGAAGTGCCCGTATGCTCCCGCCTGCTCGAAGTTGCCCTTGTCGTTGCTCTTGAGCTTCGCGGCCCAATTGGCCACATTGCCGAGGATTGTCAGGCAGTCCTTCGCACGCGTCATCAGGACGTTGATGAGGTTCATCAGCTTGATGAATCCGATCGAGGATGGATCCTCGGGGTCATTGCGCACGAAGCTGATGATGATGGACGCCGCTTCGAAACCTTGGATGTCCTCATGAGACCAAACGCGGATGGCCTGGAGCTCGGGCCGATTCAACTCGAAGATGAAACCCGAGATCATCTCCTTCTGCGCCTTGTAAGGCGTGGCGATGATGATATCCGTGGCGGTTATACCGGACGCGACCTGCCACTGGGCATGCTGGATGGCAGCCAAGGCTTCCTCGTAGTTGGCCTGAGACGTGCCGCCCTTCTTCACGGACGAAACGCCGTCGACCTGAAGAGCGACACGCGGACGCTTGTTCCAGAAAGACACTCTCCCCCACATGTCTCTGAATGCCCTACGAGTGGCATTGTCTTCCTTCGTACACTCTGCGTCCTTCAGGCCAGGGTAAAGCTGCCAATCTCGTAGGAAGTCGGCCAATCGTGGTGCCATGCGATACTGGGTGTCGAAAATGGTGAGATCTCGCTGAATGTGCGTGAATTCCTGCTGGATCTGGAACAAGGACAGGTCGATCCACTGCACGAAAGGATTGGAGCCTCTGGAGATGACTACTGGCGGAAGCTGCTTGGGATCACCAGCGAGGATCATCGTCTTGAGGCTCTCCATGAAGCACGCAGCCGGCGTCAGGGTGTCGGGTGGAGTGCACTGGCCTGCCTCGTCCACGATGAGTATCGTCGGCTTGTAGAACTCCAAGGTCGGGTGGCACGACGAATTGTTGGTGCAAAACACCGCCTTCAACTGAGCGAAGAACTTCGCGGTGACCTTGGCAGCGACGTCCTGGAATTCCGTCACAATCTCGTCCAGTCTCCTCGAATTCGCCTTGCGGTTCGGCTGCCGAGGCATGGTCTGAGGGAGCAGTTGACGCATCTCCTGCACTTTGTTCGCAAACAGCTCGCACTCCGTGACAGTCTCCCTCGCCTGGTTGGTGTTTCCCGGCGGAGTGATGTTCTTGTTCACCACCTTCTCGACCCACATTGCCATCTTGGCAGGGAGATAGTCGGACACGTCGTCACCGACATCGTTGTCGTTGGCAGTCAAGAACGCAAAGACAAGCGCAAGGCGCTTGTTATACTCCTCCTTCTCGACCTCATCAGCCCAGAAGTTGTTGGCCGGGGACGCCGTTGATGCATCAGCCATGTCCTGATCGGCAGTGGCATCGGTGGCGTCTGCGGTGTTATCTTCCGCTTCAGGATCGAGAGGAACATCGAGAGTGGGAATCTCGAGGCCGGTGATCGTCTTGCCGTGCATACCTGACCAGTCGAAGCCAGCGTGAGCACTCTTGAAGAGGATGTACTCCCATGGCTTAAGCTTGCCCTTGCTCGAGTCTTTCTTGTCGTTTCGCTTCTTGAAGGCCTCGTACAAGTTCTTCGTGGCCTGGTTTGAGCCTGCGGTCCCAAGAATCTTCTCCTTGACCTCAAGCACCGCTTGCAGTAGAACGGTGACGACGAAAGTCTTGCCGGTGCCCGGTGGACCCCACAGGAGCTTCAGTCCATCCTTGCTCACGAACACACTGAACACAGCCTCGAGTTGACTGCCGTTCAATCCCAGATTCTGAACATGCTTGACCAGCGGATTCGTACCGGTGGCGGGATCCATGGAGTTCCGCAGCCCCTCCCCGAATGGGCTGGTGTCGTTGGCGATGGAGTCTGGGCTCCAAAGGCGATATTCGAGAGGTAGACTCCCTTGCGTCGCTGCTGGCCTGCCCGAAGCTTAGCCAAGGCGTTCATCTGACGATTCGTGGACATGTTGTCTGCGACAAAGTCAATGCTGCATTGGTGCTCGACGCTGGGATCATCGAAGTCGACATCAAGCTCAGGGTTGCGCAGCTTGCAGAGGGCAGCAGGAGTATCGCTGCTCATGTCGTCAAAGGCATCCTCGGCTATACGGCCCGTGAACTCGACCTTCTCGCCGCCGTAAGAGAGGGCAATGTCCACGCGACGACGAAGCTCGGGGACGACGCTACGGTCGTGCTTCTCCAGCTTCGGAAAGATGAGTGAGAGATGATATTGACCGTTGCCGAACGACCGCACGCGGCACTTCGTCCTATCCTTGGCCAATGTGGTGAGTCGCTTCAGCTCATCCCGGGATGTCTTGACTTCGTACGCCAGCGCTGCCTTCATGCAAAAGGCGGGTGTGTCCGTAGAGGGGTACTGACGATGCTCTGGACGCTCGATGCCAGCTATGCTGAAGATCTCAAAGCGCGTGGGTGCGCCATTGCTGTCGTAAAACAGCTTGGCCTCCTTGATGAGCCAGCGCGGGTATGGTATCCAGTTGCCGAGGTCATCTTGGAACGGAAAGTCCTCGTCAGTTATGCTCTTGCCCGCCACTAGGCTCCACCACCACATGTTGCCGATGTGTGCGTTGGCGAAGCAGATGGTCGTCATGTAGTTGCTGACATCCTGCACGACCGGCGGAAGAGGGTCGGCATCCTTGCTGCCAGGCCAAGATACCACACGAAAGACCGACATGTCGCGAGATAGCGTAATGGCGGCGATTGCTTGGTCGGGCTTGTCCATTGACGCTCGCGAGTCGTCTTGGCGGAAGCGGGCCTGCAAGTCATCCAGCTCATCGCGGGTGATGTTCGTGAAAATGACGTTTCCGGTGGCGCCAGACGTCGGCACGTTGTTCTCGTCGTACAGCTGAAGATCGGTGCGCCAGAGCTTGCCGGTGCGTGTTGCCAACTGGGTGAGGATGGCGGGAGGAGATTGCTTGTCGCTCAGCGTTGTCGAGGGGCCACCTGCCGAGAAGTTGATGCCAACTCCATCCTCACCACGGTCGAGGCTGTTGGCGTAGACCTCGATGATGACGCTCCGGCCTGCGCTACGCTGAATCTTGAAGACGACCGAGGGCAGCTGCGAATTCGGACGAAGTCCAAATTTCAAGAAGCGGCGGGCTTTGATTGTCTCATTGCCGCCGAAGACCGGAGTCGGCCAGCCAAATGTCGCGCCGCCCAGGTCGTTGATCATGACCATGGCGAGAGTATCACCCTCGGGACCGGCAACCTTCTTCGTGTCGAGGGAGAAGGTGACAGTCTCCTTGCCACGGTAGTCAAATACATCCTTCAGTGGATGTTGCTTGGCGTGATCCATTGGGAGATATTCAGGGTAGAACTTCTTCGACTCCTTGTACTTCAGCTCCTCGGGAAGGTCCTCGATCGGGATGACCTCGTAGTCCGTCTCCTCAAGCTCGCTGTCGCGCTGAGTGCCCATGGACTTGGAACGCTTCTGAACCGCTTCCTTGAGTCTCGCGTCGTCTGCGAGTAGTCTGAACCGATTCTGTGTCGATGAAGGAGCGGCGGGCGCGCCGTTCGCCGTCCGAAAGCTCGCGGTACCCTGCCAGGCGTTGGTGTTGGATCCAGTTGAGTACTGGATCGAGTGCGCACCTGTTGGAGCGGGATATGGTGGAGCAGATCCTCCTGAGAGGCCCTGCGAAGGGTGCTGCTGAGCAGCGGCAGCGTTGTTGCTGTTGTTTGTAGCAGAGGCCCCTGAAGGCCCCTGCGAAGGGGTTGACACCACGGCTTTACGCCGAGGCGGTACCATCTTTGGATGCGAAAGAGCTAACTCAATCGCAAATGCCGTCGGACGGATGAAGAAGAAAGAGAGGAGAGGAAGCGAGGAGCTCGAAATTCTAAGTGGGCTTGCGCGCCAGCGACGCACAGACCGGAAAATGCCACGAGCAAATTCTCAGAGCTGCACAACTTTGAGCAAACAGTCTCAAAATTATGCTGGAAATGCATGGAAGATGCCAAACTACCACGACATCATGGCAACGACAATGGGATTGGCTTTATTACATCGCATTCGCTGCGAAACTGCATGCGAAAGACCCTCAATAGATTATAGACGCACGCTGATGGGGACGACCAACAGGGCACACTCCAACCCGCTGCCGACTGAACATGACGACTCGCGCCAATGCCCGTTGAAAGTGCTTCTTCAATATTTACTTGAGTTTAGGCTGGATCATCTTTAGCGTTTGCTGTTTACTTTTCGTGACGCGCTCGTCGAAATCTTGTTTGTGCGGGATGGGTGACGAGCCGCGAGTTTGAGTAGGTCTAGAAAAACTCATAAAACTGCTTCGACGTTTCGAGTTCATCATGTATGGCTCAGTCGTGTCTGCACTCATTGAATCACACTGAATCTTGGAGGAGCACAAAGACGAACAAAGCTTCGATTTCGCAGAGACTGAGAGCTTTTACCGCGGATAAGACAGCCGTGATTGCCTGATGAAGTTCCAACGCCCGAGACACTCTACCAAGTTCACCGCGCAGAGCATTGTATGTTTCAAGAGTCAGCGTTCGTTTGTCACTTCGGTGAAAGTTAAGACATGAAGTCGGCTAGAGCCGACGCTCCTTCCCCTTGCTCTGCAGACGCGGGATCGTCCCGTTTCCGGCACGAACCGCCCGCTACCCAATCTTGCTTTACTTGTAGATCCTTTCGCCCCCGAACTTCTTATGTTTCAACCCACCACCATCATCCTCTCGTTTCCCTTGCCGTCGCCCGCGAGTCTTGGTCTCGCCAGCGCTTCTTCCTTCCTCTCTTCAATTCTTTCGCAGGGTCCTTCAGGGGGCTCTGCTCAAAAAAACCACAACAACATGCCCAGCACGCGGTTCGTGGACATCGATCCAAACGGTGATCTCTACTTGCAGATCTCAGACAGTGATTGCCTAGTGCGCGTGTCGAGGCAGACGCTCGCTGCAGGCTCTCCGTACTTCGCTGCGCTCTCCGGCTGTCGCAATGACTGGCGGGAGGCCTCGATCATCAACACTGGCACATCGCTGAACCCGGCTCGACTGCCAGTCCCCGAAACAGACGAAGACGCCTTGACTGCGATGTGTCAGATCCTACACTCACAACAGGATCAAGTTCGAATCAACAACCCAAAGTCGATCGTACGCTTGCTGGCCTTGGCAAACCACTGGATATGCGGCGATGCGGTTCACGCTGCGTCGAGCGACATCTTTCGGCAGATGGTTGACACGGAATCCAACGACGGCCTCGGGCTACTGGTGTACGCGGCCCACGTCATGGACGACGCTGAGTTCTTCAGCAAGTTCACACATCGCCTTGTTGGGTTGCATGATTCGAACCAGCCGAACTCAAGAAGAGTGATCGGACGGGACGACCTCAACTTCGTCCGACAGACCCAAGGCGCGCCCGAGATGGACATACGAAAGTTGGACGATGAGCTTTTCAACCGCTACGTACACAAGTCGGACCAACTCATCTGCGCGGTCGAAAGCTGCATGGACGAAGTCACCAAGTACCTGCAGCCACAGTTCGACCACGAGGACTCGAGGACTGGGCAAGAGTGTAGCATCAACGCCGATGTAGCTGCCGCATACACTCTGGGTCTTGCACGTGTCGGTCTCTGGACCGTCCATTACGTGAAGCACAAGCCCATCGAGCCCATCCGAGAGGCAATGGCAGACTTCAAGATTCCAACAGTCCACAAAGACCGACCTTTCTGCGGTAACCCGTTCTGGGGACACGACAGTAAGGCTTAGATGGCCGCAAACTATATGAAGAAAGAGGCAAAGAAGTGTTGGTTCGGCCTGTGTCTGGACTGTTTCGAGGACAACTCACTCCGATACACCGCCCAAGGTTGCAGAGTCCTACATCACAGCGATGTGAACGATATCGACGACCCCCGCCAAGCAGGACAGCTGAGATAGAGAGGCTTGCATCGGATACGAACTTCATCAGCCAACACGATATCCCGCAAGGAACTTGAGAAAAAGGTTGAGGCAGCGCCAAAGGGTAAGGGACAGGCCGCCCTCCATGCTTACGCGCAAGCTCAGATGAAGGAGAGAAAACAAACAATCAGCAGCTGAATCCAAAGGCACCCGCTGCTCCTGCTGCAGATACACTCTCCTCCACAGCCACTGCAGCACCACATTCGTCTCCGTTGGCTCAAAGACCCGGGCCTGCGCCATTAGCAGGCATTCCCGCAACACCTTCTGCACAGCCTACTCAGCCAGCTACCTCGTCGCCAAACCCTCCAGCGCCGTCTCTTGCCTGGAAGCAACGCAGACTCCAGCACTGTGGCAGAAACGCCTTCGCTTGCAGCTGCATTCGATACGCTCGTGAAAGGACTTGCGGGTCCTACGTCGATGGGCAGGAATGGAAAGGTGGACCTCGTTTTACAGTCAATTCATAGCAAATACCAACCTTGTGTTACCTGTTGACTTCTCGCTTTACTTTGAACAGAAGAAAAGATTACACATAGAAGTTTCTTAGTCTTTATTCTATTATTTCATAATGCTGTGGCTAATTCTCAAAAAAGCGTGTATCAAGCAGTCACGTGCACCAAGCCATCGAGAGTCGAGACTTCTGTGGCTATCTTCAATCGGCTAAAGAGGGCAAGCCAGGTCCGAGCTGCGGAACGGAGGTCTGAGGTTTCTGAGACTTCACTTCTCTCATCTTCCCCCGTCCGTCTCTCCTTCGGCGTCACGCCTACGACTGCGACTTGCAACACCCACTCTTTTCTCCGCCGATTCCTGCTGCCAACTGATGATCACAACACCGAGCCACCATGGCACAGCCAGCCCCCGATGAGGTTCTCTCCATCGCGCAGGCGGCTCCAAACGCCTCGTCGAAACCGGCATCTCGTGCTGCTACTCCGGCATCGACTCCCATCGGATTTCAAGCAGTCAATGCAGTAAATTTTCGGGCGGTCGCCGAAAATTTGGCGGCCACAGGCAGCGATGCGGCTCTCTCTCAGAGCGCACCGTCCACGGCCCAGCCTGCCAAACCGCCGTCCCAGAGCGACGCTCTCGATGCCACCATGGCCGAAGCTTCGTACGGGACGCGCTCGCGTAACAGAAACAACGCTCGACCTAACTACGCCGAGGACCAAGACATGGATTTCGAGTTTGCGCCCGCAACAAAGAAGAACATGAAGTCCAGCGAAGTGCCAGCCGCGTCAGAATCGAGGCAAGCACCGCCGTCTTTTGTCGCGGTCAACAACAGCCAAGCCTCGTCCGCCACCACCCCAGCTCACACTGCCGTTCCTGCTGCGTCTGCGGGCCCGACGAAGAAGCGGAAAGCTGCTGGCACGCCCGCTGCCTTGCACACACCCACCGCTTCATCAACGCCGCCGCCAGCAGCGTCGCGCAAACCAACCGCGTCCGCGGCCTCGTCGACCATGGCACGTGAGACCAACATCATGACGTTCACTAAGCACCGAAGCTCCCTCAACAAAAAGGGCGAGCTCGTTGCCGACGATGGCACGAAGCTCAGTGTCAACGGTAAGCCTTCCTCTCCCCTGATTCCGACAAACCCAACGTTGCAGGTTGCAGGCTTGCAAGCCCTACCCCGCTTGCGACAGCGAATTCGTTCCTGAGGCTAACATTGACAAATTAGATCACGTGTACCTAGTATGCGAGCCACCCGGCGACCCATACTACCTCTGTCGAATTATGGAGTTTCTGCACGTCGACAGCGGCAACCCCAATTCGCCAATCGATTCTCTACGGGTCAACTGGTACTATCGACCTCGCGATGTGCAGCGATTCAGCAACGACACTCGACTGGTCTACGCCACCATGCATTCCGACATGTGCCCTCTCACCTCGCTGCGTGGGAAGTGCACGATCAAGCATCGATCGGAGATTGAAGATCTCGAGCTCTATCGCAAAGAGCGAGACTCGTTCTACTTCGTGCAGGTGTTTGATCGCTTCATTCGACGAACATACGAGTGCATTCCCGTACAGCAGATCATCAACGTGCCCGATAAGGTCAAGAAGGCGCTGGACGAGCGATGGAAGTTCGTCGTCGTCGAGATCGGCCGTATCAAGGAGCTCACAAGTGCCGCGAAGACTTGCAAGCGATGTGCACGGTACTGTGCTTCGAACGACTCGGTCGACTGCGCGATATGCAAGAACTCCTACCACATGAACTGTGTGCAACCTCCTCTGCCGAAGAAGCCGTCACGAGGATTTGCTTGGGCCTGTGGTCCTTGTAGTCGTGCGTCGGAAAAGAAGATGGAAGCTACGCCCACCCACAGTGCTGAGGCCACCGAGGCGGAAGAAGAGGAAACGGCAGAGGAGGAGGCTCCAGGTGCTTCGAATGACACGACTCGAGCTCCTAGCCCAATTGCTGACGACATGATCGTCGATGACCATCCCGCGACACAGGCGGAAATCGCACTGGCGAAAATGTGGCCGATGCGATATCTTGGGATTCATGCTCGAGTTGAAGACGCCCTCCAGTACGACGATCGAGCCATCTATCCAAGAGCCAGTTCGCGACTTGGCCCACGACATCAAGCCAACGTGTCAATGTGGCATGGCCGTCCGGTTGAGCTTGTGAAGCCTGCCGAGATTAAGAAGCGGTACAACAAAGCCCCTGCTGGAAAGAAAGAGGGCAAGCTCACGAAGGAGACTCTCGCGGCGATTGAGGCAGATCGCGAAGAGAAGGCAAAGCGACCAAAGTGGGTTCAGGATGAGCCAGCTGGGTACGTTGCTCGAGGCGAAGACTACGATGCCAAAGACCCCAGATGCACCGCCAAGTTGATGTTCAAGATGCCGACTATTGAGGAGCACCCACAAGCCCTCGCGGGTAGGGAAGGCGATCCAATTCCGAAGCGACAGGAACTGTTCATGGACATCTACTTCGACCGCGCTAAGAGTCTGGCCCGCATCGTTGGTGTACCTTCATTCGGCACAAATTTCACCGACAAGGCCATGGAGCTGCTTGCCGCGAACAACTACAAACAGGATGCCGCACTCAAGCAGCTATCCAAGATCGATCGTGTCAAAGACCTTCATGAGCCGGTACTCAGCAAGTCTGATCTGGTGAAGTTTGAGGAGGGTGTCGCCAAATACGGCTCTGAGCATCGTCTCATCCGCTTGCACATGAAGACCACTTTGCCACACTCAGATATTGTGCGCTTCTACTACCTCTGGAAGAAGACGCCAAAGGGTCGTGAGATCTGGGGCAACTACGGTGGTCGCAAGAAGCGAAAAGTGGAGAGCGACGTAGGCGCCAAGTTGCAAATTGAACTAGCGAACGACGTCGATGATTCTGCATTCGACAACGACAAGGCCGTCAAGCGGAATCGTGGCTTTCAGTGCAAGTTTTGCAACACCTATCACTCGCGTCAATGGAGGCGAGCACCTGGCGTGTCCCCTGGCCAGCTTGCACCGCCTGACAGCAAAGCGGAGAAGAAAGACAAGAGAGACCGCTCACTCCTTGCCCTCTGCCTTCGGTGCGCCGGACTTTGGCGCAAGTATGCCATTCAGTGGGAAGAGATCGACGAAGTGGCTAAGAAGGTTGCTTCTGGTGGCGGCCGCGCGTGGAAACGCAAAATCGACGAAGAGCTTCTGCGCGAGCTTCTCGCCGCCAACGAGGCTGCTACTGCGCCTAGAGATGACCCAGGCTTGCTACTCGAAAACGGCGAGCCGCCGAAGAAGAAATCCAAGACGGACAAGGAAGTTGCACAGGCTGCTGCGAAGAAAGAGAAGCCGCCGCCACCACCAAAGGAGCCAACTCCACCGCCTCCCCCGATCATACCTGCTCAACCGACTTGGAAGGTACTGCCATGCGCTGTCTGCAAAATCAGTGGCGAAACGATAGCTTGCGCACATTGCAAGTTGACTGTCCACCGACGCTGCTTTGGGGTCGGTGCGGAAGAGGGGGTGAGGGCCAATGGCGATGTTCACTGGGTCTGCGAGCAGTGCCAGAATGACCGCAATCCTACGGTTTCGACCGACTACTCTTGCTGCTTGTGCTTGACCGAGGAGACACAGGTGGATCTCGTGGAGCCGCCGAAGATATCGCACAAGAAGAAGACCGATCGTGAGCGTGAGAAGGAACGCCTTGAGAAAGAGCTTGCAGATGGCATGCGCGCTGAGTATCGCAGCAGGCAGCTCATGCACAACAGGCCCGTCATTCCTCGAGAGCCGCTCAAGCGAACCACTGGCAACAATTGGGTGCATGTTCAGTGCGCAGTATGGGCACCGGAGATTCGCTTCAGCAACGCCAAGGTCTTCGAGATTGCCGAAGGCTTTCAATTGATACCACAGCAACGATACGAAGCTGTCTGCAAGTTGTGTAAGAACAAGGATCATCAAAACCGACTACGGGAAAATGCCGGCGCATGTGTGAATTGCTTCCACTGTAGTGCAAGCTTCCACGCATCGTGCGCCTTCGAGGCTGGCTACACATTTGGCTTTGATGTTCAGCCAGTCAAGGGTTCCCGCAAGGACCAGATCATGACGGCTACTCTCGGACAGGAGACTGGAGCACTGACGGCAATCATCATCTGCAAGGAGCATACCATCAAAGGCATCGTCCACCCCATCCATGAGATCGTAGACGACAGCGGCAAGACAGCGCTGCAGGTCTATTCCGAGGCTTACAAGCAGGCCGATCTCACCTTGACTGGCACTGTTCGGAAAGCGGCGCAGGCGCAACTTACTAAGGATAAGGGACTGCAGCCGGCATCTGCACAAGGTGCGAACAGGCGTGAGTCCGGGGCGCATAGTATCGCAGCGGCAGTGAGACGTGGAGCTAGGACTTCATCACTCGCAGACACCAAGGCTGAAGCAGACGACGGTTCAAACGACCTGGCCAACGTCGCCGAATTCCAGGAGCGGCGTTGCGCCAAGTGCAACATCGACGCCACGCCCAAGTGGCATCCTGTGATTGAAGACACCAAAGTCGAGCCGGCTCCATCGCCACGCCCGCAGGGAGACACGAACGATGCAGGTCAAGAAAATCCAGGCGAGCCACCGCGGCCGCAGAACATTCGCTTCATGGCTCCGGGTATGAACGGGCGTGCGTGGGATGGCATGCCTGATCGGCATGGACCACGACCCATGTCTAATGGCGACCGTGTCATGAGCGAAGCTCCTCCGGGAATACCGGTCGGAACGCCTGTCAGGGACGCATCTCTACCACTCAACATCAACGGAGATCGGCCAATGACCGACGACTTCCCCAGGCGCGAGACTGAAGAGGTCTTCCACAACCACGCTCTGCCGCGATATCAGAACCCAGCAGAGCACACGCCGCCGCCGTTGCCAGAGGACGAGCCGAAAGATAAGCTACCTGAGGCCTGGCTTTGCCACAAATGCTTCCTCAAGAAGAAGCTCGATCCTACACCACCTCCTTCTCCCGGCGATGGATCGCGTTCGCCGACCCGCGTTGTCAACGACCTCGACATCCTATTAGACTCCGATTCATTGCCAAAGCCCAATATCGAGGAGCAGTTTGAGCTATGGGATAGACCACCCGTCCGACCATCTGTGCCGCCTCCACCCCAGGCGCCGATCAATGGCATGGGTCCCCAGCCTCCTCACTTCGGGTCAGGACAGTCACTGCCTCCTCCTATGCACGGGTATGGTCCACCACAGCCCAATTTTGGCCAGCAGCCAAATGGGTACCCGGAGCCGCCTCGACACCATTACGACCAAGGCTTACCGCCGCCCCCTGTCCCTCATCACCACAACCACAATCCCAATCCATTCTGGGATCCACAACTCGAGAGGCACGGCGCGATGGGCTACCAGCCTCCATCTCAGACTCCTCCAAACGTGCCACAGCACTCGCGACCTCCTTCGCTGAATGGATACCCGCCACAAGGCCAGCCTATGACGAATGGAATGTCGTCGCCTCGTAACGGCGCGCCTCCCATTCTACAGTCACCGTCATTCCCTCATGGTCCTCCGCACCAGCAGCACCCGAACCATCAGCAGTATCAGCATGTGCAGCAAAACATAGCTGGCCCAGCCGCGACTGAGGTTTCGAGAACGCTGCCAGTCTGGGGATTTCCCGACAATTCCACCAACGATCCGACCAATCCGTACAGCCGACCGCGTTCGGAAGTCATGAACGGGCAACCACAACAACATACACCAAGTCAACCGCACATGGCTCCTTCGCAGCCCGGTGCGAGCCCTCAAGCTCCTATGACTTGGCCGGATGGGCAGCCTCCCAGACCAAGCACCCCTCGAGATGCACAGACGAATGGGTTTCCCAACACCTCAGGTGCGAGTGCTAGCCCCAACCTGATGAATTTGATACACTGAGGATGGCATGGAAGACATGTACAGTATGGGGTTGACTTGTGCAGTGCGCACCTGGAGGCATAAGACGATGTATGGAAAGAAGGCTACAACCAGCCTGGATGAAATGGTGGTAGAATCGATGTACACTGTAGCATTATGGCATGATTATTGTCCTAACATTCAAATATGGTGCTTTTCCGTTACAAGCTGTACTCGCGAGGTGGAACACGTGACTTTCGGAAAGCGGCGCTTGCCGTACTAACCACTTGACTTGTATGTTTTGAACCACCCTTTTTCCAGCCGTCTCGCCGTCTCGCCCGAACAACACTTCTGTCACGATGGGTCGCGCATACTCAGAAGAACAACGAGAAAAGGTGCGCCAGCTACTCGAGGACGGCAAGGATGAGGACTACATCGAGAAGGAGACTGGCGTGTCCGACCGCACCGTGCGACGCTGGAAACTCGAGCTGGAGCGCAGTAAGTCCATGGCCCATACTACGATCGCTTGGCCCATTGTACGCGCGCAGCGATATGGCTGACACTCGCTCACCCAGCTGGTCGCATAGGCAAACCACCAGAGAGCCGCACTGGCCGCCACCGCGTCCTCAACCCCGACATCGAAGCCGTAAGTCCAGCAGCTGCCCGTTCATGTACATCCGATCCTGGGGAACGAATACCCCGCTGACGCGTGCTTTGGCAGGCACTCTTCGAACATGTAAAGGACAAGCCCAACATGTCGGTCGACGACATGTTGTGGTGGCTCTACGATACGTACAAGATTGTTGTTGCGACACGCACCATCCGTCGCGTGTTCGAGCGCAAAGGCGACAAGGTCAAAGGCAAGAGCAAGGGCGGACGGAAGAGTAATGCGCAAGGCGACGACGGCGACGACGACGATGGTGACGACGATATGGATATCACGTCCCCTGTACAACAAAACGGTCAATATCAATCTCCATACGCGCCGATGGCCCAGCAAGCTGCCAGCTCTGCGGAACAACAGCTCGCGCAGGCTCTACAACAACAGCAGACTCCTCAGCAACAACAGTTCACAATGCCCATGGAGATGGAAGGCGACTTACCGGAGGACGAAGAGACGATTCAGCTGCAGCTCCAACAGATTGCTCTGCAGAAGCGTGAAGTCGAGTTGAAGCTTAAGATGCGGCGACTTCAAAGCGGCAAAGGAACACCTGGATCAGCAGCATCGTCGGCTTCGAAGAATACCAGGACACCGAGCGGGACCAGCACGCTCTACAATCCCAATGCCGTGGTACCGACTGGTCCAAAGCGGGATTCGCGCAGCAAGAAGAAGATTGAGGAGTCGAAGAAGCGGACAGCAGAGCGACAAGAGCGTATGTTGCGAGATCTGGAGAGACGTAGCAGGCGGCGGGACCACTTGACTGCTGAGTGGGTGCAGAGTAAGGATATCTGGCCGTTGCGCGCACAAGGCATGCTCGCCGACCTCATGCATCAATACGGCTGCTACACCTTCAGCCAGAACCAGATCGATACCTTCGAGGCTATGTACCGGGAACTCTACCAACTGGTCGACCTCACCAAAGGTGATTGGCTGCCGCACATCCACGACGAGATGCTTCGAGAGCGGATGAAGAGGAAGATGGGCCAGCTGCGGACTAAGATGCAAAAGACTGGCGAGATCATCGGTCGCACGGATGGCTATGGCGGCTTTCAGAAGGCGAAGGACTACACGGGCGAGCAAGCTGGCGCGACTGTCGGCGATGAGAATGAAATGGTTGCGGACATGCAAGCCGATCCAGGTGCTCCAATGCCAGACCAGACGATTCACTACGACCCAGTGCCGGATCACCAACAGATGCAACCTGCGATGCCGTACGCGATGATGCCGAACCAACCGCCTCAGTATCCACTGATGGATCACAACAACCCAGGAATGCTGCCTTATGGTCACATGAATGGGCAAATGAACGGTCAAATGAACGGGCAGATGAATGGCAACCCAGGCATGGGCATGGGGATGTAGTACTCCGCCGTGTGATGAGGACATTATCCCTTGAGCATTGGCGTCTCGCTCTAACAGACTGACGAAGGAGTGTGATTCTGGTTTCTGCTGTTTTACCGTGTTTGATGATACCACTGCAGTTTAGCGTTTTATGGAGCAAAGAGGGAGAGGGGAAATCAAATGGTTCTTCTTTGGACATCCAGTCTCTATCATAGTGAGCTGCCTCTTTGGTCAAGTGCCTCCACGCCACGCCTGAAGACCTCATGACCTGCGTTCACAACTCAACTGACTGACAAACAAACTTCCACACCAAACTCGTAAAGCAACCAGCCACAAGTCACCTCTTGCTTACGCAGTGACACTGACACCAAACTCGAACGTCGTGTGAAACCTGTTCTCCAACAATTTCAACTGCTACATCGGATCGGTCATTACTACCCTGTCGACTTATGACGTCGCCTGCATATGCCCCTCCAAGTCCAAGTTCCAGCAACAACCACACGACACACGACCCTGACCCCGCTGCCGTGAGCGCAACGCAAAACGACCCTTCGGGACTTGACTGCACTGGAGTGGTTTGTGCCAAGTATTTTCACAAGCCGTGGGGCATAGGCTGTCAGGGACACGGACTGATACTGGCATCTTTCTTTACCGATCCGTCGTTCACTTCCTCCTACGACTACGAAAGGACAGGGCAAAGGGCAATCCAATGTCTCAAACAGAGCCCTCTCCCTCCAAACCTCAAACCCCAGCATCCCAGACTCTCACCCTCCCCTCCCCAGAAGTCTTGAGGGAAATCACCAGGAAACAAGAAGAACGCGCCAAGATAATCCGAGAAAGGAGGTTGCAGGAACGGAAGAAGGATTTATTTGGACGACAGGGGGAGGGGGAGGGTGATGAGGAAGAGGAGAGAAGTAATGCGGCCAAGATGATTCAGAGGAATTATCGGGGACATAGGGAGAGGAGGGCGTTGGAGGGGTGTGGGTTGAGTACGGGGACGAGGTGGCTTGAGGTATGATCGATTGCTGTTTGCTTTTTGTTCCTTTGAGTTTTGGGTTGTTGGATTGGGGAATGTGATTTTGGCTGATGTTGTGGTGATGTAGGCTTTGAAAGATGGTGAGTAGTGGACCACGAGCTCGCGTGCTTCGTCGAGGATCAACAACCAGAAGGTATTTGAGAACTGATAATCTGACTCTCTAGCCGAATACACAAACTTCACCACCCCCCAATCCCGCGCCGCGCGCTTCTCCCCCTCAACAACCACCACCCAACGCGTCAAAGACCGCTGGGCGCACGCCGGCGCCGTCGCCAAACGCGTCGGCAGCGACGACACAAGCGACAGCGAACCGGACGACGCCGACAACGATCAAACCTCCCGCGCCCGCCGCAAACAGCAAAAGAGCGAAAGGGAGAAATACGCCAAGACGATGGGGCTGGAGTACTTCCTCGAATTGGTGGATCAGAAACACCGCTACGGCAGCAATCTGCGGCGGTACCATCAGGAGTGGAAGAAGAGCTCGACGCAGGAGAATTTCTTTTACTGGTTGGATTATGGGGAGGGGAAGACGGTGGATCTGGAGGATCGGCCGCGGGAAAGGTTGGATCGCGAGCAGGTGCGGTATCTGTCGCGGGAGGAGAGGAAGAATTATCTCGTGCGGATTGATGGCCAGGGACGGTTCGTGTGGGATAAGGACGGGAAGGCGATTACGACGTCGCCGGATTTCAAGGATAGTGTCGAGGGGATCGTGCATACGAGCGATGAGACGCCGACGTGGAGGGAGGTGACGACGGGGGAGAAGGTGCAGCCTTCCAAGGAGGAGGACAAGTCGGATTCTTCGTCGACGAATACGTCCATCAGCACGGGGAGTCAGGAGGATGGGTCGAAGTATGTGAATGAGGAGTTTCATGATGCCAAGGGCGTCTCGAAGCTCAATCACGTATCCGTCGACGCGCTTATGAACCATCTCTTGAGGAAGACAACCAAGAAGAATACCTGGATCTTCGTGGCGGATACGAGTTTTCGGTTGTATGTGGGGATCAAGCAATCGGGAGCGTTCCAGCACTCGTCGTTCTTGAAGGGAGCGAGGGTGAGTGCCGCTGGGTTGATCAAGATCAAACGAGGCCAGATTCGAAAGCTCTCGCCTCTGAGCGGACACTATGCGCCTCCGGTGCGGAATTTTCGCGAGTTTCTCAAGAGTTTGAAGGCTGCTGGGGCGGATCTGAGTCGGTTGAATGTCAGTCGGAGTTATGCGATTATTTTGGGGTTGGAGGGGTATGTCAAGGTGAAGAAGAGGGGAAAGCAGGCGAAGAGGGGGGTTTGGGAGGCGCTGCATCCAGATGAGAAGAGGAGGAGGGAGGAGGCGGAGAAGGATAAGAGTCAGAGTGCGGAGAAGGAGAGGCAGGTGTTGGCGGAGGAGGAGAGGGTCAGACGGAGGGAGAGTAAGAGTTTCAAGTTTATGAAGAGGGTTGGGTTGAAGGAGGATGGTGATGGTGGTGGTGGTGGTGATGTTGTGGGCAGTCCAGCTGGGGCGAAGAGTCCGACTAGTGGTGTGAAGTCGCCAGCGGGGACAAAGAGTCCAGCGAGTGTTTTAAAGAGCCCCGTGGGTGTTGTACAGGACAAGCCCAAGTAGATGCTTGGTGAGGAGTTCGACAGGCTCATGACTTTGGACGATTGATGATTGCTGTTTTGATGACTTGCATTATTCTTTGCATGATGAGCGTTGATACCATCTTCTTGCGAATGATGCGTTTGTGGATTTGTATAGTGTCGATTGAAGAGTTGAGAGTCTTGTCTTTTTCTTTCAATGCGGCGTCTTTGAGGTTTCATATCGCGCTTGAGCTCGTCAAGTTGTTGAAGCTGAACAAGCCCGTACAGCTGAAGCAGACTCGCTTTCGTGTCGAAGGACTGCTGGCGATGTGGTAAGGTAAGTTCTGGCTCGTTGGTAAGTGCTAGAAGGTGTTCTTTCTGCAAACGTAGCAGCTTGCTCGTCGGTATCGAAAAGACGTGTTCCCCCCTCGTTGCAGTACGAGCTGTCAATGTCGATCAAACCCGACGCACATCATCGGAGAGTTTGTGAGCGCCACGTTCGTCAGGAACAGGAAAATGCCACGACGTCGGCGAGGTCCATCATCGATCAATCAAATGATGAGCATCGTCCGTGTGGGCGTGGTGGGGAGAGACGTTGGGTGGATTCGTGCATTGGAACGCTTCGTTCCGACTTGCCGGACGTTTCTCTGGATGATGTCGCGATCAGAAAGGACTGCCGGCATCGAGGAGGATCGTGATGTTTGGCTTGCATCATTGTGCCCCTGACATGTGCTTATGGTTGATATGGGTGAAACAGCCGGTTTGCGGGAGTGTGCATAGTGGGATTTGTTGGCAAGTTTTTGTGATGCTGTAGGAATTGGATTGGATCGGTACGTCATTCGCGTGTTGTCTTGGCAGGTACGCGTCCGAAGTGGTGATTGCAGCTGTGGCGAGTGAGGGTTGCGCCGCATGTTCACGACCACGGTCCCCTCTGTAAAGTGTCACTTGCCGGTTGATTCGAGTCAGTGGCAGCAGAGGGATATATGAGGAGCCGGACTGCAGTTCTTGATATTCCGGCAAGATGGATGTTCGTGGTTGATTTCATGCTGCGACGAGTGCGATACTCCAAATCCGTGGACTAGTCGACGAACTGCTGGACAGTGAGTCGAGCTCACCAGCCACAGTCCTCGAGCAATGCTGGTCAGGTCGAGCCGACTCCGCAATGCACAAAATGGCACCGCGCGCTGACATCAGTCTGGACCACCCGCTCCAAACATGGCCAGGTCACGACATCAAATTGGTGGGACATCGGACGTGCATCCGAATGTCCTTTCCCACCTGTCGCGTAATGCTGGTGAGAATCGCGTAGACGCGACTGTCGACCGATGATGTCAGTTCCGTGTGCGACAACCCGGATGCGTGAGAGAGAGAAGGGTCTTGTGGCTGTTTGATGAGATGGAAGAGAAATTGGGAGAGAGTCTGAAGTCTCTCGCCCAGAACGCTAGGCCTGAGAGTCATTGGAGAGTTGGCCTTAGCGCGACAGCCCGTCGCAATGGTCCTCGACTTCACCTGCTATGAAACTACCGGAATAAATATGATATAGAATGGAAACGCGTCGACCTGTATACTCGACTGACGCAGTGTGCATGGCTGGGCTGCCACACGATCGGCTGTGGTGCAGAGGCGTCTCGACGCAGGCGTTGCGTCTTGGCCCGATCCCCATCGACCGATTGGCGTCCAAAAACCTGGCAATCCGGATTGTCATCCCCTGATCCTGGACCCATCTCCACCTATCTGCGTCTCCAGATCGCTCACGTCGCCGCTGGTTGCGCTCGTCCAGCCACACGCACGCGAATGCTGGAGTGCTGCCGCCGCCAAATGCTGCGTTCTGGAAGAAGCTTAAGCAGGACAGGAAGGTCGACTGCGCGCTTCCCCGTGATTGCGGCTGGCCGGTCGCCCAACGCAGACGTGCAGCATCAGCCATTGTAATTTGTTGCAGAAGATGGCTGGAGAATTATTGCGGTGACATCACGATGCCAGGCCTGGGGGTGGCCAGCATGAGGTCAGGCGCAGCGAATCGATCCCATCAGTCGAACGGCTCGCCGATCAGTCGTGGCGCCCATCGACGCATGCCTGTCTCGAAACCTGCTTGGCCAGCCCCATCTGCGCCCACTGGCCACACGAGGCGCGAGCTATCGGACCTCTTCCCCGTGCGCATCCAGAGCACAGGCTGGTCGGCAAGCTCTCAGTACGTCATCTCGATGGCACACTGCTCCTCTGCCCGAGCCTCTTGTACCAGTGCAGGAAGCTTCCCTCCCTACCGTTAATGACCTGCACGATATATCACTGCCAGAGCCCAATTCCCTAGCCACATTCCCCAAAAAGATCCTTCCCTCTCCCACTACACTCAGGTCTTGCATAGTGATTGCATGACCAGCAATTCCAATTCATACGCATACTATTCCTTCCCTCCCACCCCTAATAGGACATCTCCTTCGCGACGACACGCTTCACGAAACACTACTCCCCTCTCAGACCAGACCACAGCAACAATGGCCCCATCTCCAGCAGCTGGAAAGCAGACGGGCGCACCCAAGACCCCTACGAAATTGACACGACGACCAGGACAGACACCCCAGAAGCCTGGACAGACTGGTTCAGCAAGCAGGCCAGCTCCTTCAACACCCAAAGCTTCGCAGGCAACGAAGCCAGAGACAGAATCACCCCAGATCCCATCCCGGCCAAAGGTACCCGGAGGCAAGGGACAGCAAGCTGCCAGCCAGGCTCAGAGCACTGCAGAGAGCACTGCCGGCGATGCTGAGGACCAGGCTCAGCAAGGGCAGAGCAGCGTTGAAATGAGAGACGACGATGATGACGACGAAGGCCCAATGAGCAAAGTCACCGAGGCAGGCCAGCAAGGCCAACAAGGCCTCGAGGAAGCAGCACCAGAGCCCATTGGTGATGACGACGATGACACTGTCGGCGGCGCTCAAGGCCAGGCGGAAGACACCGCCGAAGAGGCCGAAGAAGAGGGCCAGGACTTTGCCGACGACACGACAGAGAAAGCTGGCGACAACGTCCAATCCGCAGACGATGAGGACGAGAGCCAAGAACAAGATCAGTCTCAGCAGCTTGGTGACAAGGCCAGCGGTCTCGCAGGTCAAGCCAAAGGTCTTGCTGGCAAAGTTTCTGAGGGCAAACCCACCGAGGCAGCCCAGGAAGGCGCTGAAGATGTCAAGGAAGGTGTTGAAGATGCTGCCGAGAATGCCCAGGATACCGCACAGGAGGGTCTCGACGAGAGCCAAAAGGTGGCTGGCGAGGCCACTGACGAGGCTGGCGATGCTGCCGAAGGCGCAGTCAACGGCGCGAAAGACGAAGCCGAAGAAGCGACCGGCAAGGAGATCAACGTGCCCGAAGGCCTGCCAGTCGATCTTTCCGTGCTGAAGGGATTGGAGGTCAACGAAGACGGCGGTGTCTACGATCAAGAAGGCAACCCCGTTGGCAAGCTCGCCGAGGGTGACGCAGAAGACTTGGCCGGATACCCCATTGGCGACGACGGCGAGATCCTTGACGACGATGGCGATCTCGTCGGTCGTGTCGAGCTCCTACCTGACGAAATCAAGAAGCAACTCCAAGAAGCTCAAGAACAAGGCGAGGAGCTTCCTGAAGGTGCGGAAGAGTTCCTCAGTCAATACCAGGACGACGCCGAAGACGCCGTTGACGGTGTTGAGGATGAGGCCGAGGGCGCGGTCAGCAATCTGCCACCACTTTCCATTCTCGAGGGCTTGACCTGCCAGGTCGACGGCCTCATCTACGACTCTGATGGAAACACCATCGGCCGAGTCACGGATGGCGATCCTCAAGATCTGCAAAACGCTGTCCTTAATGACGAGGGCGAGTTCATTGACCAAGATGGAAACGTTGTTGGTTACGCCGAGATTCACGAAGATGCTGAGGACCTAGTCAACCAAGGCATCTACGAGCCAGCTCAGCAAGCACAAGAGACTGCTGAGGACGCCGAAGACCAAGTCAATGGTGTCGCCGAAGACGCCGAAGAGGATGTCGACGGTGTCGCTGACGAGGCTGGCGAGGAGGCTGGTGAGATTGAAGACCAGCTGCCTGGCATTGAAGCTCTCGAAGGCAAGGAGCTCAACGAAGCTGGCGACATCCTTGACGACGAGGGTAATGTCCTCGGCGGTGTCGAGGATGAGGAGCTGAAGCAGAAGATCGCTGACGGCGAAGTCGACCCCAGCACCCTCAAGATCGACGAAGAGGGTAACATCCTCGACGAAGATGGCAACATTCTCGGCAAGACCGAACTTGCTGAGGGCGCCGCTGAGAAGATCGCCGGCGTCGGTCCATCTCTTCTCGACATGCGCATCCTCGACGGCAAGAAGGTCAACAAGAAGGGCAAGATCTTCGACGACGATGGTGAGGAGATTGGTGAGCTTACCGACGGCGAATTATCACAGTGCGCCGGAGGCAAGGTCAACGACAAGGGCGAGGTGTACAACAAAGCCGGAGAACTTGTTGGCCACGTTCGCATCGTCCCTGGCGAGGCCGCTGAGACTGCCACCAAGGAACTACTTGAAGAGCTTGGTGAGCTTCCCGAGGAGGGAGAGGAGGCCGCCGAAGACGCAGAGGAAGAGGAGCCACAGTTCGAAGAGCCAGACATCTCCATCTTGGACGGTCTCAAGGTCAACAAGAAGGGACAAGTCCTCAACGAGGACGGCGAGCCAGTTGGTGAGCTCACTGCTGGTGAGCTTTCGCAGTGCGCGGGCAAGAAGATCAACTCCATTGGAGAGGTTCTCGACAAGGATGGCAATGTCATCGGACATGTTCGCACTCTGCCACAAGAGGTGCAGCAGGCCGCCGCTCCTCTCTCTATCCTCGATGGACTCAAGGTCAACAAGAAGGGCCAAGTTCTCAACGAGGATGGCGATGTCATTGGTGAGCTCACCAGCGGTGACTTGTCCAACTGCGCCGGCAAGAAGATCAATGCTCAGGGCGAGATCCTCGACGACGAAGGCAATGTCCTCGGCAACGTTCGCACCATCGGCGGCACGGCTGAGGAAGAGCCAGCTGAAGAGCAAGGTGAAGGTGAAGAAGAGGAGGGTGAGGAACTTCCACCACTCTCCGTCCTCGAAGGCCTCACCGTCAACAAGGCCGGCAAGATTGTCGATGACAATGGTGCCGTCCTCGGTGAGCTCGTTGAGGGTGATGCCAAGAAGCTGTCGAAGCAGGGCATCACTTGCGACGCTGAAGGCCAGTTCTGGGACAACAAGGGCCATGTCATCGGACGTGCCCAGACCCTGCCACAGGCCGACCCAGAAGAGGAGGCTCCATTCGCAGGTCTCGAAGGACTCCACGTCGTCGACGACGGGTGGGTCTGCGATGAAGACGGCAACTACGTCGGATACATCACCGAGGGTGATGCAGCTTCTCTTGTCGGCCGCACCGTCGACGAGGATGGTGATATCCTTGATAAGAAGGGCTCCGTCGTTGGCCATGCCGATCGCTACGTCCCAGAGGAGGAAGAGGAGGCTCCAGAAGAAGCCCCAGACTACTCGTCGCTCCAGGGCAAGACCATCACCAAGTCCGGTCTGGTTATTGGCGACGAAGGCATCCCCGTCGCACGCCTTGCAGAGGGCAATGCCAAGGAGCTTGCTGGTCGTCAACTCGACGATCAAGGCCAGTTCTGGAACGACACTGGTAACGTCATCGGCCGAGTCGAATGGATCCCCCAGGAAGAGCGTGAAGCCAAACCAGAGGGTCCCTTCGCCGGCCTGGATGACTTGCGAGTCATTGAAGGCGGCAAGATCGCTGATGAAGACGGAAATGTCGTCGGAGAAATCACTGAAGGCAACCCTAAGCGTCTTGTGGGTTTGTCTGTCGACGAAGATGGAGACATTGTCGACAAGTACGGCAATGTCAAGGGTCATGCCGAGCCTCTGCCAGAGGAGGAGCCTCTCGACTACACTATTCTTGACGGCTTGACCTTGAACAAGCAGGGCTTCGTTGTTGATGAGAATGGTACGCCATTCGGCAAGATTGTTGAGGGTAACCCATCCGACCTTGCTGGCCGCAAGACTGACGAGAACGGCTATATCTACAACGACACTGGAAAGGTTGTTGGCCGATGCGAGCCACTCCCTGAAGAGGAGCGCGTTGCAAAGTCAGAAGGCATCTTCTCTGGACTGGACGGCTTGCACGTAATCGAAGGTGGATACGTTGCAGACGAGAACGACAACACCGTCGGACAGATTGTCGAAGGCGAGCCGAAGAAGCTCCTCGGAATGCACGTCGACGAGGATGGAGATGTTGTCGACAAGTTCGGCAATGTCAAGGGTCACGCAGAGCGCCTCCCCGACGACGAGGAGATCGACTACACTATCCTGGATGGTCTCACTCTCAACAAGCAAGGTTACGTCGTCGACGCCAACGGCATTCCATTCGGCCGTATCATCGAAGGAAACGCTTCCGAGTTGGCTGGCAGGCAGTGCGACGAGCAGGGATACATCTACAATGATCGTGGCAAGGTCGTTGCTCGTTGCGAGCCTCTTCCAGAAGCGGAACGCGTTGCCAAGCCCGAGGGACCATTCGCAGGTCTCGAAGGTCTTCACGTGGTCAAAGAAGGAAAGGTTGAAGACGAGAATGGCAACGTGGTTGGTGAGATCACCGAGGGAGATCCTAAGCGCCTCGTCGGCATGCAAGTCGATGAGGACGGTGATATCATCGACAAGTATGGCAACACCAAGGGCCACGCCGAACCGCTCGTCGAAGAAGATGTCGAAATCGACAACAGCCCTCTCGAGAACAAGGAGCTCAACAAGCAAGGATTCGTTGTTGACGAGACGGGCATTCCTATCGGACGTCTCGTCGAAGGCAACGTCTCTGAGCTCGCGGGCCGCCGCTGTGACGAGAATGGTTTCATCTATGGTGATACCGGCAAAGTGGTCGGCCGCTGCGAGGTCTTGCCAGAGAACGAGCGTGTCGCCCGCCAAGAGGGACCATTCGCTGGCCTCGAAGGACTCCGAGTTGTCAAAGACGGCTGGGTTGAGGACGAAGACGGTAACCGTGTTGGCCAGCTCGTGGACGGTAACGCCAAGCGACTGGTTGGTCTTCATGTCGATGAGGATGGTGACATTATCGACAAATACGGAAACGTCAAGGGCCACGCCGAACCCTGGGAGGAAGAAGACCCCGAAGCTGCGGATCTGTCCAGACTCGCAGGCACCACCATCAACAAGGCTGGTTACGCAGTCGATGGCAGCGGCCAGATCATTGGTCGTGTTGTTGAGGGTGACCCCAACATCATGATCGGTAAGAAGGTCGACGGCCAGGGTCAGATTTGGGACGACGCTGGCAACGTCATCGGACAGTGTGAGATGGTGACGGGTGTCAAGGCTGAAGAAGGTCCATTTGCTGGCTTCGAAGGTCTCCAGATCAACAAGGACGGTACCATCACAACCCCAGCAGGTGACATTGTCGGTCGTGTCATCGAGGGTGACATCAAGAAGCTTCTTGGTCACACCGTCGATGAGGATGGAGATATCAACGACAAGAATGGCAACACGATCGGAAAGGCTGAGCGATGGGAGCCTGAAGAGAAGGAGCGCCGCATTAACCCCATGTCTGGCATGCGTGTCAACAAGGAGGGTGAGGTGCGTGACGAGAACGGCGACCTCATGGGCAAGCTTACCATGGGTGATCTCGGACATTGCGTCGGACAAGAGATTGACGACGCCGGCAATGTCGTCGACGTCGAAGGCAACAAGATCGGTGAGGTCACCCTCATCGAAAACATCGCAGAAGACGAGTACGAAGGCCCAACCGAAGAGGAACTCGCAGAAGCCGCCAAGCGTGAAGAAGAGCGTCAAGTCGCCGAGAAGATGGGCGCCATCTGCACGCAGACCCTCGAGCGTGTGCAGCCCATCTGCAAGCAAATCACCGACCACATGGAGAAGGCCGATGCCACGCCCAAGGACGAGCTCGACGAAGAGGAACTCGTTAACAACGTCAAGCCTCTCATCGAGGAAGCTGGCCGTATCCTGCAAGAGTGCAACGGCTCCCTTCGTGGTCTCGACCCCGACGGCCGCATCGCCGCGCAAGCCAAGGGTCGCGCTGGTACGGGCGAAGCCACTCCAGAGGAATACCGCCTCGCCGAGACCCTCAAGGAACTCACCACGACCGTCGTCACCACCATCGATAACGCCAAGAAGAAGCTCAACAACATGCCCCACGCAAAGAAGAAGCTCAACCCAATGTGGGCGCTCCTCACGCAGCCGCTCTTCCAGATTCTCGCCGCCGTCGGTCTGCTCCTCACCGGTGTGCTCGGTCTGGTGGGCCAGCTGCTCAACGGTCTCGGATTGGGAGGCCTCGTCAACGGCCTCCTCGGCGGCCTGGGCATCAACAAACTGCTCGCCTCCTTCGGCCTCGTCGACGACGACAAGAAGAAGAAAAAGGGCGGCGAGGGCGGCAGCAAGCTCTCGTCGCTCCCGATCGTTGGTGGGCTGTTTGGCGGCAGTAAGTAATTCAACATCAACACACACCACACCTTGCTTGCTTCTGCGATATGCCACACTATACAGGCATGAACACGAAAATTTGTGCTTCCTATCGCTGCGCCTTCCCCCTTTACCTCGATGGGAAGCGGCGCAGCTTGGTACGGTGCTTACTTTGGCTACACGGTGCGGTGACGGAAACGATTCTGATTCTCTCCCCCTCTCTAGAAAAAGACGATTCGAAGGGCAGCAGCAGCAAGAAGGAGGAGAAGGAGGGAGAAGATGTAGCGTCCGAGGCTGTCGACACCGCCCAGGCTGTCAGTGGTGGTGGGCCGGTGTTCATGGGCAATGCCGAATCTTAATGTATGCTTGCCTAATGAGCACTCGGACGACAGCAAGCAAGAAACAGTGCAGATTGATTGATTTTGGGATTGGTAGCGGGTTTGGCGCTTGAGAGGAGTATTTGCTTTCTGGCTGGTTGGGTGGGATATGTTTTGGGAGCATTTCCTACATTGTTCTCGTCAGAGCGTGTCCGCTGGTTTCCTTTGTACGAACAACAGAGTGTATGTGTATGTATATTAGTTGTTTGGGTCTTGGGAGGGATCTTGACAATGACAAAAGTTCAGAAAATAACCTCATCTCATTCTCGCCTCTTTAACTTGCTTGACACTTATAGTCAATCGCTCGCGAGACTGTTCTTCTTCGTGTCATCTCAATGCACTCAAACTTTCCCCCTCAACTCTCCCACTCTCAAATCTCATCCAACCCCTCCCTCGTCCACGCCGGAAACACAATGTCCTTGTGTGGAATCGACATCATATTCCTATCCTCAATATACTCCTGTATATCGAGCTCCTCGAATTGTGAGCGATTCCCGATTCTCACCCCTTTGGCCTGGACATCCCTCGCGTACACCATCACCCTCTCCACAAACTCACCCCTCTCAATATCCCCATCCAACCACTTGACCAAACTCATAACATCAAACGCCGCCTGCGACGTCGACGCCACAGTATGCGGCCGGAACCCCGCCAACGCATCGCCTACCAGCACGACTTTATCGTCCATATACAGGTTCTTAGGCGCAATGATGTCCGTGATACACTGCACGAAAGGCGTCTGCGTCTTCTGCGCCATCTCAGCCATTTGCGGGGGCAGCATCTCCTCCGCTTTGGATTTGAGCATCTCCCAGGCCTCCCAGGCGATTTTGCCGGGCGGGATGGTGATGTGGCGACGACGGCCGTCTTTGTCTGTCAGGAGTCTTTCGAGCTCCGGGGATTCTGCGGGGAAGTTGGCGTACCAGACGAAGTTTAGGAGGCGGGTTCCGGGGGCTGTGGTGCCGTTTTCGCCCGCGATGGTGTAGGTGAGGTTTTGGGTGCCGGGAGCGTGGAAGAAGCAGAAGCGTTCGCGGAAGACGGAGAGGGAGGCTTCGGAGGCTTCGGTCTCTGGGACGGTGCCGCGGATTACGACGTAGCCCGCGTAGGTGCGTTTAATCTGGGGTTCGAGGAACGAGCGGATTGTGGAGGAGGGGCCGTCGGCGGCGATGAGGAGGCGCGTGGTTAGGGAGTTTGAGATGGTGGTGCCGGAGTCGTCTTGGTGGGTGAATTTGATGAGGACTTTATCTCCTTGGTCGATTATGTCGGTGACGGTGCAGCCGTAGCGGTAGTTTGTCTTGCCGTCTGTTGGGCGTTGTTCGGGGAGTTGACCCCCTTGGAGGTAGGCGCTGTCTACTCGGTCGTAATTCTGTCGTCGGTCAGTCTTAGAAAGGCCATTGCACTGAAGAGGGGGAGATGCACGTACTGCTCTCAACAGATAGTAAGCCAAATCCCACGAGGTCATATTCTGCCGATTGACTTCCTCATGGATAACGTCTCCTTTCTTGTCCAAGTACAGTCTCTTGTAGCTTGGCACGGCGACAGGCTTCCCGGTGCGATCATATTTGTCGAAGAAGTCGATGGTGTCGCCTCCAGCTACGATGCCGGCCCCTTGATTCTCGAGCAAGAACGTAGGTGTTCGTTCGAGCTATGCAAGTCGGATCAGTTCTAGTCAACCAAGCTGTTGGTAAGATTGACATACAATGGTTGTGTTGTATCCATGGCTTTTGAGAGCAACGCCGGCGAATAGTCCGCCTAGTGAGCCCCCGACCTAGACATTGGTAAGTATTCCAGCAGCTTGTGTAATTGAGCGGGATAGCAGACGATGACAATGTATTCCTCACTATCTTTCAAAGAGCTTTGCTTCGCTCCATTGACGCCGTTTGTCACTTCCGCAGAGGGCATATCGTGTCGCAATCTTTCTGTACTGTAAGGGCCGTCTTTCTCAATGCCTTGCATGTTGATCCATTGCAGTCTGCAAGACGTCACGCGCCATAGTACCCACGCCCCGCTTGAAACTCGGTTGGAAGGGCGCTGCATTTGAGATCGCTGGAGAGCTTCAACTCGTTCCTAGTTATCAGTCTTTCGCGGCCCCGATTAGAAAGTCTAGGAGACAGAAAAGAAGCTTTTACGAAATGACAATGAACAATACAGAAAGCGATACTTCGCACGGGAGCGACTCTCTGCCATCACGGCTATCTGTAAGCGTTCTGTTCTTTTCCTGTAGCTTCGTCGGCTGTTGTATGTTGGTACAATGGCGTTCTTGATTAAGCCGTACACTTCAACGCCTTTGCTAACAAGGCGGTCGTCTTGCGGCAAGAGATGTTTTGATGCTGATGAGGCTCATGTCGTTATCATTCTCAATGCGACAAGAAAAGGGGCAGCGTGTCAATTCACGCACAGACCAGATGTGATTGGTTAAACTCGGATGTTGCGCCAGAGGCAATGTATCACGCATCCGCCGGCGCGTACTTCACATCATCAGGCTCTCTTTCAGTCCTTCACCTCTTGCGGCCGTCCACTCGGTTCCATCACCACAACAGCGTTGTGCATGTTGATAGTCTCAACATGATGAGCTCCACACCGGCAGTCCAAATCCAAGATTTTCTACGCCTCTGGTTTCAGCAGGCGCTTTGACAAGATATGCGCTCAGCCGCAATGAACGACGGCGGCACAATATGCACTGGCCGTCTGCTCCATCATGCAGGGGGTCGTATCGCTATCCCATGAGCCTTCCAGTTTCCTGGCATCCAGGTTGAAGATCATTGCGGCACAGAAGCTGGTCCGCAAGAACAGCCTCTCAGTGGCCAACCTGATGGGCGCAGCAATGCACAGAACGGCCTCACATGCCCGTGCCAGAACTGCTTCTATAAATTGCTGGGACTATCGTATCATGCCGCGATGAACCCAGCCTAGCGACTTGGGCGAGACGGTAGGGATGAGCAAGTGCTAGGGGCAGCTACCACTCCGGCTTCCCCAGCTCATCCACCTCGTTCTCTGTTTTGTTGTGAAATCTTCGCACTATTGATTCTTCAGTCTCCAAGTCACCCGTTCATTGCCTGAACGACCTCCGATACTCACCGCTTCCCAATGGCGAGCATAAAAGTGGCCAGCGATGAAGCCATCAACCAGATGAAATCGAAGCAGCAAAGCGAGCTTCTGGATGCGATCGACAAACTGCGGCGAGAGCACATTGACGCTGAAATCAGCATACCTCAAATTGTTGTATGTGGTAATCAGTCCAGCGGCAAGAGCTCAGTCCTCGAATCGCTGGCAAGAGTTCGGTTTCCGGCTGGACAGGGCGTGGTAACGAAGTTTGCTACTGAAGTCGTCCTTAGGAACACCGAGCATCCAAGCATGAAGGTCAGCTTGAACGCTTTTACACAGCGAAAGACAGCATCGAGCCTTCCAAATCCCTTTCCACAACACGACCAGGATCTGATCGACAAGATTGAAGCTTTTCGGCCAGGGTTCAATGTCGAAGGGCCAGAAGACTTTCCTTTGGTCATCAAAGCAGCGACTAGCCATCTCGCGCACTTGGGAACAACAGGCTCAATTTGCAGTCATCTGTTGCGAGTCGAGATATCAGGCCCAGAAAACCCCCATCTAACCTTAGTCGATCTTCCAGGGCTCATATCTAACGACCAAACCAGCAACGTGGAAGCCGGGGACATGGCAAGGATCGCAAATCTTGTTGCTCGCTACATGAAAGAACCTCGCAGCATTGTTGTAGCCATCTTCGACGCCTTGCTTGACCAAGAGTCACAGCATGTCTTCAAAGTCGTGACATCATCAGCGGCGACACAAAGAACTATTGGCGTTATCACAAAACCTGATCGACTCGTACCCGGCTCAGACCAAGAGAAGTTTGTTGCCCGCTTGGCTGAGAATGAGCAGATACATCTTGGTCTTGGCTGGCACGTCGTTCGAAACTTGGCTCATGAAGATCAGGACCGCTCGCTTGAGCACCATCAAGACCTGGAGGGTAGCCTCTTCTCCAGCGACATTTGGCACACCCTTTCCAAAGCAGATCTCGGGGTCACGGCGCTCCGACAAAAGCTTGGCCGTGCACTATTCCACTCTATACGTGGCGATTTGACCGAGTTGATCGCTGAGATGCGCCGAAAGCTAACTACGAAACAACTCGAGTTGGAATCGCTCGGTTCACCAAGGGAGTCAATCGCGGAGCAAAGGACTTACTTGAACAGCGTCGCGCAGAAGTTTGCCCGCCTCGTGGAGTCGAGCTTGGAGGGTGATTATCTCAAGCAAGAATTCTCGACGTTCTTTGCAAATGACAGCAATAGGACTCGCGAGACCATACGAGAAATTGTGGAGACGTTCGTGGCAGATATCCGCGTCAATGGGCAGAACCGTAAAGTGCAGGGAGAAGGTGCAAAATCAAGGTATGCAGTCCCTCACTCTTCATTCGTCTTTCACGAGCTGACTGGTAAATCACAGTAGCGACGAGAAAGCCACCCTCACCGCAACGGAGCAAAAAGCCTCTCTCCTCAACGGGACTGCTGACCCATCACTCTACTGCAAGAAGGTTGCCACCATCATGTCCAAATGTCGAGGAAAAACTCTGGTGGGTCAGATCCCACTTGAGACAGTGACTGCTATATTTCGCGAGCAGTCATTACCCTGGGAAGCGATATCGACCAAATATCTCGACTTTTGTAAGTCGGAAGTTCAACGCTTTATGAGATCAGCGATCTACCACGTCGCCGGTCAGCATACCGGAGACCTTCTCTGGCAAGAGTACATTTACCAGGTCCTCGTGGCCAAATCTGCTAGTCTCGATCTGAAGCTTTCAGAACTCTTGTGGCCGTACCAAAAGTGTCATCCAATGACGACGAATCGTCGTTATTGGGAAGAAGTCAAGGCTCTTGGCCCTTCAGAGACCGTGACCAAGATTGCTGACGAACCGGTCGTTGTTTTCGGCCAAGTCAATCCTATCAATGACAGATCGGGTCCAGCACCGTGGAGTCGTGCAGCTCGTGATCGAAAATGGAACAGCGAGCTGTTAGTCGCTGCAGAAGCCATTGATAGGGCTGAGGCTTACTACAACGTAAGTAGTACCACGATCGCAGACGTATTGTTGTGCTAATCTTGTGGTCTTTGCAGATCGCGGTCGAAACCTTTGTTGAGAATGTCGCTACGTTGGCTATTGAGGCATGCCTTCTGGCAGGTCTGGGCGAAGCCATACCAGCAGAGACGGTATGGAACCTGGACGCGGATGCCATCGCGAAGTTGGCTGCTGAGCCACAAGGCATTGCCGATACGCGCGAGAAAACGGCAAGACAGATCAAGGCACTCAAAGAGGCCATTGGGACTTGTGAACGGCACGTACAGCAGCGGAAATGTGAGCAAATTCTCTAAACCATGCTGGCTCCCCTACAAGCTACTGACTAGCATTCAGTCATCCCGCATGTTCCAGAACGGGCAGTCGACGCCACCCCTGGAAGCCAGCTCTTCAAGTCTACAGCCCCAGAATCTGTCGCTGAAAAGCCTTCCAGCTTCAATAGCGGATCAGGATTTGGGAGACCAAAGACTAGAAGCCAGCCTATGTGGTCTCGAAACAAGTCGCCTGCTTTCAATCATGTCGAGGATACCACGCCGCTTCACCAGAGGCTGGGGTCTATGAATAACGGAGACAGCAACGCTATCTCGTCCAACTGGTCTGGGATCACGCCGCCGAAAGAAGGCTTTGAGGTAGGAGGCCACAATCATGGGCTCTTTGGTCAACCTTCGCACGAGGCCAGCAGTCTTTTCGGATCGAAGAACACGCCATCGAAGGATCGAACCACGTTGCCTGAGACTCAAAATTTGGCTTTCAGGATGCCTGGGACGAGTGACCCAGTTAGCGGTGAGTGGATATTCTCCCCTAGAGCACATTCGAGCGGCATGGGAGGGCGACACGACCCGCAGCTAGATGTCGTGGAGCACTTCCATAGCATCACAGCCCACAGTCCGTTTCTGAAGTCGTCTTTTGAGGTCAGAAGCTAGGCGACATGAGAATCAAACAGGTTGCTGACAATTGGTAGGAGATACGACTCGCTGATTATAATGCGGATTCCCCACCAAATGAAAGGTGCAGCAAAGCGTCACCAGTTTTCGTTCAAAGACACGGTGACGATCACCTTTGAGGCTATTTAGTGTGCGGAAAACGCTGTTGATATATGATGCATGATCTGTCTGTACCTTAGTCGTTCAAAGTAATGTTCAACTTCCACCTCTGTGCACAGACTTGAAGCAACCGCTCTGACCTTGCACGCTCTTTGGCGAAGATGACCAATAATTCATTGATGCAATCCAAGTGTGCACTTGTAAACTTCTGTTTTAATCATGATAAGTTCGCCCAAGTTGCAGCTACTGCTTGGCATGGAAGAACGACTCCATCCGACGCTGGGAACGACCACATATTGGAGTGGTTGATACGCGCGATCGCAGGATGGGCATATAGATTTGTCGCGTCGGCACTTCCACGTACCCACAAATCCTGACTGCAATGAAGGAGGTCATACTACCCCGTTGGTGCAGTACAACCCGTATAAACGGGAATAAGAGACTCGTTAATGTTCACGTCGCCGGGGCATGGACCGGGGTTCGGATCGGGATCGAACGACCCGTTAAAAGGTGGGGACAAAAACAGCATCTGCTACTTTTTACCGCCTTTGCCGCTCGATAATGGCAATCTTGCCAGCGCAAAGGAGGCATGTCAAGGATGCAGAAATGGTGAAATCTGTCACGCGTTCGAAAGCACAGACAACATGTTGAAATGAATACTGGTAAAGGTGGACCAGAAGATGGGGGCAGAAGGTGAGGTCTCGATCGCCGGAGGAGAGATCCGTGCGCTTGGCGCTAATTTGACTTCACCTCCTCTCAGTTGGACGCGGCAGTAAGATCATCTTCATCCCAGTTCTCCAATTACTATCCTACAGTACCTATCGTCATGTCTTGCGACTCTTCATGACAGCAAGAGCCGATTCCATCTGGGACGGCTACAAGCAGCTGATGCCGCCTCACCTTTGCGGCACAGGAATAGGCTTGGCACGCATTGATGCAGTCCTTCACCTCGAATAAGCTTCTGTAGCGCCGCGCCTCCCCAGCTTAAAGTTCACACTCGCACGTGAAGGTCTGGAGAAATCGGAGATGACACCTCCCACTCACCTTCCTCCTCCCGAATTACCTACGATCCCAGCCAGTGCGCTACCGATGCCAGCCAAAAACTAGGCCACACGACCCTGCGGTAATCGTCCAGAGGTGCCGGTGTGTGAGGCACGACTTTGCCTTGCCTGGCCTTTCCCTTGTGGCAGATGAACGGCTGTGTTCGAAGATGGCCGGGAAAAGCACTGATGGTGGGTTGAACCGGCTTGTGGCTAAGACGGCAGACGCTGGCGTGGGACCCATTGAGAATTCTGTGGTGATGACACCTGTTTGCTTTCTTCTGAGCCGTCTTGGTTAAAATGGGTTGGTCTTGCTCCTCTTTCTTGTTCGTTGCTAGCTATGAGATTGGTATACCGCTGACGTCACTTGACTTGAGCTGCTCATATCGCAAGTACCTAAGTATTCGACATCACTGCAATTGCTTTGGATATTGAAGGCAGCTTTCTGGGTCGGCAATTTCATTCATCCATTGGTCTCGCCGGAGGTACACCGCCAAAATGAACGGCCAATTCTTGCTGAATGGTCCTCGGTTCTGGAACAATGAGCACGAGAGCCATCGAACAGGACCTGAAACTTCGCAAATGCTCACAATGGCCAAGATCGAAACGCCTTCCAAGATTGAGCTCCCGACAAGAATTGAGATCCCACAAATGCAACCCCCAAGGCAACGGCAACAATCAACCACATCGACAATGAGCCAGTCATCATCGGCAAGCAGCCCTCAAAATCAAGGAAGTCCAGCATCATCAACAGGAGATCACTGGGCACAAGCCATGTCCCCAATGTTTGGCGCTGAGGATGAATGTCTGGCATGCGGCTATCGATATAGTTCGTTCGAGGAACTCGCAGACCATCAGAGAATAAACCACGGATTGGCAGAAGTTATCTTTTAAACTGGTCGCCTTTGAGCTATTTCCCTCGGTTCTCGAGCAACATGCCCTAGGATGGAACCGGTTGGTCGGTTATTAAGGTGTTGGAAGGTCTGGTTCTTGGGACACGTTAGGGACACGTGCTTGGGGTTTGGGCAGAAGGAAGCAGGTTCATTGTATGGGTCTTAAGGCCATTCTTGGCTTGGCGTTGGGTGAAACGACCTATGATGGCATGGTGTACATGTACGATTGGGATGTATGGCTGACTCGGCTGTGCAGTGGTCATTCTATGCGTTTTTATCTGCAACTATCTCAAGTACTTTGGTGGCTACAGCTCATGCTGCACGAAATGGGCAATTCTCTTCTCGTTGTTCAGATTGCAATCCTATCTCATCGCTCCAGCAGAAGTGTCCGGTCGAGCGGTTCGGCGAAAGTGAGTCCCGACGCCAGCTCCTCCTAACTCGTTGTCATTAGCCGTTTTTCAGAAGACTTGCGTGCTTCTGAGTCGCGATGAGCTCAGGAAAATACTCCACAGACTATGGACACCACATGAAACAAAGCAGAAACGACGAGGTTCCCTCACCGCCTAATCAACAACGACCATTCCGCGAAGCACAGCACCAAATCTTCCAATCCCAAAAGCTCTCCACCCCGCCAGGTCACATTCGTCGAATCTACCTATCCAAGAGAGAAGTCCGGGGCCCCGCAATAGGAATGCTACAGTACACTCCTTCCACAAAAAGAAACTTCGACCCAAGTGGACCTCTTTTGAGTTCGTAAAGGCACACGATGGGGAGGTGCGTTGCCGATTGCTGTGGTATGCATTCCTGTTCGGGAAATCGTATAACCTTCAGAGATGCCAGATGGATGGATTGCGTGGAGGGATGGATCCGGACACCATGTTCTTCGTTACGATGCCGAGGTTGGGATGGAGAGTGGTTGCATGCATCGTGAGATCTGCGAGATCTCGTAGGTGGGATGGTGTTTTTTATTGCCTTTTTGCATTGTAGTGTGGTCCCGGCTGTTGCTGGCTCCGAGACGCAGTGTTCCTGCGTCCATGCTGTGCGATTCAGTGAGGATGAAGGGGCCTCAGGCCGTGCATCTTTGCGAGGGGTGCGTTATTGGTTGGTACGGTCTTGATCACACGGCAGTCTACATTGCTCCCGTGGCGAGCGGTTACAAGCATCCATCGATATGATAAATGCCTCCAGGTCCCAGGACAAGCTTCAGTCAACGCGGCCAAGAGCGATGTACCACCTCAACCTCTCGATACTGCTCTCAGCAGCAGCAGCTCTCGCCACGCCCATACACGAACGCCAACCCTCTCCCTCAGTCACGATCCAAAACGGCACCGTCGTCGGTTCCTCCTCCCTCGGCATCGACAGTTTCAAAGGCATCCCCTTCGCACAACCCCCAGTCGGCAACCTACGCCTTCGACCCCCTCAACCGCTCACCCAAGGCTTCGGAACGATCCAAGCAACCGCACAGCCCAAGGCATGTCCGCAGCAGTCCAACCAAGTTGATACGAGTGATCTTCCCAGCGATGTCATTGGCGAGTTGATGAACTCGCCTCTATACCAGGCCGTGACCAACGCCGGGGAGGATTGTTTGACGGTGAATGTGCAGCGGCCGTCGGGGACGAATGCCACGTCGAAGTTGCCGGTGTTGTTTTGGATTTTTGGCGGTGGGTTTGAAGGGGTCAGTATATGGACAACAGCAAAGACCCATTGAACACAACTGACCGTGTCATTTCCAGGGCTCAACATCCCAATACGACGGCTCGAGCATCGTTCGAAGATCCATCGCCCTCGACGAACCCATTGTCTACGTCAGCGTCAACTATCGCTCATCAGGCTTTGGATTCCTCGCCGGCCAGGAGCTCGCCGACGAGCATTCGACGAATCTCGGATTGAGAGATCAACGTCTGGGGCTCCAGTGGGCAGCAGAGAATGTCGAAGCCTTTGGTGGTGATCCTGAGAAAGTCACTATTTGGGGCGAGAGTTCGGGGTCGATCTCTGTGTTTGATCAGACGGTCGTAAACGGTATAGGAGACGAAAGGTCATAACGAGAGTAAGGCTGACCTCTTCCCAGGCGGAGACAATACCAACAACGGCAAACCCCTTTTCCGTGGTGCGATCATGGACTCCGGCTCTGTAATCCCCGCCGAAGACGTAACGACCTCCAAACCCCAAGCCATCTTCGACACCGTTGCTGCATCAGCTGGTTGCGGTTCTTCGACGGATAAACTGTCCTGTCTCCGTGCCGTCGACTACACGACCTTCCTCAATGCCGTCTCCTCGGTGCCACCGCTCACATCCTACTCAAGTCTCGACCTCTCATACCTCCCACGTCCAGACTCCGGTGACGATTTCTTCGCCGAGTCCCCAGAAATCTCCCTTCGTGCTGGAAGATTCGCAAAACTCCCCCTCATAATCGGCGACCAAGAAGACGAAGGCACCCTCTTCGCCCTCAACCAGGGCAACATCACCACCAACGAGGATCTAGTCGCCTACCTAGCCTCCTACTTCCCCAACAGCCCTAACGCTCTCGAGGACGTCGCAGCCCTCGCATCAAACTAGTACGTTTTCCCTTCCCTCCCCAAAAACAGAAAAAAACCCACTGACCCACCACAGCCCCGACCAACCCCTCCTCGGCCAACCCGGCGGCTCCCCCTTCAACACCGGCGGGCTCAACAACCTCTACCCACAATTCAAACGCCTCGCCGCAATCCTGGGAGACATAACATTCACCCTAACCCGCCGCCTCTACCTGCACAACCTCCACCTCCTCCCCCACCTCCCTCAAAACCCCCCCTTCCCCACCTACTCCTACATCTCCACCTACCTCCACCCCCTCCCCCTCCTAGGAACCTTCCACGGCAGCGACATAATCTACGCCTACGGCCTTCTCGGAGACCAAGACCCGATCACGCGGGTGGTGCAGACGTATTATGTGAGGTTTGTGAATGCGTTGGATCCTAATGCGAATGGGACGGTGGCGTGGCCGCAGTGGAGTGATGAAGGGGGGCGGATTCCGCAGGTGTTGAGGTTTTTGGGGGATGGGGAGGTACAGGTTGGTGGGGATGGGTTTCGGGAGGGGGCGTATGGGTATTTGGTGGCGAATTGGAGTTTGTTTCGGGTTTGATTGAGGGGATGGGATTTGATGGTGATGGTGGTGATAGAGGGCGTTGAAGGCAAGACGATCAAATCCATCGAAAAGCATCCGCGTTTCATTGTACTATTTCAAAACCCGTAACAATCCAAGAGGTATCATCTGTACGTAAAAAAAGACACGACAACACTTCACCCATACCTAGTATATCAAAAATTCCAAGTTGTTTGATCCACCAGCTCCATGCCGAGTAAATGCAAATCCCAAGACAATGAAGCTGTGAACTGATAAAGAATCATAACGCTGTTACCGCTGCCGTACCCTTCTTCGACTCATGTACTCATATACATCGTACGTTCTGTGCTTGTTTGTCATTCTGGTTGCGTGTCCATCCTTGCTTCGACTCAATCATCGCGTGGCTGCTCCTGCATGCCCAGATCGAGGCTCGGATGGTCCTTCCGGGATTTGTAGTGAGCTTTCACGAGCTGACCCAGGCGCTTCTCCATCGTTTGACGGCCGTCGTAGGTCAGCCACACGTGATGTGGGGCTTTGTTGACGATGTCCCAGGAGAGGAGGTTGCTGGTGATGTTGGTCAAGTCCTTTTGCTTCTCCTCCCACTGGTCGTCTTGCTTCACACGTTCACCTGAAGTGATGATTGCAAGTGGGGTGTCGATGTCTTGGATGACTCTCGCAGAAGCGAGCTCACTCTTGGAAAGTGAGTTGGCAACGAGGTTCTCCTGGAGCTTGGCTTTAAGGAATTTTCCATTCTCATCAGCGGCAATGCCGTAGACGCGGTCCTCCCTCGTCTGACCCATGAAGATGGAGCCAATGATGCGACGAAGACCGAGTGGGCTGATGATACCCCAACCCCAGGTTATGAAGCCGCGAGTAGTGTCGGCCATTCTCGAAAGCAAGTCCTCGTGCAGACCATCGACCAGCATGATGCCTACGACTTGGCGGAAGTGCCTCGCGCTAAAGATCCGCGAGACGATGCTTCCATATCCGGCAGAGACCATAATGTACGGTCCCTCCTCTCCCTTCAGCGTGAGGGCTTCGGCGAGAACATCTGCCGACATGCCAGCACTGTGAGGTGATGGGGCGTTGTCGGACCACGCGTAGCCAGGGCGGTCCCAATAGCAGTAACGGTCGATGGTGCCGTTCTGCACGGCAAACCAAGCCCAGTGTTCAAAGTCGTACTCGACAGGGAATCCTGCCGCTTCGAGAAGGACAGTGGGAGACTTGTTACCCTTCTTGTCGGTCGTTGCGTTGCCCACACAAGCCAGGTGGACTTCGTACTTGCCGTCATCGACCAAATAGCGCTCGCCGTCCATAGGAAGGCCAGCATCCAGACTGCGAATGATGAGTGTCGCTGTCATAAGCACTGATATGATGATGAACACCACAAGGATAACGGTTGCTGTGAGCACGGAGAGCCACTCCTTTAGTGTTCGTCTGGTCTCAGGGCGGCCGGTCAGGCGTTCCTCTTCCTCTCGCTTGCCCCATGTCACAATGCGATCGGTAAATATGCACCACGCAGTTATAGCTGTGGCCCAGACCACACTCGAAATACCAGGCGGCCCCTCTTCTGCGCGTATTCTCCCAACTGCCACAATGATGATGAGGTCTGTCAAGAGGAAGAGCCCAAGAATGCCCTGGGCGACTCTCATGGACATGCTAGGTGCCGAGAAGAAGAGCAGCGAGGTGAGGAGGACGCCAATGGTCAGGCAGGCGTACGCGAAGTCGAAGAAGCCTGAGCCTCTGGTGTGCAGTCCAGGTGGTGATACGAAGATGCTAACAAGGAGCAGCACCCACCACAGGAAGGTAATAGCGAGGAAGAGGATAGAGAGATATCGCAGGAATCGAACGGTCCATAGGTTGTATGGCGATACCTACAAACATCAGTATCTTGTTCGTTGTTCGAGGTAGTTTATCACTCACAGCTGGATCATCGGGATCAAGGTAGCCATCTGCGTGCGGTGGACGGTGGTTGTCTGGCAGCAGCCTGTCTCTCTCCGTGGGTTCCCTCATGCTTCTGCTGTCCGGTCTACTCTCTGGCCGACCCTCGCCGTTCTCCTCGCCGTTGTCTTTGTTTTTGGAGCCCCACAGCGAAGGCATCCTGGCAGCTATCCTCTCTCTTCACCTGGTCGCAGCTCTTGAACCTTCTCCCGCCAAGCTCTTGCTTCTGTTGCTACCGGGGTGAGGTCAGAGGTGCGAAGGGTCTGTCGTGGTCGAGATCAAGGCAGCACACAATCTTTGACCTGCCCCGCGAACAGTACTTCTCATGTGCGCACGTAAAGCTACTACCACAGGCTGCAAAGTCCCGCGCATGCGTGGCTGGTGTGGTGTGGGAGGGAGCTTGCTTGGGATCGTCGACGCCTCTCCGCCAATCTCAACGTCATCCGCATCATGCGCACGCTAAGGAATGAGCCAAACTCTCGCGACGAAACAGGGAAATGCGAGTGAAAGGTGATGCGAACGATGCGGTCAGAAGATGTGGGAGTTGGCAGATGTAGCCAGGTCCATATTAATGGTGGACGAAGTAGCAGGCATTGTTCGATCAGATCGGCATCGCAGACCAGTTCGTGAAACATTTCGCCGGCGTCTTGGAACGGTCTGGCCGCCGCAGAGCATTGTGAATCGTTTTTCTGCCTGAGGCTGCCGTATCAAACCTCACCTCTGTCCATACATATTCAAGAAGCAAGCGAGCGCATATCACATCGAGAAGGTGCCCTCTTTCCCAACCCAACGTCGAATTGTTCGTGACCGCCGATCTCGCCCCTCTCCCCATCGTCGACATGTGGAAAGATAGCTTCCACCACTTCGCCACACGACAACGCACCCAACTCCGCACCAATGCTTCAACCTCCTCCTCGTCAAATGACCCAAGCTACCCATAGCTGCGCAACGCCATGTCAGACCTCTTCCGGCAAAGCGTAAACACGCAGCCACCACCACCGCAGAGCCAGAATCTGCGCCCAAAGCCCACTCCCATCCCCACGCAGGGCCGCTCGTCAGCAGAGTATGACGACTACAGCTCCTCGTCCGACTCGTCTGCATCTTCGGCGGCGAGTGTGGCGACGGTGAGGCCCTCTTCTCGGGAGCATGAGGCTCCGCCGACGCACTGGACGAATTACTTCGAGCAGGAATTGTTTTTGGAACGGCGGGATGGGGAGCAAGTCGGGAAATATCATGTCTATTTGACGCCTCCGACGAATTTGAAGAAAGGCCCCTTGTTTATCTGTCACCATGGCGCTGGTGCGTCGGGCATGTCGTTCGCCATGTTCGCGCAGGAGATTCGGAAGAAGTCACCAGAGGCCGGGATTCTCAGTCTCGAAGCTCGCGCTCATGGATCCATCGTCACCAACGCGTCCTCAGGAGAAGCAATCGTCGACTTCAGCCTCGATGCCCTCGTCGCCGACGCCGTCGCCATGATCCAACTCACGGCCGAGAAGCAATCATGGACCACCCTCCCACCCATCGTTCTGATAGGCCACAGCCTAGGCGGAGCAATCATGACAACCATCGCGAGCACACACTTCAAAATCTTCGGCTCCTCCCTCATCGGCTACTGCGTAATCGACGTGGTCGAAGGCTCCGCCATCGAAGCCCTCTCGCACATGAAGACATACCTCTCCTCGCGACCGAGCATCTTCTCCAGCGTCGACGACGCCATCACCTGGCACGTCCGATCCCGCACGATTCGAGACCAACGCTCCGCTGAAGCGTCTGTCCCGAGTCTCCTGGTCTCTTCGCCCACGGGCAAGGGGAAATACATCTGGAAGACGGACCTCATGTCGACAAGTCCCTGGTGGGATCAGTGGTTCCAGGGGATGTCGCAGAAATTTCTCACGGGGAGAGGGGCGAAATTGCTGATTCTTGCGGGAACGGATCGACTGGACAAGGAGTTGATGATTGGGCAGATGCAGGGCAAGTTTCAACTTACGGTGATTCCTGAGGCTGGACACTTTGTACAGGAGGATGTGCCTGAGAAGACGGCAAACTTGTTGAGTGAGTTTTTCAAGAGGAATGATAGGAGCCAGATGGTCTTGCCACCGAAAGTGAGCGATTTGATCGCGCAGGGCAAGAAGGTTTGAGATGAATAAATAGAGGGTGAATGGATAGAAGCGATTTGTTCGATGTGCCAGCGCATGCTCGTGAAGCTGGATAGAGGGTATCTCATGAAGTCAAAAACAGCATACTACTACAGACCGTTCAATCACCACCATCAGCTGCGTCAGCTTCCTTTGGCTTCCTCTTCCTCTTGCGCTTCTTCAATGCTTCTGAGCCCTCTTCGCCAGAAACGGCACTTAGGCCAGCCTTCTCAGCTGCTTGCGGATCTTTCTTCGCTGCCTTTCGTATCACGCTCTTCTCGTGCTCTGTTTCCTTACTATTCTCTTTCTTCGCCTTCTTGACACTCAGCGGATTGGGTCCCTTCGGCCCCTTCGGCTTCCTCTTCTTCGCAGGCTGCCCTGCCTGATCCCCCTCACCACCATCACCATCCTTATCTTCTTGCTCATCATCATCCTCCTCCCTCTTCCTCTTCTCCCCAACCCCACTCAACGCCGCCACACCCCTCCGTCCCTTCAACCCCGCCCTAATCTTCGCCTTGTCCTCCCCCTCCCTCACAGCCTCACTCCTCCGCGCCATAGGCTCCAAAATCATCACACTCCGCGCAATATAAATCAACGGCACCCCCGCAATCTCCCTCATCCGTCCCCTCACCTCCCCCTCCTGACTCGCAACCACATACCGATGCCGATTATTCCCACTCCCCTTCGGATCCACCACGCTCTCCAGACACTCCCGCGCACTCAGCGGAACCTCCAACTCATGGTGTCCACAGCGCCGCCGCTCCGCCGTCTTGGCGACCTCGATCCAGGCGTCTTTCTCCGGGCAAGCGGGCGCGTTGTAGAGGTGCCGGATGCAGCACTGCGTGATCATGGGTTTGATCTCGCCGTGCAGGGTGTTTTCGAGCAGCGAGCCCAGCCGCATTTTGAAGCGCGCCGCGTCTTGGATGATGTCGGCCGTGAGGAGGACTTGGTAGGGTTCGCGGAAGTTGAAGGTCAGTTGGTAGGCGTGCATCAGTTTGCGGTATTGTTTGGAGCGTTTGCCTTTCATGGTGGGCGATTGTTATCGCGGGTGGGTAGTGGATGGTTGGTGGCGCTATCGCTTCATTTGAGTGTGATGTTGTGGTTCATGCGAGGATGAAAGTTTTTGGAAATTTGGTTGATTGAAGTCCTGAAGGGAATTTGACTAAGGTTTTTAAACTTTTTGATGGGCTTCAGGGCCGTCCCGCCGGCCTGACTTGTGGAGAAAGGCTATCTGCAAGACAACTGCACTTCACGTCGCATTTTATCCAACTGTATTCGAAACGCACCCACCGCGGCTACAGACCGGCATCCTCTACTTCCCAGGCTCCAACAATGGATCAAATTTGGGAGCTTAACATCATGGGCTCTCGTTTAATCTTCCCTATGTGGAGAAGGAAGCGAGCTGAACCGAAGGACGCTTCCTGCGCTTCGTCTTCTTCAAATTCACGGCGATGGCGTTGATGGAACAGATATACCGATCCCGAAAATCTCACCAACTGCCTTGTTCCAAACAATGGGGAAGCAGCTAGTAGAGTTCGCACCCGGCTTCTCAGCTTACGCCGGCGGTGTTGAAGAAACCCGATTCATCTACAAGGAGATCTTCCAAGACCACGCCTACAATGTCGCTGAGCTGCCTGAAGACGCCTTCATCGTCGACGCCGGCGCCAACGTGGGCATTTTCACGCTCTACATGAAGAAGAAGTACCCGACGTCGACGATCCTCGCTTTCGAGCCAGCCCCAGAGACCTTCGACGCGCTGAGTGACAATGTCAAGCTCCATGAGCTCAAGGACGTCGAGTTGCACGAGTGTGCGTTGGGTGCGGAAGATGGTGTCCAGACTTTCGTCTTCTACCCGATGGTGCCTGGCAATTCAACGCTCGTCCCGGAGGAAAAGGAGCTTGTGACGAAGATGTTTCGTGGACTTGAGGACGACTTCTGGGACGAAGCGGGGAGAATGTACGAAAACAATCAAGAGGTTCCTGTGCAGGTTCGCCGACTGTCCAACTTCCTCACCGGGCGTGAGAATCTCAAAAGGATCGATTTGCTCAAAGTCGATATCGAGGGTGTGGAGCTGGAGGTCTTGCGTAGTCTGGAGGAAGCCCACTGGGCAATGGTTGCGAATGTGGTGGTGGAGATCTGTGACCTACGAGGCGGGCGACTTGATGCTTTGGAGAGCCTGTTGACGTCGAAAGGGTTTCGTGTTAAGACTGATAGCCCTGAATGGTCGCCAAAAGAAGGGAAGATGTTTATGGTCGTTGGGCACCGCGACGTAGCGGTTGGTTAGGTCCGAAGACTATGTCCGCTTTGGAGATCGACAGCCAGTGGCGGGGCGAGTAGATGGACCAGTAACTTACCTACACTCTAGAACACTGATAGATTTGGTGTCTGGCAGGAGGAGTCGATGACCTCTACGCCACCGCATTCCATTTCGTTTCCTGCTCGAATCTTACACCATCATGGGATCAAGCTGGCGAGACTGCAATTGGCGTTGGCTCCAACATCCAGAATGACCAGTCACTCAATCAGCGCCTCGATAGCTTGGTGCGCTATACGCGGATTGAGGAGTCCAGTTTTCATATTCCCAGAAGCCAGAAGCTATGCAGCGCCCAATTATGGGGAGTGTGCTTTGGGTCTCCATTCATTCCTTCACCGGGGCTGGCTTTCGTTGTATGTTGGTGTGCTACCGCTTTATATAATGTAAGATTCGAGTGCAATTCGTGAGAATGAATGTTGAAATTTGGAATTCTTAAGAAGCGATGATTGAAGTACCATGGCATTTTAAGGTTTACAAAAGCAGCGGCGGGACCGTTTAGCCGGCCTCCTGTGGAGAAAGAAGCGCAGTAGCGTGAGAGGAAGGAACGCAGAAGGGTCCACTTTCAATCGCGCGACTTTGGGTCCAGTCAGTCAATAGCTTTCACGCCCCAAAACAACGCCTTTGTTGGACAGCAGCAGCACCCGCCGAGGACTACCACGTCGCACAGCAATTACAGCATCGCCATTGACGACAGCTCTTTCGCATTGCAGTCGTTATATCAACAGCATCATCTCCATGCTATAGCCGGCACGCCTAGAGTCGGTCAGCATGCCCGCTGAACATACCGCCGAACCACCTACAGAACCCATCCAAGATGAAGCGAACCCCACCGAGCTGAAGCGCGTGCACACCAAGGAAGAGAAGGAAAAGGTCGATGAGCCCAAAGCAGAACCTGCAGCCGCAGATGAGTTCGGACTACCTCCACGGCCGCCAAGAAGGCGCACGTATACCCTGGAAGAATTGGACAGTCCGGAGGATATCAAGAAGCAGGTGATCGAAGAGACTGGCGGCGAGGTCAAAGAGCCGGTGAAAGAGCCGGAAAAGGAAGTAGAGCATGCGAAGGAGACTGCAGTGAAGGATGTGGATGAGAAACAGGATGAGGCGAAGGACGAAGAGAAAAAGCCACAGACTCCCAGGACTAGCTTAGACAATGCACGTTCGAGCGACAAGAAACGATCATCCACCGATTCGAAGGATCCTACCAGTCCTAAGTCCCCGTCCAGTCCGAGTGCGTCCAGACATAAGCAGCAGCCCTCGGTCACGTCAGTCTCAGAATGGTCCCACCAGCAGATGGCTCCCAAGGAGACTATAGTGGAAGAAGAAAAGAATGAAGAGGACGAATGGCAGGAAATGCCGGCATTCGCGACACACAGGATCTACGATGACTGGGGAAAGGTTCTGGCCAAAGAGTATGATGAAGTGGAAGACGAGACTGTTTCGTATGGCACCCTTGGCGGAGCAGGCAAAGGATACACACGTGTGCAGATGGACGAAGATGCCAAGTCGGCGACCAGCATGGACGACAATACGGCCTACCTCTTCAAGGAGCAGTATGCTAACAACACTGTATATGACGACGATGAGGAAGGACGTAATGCCGTATCGCAAATGCAGGCCACAAAGGAACTGCTCACCGAAGGCCAACGTATAGCATATGTCGGTGTGGTGAGGCTGTCGATTGCGGCAATGGGTAAAGACATGGACCAGCTTGAACGAACGAAAAACTCGAAGAAGGCTGTCAATATCGCCGTCGAAGCACTTCAAAAGTGGGGCCAGAAGATGATGCTGCGTGTGTATGAGCATATGGAGATCGACGCGAGGGAACAGATCATGGTTGAGCAGCTTGCTGAACATGGCGTGTTGCCCTCCGACTTAACTCCTGCGCTGATGGCCAACGCTCGTGTGAAGAATCCCAACGCACAGCCGGATTCTGATTCGCAAGCTTCTTCAGCAAGGCCATCATTAGCCTCGCCACGGCCGTCAAGTGCCGCTGAGAAACGCGTCTCATCCAACCCACCTTCAAAACCCTCGACACCTGCGCCGCCATCCGAGCCAACGACACCCGCCGCGGTCGATGACCCGCCACCAGCTTATGAGCAATATACGGCAGACGAACTCACGATCCAGAACCCAGACGACATTGAGGATCAAAAGAATCTCGACATTGACATTCGGTGGACGGTTTTGTGTGATCTTTTCCTCCTGCTGATAGCAGACAGCACTTACGATGCCAGGTCGCGTACACTGCTTGAGCGTGTGGGATCGGCGTTATCGATCGAATGGCAGGAGATTTGTCGGTTTGAAAAGCGTGTGACGGATGCATTGGAGATGCAAGAGCAGGCCGAGAAGGAGAACTGGAATGAAGATGATCATCTCGAGGCCAGGAGAAAGGCAGCCTTGAAGAAGCGGTACATGGTGATGGGTCTATGTACCGTTGGTGGCGGTCTGGTCATTGGTCTCAGCTCAGGCTTACTGGCCCCTGTCATCGGTGCTGGTTTGGCTGCTGGCTTCACAGCTGTTGGTGTGACTGGTACTAGTACCTTCCTCGCGGGTACAGGTGCGGCAGCACTGATCGGAACGACTGGAACCTTGATCGGAGGTAAGATTGGTCTTACGACATCGAACCGAAGGACAGGCGCCGTCAAGACCTACGAATACAAGCCTCTTTTCAACAACAAGCGAACGAACCTGATTGTGACCGTGGCGGGTTGGATGACTGGCAAAGTGGACGATGTGCGACTCCCTTTCAGTACCATCGACCCTATCATGGGCGACATATATTCAGTGAACTGGGAGCCCGAGATGTTGCAGAGTACCGGTCAGACGATTCAAATTCTAGGAACCGAAGCGTTGACACAGACAATCCAGCAGATTCTGGGAGCCACGGTGCTGTCTACTCTCATGGCAGGTCTATCAACGCCAATAGTGCTCGCCAAGATCTCGTACTTGATCGATAATCCTTGGACCTCATCGCTTGTCCGCGCCGACGCCACAGGACTCATTCTCGCCGACTCCATTATCGATAGGAATCTTGGTGTTCGACCGATTACACTCGTAGGCTTCTCTCTTGGATCTCGCGTCATCTGGTCTTGCCTGAAGGAGCTGGCCAAGCGAGGTGCATTGGGCCTTGTACAGAATGTATACATGTTCGGCTCACCGGTCGTCGCGAACAGAGATGAGTATCTTCGTGCAAGAAGTGTCGTCAGCGGACGCTTCGTGAACGGCTATGCGACCAACGACTGGATCTTGGGATACCTCTTCCGCGCGACGAGTGGTGGCATAATGCGTGTGGCGGGTCTGGCGAGTGTCAATGTTAATGGCATTGAGAACATCGACGTGACAGAGGACGTGCCTGGACACATGGCGTATCGTGGTATGATGCCTACTCTACTCGACAAAGTAGGCTGGGCAGTGGAGAGTTTGGAGTACACTGAAATCGAAGATCCAGACCCAGAGAATCACGAGAAGCGCCAGCGTGAGCTTTTGGACGAGATTGAGGAGGCGCGAAAGCAGCTCGATGAACAGCCTGAAAAGAAGGGGTTCAAGGCTTTCTTCTCGCGTAAGAAAAACGCTCCGCAGAAGAAGTCTTGGGAGACGTACGATGAGCGGTCGCAGAAGATCCTCGAGGGGGATGAGCGGGAGTCAGAAAGAGCTGCGCAAGAGAGTGCCAACGTCCTCTTCGATGTGGACGCCATTCGGAGAGAGGCGCTGGCGCTGGCTATTCAGAGTCCTGGGGATATCGAGGAGATCAAGAAGCATCTCACCGTAAAGGAAATCCAGAGCACACTGCCCGCGCTGAAGGTCTCCCTCCCGAAGGAGGAACATGAGGCCAAAAAGACGAACGGCAGCACAACACCCAACGGCTCCTCGAGACCAGAAGCCCGACACACGCAAAGCCACGACGGCATAGGCTCCAGCCAAACAAACGGCACACCCGCAGCCTCGAGCACAACATCCCTCCCGAACGGCTCTCACATCTCGTCGAAAGAAACCCCCCAAGACCACAGCGAAGCCGACATCAGCATGTCCTTCGAAGACGACGACCCACGACCCAAGACAGCAGCGCCATCATACGAACAAACCTCCTGGCCCGACCAACAACACCCCCAACCCAAACAGCGCTTCGGCTCCAGCAGCGCCGAGCGTCTGCCTACCCTGCGGAGCGTTTCCACCCCCAACCCCCCGGCCAGGAAGGAAAGCGAGGGGAAAGTCGATCCCCTGAGAAATCCTTGGGACGCGGAAGATGTCGATGAGTGGGGTAAGGAGGGGGAGGTGAAGATGGATTTTGAGTGATATTGGCATTGATTCCCCGTGTACGTGTGCGTGCGTGTGCGTGTGTGTTCGAGAAGGCAGGCGTTGAGCATTATATGGGCGTTTTTGGGGGTTGGGGGTGGAGGTCAAGGTTGGGTTGGATTGACGGTTTGGATTGCATTTGGATGGAGAATGGGGATGCTTCGTTTGCATTACGTGCGGAGGGAGGGGTCTTTTTCTCTTGCCTATTCATGTTGTTTCACGATGATACGCCCCCCAACAGCCAGCAGTAGCACTGTTTAGCATTCTTTCATTTTTATTGCTTGGCCCCTCCTCAGGAAATGGGGGAGAGTGAGAGTTATACATACATTACAGTAAGTCAAGAGAGAGAAAGAGCTTGTAATATGAACCATTTTACCAACGAGTGCATGCATGATTAGTCTCGGGACACTGTGATTCAGACTTCAACCAAGCATGCGTGAGTGAAAAGCGGGTTGTGTGATTCTTGAAATTTTTGAACACCCCTTCGATTTTTCTCTCTCTACTCTCTCATCTACCTACTCTCTCCTCTGAACTTCCCTTCCTTCTCTAGCAAATTTTGAAAAGCAATGCCCCTCCCTCCATCGCAGTGTCCTGCACACGAAAAGAACTTCGCAGAAAAAAAAAAGAAGCACAGCTCCTCTGTTGACCAAAAGACAGAGAGAAACCCACCCCCAGCCCAGCGCCAAACAAATCAAGCGCAGAGCAAGCAAAAGCAGGACAAGCCGATTTTCCTGAGCCTGCGAAAAATCCATTTGCGTCCCCAAAAGCAAAACTTCATTGCACTCCATTTCAATCATGACTCCCATCATCGTGTAACAGCAGCGCCCAAAAGGTATCACATCCCGTCACTTCGCATCCATCCGTCCATCTTTCTTTCCTTTCTGGCGCTGTTATCCAACCAAACCCCTTCAGAACGCCTCGCAAACCAAAAATCCAAACCCTCACGGTTTCCTCACTCACGAACTCGCGGCCCTCACAGCCAACGTCAACTTCTCATTCCTCTCAACCGCAATATCCAAATCCTCATCGCCCTCGAGCCGATAATATTCCCCGTCCTTCTCATCCCGATACTCTATATCGAGGATCTCGTCGTTCTGGTCCTGGCCTTTGTACTCGAGTTTCCGCCGCTCGACGATTTTGCGGTAGAGGTCGTCGAAGGAGAATTGGCCGCGGGGCGCCATGCGGATCACGACGCACGTGTCGCGGTCGAACCAGGCTTTGACTTTGACGGGGGCCGTGCTGGGGGGTGCGGAGGAGCTGGCGGTGTGGGAGGGTTGGCGGGGCGCGGGGAGGCCGCTGGCGTTGGGTGGGGATTGGGAGGTGAAGCTGGCGCTGGCTTGGGATTGTTGGGCTCGTTGGTGCCGGTAGGGTCCGTTGGAGGCTTGCGATTGGTTGTATTGGTGGGTTGGTTGTTGGGGAGGACCTCGTTGTTGCTGCGCGAATTGTTGGTATGGGTTGGTTTGATGTGATCCTTGTGAGACCTGGGAGAATCTGGCGTCCATCGGTCTCGCGTGTTCATTCAAGTCCACGGCGCCCGGGTCAACCTCGTAGTCTCCTTCCCTCGGTGCGAAGAAGTTCCTCACGAGTGACGAACTGGTCAGGTATTGCGGTAGTCTCAGCAGATCCCGCAAGTACTCGTCCAAGTTCGCTCTCCTTCCTTCACTGATATTGTCCGTCACGTATTTCACCGGTCCTGGCATATAAGGCAATATCCGCGGCTTGGTTGAGTCCTTGCCAGCTTCGTCGGGGAATGCGTTGATGAGGTTGATCTGCAGCTCGTAGAAGTCCTCGTATATCCTTGACAAGTCCCAATGTGTACCGTTCGATAACCTGCATTCCACAATGAACTGGAATTTGCCGTCCGCAAAGGTGTATCGTGGTACAGATGCTCGCACAGGCGCGAAGAGGTTCTGCTGTTGCTGTGTCGTGTACGAGTTGCTGGGTTGTCTCGAGTGGCCATTCGCCTGTCCGTTCTGCAAGCTCATGCGCTCCATGCCTGGTGTGAGGGATCCCACACCTGATGTTGACACAGTGCCAAGAGGTATGCTGGTATTCTTATACTCGGCCGCCATCTTTTTCCACTCTTCAACGCGCGGTATGCCTGCTTTTTGTACCGCCGCCACAGGATCTTCCACCGCCTGCCCAGTTGTCATGTCTCTTATCTCGATGAAGGATACCGGAATCAACCCAGGGCCTCCCAGCCGTGTTATGGGCTTTGCGACGAACCACTCTGGATTCGACTGCGCGATCACTATTATCGCCTCGCCCTCTTTCGCATCGAGCTCGTCGGGGCGTTCGGCGTGGAAGTCGTACGAGACAATGCCGTATATCCCACCCGCTTTGGTGATAGACTTCATCGATCTGTGTCCCGGTATCATGGGCATCGGCACGCCCGTGCTCATCCTCGGCGCAGATGTTATATTCGGTGGCGTGGAGCCTTCAGCGTAGCCGCTGTCGTGGGTCGTGCTGGTGATTGACTTTGATGAATCGCCGCTGTCTCGCACGGTCTTGCCCACATTCTCAAAGTATTTGACAGGTACCAAGCCGCGCTCGTTGCGCAAGGGGTTGCTCGCTTCGTACCAGTCCGAGTCGCTCTCGCGGCCTATAACGTGGAGGAAATCGCCGGCGTTGAAGGACATGTACATGTCCGAGTCGGCGGGGGCATTGTAGTCGTAGATGGCCTTGATGACCTGAAACATGTGGTCGTTAATACGGGCGAGTCGACCCCTGCAATAAGTCGGGCGGGACGTACCTTCTTTGGGGGTTCTATTGCGATGGCATCCTTTTGGGGTATTGAGACCTGGACGGGTTTGGCCGAGTCGTGCTTGTCGCTCTTTATGGATCGCCGGAACTTGTGCGCCGTCAGTATAGGCATTGCGCGCGGTGTGTAGAGTGTACCCACCTTCATTGTGACTGTCGAGGCAGCGAAGCGCGGCGGAGTCGCAGCAGACCCTCAGCGATGTGGAATGTCGTATGCGCGGGCAAACAAAGAAGTATGGCGAGGGTGGCGTCTGCGTATCCGGGAGGGTGGGCTCTGCACGTGGAGAGGCGCGCAGTGGTGAATGAAAGAGGCGAGGCTGCGGGCGCCTTATCAAAGAGAGGGCGTGGAAGGCGACGGCGGGGGGCTGCGCAAGGTCGGCGCACGTGGCAGCGCGTGTGCAGAGGGAAGCGAAGTGAATGTGTGCGTGGTGAATCGTGACGTCTGTGTGTCGTGTCGGGTCGTGGTATGGGCGTGGCGATGCGTGTGGTGAGGTCAAGGTGCAGTCTGCGCTGCTGGAGCGTCGAGGATGCTGGATGCTTTTGCGTGCGCGAGCCGTCGAGTCGGAAGCAGGCCAAGGATCAACAAGCGGCGGCCGGCTGCCTCACGTCTCCCTCGCACACCAGCGACACTCTGCCCGTCGTCGCCAGCCAGCACTGCCCTGCGACGAGCTGCAATCGTCGTCGACTCGGCCTGCGTGCTGAGAGGTGCTCTGTGCTGATGCAGATGCTGCTGCTGCTGCTGCTGCTGCGCCGACTGCGAGGTACTCCCGATGCCCAACACCGGCCAGGGACTGCTCTTAGCGAGAAACCGCACAATCCACGGCTCGACCAGGGTGCCTCTTCTGAACCGCCAGAAACCTTAACACACGGTATCAAAAGCCAAAAGGAACGACAGCTGTATCGAATCTGCGAGGACTGGTTTGTATGGTAGAAGAACTGGATTACGACGACACTTGGAAAAAAATTCACATCTGTCACACTCGAGCTCCCTCGACCATGCCACCCACCTGCAGAGAAAGCGGATGCTCCACTGCCTCTCCACACCACCACCCACCCATCCATCCACTCATCCATCAAAAGCTGAGAATCTCAAGGAACGGGGCAAGGTACCTGTTTCAACCTCTTGATTCGGCACACCCGCTTCCTTGAACGACAACCGCCACAATGGTTCCCGGCAGCAAGCCAGACAACCTGCGGATGCACGTCGAGCTGCCCGCCGCAATATCGACCCTCCTCGTGGCTCCGTATCGACGGCGCGATTTATATTGCTCTTTGCTGCAGCAATGGGCTGTGATCGTTGGGTTTTCGCTCGCCCGGCACAAGGAATTCCATGACACCGTCCTTGGTGGAGGACGTGTTTCATGCTGAGTGATCTCTCGCCAGCATCTCAATCATCGAGCCCATCGTTCTGGTCTGCTCTTCTAACCACCAGCTCCTGTCATCATGTTCACGGACATTACAAGTCACACCCACACCCACTCGTGAGAAATAAAACCCCACTACTGCACGACAGAGCACACAAAAAAGCACCCTCCAGCCAAACAGCAGAGAGCAAAGGGCTCAAAAAAGTTCCTGTGCCGCATGCCGCGCTGCAGGAACCACTTCCCACTTCCTTCGAGCTGCATGCAGGCCGGGGTCATTTCACACTGTGCTCTGAACAACCACACCACCATCGTCACACGTAACACGAACCACCACATCCACTTCCCTCAGCATCGCCCTGCCACGCGACCGCCATCGTTACGGCGTGAATCGTGTGGTCAATGCCCCTTCTCTAGCCTAGCCAATGTATCACCAACTCCATCAAAACCAATTCCCAACGCGAGTACGATTTGACATACCAACGTATCACAAGATAAATGACTTCTCTTCTTCATTCAATCTCTCAAATTGAGCCGACCTGTCCATCGGACATCGTCTCTTCAACCGCCAATACCCGAAATCACAATCACTCAATCAATCACTCAATCTGTCAAGGCGTGAAGAACCAGCTGTCGTACAGACACGTCAAACAGCTCTATTGTACATACTAGAAGAAGAACGTACCCATCTACATCTCCCGACCGGCAGAGAACTTGAAGTAACTTCCCGCCCATCATCGGCCCGCCAAAGCCACGACTCATGCCTCTGACATCGACTGTTTGAACTCCTAGCCCTAGTCTCCCTCACACCTCAACAGAACACTTCGTGAGGCATGCAGGCATGACACTGTTGAATAATCTTCGTACCTGGTTGAATGAGTGCGAGTCTTCGACAACCACGGGGTTGACATGTTTCACGATACCAGTGGAGGGCATCGTAGTGTGTCTGATGTCAAGGGTTGTGATGGATGAAACATGAAACATGTGTTTGAATTCGCGCTCTAGACTTCAATGGCTTGGTGCACGTGAAGTCGCCGGCGCAAACGGAAAGGCTAAGAACTACTGTTCATTCGCTTGAAAACTCCAACAGCAACGCGAAGTGGTATCTCCCGTGACCCATACCGAGCGCCATGCGCTCTGGTCTGCGAATCCAAATCAACCAACCCAAGTACTGTGCTCTTCACCCTGAAAAGCCACCCCAGAAGAACGCCATGTGCCGTATGCCAAAATCGAAGATCTGCTCAAGCCGTCTCGCCTACCGCTGTGCTGATGCCGCTGTGCTCAAGTCGCTCGGATTGCTGGGTTAGTGAAGGGGGGTGCGACGATGATGAAGAAGGGGGCAGAGACGGAGAGCGACGTAACCGTGGGCGCCATCAGATCTGGCCCTTGATATCCACCTTGCCAAACGCCGCTTGCTTAGCCATCTCGAATATGTTGCCCGCCTTGCCTGTGAGGACTCGAACGTCGCCGCCGTCCTTCTCCTGCACCAATGCGTCGCTGCCGTGGTTGACCACAAAGCTGAGGCACTCTCGCTCGACGTCTTCGTCAAAAAGTTCCGTGTCGCTGCAAGTAAAGGCAAGCTCTTTGGTGAGGAATTTGCTGCTTACGTCGGGTTTGTAGCTGCAGAACAATCAGTCAAGCATGAAGACGGGTAAGGAGTAGCTCACGATTTGCAAATGGCAGCCATGGCACCCAATCGCTCCCGGTCGATGAACATGTCCATCAAGTACGGGACCATGTTACGGTCCTGGTACTGACGGTACAGCTGGAAGAATCTGTGGTAGTTGCCCGAGGCCAGCGCCGCGCGCACTCGAAGGGCGAGGGACACGTAGGTTCCCTTTTTGTCTGCTGTGGTTAGATCGGCCAACATGTTGTTCATGTCGGTCCGATTGCGCGTGTAGATCAAATACAGAATGCGGTACGCCAAAAACTCATCCTCCTTGCCGCCGCTGCTGCCGCCCTCCCCCAGCCTTAACTTGTACAGCGCCCGAAGCTGCGTTTGACACTGATTGTACTCACCCAGGTCCTTCATTTGCAGTGCAATGCGTGCATGCGTCTCGTATACTCGGATCGTGAAAGGTGACTTGATGCGCTGGACCGTGAGGTCCTGGCGCAGGGACTTGAGCTGGTCACAAGTGTATGTGTAATCATGTTCGCTCTTCCACTTGGTCATGATGTAATCGAGCGCCTTCTCCAGTACGGGCAGGGGTCGCACAGTGCTTGGGTTAGGCGGTGCAGTCAATCTGAAGTAGTTCTTCTCGAGCGTTTGGCAGGTACCAACGATGGGTCCGGAGTTGGCATCGACAGCAGGGGAATCATCACGTGAAGAAATGTAAGGGGAAGGCTCGGGAGATTGAGCAAAGCGCTGTCGACGACGCTCGAGTGCATCGGCGCTGGTGTCAAACCAGGTGTTGTTGTCCTTGCGCTTTTTATCCTGGTGCTTACTCTTGCCCGTCATGCGCTCGGCAAGTGTGGCCTTGGCGTTTGTCTTCTTCTTCCATGGCGGAGTTACTGGCTGTCCTTCGGCGTCCGTCATTTCCTGGTCGAGGGACTTTCGTTTCTTCGCATTTGGGCCTGATGCGTGTGCCCCGTTGAACTGGGGTTCCATGGAGGGTTCGAGTAGGTTAGCTATGACTGCATTCTGCGCGGCATACATGGATTGCCTGCGGTCGTCGAGGATGTGCTCATGTGGTAGAGGAAAATTTGCCCAATCTCTGCTGTTCACAACGCCTGCTTCTGTGGCCTTGTTGACTATGATGGAGAGCTTGTTCCGGATGTCCTTGTCCGTGATGCCGGCGAGAGCGGGCGCCTCCTTCTGTCTATTGAACTCAAAGAAGGAACGCTGCACGTAATCAACGACGGTGGATGCAAAGTTGGTGGGCTTATTGGAGTCCGCAGGCGTGTCTTTGGCGAGCGTGCGCCGAGCCGCGACGGCCGTGAAGGCAGGTTGTGCTGTCATGTCGGCAGCGCCTCCAGATTGCGACCGCGGAAGCTGATGGAGCTTCGAGGCGGGGGGTAGACTCGCGAAATAGAGAGTGAGATGACGGACGACAGTGCGTATGTTGTCGGATGGTATTGCTGACGTCGCGGTGGTGTTATGTGACTGGCCTTCTATGTGTGCGAGGTGAAGAAAGGAGGAAGAGGTTGGAGCGGTGGACGATGTGTAGTCGCCCATTTTAGCGGCTTGGCGTGATGAATCATGCGGCACGTGACTTGCCCAACTTCACTCGCCGCCTGCGCCTTGAGATTCACCATCAGAAAGACTCGAGGTCACGATCTCTCTTGGCTGCTAAACGTTGCTTGCACAGAACTCCTTCACGTATTATCTCAATCTCACGCTACAACACTTTAAGATCAGTAGCGGCTAACAGAGTCGCACAAGTCGAATCGACACGACTTCCGCGTCTTCCTCAAGCACCGCAACAACCACCACTCCCCATGTCTGCGAATGTTTCTTCGACACCTGGATCTGACGACTGCGCTTCGGCCATCGCTTTACGACGATGAGACTCTTCTCTTCGTTCAGGACAGTGTGGGCTTGTACGAAGGCAAATACAAGATCCCAAACTATCAAAATGGTCATGCTTATCTGACATCGCATCGTGTATGCTACGTCGACAATGGAGACCCCAGGAAATACTCCGTGGCCATCAATTTGAAGGAGATCGAGCGATCCGAGTTCTATGCTGGCTTTCTCAAATCCTCTCCAAAGATCACCCTTTTCCCAAAGGCAGCCAAGAAGGGGGTTTCGGCCATTAGAAGTCCTGTCCCACGATATGCGTCTCCAAGTGATGCTTTGGTAGGATCAGTTGGATCCTCTTTACCCACATCAACACCATCACCCGCTCCTGCCAGAGATGTAAATGCCACTTGGGTCTGTTCGATATGTGGAATGTCGAATCAAGTCCCGCCCAACTTTGATCCTGCTACAGCGAACGAGCATACGCCGCTATCGCCATGTCAGGCGTGTGGGATCAAACCTCCTCTGGTCACCATGGTGAAAGCCGCGATCAGCGCAATGTCGAATCGTCCAAGCAGGGCTTCTGGACCAACCACCATCGCACATGGGTTCAATACTTCTTCCAATTCGGGATTGCAAAACTTATCTTCACAGCCGGCAATACCGCCTGGTCAATGTCCACGCTGTACATTTCAGAACCACCCCTCACTGAGCACATGTGAAGTGTGTGGCGCATCTCTGCAAACGGCAACCGATCGCAGAGTTCAGACTACGGCAGAAGAAATCCAGCGGACAGACTCGCCCGGTCCTAGTCTGGATGTCGCAAGCATCGTGGGCAATGACTCCATCCAGACCATCAAATTCTCATTTCGTGACGGTGGTGCGCCTACCTTCAACGACCGACTTCAAAACGCACTAGTGCAGAGAAAGTGGTTGCTCCAGAGTGCACCGCCAGTACCCAAACCAGCCTCCACACCGCCTCAGTCAAATGGCTTCTCGAGGCCAAATAATGGCACTACACCGTCAAGCAGCACACCACGGCGAGTTGTTGGAATTGCGGGCCTGGAGCAGAGAGGTGCTCTTCTGCGACAAAACAATCAAGCAGTCATTGGTACCGCCTTCGAAGATCTTGAAGCATTGATGACATCCGCGAAAGAAGTCATTGAGATGGCAGAACAATTTGCTAAGCAGACAAACGGTGCCGCAGACGGTGACTCTGACGCAAGAAGGCTGATCTCAGACTCTGCTTCTGCGTTAGGGTTGGTGACTACGAAGGATATGCTCGGCACTGGATCATCTGCAGAGCAGCTATACGTGACGGAACTTTCTCGAGATCTGGCGGAATTCCTGACTGACGACAGGAAAGGCGTGCTTCGCAAAGAAGGAGGCATCATATCGCTAGTGGATCTTTGGCAAGTGTTCAATCGGACCCGCAACGGCATTGAGTTGGTGTCGCCATTAGACTTCGAAAAAGCTGCCACCATGTGGGATACGTTACACTTACCTGTGCGCCTGCGTCGATTCAAAAGTGGTCTATTGGCTGTGCAAGAGCGAAGCAGGACCGACGAGAAGACGATTGCAAGTTTGTTGAGTTGGTTGCAACAACCTCATCATACTTTTGCGTTGCAGACTGGCGATGATCAGAAGCCTGCTTTTGGTAGAGGCGTCACGGCACAAGAGACTGCAGAACGATTTGGCTGGAGTGTTGGTGTTGCTACGGAAGAGCTTGAAATGGCGGAAGAAGCCGGTGCTCTGTGTCGAGATCAGTGCTTGGACGGTATTCGATTCTGGGAGAATCACTTCTTGCGAATGGTATCAGGACAAGGAGCAGCATAGGAAGCCATCCTTGCTTGCAGACAACGTGATGTCCGAGTTGGATCTCGCATTGTCTTGCAGCTGCCAAGCTACGCCGAGGAACAGCAGTGGCGCTTGCTTGGATCATTGGACAGCTGTTCGACGAGAATGCTCTTGAACCGGAAACGACTTCGAGTGTGACTACAATTTCGAAGACCGATCGCCGCTTCATCTTGATCTAATCAGATCACCCGAGGCAATGATACGAAAAACAGCACACGACTGGTCCAGATGTAGTAGTGCGAAGTGGGGTTAAAGTTCTCTCTAGGCACGCGGATAAGACGGACCGAAGTACGAACAACTTCTGTGGCAGATGGAGCTTGCGCAACTGCTTCCGGGCGTTGGGTATCATAACCTCAAGCGGAGTTTGCGACGGATTCGCCAGAGTCCGTCTTGAATCAACGAATATCGGCCACAGGTCGCTGCTGATCGCTCGGACATGATCGACTGAGCTGTGCCTACAGCAACTCTCGTCGGCCTTGCGAGGTGGCGAATACTCATGGAAACTTGGCTCATAATTCGTCTTCGCTCGCAATCGGCAGAAGCTTTCAACAATGAGAGCTTGTTGGCTTGCTGGAGCGGCTTTTCTCGTCGCTTGCTGACGGACTTCTGGAGCGAAATATGTGACTACAACATGGAGATCTGACCTCCGATTTTCTGCATCCTTCGGAGCCACTTTGCCGCCAAGCCAACGTGACGCAGACGGTATTGCTTAACCTCGACTTCGAAAGTCTGCTTCAACTTCGCCGTCGAAATGAAATGATGTCGTGCCTTGCGCAGAGGCGGTCCACCTGGACAGGAGGCGGCCAAGGCTGCCACCAACCTGAGCCATATTAGAAAAGCTTAAATATAGGCTCAACGTGGCGGACCGTTTGTAAACGAGCACCCCTCGTAAAGAGAAAGAATTGCCGCTATTGGTTCGTAGATTCGACTCGCGTGCTGTTTTCACTGGGCGCTAGCCAACTATTGACTGAGCGCCGTTGAGTGCTGAGACGGAGCTGCATGTAACGCTCGTGTGTACATAATGAGAAGAATGGACTGCACTTCATGCTCTGCCCCTCCTCCAGCGTTCTGTTCCGGAGTCCGTCATGATGAGGGCGTTCACAACCGCCTTGCTGGCCGTCATTGCGGCAGTTACATCTGCTGCACCTGTAGAAGAACGAGATCTTGTCTTCGATTATATCGTCGTGGGCTCTGGAGCAGGAGGAGGCCCTTTGGCCAGCAGGCTCGCTCGCGCCAACAACACCGTTCTTCTCATCGAGTCGGGAGACGACCAAGGCCAGAACTACAACGTGAGTCTCGAATGGCGCGAAGAAGCGTGTTAGCAGTGAGTGTCTGGTGGCTAATGATGAGTCCCAAGTATTCGATCCCGGGCTTCCAAGCATCAGTAACACAGGACAAGCAGATCGCCTGGGATATCTTCGTCAACCACTACCAAGACCAGAGCCGAGCGCAGAGAGACCCCAAATATGTCCCCGGAAAGGGCATCCTCTACCCTCGTGCTGGCACCTTGGGCGGCTGTGTCTCTCACAATGCACTTATCTGGATTACACCACATGCTAGCGATTGGGACAACATCGCATCGATTACAGGAGACTCGTCATGGTCGTCTTCCAATATGCAGCAGTATTTGAACAAGGTTTACGAGTGGCAGCCAACAGGGCCTACAGACCCTGCTATTCTTCTTAAAGACAATATGCTCGTCCAGCATCTTGCTGGAGGTGCTGCTGTTATGGGTCTTGGCCCGGATCCACTTGCTGCGGTGACGGGGCTGGGGCAGACATTGCTTGTTGATCCAAATAACACTCCCGGTCGAGACTCACTTGAGGGCTTCTATCAGATTCCTCTTATTCAGGTATGATCAGTAGTTCGAGACGTACATATTAACGACTGACTCCGTGGCCAGAGAGGCGGTACCCGAGTCAGTGTACGAGACTTCATCGTCGACACCGTCAACAACGGCAGTCCATTGACCGTCCGTACCAACGCTCATGTCACGAAGATCAACTTCGACACAACCGGTGCTACACCAAAAGCCATCGGTGTCGATTTCCTAGACGGACCACATCTCTACCGAGCCAGCCCTCTCAGCGGTGCTGCTGGCACTCCCAACACGGCTCGAGCTCGAAAAGAAGTCATCATCGCAGGCGGTAGCTACAACACCGTCCAGACTCTCAAGCTCTCCGGAATTGGTCCCCAGGCTGAACTACAGAGCTTCGGCATCAACGTTATCAAGGACGCCCCAGGCCTGGGAAACAACATGCAAGATCGCTACGAAATCCCCGTGAACGCACTTCATCCCAACGATTTCGCAATCCTGGACGGCTGCACCTTCGACGCAAAGCCACACGACAAGTGCTTCACGCAATGGCAGAACAACCCCAGCGTCCTCGGCCTTCGAGGAGCCTACGGATCCGACGGCCTCGCTGCCGCCATGGCCGTTAACTCAGACTATGCAGACAATTCTGACATCGACCTCTTCATCTTCGGCGGCCCCGTAAACTTCACAGGCTACTTTCCCCGTTGGGGAGACGCCGCAGTCGCCAGCCACAAAGTCTTCAGTTGGTACACCCTGAAAGCCCACACCCGCAACACAGCCGGAACCGTCGAACTCCGCTCCACCGAACCCCTCGACACGCCCGTCATCAACTTCAACTACTTCGACACCGGCACCACGGCCAACGACGCCGACGTAAAGGACGTCAAAGCCCTCGTCCAAGCGATCAAAATGTCCCGTGAGGCGAATCAGCGCTACTACAACTATCCCTTGGCTGGCACCAACTGGACTGAGCAACGCCCCGGAGCCGACGTCACGTCCGATGCGGACCTCGAGCAGTTCGTTAAGGACCAGGCGTGGGGTCATCATGCTTGCTGTACGGCGAAGATTGGTTCTACGAGCGATCCAAGTGCGGTGCTTGATTCTGAGTTCCGGGTGATTGGGGTGGATGGTTTGAGGGTTGTAGACGCCTCTGTCTTTCCCCGTATACCAGGTGTATTCATTCAATCTGCCATATTCATGGTCAGTGAGAAGGCTGCTGATGTTATCTTGAATGGTTGAAGGTTGGGGGTGGACGGGGGGCCGAGCTGGAGTGAATTCAGTGGTACCACGTGACACGACCACACGATCCAATGAAACGATGAGTTCGCATGAATATCATGTCTAGAGCGTGATTATGTACAGATGGAAGTCTTTCATGATGCATCAAGTTCATACTTGGGAGTTCGAGGACAGTGCAGCTCGTACGGCTTGTGGATGCCGTTCAGCTCATGTGGCCGCAATTGCGTTGCGGACATCTCAACAACTTCGTGCGAACCCAACTCGTTTGTGCGCCAGACGTATGATGGTGGCCCACTGGAGTTGTCGTCTGGATAGGTGTGTTCTTGTGTGGTCAGCTCGGTCATGCTTTGGCTTGACTTCGCCAAGGATCTTCGCCGCCAAACGCAGAATATAGCAGTGGCAATGAATGCACCAGCGCCTAGGACTCCTCCGACAACAGCGCCGACGATTGTAGTGGTCGGTATGCTGCCGTTCGTCTCGGGTGACGCCGTCGCTGTCTCGCTTGCTGTGCCAGGGATGGTAGCAACAGTACCATCATCCGTGTTGTCGGTGACGTTACTGGCATTCGTCGAGCAGGCCCTGTCAATGGTCACAAGATTCGTGTCTGATGTAGCATTTGCGGTCCACAAAGTAAAAGTATTGGCCTCAAGATCGACCATGAGATACGCTGACGCGAAGAAATCTCTCCCGATGGTAGGATTGTCGTTCGCATTTGCATCGATGAGCACTCCGATCCTGACGATCGATGCACTGCTGTTCGTTTGAACCGCACCGTCCGATCCGACACTAGAATCAGGAACAACCAAGACATCGTTGGGTATGGTGACGCTGAATCCCGTGCTGAAGCCCAGAGTCAACTCGCCAACAAAGCTAGAGACTGGTCAGAGGTCTTGCAATGTGCTGGTGCTGCAGGTGTACTCACACATCACGAGGGCTGTAAAGTGGCTTGATCCAGTCTATAGGTGTAACATCTGTATATTCTAGGAATCTGTTGTAGTAGGGATTCGACGCCGCGGTCATGATGGACGGGAAGTTGACTCTGAAGCAAGCCGATATAGTCTGAGGGGCCAAGAGATCTGCTTCGGTACCATTCGGAAAATCGAGTCGCATACTCGTGAGGATCAGAGACATGCCAGATGGACAGCCCTTAGAAGGCTGTGCTAACGGCAGAGTGAGATTTGCACCAGTCGTCTTCGCCGCATCGTATCCACCGAAGACAATCGAGCCGTCCATAGCTGCGCTCGCTGTCGCGCTGTCAATTCCGGGCCAGTAACCCCATACACGAGATGAAATGTGTCCCGCGTCTTTCAAGGCGTTGAGCAATGTTGAGTTCCGTCCCAATCCGATATTGGCTTGGGGATTGAGATACTCCCCGTAATCGAGACCTGCCATCCCGATCGGATAGCTATCCACAGAGGCATTGCCTACATGTAGTGTGTCTTTAGCAAACTTGTTGAACCAAACGTGCGGACCTGTATATGTCAGCAATGACCTCCATAATCCTGAGCTTTCAAACATACCATCCACCCTGCCTTCGGTGTCTGTAGAATCTCCACCGGCTTCGAAGACATTCAAATCGCCCACCGCGGTTTTGGACAGGCTGGGGTCGTACAACCCACCTCTTTGAGAGAGGCATTGTGTTTCTGTGGTGTTTGGCCAGCAAAAGGCGGCGCTCGTGTTGAAGACCTGTTCCTAGTCAACGAGGCACTGGTTCACAGACGGGTCAATCGACTGACCCATGTATCGTTGAAGAAGCTGTGAGAGGATGCCATCAGTAAAAGATTCGTGGTGTAGGTTGAAAGTGTACTTACTCAGACGGCTGAAAGGAGAAGTTTTGTGCAGGAGTGCCGATTGACAGTGGTATGCCTCGGATCTCCTGTCCATTTGACAATTTGACATTGGTGACTGGTAGCGCAATCGGAGTCGGACTCGAGCACGCAGGAGCGGAAGAAGACGCAGCCAGAGAAAGTAGGCAAAACAGGAACAAGAGTGCCAGCATCTCACACAGGAAGAAAACAACAAAACTTCATAATGAGTGTGAACAGTGCAAAGAGAAGAAGTGGTGTCAAAGTTCCGCAGCGTGGCAGCTCTGGTCTTGATCTTTCGTGTGGCCGATGAGTTCGAACAGGTAATATTAGAACGCAACTCAAGCGCCGCTCTGCAGATAAACGTGTAGGATGTCTGCCAGCCGAAGGCCTGAGCGCTTTCTCGGCCAATAGATGTGTACGCAAATGAGAGAACAGGTGTGTTTCAAGCGCCAAGATTGTAGCCGCCAGAGATACCAGATGGTCCACTTTGGTCTTGCTGTGCCGCGACGGACGGCACAAATGCAGAAGATAACGAAACAACATGAACGTGGACTGTCAAGAAAAAATCGCTACGACTCGGTCGAGCGATGGAGTGATAATGGAATGAAGACAGAAAAGGTTTTGTTAAGCTGAGTGCCGGGCTCGCGGTCTTTGACTTATCTTTGTCTCCCAGTCTACCCCTAATTTTTACCAGGACTAACTCCATGCGCGGATCGCAAGAACGGCTCCCTTGCATTTCGCTGAATCAAGTCTACTGGTCTTCAACGTGAGCATTCCAGCCCTGATGGCCCCTCCAGTGGTGCGACACAAGTTGCTCCTCGTTGCCCCATGGTTTGCTGCCTGAATGATCCTGACCCGACGCAAAAGCGCTCACGGGTAGAATTAGCACGTCGCCAATCAGCTTGGGCCTGTCGATTTCGGAAAGGTCCTTGTAGGTGATGTTCTGGCCAGTCCGTTTGGTCAAAGCGTTCAGAATAGCAGCCGTGAACACTCGTGGTCCCGTGGTCTTCATAACAACATCGTAAGTAAGCACGGCGGAGTTTTCGTTGTCCTCCTCGAAGTCGTTCAGCTGTGTGACAACCTGGTCCACAACATGCTGTATAACGGGATGTTGGGGTTTCGACATAATTGTCCACTGACAAAGGCCTGCAGGCACTTTCAAGTCTGGCCTGGGCTCTTCACCTCGCGAATCGATCTCAATGCCCAAGACAACATTGCTTACATTCAGCAAGCCTTGCGGAACCCATTCTCGAATTGGCCTTGAGCAGTCCGTGTCGATGTCGGTATAAACGCCGCCTTCCGCAAGCAGCGTCAAGTATCGGATCAGGTCGGCTCGAAGGATTGGGTGGTCAATCTTCTCGAATGCCTGGATTATTTGCGGCTGCTCTTTGAAATGCTCTCGCACGTATGTTGTGGCAGACTCGCTGGTCAGGAGCTCATAGCGATATTCCCGATTCATGTCCGTCCATGTCTTCGATAGTCTCTGCAGCTCGTCGTCCATGTCCTGCGGGTATTGTTCCCATGTCTGCCATATCTTTCGTGGAAATTCGTCGTCAAACCGCCGGGTGTCTAGGACGTCGGATGGGGTTAAAGGTGTTTGCCTTGCAGAGTAGTGAAGTAGCAGAGCACCCAGACATAGCAGAGTGCCCGCTGCTATAATGTAGGATCGCAGAATGCTGGACCGGTGGTTGTACATCGGCGGATTGAAGTGAGCTTGATCGACTTACCCGGAGCGAATAGCTGCTACATGCTGTTTATATCGTCCGCATGCCTCAAGCATACAGGACGCTAATGAGTTGCGTCAATTCTCCAAGCGAGATGAGACGGCACAGTCGACGACAAAGATAGGAGATTCGACGTGCAGTCAGAAGAAGTTCAGCGCCAAGCGGGAAGCATCGTCTCGGGCCGCCATTGGCTTGACCTCACGTCTACGTTTCAATAGCCGCGGTCTTCTCTGCTATCTCGCATCGGCACCATTCTGCTGCAACGAACCTGACCATGTCATCTCCACTGAACATGCAGCGCATGGAGACTCACTTGCTGACCTTCGGCAACTACCAGCCGCTTCTGGGCTCGCAGAGCAATCGGTAAGGGTCAGGATTCACAATTGGAGCCTTTTGGAAAGAATAAGCAGAGTCTATGAACTCAATACCATGTGAGCTGTGCAAATTGTCGGAGCGCAAAAGCATGGCAGTAGAAATTTGACATGTTTCATAGCGATTTGCACTCCTACTTCGCGCTATGGCAGCCGATAGTTTCACCCTGGTGCTGCGCCGCATAGACATGGTAGCAGCTTAAGGGGCGACGGCAGCTGAGCGCCAACGATCCCAACGATCGGAGGAGAGCTGCTCTTCGCTCTCCATATCGTGTTGGTGAGCGCCAAACTTGTACTGTTTAGTTGCACACCTGCACACGCTGGCCTTCAAGTTGTTTGCTTACTCTTGTTCGAGTCGTCACTATGTTACACCTACGCTTAATCTTTCTTTCTTTCGTATCGCTTTCCCTACAGGACTGCGATAACACCCTGGTATTCTCTTTACCTGTGACCGATGTCACGTTATCGAACCGACAACTCATGCGCGGAGTTCCTATCGCCGTCGGCACGCCGCCCCAAAACTTGTCCATGATGCCACAGCCTTACCTCAACGATACCTGGCTCTACAACAGCAGTGTTTACTTCTGCAACTCGAGCTGGACCTCACCCACGGGCTGCCTCACGGTGCGCGGTGGGTTGTATGACCCCGAAGACTCGTCGACTAGCCAAAAAGCAAGCGATGTGAACGCAGCTGGCGGTGATCCAAGCGATACAGCGCGGACTCTTGATCTTCATATCTGGGAAAGCGAATGGGTCAACGACGAATTCAGCGTTGGAAACGCTACAATCGACAAGTTTGCTCTCGGCATGCCCGGATTTCCAATCTTTGATACATATGACACTCAGAGTCAGTTCGGCCTTGGCATTAACTCGACGCTTTTGAACGCCTTGAAGAGAATGGATGCGATAACATCGAGAGCATATTCCTGGTGGTGGGGCGTCCAGGGCGCAACAACACAAACGGACGGGCAGATCGTATTTGGCGGATACGATTCGGGGCGAATCCAGGGAACAAACTACACGAGACCAATGAGCACGCCTACCTACCCTGACTGCAACTCGGGGATGATGGTCACCATATCAGACCTTGTTCTGACGTTTCCAAATTCAACAAAGTACAGTCTACTCAGTCCAAATCAGATGACGGCATGCATCCTCCCCGATTACCCTTTGATCCTCACGATGCCATCCGATACTCCTTACACCAGGTTTGAAGCTGCCACCCAGACGCAAAGCTTTGGTCCTGTTGGCGGCAATGGTCTTGCCTTTCAAGGCGTTGGTTACTATCCGGACAACGTGTAAGTCTTGATTGACTCCCGTATGTATTAGCTTGCGAAATGCTGAATTGAAGACAGCTACCAGGGCAGCCTGACCATCAGTATCGGAGATTCAATTGACTTTGAATTCCCCAACGAGCTTCTTGTCGTACCTCCTACAAACGTCGAGCAAGATGGAGCTATCAAAGCCAACGAAACCGTTCGCGAAATCATGCTAGGCCCTACAAGTGCAGCTCTTGGGAATAAACCTGCAATCCTGGGACGCCATTTCTTCCAGGCTGCCTACCTGATGGTCGACTACGAGACGGACTCGTTCACACTGTGGAATGCGAATACTACGTCGACGACCAGCAGGCTTGTCGCATTGAATAATTGTACCAGCAACGAGACAAGGTCTCACACAGGCGGCGCCTCGTCAGAAACAAGTGCAGCACCGAGCGACGCTTCAAGTGCTCTATCTGGGGCTGGTGAAGGTAGAGTTGGGGAGCCTGCCTTGTCTTCAGGCGCCATTGCAGGTATCGCAGTGGGCACCACTTGCGCGGTGTTTGCAATTGCCGCTGCCGTTGTTGTATTTTGCTTCCGGCGTCGTGCCAAAGCCAACAAGTCTGCCGGGGAATTTTCAAGCAGCACAGCACTCGCACAGTATCCACTGGGAGGGTTCCCTGGCACAATTACGAAGCATGAGGCGATGTCGGGACAGTTGAGTGAGCTCAACGCGTACAACAAGCCCTCAGAGCTGGCCTCGGATTGGAAAGCGAGACACGAACTCGACGCTCCGAATTGGAGGAGTCCCAGGCATCCTGCACAGCGATCTCCGGCCGAGTTGGGCTCTCCGTAGATCTTTTAGCGAATAGTGAGTGTATAGATTCTAATTTCATGATGGAACTCTTTCCATTATAACCGCAACTAAGCCTGGAGAAGACACAGATATGATCTGACCTGGAGGCTTTCTCAATTGTCAGCTGCTGAGTCTTCGGCTGCTGCCCCTTGTACTGCTGGCACTTCGATTGCTGGACCTCGGACGCAATCTACCACATCTCCAGCAATCGGTTCGCCGCAGACTTGGGCCACCAGCTCAATGCGTACATTCCATTATAGAGAAACATGGTTGAGTTGCAAGATCCATGGTGGCTGCATGGAACTGTCAAGTTGCCAACGGTATAGATCTGGAAGAGTTGTGCATAAGCAGAGGAGCCTCACACCAACAATTTGCTGCTGAAACGTGTCCCGAATGGAGAGACGGGATACATGAGGGCATGCTTTGATGTGCTGCTCCCGAATATAGGTAATGTGAACTGCCGCAAAGTGGACGTGTGTTTTTGCGACAGAAACCGTCCTTGGAATCATCGGCCGCCTAGATTTTCGAAGGGGTACCACGGAATAAGGCAGATATTTCGGGATTGTTGATGGAGCGCACTCTCTCTAGCGCACTTTGGCCCTTATGCCCCTGACAAAGAACCCTCCGAGCTGGGTCAGCGCCATGTCTGAGGAGAGCTCGCGCGACCGGAATGTTCTCCCTCTCAACGGCCAGATAGAGAGGCGTAGGGAGAAAAGACATGGCCATCTGCCGGGAGGCAGTTGGATTCGTGTAGCGAAGCGCGTTGACATCAGGCCCTTTCGATGCAAGGAATTCAACCAATTCGGCACCTTCCCGCTCGTTCTTTCTCTCAACAGCACTATGCAGGAGATCTCCAAGCATCAAGTCTGCCCCTTCTACAAGGAGGAAAGACACCACCTGAAAGTCACCCGATGCGATTGCCTTGGCGAGAACGGGCTGGCCAAGGCTGTTGAGAGCATTGATGTCAGCTCCTTGGTCGATGAGCCATCTCATGAAGTCCTTGTCATCAACCGCGAAGCTGTGAACCCAATTAGTACAGCCAGTCTATAGTGGAGCGTAGTTTATTTACCAGAGCGGGCTGAACGCCCAGATAGAAGTGTTGATATCCCATCCAAAGTCCAAAAATGCTCGTATACATTCTTTGTCCTTGTGTTGGAACGCTTCTGCAACGATGTTCTCCGAGAGCTCTGGGTCTCTTTGCAGCAGCATCCGTAACCATTCTGGGTTTTGCGATACAACGGCTTCATGTTTGGATCGTAGGCTCAAAGATTCTGTAAGACCTCGGCTTGTTTCCCGGACCTTCTTTTGATCTTCAATTAATTCTTGAACTGCAGGCTCGCGCACATCTTTCAGCATATTCTCAAAATCTAAATCGAAGCTGTGTGATCCCGCCATTTTGTGAACGTGCCTCCGGGGAAGAGAAAGACATGGTAGGGGTGAAAATAGGGAAGGCATCAACGAGATATATGAGGCACAGCCTTGTGCGCTACGCCCAATACGTAGCAGCTGAACGAACAGCACTGTCCTTTTCAGGCTTGGCAACGGCGGCAACCTTCGAATCTTCACCGGTCCCGGTTCCGGATGGTGCACCAACAACAACATCCATATGTTCCACGTTACATTTTATTTCATCTACAAGCATACTGCTAGTGCTACCTAGTAGTGGTCGGATAGCGTCAAGGTGCCAGTCTTGGTAATCTGGAGGAAAGGGGTCAGCTTTGCACAGCGCGCCGAACACGATACGACACTACTCACCATGTACTCCTGGATGGCCACGTCCTTGCCGGATTCCTTGCCATATCCGGACTCCTTGATACCGCCGAACGGTGACTCAGCGGCTGAAGAGTTGCCAGTGTTCATTCCTATCAGTTGTCAGTGAGAACACCATGTTGGGAGCATGCGAGATACGAACCGATCATGCCAGCCTCCAGGTTTTCCAGCAGCCTCCAGGTCCGGTCTACGTTCTTCGTGAAGAAGTAGCTGGCCAAACCCATACTGGTGTCGTTCGCTCTTTGGACGGCCTCTTCCTCGGTATCGAACTCAAACAGAGCCATGACAGGCGCAAACGTCTCCTCCCGGGCGATCAACATGGAGTCTTTCGCGCCAGTGATGACCGTGGGCTCGAAGAAGTATCCGTCGTATCCCGGTGTACCGTGCAGCTTCTTGCCTCCCAACAAGACTTTTCCGCCATTCTTCTGCGCATCTTCGACCTGGGCAGCCGCCTTGTCCAAACTACGATCGGTGGTGACTGGGCCCATTGTGGTCTTCTTATCGGCTCCGTGTCCGACGACAAGCTCTTTCGTCTTGGCTGAAAGGATTTGGGTGAACTTTTCATACACTCCCTTCTGGACATATACTCGATTCGCGGTGATACATGCTTGACCGGCGTGTCGCCATTTGAGAGCCATGAGCTCTGTGGAGAGTCAGCCAAAAGACTGTCATTGACAACGCATACACTTACGAGTTGCTGCTTGTTCCAGGTCCGCATCATCAAAGACGAGGAACGGGCAGTTACCACCAAGCTCCAAAGTGCACTTTTTGAGGCCGTCGCTGCAAATCTTCGCTACGAGCTTTCCGACTCGGGTGCTGCCAGTGAAAGTCACCTTCTTGGTCAGGGGGTGTCGGCAGAGAGATTCGCTGAGAGCTGGTGTGGTTTCGAGGCTAGTCGGCATGACACTGAACACTCCCTTGGGGAAGCCTGCCTTCTCTGCGAGATATGCCAGCGCTCCAACAGAGAATGGGGTCTCTGGAGAGGGCTTGACGATCATGGTACAACCAGCAGCCAATGCAGCTCCTGCCTTTCGCAAGATCATAGCGATGGGGAAGTTCCATGGGACCAAGGCTACAGCCACACCAATGGGCTGCTTGACGGTGAACACTCGTCGACCTGGTGCCGCTGGAACCTGCATCGTTCCCTGGACTCTTTCAGCCTCGCCTGCAAACCACCATGTGAAGCCAAGAGCATAATCCAGCTCTCCTTGGGATTCGAAGATGGGCTTTCCGCATTCGTAGGTCACGATCTGAGCCAGGTCGTCTCGGTTCTCGCGAATGAGTTGGTCCCACTTCAGCAGCCACTGTGCTCTTGTTCTTGGGTTGACCTTCCGGTAATCCTGGAACGCAGCGTGTGATGCCTTCAGTGCATCGTCGACATCGTCAGGACCCATGTCTGGAGCCGTGGCCCAGACCTTGCCATTGCCGGGATCTGCACAATCAGAGCACGCTCATAACGATCTCGCAACAAGAAAACCTACCGACGACATCGAAACGTTTGCTCGTCTTGCTGTCGATCCAGTTGCCCCCAACAAGAGCCTTGTCACGGAACAATTCAGGATTGTTCAACTGCAAGAAGTCAGATTCTGCAATACGAAAGCTGCTCCGATATCGCCTACCTTGAAGGGTAGATTTGCCATCTTGACCGTTTCTGTGTCTGTTGCTGTCGTGGCTGGCTTCGTGCTTGGAACGGTCTTTCTTCTCTTTGTTGGCCTCGCCAGAGTGAAGACTTGGGATGTGAAGAAGTTGATGAGTGAACTAACAATTCCTGTCTCTGCGTCATGAGCTCTTTGCTCGCTGTTCTAAGCCGAGCTAGAGCGGGGGACTCAAATAAGCCGCCCCACATACGTCAATACCAGAGATACCAGGTACGGGCAAGACGTTGGCCGGGAATAATTTGACGTTCTCTAGGGCACTTGGCCTCGAGACGACGACGCGTGGGACGCACTCACCTCCGCACGCCCGCGATCATCGTGGAAACGACACAAGACTGTGATTGCGTGGCTGTGTGCTTCCCACCAACAAACTTCAATTCCCCGCATTCTTCCCTCATCTCAAGGAGCTCTTTGGTGAGGGAAAGCTGTCAGAACAGGTACGAACGACGAATAGCATTCGAAAAGACCGTAGGAATGGGTCTGGAAGGTATAAAAGAAGGACCAGAAACCCCCAGTACGTAGATACCGTCTCCGTTTCATCGAATCTGATTTGAACTCTTCATGCATGGTGACCTTGGTGGTGTCACAAGCATATATATCTCTTAGATCCCTCTCGTAGTTCACGATATGCCCAGACCCAAAAGACAGAAAGTAAACGGGAATCATTCAAACAATATGGCACATGCTTGGTCAGACTTGCCCTCAGTTCTCTCTGCTGCCCTGCCCAAGGCTCAGAAGGCTGCTCAGGATGACGGACAATTGAAGGCTTTCGCCGATACAAGGGCGATTATTGGTCCTGCTACGTTTGGTATCAAGTCCGGTGGATCCGACAGTGCCATTCTTGTAACTGTCACCGACGGCAAGGTTGAGATCCATAGTGGAAAGGCCAAGGATGCCGAGTTCGTACTGGGTGCTCTTCCAGAGCAATGGCAAGAGTTCATGAAACAGACTCCAGTCATGCCATACCAATCCTACTGGGGTGAGTAATGACCTTGGTCCTCATACCCTTTGCTACCTGTAGAGACCAGCAATGAGACGGAGACTATCTGGCAGAGATGCTGACGAGGGCAAAGGAATGTTTGGGATGAACATCAAGCAAGAAGGTATCACGGTCGAAGGTGATCAACAGTCGTTCGCCCGCTGGACGCACATCTGGAGGCGAGTGCTCGAACTCATCCATGATGCACACTCTGGCCCTACCCCGGCAGACGATGAGCCCGAGGTGGACGAAGATAATATCACGGGTCGCTACGTTTATATCACTTCTCCCATCTGGGGCAAGTGCAAAGTAAGTGTGTTCATATGCCCGGAAATGGCTAGTATCGCTGACGTTGGAGCAAGGTCTTCTACGAACACGCCGGTGATGGTGATCAGCAGATAGTGTTCTTGCACACCGCTGGCAGCGATAGCAGACAATACCACGGCGTCATGAACGACGAGCGTATGCGCAAGAAGTGCAGCATGTTCGCCCTTGATCTGCCAGCCCACGGTCGCAGTTTCCCATACCAAGGGTGAGTATCTCCGTTAGAATGATTCCGATTATGCTCTGCTAATGCGGTCCATCGCAGATATTGGCCAGGCAACCACACCAACACCGAAGGTATGCCAAGCCCACAGCTTCCTAATCGGGTTGGCGCTAATAATCGCTACAGACGCCTACGTCGGTTGCATCGCCGCCTTCGTGAAGAAGTTGAACCTTAACAAGCCGATCATCTGCGGTGCCTCCATGGCCGGACAGATCAGCTTGGCCTGCGCGATCCGCTACAAAGAAGTCGGCTGCGTCGGCACAATCCCCCTTCAAGGCTCCGACTACCTCGACATGGACAGGCAGTGGAACGACCGCTCGCCATATGTCAACCAAGCGCTGTACAGTAAGTTTGAAGTATACTAGGAGCATGCAGGATATGCGGGACCGCATAGCTAATTAAATTTTGCGCGAACAGACCCTGAGTGGATCTACGGCATGATGTCTCCCACTGCACCCCTTAAGAACCGCCAATTGATCTGGCACTTGTACTCAGCGCAGGCGTATGGCATCTTCCAGTAAGTCATATACCCGCTCCTTGAGCACTCAAACAGACAACACTGACTCGCCACAGCGGCGATCTCGACATGTACTTCGGCGGCTGGGACGGCCGTTCCAGGATGAAAGACATCGACACAAAGGCCTGCCCAGTCTACATGTTGACGGGCGAATACGACTGGTCCAACACGCCAGAGATGGCGCAGAAGACATGTAAGTCATATCGAATGATGTCAGGATCTCCCACTGTGATACGGCCGTGCTATGAACAACATTGCTGGCTGCATCACGAAGGGGCCGATTGTCCGAGATAAATTACCAAATTTGAGACTTGCTAACTTTCACCCCCTCTGCAGGTGATAAGATTCCAGGAGGAAAACACCAAGCCATGGCTGGGCTGGGTCACTTCCCAGCGACAGGTATGTTCCATAAGGTCTTGATCACATGAAAGCGTGCTAATTCAGACAACAGAGAACCCAAAGGTCTTCGTTGGTTATGGTGAGTTCAACGTTTGTTTCTTTGGATAAGACATGCTGACTTGTAGTTACAGTCCTTGAGGCTATCGATCATATCCAGAAGACCAGAGCTTAGAGCGACGGATCGAGTTGAACATGATGGTTGTACTAGTGCTTGACAGAATATAGCGTTGTACAAAGTGCCCTGTCTCCGACCACGTCAATGTCATAAGGTCCGAAATATGTACTTCCGTAATCGTGGTGAAATCGTCGAGGATTTAAAGTAGCATGGATCGTGTTGGTGGCCTCATTACCCTTGATTTTTCCGAACATTCACTCGCATCTAAAACACACTGCTGAGCATTCGCCGAAAGACTAGACAAGCCATGTCTTTCATACCGATCATACGTAGCTACCAACGCTGTAGTGACATATTTCAGCATAGAAGACTTACATCCAACATGGAAGTGATCCAACTCATCTATCAAGTCCAATCTATCAGATCGAAGTAAATGGTATCTACATTGCAATTTCATCGCATCATAGGTCTCGTCTACGGTGCGATTGTACTGTGGTCCCACAAAATAGTGCAAAAAGAGCTTTTCCCAAGCTTTGGTGCTGTCGTTCCCAAAATGTCTCTTGCTCGTAACCCCTTTTTCACTCCCTTGATCTTCATCGATCCTCCTCGTGCATACGCAAGGATGAGGCCGTTGTTCAGCACGCACTCGCCTGTCCACAAAAGCACATGTCGACCAGGCGCCGATGTGTCTTCACAGCAGACTAGACCTGTATGGCCTCCCAGCATGCCATTCCAGAGTTCGCTCTGGCGCTGAAAGAACTTCAGGCCGGACCGCCGGAGCCATATACAAGTCATCCACGAGAACGCCAGGGTGCACATGCAATGGTGCAGCTCGCTCAATATCGAGGTCTCGGCTCCCATCTCCTTGCGCTGCGCGCTGTGGCTTTTGTATGAAGCACTCTTGGCTCGCGTTCTCCTGCGCAATTCCTTCCGCTTCGATATAAGTCGTCCTTGCGGTTGTACACTGGCTCTTTGACCCACATGTGGTGTCCGTTTTCGTGGTCTTGCTGTTCTTACTGACGCTGGCGGAGTACTCGATGAGTTCGATGGGTTCGGGCTTTCGAAGCATTGTGTTCAGCCTGCTTAGTCGGCTCGATTTGCCGCTGGAGCCGTTGCCTGAATTGTCGGAGCCTTGCCGGCGGCGATTTCGTTCTTCGGCTCGAAGTCTATATTCTCGATTCCAGAACGATTTCTTGAACACTAGGTATGGTCAGCATCCCCGAAGACTTCTCGGAAAGCGCAGCAACGCGTACTTGGCTTCATGATAGGCGCATTCACAGCTGCGATTCCCGCTATCGTTTCGCGCACGCCCCATCGATTGATGGTGAGAGCAGATGGATGAGAGCCCAGAGTCATGACGATGCGGACGATCGCAGCGGTGATGATGAATATACCTGATCCAAGGAGGATACTCAAGGTGATTCGCTTGCGAATGGGGATCCGCAGTTTCCAGAGAAGAGGTAACGGGACACCTATGTGATGTTCTATGTCAGCGGAGAGGATACTAGGCGCAGTCAGTTAAGGAGACTTACAAAGAAGGGCAGCATCAGTGAGAACATTCAAAGTTGTGCAGACAATGAAATTCTGGCTGCGAAGAGTACATTTCGGTGGGGGAATTGGCTGGACTTGCCAATTGAGTCTGATAGGGCTGCAGCTGAGGGAGATGGTTAAGAACATGGCGATATAAGTCAAGAACGATACGACTGCGAGTGCTTTGACCACAGTCTGTCGGAAGAGAGAACATCAGCAACATCTAAGGTCGTTACATGTGGCTTTAGAACATACCTGCTGGGTCAACCCAAACGTGAGTCGGTTGTAGAAGAACAACATGCATCCTTTGAGGCCCCAACTGCACACCGTCAGTCGTAAACGAGTCATGTTGACTAATACTCACATCAGTGCGGTATATGTATACCAAGCAACTAGCTCCATCTTCGACCCATGGACAACGTCGCTGATTTGAGCCTTGTTGAAGGTCGCTAGCCGCTCTTCTTGGCCGATGTAGTCCACGTTGGATCCCTCCAGGTAAACGAGAGTGACAGTGACAGCATCGGCAGTGTAGCAGCCAAGAACCACGAACGACATGTAGTCATCGCCTTGGAACTGCCTGAGTCCGACTGTCCTCAAACGGACTAGAAACCGGACGATAAGAATGACGACTCCGACGCCGAAGAGAGCCCAAACCTCTTCGAGATACGAGGCGTCATGATAGACCTGCGTGCTCCCCATCGTGCGCAGAGATCGACGCGAAGAGAGGTGGCCGATCGAAGGCGCAGATCGAAGCAACACAAGAGCAAAACATGAAAATTGCTAGGCGATCCGGCCATCGCAATGCACTTACCAAGTTCATAAGGTTCATCGTCAGACTTACTCGTTCAGTTCAGCAAACGCTGCAAGAAATGCTTCTGCATAAACATATCGAGCGTCTTGGCCCTGGATATTCTCCGGTCTTGCGGCATTGGTGGCTGTAAGGCTGGGGGTTCCTTGTAGATTAGCTCACCGAACGCCCGGGGGATCGCCGGTGCGCAAACTTCCACAGTGAGTGAACTGCTGTGCTCGTGAACCATTGAAGTCGTCGGCGGTTTGCGCCTGATCGTAGGGCCCAACACTTTCTGAGTGGCGTTGTCATACCTATGCGATGGAAGTAAGTTCTCGCAACTTGAAGCATTTGTTTCTTGACTGCCGATGCTGATTACAAGAGAGGGTGACTGAGCACCCATCTTGAACTCTCTCGAGTCATTTGGATACGGCAGTTGATATACTGGCTCAAAGTTTTGAGGGCCAATGCTCGCGATTGATACAATTCCTAAAGTATCGTGCTCGGCAGTTCATATGTTGCTGATCACATCAGGTCCTGATTACCTAGCCCTATGAGCTGCGAGACCTGCAATGTTAGTATCATCAGTACGAAGGACGATAAATTATATCAATGTTCAGGAAGTGAGGATAATTTAAGAGCTTCACCTCAGAAGAGAGGAGGTCGATGGATTAAGGTGTGGGAGCTCGGATTCGGGCCGAGCGCTCGGACCATCGGCTACAATCTCTACCCGGAATTGAACAGTCCTGCCAACAACAACATCACCAAGTGGACAGTCGTGCGCAACAGCAGCAGGGATTTGGAAAACACTTCCTCGCCCTCTGTTTCGTATCCACCATTTGCGTACGATCAACCCCAAGCTTCTGCTGCAGCTGCCATGGCTCCAAAATGTGGCTGTGCCATGCCATCCAGGATCCAGCGCAATGGCCCCAGTATTGCCATCCTTCGACCAGAAGCGGTCCCAAGCAGTACACCAAACCTGCAGATACTGAAGAAATCACACAACGTGCACCGAAGATGCAGCGAAGAACACAAGACTCGCAAGCTTTTGCGCAAGAATTGCAACAATACCTTGCGCCAACACTGCCCACAGGCCCTAGGAACGGCTCGTAGACTCGGCTTCTGGCAATCTGGGATTGCAGGAAGTCTTTGATGCCGGTATCTATACCCTCTTCAAAGTGGAACGCATGAGACCGACATCTCTCTGTGCTCAGAAGCGAGCAAGCGCTCAATCGCAGCCCCGGCTGCTTGTTAGCCAGCTTGCGAACGGTAGGGATATGTACATGCTCTGCTTTGGGCGGCAAGAGAAGAGTGCCGGTCGAGGCCTTTGGCTTCGTCTGCCCGAGCAAAGACTTTCTCCACAAACTTCGTTTGTGCAGCTCCGACAGCCCATGGTGTCGTTACGACCTTGGCCAGGCACTCGAAACCCAACATGCCCAATGAGTGTGGCAGCGATCCTTGTACTGCGAGAGTTTTCGACGTCACCTCACCTGATAATTCTGGAGACCCCGCCAGGGAGGTACACTGCGGGGTTCGTGAATCCTCTGCGTTCCTTGTGTAAGTATGCGAGGAACCTGTGGCACGACGTTGACGGCAGTAGATAAACCATGGCGCCATCAAGGTGTCGAAACGCGAAACAACGCCCTTCTGAAAAGGACTCCAACCTCCTGAACGCTTCTCCTTCGTTTCTGCACTGCATAGAAGACTACGCCTCCAAATATGCAATTTCAAATGTCAAGAAGTCAAAGCTCATCATCATGGACAAGCCACCTCTGTTGTTCCGATGCACCGGCGTGAGGAGTCTCGTCTCTGCGAAGTGGCGCTGGTGGACAATGCTGCTCCATTTCTCCAGTCTTATTCTGCAGGCCAACGATGAGGAGAACCATAACATCAGCTTTTGTCCGGAAATACAGACCCTCTAGCTCTCGACCTGCTCTCTCAATCCTCAACTCAAGACCAGCTTCCAAACAATCACCATGACAAAGATGAAGGCATTGACGTATGATGATATTGGCAAGTGGAAAGTGGTTGAGAAAGATGTGCCAACGATTCAAGACGGTGGAGATGCAATCGTGAAGCTTGTACGAACAACGATTTGCGGAACAGATCTTCACATCCTCAAAGGCGATGTTCCTACCTGCGACAAGGGACGTACTTTGGGCCACGAGGGCATTGGAGTCATTACCGAAGCCGGATCCGAATTGAAAAACTTCAAGAAGGGCGATAGGGTGGTGATTCGATGCATCACATGCTGCGGAAGCTGTTCGTTCTGCAAGAGAAGGTGAGGTACTCACGTTGGAATAGGCAAATGATTTGTAGAAGAGAGCCGAATACTTATGATTCCCAGCAATGGCCGACTCCTGCAGGAAAGCAGGCTGGATTTTAGGGCACACGCACGATGGAACACAAGCCGAGTACGTCCGTATTCGCTATGCAGACACCTCCTTGTTTCCCGTGCCTGCAGGCGCAGATGAGCGTGCACTGCTTGTGTTCAGCGACATCCTTCCCACTGGGCTTGAGGTTGGCACCTTGAGAGGTATGTTTGTGCCATGGAGTGGCAGTACAGAGCTTTGGCTGACTCGAGTTGTATATCAGGCAAAGTGACGCCTGGCTGCAGCGTAGCCATTGTGGGCGCTGGTATGATGGACCCCAACCCTTCAAAATCCAATTTTCGATTGACAGCGTTACATAGGCCCGGTTGGCCTGGCGGCTGGGCTCACAGCTCAACTGTATGCACCACGCAAGATTTGCTTCTTTGACCAGGACGACTATCGTCTTCAAGTGGCGAAGAAGATGGGCGCGACACATACATATAATGTCAAAGGCAACTCTGACATTCGCGCTCTAGCGAAAGAGCACATTGGAGAAGCGGACGGCTTTGACGTCGTGATGGAGGCTGTCGGTATTCCCGCGACATTCGACATGTGCCAGGAGCTGGTTGGTCTTGGTGGACACATCGCGGTGAGCATACCGAAAGACGGTCAATATCCTTGCTGAGACTTTTACTGATGCATTTACCCAGAACATTGGCGTACACGGCAAACCCGTCAACTTGTCTATCGATAAACTCTGGTCTCGAAGCGTCACGATTTCGATGGCACTTGTGAGTGCACATACTATTCCGACTTTGTTGGACCTGTATGCTGCCGGCAAGATCGATGCCAGCGATATGATCACGCATGGTCAGTACCCATACTAAAACCTGCAGTATCTTCTACTGATTCGTGCTCCAGACTTCAAATTCAGCGAGATCGAGAAGGCGTATGATGTATTCAGTCGCGCCGCGGACACCAAGTCCTTGAAGGTCAACATCGAGTTCTGAGGAGGAATCCATCAATGCTCTTGTATAATGTACTTGGACACCTACGTCTGCTAATAGTATAGTGCATATACTCGCCACTCACTCGGACTTCGTATTCCTTCTCGCCGCCTTCGCATCTCAGTCCGCGGTAATACTCTGGGGCTTTATGATCGCATACGCAAACACAACCCGAGCACCCGTCCAAGGAAGGAACGACGGTTTACTCGAGATGCTGTCCAGCTGAAGGTCGGCACCAGTGCCCAAAAGAACTCCAGCATCCCTCGTAAAGCGAGATATGTCATCCAGTCAGGCGCTGTGCATGCTGCAGGTACCAGAAGACCTAGTACCACTAAAGGTAATTTGATGAGGTGAGTCGTCCGGTCGTGAAGACGGGAATCCTTAGTCTCTGCAAATAGAATCGTGGTGGGGTGCGCAGTCGTCATCCGGCTCTCGGCGTTGTGTCGAGTCTTCACCACGCGGACTCTCTTGTGACAGCCCTACGAAGGAAGGCAACGTGCTTCACCACACTTTGTTTGCTCCCGCCGTCCTGCGTGAGATATTGAGGCCGCAGCTCTCCACTACACAGCTCCTCACCGGTCCCAGCCCATTTATTTCGTCAGGCCACCTCTGTCGCTATTGAACCACCGACGAAGCCTTGCCAGCCCAGCCCAACCCAACCCCTCCTTTTGACCTTCGCTGCACACCTCTGAACAACCAGGTTGCCTCGAGCAGTCGCGGAAAGGATCCACCCAGTACGAAGGTTCACTCGGCACTGCTCTGACTGACGTACTGCACACCACGCGACTCCTGCTCATCTAAGCGCAAAGTCTGCGCGCTGCTCGACGAAGACAGAGCGGGCACCATGTCGGGACTCTACAATCGAGGCGGATACAACCCAGATGCTCTGCCGGCGTATGTATTTGCCCCCCATCGTGTCCGGCCGTATTCGTGACTTCTATTTTCACTCCACCTCCTACGTCTACTTGAGCCAACCCATCGCTGATGAGACACGTCCACTTCAGACACGCCGAGCCTGAGCAAGCTGCTCAGATGATGAACCCCAACTCCAGCGTGCCGCCTCCCAGGCGAGACGATCGTAACAAACCTGTCCCTCCTCCGCCTTCGCAAGCGTCCAACCTGAGACCAGGCCAAGACGACCCATACCGCCGACAGAGCCCCGCCAACTACCAGGCCCCGGCCGTGCCAGGCGCATACGGCTCTTCGAATCCACCACCACCACAGAACCAAGGCTACAACGACTATGCGAGACAGAACTCACCGCGATATGACCAGTACAGTCAGTCTCAAAGATATGGCGGGCAGGGGCAAGCACAGGGACAATACAACCAGCAAGGCGGCTATGGCAGCCAAGGCGGCGCTCCACCACCACGACAGAGCAGCGCCAACTACGGCATGACCTCTCCACCACCGCCAGCGAGCTACGGTCAAGGCCCTCCACCACAAGGCTACCACAACCGCCCGCCGATCCCAGAATACCAACGACCGCCCACCACAGCCCCGCCACGAGACGGCAACGACCGCGACGCACTCTGGTCGACCTTCCTCCAAGTCGACAAGAACCGCACCGGCCAGCTCTCCGAAGCCGAACTCCAGCGCGCCCTCGTCAACGGGGACTACACAGCCTTCGACCCACACACGGTGAAAATGATGATCCGGATGTTCGACACCGACCGCAGCGGCACCATAAACTTCGACGAGTTCTGCGGATTGTGGGGCTTCCTCTCCGCATGGCGAGCCCTCTTCGACCGATTCGACGTGGACCGATCCGGGAATATCTCATTACGGGAGTTTGAAGATGCTCTGGTGGCGTTTGGGTACAGACTCTCACCACAATTCGTCCAGCTCCTCTTCAGCACTTACGCGAAATCGCACAGCCGGGGACGGGGAGACGATGGCGAGAGGGAGAAGGTGTTGTCGTTCGATTTGTTCGTGCAGGCGTGCATTAGTCTGAAACGCATGACGGATGTGTTTAAGAAGTACGATACCGATCGGGATGGGTACATCACATTGAGCTTGTAAGTTCTGAACATCACCGAGGAGCACACGGCGGGATGTTGTACTGACTTGACGGTGGCAGTGAGGAATTCTTAACAGGTGGGCAAAGCCTCTTCCTGTTCAATTCCATCTCCGCGCAGACGGACACAGGACTCTATTGAAAGCAATCGCGAATGAAGACTGACGTTCTGGATGAAGAAATCTTGAAGCAGAAGTAAACCTCCCCATAGAGGATGGCCCCATCGACCGAAAAGCGCTCGATCGCCGACCACAGTCGAGCCTAGCGCAGGCGCCACCGAAGTGGCGTGCGATGCCCGTACGCCGGTCAACAGAGTGGTTGGGAAAGTCTCCAGCAGAACAGGAGATGCTCGTTTGAGGGCAGTCTGGGGTGACCCGCAACACGGAGGGGCAGAGTAAACGAGCGGGTACGTGGGAAGGGAAGCTTTGGAGAAAGCAGCATTTTGAAGATGAGACGAGGCAAATGAGATACCCACATTGAGTTTCTGTAGCATTTGCTATGACAAAGCATCGTTGTCAATGAACAAATACACGGCTCGTCCATGAAGATTGAAAAGTGCCTAACCATCGTTGAGATAACAGGCCTCACTCCTTCTACCTCCCCAAAGCCTTCATCCGCCTCTCCAAATCCTTCACCCACTCCTCCACCGTCGCCCCATTCTTCCCATTCGCCATATCAGCTTTCTGCACCGCCTCCTCGACTTTCCCCAACCCTTCCCGCCACATCTTCAACTCCCGATCCAGTTCATTCTGTCTCTGCTCGAGAGAATCCAGATCCTGACTCGCCGTCGCCGCGGTGGTGTGCAACGTTCTCAAACTCCGCAGGCGCGTTATGAGTGCAGGGACGGTGGGCGAGAGGGCTTGCAGGTTGGGCAGGAGGGTGTAGAGGTGTTGGAGTTTTTTCATGTCTTCTGGGGAGAGGAGGGCGGGGGTTTGGGATTCTTCGTCGTTGTTCTCGGCGGTGGGGTCGTTGTTGTCTGATGAGGGGGTGGGTTGGAGCTGGAGGTGGTAGAGTTGTTGGGCTTCGGATTTGAGTTTATTTATGCGGGAGCTGGCGGCTTCGAGGGCGGAGAGGGAGGTTGCGGATGTGAGGGCGGAGAGTTGGTTGTCGAGGAGTGCTAGGCTGGGGAGGAGAGGGGTGAAGAGGGAGTCGGTTGTTTCGAGCACGGAGGAGATGCCGAGGGCGGTTTCGAGGGCGGACAGGCGGTTGTCGAAGGCGGAGATGCGCGTGAGGGTTTGTTCGTCTGTAAGATCTGCTGCTTCTTCGTGTTGTACAGGTGCGGTCGTAGGCGCGTCGTGGAAGATTGATCCCCTTCGTTTTCGTCCTTTCCTCACAGTCGGGACTTCCACCCCTGCGAGCAGTTTACTCAAAGCATCCACATCCTCCACCACGCCCTCCCCTTCAACCTCCTCATCCTCATCCTCCGTCTCGCCCTGCTTCTCCGCCTCCGCTAGGGCTCTACACTCCTCCACCTCCCTCCTCAACCTCGCAATCCTAGCCTCCAAGCCCTCATCCTCATCTTCCCCATGTACCCCCTTCTTCAGCTTATACCCCTTCCTCTTTCCATCCACCCGATCGCTCAAATCCACCCCTTTGGCATCCACGCCGCGACTCTGCGTTCGAAACCTATCTCGCGCAGCTTGAGGGTACAGACGTCGCGTACTGACGCGCGTGGGACCGTCTTCTTCATCATCATCTTTCTCCTCCTCGCTGGTGTAGGAGTGTTCCGAGGGAGCGCGGGGGGACGTTTGCTGCGTGCTGGCTGTGGTGGTGGAATCGTCTATATCGGGGGTTTCGTAGACATCAGGCGCGGTATCGAAGCCGGGGAGTTGGGCGAGGCGGGAGGGTTCGGTCGTCATTGTGAATGTTGTTGAACGGGATGGGTTGCTTAGTCGTTGGAAGGATGCATATGGGGATGTTTCGTCGCGGGAGGATTTAAGGTTGACGCCATGCATCGACCACGCGACTTCACGTGAAGTCTAACGAGTGTGTGGACTTCACCTTTGCACTTCATCTCCAGCATAATGAGCTACAACCTCGACTCGCAACCCCAAGTACTACTACGAATCTACGGAGGATGGTCAAACCAGACGTCCTTCACTCCTCAGAGAGACCCCTTCTAACTCTCATATCCAACTTCCACTCCCACGCCACTCATTCACACAATCAGGTCTGGTGGTGTAGCGGCAACACATCCAGCATCTAAGGGGAGACACAGACGTAGTCTGTGTTCATAAGACCTAGTCTTATGCTACTTCCCGATCATAACGGAAGACCTAGTCTTCTGTGCCTGGAAGCCCTGTGTTCGAACCAGAGCGAGATCGAAATTTTTGCCTCCGCGTCTACTTCCACCATCCATTCAACAGATTATGGGAAAACAATCCAAATTGAAACATCAAATCATCAAAACAAAGAATCAATCTATTATCATAACACACCCCCAGGGCCACCTATGGATAGGACTCCGCTCCGCTCCGCCCACAAGGATGCCTTAGACAGCGCCCCCTTAAAACGCCCCGTTCCTTATTAAATTGACAATCGGTCCGGAGCAACAATGATAATGCGCTTCAATCATGTCCCAGTGCCAGTGCCAGTCAGTCATCGTATCCCGTACAAGCCCCCATCTCCCAACTCAAATACAATTTCGAATACGGCCGGAGAGCATACAAATTCCCATTGATTTAGGCATTAAGAGACAGACGTTCATGACTTCGTCCTCTTCGCGTCGCCCCCTTCTTGGTCTTCGCTGCTTCGTTTTCGCTCCTCCTCTCGCCAACCGGATCCGTTAGATACGACGGGCGTTTGAAAGTTGAGCGGCGACGGAAGCATATTACTATCCCCTGATCTTCCAAATCCCCACTCAGGATAGAAGGACGACGGGGAGGGTAGCAAGTTGTCGTTCATGAATCTTGACGGCAGTGCTGATATCGGGGTTTCGATGTGATTGTTAGCCGCGTCTCGATTCGCTGCGTGTGGATTTGTGCTCATCGGCGGTGCTGGTCGGGCAAACGGATTGGGCGGTCCTTGAGCCCCCGCCGATAACAAAGCGCCAGCGCTTGGTGATGGAGGAGGGAGTACTACCCCATGAGAAGGTTGTCCCTGTTGTTGTCCACTACCCTGGGCACCCGAAGAACCCTCCTCTTCGCCTTGTCCCGACTCTGCTGTACCTCCTTCATCACCCGATTGTTCGCTCGGTATCTGCACTCTCAATCTCGGCTTTTTCTCTGACTGATTCGTGTTGGATCTCGAAGGTTGGGGGATCGTCGGCTGGCTGGCTGTTCGCTGAGGTGGTTGCGGCGATTTGGGAGGTGGCATCTGATGTGGCGGTCGTGGTGATAGTCCGTTGGCCCTTGCTTGGTTCTCCCGTTGCATAGCGGCCACATCTATCGACGCAGACCGCGGTCCACCACCTTCAATCTTAATCTCTGGATCTGATCGCGGCATGTCTGCTGCAGTCGTCGCGCCCCAATGCTGCGCAAGCATAGACCTGCTGTCATCTATCGGCGTGAATATGCTATGCGACTTGGCGTGTGCGGGTAGAGGTTTGGGCTGAGGCATGGGGGGACTCTGAAATTGCTGCTGTACCGGTTGAGGCGAGGGCGTAGGTCTCTGGGCTTGCTGTGGCTGCGGCGACGGTTGTCCTTGTGTGTGCGGTGGCTGCAGGTGCTCTTGAGATTGATGTCGTTGCATGTTGGCTTGGGGCGGTGGCTGTCCTGTTGGGTAGGCTGGTGGCATCGATGATCTCCGGTTGTCGTGCACGTAAGCTTGTTGCATCTGCGGATGAGGTGCCGCTTGCGGTGGATATGGAGGCGGGTACGAAGCTTGACCTGGTACGGGCTGGCCTGGCGGGCGTTGCATCTGCGCTTGCGGATTATAGAAGGGAGGATTCGGCGTGTAGGCATAGCTGGGCTGGGGTTGATGCGCTTGAGGAACCAGGTTAGAGCTCGTTCGGCGGATGTGCTGCTGTTGTGACGGGTGCTGGGCGTTTCGCGAAGATGGGCGCGACATGCCTGGCGGCAGCGGCGATGGTCCGCGTTGGAACTGCGGCATTTGCCCATTGTGCATTGGAGGTGAACCAGAAGGTGTGCCTTGTCGAACGTGTTGGAAGCCAGGATGGTGTGCCATTTGGGGGTGCATCATGGGGTGGTCAGGCGCTGGTGTCCCTCGCTCTTCTCCTCCTGCCATATCTTCGCCTCCCTCTTCATCGTCGTCGTCGTCTCCGCCGCCATGCTTGTCTGCAAAGTCCTGAGGACCTTTGTGTTCGTGTGCACCGCCATACTACAACCCATTAGCATGGTCCACTCATCGCAACTCCTCTTGACATACGTATTGAAACCTCCCGATGATCTCGTTGATGTCCGAGGACGAGTACTCGTAGAGCTTCTTATTGTGGCCAAAGATAACAACAGCGACGTCGACGGAACACAGGACGGACAGCTCGTGCGCCTTCTTGAACAGGCCGCCTTTGCGCTTGAGGAAGGTGACGCTGCGGTTGCGGTCGTCTCGAACTGCAGGACAACGATGGTTAGCCAGGGGCCGTCTCTCAAATCGCGACGAGGACAATGGCAGGACGACGGTGACACCATACTCGGCTTAATCTCGATCTTGCGCCTGCCCATCTTCGCGGCGAGTGATATTAAAAAGTCGTTACTTCCTGGCGCGCATCAACTTCGTTCCGTCGTACCAGGCGATGCGCCGGTCTGGGCTGGCTCGACCGTCGACGTTGCCCTCCCTCGAGCTGGCTGACGAGGAGAAGGGCGTGGACGGGCGCGTGGAAGTGTCGCAGTGGCCGGCTGCGGGACTCGACCAGGATTTTGTTCGTCGATAGCTCACGATGGCGCCGCTTCTCCAGACACGCGCCGCCGTTGCGAACTTCCTGATGATGGTTTGGGGTGTGTGATGATAAAAATAGAAGCGTGGAAGAGCAGCCAGAGAGCACCAGGCGGGCGACGGTCAGACCCTTGCCAAGCTCTTTGTGTTTCACGCTTGTGGTGGCTTCTCACTTCACCTCACCTCTTTCCCGATGCCGTCCAGACATGTCGTAAACAAAGCCAGCCCTCCACTTAACATCCCACCACATTCCTCATACGATACAACAGCGAGGCGATGTGCATGCTTGGGATGTTCTGGCCCCAACGTTGACCGCTTGGGAGAAGTAGAAGATCTTCACCGCAGTTCGTACGGCTGCGCGAGAATGTAAGCGTAGCGGAACGACACCCGGCACTCGTCTATGTGCGTTGGTCAGAGCCGTGCGACATAACACTTTAGGCGTTCTGGTGGAGTCATCGTGGAGAACTTCTGGAAGAAACATGATGGTCCTCTGCTCAGCCCGTCGCCTTTCGATGGAGAGTTTAGGCTGAGTATGAAGGAGTTCCAACGCGCGATCAGGACTGAATGCTGCCTAAACAGAGTTTTCATCCTGCAAGCACGAGGCGTACTGCAACGACATTTAGACGTCTCGGTACCGAAACACCATACACAATAAGTTCGAGTATGTAGGTATGCAAGAGGGCTAGTACACGACAGCAGAGGAACTCAGCCGCCCGCCCCAACATCTTCGATCCTGCAGCTGCTTCGCTAAGCCACAGCCTTGCTTGTAGGCTGGAAATGCCTGACCGCCTCGTGGCTCAAACGTGGAGTTTGACGTTGGTGTGTTACACTTGTGTGAGATGGCCGGTGTTCGGTAGTGCGGTGTCTGTGTTGCATATCTGCCCTGGCTGGTATCGTACAACTGTGATATGAAGAGGTAGACAAGTCGCTATTGCCTCCCAACGGATGTTATGGTCTTCTCCATGCCTGGTAAGCACTCTGCCTCCCCGCCCTGTGGTCTTTTGACTGACTTCTCCTCTCCATCTCATTGGCCATTGTAGTACTGGTCTTCCTCCAAAACGACCACGCCTATGGCTCAAACAACATGCGATACCCTGCGTTCCAAATTCTCGCCCGATGTCCCGGCACCTTGGCCAACGCCCGACGCTGCTGAGAATACTCCTCGACATCCTCCACAGTGCTAGACTCCACCTCATCGAACTCCAAAACAGTCAAATCCGTAGGCGACGGTCTGAGCGACGCAGGGGCGCGGTACACCACGCGGTTGATCTTGAGTCTGTCGAGGCCGACGAGAGATCCCTTCGAAACCGACTTCTTTTTCGCCACGAAGAGTTGTCCATACAACACCATCGAAGTCGAGATCTGGATCGTGCTGGCCAGCGGACGGCGCAGGTTGAGCGCTAGCAGACGCCGTATATTGCCCGGACGATGCTCGTCGGGTTGGTAGAATCCTCCGCGCGCCGGCATCTCGAACTGGCGAATGCTTTCGTAGAAGACGAATTCCAGGTGCTTCAAAGACGGGAGGAGCGGGATGAGCCCCTCGAGCCTGGAGAGGGCGGTGCCATACCCGCACGCTGTCTCCCAAACGGCTGATTAGTGCCGGCCGAGTGAAGGACCATTCTCGTGCGGAACTTACGTCGGAATTCGAAGTCCTTCCACGTCGTGTACCCATGCGTCAAGACCACAGTCTTCACCTGCGACAGCGCCATCCTCAACGCCGGCGTGAGACAGTCGGGCAGACGATCCGCGCAACCCAGCGCCACCGTGAGCGTCGCGACCCCCGATCTGCGAGCCCTCTCCTCCTCATACTCCTGCTTGAACTGGCGGCTGACGAGTGCGAACTGCACGCAGGACGGATGCTCGATCAGTGCGCACGGAATTTGGTCGACGTGATCGCGCAGTAGGCCGTGGATTTCGATCCAAATGTCAGTAGCAGCCTCCGCGTAGACCTTGTCCCTCAATTCCCGCGGTAGCCGAAAGAAATGAAAGTGTTTATTACCTTTTGCGTGCTGAGAGCCTGCGTCGTGCCCGTCGTCGTTGTCAGGAGGCGTAACCATGTCGATGTTGATGGGTCGAAGTTGTGAGACCGACGCTGTTGGAGCCAGGCGGAAGGAGGCAGGAGAGCAGCCAAGCCGAGAAGTTGTCTAGGCGAGCAAACGGCAGAATGAGCTGATACGCACCATCACGTGATGTCCTCTGTTTGACATGTGAAAGTTGGGCTTGGAAGTGTCACGTCCAAGGAGAGGGTACCTTCTACAGCATCCCCTTTGCTCAGCGCTCACAATCCTTGTGTCGCAATGCGTCCACACCCCCAATTGCATTTACTGTTTATTGTTCAGTGCATTGCCCGTACATGTCACGGGGAAAAGAAGTAAAGGAGACAGCAAAACTTGGTGACCAATGTACATTCATTGTTATTAGCTAGCGTATCAATTGAATCCGCCGCTTCTGGCTAGGCCTCTCGACCAAAAAGTCTTCCTCAGCGATCGTGAGAAGATTCCCCAACCTCGATCAAACTCCACAAAGCCCCTGTAGTATTCCGCTAAAACGCGCCAAATCAAAACACAACGCTCGTAGTCCACACGTCAACATTGCAAAAGAACATTGCTCATGCCGCGCCAGCGCTGGCCGGAGGCTGAATGACCTTGGTCACTTGAGCGCCGGCACGCACAATGCGGTTGCCGTTCTCGTCCTTGTAGATCTGCGAGCCCTGGCTCTCCTTCTGTGCGCGCTTCCAGATCTCTACCTCCATACCGCCGCGGATGACACCGATTCTCATGGTTGAGAGCAGGTTGTGGGCGGCGTTGCTGTGCAGGTAGACACCGCCGTTGAACATGGCGGTGGCGTCCTTGCCGATTCCGCTGCGGATCATGGCCTTGCCACCTGGGTGGTCGTTGACGAAGTCGGACACATCGTGGACGACACCAGCGACGGCAACGAGTGAGCGGCCGTTCTTGGTCTGGTCGACGTAATCATCCCACTCCATGACTGGAAGCTGCTCAAGTGGGACACCCCAATCGAGCTTGGCACGCTTCTGGTCCAGCTTCTTCTGCTGCTGCTGGAGACGACCCTTCTCGATCTCGTTGGCACGGAACTGCTTCAGGTCGAATGCGAGGCCGAGCTGCTTCATCGTCCAGATGAACCACTTGGTTGGGTCGTACTGGTGCCACTCGATGGCATTGCGGTAGTCGGATGGGAACTCGTGGTGGAAGTTGTGGTAGCCTTCGCCGAGGGTGACGAGCGCGGTGATAACGTGGTCACGGGGAGAGTTGCGATCGTCGAATGGCTGGTCGCCGAGCCAGTGGGCGAGGGAGTTGACGCAGAAGGTAGCCTGCTGAACAAAGAAGATGCGGAGGATACCGGCGTAGATGAAGCCACCGAGCCAATCGCCCCAGCCGAAACCAGCGACAATGGATGGGAAGATCAAGCCCATGAAGAGGACGACCTTGAGGTAGTTCTTGTGCTGCCAGACGACGACGAAGTCATCATTGAGGTCAGAGATATCGGTACGACCAATTCGCTTTGGGTTCTGCTTCATGAGCATCCAGCCGAAGTGCGAGTAGAGCAGGCCCTTGCGGACGCTGTATGGGTCCTTGTCGGTGTCGGTGTAACGGTGGTGAGCACGGTGGTCGCGAGCCCACCATCTGATGGAGCCTTCAACGGCACCACCGCCAACGGCTGCGAGGAAGATCTTGAGCGGTGTGCTTGCGGAGTAAGAAGTGTGTGCCCACAGTCGGTGGTATCCAGCGGTAATGCCGAGGCCCGTTGCGAAGTAGTAGAGAACGGCGAAAGTGGCGGTTGACAGTCTCAATGGTGTCCAGATCGCGGTGATAAGACCAGCAATTGGAATACCGACGATGAGGACGACATTGAGCCAGTTGACGTGCTTGTACCAGTTCTTGCGAGTCATGGGGGTCTCGGTGATGTGGGGCTTCTTGGGGTCGTATTTTGTGTTCCTCACAGGCTCTTGAGGTGCTGGCTTGGATTCTGCCGATGGCTGTGAAGAGAGATATTCAGGGTCGACGGCCGGCATGCCGCTCGTAGGCTGGTGGGAGGGCATGGTGTCGTCGGCGTGTGAGTGGGTGGTGGTAGGTGGGTGCGGGAAAACGACGCTGGCGGCGAATTCGCTCAGCGACTTTTTCGAAGCTCGGCTTGTGAGCTAGAGTGCGGTGCGAGTGACCCTCGACGAACGAGAGTCAAGAGGTTGGAGAGTGTGAGTGGCCTGCACGGAGTAGGTGCGAAGGTTAGGGAAGGTGAGAAGCAGGCAGGCGGCGAGAGTCTTACTTATTCAGAGCAGTGACGAGCTCTTTGTCGTTCTCGTTCATCACCTTCAACGACGCTCCCAACCGTCCACCGTTTGCCCCAGCACCCCACAAATTCCAGGGGCGCTACCCAATAAGCGCCGAGCCGGCCCTTTCGCTCGGGTTTGCCTACAATCAACCACGTCGACCATTGCGACGAGAACGACGGCCCAAGACTCGCGATAAGACGCTGCATGCTCCCCCATGCTTCTCACCATTCTCATCTTCACATGTCAATTGCTTCGTCCACCACCTCCCATCAATTCATCGCGCTCTTTTCGCAAAACGACTGACTGACTTTGAAACTCGGCACTCATGCAGGGCAAAGCCGGACAGCGCCAAGAGATCCCGCCGAAAAGTTCTCGAAGCGTACAGCCGTTGAAGCGGCGCGAAAAGATGGCAAAGCGATAACGATGCCTCCCAGCACTTCCATGTTTTTGCCCCGGCTGTGCTTTTCCATTCCAGCGCGTCACGCTATGGTGAGACAGAAATGCGGTCCTGCCTGCCTGCTCGGTGGAAGCTCCGGCGATGCGAGACGTGGCTATCCTGTTTTGTTGCATAATGCTTGGATGTCCCAACCGCTTACTCTCCCGCCTTCCTACTGCTCAACGCTGTATCTTGAGTCAAGGGTCGAATCAGGGCCAGTGGCTGTGAGTTTGGGTGAGATAAGATGATGCGTCTGGGGGAGCTGCCGCCCACGCGAAGGTGGGATACACAGCTACGATGCCGTGCAGGTGCAGGGTGATGGAAGAGGCGTGCACGTGACGTGAATCGCTCAACCTCACGTCTTGTCAGTCTGGGCCCGGCTTCTGCTTCCCATCGATACAAGCTTCCGTGTTATCTCGAAGTACAACAGACAGCAGACGGATACCTGAGAGGGTACATGTAGGTTCTACCTGGATGTGGCGCTGTTCGCCCTCGATGTCGACCAAGTCGTCGCGCTGTCACCTATTTATATGTCTCACCCATGCGGATGCAGACACGGCTCTGGGTGACCGACAATGATGTGGACGATGAGTTGTACCGCACGTTCGAAATTCGGCCGCATGATCAGGATATGGAGGACTCGTCGAAGGTTGGTGAGGCGTAGCTGGGTCGCCAGAGCGTGAGGATCGAGGCATGGCTTCAGAGATACAATATACTTCTGAGAGCGATGAGGAGGAATGTGGTGTTACGTTATAGCTAGAGTAAGGGTTTTCGGTCTGAAGAAGTGGTACAAAGCTCTCATCATTGCGTTCAAAGACCTGGTAACTTTTACTTCTCACCGAGAGCAATTGCTCAGGGGACGGAATTCCGCTTTCTTGACCAGATAGTTGAACTCTTGCATGTTGTGCAGCCAAAGCCATCCCTCAGCGCGCTCAATGTCTATTCTCGGACGCCTTCGCTTTCCTCATCAATACGTACTGCAACATGATTAGCTGGAGAAGAGTGATCGCTGCATGTTCGAACACGATTGCGCCCGCGAGGTCGAATTTGCTCGGCGACATCTCCGCGTTGATATCGAGGATTCTCCTGGGCTGTCATTGACAGATGCGTGACTCTCAGTACGAGCATAAAATGAGGATGACAGCTACAATGGTGAGAGTGACATGAATGTGAATAGTTCTTCGCAGCATAACAGTTCAATTGCAAAACAGAGCAAAGCAGCAGGCTATCAAGGTCCCACTATCGAGCAGCGACAGACGTGCCTTTGCACGTCTCGCACCTCCATCACGTCCAATCCTACGACATCTGACCATCAACCCTCTCATCGCCGCGGGAAAAAGCGGCCCTTCTTCTTCGCAAGCACATTCTTCTTCTGCGTCTGCGTCATGGCGGGCCGCTTGTACGGCTTCTTGGGGTAGAAGCAATGAACCTGACCCGTCATGTGAAGCTCACTCTTCAGCTTCACGAACGACTCATCTTCTGCAAAGGAGAAAGAGTTGTAGTCAGGAGCTTTCGAATGGAGTGGACCGCCGAGGATCCAGAAGACATCTCTCGCTCGCGTCATGGCGGTGTTGGCTCGTCCCTTGTCAGTCAGGAATTCTGTTCGAGGGTTAGAAGAAGATATGGCCGTGACGAGCGGTTTAAAACTTACTGGGTAGCTCGCTGTATTGCATCGAACCATCCATGAGCACCATGGTTGCTTCCTCGCCCTGAGCAGCGTCGATGGTGAGGACCTTGGGGTAGTGCGAGTGTGGGAGGTTCTGCTGCTTCTTCAGCTTGTAGATGCGTTGCTCGCACCACTTCAACTGTTGTCCGTGATTAGCAAGATGTCAGAAGATACTGCATGATTTAACGACTTACAGCACATCCGTAGGCCACGATGAGCATCACCTCATCCTTCAGCTCAGCACCAAAGTATGATTGCAACTCCGGCAGAATCTGCTCGAAGAACACATCGACGTGGTCCGGTACGACAACTGACAGCTTGTCGTCCATGAATACATCACCGGCCGGCATCTCGATGTAGTGCAGACGAGCTTGGTCGTCCGTGGCCTTTTCGAGATAGCTGTCACGTTCGGAGGTGTCGCGCATCGAATTCGCGATGATATTGTGGAGGACTTTGGTCAGGCCTGGCTTGACGTCCTCGAGAGGTCTCTGTACCTTTGGCGAATCGGTGAGGAGGCCATCATAGAATTCCTTGCTGGGAAACCGGGAGAGGCTCGAGTGCATGCGCTCCTGGATGGTAAGCTGGACGTATGGAAAGCCCTGTGCGATGAGACGGGTGAAAAGGGGTGTGTCCAGGCGGTCGTTGAAGGGATTGAACTCCATCGGATCCTTGGCACACGTATTAACTGGCCGCAATTGCCTATAGCTTCATTAGTATCGCACACTGCAATTTCTCATGAGCTCATAAAACATACTTCTCGTCTCCAAAGAAGACCACTAGGTCTGGGGAGCGTGGAAGACTGGCCGTAATCACATTCCAAATGCAGATCTCCAGCTCCTTTGCCACTTCGTCGAATAGCAGTGCTAGGGCGGTGATCTGCTGCTTCTTTGCTTCTTCTGCAAAGATCTCACACTCCCCTGATCTGCTGTTGCCGTTCGTGCAGACTATGATGTGAGCGAGGGAGAGCAGATGGCGCTTGCACTCGTGGAAGGCGGCGTTGTACATGTCAGTGGACTTCCTATCCTTCCAGTCGAGCTCGCCTTTTCGGTCAGCTTCTAAACAGGAGCGAAAAAGGTCCCAGCAGTTGACTCTCGCTCGATAAAAGCTTCGGTAGTGCAGGTTAGAGATCCTCGAAAGATCTCCTTTCTCGGCTTCATCAAGAACACCTTGAGACAGAGAGCACTGCATGGCGCCGATTTTCCTGGCCTTCTTCTCCAGCATCTCGAACTTGAGAGAGCTCAGATTGGTGACATTGCCGTCTTGGTGTCCGGCCTGACGTTGGGATGCCTGTTGGGCACTGATCTCTGATAGTCGGACTTTTCTCAACCCAGTGTAGATGCGGTAGACTCGCAGCTTTCTATCGCCAAGGACGTCCTTGTACTCGTCGATCCCATTGACCATGGCGTCAGCGTTTGTGTTAGCCGTACCAGTGACCACGGCTTTGCCTCCTATCATGGCGCAAAAGACTGCGAGGGCGACAGAGAGCTCCGTCTTGCCACTGCCTGCGATGCCAGAGCAAAGCGCAAGTCTACCCTTCGTGTGGTGGATAGAGTCAATGAGTTCCAGCTGGCCCTTGTTCCATGGCTTGCATTCCCGAAGCCACTTCAAGGCGCCCGCAAGCTTGTCCGGGGCGACATTGAGTCCAGCAGTAACATCAATTTGTGGAATCGAAGTATGGAGCTGGTTGAGAGCGATGGGGTGCCATTTCTTATAGGCGTCTGTCGGTAACAACTCCATGGTCTTGATCTGCGAATCAAACAGGAAGCTGTTGAAGTGCGGCTTGACCTCTATGACATCGGCGTACCAACTTACTCTGTCCGTGGCCTTGTGAATCTTGTCACCAAACCACGAAGGAGTATGTTTTGCGATGATGAAGAAAGCGTCGTGCTCAGGTAGTCCCAGCGGTTCCGACTCCAGATGCGCTTTGAAGGACCTGGTGCCGAATTGGGGAATGTGAAATTCGACATCGATCTCGAGTCCGCCAGGTAACCGTATTTGAGGCCTTGACACGCGAGCAACGTCGTCTAGATCTGGGATCTCGCCAAAAGTCATTGCAATGACTGCGTACTCATCGGATGAGAACAGCGTGACTCGATGTCTGCCCCTCGAAAATTCCCGCAATGCGGTGGCTGACTCCCAGTATTGCACACTCGTGGACACTGCATGCTGGACCGTAAACTCCTTCATCGATCTGCAGGTATCACCTGCTGGTAGGGCGACCATAGGAGGTGGGTGAGAGCTGTTTATGAGCTGCCAAGGGCTCCGCATCATCTCTGAAATCTCGTCGACAGTATCTGGGAAGCAGCTGTATTCTGCTACTCCAATCGAGGGTAGGTCAGGTCCATCGCCACCCGGTAGCAGACTGCGCAGCTGCCGAAGGTCTCGACGGCTAAATTCATTCAAGTCTGCGACGTGCAATCGGAACTGAAGACGCTCGGCGACTGGTGTGTCGATCAGGCCATGGAGCAAGGTGTAGATGGACTTCTGAACCGGACTGAATGTGGGAAGAGAGGATGCCACCTTGTTGAAGCCTTCAGATGTAGCTCCCTTTGCTTCGAAGGAGATAGACTCGTGGTCATCGTCGGTGTCTATGAGGACTGTTAGAACCTCTCGGGGCATACAGAATCTCCTGCAACATACCTTGCCAATTGAAGTTGAACAACTGCTTAGAACCACAGTCATTGAAGGAGAATTCGAGAGCGAGAATGTGGTCCTTGATGTGGCACTCAAGGCGAACGCAAGGGGCGTAGAGCTGCAAAAATATTAGTAATGAAAAACACTGTGAAAGATACGACGTTCTTACCAGCTTGTTGAAGCTGAAGTGAAGGCGGTAGCCATGGTAGGCGTTGTCCTCACTCGGTGGGTACATAGCACCGTCTTTGATGTCGAGAGAGCATCTGATATTGGGTCGACTGACTCGGGTCAGGTTTCTCAGCAGGGTTGCGTCGACTCCTCCTGCACTTGGGCCGTTGAGGTTGTAGAGCGCCGCAAGGTCGGTCTTCTCAGTCACAGGCCCTTGAGTGAGAGCGTCGATGATGTACTTGTGGTGCGCCGTGAGCGACTCCAAGGTGACCGTCTTGGGGTCCAGTTGAGGCGTCGCCGGCGCAGAGGACTGCGAGCTATGATCCGTCTCTTCCATATTGCTCACCATCCGCCGTGTGGTGGCAACTGTGTGTCGAAGAAAATGCAGAAGCGAGGCAGCGAGGAAGATGAATTGTGTGAGCAAGCGCAGCGAGTGGAGGGGTGGCACTTTAAAGCCAAGAAGCCGCTAGCGAGACTAGCGTCGTTTCATGCGCGCTCAGATCAGAAGAGGAAGGAGCGTGATCACCTCTTCGCTCGAATGACTGAGCTATCAGTTGAAGGGTTTGAGGCTCTCTGGGTTGTCGAGCAGATGCTCAGTCGACGATCAGCTGAGAAACGAACATGTGACATTCCATTCTTCTGATGGCACTCGCGAAAAGAACTTGATTGAACACGAGGGGAGAATGAAGAATGAGACACGACAGTGGATACTCACTCCAGCAGAATACCTACCTGCTCACGGTGTTGTTCGCTGGCAAATAATCCGTCCTCCTCTCACTCTTACCCAAACAGCTCAATCCCTGTGCAATCGCCATCCTGTCCTTCCATTCTCACTCTGCAACTTCGTCAGCATACCGAACCTCCAGCTCTACTTCCTTCTTCTTCAACTCGTCCAGCCAACGTCCCTCGTCAGCCTTCGTGATGGGCGGGCCGCTCGGTGCATTAGTTGCCTGCGATGAGCCCTCCACCTGTTCTCGATAGCGAACGTACGCCGGTGTACCTAGCAACCCACGGCTGCGCTTCGTGATGGTGCCACAATGTCCACCGATGATCCACCGAACCTCGCGAGCACGAGTGAATGCCACGTTCATTCGACGAGGGTCGTCAACAAAGCCAATATCTCTACGGCGAGTCTTGTAGGTGTAGCCCTGGACAGAGCAGTCGATGATGGTGATTGGGGCCTCAGAGCCTTGGCTGGAATCAATGGTGAGGATCTTGGGCATTTGCTTCGTGGGAATGTGGTGCTTCTGTTGGAGATGGCCCATTGCTTCAAGCCAGCAGTTCTTCTAGATAAGAGTTAGTATTGTGTGGAGGCAAGTAAAGCTCGTCAAAACTTACCGCTCCCTTGTACGCACAAATCACCATCACGTTCTCCTGCATGTTTTCGCCGTAGTATGCTAGCAACGGCCAATAGATATGCTCGAAGAAGAATCGTGGATGTTCACGAACGAAGGCAGAGCGCTTCGACAAGTCGCGAGTGCCTAACACGTTCAGATACTGCACTCTGATCCTCTTGTCTTCTTCAAGCTCGGAAGATTGAGTGGGGGACCCGATGCTGTCCAGAATATCCTTCAGGCAAGCGAATAAGCCTGGTTGACAGGACTTCAGACGCTTGGAGGTGCCAGGTCCATCGCGCATAGCGCCGTGTGGATAGAATTCAGCCGATGGCCAGGAGCTAATGTGGCAAGACATCCGGTGCTGCTCCTTCAACTCCACGCAAGGAAAGCCTTGGCGCTTGAGTCTGGTGAGGAATGGTACACTCAGTCTGTCGATGAAGGGATTGAATGTGACAGAACCCTTGGCTGAAGTGTTCGTGGGCTCTAGCTGTCGCTCGTCGCCAAGCATGATCACGCCCGTGATCTTGTTCCGATAGTCTGGAATCAAGAGCGCCGACAAAGTATCGATCTCCCTGTCCTTCGCGGCTTCGTCGATGACGATGCACAGACCTTGACATTCCACATCATACCTGTCGCGGGCATAGTTGTCGACGATATCCGACGACCTGCAGTTGCCTGTCGTTGTGCAGACCAGTCTCTGACGGCCCATGTAGTGTGCCTTACAGGCTTGGTAGAACTTGTCATAGGCTTTCACGGCATTCTTGTCGAGCCAGTTGAACTCGCCAGAGTCACTCTTCTCGATGCATTGACGCAGCTCGTACCATATGTCGATCTCGCCCGATCCTTGCTTGAGAGAGTATTTGCCTTCTCGCGCGGCCCTCAATACCTGCGCCGGTAAGGAGCTTTCTTCGTCGGCGTACTTGTCGGCTGTCGATTGTAGGTCTGCTCGGATCATCTCCAAGCCAAGTACATCGACCGCATCAGCCGCCGAGTCTGGACTTGGTGTCTCCATGTCGCTTCCGGCATCGGTGCACGGCATTCCACACTCGACCTGTTCTTCGTTGCTCTTCTGTTTCATGATCTTTTCCGCACTGAAATCTGTCGACGACGGGAAAACGCGAGTCGCCATCACTTGAGGGAAATGCTCCTTGAGCTTGTGCATGAAGTCGGCGCAGTTGGTGTTGGAAGGGCAAAGCACGAGGACATGGAGACCAATGGCGTAAAGGAACGCAGTGATGGCCTGGAGGACCAAAGTCTGAGACAGCGCGTTAGTCAACATCTCATAACTCACAGGGGGTCGTGACTTGCCTTTCCAGTGCCTGCAGGCCCAGTAATCAACATGATACCTCCCAGAGTCGATCGAACTCTCTGTAGTGCAGCCAATTGCTCTGGATTCCATTCTCTCCACGCAAGCATCTTCTGAAAAGCTTCGTGTACTGCTGCTTCGACCGGTTCGGGGATTTCGGCTGCTCGCTTGGTGGCCAGGTCGACGATTTCGAACTCATGACTTTGGTTCAAGATAATCTGGTGCCATCGGGATGCGTCTGGATGTTGAAGGTTCACCGCCGTGCTGAGCTGGCTCTTGAGGGTGAATTGCGTGATCTTTGGAGTGAATTCCACTTGTGTGAGGAATTTGCTGTCGAGCACGGGAGATGGCTTGATACAAGCGTTCCGTAGCTCAGGAGATGGCTCAGTGAGGACAAAGAGTGCGTCATATGGTGGGAGTCTGACAGGTACACAGCAATGGTTTGCTGGTTGCATCGTGAACTGAGTGCCAGTCATAGGATCAGTCCAGCTCATCTTCGTGTGGAGACGGTCTGGTAGAGAGAATTGGACGATGCCTCCAATACCGCCGAGCGGACGAAAGGGTGAGAATCGAACAGCCATTACCACGACTCCACCAACCTATTTCATGTCAGTATTACCTCACAGCTCGGAGACCTGGGAGTCGTACCTCGTAGACAACGCCAGAATGCCGTACAGAAGCCCATTCTCGCAGTGCGACCTCTTGCTCAAGGGCTGCAACTCGTGACGACTCATATAACTCCACAGCAGCATCCGTGACCGTCGCATATGTATCGCTAGAGTCGAAGGGAACCATGGGATATGGAGTTGAGTCGATGAGCTCGCCTAAGTCGCGATCGACTCGCAACGGTAGGAGGGCACTCCATTCAGGCACTGAGAGCGACGGGAGTCTGTCCGGACCAGTGATGTAAGGCAGGATGCGAGCGAAAGTAAAGTCGAGCGGGCTCAAGAGTCGGCGAAAGGCGAGACGGATGCGCTGTCCGTCTGAGGGATCAAGGAAGCCTTGAAGCACTCTGAGGAGTTCGAGGCCATGATGTCCGAGGAGTGCTTGGTATTTCAGCGCATTTGGAAGACCTTCAGATGTAGCGCCGAAAGAGGTGAACCGTATCTCGTCGCGTGGTCCAGAGTTTCCCATAGTTTTGATCTTGGACAAGTCGGTGATACCAGGAGTTCCATCATCGATGGCGTTGAGGTGAAAGTCGAGTGCTATTTGCAAAACTGCCGGTGCGTCTGGCGCTTGTGCTCTAATATCGTCCCAGAACACCTCGAGTCTGAGGACAGGAGCCGTCAACTGCCATGGATCAGCCTGTGGCAGTGGATATCTGTCTTGGTAAACTTACCAGTCTGCGGAATGTGACGAAGATCTCGTACTTTGGCAAAAGCCATCCCCCGTCCATATCTTCTGGAGGGAATGTCTTGCCGTTGGGGGTTACGATGGAAATGGGCTCTGGCGGGTATGCGACACCAGTCAGGGCGTGCAGCGTCTGACCCTTGTCGGTACCCAGATCGGGCTGGTGGAGCGCGACCAGCTTGGTATTCGAGTTGATGGGCTCATTCTCGATCGCATCCGTGAGATTTGCTCGGTATTCGAGCAGCTGATCTAACGGAATCTCCATCGTTGTATGTCGTACTTTGACGTACAAGCGGAGGGTGTCGTTTGGAGTGTGTGGACGCAAGTTGGTGGTCGTGCGTGAGTAAGTCGGCAAAGGGTGCACGTGCCTGCAGGCGTCACCGTTTATGCGGCAAAAGCCGATCTTTCACATGCGGAAGGAGCGCTGGAGGTGCTGCCGTCTCGTCTTGTTTGAAGCGTTCAGCCCAACTCTCTCACCAAAGAATCAACTATTACCGTTCGTCGCCGCCATGGCCAGCCCCGCCTACAACTGTCGTAAAGAGATTCTCACAATCACTTCCCAAGACCTGGCCCGTTTCGTATCGGATCGCATGTCCATCCTCCCATGTGCCACGTGCACTATGGCCTTCGCGCAGTCGTGCCACCTTCATTTTGCTTTCGCACCGACAACATCATTTCTCCGCCTCCGACATATTGCACCTGCCACGGGCGCTTTAGATGATACATGGCTTCTCAACAAAGCGCCGCGAAAGTTCGATGTACCAGCAACATCCAAATGCGGGCCACGGCCACAGTGATTGCTACTCACTCCAGTTCATCTTCGCGATCGCGAAGACCTTGTTCCAGAAGGGGTAGGCCACCTCCAGAGCTTCTTCAGGACCAGTTGAAAGGGGACAGATGACAGCAGCGGCCATACATGCTCGAAGCGTTCCACTTGGCTACCCTCTACTCGAATTTGGGGAATCATCGCTGCGGTGTGCATGGTCGGCCTAAGACTGTGAATTATCAGGTGTCAGTGCGAATGGCATGCTATATGATATCCGTCCTGTATGGCCTTGATAATCAGTGCTCGATTTCTGTACTCAGAGGGTAGCATTCTCTACACAAGCCGACTTTCTCTTTCCACGATGATGCGCAATACAGCTGCAGTCTGCGCTGAAAATCGTCGCATTGAGCGTGAAGTCTCTACCCGCTCGGAAAGCTTTCGGTTTCAATGCAGGCTCTCAAAAAAAAAAAAGTTCCATGACACCTACAGAGACACGATGTTCAGACTGTGATGGATTGTCTAACGATATGTGCAGGGGGTGAAAGATGGAGGTGAGGTCTAGGCACATGATGATCCTTGGCGATGTGAGCAACGTCATCCGACATGCCGCCAGCTCTGTCACCGTCTCCTTGGAGCCCAACTCACACTCCAAACCGCCGGCAGACTTTTCTGCACCTCTGCGAACTCCTGGCAGCCCAACATTGACAGCCTGGAGCCGTCAGTCGGGAGGCTAGCAGCGTTAAGAGGCTCTTCGAGCGCTCGTTTGGGCTCCCACCCCCCTGCCCGCTTCTGGGCCTGATCCCTGCTCTGCCAGCCTCACGGAAGTTGGAAAACGATAGAAGAGCTGCGCCCGGTCCCAACCGTCCCACGCCCGACCTGCATACAGTTCCACCGCCCTCCTCGACAGCCCGCAACCAATATACCTACCGCCTCATCCCGCGAGTCAGCACTCGGCTAGGTGCCACAGGCAATCACGAGGACAGTCGCAATGTCGCGCTTCAGGTCTTCGAACGATGATCTGGCCTACGGCGATATTCCCCAACGATGGGATCGTGAACGATTCGAGCGATTCAGTCGCGGCGGCCCTCCCGCACGGTTCGAAGATGACTACCGCTTCGTCGAACGAGACAGCCCGGGACGTCGCGACATTGCCGTGGCAGAGCGACGGGAAAGCTCTCGCCCGGGTCACCGATTCGAAGAGCGGGACCGTTTCTGGGAGGAAGACCGCGTGCGCTCACGACCGCGACGAAGGACTGACAAGGAGCTCTTCGGCGAGGTCGACCCGCGCGAGATCGCCGAGATGGCACTTGTCCCCGCTCGGCGGAAAAGTATCACAAGAGAAGAATGGGAGTACGACCAGCGAGGTCCGCCAAGGCCTAGTCTCTTGAGGCGTCAGAGTAGTTTGGACACCTTTGACAGACGTCCTTCGCGCGTGGAAAAAGAGGAGTACAGGATACCGCCATACACTCCCGTGCCCCTACCCATTCGCCGCCACAGAGATGGCTGGGACGAGGCACACTATTACCGGGATTACGAGCCGGAAGACTATCGCGAGGTGGAAATTCAGCGTGAACGCTCTGTTCACCGACGACGAGGGCCAAAAAGCGAGAAGGCGGCTTCCAAGGCTCCTAGCAGTTCGAGCAGCAGCTCAAGCTCGGCGTTCGAAGAGATCAAGAGTGTCAAGGCCTCCACAAAGGCGCCAAGCACGAGGGCCCCCAGTACCAAGGCAAAGAGCACGCGAGCTCCCAGTGTCCATGAAAGCTTTCATGAGTTGTCGATACACGAGGACATCGAGCCTCCATCGGCACCAACCATTCACGAAAGCATCCACGAAACAGCTTTCGAAGAAAGCGTACGCGAAGAAAGACGATTCAAGAAGGGCAAGACGAGGATGCCAAAACGTCTTGTGCGACGGGAGGCGATTATGGATCTGGGCTATCCGTTCGACGAGGAAGACGACTTCTTCGTGCTCAGGATCGCGCTTGAGAAAGAGCAGATTGACGAAGTTATCCAAATTTCAGAGACGTACAAGGATGGGGGTAAGTTTGATACGGATTCGGGATACCAGAAGTGCTTCGCTAACCCCCGAACAGAAAAGAACTCGAAGAAAGTTTATCGCTTCGAAGAGAACATCGACGAGGTCGAACCTATCCCTGCTCCTCCAGTCGGGGAACACGAGGAGATCGAGCGCACCGAATGGATCAATCCACCTACTATCGTTGGCGCTCGCTCCCACCGGTCCAAATCTGTTCGTGATGCCTCCCCTAGCGTGAGAAGCAGCGTCAGCCGCCGCCATTCCCCATCTCGTGCAAGATCGCGAGCTCCATCAGGGACCTTTGTTGAGGAACGCAAGACCGTCATCGAAGAGACCCGCTCACCACCGCCTCCACCTTCGGTTTTCCGAGCACCATCCGCCCCACCACCGCCCGGACCACCAGAGTTCTACGAGGAGAAGAAGACCGTCATTGAAGAACGCGTACCAACCCACCATCCCGGCACTGTTGTCCTAGCAGAGCGCGAGCACCGTTCTGACCGCGATATCAATCATGAGATCCGGGCCCTCGAAGCCGAACGTCGCGCACTACGCCTCGAACGAGAAGCGGAAGAGCGCCGCGATATGGCTCTACGCCTACGAGAACGCCCCGACGAAGAGTTCCAACTTGTCGAGTACCGCGATCGACCAAGAGATGAGCTTGTGATATATGAACGGGAGAGGGAGCGAAGCCCGCCGAGAAATGTGATTCGCGTCGAGAAAGATCGGAAAGGTAGGATGGCACTGGTTCGGTCTACGCACTGAGCGGCTTTGGTTGGAAACACACACCTTCCAAGGCTCGTAACCGCTTATCCCCTCTGTTGGACATTGGCTAACTAGTTCTTGTCCTGCAGAGAGGCGAAAGGCGAGAGTCGTTGCCGCTGCCATGGCTGCCCTTACTTGAGAGATCGACGGTTGCAAGATTCTTTTTGGTTGTTTTTTGAATACATGGATTTTGGGAGTTTCGTTATGGGAATTTTGTTGTTGACAAGAGCGCTCAGCGAGCATGGAATGAGGACATACGACGGCAGCGTATCATTACGATGTGCATGAATGTTACGAGGTCATGGATAATTGCTGAATGAATTTCTTCTGCATGCTAGGATCAAGACAGAGTCTCAACCACAGGTAAGCAGGTTCGCCTACTTCCCACTATGCGGCGAATCACTCAACATCTCACTACACCAACCATCAGCACACAGCACCAAAACATCAACTCGCAACATCACAACTCACCTAACCCCCCAATCCGGCGCCACCAAATCCCTCCACTCCTCGGCCCCCAACCTCGCAAAATCCACAACCTGCCCCTGTCCAAGCCCAACCCCCTCCCCAAACTCCACCCCCGGCTCCAAAACAACCGGACTCTCCGGCCCCCAAGGCGTCGCCAACAAATCAAACACCGGCCCCACCTTGACATCCACCGTCGCCTGGAAAGGGCCCCCTCCCCCCGCATACTTCACAACCACCGCGCAAGCAAACTCCAGCGGAATCCTACTCTTCTGCCTCTCGTCCTCGCGCAGCCAGAACTTGACGATGGTCGGTTCGCTGTGTGCGTGGTCGGTGAACTCCGCGCCGGAGATCTCGGTTGCCGTGTGGTGCGTGTAGGAGGAGGTCTGGCCGGCGGAGAGGGATGCTGAGGCCGAGGGGGTTATGGCGACGGGTGTGGACGCCGTCGCGGAGAGGGTCGCGGAGCACCACCAATCCCTCCTCTCATCCGTGCCGTTCGACACGAGCCTCTTCGGTCCATAGTCCACGACGACCGGGTCCTCGCCCTCCCCATCCCGTCCCTCGAACTGGATCCTGATATCCGCGCGCTCGAACCTCCAGGCATGGTGGCTCCCTCCCCCTCCGCTTTGGAATTGGAATTTCAATCCGAGCAGACAGGCCGGGTCGTCGTGGAAGTAGCCGTACTGCACGCGGGTGACGTGGGCGAGGAGGGAGAGGTTCGAGAGGTCGCGGTGGGTGATTTTGAAGCGTTCGCGCGTGCTGGGGTTGGGGGCGTCGTAGTGCGGGAGGATGTGGTGGTCGTGCGTGAGGATTTTCTCGTCGATGTGGTGGGGGTTGAGGTGGAAGGTTGTTTGGCGGGGGGCGTAGGTTGAGGTTGGAGACGTCGATGGTGTTGTTGGGGATGGCATTGCTTTTGGCTGGATGGGTGAGGATTGGCTGGGTGGCTTGGTGAGTTGTTGTAGGGTTACGAGAGGCCGTTTTGAAATCAGGGAATAGAGCTAGTAAGACCGTGTCCGGTCTCAATGTTGGCATTCATCAAGTTGCGAGTACATACGTGAACATGCATTGGGAAGGCAAACGATGACAACATCGCCGCGAGATACATGTACATGCCCCGGCAGCTACATCCACTCGTCATGCGGATGTAGCCTTCCTGCTGGAGGATCCGATGGCGGTTTCTCTAGACGCTCGTCACTACATATTCAGGAAGAGTCGGCTCGGAAAGCTAAGGGACCCTCTCGGCGCCTGCATGAAGCCTGATGAGTGTGGAGTGAGAATTGGAATCCCACGGAATCTTCGGATGGGGTGCTCGTCATGTGTCTTTATTAGCTACTAAGCTATGCTGCTGTTCAGGCGCTCTTCGCCGATGTGTAGAGGTGTGTACTACTACCAAGTCTTCGGCCCAAACGTCTCTCCAGGTGCGACAGTCTTGCGAATGGCTGTGCCGAGATAATCCGTCGTTTCGAAGACGTTCACATTTCCCCACCATTGCGGAACTGTAGCGTTCGGCAGCGTGATGGCAAGGAAGATGATGATTGTGGAGATCAGGAGTCCACAATCGAGTGCTGCTGCTGTCAAGTAGTTGTAGTGAGACCACCACCCGAAGAACCGTCGTCGAATACCCCAGTTGAAGATTAATCCAATGATTGCCCACGAAGAGAAGGATAGAGGCGTGGCAGGTGGCAGCCAAGACATCGCTCCAAGCATGACTGGAGCGTGGAGCCAGCGTAGTCTCTTCGTTGGGAAGACCCTTAGGAGGACGTAGAAGGCGATCGGGAGTAGAGCTCCTAAAAGCCAGAACCAGTTGAATGAAACGTAGAGACTAGAACGGCCGAACATGCGGCGCGGACCGATCAGCCCCCAAACAATACTCGATGAATAAAAGGTCCGTCCATTCGGGCAAGTGAAGTGATTGACTTGGTCAGATGTGCACACGTTGGGGATAGTCGTCAAAGTCCAGTTCATCACTGCGATCTGGACGAAGCAGGCCCAGATAACTGCCGCCACCTGGCATGCGATTGTTATGCGAGGGGGCACTTTCATGTAATGTGCGAACTTGAGATCCTGGGTGAATGTCTGGGCTTGGCCAAGGACGATTGTGCTGTAGACCTTGAAGATCATCACGCCGATAGGCTTTCCCGGTATCATGAATCCAGCCAGGAAGGGAGAGATGACGTTCAAGGACAGCATGATGTTGGTGATGCCGAGGATCATGCTAATGGAAAGAACGTCAGAGTCATTAATGAAGCTGACGAGAAGGTGATTGAGCACTTACCAGCAAGGAATGACAAACACAAGAGCCAAAAAGATAGAGACGAAATATGCCCACCAAGGCAGCTGAGACGAGTAGCCTAGTACTGTTCCAAGGCCGACAGCGACGGTGCCGATGAAGAGGGCCAAATACCACCAGTCAGGAGCACTGAATAGCGTGTCAGTGAAGTCAATATGCAAAGACCTGGACACACTCACTCTTTATACTTCGACATCAAGCGCATGTGCACGTCTGGCTCTTGTTTCCGCGCAGTCCTAAACCTGTACCATACTTCCTTGCCGTGGAAGACGACCGTATGGACGATAGATGCTGTGAGAGATGCGAATGACAGGCCATAGTTGAGTGCAAAGGTTGGCGCGAGGAACAGAGGCGAGTAGTCCTTGTACTTGGTCTCAGAAAAGCTGTAGTTAGGCCCCATGATTTTCGTTACATTGTACTGGTTCTGAGTATTGTCAAACGTTGTGGACGTGTTGATTGGCAGGTAGTCGGTGAACAAAGCTCCTGAATAGCTGATTCCAATGGTGGTGATAATCATGAAGACGAAGAGCCCGACCAGCGTATTCAGATGCGAGAAGGTGGGAGACAGCAGTGGATCGTTCAGGTAAGACATGACATAGGTCCAGTCGAACGTTATCGGTATGAGCGAAAGTCCAGTGAAGCCACCGAATAGTTGGTTGAGAACCACGTTGTTTGGCCTGGCCCAAGTGACGAAGCTAAACACAGATAGTCCCTGGAAGATGACACCAGGAAACCAGTACCATATGAACGACGCGATTGAGATATATGCAAAGTAACGGTATCCAGATATACGCCAACCGTTGGTCTGCGCAGGGTCGGGTTTACGCTTGTCGTGCAGTGCGTAGAGGAGCGTCGTCATCGAAAAGTTGGCAGGCCAGATCAATGCTGCTGGCCAGACTAAGAAGCGCCTGAACATTCCAGAGATTGCGATTCCGATCAGTTGCGAGCTCAGCGTGAAGAGTAACTGGAATCCCCAGCCCAGATGAATATTGTACAGCGACTTGGCGTCCAGAGCAAGGAGAGCATCAGTCGCATAGGCATATCCATATGTCACATTGGCCATCAGAGTGACCACAGCATGTTCCTTGATAGTGAAAGGGCCAGGATTGAGAGACCAAGTTACACCGAAAGTTGTGAATTGTTTCGAGGGTATGATCCGCGCCCAAAGACATCCCACGGGGTAAACAAGTAGCATGATCACTACCGTTGGGATGGTGACAGCTGGACTTCTCATGCTGAGGAACATGTTGACGGCCGCAGAAATCGTTACAAATATGAAGCCGAGGACCCAGGCCCTGAGGGTATTGGCCATTTCTCCTCCATCTGTTGGACGAACGGCAGCTCTGACCGATTCATATGGCGAGTCTTCAGCGAACTTCTTGTCAACTTCGATAGCGGCTTCCACGCTGTTGCTTCTGGCGGCATGACGGATGGCATCAACTGTAGCGTCTGGGAGATTCGGGTCGAACTGGTGTGACTTCTCGATTCGCTTCGCATCGTCTACGGCGTGGGATTCGATGGTGGTGTCTGTCTTCTCATCTACCTGCTCGGTAACGACTTCCACTGGAGCGCCATGTATGACTTCCTCCTCATTGCGTGACCCAAAGGGTAGCTTCATCATATGCTGAAGTGCCGGAAAATCGCCTCAGCGTGACACTCTTGCGTTAGCAAAGCCAGCGACTGACCTACCTTTGAAGATGGAAGAATTGGTATGAGATATATCTGCCACCTTTATCCGCCACGTCGTATCGCATAGTAGCACATGGTAGCTCAGTTGACATCGTTAAGCGCGTCTTTGCGATACGACAGTTCGGCGATCAGTTACACTGGCGAACGACAGTGGTCCCGCGAAGTTATCCCTGGACAAAGTGGAGGGACTTGATAGGCCTGAAAGGACAGGTCAAGGTGTTGCTGGAAGAAGATTGGGACCAGGATCTACTAGTCGCGCGCTCCAATGCAAGACCACTCGGCTCATTCGATAGGCCAACCGCGTAGGCGATGGCCTGTTATTGTCCGGTCACTTGGAGGTACCAAACGGCTCGAGTGGCCTCTCAGAATGGACCTTGACATGGAAACGGGTATCATGCCTTTCACAGATTGATGTGATGTTGTGGTGTACATTATTGTTCGCGTAGGTAAGTCGGGCAAGCAGGCGAAGTGGCCTCAAGCTTTCGGCGGCGGAAATCGTTGCGGGGAAGCGGCGCCAAGACCTTCGGCAGGCCTTCCCGAAGCGCGGGATCACACGTGAAGAAGTCGTCGAGATGAATGTTCTCTGCCAGCGCATTTGATTGAACAACACCACCACATACAAACTGCCGACATGAAGAAATCCTCGTCACTGCGCCGTGTGCCGCGAAAAATCGGCCACGACGAGGATGAAGAAGAGGCGTCAGGTCCTCAGCAGCCTTCAGGTATGTGACAACAAAAGTGCAATACATACTCCATGGCTCTGACGCAAAGTCCCAGCTCTTGACAGGCGCTGACTGCGTGCGTGAAAATAGAGTCTGTTATCAAACGCCCCACTACGAAACCTCGCAAGTCGACCTCATTACGCCAGTCACTCGGACCATCAGCTGTTGAAGATGAAGAGGATTCAGAGGCTGCCGTAATCACACCGAAAAAGTCGAACGTCTCGCGAATAGCGGTCCAGCACAATGCATCAAAGCGATCTTCGTTATTAGCCTCACAGCTGCCGACACGACAATACGAAGACGACGAAGAACGGCCGAGTTACAGCGCAGCTTCACTGCAGGAACTTAAAGACAGCACACCCGCAACTCCACAAAATGTCAGTTCGGCTGGTGATACGGAGATAGAGAAAGTATCCTCTGGCACACAGGCACTAGACATATCGTCCAAGTTTGGTTCGTCACTGGCGCACTACCAGCAATCATCAGCGATACCGTCAGCCACAGAGATCGCAGAGAAAAAAGCACGCCGGGCACGACTCGCAAAAGAGCAACAAGCAGAAGAGTTCATATCGCTTGACCCTGACGATCCAGATCTGGATGACGATGACGATAATGTGATGAAGGATGAGCAAGGCAGACTTGTTCTCAAGCCAAAGGACAAATATGGTCAGCTGGAAAGTAGGCTTGTCGCCGACGATGAAGACATCATGGAGAACTTTGACGAATTTACGGAGGATGGAAGGATTGCGCTTGGTCGTAAAGCCGAGGCAGAGGCTGCGCGACGGAGGAAACAGGATATGGCTGCGCAGATTGCGGAAGCAGAAGGCGCCTCGGATGCAGAATCAGACGACAGCGAGCGAGAGCGCAACGAGGCTTTCGAGAATGCCCAGACCAAGCATGGCACGTATGTGCAAAACGCCACATCCTCCGATCCCACCGACTTAAGACCCAAAACGCCACCCATTATCACACCCTTGCCCACCCTCGATGGTGCGATTGAGCGCTTGCGTAAGCAACTTTCGGAAATGCAAAGCTCACGCATGCAGAAATTGCAGGCCATGGAGCATCTGCAGAGGGAAAAGATCCGGTTGGCAGAGGAAGAAGTCAGGATACAGCGCGCGCTCAAGGAGACGGCCGAGAAATTCGAGGCGCTCAGGAAGGAGAAGGGCATCGATGCGGAGAACAAGAAAGACGTGCCTGCCATTGAAGCTCCACCTGAGCCGCCGCTCAATGGCGATAGCAATGCGTCGAACAAGGATGAGAAGCCTGATGAAGACGAGGATGAAGAAATGGAAGATGAAGACGAAGAGGAAAGTGGTGGCGGCTTCGCTGGACTGGGTTTCGGTGGCTCAAGAACAGGTCTAGGTGCAGGATTCGGGCTTGGCTTCAAAGTAGCAGAGGATAGCGAAGGTAGCCGTAGCTGAAAAAGATTTTGTGCTGCTGAAAGCATTGGCTCAAACCCGTATCATCTCGGGGCTTCGTGCTCCAGACTCTCAAATTGTCTCGCCATGCCATGCCATTGTCACTGACGTGTTACACAAAGCCATCGAAGCCGGAGCATTCATGATTCGACGGGGAATCTCATAGTGTTTCTTTTTCCGCGCCGCTCTTTCGTCATCAGAAGTGGAGGTGTCGCCTGGAAGTTCTGCTATACATATACTCCATGCCTATCGTTTTTGAACACCTCGAGAATGATCTTTATGGCCCAGATGTATTTCAACTAAACCATAAATTTGGATGAAAAAGGAACGCGGTGCCTACATCTGAGAGGCTGGTCAGCGCCGAGTACACACAAGGCTTCACATCACATACCATGAATTATTAGGATGACTTCAAACAAAATATTTTGAAGGCAACGTCGTGGAAACGAATAATGCTCAGGCATTCTCGCATTGGTGATGTTGAGCGTACTGTATCTTAGCCACACCGTTGCCATCTTGAGCCCTCTCTCGCCATCTCAATCATCTCATATCCATCTTCAATCTATCCCTGCCATCACCAAGTATCCAACGCAGATATTTCGATTCGGTTTCGATGGGGTTGAGGCACCGGCCGGCCAATATGTCTTGATTTACTGCTCTTCTTTTCAGACTTTCGGCGCAGCTGAGCTCAGCATCGGGGGAGGTCGCCATCGAGCTGGCACAAGCTGTCGGATCAAGGCAGGATGCGGCAGACAACGCCATCGTCCCTCGTCATCAAGCCGGCGGTCATGATGGGAAGTATTGAGGCCATATCGACATCCCGAGGTCTGCGAATGAAGAGGTGAAGTCGAGGTGGGAGAGAAAGCCGCTAATATTAGTGGGGCGGGAAGTTGCGAGGGGAAGACAGCAGAGCTGATCTGACTGCGGCGTCGACTTGATATCCGCATCCACCAGAGGGAGAATGAACGATTAAGTCATTCGCTTGGCTCCTATGTTCGTGAATGATCAAGGCACATCGGTGCAGTCGGCCAACGAGACGAGAACTCGGCACCCTGAACTCCGCGTGACCAGCCCGCCCGAACTACTGCACCCGCACCTCAATATCAGACATTGACCGACGATTATGGTGGCGGAAAGGCATACACCACACCCCAAACACACCTCAACTTCGTGAGAGGAAATATCGGAGGATGGCAATGGCAGATACTCGATGCGCGGCCGACCCTCAGGCCGTCGCTGGCGCGATGACCAATATCGCCCACTCAACAAACGTCGACGAGGACGACAGCAGTTTATCTTCGACCGGAACTGATATCTTCGATCGAATATCCGACGGCTCAATTCACAAAGACAAGTGGCAACTCGATGTGAATGGTAAATGGCAGCGATATGGCTCCTCAGATTCCGGCCCCAGCACTGGCATTTCTTCAGTATGCTCATCTGTCGCAGCCGAAGAGCCTCCTAACGACAGGAACAAAATCAACACACCCTCGAAAAAGCGCCTGTCCGACGGAACATTGAAAACTTCGGCGACGAAACCGAACTCCCCTGCGACGGTGGCACCGATATTGCCTACTCAGACAGATATCTCCCCGACGATAGAGCCGCAACCACCTCAGAAAATCCCAAAGAAACGGGGACGACCACCGAAAGTGAGGCCTCCTGTGACTGAGACCGCCCCTACCACCACTGTACAATCTTCACCAAAGGTCGGACGGCCGGTCGGCAGGCCTCGGAAAGTACCTCTACCAGATATCAAATTTCGACCGCGCTCATCGATTCCATCTCGTCTGCCAGCAGATGTCTTCGCCAGTGAATGTATCGAAGCGGCCAACGCATCTCGGCTCGATCCCTACTCGTTGCATGCGGGTGAGCACAAACTTCTCATCGACCTGCTCATGTCGAAGGAAATCACAGTCTATCTCAATATACGAAATGCGATTCTCAGATTATGGCACCAAAACCCTCTCTGTAGCATCACAATGGAAGAGGCAGCGGGATGTGCCAAGGAAAGCCGCTTTTTCGGTCTTGCAGAGGTCGCATATCGATGGTTGACCCGGAACGGCTACATCAACTTTGGCTGCATCGAACATCCGAAAGATCCTTCAATACCGCAAAAGTTCAGTAAAGAAGCTAGACAACGGACAGTGGTGGTCATTGGTGCTGGTGTCTCCGGTCTTACGACCGCACGACAATTGGAAGGCCTCTTCAGACGACAGGCTGCCAAATGGGTCGGCATGGGTGAACGCCCTCCAAAGGTCATTGTACTCGAAGGGCGAAAACGTATCGGCGGTCGAGTGTATTCGAAGCCACTTCGAAGTCAAGTGAAAGACAGCCTACCTGACGACCTGCGCAACACCGCCGAGATGGGAGCAATGATTGTCACCGGCTTCGAGCATGGCAATCCGCTTGATACGATCATTCGCGGTCAACTTGGTCTGCGATATCATCTGATGAAGGATGCCCTGACAATCTATGACACCAACGGCAGGCCTATCGACGAGAAGAAAGACATGCTCAACACTGAGTTGTACACCGACATTTCGGACAGAGCAGGCGAATTCCGAGCGGAGCCTCAAAGGCAAGAGACACTGAAGGGTGACGAAGACTTGATCAACCGCTGCCGTGACCCTGCTCCTGATGGCTTTTCCGCCTTTCAACTCGAGCCCCTACCTTCAGCACACATCAAAGCACACAAGCCATCTGCCAGACGAGGGCGTCGGCGTAATGCACCACCAGGAACAGAAAAGCTCACTGGCAGAAGCCAAGTCATCGAAGGAAGCAGCGCAATGCACAGTGCCTCGCGTGCTGTGAAAGATATGGGCTGGGAAGTAAGAGAAGGCATCGCTCGAAATCAAAGCATTTCACTACAACGTGTCGCGAACGCTAGCGATTACCCAACGCTGGGGACTGTTATGGACGAGGCCATCATACAGTATCAAGATCTCATCAACTTGAACCCGGTCGACATGCGGCTTCTCAACTGGCACCATGCAAATCTCGAATACGCCAACGCGGCGCCTGTGTCGCAGCTGAGCCTCAGTGGCCACGACCAGGATACCGGCAATGAGTTCGAGGGTGCCCACTCAGAAATCGTTGGCGGATATACCCAAGTGCTGCGAGGTCTCATGAACCTCCCGACCAAGCTCGACGTTCGATTCAATCGAATTGTGGACAGCATTCACTACGATGACGGCAACCACGAGAGTCATGAAGCACTGCCAACCAAAATCGTTTGCACCGACGGAGAAGTAATCGAAGCTGATGAAGTGGTCATGACTGCGCCTTTGGGTGTTTTGAAATCCGGTGCCATTGACTTCGATCCGCCTTTACCAAGGTGGAAGCAAGGAGCTGTCGACCGCATGGGGTTTGGTCTGCTGAACAAGGTATGCTATATCGCGGAGATCGTTTATACTTATCTAACACTCTTTGCAGGTCATCCTCCTCTACGACAAGCCTTTCTGGGACGACGAACGAGACATGTTTGGTCTGCTCAACGAAGCTGAACAGAAAGCCAGCCTTGACCCGTCCGATTATGCGAGAAGAAGAGGTCGATTCTATCTCATCTGGAACTGCTCAAAAATCAGCGGAAGGCCAATGCTCATTGCACTGATGGCAGGGAACGCGGCACACGAGGCGGAATGGACGGATACCAACACACTCATGACTGAAGTCACGGATCGGCTACGAACCGTCTTTGGCCAGAACAGGGTACCTGCGCCGCTCGAAGTGATTGTGACGAGGTGGAGAAGAGATCCTTTTACCAGGGGCACATATTCATACGTTGGACCGGAGACTCGACCGGGCGACTACGACCTCATGGCGAAGTCTGTTGGCAGCCTGCACTTTGCAGGAGAGGCCACCTGTGGCACCCACCCTGCAACTGTTCATGGTGCGTTTCTGTCTGGATTACGCGCGGCTGCAGATGTCATGGACAGCATGGCCGGTGTGATCAAGCTTCCCAGTCCACTTGTTGGGCCTCCTCCGATCAAGCAGGAGATGATGGCGCATTTTGCACCTCCTCAGCAGCCGATCCTACACGCACCTCTCGATCAGCAGACAACAATGGCACTCAGTGCCAGTTTGACTCAGACTGCACAGGTAGATACCTACCCAGGTGGACCAATCATCAAGCAAGAGGAAGAGAACCTCCAACTCACCGACATTCCCGTAACAACCACCACCTATTGGGCCCCAGCCAAACCCTCCGGGCCTCCAGCCAAAAGCGTCTGCGCGACAGACCCCTCCTTCTGGGTGGCCCCCAGCTACGACTCCTCGGACCTCGACTACGAAGCCGCCGTCATCAGTGTAATCCTCACGCAAATCGGCGACCGGCCCGTCAAACCCACCCGCCCCGGCGTCAACCCCTTCCTTCTCTTCACCAAAGCCAAATGGGAAGAATGCAAAGCCTACTGCGCCAAAGAACTCTCCAACTCCGGCCGCGACATGATTCGGCAGACTATCGGGAAGTGGTGGAAGGCGGCGGACGACAAGGCCAAACAACCGTACCTTGTGCAGAGCCAGACGGCGCAAGAGCTTGCGGATCAGATCCGGAAGGACTGGGAGGAGAAAGTCGCGACGTGGGATAAAGAGGCGAAGAGGATCAGGGAGGAGTATGCGAGGGAACATCTGCCGCCGGCGTCGAAGAGTGTGGGTGGTGGGAGTGCTGGAGGGAGTGGGAATGGGGTGAGCAGGAGGAAGACGAACGTGAGTAACTGTGTGGTTTTGGATCATCTTTAAGGGTGGGAGTTTATGGTTTCTGGTCGGCGTCGTACAAGGGGGAGAGGCATGCATGTTTGCTGGCATTTTTATCTTGGGGTTCACAGATGCGTCGTTTGCATGTAGATATTTTCTGGCATTGCAAGCGGGCATTTTATCTTATACGACAGCAATGAACGAGGAGAAACTTTGGAATGAGATATCGGCTCCTCGCCATGTGGTTTGCAAGGTGGCTATGAGTTATGCTTGATTGATTGCCCAACTATTCTCCATCTACAAGAAACACCAATATGCTGGTCTGGAGAAAAAGACTCGATCGCAATGATGGGTATTCAACTCCATTCCTCCCTTTCTCTTCTCTCTAGCTATATGCATGACCCTGGACTCTACTTCTTCTTGCCCTCAGACCTGCGCACAATATCTGCGAACTCCTTGCCTTTGCGGGTGGGATTGCGCGACTTGATTACAACAACGGGTTCGATCGGTATTCGGGGACTTCGCCGTTGGCGCCATTCTTGACTTCGTTGTCGCCTTCGACGCCGTTGGTCATGTCGTCTTCGTTTTCGGCGAGCCATTTCTCGGCTTCGAGGGCGGCCATGCAGCCAGAGCCTGGAGAGGAGAATGTTAGCATATGTACAGATTTTGCATGAGTTGGTAGTGGGGTAGACTTACCTGCTGAAGTAACGGCCTGGCGGTACTTCTTATCCTGCACATCACCAGCTGCGAAGATACCCGGGACATTCGTCTCGGTCGTGCCAGGCGTGGTGATGAGGTATCCATCCTCGTCCATCTTGAGCTGGCCCTTGAAGAGGTGCGTCGCAGGCTCGTGACCGACAGCGTAGAAAAGACCATTCGCTGGAATTTCCTCCTGCTCGCCCGTCTTGTTGTTCTTGATGACCATGCTCTTCATGAGACCTCTCGGTCCCTCGTCACCCTTGATCTCCACACCCTGCGTGTTCCACTTGATCTCCACCTTGGGGTGGTTCTGCAGTCTCCTCGCGTTGGTCTTGCTGGCGCGCAGTTCGCCTCTTCGTACGAGGACGGTGACTTTGCTGGCTTTCTTGGTGAGGTAGAGGGATTCTTCGACGGCACTGTCGCCGCCTCCGATCACCACGAGTGGCTTCTCTCTGAAGATGGGGAGGGATCCGTCACAGACGGCGCAGGCACTGACTCCGTTGCCCCAGTACTTTTCCTCGCCTGGCAGGTCCAATCTCCTCGCCTTGGCTCCCGTCGCGAGGATGATGCTGTCCGCGGTGTGTGTCTCCTCCTCGAGGTTCTCGTCATCGCCCATAGGGTTCAACCAGTACTTGAACGGCCTCGAGCTGAAATCCACCTTACCCACAGTCTGGCTCACAATCGTCGCCCCACACTCCTCGCTCTGTGCGCGCATCTGATCCATGAGCGTGGCGCCCTTGATCATCTTGAACCCAGGGAAGTTCTCCACCTCATCGGTCGTCGTGAGCTGGCCACCTGCCGCGATGCCCAGCGCGAGGAAACCCTCGTACATGACAGGCTTGAGGTCGGCGCGTGCGGCGTAGATGGCGGCCGTGTGGCCAGCAGGCCCGGAGCCTATTATGACCAGCTTGTTATGCATGTTGCGCGTCTGGTTGAGGGTAGGAGACGAGGAGGCCAATTCGGCCGACTGTGCAGGACGGTAGAAAGCTCCGGCGGCGGCGAGGGGTACGGTGATGCTCGAACGGAGGGGTTTGAAGCCTGTTCGGCGAAAGGCGTTGGCGAACACTTTGGCGGATATTTGTATGGGAGGTGTTTGTTATTGTAGAAGAGAAGTTTCAAGTGTTTTCGATGGCGACGAGAAAGATGTACGTCACGCGGTTATCTGATCAGACCATGCTCGAAGGGTGGGCTGCTCGCTCGCTGGCTCGGCGGGTGGATTAGTTGTTTGGGTTAGTGCACCGTCAAGGGCGAATGCGCCGCGAGTGGGTATTTCGGTGCAGCGATGGCGGCGAGGTCAGTTTGTCAGAGTCAGTGTGTTCTCGAACCTCGGGCTAATGAATTTGGTTGGACATTGATGAGGCTGCTTTGAAATCCCGGCTGGAATTCTAGACCCCTCCCCCTCTGTCTCCCTTCTGCCGTGCCCCCTTCGGTATCGATTTACGAAGGTTTCTCTAGCGTGCAGTACTCAGGCACGACATGTACCTGCTTCGTCAAAGATTCCATCTAACCGTCTTGCATTCCTTTCATCAAAACTCTCTGAGGCTTTGAGGCGGCCACGTGCACTTCTTTGAGATCTTTATCTTGAGCGTCGTACAAGATCGTCATGGAACCTGGGCTGTGGGTGTCGAGCCCGCGGAATCGCCGACGTTATCCTAAAAGCGTGTGAAACAGCGAGTAGACGACACCCGAGCTGTCTTGCCGCATTCGTGGCATTCTGTTGCTATCCCCCGATTCTTGTGGTGCTCTGATGCCGATATTGCGAAACCGTCAAACCTGGAAGAGATGGACTTTAATGTTGACCCGTCGGCTACGTCTGGCCGCGATGGATGGGCTCGCTGGTTCTTGAAAGTTCATGATACGACTTGTTACCGAAGGTGGCGCCAGAAGCAATCGCCCTCGTGGTTGTGTTCAAGGTGGAACGCATGGAGTCGCCATGCTTTCGACGTCTGTGAACCGACTGTGGATCGATCGTGCCTTGGACTGCGTTGAAAGCTCGCGAGGGATACAGAATTGGACCAGAAAGAGAAGGGCATGCTTTATCAAGAGCAGGTCGGTGGACGTCTTCAGATAGCTGAAGTCGACGGTGGTAGTCACGGCTGTGGCAGATCTTTCTGGCCAAGCCGCAGGCCAGCATTCGAATAGTACGCCGTGCCGTCCTCCTGAAGCACCTTCTCAGCAGTCACTGAGACGTTGCCTGTGTTATGCTGTCGTTGGTTCAACTCCAACTTGAGTCGATCTCGGTGCCGCCTCTTGATGCTTCGAAGTGACGCTGGTATCCGACGACCGCAATCGATTTTCAAGTTTTCCATGGCCGCCTCCATCTTGCTCTGGACCCTCTGGTCGTCATCCCGAATGGCGTGGCTCGCCTCAGTGTTGATGGAATTAAGATGCTGCTTCAGGTGGTCCACTTCCGCCTTGGCTCTGGTATCAGTGTCATCAAGCGGAGCGTTCAACCTCATATCCTGCAGACGCTGCTGAGCGAGAGCGAGCTGGCGTCGTTGGATGTTGCGGCCGAGTCGCTGTTGCGATCTCTCAAGTTGTGTCACGGCATGACTGGTTGCATCCGTTCCTGAGTCTCTAGTCCTTGCATCGATGTGCAATGGGTGGTGGGTGTTGAGATTGCGACGAGCCGCCTCGTTCAGAGGCACGAGGACCGACCTCATGATATGCTCTCGGCGGTGCTGTCGAGTTGGATGAAGTTCGAAAAACTCCAGGCCATGGATCGAGGTTGATCTGCGCACGAGTACAAGAAGTGCTCGCGTCTCCACCTGTGAATGGTGAGCCGTCATCTGCATTCACGAGTGAAGGAGGGCGAGGGGTCTCATGTTCACCGCCCGCCGGCAGGCAGAATGAACCCTTATAAGCCCAAAGAATTACCCCTCCCCCAATTAGAGCAATAATCCTACGATCCGGTACGGGTTGGTCTCGGCATGAATGGTCTAGTGGTAATAACCCTGACCCACCCACGCGCCAACCATGAGTTCGACTCTCGGAAATGACGGGATTTTCTCTTCCCTTGAACGTGCGAATGCTGAAAATCTTAATGTGTCCCTGGGTTGTTCCCTCTCAGGTTGGAAAAAAGGGCCGGATTGTGCCAAGACAACCACACTATCCACGTTAGGTGTTTCTTTTTGTCGTTTTCCTAGGGTTTGTGAGTTCGAGTCAGGGTGTGGGTTGGTATTTTTGTAGCCGTGACTTCGATCGAATCAGGGTGGAATCCAGTCTTTGGTCGTGAGTTCGAGTCTGGGCAGCGACTTTCTTTTTCGGCTTTTGATTCAAATTGTGTCGAACGTAACCTCTGCGATTCGAGCCATCTTTTTGTTAGAGCAGGCGCATACACACACCCTACAGAAGTATCACCATCAACACATCTTTTGAAGTTAGTGGTCAATCATACTACCGTCATACGCGGTCCCTAAAAACTGCTAGTATGGCCCTTTGTCGCGAATCGCGAACGGCAAACAGGCCGTCGGAGATACAAATCTTGTCGTTTTCTTCGTCACCATAAATGCAGCTTCATCGCATCAACTGGCGGGCCGTTCCGTTCCAAGCACGATGTGGTATTGACGCATCCAATAGAGCCTGCAGTGCTTTTGACATTGAACACCAGAACAATTTGCATTTTAGCTTGAATGCCGACCGATGGAGAATCCTTCAGGAGGCGCATTTGATAGTTCCCTAGGCTAGTATAATATTGCCACCACAGCATGCAGCTTTGCATGCAAGTATGATCTCCTTATGGTCGATGATCTGAGTGCCCGTTGGAGAAGTCGACGAATCCAAGCAGATCGCGCCAAGGAGATGGTGGTACGAGAGTTCAAGCCAAGCACATGGACATTTCGAGGAATGCGCGAAGTGTGTCAATTGTCTTTTGCAGGCGAAATATGCAGGCCAGATAAGTTAAAAATCGAATTGTCTGCAGTGTCGACATCCACATGGAGGAGAAGAAGTAGCAAACGATAGAAGGCTCTTTGCATCTCGCGTCCGGGACGATTAGGAGCTCGAACGGCCACCGCCATCAATTCGCATTCGATATTGAAACACAAATGATCTAGCTAGAAATGTTGAGTTTTGTCCCAAGATCTACTAAGGCATGTTGTAGAGACATGCTTGCAGTAACAGTAAGGTGATGTGAACGTGAAAGACGAAGTGACGTCTGGAATTGGCTTCGACTGGGTCCGGAAAAAGGTTTTCGCCCCTTGCCCAGCCACGTGCTAAAGGACACATGCAAGCACTGCAAGCATGCTCAAGACATCTTAGATAAGGCTTGACCCGTTCTCACTTCGAATCTCACCTGTACTCGCCACCCTGATGCCAGGATGCCTCGAATACTTTGGCCACGAAGGCGTTTGTCACGCGGCAGGCAAATGCAACCTCTCCCACGCTCTGCATGCATGGACCACAACGACTCCGCACTCGCCGCTAAGATACTTACCCGAGATGCAGCAGGGCGTGGCGAAGACCGACAGTGAGGGATGTGAGAAAGATGACATTGGCTGGCCATGGTGGGAGTCGTGACACCAGACCAGATGCACCGAGGACACCTCCAGATGGCTCTTTCTGGATGTTGTAGAGAAAGATGGGACAAACACGTCTCCATGTTCTCGAAGTGAGGAAGTTGTACAGTTGCACCGGCGGGCAACAAGCGTAAAGTTAAACCTGCACCTCTCATAAACGGCCCTGCGTCCTCTTCACGTTCGCATCTTCTTTCCCACGCCGTCCTTATCGCTTCAGCTGACAGCGACCGCCAGTTTTCACCCAATTGAGTCACCTCACGGTACTTCATGGAGTTCGTGGCCGACTTCTTCTGCCTCCTACTTAAATCTATTCTTTGATATGCTGGGGAGAGAATCTCGCTGCGCATATCAAAACATCACTACGACGAGCCATTGAGATACTGGCGACGACAGGCATCATGTCTGAACCAATTACCACCTCTCAAACGGCCGACAGCGCCACCCTGGCGCTGCTTGGAAAGAAGCAGGTCTTGAAACGACGCTTCTCCTTCTTCTCCATGTTCGGTTTCGCGGTCTGCGAGCTGATCACATGGGAGACAGTCCTAGCACTGTTCGCCCAAGCATTGAACAACGGTGGTCCAGCTGGAGCGGTATACGGCTTCATCATTGCCTGGCTCTCCACGATGTCAGTATATACTGTCATTTCCGAGCTTGCATCGCTTGCACCGATTGCTGGAGGTAAGCAAACACATCTAGCCGTGCACGTCGTCTTTCTTAATTTACAATAGGCCAATACTACTGGGTGTATATGCTGGCGCCTCCAAAATACAAGAGAATATCCAGCTACATCGTGGGCTGGCTCACGAGCTTGGCCTGGATAGCTACTGTAGCCACAGAAACATTGTTCGCGGGGACGATGATACAAGGCGCCCTCACTCTAGACTACCCAGGTTATGACGGCAAACTATGGCATGGCACTTTGTTGACATGGGCCGTAATGTTGGGCTGCATCTTTATCAATGTTGTGATCCCCAATTGGCTCCCACGATTTGAGGTCTTCATCCTGGTCTTCCATCTCGCCGGATTTATCGCCATCTTGGTGACGCTATGGGTCATGACGCCCTCCTACAGCCCATCGCACCTCGTCTGGGCCACCGCATTGAACGAAGGTGGTTGGCCCGCGCAAGGACTATCCTACTGCGTCGGCTTTCTTGGGAATGTAGCTACGTTCGTCGGTGCCGATGCCAGTGTCCACCTTGCCGAAGAAGTCTCCAACGCAGCAGTCAACATCCCCAGAGCCATCATGGGTGCCATGCTGATCAATGGCTCTGTGGGCTTCATCATGATTGTCACAATCTTGTACTGCATCGGCGATATCGAAACTGTCTTGGACACCGCTACTGGATTCCCATTCATCCAGATCTTCTACGACAGCGTTCGAAACATTGCCGGAGCGACTGTGATGCTGGCTGTAGTGATCGCCTTGACTTGGGCCTGTGCCACCGGCATCACCACTACAGCATCGAGAATGACCTGGTCCTTTGCACGAGATCGCGGCTTACCCTTCTCGAAATACCTTGGCAGAGTGTCGCCCCGAACGAAGGTCCCTGTAATTGCTGTGCTGACTGTCACGGCAATTGCGGCGCTCCTCACTCTCATCTACATCGGCTCAGCGACCGCCTTCAACGACGTAGTCTCCCTGACCATCACTGGCTTCTATGGCTCGTACTTCCTCCCAGCAGCCTTGCTCCTTTACCACCGCATCAAGGGCAATGTCCTCCCTCACGGAACCGAGATCGATACATTGCCCGCCGAATCCCAAGCAGGCCACGACAAGAAGCCCATCAACACCGAGCAGACATCTCAAAGCGACTCAGAAGAGGTCGTCAACGCACGCCTCGTGTGGGGTCCCTGGCGAGTTCCTGGCATTCTCGGTATTATCAACAATGCCTACGCCTGCGTGTACATGATCTTCGTGATCTTTTGGTCGGTCTGGCCTCCGGACTATCATGTCACTGCTTCAACCATGAACTATTCGATCGTCGTGACTGCAGGTGTCATGATATTGAGCGGTATTTGGTACTGTATCGGTGGAAAGAAGCAGTACAAGGGACCTCTTATCGACGACGAGGTCGCTGCTGTGATGAGGGTTGGCTCGGTCGTTGCAGTGCAGTAGATAGAACACTCAAGAGCTACCAGCCATCAATGTCATCAAACTGGCTTAGTGCTGCAAAATTCATCCCACGTTCTGAAATTTACTTACCCCCTGAAACTCACTTGAATCCGCATGCGGTACGTGTTCGACAACGATCACTTTTCTTGGTTTGTCACCCACCACCGCCCTCTTGGACTTCGTGTACATACTACCACCCCACCATGCCGTCGTCGCGCCTGTCACTCGTTCTCCGCCTTGTCGTCGCCTTCTACACTTGCCTGGCCGCCGCGGCGCAAACGCAAGAACCGCTCATCGCGCAACCAGGTTACAAAGTCGGCCAGCCAATTCCAGTGTCTTGCCTCAACCGAACAATGTACGTTACATCCTCAACCGAAGCAAGGGGTCAATGGCAAGACTAACGCACGAGGCTTGGGCAGTGACACCGGCGAACACATTACCGACGAGTCGGGACAGCTCTCCTACGTGCCCGCTTTCACATGCAATGAGACCGGACGACCGCTCGAGCTTTACTTCGGCATCGAAAAGGAAATCAACTGCACCATCGACTTCATCGACGACCCGTTCTTCCACCTCCTCGAATTCTACGTCCACAACGATGCGCCTTTGACCTGCCGAATACCCACGAAGCCCCTCCCGCCTGCGGTGCTGAAAGATGAGTTTGAAAAGGGCTCGCAAGATTTGACGGAGGGACAGGGCAGTCTGAGTGATGTGTATACGCCGCTGATTGTTGCGTTGACGGGGACGCTGCAGTTGAGCCATTTACATGTCAGCACGAGTCTGAATGTGCTCGTGCATGCGGTGCCGAAGTCTGTGGCTCCTGGGACGATTGCGGCGGCGACGGCGTATTCGATCAGCAGGGAGCCACCGAGCAGGATTGTCATTGGCGATCCGTTGCCTTTGAGGTTCAGTGTGAGGTGGTATCCCAACACCGCGCTGCCTTCAGGCTGGACGGGCATTGGCGGGCATTTGACGTTCAGTACGTTTGTGTACTGCGCTTTGTCTGCGCTTGCGTCTGCTGCGATTTGCGTCACGTATTTCAGAGGTGTGGAATTGCCGAGGAGGCTAAGGAGCCATGGCAAGGATAGGTTGGGAGGCATTGAACGAGGTGGATTGGGTGCTGGCGGGCTTGGAGGCTATGGAATACCCAATGGTTACGGATATGGCAAACGTGATTAGCGAGGCGTTATATGGCGTTTGTTCAGTTGCTCGTTGAAGCGATGATACCAATGGTATGGATCTCGTCACCCGCTGGGACGTGCCTGCCCAATGATCATAAGGTAGTTGCCAATGCTGCACCACACCAGCTCGAGATATCGCACGACTTCCAGCCCACGCTCCGACATCGTCTTTCAATCAGGCAACCACCACAACCACATCACATTACGATTCGAATGCGAGCCTACCACCACAAATGCTGGCACCCTGAAACATAAATCCGCAAACTGCTTCGAATTGCAGTCAAGCATGCCAGCCCTGGTCGAGGAAGGCACGCTCACCAAGAGCGGGTTGCTGTACGAGGGCAATTTCCACGGATGGCGTGTCAAGGTCAATGCAATACTCAAGATGCACGACTTGGACCGCGTGGTATCTGATCCCTTGCACTATGCCCGCAACGCATCCAAGGAACACAAAGCCGTCGAAATCATAACCAACCATGTCAGCCCGGCATTGTTCAAGCGAGTGCCCGTGGAGAAGCGAAGATGCCCACGCCTCCTCTGGAGGAGCCTCAAAACGCTGGCCAAGCCGTTTCGACTGCTTGACCTTCCCGATGAGGTTCGAAATCGGACCTGCGGCTTTGCTGTTGAGGATCATACACAGTACGGCCAACAACCACCACCATTTGCAAGGTGCAGTCGTAAGCTGCGCGACGAGGTTAGACCGCTCTGGGTGTCATACAACTACTTCCATCTGTCTTTCGACGAAGATGCGCTGCTCGACTACGAAACTTTCGAGACACACGCCAGAACTTGGTTTCGGGAGTTCGGAGCTCAGAACGTCAAGTTTCTTCGTCATCTGAAGGTTTCTTTCGAAGGGACTGCGCCCAATGGCTCGCCCTTTTCAGGCAGCCTGAACTTCACGTACTCGAGTCGCTCGGGCTTCAAGGTGTCGACCGCTCAGTCACCTTTTGTTGGCGGCGGAAACAAATGGACGGATCGTTTCAGATGGGACGTGTTTGTTGCGGATATTCGTGAACCAATGCGAGGTGTGGAGGCTGATCGCAAGATGCTTGGACTTCAAGGCGAGAGTATTCTGCTGTCTCTCACATCAAGATCGATTGTTTGGGTCGAAGAATGGCGGGCCTTGCTGAGGGCTTATGAGTTGGACGGGCTTTACTAAGTGAGACGATTGCTCGTACTGAGCGTCTGTTGAGAGAGTCACGTTTTTTGATGGATCAGTCACATCGAGGATGTGTATCTAGCTATGACCTTGTCATCGTTGACATCAAACTATGTGCATCTGTGGTATTCTACAAGCATTCCCCAACACCTCACAACTTCTCCCCCTGACTCCCGATCTCAACAACCTGATCACTCCCCTGATACGGCGGCAGATCAAATCCATACTTCTCCGCAATCTCCCTACTCACAAACCTCCCACCGACAAAATGCCTCCCCTTGAACCACTTCACCAACGGCTTCGGCGCCGTCAGACTAATCAACGCAGTAGGCTGATACCCAACCCCCGGCCCCTCCTTCGGCGGTCCATCCTCAATATTCCACGAACTCGGCGCATCCACCGCCAGCACAGGAACCTTACTCTCCGCCAGAGCTTTAATAACCGCAGGAAACGGCTCCCTCACCTCTCCCGAGAACGAGAATCCGAAAATCGCATCAACGACATAGTCCGACTTGCCCATCGCGGAGAGGAAGTCATCCGTAAAGGGGACTTTGAGCTGTTCGAGTTGCGTTCGAAGGCGTTGATACAGTTCGCTTTTGCCTTGCTTGGGGAAGTACATGGTGGGTCTGTAGCCGAAGTGGTGCAGGTGGCGGGCGGCGACGAGGCCGTCGCCGCCGTTGTTGCCGGGGCCGCAGGCTATGAGGACGTTGGGGGTTTTGGTTGGTGGGGAGAGGGTGTATAGTGCCTGGGAGACGGCCTGTTGAATGTCAGCTTGAGGGGTCCTAAATCACGGTGACAAGGGACTTACTAAACCTGCTAATTCCATTAATTGGTCGATTGAGAATGCGCCAGAGGACATGAGTTCTTCGTCCAGAGCAGCGGCCGCTTTGGGGCCAAGGGTGCGAAGACCTGCCATTGTGTGTTGTTTGATCTGCAGTCGTATGATCTGAGATGCTGGAACTTATGGACTACGATGATGGACAGGAGCGTCGTTGCTTGATACGAAGATGTTACGATTGGTGTGGAATTTAGGAATTGGCATGTGATGGCGAAGGAGAGGAAGAGGAAGGAGCCTTTGAGCTTACATCCCAATGACGTTAGTTGATCCTTTCTTGGTTTAGCGTACTGAAACAAACGATGACTGAATGTTGAGAAAAAGGAGGACAATGGACGGACAGGCGCAAAATCTTCATGGCTACTACAATTGCAGGCAGACGGGAAGCTAGACGAATGACTAAAATCGGCCACTCTCCCGTCTGCGCTCGTCCTTGAGCAGACTTCCACGGTCGTTCGGCGTACTCATTCTCTTCAAAGGAGTTCCACCGCGTCTATCAACGCTTTCCCGTCCTGCTTTGAGTTTGTTGGTGCTAACAGCCTTCCTCAGCGGGCTTGCAGCGTGACTATACACGCCCATGCTTCCTCCGTCGCCTTTCATAGGGCTGCGTTGTCGGAGTTGTTCGTGATGCGGTTTGAGAGGTGATGAGAAGTCGGCAACACCAGTGCTCGGGCGAGAGTATGACTGCGTCTGGGCGTTGACGTAGCCATTTGTCGGAGTCTCCAAGGTTGGCGTGCTCAAGTCCATTCCGTAGCCGGAGGTTCTCCTCGACACTGATGGCTGGGCTGACAAGTTGTCTGGGTCGTATTGGCTAGCGTAATTTGTGTTCGGATTGGTCCTGAACCCTCGCTTGACGATCGTTGTAGGCGTGTAAATGTCGACCTCACGGGTCTTGGTGCCCTGAGGCGAAGTAGCGCTTTCGCGAGTTTGGATGCCAACGTCGCGAACCGGGCGGTTGAGGAATGGATGGACGAACTTCGTGTCGTATTCGTTCATTACCTCCCCATGAACAAGAGCTTTGTCTTTCGACTGTTGACTGAATGAGGTTTTGAGGAATCCGAGCTGTAATGACAGGAGCGCGCTGAATGCAACGGCAGTCATGATGGTGACGGACGGTCGCGGATCCAGAGTCGCTGGCGGAAGCAGCAGATAGTAGATCACCAGGTGGCCGGGCGAGAAGATCGTAAAGAGAGACAGATTGAAAGGCTTGGGGTCCCAAATGCTGATTTCCCAAACTGCGGCAGGTTAGCATAGGTTTGCGATGTGCCGGCCCAATGGTGAAGTCAAAAGAAATGCAATCAAGTTGAATGAATAGCATGCGTAGCTTCTGAAGGTGCCCGAGATGACGTCGAATAGCATGTACTTACCCTCACGCTCCGCATCGGGGTATGCACGAGAAGTGGCCGCATTCGAGATGATGCTTTGCATATACCGCAGAGGCGAAGAGGATGCTGGAGAGCTGTCTACTCGCACGCGATGTGCTGATGGTGTCTCCGGTGGCAGGTCCACTGGCTGCTCGAACATGCGGTAGTGACGCTTGCGGAAGAAAGTGTACAGTGTGTTGACCAAGCATGAGAATGTCAGGAAGTGTACAAGGAATGCGCACTGTAGTATCATCAGCCATCTTCTCTACATCTTCTTATATTCTCCAAGAGATAACACACCATCCATGCGAACCATCCACTCCCTTTGCCGCCATCATCTCCAAACACATCGTCCGACCCAGAGTATGGTTTGCTTGCTCCTCTTGCCAAAATGAAGACGCTATTGAGGCCAATACCGATCGGCGTAGCCCAGACCTTCAGCCACTCATCATATGCATCGTCATTCAGCTCTTCCGCGATCCACAGGAGGAGGTCGTATGGGTCGAGGTAGGCTTTGATGCGGTCGATGAGCGGCGCGCGTCGCACAAGTCGCGGCATGTTGGGTGTAGTGTTGATCACCGCAGGGAAGTCCGAAGAGAATCGAGCTGTATTTCTACAGCCCGAATGTCCATCGCGCAAGTCACCAGAACGTGCTGCGAAAGTGATGCGATTGGGAAAGAAAGAAGTGAATGTTCAGGGTGGATATTTATTGATTTTGACGCTAGCGACAAGCTCGCGATATTGACGCTCAACGTAGTTATAATGTACACTAGCCTATCTTCAGGCATCACCGCACCTCCTTGTTGACCTCTCAACTTTACCTCCTACCAGCGTCCTCCGTAGCACGAAGCAGCTCTTCGAATCTCTGTCTGAGTCTGTCCCTGGCGATCTCAAGCTCACCTGTGTTGTCAAATATCGGATGCGCTCGTGCCTGTACATCCGCAGCCAAGTCGGCGATGGTCATGCCGTTGGCGACGATGTTGCTGCCGATAGGGTCGGGGTCGAAGAGACGCTGGCGGCAGGCTGGACAAGAATTCACTCGTGGCTGTGAGAGCCACGTGGTGATGCAGTCTCGGCAATAGACGTGACTCGTGTGGCAAGGGAGTTGGACGAGAGCGTTAGCGGGCTGTTGCTGGGTGCAGATGGGGCACTCGCCTCCTTCCGTGACCGGCAACATACCGCTGGCGAGGAACTCGGCGCGGGTAGGCATTGCTAGGTCAGTCCTCCGGGGACTGTGTGGGTGCTGAGCTGGGTGAGTTCTTCGGGGTAATGTGCCAAGGACAGTGCGAGCTAATGTTCTTGAAACTATAGAGACTACCTGAGAGGTACCAGACACCATCTTAAATACCATCTCCACTGGTGCCAGGTCGACAATGGCATTGACTGCCCATCAAGCCGCTTTGACCGCAGCACAAAGGTCAAGATACTCGACAAGGACCTTTGTTCGAACGTAACAATGCTATTGCTTGAATCAAAGACTGGAATCTGTTGTCAGGCTGTTCAACCCTACTTTGAATATTGCCCTCATTCATCTCCATTCAGGACCGACCCATGGGCTAACGAACTGTCTTTCTAGCTATTCTTCATGTATCTTTCGATCTTGTTCAAGCTGGACTTCCACACTAAGCTAGACGTCCACAACATAGCGTCCAAGCGTGAAGGTCCTCTTGAACCAAGGCAATTCCAAGTCCAGAGAAAAGACATTTTGTTCCCTCCCACCCACGACTTGCAGCCTTACCTTCATGATGCTGAACCCTTGGTTACAGGCTGAAGCGTCAGGCATTGTCTTGTCCATCCTCCTCGTTATTTCTGCCTTTCGCGAACGCTTGCGACACAACAAAGTAATGTTGTTCTTCCTCATTCGGACTCGACATCAGCCAGGTAAGCTCGTTTCTCCCAATCCTGGTCCAAAAGCTCGCCATCACCTGAATTCGAGCCATGGGCGGCCGGGGCAGCCAAGTCACTAGCGGCGCCTTCCTCTTCTTGCTCATCATCGCCGGATGTAGAACGTGGCGGGCTTCTCGATCGTTCCTCCTCCGTAGCCAGCAGCTGCTCACGCAAATCGCCAGAATCAATACGCAGTTGACGACGACGCCTCTGCACTTCATGACTTAACGACGAAGACTCGCGATCCGTATCGTCGTTCTCATCGTCGTCATCTAAGAGGTCCTCACCGTCTCTGTTTGCTTCGACCCTCGCCAACAGCTCGCGATCTAGACGATCATGATCGACGCCAGGACCAAAACATCTCTCTCGCATTCCACGGATTTCGGCCAATATGTCCTCGCGCAACGCTTGGTTAGACTCATCATCTTCCCCCGCCGTGTTTTACTGCCCTGGATTTCCTTGACCTTCTCCACCTGCATCGTCGGCTTCATCTGGCTCATCGCCTTCCTCCTCCTCGTCACCAGCATAGTATCCGCCAGCGAGACTCCCATTGTCATCCTCATCCTCGTCCTCGTATTCCCAAATGTCCTCGTCCTCCATATCTACCACCTCATCCTCATCCTCGTCCTCATCAACAATCTCCCCATCCTCTTCATTCTCCGAAACCAACTCCTCAGGAGGCAAGTCGAAAAGAGCTGTCCTACAGTGAGGGCAAGTATTAACTCCACGTTGCTGCAGCCACTGCACGGCACATGGTTGGCAGTAGATGTGGGTTTCGTGGCATGGGAGGCGGATGAGGTTGACGGGCGGGTCCTCGTCGCAAATTGGGCAGTGGACGCCTTCGGCTGGGTTGGAGACTGGTTGCAGGCCGGTGTCGAGGAACTCGTCGCGAGTTGGCATGGTGAGGGGCTTGGTGAAGGGCGCTTCAGGGGTGAGCAGGAGGAGGGTGTTTTGCGTAAGGTAAACGCAAGGACAAAGCAGAAAATGCTCTGGAGGCGTGCAATTCCGAGAAGGTATGAAAATATGTCGTACCTTCAAGACGGTCCTCAAGACAGCATGTCTGAAGTCTTTGTGAAGACGCCGTGTCTCGCACAGAAAGTCTCAATTCACTTGCCGTGGCATTCACTCGAGCAGCCATTCACTCAATCCGAGCGGCATTCGACACGACTTCGTGAAGAAACTGGAAACATCGAAAGACTCTGGTTTGCAATGAAGTGAGCTATCCCCAGTCGACCGTACCTACTGCGAAAACCGGAAGTCCAACCTCTTGTTCCCCTGGTCCTTCGTGTTCTCAATATAATCCTTCTTCTGCTCAGGAGTCATAGCGTCCCAGGCCTCCTCTCTCTTCTTATTTCGCCACATATAGTACGCTTTCGTCGCCGGGTACAACAGAATCGCAAGAATATTGAGCCCGATCAGAATGCTGTTGCCGCGGTGGTACACTGGCGCATCGCTGGACCGGTAGATATTCGCAGAGCAAACATTACCGACTTGGACCATCATGTTATAACAAGCGGCCGATACTGATCTTGTGCGAACAGATCCCGAGTTGCGTGATGCCCATGCCACGACGATTGCATGGCAGTATGGGTACGAGAGGAGGACGGAGATGACTGCGTATGTTCCCCATTGGTTCTCCATAGTTCCCGACCAGAAGCGCAAAACGAGCAGACAGGGCAACGCCCAGATATTCTGTAGCATGGCGATGAAAGAGCGTTCGTTAACACGTTCGCTGAGCCACGTAAGGCCAATGAGGGTAACGATACTGGCCGCGGTCGAGGGTATCGTAAGGAGGTTCGTGTTCAACGTGCCGAATCCGAGATTCCGCAGTGACAGAGTCAGATACGTACTCGGTGGCGAGAATGGTTGAAAGACGACAAGACCAATGATGTAAATGGGCCAGAGATCGTAATCACACAGAGCTCGCCATAGACGAGAGGGCGTAATCGCCATGCGGTTGTGCATATCTCCTTTCGAAGGATCATCACGTAGCACGCGGTTGACCACGATGCCGACTTCTCGATCGTTGAACCAGCCATTGGGTCTGAACCATGTCTTGGTCGAAACCGCCGACGCGGGCATAAGGAAGAACGAGGCAACGCCGACGGCGAGGGTGATGAGGCCTTCGATTAGGAAAAGCCATCGCCAGCCAGCTAGTCCGTGGATGCCGTTCATTTGCAGAAGTCCGTATGCCATGAGTGCTGTGACAATTGAGGTAACGTCGAGGGAGGTCCAGAAGAAGGATAGGCGTAGTGGAAGTTCGGAGCTGGTGTAAAAATACGACAGCCACAAAACAAGATCCGGGATGAAGCCTCCCTCGAGCACACCGATGAGCGCTCGAGTGGCATAAAAGCTGGACTTGCCGTTGAGGGCAGCTTGTGAGGCGGCAACGATAGACCACAATACCATTTGCATCGGAATCCATCGGTCCGGCCCCAGCTTCTTGGACACCAACTGGGATGGAAGTTCGGCCAGAAGGAATGATACGAGGAAGATGGTATGCCCTGTGGACGTCAATGTCAGCTTGTATTGGCAGGCTTTGAGAACGAGGAGTGAGCTGACCATAGTTGTACTCATTCGTGGTCAAACCCAATTGATCAAGCATGTTGTCACTGACAGCCTGGCTCATGTTGGATCGATCCACCTGGAGGGCAAAGAACATGATACATGCCCATGTGGTGACATGCCTATAAGATTGTCATTAGCATAGCCAGAGTTGTAAGTACCAAGTCTTTCCTTACCAGTCTAACTTCCGCACAATCTTCCTCTCCTCCTTCTCAGTCCATTCCAGCTCCGGGTCGAATTCGTGACGACATTCGTACTGCACTTTCTCATAGAGATCCCGATAGAACTCTGCAACCTTCGGGTCTCGGAATGGATTTGATGCATCGGCCTCGTCGACGTCGCTGGCGTATGCCGGATCAACGGCAACATCGGCAGCCTTTGAAGGGTACTTCGGCGGCAGAGAGTCCAGAGACTTGTCGTCCGCGGTCACGATCTGGGACGCCATGGTTATAAACGTGTCGACACCAGAAGAGATACTTCGGAGTTGGTGCGACGATCAATTGGTTATCACGCCGTCATATAGTATTTCTCTCAGCCTAAGCACCGGGCCTCGTGCTCTGTCGGGACTCGTCCGCTCCCAACGACAGGAACCGCATGGCCAGGGTCCCACGACGAGACTTCATCCTGTAGCACGCCATGCGGTTGCATCAATGTTCGAGGAGGTGTGGTAGGATCGCTGAAGTGCGTTATCGTCCGCGAAAAAGCCCATCACGACTGTCAATTGCCACGCCAAGTTCTGATAGTCCCTGTGACAAGGTGGAGGCCACTTCTTGGAACCTTGTTGATGCTTACCTTCAGAGCTTCTCAACGAGGCCGTCGACACGTCTGGTGTATATGGCGTGCGGTTTGGGAGTGGTCATTGGTGAGTTGCCGCGCTAGCCTGCACGAAGCGCGGATGTGAACACTATCACGACATTGTGGAGCTAGTTTGAGCAATCGTAGTTGCAGAATTATGGCATACCACCTGCCACATTGATTAGCCGTCTTGCCGGTCTTGGTGTCGTAATGCTTGAGAAAAGAACAAATACGGCCTCGCCAACACTCGCTTCCTTGCGATCGTTGATACTTTGTGATACTACCCAATATCAGCCAAGGAACGGCACCGCTGGATAAGTTGCCCGGCAGTTGAATATCGTGCATAGAGCTGGCTGTAAAAGAACATGCTGACAGACGGATCTGAAAGAGTCTTGTCAAGGACTCAGTGTGATCTCAGCAGCCTGGTCGAGGAGTGTCGTCGAACTCGCCAAGAAAGGGGCCAGGGGCGAAGAAGTCTTACCCATGCTCGGCCTTGCTTGACGATAGGAGATTTTGCACCTGGAAACCAGACCTTGAAGCTAGTAAGTGAGTTATGGTTGGTCAGCCGCTGATGTTGTCTAGTCCATCGACAAGGCTTTTCGATTGAACAAAGACCACGTGTGCACCAGCGATTTCTTCCCCACGTGGCTCTCTAGATCGTGATCTTGACGCTCGATCCAACGCCCAATCTATTGGTCTTCTCGCTCAAGCTCTCGCTCTTAGGATCAAAGTAAGGCTTCTCGCCGTATACAGCCGTCCTCTTGCCCTCTCGCTGAGCCGGATCATAGCCTCCTGGAATCGCACGATGGGCGATCACGCGGTTGTCCCAAAAGGCCACGCTTCCGGGCTCCCACTTCCAGCGCACGGTCAAGTCGTCCGCAGCGTGGAGGTGCTCGCGGAGGAAGTTGAGAGTGTGGATTGCTTCTTGGCCTTTGAGTTCGGAAAGATGGATCACAAACGATGGGTTGTAGAAGAGGGACTTTACGCCGGTGACGGGGTGAGTTCGCACCTATAACAAGTCAGACACTTTGACTTTGAATGGCCAGGACGGAAGATATACCAATGGGTGCTCACGGCGGACTGGACCACGGAAAGGGGTCACGCCTCTATTCACCGAGTTCAGGAAGCCAGCCTAGGAGTTCATCAACACTATTATTTCTCCCATGCATCTTCGAAGAAACCTCACCTCAGAGCTATGCACAGCGTGCAGCGAGTCAAAGAGCTTCTGGAACCCGGGACTCAATTTGTCGTACAGCGCCGTCTGAGAGGTGAAGATAGTGTCGCCTCCGGTCTCCGGCGTACGGACGAGACGCAACATAGTGTATGCTGGAGGGTTAATCTCAAAGGAGTGATCCGAGTGGTAATCCGCGCCATAGTTTGAGTATGCCCGGATATCGCTGTAATTGGATCCGCTGTCAGCTTTTGTCGTCTTCAAGTTGTGGAGATGTCGGCAGAACTCACTCATCACGGCCTAGAATCGTAACATGTCGTGGATCGACCTGGTTCGGATCACGATCTTGCTGTTGCACAAAGGTAAGCCAAGCTGATAAGCCGACATGAGAGGCCTTATCTGCATACATCACCATAGTGCTTCGTGAGCTCATACTGCTGATCGATATCAATATGCTGATCTCTGAAGAACACGACTCCGCGCTACGCAAGTTCTTGTCAGTGTACGCACGTTTCACAGCATGTTTTGAATGTATGCTCACCTCGGCCGCCAACAATGCGAGCTCGTCTTTCTGCTGGGAGTTCAACTGGCTCAATTGTACGCCCACCAGCTCGGTTCCAACGTATGGAGTCAAATGCCTGACTTTCGTGGCAGCTGCGAGGAGAGACTTCTTCTCTGGATCGGCGAACGCAGCGCGATCTTTGCTCGTCTCTTTCTCTGCGACCGCTGGGTGTGGTGCTTGGTAGGATAAGGCCTTCTCGGTAAGGCCGTATTGGGTGATGGTCGTCATGTTGAGTACAATCTCGTGGTTCGTTCACGGACCCAGGAGCTTGGAAAGGGGTCTCGACATCCTCGCGCCTCTTAATATGTTGGCCTACCTCGCAAAGGATGACTGATTCATCGTCGCTGAGCTAGCCCGTCCTGCAAGGTACGACGAAGCTCACATAGCTCCAGCTGTATCACGTCCCCATCCCATGCTGGCCATGCATGCTGTATGTATGGTCCCATCGCAGGATTTCTGGCGTCATTTGCCAGTTATGGTGAGCTTCCAGCATCAACAATTCCACTCCTGCATCTGGAAAGAAGTTCGTCCCGGTATTCCAGAACCCTGGTACGCGTTCATGCTTACCACGTACCCCTCCCCATGGGCGTATCACAGGGCGTGTAATCGCCCTCACCAATGAGAAAATGCATCTTTATCGGCGAGATATGCCGTGCGGTGCCGGTAGTAGTGTAGCCTCGTGGGCGTCGCCATTGCTGGCTGGATGTGCGTGCTTTGCAAAACTTCCGTGGAAGATCGAGCCATTTTATACATCTACGCAGCTTGTGCGCGTGCGCATGGTTTGAGTAATCCCCTGCTTGTTGCTAAATTAGCGTAGATCGTTAATCAAGCATGGCTACTCCCAAAGGCAACGAGGCCGATGTCTCGACATTTGCGTCGGGTGCTGGCAAGAATGAACATCTCGTCGACTCAAGGGTGTCTGATACGGGGAGTGAACCCAGCGATGTCCTCGATCCAGGCAAGGATGTCTACGACAGTACTGGAGCCGATCCAGTTCTTACCAAGAAGATGGCTTTGATTAATTCTACGATCGATGAGATTGGGATGACTCGATGGCACTGGAAGTTGTTCTTTCTGAATGGATTTGGATATGCTGTTGATTCGGTCAGTATCTCCCAAACCACAACCTCAAAGCTGCATGATCACTGACCTGATGTCCAGCTCCTCGTCGTCTGCCAGTCAATCGCACAACCGGCCGTCACTCAAGAATATGGAGCTCCCAATCCTCCTCTTGCTGGAGTCGCTCTCGCCTCTCAGATTGGTCTGCTCGTCGGTGCTGCCGCTTGGGGTTTCTCAGCAGATATTATCGGACGCAAGCTCGCATTCAATACCAGTTTGCTGTCTTGCTCGGTGTTTGTCATTATTGCCGGAGCGATGCCCAACTACATTTCCTTCTCGGCCATGTAAGTCATTGAAGCGTGTGACAAGCAATCGTTGCGGGACACTGACCTGTTCACCAGGGTAGCCATCTACTCAGCAGGAGCCGGAGGAAATTACATCCTCGACGCAACCAACTTCCTCGAGTTCCTCCCGCACTCGCATGCCTGGCTGGTCACTTTTCTGAGCATCTGGTGGGCCGTGGGATACACCATCACAGGTCTCCTCGCGTGGGCGTTCATGTCGAACTTCAGCTGCGCTCCAGATGCCACTCCGGCAACCTGTACCCGAGGGGAGAACATGGGATGGCGATACCTCCACTTCACGGCCGGAGGCCTCGTCCTGGTGGTCGCAATCCTCCGCGTCCTGATTGTGAGAATGCAGCAAACGCCCAAATGGCTCTGCGCGCAGAACCGAGATGAGGAAGCATACGAGCTCCTGGCCGGGCTGTCCACAAAGTACAACCGACCCATCAGCCTGCGTCTGGAGACCCTCACCGCCCAAGGTCGCGTCCTGCACACTGAAAAGTCAGTTTGGTCGGCTCTTCGTCTGCGAAAACACATACTTGCACTGTTCGAGACGAAGATGCTCGCATACTCCACCTTCATGATCATCTTCAACTGGTTCACAATCGGCATGGTCTCGCCATTATACGGTGTCTTCTTGCCATACTACCTCTCTTCGCGGGGCGCAGATGTCGGTAGCAACTCCAACTACATCACCTGGAGGAACTACGCCATCAACCAAGTTGCCGGGCTCGGAGGACCCATCATCGCCGCCGTGCTCGTCGAGCTTCGTCTCTTCGGTCGTCGTGGCACGCTGGCTGTCGGCGCGGCTATCACCACAGCTCTGCAGATCGGATATACGCAGATCAAAACGCCAGCAGAGAATGTCGGTGTCTCGGCTGCTATCTCCGCCGCGTCGAATATCTACTATGGCACGATCTATGCGTATACCCCTGAGATCTTGCCGAGTGCTCATCGCGCGACGGGGTATGGGCTTTGTGTGGTGATGAATCGTGTCGGTGGCATCGTGGGCGTTATCGTGGGGAGCTATGCGAATGTCGAGACGACTGCTCCGTTGTTTGTCTGTGCTGGGTTATTTGGTCTTTTGATCTTCCTCGCTCTAGCTCTACCGTTCGAAAGCCGTGGGAAGCGTAGTATTTAAGTAGAGTAGTCGACGTTTGAAAAGGATTTGGATCGAGCATCATTCACCTTGGAATATAAACAGATATGTCAGTACTTACGCACCTCATCGACATTATTTCTTCCAGCCAAGACCTTGAGCCCATCAGCAACAGTACATCGTTCCAACACACAGAATGTCGCTTACTTTAAATTTCCCTCGCACCACCACCCCAAGAGAACCGAAGCACCACCTCTCCAGCCACATCCACAACCTCCTCAGTAACCCTCAGAAGCTCACTATCACTATACCTCCGATACCTCCCCGCCACCACCTCCTCAGCATCCATCCAAGCAGTCTCAACCGCAACCTGCTCCTCCGTCTCAAGCACATGGTGCCAATCGAGTCCGAGACGGTCATCATCGATCCGCGGTGACGCACGCATTGGCTCCATCAATTCAACCCTCTCCCTCTCGACCTGGTCGACCAGGAAGTCAAGCGCTCCGTCGAAGTCTCGCTGCTCGGTGAGATGGCGGACGCGGTCCATGAGTTGCGGGAAGTCCAGCAAGGATTCTTCGTCTTCGTCTTCGTCTTCCAAAGCGAAGAGCGCTGCGCGGCAGATTGGACAGGTGTTGATGCCTGGTTGTTGGAACCATGTCAACATGCACGCAAGGCAGAAGATGTGGCTTTCGTGGCATGCGAGTTGGACGGGGCATTTGGTGGTGTCGTAGCAGATGGGGCAAGTGGTTGTACTGTCGATTTGGTTCCATCCGCAGCCGGTGAAGAAGAAGTCTGCGCGGGTGCGTGGGGCCGGGTTTGGGTTGGCCATGACGAGGTTAGGAGTTGGGGTTCGGTTCTGCTTCTGTCTTGATCAGTTGAGAAGACGAGTTGTTTCCAGAAAGTTTTGCTGAGGAATACTCCCTGATGGCTGCAGGCCTATCCTTAAGTATGTGTAGGCTCAACAAGTTGAGACTCGACCGATTCAGCTCGACTCGCCTGTCTCACTTCAGGAAAAGGACATTGTCACAATCTGAGATCAACGTCGCACACAGTCTACTACCCGTTCGACTCTTAGACATTCTCCATACTCACAGCCACCGACTGTCTAGCAAACCCCAAGACACCACCGCCCCATCAGTGCGGTCCAGACGGCTTCCCACCACTATGAATCCGATCAACAACCGTATCCCCCAAAACATTATCAAAAGCATTCGCGCCAACATCAAGAGAAGGGCCCCAGAGACAGCTAGGCCATCGGACCCCAACATTCGTGCAGTCGCTGACGCTGAAACCAGCACACGCACCTCCATTCGCGGGCGTCGTGCAATGGATCGCGACGGTGGAGAGGACGTCGACTTCGCAGCAGGCCCAGGTGCCGATGCAGTAGTCGTAGGCTTTGCCGTTCGTTTCGGCTGAGAGGAGATGTGAGTCGTTTATCTGGGGTTATGGCTCGGGTGGCTCACAGTATACGCATTGTAGGTCCGTGGGGCCTAGATCGAAGCAGGCGAGGTTTATGCCGAGTCCTGGTGGCGCGTCGTTGCCTGTGAAGAAGGACTCGCAGCAGCTGACGACCGATGGATGCTTGCAGTGTGGCTTCTGCCATGGTGGGTAGGTTTCTGGTGTTGCTAGAGCCAGGACGGAGAGGTTCAGGAGCAGAGTGGGCAGTCGTCGGCAGAACATATTGTGATCGGTTCAACGCCTTCCTTCCAACGAGAGCACCAGAGGAGCGGCGTCTTCTTGTATTCCGATCGATTAGACATTCAGCAGCCTGTCCAGGAAGACGCGAGTCCACGTATGTGAGTGTCCACCCATCTTGAAGCAGATAAAGTTTGATATACCCACGAGATTAGGAAGGCCTCCAGGGGTCATCCTACGCGCAGGTAGACTTCAAATGTCGTATTTCTCGTTTCCACCTATATGGACCTTGTATCGTCATCTCTTGAAGATCCAAGGTCGCCATTCTCCCTCGCTTCGACATGCGACTGGTCGAATAGTAATGTCCAAGCTGTGATGTTTTCTGTACTTCTCAACCCGAATCGAATGGATTCTGGCGATCGCTGTGGTACCGAGTTCGTGGATACGAACGCGTTCTCTCTGGAGCCAGCCAGCTCTCCGTGGCGATATCTTGCGTGAAGACCCTTATTATTCAATCGTTCTAGCCCGGGCAGGCGGTGATGTCGAAAGCTCCATGATTTTGAACATCCTCGTTGGTCATCCCGCCTTATATGCTCAGGAGAAGACCTCGAGAAGTCGACAGAAAAAGTGCCAGACGGCTGCAGAGAGATATAGTCAATACTCGTCATTACTACAAACAAAGATCCTCTAGATGCTCGATTTGACACAACCGGATGACCCGCTTTGACCGCTTTCCCATTTCCAAAAACGCCATTGCAATGCATTTCAAACCGCAATATTTAATCGTTCTTCCCCTGTGCACCATTATTACCACCCAATATACCGTTCATACCGCTCTTCTCGCTGAGTTTGATATATCCGCCTTGGCCGAATGTCGTCGGCATGTGTCTTCGTCCGTAGATGGCGGCGACGATCAGTACACCCAGAAGGATGCCAGCCGATACAAGTGGGTGCTCGAAGACTTGGCCCTTGACGACCCACCAGACATGACCAATGGCATTCGTGGTGCTTTTTGCAGCGATCTTGGGCGGGTTGGCGACAATTCGAGGCAGGGTCTCGAGGATGGACGTTCGGCTAGGGACAATCGGGTTGCCGGTCATTGTCACGTCCCAGTATCGGTGGTTGTCTTCATCATTGATGACGACCTTCTCCCCGTCCGCAACAGAGATCCCAAAGGTAGTCCGGATCCACCTCTCCCAGAAAAGGCCATCGACCCAGGCGAAACCAACTTCCTTGCGTTCGATATCGTCCATGTTGATGCGGATGCTTTTCGCTGCACGTAGAGCTCGTTGATCGTTGCGATCTTCAGCCTCTTCGATACGCAGCTGCTTGGCATCACGAAGTTCTTGCCGTTCGAGTTGAAACGCCTGTGTCTGCTTGTCGATCCATTCTAGAGCGGCATTCTTGATCTCACGTTTCGCAGCAACAAACTCTTCAGGTCGGTCACGAGATAGAATGCCAAGAACGACGAGTCTTCCGTCCATAATTTCACGAGCATTGGATGCTGTGAGCTCAGGAACGATTGGAAGCCAGACTGATTTCATCCAGTTGAGCACCCTTCGGAAGTCGCGCATATCGCGAGGTGAGAGGCCGGTATAATAAGTCGGCTTGCCATCGCGGCTGACGAGAAGACGTGGCCAAGTGCTGATCTTGAAGCGTTCGTTAAGGAGGGTGTCGTTCGTTTTGACGAGCTTGGCGTGGCCGACCAAGCTGAGAGTGAGACGTTCGAGAGCGGAAAAGTCCTCGCTGGTGGTGGCATCGTCGTAGAAGTAGAGAAAGATGACCTCTTCCTTCTTCTCCATCTCTTCGAAAGAGGCGGCGTTGACATCGAGAATGCCATCTGCGACAGACACTGCCTTGTTCGCAAAGCTGACAAGATCACCAACTCCACGGAGACCGTCATATTCGATTCGTTCGCCGCCGCGGAAGAAGAGGATGGTAGGATAACCACGGACCTTAACATCTTTGCACAGTCGTTTCTCCGTCTCGCAGTTGACTTCACCAATGTTTAGTGATCCTTGCATCTGGCGAGCCATGCCCTGCCAGTTGGGTGCCATTGCCTGGCAGTGGTGGCACCAAGGTGCGTAGAACTTCACAAACCAAGGCTCGCGAGTCGTAGTGACAAGGCGTTGGAAGTCCTCTGCTGTCAAAGGCACGGACTTTCCCCTCGGGTTGGGTGTCTCCTTTGTAGGCGTCTCAATCCTGGTGGCTGTGGCAGTCGACTTCGCAGGTGCCGTAACTTTTTCATCGCTGTCCTTGCCTACAGGTGCCTCCAAGGGTGTTGCGGGTGCAGACTTGTCTCCAACCTTTGGCAACTTCGGGCCACCTTTCGGTCTCGAACCTGGCTTAATCGTCTCGAGTACGGATTCCACCCACTTGCTCATGGCTGCCAGATCTTTGGCTCCTGTCTTCTTCTCCACCTCTTTACCATCCTTGAATAGCACAATCGTGGGGAATGACTGAACACCCTTCTTCGAACAAGCATCGCCATTAGCGACGCAATCTACCCGGGCGAAGTTGAAGTTGTAATATCGTTTGAAGCTGTTCAAATCATCATGCGACTCGCCTGAACCTGGCGTTTGTGGTAGTGGTTCTGATGTATAATAGTATTCGTAGAGAGTCTGCCACGTAGGCGCAAATGCAGTGCAGTGATGGCAGTACGGGCTGAAGAATTCGACGAGCCAGTATCCGTCCTTGATAGACTCGTCCATGGCATCGCCCGTCAATTCAGGCAATGCGGGTACGGTCTTGTCGTTGAAGGTGGTTGTCTTGCCATCGGCCGGCTCTTCCTCTCGCTTGACTAGCCTCTTGCCCACGGGCTGTTCTACGACTGAGGCCGTGGCAAGCAGTGGCAGCGCAAGCCATCGTAACATGGTGGAGCCGCGCATAGTGGTGGATGTGTGAGGGCTCAAGGCCCGTCAAATCGGGAGGGCGACTTCAGTGAGACCAAGAGCTTTGGACCGTCGGGGTATGCGCTGGGTCTGTCGCGTGCGGCTGAACTGGGATGGGGTGAAGGAGAGGCTGCGGTGGGTTTATTGCTTCGGATGTCGGAAGGTCTGGTGTTGCTAGCGAGTGTGGGAAGGAGTCGTGGTGGTGGTGAATGGAGAGGTCAAGTGTCGTTGTCTTTGTCGTTGGCCGCGCATGCACCCCTTCGACGCTTCTCCCGCTGCTCGGCGTTCCCGCGCCGCCAACCTAAATCAGACCAATCACGACGAGGCAATCTTCTTACCACACATGCTCAGTACCTTGCAGCTCGACATCATCAACTGCCTCCTCCCACCCATTGCGCCCTCCACACCACAACAATGAGGGCAGCACTCAGATTACTCGCCTCCGTGCAGCGGAGCTCACAATTCCTCGAGCCGGGAGCGCCGACTGGACTGACCGGCCTCTTCACCCACCCCTCTCCCCGAACCACGCTGCTCTATGTCTACCACAGCACCCTCGAGAAGCTCAAGCAATTCCCAGAGCACTCCGTCTACCGACAGTCTCTCGAAGCTCTCACCAAACACCGCATGGAAATCGTCGAATCTGTCAGACCAGCTGGGCTGTCCGAATGGCAAAAGCGCGTGGAGCCCATCGTCGACCAACACCCTGAAGCATTCCGCAAGGTTGAGCTTCGAACACCCAGTGGGGAGAGGGAGATCAATATCGTGTGGAAGTCGGGTACAAAGGATTCTGCGGAGCTGGAGGAATGGGACGATCGGAATCCTGACTACAAGGCAATGCCAGAGGGCATCAAATCAAAGAAGGAGAGAGCATATCAGAAGGACTTGGGAAGGGACTTCATTGCAGAGAGAGCAGCCCTTCCACACATTGAGAGCGAGCCATCCTTGACCGCCGAGCAGGTCAATGAGATCGAGAGCAAGATTGGCGCGGGACTGATGGAGGAGGTTATTCAGGTTGCTGAGGGTGAGAGTGAGCTGGTGGATACCATGTTGCAGAATAAGGTGTAAGTTCATTACATAAGGGCATGTGAATGTGTTTCGATACTAACAAGAGTTTTAGATGGGAAGACCTCGAGGAGCAGCCACAAGAGGGCCAATGGCGATACCACGAGCGCGATACGCATACTGGAAAGACTCAGGCACCTTGATCTGGCTTGCTCCGCAGCCAGGAGATAGACCAATCGTGTACATGCTGTAAAAGATACCATCAACGTTTTAAAAGCTCACTATGAACTCTATCTTAGACAACAACAATCCACTTCCACCGTCGTTCAAGAAGAAACCATCTACTCGCAGCGAATAGTAGTATGGCCAAGAAAAGGACGGCTGAATAGAATCCGACCAAAGCTTGTGCACCGATACTCTCAACCAACTCCCCTGAAATCGGTATGCAAATCAAGGTAGCCAGAGAAGCGACGAAGTAGGAAGTCCCAAAGTACCGACCAAAATGATGCGGTCCCGAAAGCGTAGCAATAGTCGCGGGTACCATAGCCATCCACGAACCGGTACCGAAGCCAAAGAGTGCCGTAAAGGTATACAAAGCGCCCAGCGACGTGGTGCCGAAAGGCAGCCAGATGACGAGAATGAAGATAAGTGTGGCCACCATCATGATGAGCAAAGTATTGAACCGACCAATATAATCGCTCACGAAGCCAGGGAGGATTCTGCCAAAGCACGAGACTCCGTTCATGACTGCAATGAGGTAGAACCCTGTCGAAGGCGGATAGTCCGTGCTGACGCTGGCATATGTTGGCAGAATTCCCAGCGCGCCGAAGAGAACGACCTCAATGGCGAAGACGCTGAGGGTTAAGAAGGTAAAGTCGCCCCTGCCAAAGAGCTCGAGGGAGAAGATGTTCGCCTTCTTCGCATCCGGGGAGGGTGGAAATCTGGACCTCACGAGCATGTTTGCAACAACGAGACAGGCTAGGAAGACGAACCCGAGAATCCTCACGGACCAGGCATAGCCGTAACGTGGCAAGCAGTGCCGCAACACGAGTGGAATCAAAGTACCACCAACAGAGTTGCCCACCATGGCCACGCCACTCGCCAGGCCCTTCTTAGTCTTGAACCAATGGCTAACAACAGCAAGCCCCGTCGTCGTCAAAGCTGCGGCCGCCGAGCCTCCTAGCAACCCAAGACAGAGCATGAAATGCCAGTACTCCTTGCACTCCGCCAGCACGAAGACCATGACGAGATACGCCACGCTCGACACGAGCATGATGAGCCGAGGGCCATGTCGGTCGAATAGAGGTCCCGCCAGAATCCCTCCCGCCAGCGCGATGTACACGAAGATGCCGGAGACCCATCCGATGTCTCGAGACGAGTAGCCGGCGAGCTGGTGCGTCTGCCAGTATTCTTGCAAGGTGCCGATGCTGACCATGAGGCCGAAGCTGGGGAAGAGCGTTAAGAAGGAACCGGCGAGGACGATACATGCGCCTGCTTCTCCTCGGTCGCCTGGATATGTGGTTTCGTCGGGATCTGGTCCTGGGACGGTCGGAACTTCTGCGACATTGTGGCCTTGTGTGTCCTTTTCCTCAGCTTCCCTGGGAGTGAACGACACCCGGCTCGCTTCAAGATCCATTTCCGCCGTGACAATCTCGTGATACTCCTACGACTGCGATACTATGAATGTAGCCAAAAATATCAAAGATTCAGAAACACAAGGAAGACGCCACAAAGGTTGTAGTTTCGAAGAGTCATCACCATCATCTTTACACGAAAAAAAATCGCACTCACGCCCTACGGCGACAAGCAACTCTCTGCCGTAGCGCCATCGCGTCCAATAGTCGGAATAGGTGCTGTAGTACAATGCCACTGCGGAGTACGGCACTCGACCGGCGCGGCATCCAAGCCCGATGAACGCCAGTGTGGCCGCCACATCGCTATCCCGACTGCACGTGGCTTGAGATGACACTTCCAGAGCACGATTTGTTGGGCATTGCTTTGGGAAAATGCTGATGTTTTCATGTATTACCGTGCATCTCGTGCATTGGTATGTAGAATGGCCGCGCGCCCCTTTTTGATGGCTGGAGTCAGCTCGACTTCATGGTGCTCTCGCACAAATCTTTTCCAGCGGCCTCTAATCTTCACAATGCTCCCTCTTCGTACGATGAACAGTGTTTAAACCCTTGAGGGTGTATCGATCTTATCACCGCTTCCACGGTCACCTGGAAAGTTGACCCAGTTGTCACACTTGGCCGATGAGATATCAAGACCCTCCGCGGCAATCAACAGGCATTTGCCCTCGCGGCCGAGCTCTCGGCGGAGTCGTTCTGTTCGGAGAGGACGTGGACGTGCTGAATAATGACGATGGCTTCTATGCGGCGGCATTTTTCGATCGAGGGTATACGGGGTTGAAGATGATTAATACGTGACAGGCCAGTGTCAAACGATGACAAGTTGGTTTTCTCGTCCCCGATCCCTTCACGTTGCTTGTAGATCTATCCTCGCCTCGCACCACATAAGCCTCCCAATCTCCCCGAACCCTCAACTCAACATCCCGTCCGTCGCCACGAAATTCAAAGCAAAGAGCCCCAACCCACTAACAAAAGCAGCAAAAGCCATCTGAGGCGCCCGATTCCCCGTCACCCTCGTCTCCGTCCCAGGCGCACCCCGCCACCAATTCTCTCCATACAGCCGGATGAGTCCTCGTACATGCCAGAGGTACCAGGCCATCGCCGATATAGATCCCAGCGAGACAACCAGGCCGAAGTAGTGTGGTTGCTTGACCTCCAGAGTCGCCTGAACGAGGAAAAGCGCCGCATTGATGGAAGCGCAGCAGACGCTAGCTTTCGACAGGATGAAGACTGGGCGGTCGTAGGTACTGAATAGTGGTCTGACACATTGCGGACAAGTCGTGTGCAGGTGGTCGCCCATGGCCTGTAGGCACGAAGTGCAATACCTGTGGCCGCATTTCACTTCGGCGAGCGGCGTTTCCGCGCTCCAGCAGATGCCGCAATCTTCTTCGTCCTCAGCGGCGCGAGGCTCCAGGATTTTCAGACTCCTCATGAAAGATGCGTGGCTTGGGAGATCTAGCGCTTGGAAAGTGCCGGGAGTGTACATCCAGACCGAATATGCCATGGCCAGACAGGATGCCAGAAGTGGCATCTCAATGAAGTGTAGAGTCAGAGCAATGGAACCCGCAAGTAGGTCTGCTAAACGAAAAGTCCAGGATTTGCGCCATTGCAAGAGCGAGAGACTGATCGCGACGAGCGTGAAGGCCTGCAGCCAGGGCTCGAGGGTAGTAAGGCCCGACACATGTCTCGATCTTCTTGCTCGAGCCATTGTTTAGGATCAGTCGGTGGTGGTATGGATGTTGCTAAAGAGACATTACGCAGTAGTCTAAGAGAAGGTTTAAGAGTAGGTTGTATTAAGGTAAAATTGTAAGAGAGAAGTATTATCTTGCGGCACAGCAAAAGTGGATTACATACTATAGTGGAGAATTCCCAAAACCAATGAAGCGGAAGCGATGCCTGACTGTGGGGAAGAAGGCGATGAATGAAGATTGCTGTTCGAGCATGGCTTTCGAGAGCTTTAGAGCCATACTGACCTGTTGTCGACATACCGTGTAGAGCGTCGTTTCGAGATTGCTTGCAATACTTTGCTCTCTCGCCAGATTTTGCAGCTTCTACCACTCCGAAGGCCGCAATGTGTGCATCAACGAACATCGCGATTTGTATCTCGCTTGCAGTGAACAGAGTCAGCATGTGCTGTCTTATGGCGACGATCGCCTGGAAAGTTCTTCCGATGAAACCAGTATCTCGAGCATGAGGCACAGTCTCAGTCACTGTCTTGTCAGATTTTCACCTCGAGCGTCGCCAGCGGGAATAGTGCAGCCATATGATGGCTCCGCAGAAAGTGATTCCTTCGAATATGAAAGCGACCGGCAATGGAGATGCATCTTCAACTGTTAGCGAAAGAGCAAAGTAGTTGTTATGTAGGTGGAGAAGCAAATCGCTAGTGTGGTGAGGTTGGAGCTGCCAAGGCTGAGCGGCGCTAGTGAGCGGCTCAGATCACGTGAAATTCGCGCTAAAATCGTTGACTTTCCGATATCCACTATACGAACTCCAGTGGGGGCGGAATGCTGTTCTGGGGAGTTCTTGATGGTTGCAGAGCGAAGGGAAACCATCAAAACCATTTACGTATGGCAGGGGTGCTTGTCGCTCAGTGGTATGAGCCAGGTTGGCGTAAGGCTGTTTTTTGTCCTCCACAGTCTATATCTTGTCGAAGGACTCAAGACCAATGGCTAATTGATGTCTGGCTGTGCTGGCATGTTGACGGGATTGGATTTGAGCGGTCCCGCGCAACCTGGGCCTTCGGCAGAGCTTCGGCACTCAAAATAAGCCTTTATATTGCAACCTTTTCATTTGCCATCCAACGAGCACGACAGTCGCTTTGGTGTAGCTGGTTATCACGTGAGTCTAACAGTTCTACTGTATCACACTCAAGGTCGCCAGTTCGAACCTGGCAGGCGATAGCAATTGGATACGTCCAAGTTGTTATACTCAATTTTTTGCCCCTTTTTGACCATTTCTTATCTTCCCAGGTGGAACCAGTTGCAAATTTTACCATTTTTCAATCAGCAACGATCAAGTGAGCTCTGTGCAATCGATTTTTAATTCGCTGCCATGCTGCGTTGAAGAATCGATGCGTATACGAGCCCAAAGCCATGACCCAGATTCCCAGGATTGGCTGTGCCTTTTTTTGCTGACATTCCTCGATCACAAATATACAAGGTATACAAAGCGTTGGCAGACGCAGACATGCCCTCCAAAACATTCAATCTAAGGGCAGGCAAGCACTTGACAATGGGTTCGACAGCCTTGTCGGTAGCCTTGCTGGTGGATGAGAGAGTTCTTCCTCGTGATTGCTCATGGAGTAACGAACGACAGCATCACGTCTTCTATCGAAAAGCATGATGAGAACAGTGTAAAAGCCTATGGCCTGGGTACAGAAGATTGAAACGTTTAACAACTCCTTATGGGATATTTATCGCAACACTGTCGCAAATCTCACGAACCCGGGTATCTCTATTTCCCATCCTCTACGCCAAACTCCAGAACAAGCCCAGATTCTCTTTTAAAACGACCTCCGTCCACACCCTCCATGTCATTACTTCGTCCACTCGCCAGTGAAGCTCACCAGCTCATCCTCCCTACTCTTCCCTTTCCCTCCATCATTCCCACCGGTCTCGCCGTCTCTCGGCTGAGGCTTGACAGTATATTGACCACCGCTCTTGCCCCTGGAGAAGCTCTTCTGAACCTGCTTATCGACAAGCTTGGTCTGCGGCCGCAGCGTCCCTATAACAACACATCAGCCTCCAAGCTCCCATCTTACACGGTACGATTGTTGAAGCGCACCGTTCAATGCGATCTTGGAGGTATATGGGCGTGGAGTACGCAAAGCGAGCTCGCGGAGCTTGAGGGCGGAGTTGGTCGACGACATTTTCCTCGATGAGTGTTCTTGAATTCTGCCTCACCCATCAACAATGCTTTCGAGTTGCGGTCTCCCACGCTGCTCACCTGTTTGTGTTCTTTTGCTGCTCGAAAGTTGTCTGATGAACCTACCTCTGTCGCACTTACCGTCCTCTTATATACCCTTCTACCAGCGGCCACGCTCATACTCCGCCATCGTGGCCGGAAAGCCGCCAGTGTTCCTCTCACAATGGCCGCTGAGGGCGCGGGCGGCCACTTTAATGCTCAGTCGGCGGCCATGATATCGAAAACAAGGCCACGAGTCGAACAAGCGGCGGCCGCCTGTAAGCAAAAGCCTATGACAGACGGTGTCCCGAGCGTCAGCAACGGTTTGCCACTCCTCTCGAGCATTTCCTCCTTTGCGTGCTCATCGACAGGCTGTCGCGGGCGGCCAGCTCTTATACACGTCCGGCGCGTTGTCGATCGGATGTGAGGAGCAGGCGGCGTGGGAGCTCTGGCATCAGCTGAGCACGACAGGGCCGGCGATTGTGTGCCGCTGTGCATGCCAATATTAGCACTTCAGCCTCAGCGGGCCACTTCGCGAGGGCAACGCAATGCGCAGCAGCATGGGCGGCCTCCAGAGCCTGGTGCGATCGAACAAAACTTCCGACTGATTCCTGAGGTATGTTTCTGCCTCAACCTCTTTTGCGAACCGGAGCGACTGTCTTATATGCCACCGCGCGTCGCAACATTCGCCTTCGCTAGCACTGCCCCGGCGGCGAAGAAAGCGCCATGGCTACTGGGATGCCTGGAACTCCCTACGACATGAACGACGGCAGCTGGTCGCATGAGCCTCAACGTACGTACGATGTCTTCGCGGCGGCTCCTTACTTCGGTCTCCATGGCGAGACCTTGCACATGGACTCGCAGCCGGCGTATGGCTTTGCTGGCCAAGAGACGCCATTTCCCTTGCAGACGTCGCCACTTGAGATTCAACAAACCCATGAGTCGACCGTTGTGAGCCCATTATCCTTGAAGCGACCGGGCACCGACTCACTGCAAGTCCAAACTGCTGGTGGGCTATCGCGGAATGGCAGCAAGCGCTCGAAGCAAGAGCGGCTGGAGCGACGCGACGATGAGCTTTACAAGTGCACCTGGCCAGGATGCTCGCATAAATCCAACTTGATGTGTGAGATTCGGAAGCATTTTCAGGCAAAACACCGACCTGACGAGGCGCGACCCCATGGGTGTCCTCATTGCACGAAACGATTCAACTGGCCAAAAGATGTCCGCCGACACATTAAGCAGAAACACAAGGATATCACGACACCCACGATAGAGACGCCAGAACTTATCAAAGACGACAGCTTCGAGTCTGATGAAATTCAAGCGTCGATTCCACGAACACTCACCTCTCAAACGAAGGCATCGAAGAAAAAGAAGAAGCTCAGTTTTTCGTCCGTTGGAAGTCTCATCGTGGCTCTGCAATCGCTGTCGCTCGGCTCTAAAGACACCGACAACGAAGAAGACGAAAAGGGTTATGTACTGGTCACGCAAGACCAGGCGACATGGCAAAAGGTCGATTTGGAAGGGGTCAAATCTTCTGAGATCCTCATGCAGAAGATTCGGGACGTCTACCAGAAGTACGACGGCCAGCTTCTACTTTACCAACACCGCAACAAAAAACCGAACAGGCGTCTCGAGGAGGGCAAGTTGCTTCATGCTGCCAAGAAGGCTGCCGATGCCCATCGCACTCTGGAGATTGTCCTCGCGCCCATGTTCTCATCTTCGAAACACGAATCGGGGTAATGTTCTGGGCGTTAGCAAGGAAAATGACTGTTCGACAAATATTCATTCCCTTCAATCGACCACGGAGTTCGACTTGACTTGGAGCAAGGACGTTTGGAGTTTGGGTTGTATACTCAAGACACGTTATCAAGACACGGAGAAGGAAAGGACACGCACTGGTGCACAAGTGACGACATTGATGATTGCACGGGATTTGTTCATGACTTTCAGCAAGATACCCCATACGAACTCAGCTCATACCATGTATGAAAAGCAGTACTACATCACCACACATCACCTCACTCCACTATATCGTATTCCAGCTGAGAACATTCACTTGTTGTAGGTCAGGAAATCGACGAAAGTCTAGACCCATTTCAGCTCTCAAGCCGAGCCTTCGCCGCCAGAGGCCGCCTGCAGCCACGAACGCCAGGCAAAGATCGCCAGAGACGTCATTGCACACACCGGTTGCTCGATCCAACTGAAAATCAGGCACTCTGTCACTTGGTCTCACGATCGGGGATTGCTTCGTGCCATCTCAAATCGTTTCTTGTGCTGCTTGTTGTGTTACTAGCACTTTCCTGAAGGAGGATATCTTGAGAAGCTTACCATGGACCCTGCAGATGGTATGGACTTTGCTGGACAGCCACACTTGACAGACAATGAGCCAACGAACGACTTTGGCTTTGACATTGGGTCTATACCGCACTACGCTGCTCAAGTGCGGAATGAGGTAGACTTGGATGGCACTGGCAACACCAACGATCTGGACTGGCACATATATCCAAACGATGCGTTTCAACAGCAACTACAATTCAATGACTACCAGGGCTTCGCTTCCCAACCCTACCAAGATCGATTCGCACATAGTCTACCCACACTCCCCGAGAGGAGACTCTATGAGGTGGATGGCTTTTCCCCTCTCAGCACGCAGACAAGCAACGAAACGTTGACGACATCAGATCAACATCCTCGACGACGATCGATCAGGAAGAGAAGAATCGAGAATGGCTATCACTGCAGCGAGCCGCACTGTCAGGAGGCATTCGACACAGCAGGCGAATTAACGAAACACTGCTACCGCAAGCACACCCCTGAGTCTGCTTGGCCTTTCGCGTGTCCAACCTGTGGCAAGCGATTCTACGACAAGCGTGACTATAGACGACACGAGGATGTCGAACGGAAACGTGCGTCTGCGATGGCTTCTGTCAGACTCTCAGCACCCGGCTCGCCAAGACATGCGGACAATTCTGTCGATAGCAAGAACCACAATGACAGTGCCGGGAATGCGTCTTCGAGGAGACAGTCCGAGATCACCGCCCAACTTGAGGAGCAGGACGAACACCTGGAAACTGTGAAAAGGAGTCTCCAGTTCACAAGAGCTAGTGATCAGCACGTCTCATCAGCAGATCTACTCGAGGCCGCAACTTCGGACCTGAAGAGCTTCATCAACCTCGGAGCAAGCCATATCACAATCAGAGCGACTGTGTCTTCTCAGCGCGAATCGATGAACATCAGCTCCTCACATACTCTGAAGCTTAAGATGCCCGAAACAGACCTCAAGAAGACTGCAAAGCCTTCCGCCACCCACTCATCCACGCAGCCTGCAATGAGCGAAGCAGACAAAGTGGAGGCCAAGGCTGCCGCGAATATCTCGTCACTGAATCACCTAGACACCTCAACTCCTATCTCTCGTGCCATAAAGCCACCTCAGCCTCCTCAAGCTGTGACCTTGACATTTAGGAGTCGACCTGCGTTTCCTAGATCTCTTACGCACCCGGTGGGCATGAACATGGTTGGTGTGGGTTGCTGCTGAGCTGTCGACTTTTGGGTTATGTAAAGGGGGCAATCACGAACTGCAAAGGGATGGAACTAATCGCCAAAAGGAGCACTTCCACTGTACGTTAATCGATCGAGGAAGATAGCATGTGTACTTGTAACTTCGACGTCCTGTGTTCTAGTTGAATGAATGGGCGGCGGTCTGCCGCAGCAAGCAAATGAGATGATATGGTTAAGCCAGCCGAGGTGGAAGTGAAGATTTATATACCCCGTCTTAGCAAATGGTGTCCAATATGGTTTGGCATCTCCAAAGTGGCGTGATTCCTGAGACAAGCACCGAGCTTCGGTAACGTCACGACTAGAGGCGAATTGGATCGAGGTCCATCAAATGGATGCTGGCCTGCTTTGCTAATCAGCGGACTTAGATCAGTCTATCACCATCCACCTCCTTCTCTTCCATCTTCCTTGTACATTATCTTCCTCTCTACCCCTTAGAGACATCTCCGCATCCTCCCATACTGCGCGAATCCGACCCAGCGGAGCTTCTTCCACCGCCGTCACGAGAGTCACGAGAGCATGGTCTACGGCCGGGGCCAGGCATGGCGGACAGCGCTACGACAGTCACAACTCCGCGCATATACCACGACGAGAACGCCGTGTAGAGTATGTCAGGCTCAGATCTCTGCGAGGCCTGCATCGGCCCAAGCACAGCATAGAATAGCGCATTCTTATCTTGGAACGTCTTTGCCGCTGTCACGAGACTTTTCGACTTCGCCAGCGAGGAGAAAAGAGAAGCCGCCTCCATCGGAAGATGGGGCCGAGTTGAAAGAGGAGAAGAAAGAGGAGTCTCCAGAGAAGGATGAGCGGGTAGACGCAAAGAGCAAGACTTCAGAGCCAACACCTATTCCTGGCGCGGATGGCAAAGTAGCGAGTGCGGGCAGTGGTGGTAGTGGTAAGGCAGGCTCTGGGGATGGCAGTGATGGTGGCAATCGGAAACGAAAGACTCCTGGCAAGGAGGTTGCGAAATTGCAGATACCCGAGGTCTATCCTCAAGTCCTGGCCATACCCATCGCACAAAGGCCTCTGTTCCCTGGTTTCTACAAGGCCATCACGATTAGAGATCCGAACGTTGTCGCGGCGGTTCAAGAACTGTTGAAGCGAGGCCAGAGCTATGTGGGAGCATTCTTGCTCAAGGACCAAGAGAGCAGCCAGGATGTCATCAACGATCCCAGTGAGGTCTACGATGTTGGAACTTTCTGTCAAGTGACTGGCGCATTCCCAGCTGGTCATGGTGAGGACAAGGCTCTGCAGGCTGTGCTATATCCCCATCGACGAATCAAGCTCAGCGAGTTGATCCCTCCGAACCGTGGCCCGCCTGCTGCACCAGAGCCATCGCAGGCTGCACAGGCGACGATTGAGGGCGAGACCCCAGTGGAAGCAGCCCCTCAACCCCCACCGACGCCGCAACCGCAAGCACAAGCACCGCCAGCAGAGGGCGAGGAGAAGCCAGGCGATGTAGTAGCCAGCTTTGAAGAGAAAGACTTGACAGCAGACAAGGAGCAACAAAAGAATCTGTTCCAGCCTACAGACTTCCTCAGATCATGGCCAGTCAGCCTGGTGCAGGTGGAGAATCTTGCAGATGAGCCGTTCGACAAGCGCTCGCCGGTCATCAAAGCTCTGATCTCCGAGATCGTGAATACCTGCAAAGAGATTGGCAACGTCAACCATCTCTTCCGAGATCATGTCTCTGCCTTTGCGATGTCGCAGTCTGCGGCAAATATCGCAGACGAACCCGCCAAACTTGCAGACTTCGCAGCAGCTGTATCTGGAGGTGAGATGGAGGAAGCTCAAAGTGTACTCGCTTCTTTGAACATCGAGCAACGGCTGAGTAAAGCACTGGAAGTCATTAAGAAGGAGCACATGAACGCTCAGCTGAGCAGCAAGATCTCGAAGGATGTCGAGAGTAAGATTCAGAAGCGTCAGCGAGAATACTGGCTCATGGAGCAGATGAAGGGTATTCGAAGAGAGCTTGGTCTGGAAAGCGACGGCAAAGACAAGCTGGTCGAGAAATTCAAGGAGAAGGCGTCAAAGCTTGCAATGCCTGAAGCTGTGAAGAAGGTCTTCGACGAGGAGCTCAACAAACTAGCCCACCTGGAGCCGGCCGCGAGCGAGTTCAATGTGACGAGGAATTACTTGGACTGGCTCACGCAAATACCCTGGGGACAGCGAAGTGCAGAGAACTTTGGAATCCAACACGCTAGGGACGTCCTTGACGAAGACCATCATGGTCTGAAGGATGTCAAGGACCGCATTCTGGAGTTTATTGCAGTTGGAAAGCTGCGAGGAACTGTTGAAGGCAAGATCCTGTGCATGGTCGGCCCGCCCGGTGTTGGAAAGACAAGTATCGGCAAGTCCATTGCTCGAGCTTTGAACAGACAGTACTACCGCTTCAGTGTCGGTGGTCTGACTGATGTTGCTGAGATCAAGGGTCATCGAAGAACATACGTTGGTGCGCTACCAGGTCGAATCATCCAGGCTCTGAAGAAGTGCCAAACCGAGAACCCTCTGATATTGATTGACGAAGTTGACAAGATTGGTCGGGGCCACCAAGGAGATCCTTCTAGTGCTCTGCTGGAGCTGCTTGACCCCGAGCAGAACAATTCTTTCCTGGATCACTACATGGACGTTCCAGTGGACCTTTCCAAGGTACTCTTCGTCTGCACAGCCAATATGACCGACACCATTCCGCGGCCGCTCCTCGACAGGATGGAGATGATTGAACTTTCTGGATACGTTTCAGACGAGAAGATGGCTATCGCCGAGCGATACTTAGCACCTCAGGCCAAAGAGATCAGCGGGCTGAAAGACGTCGATGTCAACCTCGACAAGGAAGCCATCACCGAACTCATCAACAAGTACTGCCGCGAATCTGGTGTTCGAAATCTCAAAAAGCAGATCGAGAAGGTCTACCGCAAGTCAGCTTTGAAAATCATTCAAGATCTTGGTGAAGACGTCTTGGGCGAGGAGCAAGCTTTGACTGAGGAGGGCAAAAAGGCTGCTGAAGAGGCTAAGAAGGATGAGACCGATGTCAAGGAGACACCGGAAAACATTGAACAGGAGACGACGGAGGAACCACGTGTTGCGCTGAAGGTGCCAGACTCGGTACATGTGACCATCGGCAAAGATAACTTAAAGGATTATGTCGGTCCACCAGTCTTCACCTCTGATAGACTCTACGATACCACGCCGCCTGGTGTTGCAATGGGCCTGGCATGGACTCAGATGGGCGGTGCAGCGCTCTATGTGGAATCGATATTGGAAAACGCCCTGTCGTACAACTCTCGACCTGGCCTCGAACGGACCGGTAACCTGAAGGCTGTTATGAAGGAATCGACTCTGATCGCTTACTCTTTCGCCAAGGGCCTGATGGCCAAGCAATATCCAGGAAACAAGTTCTTCGAGAAGGCCAGGATACACTTGCACTGTCCTGAGGGCGCCGTGCAGAAGGATGGACCAAGCGCCGGTATCACCATGGCGACATCACTGCTCTCTCTGTCGCTTGACAAGCCTTTGGACCCAACCATCGCAATGACCGGTGAGCTGACAGTGACTGGCAAGGTCCTCAGGATAGGCGGTCTTCGAGAGAAAACCGTAGCTGCGCGAAGAGCCGGCGCTCGGATGATTATTTTCCCAAGTGATAATCTGAGCGACTGGCTTGAGTTGCCTGAGGTAAGTGACACACACATGACCTCTCTGACAAGGAATGTACGCTGACTTGTATTACAGAATATCAAAGAAGGCATCGAAGGCAAGCCAGTTGACTGGTACTCCGACGTCTTCAAGCTCGTCTTCAGCGACGTCGAGGAAGCCCAGGCCAATGGTCTGTGGAAGAAGGAACTTGCCAAGCCGCCGAAAGAGGAGAGCGAGAAGGAGAACGAGGACGACTAGACTCCTAGAGTATTCGAGGGAAAGGATCCACAGACACGACACCCGCCGTACAGCTCCGTGCTCGGCTAGATAGGTGTTCGTGGCATAGGGAAAGGCATAGTTCTGCATATACAGCGCTTCTGGCGTTCGAGGCGTTGAACTCGTGTCTGGGGATGACGGGTGAAGCGGGTGGATGAGGCGAGCGGATGACGAACGATGAAGAACTCCGCTCTTGTACATAGATGTTCGAAAGGAGGACCATGTAGACACACGTGCGTGCAAGGCGCGCTGAGATGTGTGAGAATACCTACATAGAGAAAGCAAGGAAGCATTTAGGACACCAAAGACCAAGAACCGACTCTGTGCAGCCCAAAAACCATATGCCATTTTCTTTTCCCGCTATGCACCATGCCATCCCTTTTATGTACTCTATATAAACCCATCTTACACACTCATTGCTTCCCCTTCCTCCCCTTCTCCTCTCCTTGAAGCGCCACCTTGGCCTTCTCCCTCAACTTCCCATTGACCGTCCCATTACTCCCCTCCCCTCCCACAATCTTCCTCTTAACCTCTTCATAATCACTAAACTGCACCCCCCTCACAAGCACCTCACTCAACCCCTCCAGTCCCGCCACAAAAATACACAACCCACTCGCAATCACAAACATACTGATACTCTCTCCAATCTCCAACCAGCTGCCCTCATCCCTCACTTCCCAGAAGAAGCGGAGGGTGAGATAATCGCCGATGCCCATCACAACCGCGAACAGGGACCCTCCGCGGAGCCGGAGGCGTTTGGTGAGGATGCCGAGGTTGGCGGAGACGAGGGCGAAGGGGGCGAGGATTTTGAGGATGAGCAGGGCGCCTTGGGAGAAGGGGTCGAAGACGGGGAGGAGGCGGTTGACGGCGTCGAGGGAGAAGGAGGAGATGGAGGCGATGTTGCCGGTGGAGAAGAAGGCGGATTGGAGGAGGTAGAGGAAGAAGAGGGAGATGCGCGCGTCGGAGAGGGTGAGGGCGCGGTAGGTGCCGGTTTCGAGGGCGTGTTCGCGGGTTTCCGCGGCGGCGAGGGCGGTGTCGAGGGGGGTGGTGAGTTCGAGTTTTGAGTCCGAGGTTGTTGTGGTTGGGGAGAAGTGTTGGTGGATGCGGTGTTCGAGGCGGACCCAGGAGAGGAGCGTTATGGCGATGGAGAAGTAGAAGAGGCCTTCGTAGGAGATGGTGAGGATGATGAAGAGCGGGCCGAAGGCGAGGAAGATGATGGCGAGGCGGTGGAGGTAGTGGTCGCGTGGTCGAAGGGCGTGGAGGAAGGGTACAACTAGAGATGCGACTAGTGCATGTTAGCCGAGTTTGCTGATGAGGTCGACATGAATGCAATAGCAGAAAGCAAAAGTGGCGAAGGAACAAGTCAATGTACAGCGGCCTTGGAGTCTGTCTTCAAACCTGCATCTCCACATGCAGAGCGTCCGGCTCGTCCTGTTTCTTCTTCGCCTTGGAGCTCCATGATGTTGCCGAAGTCGAAATTCGTCGAACCATCGATGTCTTTGCTTCTTGCGTAGATCCAGTCTCGTCTAACCTCGTGGCCACAAGTTCGTCGCGCAGAAGTATCAACCAGAACTTGCGACTGTTTGAACTGTTTACCATGGCTTCCCAGAACCAGCGGTCATTGCAGAGCTCTCTTCGTTGAAAGTACCTGCATGGCATTCGCCAGGAAAGCTCCTATGCACAGGCGAAGAGGAACATGAGGGGGAAGTATATCGCCATGAAAAGTACCAGTGGAGCCTGAGCTGCGCTTGGGAGCTTTCGCAGTGATTTCCATGGATGTTCAAGTACGTCCAGTGTTTCCGTGGCTGGTTCTGGCGCGAAGATTGACATTGCCTTGAGAAGAATCCAGTACAACACGGGAGCCAAGTCCAGTGCGAAAAGACTGTCGATTTACAAGAATAATGGACGGTGTGTGAAACGATCGAGGGGGATGATGTGAGAAGATGGCAGCAGAGGAAATAAATAGAAGGAGAAAGCGCAAACTTACCCAAGGTGAACCAGCCGACCATCTGCGTTCCAAGTGGCAAGCCCTGCTTGGCTTGGAGGGAAGCAACGCTCGATCTGGTGACGATCATGGCGAGTGCGATCAAACCCACCTAACTCACAGTCAGACTGAACTCGTACACAATGACGGCTTAAGCTTACTTGGACGCCGAGAATCGTCCTGGAGAGGCTGTCTGCATGCGCAGCGCCGAGTCCCTCTTGCGAAGGTGCAGTCTTGATAAGCAGACTCTTCTCGAACGCGATGTAAAGGACGCCCATGAGCAGAATCAAGAGACCCCCAACGAGACTGTAAAACCACGCGTCAGAAGCATTCTCCAAATCATGTGAAGGTCACTTACATGAGATTCCAGTCCTCGACCTTGTTGGCAGGCAGAAGAGTGAACGCGCTCATCGAGACGCATCCAATTGCCCACGTACCGGACAGGACCCAGTTTGATTGTACGAAGTCTTTCCCGTAGAACAATGGCCAAGTTGCTCCAAGCAGGTACACGACAGTGTATATCTGGCGATGATAGTAGCTTTGTACCTGTCACATTTGCGTCAGCTCAGTCGCATCGCAGTCAAGATTGTTCACATTTACCATAATCTCGAGTATGGCAGCGTAGATGCCTACGTTCAGAAGAAGCTTGGTTGCGTCGGTCTTGGAGAACTTCGCAAAAAGCTTGTTCTTGCCTTCGATGAGCGCTTTACGACGAGCAAACACTTCTTCCCAAAACGCGACTGGGAAGATTGCGTATGCATAATACGTCAAGGGGGACGATTGGACGAAGAGGAAGCTAAACAAGCCGACCAGAATCGAGGTGAACACGATAGTCGAAGCCAGTGGCCGGGATGGCTCGACCTTGCCATTGAGCATATATTGGTCAACAGCAGTGGTGAAGGAAAAGGCGATCCATCCAGCGTAGCCTGCTGTGACCAAAGTGCGCAAGAAAAGCCACGCATACGTTTGCAGGTACCGAAGTCCTTGCAGACCAAGCTGAATCAGTGCGTCGGAACTCTCAATGGCCTCCCTATACTGTCGATCTCGAATCTGCTCCTCGATCAACTCCAGACGATGCTCGATGCTGTGCTCGGCGTCGCCAAAACCAGGGTATGGCTTGTACTGCATAACAGTGGCCTTCTTGTCCTCTTCTTTTACACGATACATCTCCAAGATTTCCTTGGCGTTGGTGAAGATGGCCTTGGCTTTCTGTTCATCGCTTGCGTCGAGATAGGAAAGGGGCACCTCTCCAACAGAATTGACTGGAAATTCTAGTCCGGCAAGATACGCCATCAGTGCAGCAATATCAGCTTGTGCGACATCGTGACGTTGCACATGATCCAGGTACCAATCACTCGAGAAGCCATCGTCGTGACCTGGCGCCTTGCCTTTGCGCACAGTTACAGGCTTTGCAACACCAGCTCCCCATGCAATGAGAGGAGTACGGGTGTTGTCAGGATGACCGTCACCATGGCTTCCCCAGTCGCTCATACCATGGTCAGCAGTAAAGACGAAGGCTGTTTCATCGTCGCCGTAGAAGTTGTTGATGATGTTCGTGATCTCCTCAACACCTTGATCAACGATTTGAATGTTGTGCAGGTATTCCCGAGAATAGGGGCGGTAGGAGTGGCCGGTGGTGTCCAGCCCGAGCAAGTGTAGGAAAAACACATTCTTGTCATCTCGTAGACGCGCATTCAAGACCTCATCAGTTTCCGCATCCTTGAACAATTGCTTGACCCGATCAAAGACCCAGTAGTCCAGCTCTTTGGCATCTTTGCTGAAGTCCTCAAACTCAGCTCCGTATGTCGCATCGTCCACTCTTCCAGGCACCGCACCGGTCGAAAACATAGGCAAGATATCTGGACTTCCCCAACTCCATGTATGCCGGCTTCTATTGAAAACACTGTCGAAGTTGACTGGATTGAGCTTCCATCCTGTTGTTACAGCCGCAACATCCTCGTACAACCCAGCTATTAAAGCAACATGCCCAGGTCTGGATTCTGTTGGAACGCGAGTGTGAGAGACACCAAACGTTCCATGATCGAGGACTCGTGATCGAAGGTACGGTGCCATGGGACGAGGGTCGTTCGGTGAAGAATCGTTAATTGACCTTGATGGGTCAGGGAAATATTGGAATGCCTTGTCGGCGCGGAGACCGTCGCCTATTTGGAAGAATTGATCAGTCGAATAGTACACAGAGAATAACATAGTGTAGGTCCACGGCATACCAACATATAGCACCAATCGCTTTGCAGGGGCTTTGGGCGCATCGACTCGGTAAGCCTTCATGCCAGTGACGATGGGACTAACGAAGTAGATGTCGAAGATGGAGTAGGCGTAGATGAGGTGGAAGACGATGGCAATGGCCAGGAAGCCCAGGCGCCCGAGCCGCGCCATGGTGAAGGAGTGTGGTGCTGCCCTGGGGGACAGAGAGTCGAGTGTGAGTGAATGAAAGGGTGCTCTGCGCAACGGAGCCTCCAGAGGCGCGTTTGGGAAAACGTGGAGAGCGCGCGCGTCAATTCCGGCCCGCCGACAGGGAATACGCGGGTAGCACCGTCACTAGTAAACTCAATATGACCTCCTTCCTCGCTGGAAGTGAAAGCTCAAGGGAGACTGTCTCCCACATCTCTGATCCATCTCCCCGTTTGACCACAACACACTCGCGGTTGCAAGAGCCATGAGTCAGCATGGTCAAGCAACGTCTCACGGACATGTTCGCGCTCAGAAGCGACATTTGCCCTTCCGGCGGGGTCCCTTCGCCTTTCACATGCGGATCTACATACGAAGCTGCCATAGCATGAGAACTACTCCATCACTTGCTGCACTTGTGATGCTTACAACAAAATTGACTTCTAAGATGGAGAGCGGTCACTCGTAGTTTCACTCCGACCTTCACTCGTACGCTCATTCTGACACTTACTGGTACGTTCAATTCGCATATGATCCGCACTTCACACGCTGCACACGTTTCATTCACTCGCCGTTTGCTTCTGACGTCACTTCGACCTTCGGTCGCTCGCTTACTTGAACTTTCAATTATCTTCTCACATTCTTGCTCCCTTCTACAGCCGCAACCCACCTCTGCTCCAGCCATGTCGTCGCCACTGGCTGACCTCTACCAGCGATACAAGATCGGAACGAAGCGAGTGGAGCAATGGCTCACCAATCTGGCTAATCGCCAATTGCATACCCGCGATGGAGCCACGTCCACCAAGCCCATCAGCGTACCAACAGTCAGCATTACAGCGGCGTCCGCACCTGAGAAGCTGTCGACAAAAAAGCTCATTGCTGCCACTGATCAGATCGTCGAGTCCGCACTATCGAAGGGCTAGGCTCCTGCGGAACTCAATAGTACCATTATCGTGCTCGAGGATGTCATCGCGGGCCGCCGCGAGTACGGACTGTGGCACCGACTACGAATTCGAGACAAAGACGAAGCTTACATACGGGAGACGGCTTCGCACGAGCATTTTGTGGATGTTCTTGCCGAGATTCTGACCAGGCTTAAGAAGATACAGAGTGCCTGTCAGCGACCGTTCAAAAGCCAGCGTGGCAAAAAGAAGGGCGGAAAGGGCAAGAAAGAAGCAACTCCAAACACATCCACAGTCAGCACGGATGATATCGAAGGAACTGTGCGATCTTGCATTTACTCTGATCCTGAGCCCGAACAGGTCGACTCCTTGACCAACAAGATGACCGATGCCACGTTCGAAGAATCAGCTGCCAAACCACAAACCAGAGTCAAGATCGAGCTGCAGAGACCAGAAGACGAGGACATGTTCGCATTGTGGTGCTTTCTGAAGGAGTGCCACACGGTACGATTGTACCTACGGTCCATCTGGCAGGAATACTACGCCGGCGAGCTCAGCCTCCTCGTAGCCGCAGAGGTGACAGAGAGTGTCTTCATCATGCTTTCTCAAGCAGCTTGGGGGTTTACCTTGGATTACCCGCAATTGTCTTCTTTCGACCAAGTGGCTGACAGGCTTCAAATCCGCGCTCAAATACGAGGATCTGACATCCAGTCATTCGCATATGAAGGCAACGATGACGCCAAAGACTCGATGGATACAGCACAAGCCGTCGAACTGCTGTGCATTCCTGCCTTCGCTGCGCTTCAGACGCTAAAAGAGGCACTCCGAGCCTTCAAAGACCTCGAAGAAGACATGCAAGAGCTGTTGGAAGTCTCCGATTCTTATCATATGCTCAACGACAAAATGATGACCGCACTGCTTAGTATGCTCGAGATGCCCGATCGCCTCTTCAATCTAATGAGAGACGGGCAAGAATTTCGACTTCTTCACTTCTGGCTTCATTGCCAGAATGCACTGCCGAAAGACGCAGCTTTCCATTGATGAAGTCATACAATACCAGTTGTACATGGACATTTTGGATGGTCGCAAAGGCCTAACAAACGAGATCGGTACTCTCTGCACGCTGAGGGATTATGTCCACGGCTCGACCGGTCACTACGAAGCACAGGCGCCCTCGATGATGGAAGCTTGCGGCGTAACTTATGATGAAACGCCTACGTTCCGGCACTCAGGGCTCCAGTTCTGTCAAGATGTCCTATTCAAGAACCCAGAAGACGAGGAAAAGAAGATACTGATTCGAGGACCGGCAGCGCGCAACCTGCCATATATTGCCGAGCTCTGCGCAAACTTTCCAGTGCTGTGCGGTCGAGCATCAAACTACCTGCTGCGGCAGCACCACGTTGATGGTGTCGTAGCATGTCGTCAGCATCCGTTTGTGGTGGCGCTTGCACACTTATACCGAGCTTCGCTTGAGGCTGGTGTTCTCCGCCGTAGGTGGAGGGACCTGGACCATGTCATCGATATACTTGGCCCGGTCAATCTTGGTTTCATAGGGATGCTCGGATCACATGCCCCGGTCATCGTATCTGCTCGTCGATTCGGGATGGCGTTCGGGATTCCGGCCGCTGAATACAGCAAGGAGCATCGAAACCGGCGGAACCAGAAGTCAAACAGGCTTCCACTGCCCCAGACCAATCATGTGGCGAAGGAGAGAGACAAGACCGACCTGCCAAAGTCGCCCTGCGCCAACGCAATGCTACAGAGACACGAGACGGGAGATCTGTTGGGTTTGATCGAGCCCCAATCGGTCAGCCATGCGATCTAACGCATGACACGAGATCTCCTATCAGACGCCAGCATTGAGGTCGACCAAGAGGCTCGCAAGCAGTGGGCAGCATCTAAGACGCTCGACATCACGACCCTCCTCGGAGTACTGAAGAAGCAAATGATCGAGGAAGAGAAGTTGGCCTGCTTTGACCTACACTGCTTCTCTGTGCAGTCTGGCCGGCGACTATGGGTCATCAAGAACGAGTTCGGTCCCTCAGTGGCTGATTTACGAGCCAGACGGGGACTTCAACCTGATCGAAATGGTCGATGAGATTCTGTGGGCCTCCGTCGGCGCTCAATCATTAGACCAGACCCTCCTCGGCGGCGTCGCTGCGGGATTCGAGGCCACGATCCAGAAGTACGACAGCAACCTGCTAGACTCCGGGGTACTGCTCGCAGAGTCATTGAAGTTCCAAGACGAGGACTTCGAGGATCCCATTTTGGGGGATCTCAAGACGAGTCTGCTGCAAGGCACGCCAGGGGTGGCCATGACTGGTAGCAAGGTCAAGCTCTTGTTCCAGAAGCTTCCGGCAGATGAGAGGAAGGCGGCGATGGACACGCTGTATAAGGATCCAATGGCTGAGAACGAGGTCGCGGCCGAATGATCCAAGGCGTAAATGCATCGCAGAAGGAGACACTATCCCCACGAAAGGAGGCGCAACCAGGCCACGGATCAGGACAACGAGCACACAGTAGGATGCTGAGAGTTGGGGAAGCCTTTCAGTAGACCTAGATAGTGGCTCAGAACGAGATTATGAAAGAGGCATCTGACGCCAAAGAATCCAGGCTGAAATGTCAGACACGAGTCGCGGAAGGAAACACCATCTATCTCCACGACAGCAGGCCTAACCAGGGCATCAATCAGCATAACAAGCAAACGGTAAGATTCCAGTATTCGGGGAAACTCTTCAGGAAAAATCCTAGATACTCAGTTCAGACGTGCCTTGGAGCCTACCGACCAAGCATCTTCTCCCTTCTTCTGGCACATAACATCTAACCCGCCGCCCCAAGCCCTTTGCTACTCAAGCCAGCGTACCTCCGGCCTCCCTCGCTACACCCCAAAAATCCCCAAGACCGCACAACAATCAGTCCCCACATCTCTCCTGCAGTCTATTTGACCCAACATGATGTCGATGCCACAGAACGAGCCTGCGAAGGCGAGAAAGACCGAGCCAGAGACTCATCATCCGAAGAACAATCGAGTTCTCAGGGGCGTATACATGTAGGCGATGTAAATGTCCAATATCACTCTCCAACACCACACATGACTTTTCTTTTTGACGAACAATTGAGACAGCTACGCAGCATGTCGATTTCGTGTATCGCAGTCAAGATGGGCGTTGAAGGATGTTGATGGTATAGGCAGGCCACCGAGGGGGATTGGGCGAAAGGGTTTCAAGCGGGTGGGAGGGGGTGAGGGAGAGCGGGTCGATGGATGGATAAGTATCTAGTCATGGGAGGGAAGGGTTCCAGTCTTTGGGAGGCGAAGTCGGGCTCTGCTGGTTCATGCTATGCGGTCAAGAGGGGTTAGGAGATGGGCAGCCATGTGCGCGACGCTCCGTAGAATTGGCAATGTACCAAAGGCACCAAGCTTGCCCCATTGACTTGAGGGAGAGAGACAGACATCCCTCGAGAATGTTCAGAAGATGAACTCCATCGCAAGAGTAAGGCCTCCTATTCATGAATTCCTAGCATCGCTATTGCTTATCTCCATAGCGACTGTCTCCCTGTTCATAATGCAAAACGCTCCCTCCGTCTAAGTGCTCTTCTTCGCAAACTCCACACGCAGAATCAAGTGATGGTAACCGTAACCATCCATCTTCTCGCACGCCCGCGCCGCATCGCCGCGATCGGCATATGACACGAACGCGAAGCCCTTGGCTCTGCCCGTCTCGCGGTCTTTGGCAAGGAAGACACGAGTGACGCGGCCGAAGCGCTCGAAGGCGTCGCGCAGTTCGCCTTCGTCGGCCATTTCGGAGACCTGGTTGTGTCATTAGCATTCATACTCTCTACTCGTATCTGAAGGTTATAACTCACGTTCGTGACACGCAGCGTAGCAAGATCATCCCGCTCATACTTTCCACCCATCCTCTCCCCAGTCCCCGCGCCGCCCTTGCGCAGATGCGGCGGCACATAACTGCCTCCCGGCCCACCACCACCGCCGGCACCGCCATCGCCCGCCACAGCATCCATATCCACGGGCGCCGCATCGCCCTCCGGCGCCATGGTATCCTTGAAGGGACACTTAGTCGTGAAATGGTCTCCACTGCAGATACGACACTTGATCTGCATCTTCTTGAGCGCCTCCGCCTTCTTGTCCTCCTGCGGGTTGACCTCCTGCTGTCCGCCCGCCTTGAACCCCGCCTGGGGGCGGAAGATGATGTTCTCGCCGAGCGTGGTGGTGTCCGGTCGAGGGCCTGGGGGCTTGCCGGCCTCGGGACCGATCTTGGCCCATTGTCGTCGCTCGGCGACGCGCGGGTTCTCCTTCTTTTTCACGACGGTGCGGCGGATGCGTTGGGTGCGCTTGACTTTTTTGCCTTCTTCGTTGTAGAAGATGGTGACGACGGTTTCGGTGCCATCCTTATTTTTGGTGATTTGGGGTGCGGGGAGGGCGGTGGCGAGATCGGGTGAGTCGTCGTCGTCGGCCCAGTCGGTGCGACCTGGGGGGTTCTGTACTGCGGCTGCCATGGTTTTGGAGTGTGTGGTGTGTGATGAAGTTCGTGGTGATATTTAAAGGTGGAGAGAGAGTCTCAAATTCTTGCCAAGCCTTAGATTGGTGGAGTCACAGAGTGGCGGTGGCGCATTAAGCACGTGACTTTGATGTTGAGAATGAATGTTGCGAATATTCACCTGAGCAATGTTGTTGCATGAGATGACTGGACTGCACGTCTGAGAGCGACTGGATCGGCTTTGGTGCTGCTGCTGCTGTCGACCCTCCGCACTTGCCTTGCCTTGCATGCTCTTGCCTGAAGTCGCTGCAAGCTTCCGCCTGCCAAAGCGTTGTGGCGGCGGCCCCAAACCCTATCTTCCACCACCACAACGCCTCCATCAACGGCTACGATAGGCGACGAATCTCCTCAACCCTATCATCTACACCAACGCTCATCGTCGCGGCAAGTTGGCAAACAGGTAGAAATCTGGGAATCTTGTCTCGAAGCAGCAACCACGACGTTGCGGATGATGTGATTTGGAATTCCTTATATTGAAGCTCCATCTCTTTCGATCGAAAAGTGACGCTCGCTAGAACCGTTGCCATTTGCTAGTCCCGTTGACGGTTGCTGGGAAGTATATGACAGCCGCCTCTTGCGGTAAATGTAAAGTCAAAAGCGACGACACCTGTTCGTCTCCACACGTATGTCGATTCGCGCAGAGCTGACTTACGGTACGCTTGGGATCCAGTGCTAGTAGATCTCGCGCCTGACTTCACGGCAGTTGTACCTCCGCGACGATTCAGGCTCTTTCGACGCTCGAGTCGTTCGCTACGAGTCGCTAGTCGTGGAAATTGGATCAACATTCATCACTCCACCAGATCAAGTACCCAAGATGATCATCTCGTAGTCTTCCGGCCGGAAGGAACAGGTGTTGTGTGTGTGCAAGCTCGCATCTCGCCATTCAGGCCAAGTCCCAAGACGGAGTTGGGTGTGATCGATGAGCAGCGGTGGTTCTAGATTCTCGGGCGGAAGTCCACCGAGAACTGCGGTGATTGTCTTCCGGCCCTCTGGCCTCTGGGCTAACTTCGCAGTCATCTATCGCGTTCAATAGTCAGTGGGTACGCCGCGTAGGTTGTACTTTCAGAGTCTTCGGCCGCTCCGCATCAAGGTGGGTTCCTGTTCACCGGTGTGCTCTCAAGTGCGAAGTCGTATAGCAATGCCGATTGTTGCAAGAGGCCCGAGATGAAAGGGCACGAGTCAGTGATGATCCGAAAGAGGCTAAAATCGAGACGGACTGACTTGCCACGAGCTGAAGGGGGGATTCGAGGATGCTGACGAAGAGCGTAGGGGTGTAGCATGTTAGCATGTTAGCAATGTTAGCAGTGTTAGGGCATTTTAGCTTTTGGACTTGAAAGGGGAAAAACAAGGGCACAGAAGCACGACTTCATCGGGCCAAGAACCAACAACTTGCCGCGCTTGCCGTGTAGTGAGGCTGACCTACGCTGTCTCGAGGTTCACAATGCCTGCTTGCTGCTTTAGGCCATTAGGACTCCAGGATACCAAGCCGCGAGGCGAACAAGGGAGTATGCATGAGCGTTCATGGGGTCCCGATCCGGTGGAGAAGTGCGCGATGCATCTCGAGCCTACGTTATCCTGTCCCAGCTCGCACAAGGTCGCAATCTCTGCAGGTGCAAGGTTCCTCCGAACTGCATCGAAATGTCGAAGTTCTGACGCGAGGAATACGATCATTGTAGTCTGGTGCAAATTCAACCGCGGCACAGACTGCCTCTCCACCCAGCTGCCGTTGGAAATACCGACGTAGTGGATAGAGTGACAGCCTGGAGCCGGGCCGAGGGTCGCTGCAAGTCCGTTCACATGTTCGGGATGTTGTGGTGGGGACGCCTTTAGAATGGAGCGCTGTGGGTGTGCAAGACGACGATTTTGCAGCCTGCAGGCCGTGGAGTCGTTGGAAAATGCCGGCACATTCCCCTTATCCCTCGCATGTTTCTCGCGATGAGGAAGAATTTCCGGCCAGTGTGGGCCTAGTGGTGGCCTGAGAGATATTTGCATGCAGGCCTAGGATGGAGAGGCGTGCGTGGACGCTGCTGAAAGCGGCTTCACATGTGAAAGTGATCCGGTCGTGGCACAGGGTGCGTATTAACCCATCGAGTCGATGAGATGTGGTGATGCGGCGTGGATCTGAAGCTGGTGAAGATTTCGCTGTACGCTGTACCAGGAAATCGATGTCGGGGTGAAGTCGGAAGACAATGGTTCCCTTGAAGCGGGGCCTTGAACCCGGTCGTGATGGCACAGTCGTGGATGTGAAGATTGCCGACGACGCTTTCGAAAACTCGGCGACTTTTTTTGGTAGCTTTGCAACACCCTAGGCACGGACATATGTCCCGTTTAGGAAGTCTGGAATTCGAGGCTGGAGACGCTGTGCTTTTCGCTCGGGCAACTCGTCGGCCTGGCGATTGTCATGGCTGCGAGCCCTGGCAGTCGCGGTGCTGCAGATGACTGGCGATCCATCTCTGACCATCCTGCGTAAGGACCATGTTGAGGGCTAAGGACGCCCTGCAGCGCGCGGTCAGAGCAGTGAGCGAGAAGGAAGAGGAGGAGACGAGCGATATTGCAGGGAGAGCACAGGTCTCAGCAGGGCATTCGCTGGTTATCCTTGGTCAGATCGCACCGAGCAGGTTAGCATCGCGACCAGAGCAGGGCATGGAGTCGTCTGTGCCCCCGAGCGGTGCTGGCTCCAGGCAGCGTGCGGCACGTAGGTGCTGCGGTATGGTGAAGGCCTTGCATAGACGGCGTGGCTGCACTCCTGTCGCTCAATCGTCTCGTCCTGTACGGGCGAAAAAGGCGGTGGTGACAGCGTGAAGTGGTGCGTTCTGACGAGGGGTGGTCGCCATCGGCAGTTGCAGGACCCGCCGATCCTGGCAGCTGCTGGTTAGCGAGACGACGCCGGACAAACAGAGGCATGATGGGCGTGATGCGCGCAGTGGTGAGGTGTGCGGCGGTCGTCTTGTGCGTGCTGCAGACGGCGAGGAGGCTCTCATCATCAACACAAGGTGCAGGCGCAGGTTCCCGGCGGCGTCTGGCACGTTTCGATCGGCCGGCCGTGCGTGAAATCCGTCCAACGGCGTCGTTGTCGGGGCGCTAGCGACGTGTAGCCATGTGCTGCCAAGGCGAATGATTGCGGCGGGCGACGATCGTCCTTGATTCTGCGGTGGATTGCGTCTTTGTGTGCGGCGCTGTCTGGCTGAGGTGCAAACAAACTTTTAGAGTCGCGTCTGGTGAAAGTCTGCCCCGAGCATGGCGTCTGTAGCGCTGCCAGCTGCGGCGGGCCTGCAGTGAGCAGACTTCTGTAAGGCCTTCGGCGCTGCTAACGTGCAACTGGCAATCGCACTGCCGTCTGTTCGGCCTGCCATTGTTGTCCAGCGAGAGCGACGAGAGAGCGCCTGTGCCACATCTCCCACCACCGCATCCGCCCACCCACCCCACCCGCTCTCCTGCCTCTACCGCTGCTATCTTGGCTATGGAAGAGCCTCACACCTCGCACATGGCACCGCGCCGTGTTGGTCCCACCGCACCCGAATGGCCACACGTGTCTGGGTCCATGGTGGGTGACGCAAGGAGAGCCCCTTCTGCCACGCGGAAATAACTCGCAGGCGGCCTTGTCCTCGTCGCTGGGCGGCGGAGATGGCTGTGTACCGCTGACACACTGAAGCGGCCGTCGACGACGCACCGGCAGGGATCGCGCCTGTCCACACCACGTGCCATCTACCGAGACTGCGGTCACGGGCGTTTCTCTCCTGCCTCATCCAGCAATCCACCGCTTGGCTGCACGCAGCCTTAATGATCTACGCTGCCGGCGCGCCTGGCCTAGCAGGTGAGTGCTGCTCACCACCATTGAACGAGCGCGAGCAGTTCGTGATGTGAGCCCGTCCATCGCTGTCGCCCATCTTCGATCCGCCCGCCTCGAGTCAGCGCCGTCGTGTGATGCCAGACCTGGTCCTCCCTGTTCGAGCTAGTGCTGGCCTCTCGGCACCGAATAATGCACCACCACTCGCAGAACACCGGCACCACCACAAGAGTGCGGTACTCGGTCCAACACAACTCACTCGCAGTTGCCCACCAACATGCCGATCATCCGGAGAACCCAGCACCGAAATAGAGGCGGCGTTCAGCTCAGCAAACTCTACTGGCTAAACGCTGCTCTTGCTCTGCAGCTGCTGCGTGCTGTCCGTCGGTATGCGCGAGCAGCCATGCTCCCTCCGTCTGCAGACGCCGCTTCATTCGGCCGCTTGAAACGCTCTTATATTGCTTCGCATAACGAAGCGCCTGAATGGACACTTGCGACCCAGCATCCTCGCTCGCGCGGAGGTGGCGTTCTCCTTCCCGCATGCCATCATCATCACCTCCACACCCATGACCTCAATATTGCCAATGCCATACCACGACCACGACGAGAAGGGGTCCTGACTTGGCACACGGTACAAGCCGTACACGGTGCTTTTGATGCCTGACGCCCAGCCTCAATCGCCTGTCAGCCATTAGCCGCTGCCAGACCGGCTGCCGAGCACTGGTCCACCCACGCCTGCAACAATCCATGGCTCCCTCTGCCGCGCGGAGCTGTCACTGGTGGTGCGTCGTCTAGTGCATTTTCTCCCTGGCAAGGATGCACACCACGTTCCACGTTCAGATCGTCTGTGCAGCCTTCGACGGAGCAGCTTTTGTGCCGCTGATCAATCGCGGCGTCTTTGCGTAACAGACAATGTGACCACGGATACTAATAGAAGTATGTACGGAAGAATGGGTTGCACGGGCAAACTTCTAGCACGGAACCTTAAACGAGACTTTTAACCATCCCGAAGGATGCGCCACGCGCTACGCTGGTATCACCTGTAGTGCTTCGCCGGGCAGTGTGGTTCATTGCCCATTATCGCTATTCAAGACGACTTTCCAATGCCGGCCAGTTCGCCCGTATAGAGCCATGCATGAGACGATCAGCCGTGCCATCTGACCGCCCAGAGCGTCGATTCTGTAGTGAGCATCGACCACACTGGCCAGACACTCAGGCTAGGAGCGAAGTCCTGGTGTCGATCTTCACCCATCAGTTCGAAAAGGTAGCAACTCCGATTGAGTACCGCCCCGCCATGCCCTGGTATTAAGCACGTTGCCTTATTGCATGACTGTATCAATGAGTGGATCGCTTTCCATGAAAGGGGAAGTACTTGATCGCGGCGAGTGCCGTACTGCTATGTGTTGATCATGGCTAGACGGTGTCTCATCACCTGAAGAGACTCAACTCTCGCTGTCCAATGCTTGACGGTCCTATGCTTGCAATATCATAGAGCCTATTGTTCTCACCAGACACCTCGCACCAACGGTCGCCTCACCTATAGCATCTCGAACGATAGGCCAGTGCCAACAAGCTGCCGACAGCTAGTCGATTGGAAGCTGCAGGCGCCTCTCCCGGACTTCAAAACGGCCTCCAGGATTTCATGCAGAGCTGGGCGTAATAAGCATAAGGTCTTCTGTAACTTTGCCTACTACTACCTTCTTCACTCCATCTCCGCGCCGCTACCAACCCTGATCCGGCACCTCCACTAAAGCCATCCAACGGCTCAACGGCTGTGGACGTTGATGATCGGGGCCTATCGAACGTTAACGACAACGGCTCTTGATCGGTCTATTCGATATAGGCAAATAGATTGCGACCAAGCCGGGAAACCACAATCGTCATCATGGACGGACAATACGGCCCGCCCATACCACCTTTGGGAGGTTTTTATCCCAATGGCTATCCGCCGATGATGACAACTGAGCCTCTTCACCCTCCGCGAACGCTGCAACAATTGCAAACTCTGTCGATGGAGAGCCTTGGTACCTACTCCGACTACGACGACCCGAACCGCTCAATGCCACCACCACATGGCTTGCCGCAGCAACCACAACCGCCGCAACAAGCACAACAACAAGCGTCACAGCGATCTCGACGTCGACAACCGACGGGCTCGGATCATGTAAAGCATAGACGGACGAGGAGTGGCTGCTATACCTGTCGACAACGACGAGTCAAGGTAGGTTCACGTTGAGCCGCATCTTCCTTCAATGAATCCTTACTGACGGGACCGTTGACAGTGCGACGAAACACACCCTGTTTGCGACAGTATGTAGTGACGACATGGTGCTAGTTGACGTTCAATGTTGCTGACGTTCGTGTAGGATGTCGCAAGGGAAAGCGCGAGTGCACCTACCCGGGAACGACAGCATCGACACCGAAGCCATCCAGAAGCACCAGCAAGTCAAAAGGATCACCAGATGGCTCAAGTCTGTCGGAGAGTGATATTGAACCCGATTCAGCATTGCCGTTGTCGGCCATTCCTGATGACGAAGACGAAGATGCAGCTGGTGAAGACGATCCACAAGCCACGACTCCAGAGAGCCGCAAGCCATCCGAATCATCTTCAAGTCTGATAGACAAGAGCACGTCACCGTCAACAGAGGCTTCGGCAACGGCCATGCGTTCTACGAGACCTCAGCCCGCTCGGACGAGTTCGAAGCAGTCGATCAAAGCCGAGTACTCGCAGTCCGGACGATGGGCATCACTACCCAAGGACGTCAAGTATTACCTCAAGTACCATCGCGAGAACATGTCGCATCATCACTACGCGTTCAAGTACGACGGGAGCGACTTCCTCCGGACGACATTCGTGGAGATTGCCCTGAACGACAGCAGTGCGGCTTTGCTGTACGCGATTGTCGCCTTTGCTGCCTACCACCACTCCATTGCACGCGACGACGACAAGATATCGAGCTTCCTCACCTTCTACAACAAGTCGATAGCCTATCTGCAGCAATCGTTGAAGAACAAGAGGCATAACGTTGCGACGCTTCTAACGATCCTGACGCTCGCAACGGTCGAGGTGAGATCATGCGCACAATCGTTACGATCCAAGAACATGCTAACGATAACTTCAGGAGTTTCTCGGTGACTGGGTGAACCTGCTCGGCCATCAAAGAGCGGCGTACCAGATCTTGACCGACCTCTTCACGCCGCAGACGATCATGCAAGACGAGACGCGTCGACAGATCATCAACTGGTACATTCGCTTCGATCTGTTCGCCGGCATCATGTCTGGAGGCGAGACCATCCTCGACAGAGCGTGGTTCGCAGCAGCAGCGGACTTCTACGAACGACAAACGAGAGACCGCCCGAAGGACCTGGGCGCTGTGCTTGAAAAGTACTTTGCAACGACACGGTTACTCGCAACCGACGTGACGCTCCTTTTCGCCGGGAAGAAGAAGAACACGATCAGCGACGACGACTTCGTGGCTGGCATACAAAGGCTTTCAGCGCAATTCGCAGAGTTCGGCAACACCATCGAAACAGCATTCACGGATCCTTCATGCTTCGTCAAGGACTTCTCAGGGGCACCACCACCGAGCGACAATGACCTATTTGACTTTCGCGACCCCAACTTCCTCTACGCGGGAGAGTTGGCGCCGATGAACTTTGTACTAACAGACCACTGGGCGGTGGATCTAATGTTTAAGTATCAGACGAGCCTTGCTATGGGACAGGCGCCCCCAGCAGAGCTGACGGAAATCGCAATGAAGAAGTGTAAAATGTTTGAAGCCATTCAGTACGGCGCAGAGGGCGGGTCTTCTGCTGTGCTTGGATGCCAGGCGAGTCTGGGGATCATGGCATTGTTCCTGCCTAAAGAGCCACGATATACGATGTGGTGTCGACGCAAATTCGTCGACATCGAAAGGCTTGGGTATGCTTTATCACTGGACAAACGAGATCGACCCCTTACTGATCCGACTTCAGCTACATCTACCAAGCCTCCTACCGCAAACGAATGACCGACATCTGGGGCGAGGACATGTCCCACTGGTGGCTGCCCAACGACGAAGGCTACCTGAGCACCATTCGAACGGTCCGCGACTTCGTCGAGTACCGCGCAACGAAACCTCGAGATCCTTGGGCCGTGGGCATCCGCGACATGAGTGGCATCTTTCGAACGTTGAACATTGAAGAGCAAGGCGTGTCTGATGATATGAGAAGTGCTGGTACCGATGGCAGTACTAGTCCCTAGGTCGACGGAGGCAGTCCAGAGCATTCGATGCCTTGGGCGTGATGAGGATATACATGGCGAGCTGAAAGACCGCCTTTTATTGAGTCGAGGCCTTTCATCCTCGTTCTTCAGTGGAGTCGACAAGCTCAGCTCTCGCCAACAGCACCCTCGACCAGACCGGTGTCGACTGTCCAGACCGTTACGACACTGGGCAGGTGTCCGCATGATCAGCATCCACCGTTCTATACCACATGGCCCCATCCAAGATCTCAGCTCCCAGCCGAACGGGCCCAATTCTCCGGCTTCTTCGCCAATGTATTACTACACCCACCCATCCATCAACCATGGCACGCAACCCTGCTAAGGAATGCAGGTCGTCAAGCCCCGACGGCAACTCCGTCCCCTGGTCTCGGCCGACGAAACGACCGTCGCTTGCCGATGCATTTGAGAGCATCGACTTGTTTCGACTTGTGTGTTGCTGCCCAAAAAGCAGTCTCGCAAGTGTTGCAAAAGAGCAATCTGAGTCAATATCGGAACAAGGACCAGGAGTTAGGGAGATGGGGCACGACGATCGAATTATCCATTCATCCTCTCGTATCCTCGTGCGAAGCATGTGGGCTTGGATCCTGGATGACGAGACCAGTCACCAGAGAGGGACAGAGTTTCGCCGGCATTGAAGCCACACATGGACTAGTGTTTCGACGCGGATGCAAGCCCCTACGACGGTCTGACAGGAGGCGCGAAACCGGCGGCTTTTTTGAGGGATGGGGGAAAGGTAATGTATCATCAAAGATAAGAAGGATGTTTTGGATGGTGCAGATCGACGTGGAGTGTCGAAGTCTCCAAAAACTCTGCTATCAGCGAGATAATATGTACTCTACACCACACCACAAACACAACCCACCAGAGTGACAAGCTGTCACCTCTCCACGGCGCGGCACATGCCCAGCGCCAAACGCCCAAACCTCACAATCCCGGCAACCAAACTTCCACCCATCTCAAGCCACTCCTTCCCGATGCATCGAAGCGAAATCCTCCGCGGTCCCGATTCGGCCAGCTCGGCGGCCGTTTCCAGCTTCCCGCGCGACGCCTCGTGCGTGCCACGTTGTCGACTTTGACGCCATAGTCAAAACTTTCTTCGAGACTTCACTCCACAAGTCACGCACGCACGCACGCACCGGACACTCCACAACTTCTGCCCTTGTCTTGCGCTCGCTGCTTGCTGCGTCCTACGCACTGCAGTGGATGCGAGGTCTAGCCAGTGGGAAGTCTTTGCGCCGAGCCCGTCGTCGACGGGACTCTCGCCTTGGGAGATGCCATTGGCTGGGTTCTCTGGAAAGGAACGCTCGCCCAGCTGCAATAACACAACCTCATGACGCCCTGACGCGGGCCTGCCGTTCGAACTAGGCCTCGCGGAGTCCAGACTACTGGCCGATACGATACTCCTCACGTCCTGATTCGGGAGCGAAACAGGTCGTTCTGGGAGTCTTTGAGAGAGACCGCAAGCCACCACGACGCACGCACGCAGCGATACAAGCTGAGCTGGGCTGAGCGAGCATCATGCGGCGACCGCGACCGCAACCGCCGGGTTGTCTTGCAGGCGAGACGGGAAGGAAGAGAGTCGTGTCGTGTCGTGTCGTCTTGCAGCAAGGCCCAGGATAGGACCGGACGGTAAGTGGTTTGGCCGTTTGGTAGGAGGAAGAGGAGTCCAGCAGACCCTACATATAATCCACGCAACCGTCAGGCACATCTGCAGATCTCCTTCCCAAATTCCCCATCGCTCCAAACCATCGTCTGTCTGTTGGTCTCACAGCTACCAGGTCCCCATCGCACATCTTACCCTTTTCTTCTCGTCCTCGCGATGCTTTCGCGTTCTCTGCTCTTGGGCGCCACTGCGGCTCTGGTGGCTGCCCTGCCTCAGGGAATAGACTTCGATGCTGTGGACAGCGTGCCCACGCCCTCTGTCTTGGGAGCCCCATTGGTGAGTTTTACCAACTTCACTCGTCTACTCTTCATGAGGCCCAACGGGTATGGCACAAGGGCTTTGAGCCTTGAGCTACACATCCCTCAACAACAAGCAATGCCTCCCGACGTGCTCATCAATGGCTAACATCCCTTGGCACAAACACAGGCGGCGACGATCCAAAGCCAAGTCCCCTCCTACTCGCCCTCAGCAGCAGCCCAGTCCGCGGCCGCAGCAGTGCCGACGGATCCCATCTCTTCATCGACGGACGACGACAGCAGTGACTCGAAGCGTTCGCTCACCGCACGCAAAGCCTGCGATCCCCAGAAAGCTGGCGCTGCTCCAGTGACGAGCCCAGATACCGCGAGTGCGTTCCTCGCGAACGCGAATTACACCACCATCCAGGCGAACGCTCCGGTGCCGCAGGGCTATCAGATTGTTTTCCAGAATTTGCAGGGTGCGACGCAGCAGAATGGGTATCTTGGATAGTAAGTTGATCGAATCAATCAAAGCCGTTGTAGTGGTACCGGAAGGCTGACTCCTCGATAGCTACACCCTCTCAAGCTACGACACCGTCAAGTGCCAGCAGTACTGCGACAAGGCGTCTTCATGCCAGGCTTTCAATGTGTACATTGAGAGGGATCCTTCCGTCGAGCCGGGGACTGGATGTGACAACCCGCCGAGTACCGTGAACTACAAGTGCTCGCTGTATGGGCTTCCTGTGAGCAATGCTACGGCCACCAACACCGGCCAGTGGCGGGCGAACTTCCAGGTTGTCATTACTGCTTCCAATGGTATGTTTCGATGACGATTCCTTGCTGTCGTCGATGTTTAAATCGCTGACTTCTTCTTCCGCAAGGCTACGTCAAGAACGCACCACCGCCATCCTACACTGACTTCGTAAGTTCAGCCCCCCTATTCGACCCAACGTACCTTGACTGATAACTTCATCCAGACCGGCCCAACCGAATTCGGTGGCGCAATCAACGCCCCCATTAAAAACGGCCAATCCTCATACATCGGCGTCAAAGTCTTCCCGGGCCCGTACGACCCCGGTCAGTGCGCTGCAGCCTGCGAAGCGCAAACCCAGTACGACCACGACCACCCTCGCTCGGACGGAACCTATGACCCCTGCAACTTCTTCAACTCCTACATCCTGTCCAAGAACAACAGCCCGATCGGGACGTACTGCAGCTTCTACACGCAGGCGTGGGGGAAGAGCTATGCGGTGAATACGGGACAGTATGATTCGAATGGCATCTATTACTCTGTGAGCAGCTCTTATGGCTATACCCTGTCGCCTCAGGATCCGGGAGTTGTGAGCTCGTCATGATTGCAACCTCATGTGGAGGGACCAGGGTTGTGAGGGAAAGTGTCAATGTCGGTGTTGGGGATCAAACTTGTCCGTTCAGCTGGGGTTCAGGTGTTTCGTTTTCGCTGGTCGTGGAGAACCGCGACGTCTCGTCCTGTGGATCGAGCAACAGAGAGCCATAAATAATCGCTGCAGGTGTTGAAGCCTCGCAGGTGAGGGATGGTTGTACCTTGGAATGCACGACTTGATTGGTGTGAAATCAATCTGGGATTCCAACCTTGTGCTCTCCTTCTAAGACGGTGTCAATGCTTGCCCTATCTTTCGTCCGGACTCTTCTGCTGCCCATTAGTATGGATGGCCACGGATCTTGAGGTATGGAGTGCAGCGTCAAGTTTGAGGGCTTTCAAACTCAATAAATGCCGGTGACTTCCACGTCCAGGATGCGAAGAAAATACAAAAGCTGCTTGATGGTTCTCGTCGGTAGTGTCTGTCCATCCATTGAAAGCATTGTCCTTCGTCAACAGCCCCTTCCTCGCCATGGCTTCAAGACATAATCTCATCGAGACGCTGGATTCGATCAACAAGTCGACCTTCGACGGCGACGAGAACTCCCGCGCGGCAGCTACCATAGCAGCTAAAAAGTTGTTCCAGAGGCTAGAGGCGCCATGGGAGCGTATGTACGAGGAAGTCCTCGTTCAGCCCATGCGAATGATGGCCGTCAAGATCGCTTCCGATGTCAAATTGTGGGCGTGTCTGGATTCGATGCCGCAGACGTGCGCTCAACTGGCGCAGAAGACCGGCACGGACAAGGGCTTTCTCCAGCGTATACTCCGAGTTCTGGTCGCCATGACTTACGTCGAAGAGACAGATCTTGATGCATATGTCGAGACGGAGCTCTCCAAAACCCTCAAGGAACCGGAGGGCCTGAGCCGCGGTCTGGACGTGTACTGTATGGCGAGTCTCAAGCAAATAGAGCATGGGCCAGAATTTTTCAGGCGAACCGGGTACAAAATCTCAGAGGACATGAGCCAAGCGGCTTGCAAGTGGGTGATGGGGATGCCCGAATACGAAGGCGGAATTTGGGAGATGATGGACGAGATCGGGTGGACTCCAAAGTTCAACTCGTTCCTGTCTGGGATGAGGACCTCGCAGCCTTCGTGGGCACCTTTGTGGCCAGTCAAGGAAAAGCTGCTTGATGGCTGGGATGGAAAGTCGGTGCTCCTTGTTGATGTTGGTGGTGGTAAAGGTCGAGACCTCTCCAATCTCGCTGCGACAATTGACGAAACTCACCCGGGTGCGAGACTTGTGCTGCAAGATCGACCGAGCGTGCTTGAGGAGGCCAAGGCATCGGGGATGCATCGACAAATCGAGACGATGCCGCATGATTTCTTCCAGCCCAATCCCGTTCATGGTGCCAGAGCGTATTTTGAGCATGCCGTGGTTCATGACTGGCCGGACAAGGAGGCCCGTCAGATCCTGATGCAGATGAAGTCTGGTATGCTGCCAGGTTATGGCAAAATACTGTTGATGGAAACTATCATGCCTGCTAGGGCGAAGAACGTGGACTCTAAATTGGCGTGCATTGACATGCAGATGGGCATGAACTTTTGCGCTCTGGAGAGGACGGAGGAGCAGTGGAAGGCGCTGCTGGAGAGCGTGGGGCTGAGATATGTCGGACATCAGCCAGTCTACGGGAACACTTGTATGATCGAGGCGGAGCTGCCATAGTCGAGAATCGATGCGTAGACCGTATATGTAGAGGTTGAATCGAAGTTGAAGTTGACTGCCCTGGAAGTTGACCAAGCCGACGTCAGTTCACTCGGCATCTGCCGCGAGCTGTCTTGAGCTCGCCAATCTCGCGTCTTCATGTGAACACCACTCGTCGACATAGCACATATTTCGCCATGGCTCTGGACAAGGCTCAGTACAAGGATCGGGAGTTTCTTGCCGTCATTGGCGATGAGGTAGTCTTGAGACTGACTGCACACATTGTGTATTTTCTGACATTTGGCACACAGGACTCAGTAACTGGCATCCTGCTCGCTGGCGTAGGCGTACGTTCACCACTCTTCGGATTGAGCACGACTCACAGTGTCTGACTGGGTTGATAGCATGTGACCGACCCTCCCGACTCGCAAAAGAACTATCTTGTCGTCGACCAGAAGACCGAGGATTCGACCATCGAGGGCGCATTCGATGCATTCACAACAGAGCGGAAGGATATTGCGATTGTCTTGATAAATCAACATGTAAGAGCTGTGCAGGGCTTCGAGGGGTGGGGGATGCTTAAGACTTGAGCTGATCATTCGGGACAGATCGCAGACCGGATACGAGCGAAAGTGGATGGATTCAGCGCAGCCTTTCCTTCGGTGCTGGAAATACCCAGCAAAGACCACCCTTACGATCCAGAAAAGGACAGTGTCATGAAGAGAGTACGGAAGCTGTTTGGAGAATAGACAGCATGAACGGATGCGCTACGATGGTCTGGCAATGCGCTAGGCGCCGCATACTGTAAGACACGCAGACGGCGTGATCGTGAGCGGGAAAAGCGTTCACCAAATCCGTCGCGAGACTCCATTCGATGTTCGCAATATGGACAAGATACCCATAGTCTACGCAAGCACAAAAGAGCAGCATTCAGATATGCAAAGCACAGTATGCACACCGAGACATTACGTTTCTCATACCCGTCGTAGAATAGAACGCCTTTCGCTCATGATGTAGTGACAAAGATCACAACCTGCCCTCTCGTATCTCTCGCGCGATGCTCGTCTCATGCGTCGTCCATCTCCGCACTCTTACAAACCCTGCTTGAAGAACGAAGAGCCACCAGTCTTCTTGAACTGCACCTCAGCGGTCAAGCAGGTAATCTTCTCGTCGTCCTTGGTGTATACATCGGCCAGAACAGTGTATTTGCCGTTAGGGATCTCCTTGGGCAGGTCCACCGACTTCTCGAGCTTGAGATCACCCTTCTTGAGCGGGCATTCGAGATCGACGTTCTTGATGCTGTCGCAAAGGTCGGCCTTGGTGTTGATGATCCTGATAAGACCGAACTTGACCTGCAGCTGTACGTAGGCACCCTCCTCGACGTCTTCGCTAAGGACTCCGCTGGCAACGATGTTCAGTGTTGTGCCGCTGTTTGTACTGTTAGCCCAGCCACCTGACTTATGCTGCCACATCTCAAACATACGCTGATGGTGGGTTGGGATCTAGGTCGACCTTCTTCAAGGCTAGGATGTCGTCTTCGGGGTCGGCACAGTGCTTCAGTGGGTTATCGCCAGGCACTGCGTACGTATCGTCCAGTGGCGCCACATCTGAGCTGCTGAAGAAGGTCGATCGTGCGGAAACGCTGGTGGCCAGGAGGACTGGGGCGGCGACTGAGAGGAACTTCATGGCTGCTGCTGAGAGTTGTTTGTAGTATGCGAGAGTGGTATGCTGGAGGACGGCGACGAGTTAGACAAGGAAGAGCTTGAGGCGTTGCTGGGAGGACAGAGATGGTGCAGCATCGTGGCTAAGCGACGTCACATGGCGTTTTGTCTTGGAAGCTCGCCCGGACTCTGGCGGCCTAAATATATTAAAGGCTGTAAACTTTCTGGTCCGCTCTGTAATTCGGTCAATCAAATTCTCCCTAAATTTTGATGGACTCCTGCCAAGACATATGTCTTCAGAGCCTCAGGCAAGTCAGGGTTGGGACAGCAATTCGAGCTTCATGCCACTTGTGCTGAAGACATATATCCACCTCACGACCAACACTCGTCAATTGTCGCCTCAGTCGCACAATCGAATACCGTGCCGCGTAATAGACACAACTCGAATCGAAGAGAGGGAATTCTGAGCAAGAGGCAGCGTTACACACCAAGGCCAGCTGTTCCCCATTGAGACAGACAATACCGGTCCCTTGCGTCGCTGAGCGCACAAGGGCCAGCCGCCAACATGAGACTCGACGTAAAGGTGCGCTGCAAGATTATGGAAGACATCGACACACAAAATGAGCGGCAAGGTTAACTTGGATCTACAGAGGCAGCTGTTTGCCCGCAGCGAGCGAGTAAAGGGCATTGACTTTCACCCTACGGAGCCATGGGTATGCGCCGGTATGCCACAGACTGTGATATGAGAGGCTGACTGCTACAGATCCTCACCACCCTCTACAGCGGCCACGTATATATCTGGTCCTACGAGACGCAATCCATCATCAAGACCTTCGAGCTGACCGATGTTCCTGTGCGCGCGGGACGATTCATCGCCCGCAAGAACTGGATCGTATGCGGTAGTGACGACTTTCAGCTGCGAGTCTACAACTACAACACCTCCGAGAAGATTACATCGTTCGAAGCGCATCCCGACTACATAAGAGCAATCGTGGTGCATCCTACCCAGCCGTTCGTGCTGACCGCCAGTGATGATATGACAATCAAGCTATGGGATTGGGATAAGGGATGGAAGTGTGTGCAGATATTCGAGGGACACAGCCACTATGTCATGGGACTGGCCATCAACCCCAAAGACACCAACACATTTGCGTCTGCTTGCTTGGACCGGACAGTGAAGATTTGGAGTCTCGGGTCCTCAACACCCAACTTCACCCTTGAAGCGCACGAAACCAAGGGCGTAAACCATGTCGACTACTACCCGCAATCCGACAAGCCATATCTCCTTACTACCTCGGATGACCGCACAGTGAAGATCTGGGACTACACTACCAAGGCCCTGATCGCTACCCTCGAAGGCCATACCTCGAACGTATCATTCGCGTGCTACCACCCTGAATTGCCAGTCATCATCTCGGGGTCAGAAGATGGCACAGTCAAGATCTGGCATGCAAACACATACCGATTGGAGCAGTCACTTTCGTACGGTCTCGAGCGAGCATGGTGTGTCTCATACCAGCGGGGCAGACAAGGTATTGCAATGGGTTTCGACGACGGAGCTGTGGTGGTGAAGATGGGTCGCGAAGAGCCAGCTGTCTCCATGGACGGATCAGGCAAGATCATCTGGGCGCGACACTCTGAGATTCTTACTTCCGTGATCAAGGGAGGAGACAAAACGGTGAAAGACGGCCAAGCTATTACCTTGCCCTCGAAAGACCTCGGCAGTACCGAAATCTACCCGCAAACGCTCATTCACTCACCCAACGGACGATTTGTAGCCGTTTGCGGAGATGGCGAGTACATCATTTACACCGCATTGGCACTTCGAAATCAAGCTTTCGGTTCAGCACTTGACTTTGCCTGGGCCTCGAAAGAAAACGACAAGGACTACGCGATTCGGGAATCTCAATACTCCGTCAAGATCTACCGCAACTTCAAGCCCAAGTCTGGAGATGGCAGCGTCAATGTTGGCTACACTGCAGATGGCTTGAGCGGTGGTGTCTTGCTTGGTGTCAAGGGTCAAGGTGGCATTGGCTTCTTTGACTGGGAGTCTGGCAAGCTCGTGCGCAGAATTGAAGTTGAGCCACGCAATGTGTACTGGTCAGAGTCAGGAGAGCTGGTCTGTCTTGCCTGTGAGGACACTTACTATGTGCTGCGATATTCGCGAGAGCAGTACGTGGCTGCACTGCAGGCTGGGCAGGTCGAGGAAGACGGTGTTGAAGAGGCTTTCGAAGTCGTCTGCGATATCAATGAGACGTAAGTTGTGCAATGCATTGTGTGGAGATAGATTGGCTAACAAACTTGCAGTGTGAGGACAGGACAGTGGGTTGGCGACTGCTTCGTCTACACCAACAGCACGAACCGACTCAACTATCTCGTGGGCGACCAGACTTACACCATCTCCCACTTCGATCAACCATATTACGTTCTCGGTTACCTCGCTCGAGATGGCAGAGTTTATGTCGCCGACAAAGATGTCAACGTCACTTCATTCGCTCTGTCAGTCAGTGTCATCGAGTATCAGACCCTGGTACTTCGAGGCGATCTGGACGCGGCGACGGAGATGCTCAGCCAAGGAGAGATCCCCGAAGACCAGAAGAACAAGATTGCTCGTTTCCTCGAAGGCCAAGGCTACAAGGAGCAAGCGCTTGAGGTCGCCACCGACGCCGAACACCGATTCGAGCTTGCTCTTGGTCTGGGTCAGCTGCAAATTGCTTTCGAGCTTGCACAAGAAGCCGACGCAGAGCACAAGTGGAAGCTCGTGGGCGACGCGGCACTTACTGGTTGGGACATCAAGCTTGCAGAGGAGTGCTTCCGGAAAGGCAACGACATTGGCAGTCTGCTGCTGATGTACACATCCTCTTCCAACGAGGAAGGCCTCCGAGAACTCGCTTCGAAAGCGCAAGAAGCCGGCCAGCACAACGTGGCTTTCACCAGCTTCTGGCAGCTCGGCGATGTCGATTCTTGCATTGACATCTTGCTCAACACAAACCGAACCGCCGAGGCTGTCCTATTCTCTCAGACCTACAAGCCTAGCCGTTGCCCAGAGATCGTCCAACAGTGGAAGCAAGGCCTGGAAAAGAACGGCAAAGGCAAAGTCAGCCGTCTTATCGGCGTTCCCGGTGAAGATGAGGAGATGTTCCCTGAGTGGGAAGAATACCTCAAGCTGGAACGCGAAGGCGGCTCGCACGGCGACCTGATCGACATCAACGGTACTGCAGATGATGTCGAGGAGGCGAAAGCCAAGGCAGAGCCTGTGGACGCTGAAGAAGACGGTGTCGACGATGAGGACGCCACGCCGCAGACGGAAATTGACGTCTAAACGCAGTGGGATGGTAGAGGAAGGCGTTCTGAGGCGCTGAAAAAGGGCAAGGCTAAAGAAGCCCATAGCCAGCATTTGGTTGGTAGAACGTATATTGTACGTATGACAGGAACAGAAAAAAAGCTCAGGCCGTATGCTACTCATCCACTCCATCCCTCCCAGCCTCTCATACTCACAACCTCCCATGGCCACCCGCTCACTTCCCCCCAAACATCTTCCCCACAACCCTCTCCGCGTCCGCCAAACAATCGAACCCCATAGCCCACGCATTGACCCCCTGCCGCGTCAACTCTGGCCACTCGCCCTCCTCCTTCCAAATCTCCCTCAACTTGCCCTTCGTCTGCTCAGAAACCAACGGCCCGTTCCCATCCAGCCTCTCACACCGACTCAACAACACCATCGCACTGGCTCTCTTCCACCTCAGCTCCGCCCACACTTCCAACCTCCCCTCCACCTAAGCTCTATCATGGACGTCGCGAAGCACAACCCCCAACACCCCGGCATCCTCGACCGCAAACGTGGCACCCATGCCAAATGTCGGCTGCATCGCATGTGCGGCGTCGCCGAGGAGGATCATACGTCCCCTGTGATAGGCGGGCAAAGGGTCGCGGTCCAGGACTTTCCAGAGATACATGTCGGTCGGGTCGGCTAGGTGGGCGATCTCGCGGATGGTGGGGTCGAAGCCTGAGAGGCGGTGCAGGAGGATTGAGAGGGTGGGTTCGGTGGTCCAGTGGGCTGCGGCGGTGGTGGGGGAGGGGGAGTGCGTGAGGGCGTAGCAGCCGAAGTTTTGGAGGGTGTGGCTTTGGAGGTGTTATTAGGGGTTAGGTGGGTAGGATGGGGGATGGGGGATGGGGCAGGCGTACTCGCGACAGGGATAGCGGAGTAACATGACGTCTGGATCCGTGCCGCGGTAGAGGGTGGGATAGTCGCTGCCGTTGGGCAGGGTCTTTTTCAACAGCGGGTTCTGGAGCATCGTTTCCGTCGGGACGCAGAAGCGCACGTTGCTCAGTCTGGATAGTGTCGTGGGTCGTTCTTCGCCGATGATGTGTTTGTGCGCGGTGGACTTGACGCCGTCGGCGGCGACGATGACGTCTGCTGTCATGGTGCGGCCGTCTTCCAATGTCACGGATCCGGCGGAGGGGGAGTAGGCCGTGACTGTGATGCCCTCGAGGACGTTTACCGGTGTGCCCGCCCCTGGCCCCGTCGCCAACTCCCGCAAAGCATTATGTAGATCCACGCGATGAGCTGCCAGACTTGGAGCCCCATATTGATCTTCTGCGTCGTCTTGTAATTGCGCGAGGATCTCATACTCGGACCTTTCGGCTTTGGCGAACGCAATACCGCCGAATTTGGACGCCCGGACTTTCTTGAAATCCAGTCCGAGAGATCGCAGGACGCGGGTAGAATTGGGAGGTAGGGAGACTGCGAATCCGACTTCGCGTTTGTTTTCATGTTTCTCGAGGACAGTGACTTGGTGGCCTGCTTGGCGGAGGGCAACGGCCGCGGTGAAGCCGCCTATGCCTGCGCCGACGATGAGGATGGTGAGGGGCATGCTTGGGTTGGTTGATTAGCTGGTAGCGCGTGTAGTAGAGGAGCAGAGCCGTCGAGGACGTAGGTGATGAGGGGAGTGAGACTCAGATCCTATCCACGTATGCGGAAGCTTCTGAGATTGATATGCGAGCTGCGAAGACCGAAGTAGCTTCTTAGATGGTCATCATGGAACGCATTGATCCTAATGGCCGCATCCGTTACCCTATCCATGTCAATGACCTTCGTTATATGCCTCCCGCGAATGGCCGTCAAGCTTAGCCCAGTGAAACATCAATGTTTACCAAGGCGACCTTCGCAAGTTCGCGAAGGCAGGGTCTAGGGTAAGGGTATGCCCTCGAGTCAACCCACACAAGGAAGCTGCTCTGCTTTAGTATCTCATTAGCTAGTTAACCAGAACGGGGAAGATGCTAGTATGGAGATCTGGGCATAAGAAATCCAAGTCTAGCAGGTTAAAGGTAGAGCTCAGTAAGTTGGCCCATGAGGTGTAGCATTTGGATGACATGTAGCTTTAAAACAGATCCGAAAGGTGTTTGCCGTATACGAGATACGAGAGTAAGCGTCAGTCGTCGATGTTCATCTTCTCCACGTCGGCTTCTACACCCATGACTCCGATAGCCCAGTTCAATCTTGCTTTGCGTGTTCTAGTCACCAGTCTTCTGTCGCTATCGTCGTTCTCGTTAGGTTTGGCGTTCGGATCCAGCTTCTCCCAGCTTCCGTTTAGGCGGGGGTCGTCGTTAGGACCGTCTGGTCTGACTATCCTGGTATATGGTGGCCCTCTCCCTGCTTCAGCAGCTTTGACCCATGCTGTCTCGCACCCATTGGCAATGAGTTCGGCGCTGCCCCATCCTGTACGTTTGGCGATACTGTAAATTCGTTCTACAGTCACGCGTCGCTGGTCAGGGTCTCTGTATTGGACCGCCGCAAAGAAGGAAGGCATACAACTCTCGCATAGTGCAGCCCCAAGGGTTGGATTGAGCGCTTGATTCGAATGTCCTGGAACAATGCCAGCTGCTATACGTCCAATCTCTTGAGCGTAGTGAGACGTCTCCTGTGCGGCAATACCGGCTGCTGCATGAGCCGCTGGCGGCATGTTTGGGTGCGAGCGGATGGCGATGATGACAGCCATGTTGTATATGGCCCATAGACATCCTATGTCGTAGGAGCGATAGACGCGAGCGGTGCCGAATGGTGTGTCCACAGGGTAGTAGGCCTCGGATGACAGTGGTTCGAAAGCTTCACCAAGGCTCATGGAGAATGTACGCAACGCAGCACGAATCCGCCCATACTCTTGCTCGGCTGCCTCCTTCCTCTGCTGCAGGTCGTACTCCGCAGCGTCTGCAGGAAATGCACTTTGCGGCGTTGGCATTGAATGCACGGGTGTGAATGGAGCGTACATGGCCGGCATCTGAACATTCGCGCGTGGTGGAGGCGCCATTCCGTAGAACTGCGGCATTGCGTTCGGTCCCCCAGGCGAGACTGAAGGCGGCTGACCGAACCCTTGTCCGGGAGGAGCACCGTTGGCAGACACCGGTGTTGGTGGTGGTACTGCTTGCGGAGGCGGACCTGGCATCTTCATCCCTGGACTTGGTCTCCACTGACCGCCGTTCGCCTTGACCTGCAACAATTTCCTCTCCCTGTCATGGGATGCAAAGTCTGCGATGCGGCCAAGGAGAAGGACGAGATGGTCAAAGCTGCCGTAGACGGCATCGACTCTGCCTAGTGGAGCACGAGGAGGGCAGTTACCCCATCGACTGAACTCCATGCTGTGCACAATCAGTCATCTCGCTATTCGAAAACAAGTCGGAGTACTCACAGCAATGGATTCCCGCTCACCAGACTTTGATAGACGTCCTGCTTGCAGTACCACCAATACAGGTCCTTCAGAATCTCAAACTTGCCCAAGTCTAATCCAGGAGGAATGCTCATATGTGGAGTTTCGATGTGGCCGTGATCGCCGTACCGCACCTCTCTGCCCGTCATTTCGCTGACTACGCGGTCGTCGACGTCAAGGATCTGGTCCAACATGTCCGCTTGCGAGAAGGGATCCTCAGAGCTGTGTCGTCGCTTCCTGCCGAGACTATGACCCTTCGCAGCTGCCCTTTCCAGCTTCAGGCGACGGAACTCCTTAGCCATCTTTACAAAGTCGGTCTCAACGAACAACTGCCTCGAGCCAGCCAGATGCGTGTTCCATTTCATGTGATCTGCTGTCATGATCTCGTAAAACCCGAGCAACATCGACGCAGCCATGGTACTGACCTTCAGCCGAGTCGACTGCTTGCCGACGGAATTGTGGATACGCCTCAACGCCCACGCGTAGTGTTGCATCGACGGTGTTACAGAGGCGTTCTGCAGTCGAGCGATGTGCAGACTGGCGATTGCTAGCATAGCATGCAAGAGCCCCTGGTTGTGAAGTGCGGCCATCGGCATCGTGTAAGTCCACAACCCCTGTTGCGAGAAGGGAATGTCGTTATCTGAAAACAACATTGACGTGTTTCTTGGATGCCTTTCAAATATCGAAAGGCTCGGCCCAGTCGCGGAGACGAAATGAGCAAAGACCCGCGCAGTCGCCGGGTTCTTGAGTGGACTTGCTTTCTCGTCTACGCGATAGTGATCCAAGATGCCTGCGTAGATGAAAGTGTCATACCTACGCGCTTGCAAATCAGCGACACTTATATTGTTGTGCGCCAGGATCCTGACAAGTGTACGCTGCTGCTTTTGGCTTTGGGAGGGCGATGTATCCAGCACGACATCCACCTCTTCATCTGAAGCCACATCGTAATAGTCGTCATCTTGCATCTCGACTGCTGCAGCGTTGAGCACATCGGTGGTGGAGTGGAATGTTGGTGCGTGGCCTTCGTGCTCGTAGTACTCTGGCGTGAGCTGTGATGCATGTGAGTACGAAGTCGCTGGGGCTGGCTGCGTAGACTCTGGAAAGTAGGCGTTCGAGACCGGTGGTCCGCTCCCTGGAGGCATGACATTCGGTGCACCTTGGGAGATAGGCGTCCATTGCTGCTGTGTCGGCATGGCCGGGGTCTGAGAGAAGGACATCGTGCGTGAAAATGTAGTCGACAAAGGCGGGCCTTCTACATGTTCATAGCCACTGCTACTGACTTGTGGCTTCACATTCGGCCACATATGATTTGGCACTGCAACTGGGCTCTGCTGGAACCTCTCGTGAGGGAATTGTCCAGCAATGTGAGGGGGCTGCTCATACACCTGTGCGACATACTCCGCTGGCAGAGTTGTGACAGGTGTTGCGGCATGGTGATGAAGAGGTGCTTGCGCGAAGTTGACATGGCCACCGCTCGGTACGAACTGATGCTGATGAAGTGGTAGGTTGCTGGCATTCATACGTGGATCCGGCGGTGGTGGTTGCGCAAAGTGTACAGCCTGCGGATTCGGACCAACATAATGCTCGCTCACAGGTGGATGGAAGGCATGTACTTGTGGTGCTCCCGGCATAGCCTGCGTGACTGGATGTTGTTGTTGCACATATTCCACCGACTCCATGGGAAAGCCTAGCGGAGGGTGTTGGTGAATCGGTTGCTCGACATCGACGTGCCGCTGCAGCTGACCATCCCAGACTCTAACATACTGATGACCGACTGGACGCGGCCGTAGCTGCCCATACACAGAGGGATCCAGCATTGACGGCTGCAGTTCATGGTGCCCTGCTGGCGGAACCTGCACTGGGCCAGCCTGAAAGGTAATGTGGGCACCACCATTGGCGACAGGCTGGTAGTCGAAAGTAGGCGGTTTGAAGACCACACGCTGATTGTAGCCCTCGCAATGCCGTTTGCTCTTGATGCAATTCCTACACACCGGGCGCTCCTCACCACACTTGATTCGGCGCTTGCGACAAGTCAAACACCCAGTCTTGGTACGCTTCCGTGACAACTTGGCCTTCAAGGCGGCCTCTGCCGCAGAGGTGTCAGCGGCTGTGGAAGGTCTTCTGTCGTCGGATCGATCATCTTCGGTCTTGATTGCGGGCGCCATGAGGCACGATTAGCGATTATTTCGATCGATTCCAGCTCTATACCACCCGAATTTCCTCATGATGTTGTTGTTTGGAGGTGATTGGCGGCTTAGGGCGTCGGCCAAGATGGCTCAGAATGAAGGAGCTCGCAAGGTCAGATTAGGATCAGATTCGACAGAGCCCGTTGATGTAGGTCCGTGATGTTCTGCAGTAAGCCAGGGTGTGTTGACGATGCGCGATTTGGTCCAGGGTCCGCCAGAGGCTTCCTGGTTGGGCGCAGATCGGGTCTTGGTTGAGTGTGGTGGCACCAACCTCTGAGATGCAATGGTGCGGAGAAGGACGGGCGGCAGACGGCAATGGGGTGCGACTGGGCCTAGTCTATTTGGACGACATGGGCAAGCAGCACAGCAGAATACGTATGTATGTAGGAGGGAAAAGACAAGCGACGGGATGCGGCGACGTCAGGCAGTAATTATGAAATGTGACGAGGATACCTCAGAGCCTCAATAATGCTGTCGTTAGCGGCGGAGACTGCAGGTCCGGGTGGAGTCTGTCGACCCCTCCCTGCTGGCGGAGCGGGATGGGCTGTGGGTAGGGCTCGAAAGCGCGGACAACGAAGGAATCTCAGAGGTGCTTGAGACGATTGCAGCGATTGCTGATGTCGATGTTGTTAGATCCGCGATGGTAGGGAAGGCCCAGAAAGAGTAGGGTATTGTGCAAGAATAGACCGACAGGGATGCGGTTTGAAGTGAAGTTCAGCGGGTCACCTCGTGGGAGGCTTTGGGACGTTGCGAATTGATTGGGTTCGAGTCAGGACCGGGGAACGGATCAGTGTGAGATGCAGCACATCATGCAGGACTGGACGAGGATCAGAAGGGCTCCAATGGAGGCAGACGGCGGCGCTGCTGGCTGGCTGCTGGAATGGTGGCAGACAATAGCCTCGGGTCGGGATGCTTGGCGAAGAGGCTAACTGCTAAGCTTGGTGATAGCAGAACGGCGGCAGCGGTGGAAGTCGGTTCAGGCCCAAGCGGTCGTCAAGTTCGGGCTGGATCGGTGGGCGTGTCTCGCATTGGATTCGAGGTGCAAGATGGTGAGTGGTGAGGTGGTGCGAAGAGAGTTCGCTGCAGGCGTGGAAGAAAGTTCGGCCAGCAAGGATGGCCACGCGCTGGACTGGGGGCCGGAAACACGATGCCGCACGCACCACGATCCTGCCTCCCAACCTCTCTCTCTCACTCGGCGCCGGCGTGGGCGACAAGCGCCGGCAATGGCGCCCTCGTGGTCCTGAGGCAGAGCTTGTGGCTGGCTGACCGACAACTCCACCTGCTACGCCCGAAAGACTGCGATCAAAGTGGAAGTGATGAGGAAAGGCAGAATAATCGCATCATCTCATCCGCACCTCCACGCCCGTCTCGATGCGTACGCACAACACACGGCAGCCTGGCGATTGGGCCCAGACAGAGCTCGTATACCCTCTGCACGCGATTCCCGACTGCTGCGAGGCCTGCTTGACGCCCACGTCGGTGGCGCCTGCGTAGCGTGGGCAGCACACAGGAAAAGGCAAAAATGTGAGAAGTGACAGAAGCGTGTGGTCGCTCAATCCATGCAAGCCGCGACCGATGAGGGCAGCGCAGCTATTCCGACAACACAATCAGTGCATCACACTGCATGCCCATCGAGATGCTCGGAATCTATCCTGGTCTCAGGCTCCACCTCACAATTTCGCGTCTGTCAATTCCCGGCCCCGACAACATTATTGCTGGCTTGGTGAAGGACGTCTTCTGATGCACCGCATGGAAAGACCTCCCCGAGCTCTCATCACAGCTCAGAGCTATCTGCATGATTACACGCTCCTGCTACTGGCACGCGAAAAGGTAAAATAGAGCTTTGGTGCTCCTTCGCTCACCCCGCAAATCAATCCTCAGGAACAAAGACTTCGACCCGAGGACTCGTGTACAGATCTCGTCAATCTCGCCCGGCACCTGTCACGGATCTCGGCGACAGCGTCAGCAAGCGAAAAGAAGCAACAGAGCAAGCCACACTCTCTCAAAGTAGAGTCGAGCTATCTGCCTGTCTTGTCTTCGTGATGCCAAGATACTGCCTACCTGTATTGGGGGCGTCCTTCCAGCTCGTGACGCCTTCGTGAGGTGGGAGTGGTCGAGTTCAATCGACTACAAAGCCACAGGCATGGCGACCTTACCACGTGGTTCAAGGAAATCCATCGATGCTGAACTTCTGTACATTACCTCCAAATCGAAAGTACTTCAAATCGACAGGCTTCGAAGACAAAGGGAGGCGCCAGCCATTCGTCACCTGCCCCAGCAGTCAGGTAGCGAGTTCGCATATGCTCGTGGCCGAAGCATGAGTAGCACATAGATCTGTCATCGCCAACGATCAACGGACTTCACGGCGATGGCTGCGATGCATCTGGGAGTGGCTTGTTCGGGGTGAGAGGAGACTTATCCCGGCTACAAGCCAGAGCCAGTGATGAGCTGGACTGCAGCATTGTTCTCCAATAAGCATTATCGGACATCGTGATGGCCTTTGTTCCAGGCGCCAGCGACTGACTTCACGAAAGGCTTGAGAAACTCCGCCGCCACAGCGCTTCCCTTGGACTTGATGTCTCTGGCCACTGCCGAGTTAGCAATGACAAACACTCGACATGGGGTTCTCACTCACTGTCTGCGATCTGTCTAGCCTGTGTGCCCTCTTTGTTCGTATGCCTAGTTTACCAGCCAAAGTCGGGAAGTCACTTACTCGGACACCATGCTCGTGGGATAGTGACTACGCTTACTTACAATCGATGCTTTGGACGACTTGTTTCTGTGACAGATTGATGCTTTTTGCGATGCGTGGAAGAGGGTATAGCGCATCTCCCAATCAGCTACTGCTAAGACCATAACATGGAGTTGCGAGACTGATCCAACTCCTCGAACCGAGCCAAAGCGGCCAATGTATCCGCGTTTCACGCCAATGTGTGCCCCTTCAAACCACAATTTCAACATCAAAGGCTCACAGCACTAACAAAGGGGTTTCGCTCCTTTGATCATCTTCCCATTTCTCGACGCGATCGATTGGACCACTTCGAGCTCAAATGTGGTACGTCGTCTTTCCTCCAAAGCCCTCGCTCGTCCAACAGATGTACAGCTTTTCCAAAGACACATTCCCAAGACACTCAACATGAATGTGGCCAGATCCTTGCTTATCAAGCTTATGAGCTCTCTGCTTTGTCGACCACAGCGAAAAGACGTCCACACCGCGGGCAATTGGGGACCGGATAGTCCGCAAAGACTCTCTGGCGTCCCGTGTAGCCACAGCGCGCTGCTGCTTGACACTCGTACAGAGTCCAGCGAGTCTCTGGCTTGGACGTAGAGGTAGCAGGAGACACAGGTCCGCATGCTGCCTTAGCGATCGCGACAGCAAGCTCTGGGTACTCCATCATGACGTCCTCCAGCGTAGTCTTCGGCGCAGCATTGACTCCAACAAAGGGGTCCTTGGCGGCCTTCTTCACAATCTCCTCGCGAATCTCCTCCGTCGCCAGCGAGGCGTCGTATGCACATCTTGCCGCGTCTGCGAGGTCGTCGACGGAGCGGGCGCTGTCCAGAGCGGCTTTGAACTTCTCGATGGCGAGGACCTTCAGGGGCTGCATGTCGTATTTGTCGGCAATGACACACATCTGGACGTGGAATTCAAGCACTCCTTCTTCGGCCGGGTAATGCTTCTCGACGCTCGAGTCGTAGTCCCAGTAGTACATGTACTCGACAAAGGCATCGAGGATGTCGGACTCGTACTCGGAGAGATCGAGGGTGCGCTGAGAGGCCTCCTTTGGAAAGTACACACATTAGTCTGGACGTCGTGACCAGCAGCGGATTCAGACACTTACTGCGAAGCCCCCAGCGCATGCCTTCTCGAGGACTTTGGAGTGTGCCGAGAGTACGAGGCGGTGCACCTTGCATTGGGCGCCACGGGAGATGAGTGTGAAGTCGCAGAGCTCATCGAACTCATGCAGTCGCGCGAAGAAGGCCATCTTGTCTGCGTCGGTCGCCATCGCGGGAATGCTCGTCGCGTGGTTTTGACTCGAGGATGTTGATGTCGAGTGTGTTTGTGTGTTTGTGTGTGCTTCTGGAAAGAGTCGAGGGAAAGAGCGACCAGGCGGCGCTAGTGGCTGCCGCCAGCCGGCGCCGAAACCTAAAGCTTTGCATGTGACACGCTTGCTTAAGTGAATAACATCTTTACCAGGGGCGCTACAGGTCCAGCTACTCGAGATCATCTTGCGCACAGGCTATGGTCCAAGTCTTCACATACGTGAAATCGCATGTCGACTGGGCTCTATGCTGACCCCCAAGACTTTCAACTTAGACCGTCACATTCCGATGGGATCTGGAGCCCTGCTTCTACACGAAGCGGCCGCTTGCGAACTGGGATCTTCAACTACTCTTCTGAGCTCCTACCGGTATAATGCTCCCTCGCTGAGACCCCTTCATAGGACCTAAGGACTGTCTAGGTACATTCTGGTATATACTGAAATCATCCCTTCGCTTGACTGCCGCATCTCCTTACCGCTCCTACAGCACATGCACAAGCATGTCACAAAGGTGCGAAATCCGCAGTATCCGCATCATGACGATACAATCTTCAGTCATGAAGCCGATAGTGCCGGAATCAAGCCAGAGTCAAGTCCGTGTAGATATCGGAGGCAATTACATCCGCACGCATGTAACGAGGCTGATCGCAAGCGACAAAGACCCTCTATAAAATGATCGACTGTCAAGTCGAACTCACACAATGACACCCTCTTTATGTTGAAGCAGGACATATTGTAATATCAAGACTACCAAAACACCAAGCAGACCAACTTCCAAGACTGCAAATATGTCCAGCGAAGCCAACGGAAAATCGAGCCTCGAAACTTTCCCACTATGGATAGATGGAGCCACATACAAATCTCACAATGTGGATAAGTTCGCTGTCTTCTCAGCCAAAGAAGGGAAAGACGTCCACTTCGCCCAATCCGCCACTGCAGAGGTCGCCGAACAGGCCGCAGAAAGCGCAGCACGAGCAATGCCAGCATGGGAGAGCCAATTCTCCTGCTCGGCGAGACGAGAGATCCTCGAACGCTTCGCAGGCTTGATCGAGACTCGTCAGCAGGAACTCGTCGATGCTCAGGTCCAGGAGACGAGCACCTCGGAGACTTGGGCGCGGTTCAATATTGAGTACAGCGTGGGGATGATCAGGGAGATTGCCGCTCGCGTCACTGCTGTGTGCACGGGCGAGATGCCACCTATGTCTGCGACGGGGACTTTTGGCATGGTTATTCGCAAGCCGATCGGTGTTGTCTTGCTTATTGCTCCGTAAGACAAAAACCGCTTAGCCACCAGACTCACTCTAGCACTGACATGTATTGCAGTTGGAACGCAAGCGTCATTCTAGCCTCCCGCAGCCTGGCGTCCATCCTCGCAGCAGGTTGCACGGTCGTGTTCAAGGCATCAGAACTGTGTCCCAAAGTACACCACCTCCTGCTCGAGCTCCTGATCGAGGCCGGAGTACCTGCCAACGTGGTCAGTGTGATTCAGACCAGTCGTGAGGATGCCGGCCCGGTGACTGAAGCCTTGATCGTCCATCCTGCCATCCGGAAGATTGAGTTCATCGGCAGCGCCCCTGTCGGTCGGATCATAGGCTCACTGGCGGGAAAGTATCTCAAGCCAGTGTTGATGGAGCTTGGAGGGAAGTGTGCGGCTGTCGTGCTGAGAGATGCTGATTTGAATCACGCTGCAGAGAAGTGTATCACAGGAGGTATGGACCTCCTCGTAGCAAGACTCAGCTTCTTCTTCACACTGACTATCAACCGTGTCCAGGTTTCATCAACCACGGACAAGTCTGCTTCTCCACGGAACGCATCATCGTCGAGAAGCAAGTTGCAGACGACTTCATCGCCCTCCTCAAACAGAAAGCCAACGTCTGGCCCCAAGACCGAGGAGTGAGCGCCCGCATCATCCAAGCAGCTCATGACAAGCTCGCCGACGCTCATGCAAAAGGAGCAACGTTCCTTCTGGGAGAGCCTGCTTACACCTCGAAGACCTCCCTGGCCCCGGCCATCCTCACCAACGTGACCAAAGACATGGACATGTGGGACGAAGAGACCTTCGGGCCCTCTACCACCGTCATCGTCGTCGACGGCGAGGAAGAGGCTATCAAGGTCGTCAATGAGTCCAAGTACGGTCTTGATGCGTTCCTCTTCACGCGCGATATGAAGAAAGCGGTGGATATCGCTCGCAGACTGGAGGTTGGGAGGGTGAGGGTGAATTCTTCGGGTCATGAACGTCAGTGTTGTTAACCTACTCTTTGTATCGAACGTTTCAGGGCGCTAACGATGTTGTAGCTACGTTCCCGACCGCCCCTGTTAAGAACAGCGGTTGGGGAACGAATAACGCGGGCCATGGCATTGAGGAGTTTTTGGTGAAGCAAGTTGTTACTATGGACTTTCGATAGATGATCCCGATGTCTGCATTTGCAAGCCTCAACTTGGATCTACCACAGAGAACACGTTGCAATCCTATATCTGCCGAAAATCCTCTAGTCTTCTTGTAAGTGGTTGGAGTTAGTATACGGAAGCAATTGCTTCCGGAGATAAATGTCGAAATTCAGGGGCGGACAACGACGGGGTTAACACAAGCTCCGGTACATAAGTGTAGACACTTTACCGTCAGACTTCGGATCCAACCTATTCCATACTCTACCTGCGGACCGGAAGTAGAAGCGCTCTCGACTGCTTGGGAACAATGCCTCCCTCTCATGAGACCAGCGAGGTTGCTGGCATTGCCCGCGAGGATGAGCCGCCTCCCGCAAAGCGACAGAAAGTGACGGCTGCTTGTGACGAGTGTAGAGCCAAGAAGATCAAGTGCGACAGCAGACGAGAAGGTCGGTGTTCATCTTACTTGTGCCATTCTGACTGCGATGACTTGACGTTTAGGCTGACAGACTTTGACCAACCGCAGTCTGTGGCCCTTGTCAACGGACCGGTAGTTCCTGTCACTGGGGCATTCGAAAGAAGCGCAGTGCTGGTGTTTCCAAGCAAGAGCTTTCTCGTCTCAAGATCAGAGTGGAAGAACTCGAGACTGCTGCAGCGAAGTCTGCTGGGGTTGAAAATGCCCAGGCCTTTCCTCCTACGTCCCCGGCTGGGCCTCCTGAGTCGTCATTGGCAGGAGAAGATGCAGCAGAAACGCCAGCCATGATGGGTCTTGCAGCAGATGGCGCCAGTCCGCTAGGTCCTCGTCAACAAGTCCATAACGGATACTCCAACTTCAGGACCGTCAGCTTTGTCAACCAACTCCTTACCGCGATCGATGGATCATCCACTCCTGTGAAGCCAAGGTCTGCCCCACTGAGCCGTAGTCGAAGCAGCAGTGTATGGACCAAAGAGCCGAAAGAAGGACCCCGGGACCATATCTTGCCTAATCGTTCTCGGGCAGACCACCTACTGGCAGTGTACTGGCGACTTGTCCACACGCTGTACCCGTTCCTGGACGCCGACGAGATCGAGTCACGGTACCGTAAAGTATGGACTGGAGAAGACTCTGGAGCCGACTCAACGACTTTCCTCTGTTTGTTGAATATCATCTTCAGCCTGGGATGCCATTTCGACTCCACCACGGCACCAGAGACCAGGAGTGAGAATGCTGCAGTCTTCTTTGGCCGGGCGCAGGAGCTGCTCAGCTTGCAGTCGCTTCGCTATCCATCGTTGCTAACCGTTCAATGTTATCTGCTAATGGGCCAATTCCTTCAAAGTTCGAACGATCCACAGCTATGCTGGATTGTTGTTGGTATAGCGATCCGTTTGGCTCAGAGCTTGGGTCTTGATCTTGAGAGAGCAAACGCACGGGACTGCAAGTCCCAGGTTGCCCGCTGTGTCTGGCACGGCTGTGTGATGATGGACAGAACGCTGTCTACGGTCTTTGGGCGGCCGTCAATCATAACTCCGCGCGAGGCTGCATCAGTCCCTTTACCTGAGGCGCACGACAGAGGCATTGCTTGCAACTGCACCACGATGCCTTGTTCTAAAGAAGAGGGCCAGTCAGCGATGCACTTCTTTATCGAATCACTGAAGCTGTTCGAGCTCACAAGCAAGCCTCTTGAAGCCTTTCACGATCAAGCAGCGCCTCGCGAGAAGACGTCAATCAATATGACCCCATGGCCGCCGGCATGTATAGAGCCCAAAGTCCTTGCTGCAGTGCTCGATGTGGATAAGGCCACGTGGAGTTGGGTCAATGGTCTGCCTCTCCATCTTCGGCGAGACAGCACCGTCGTCAGATCCGCCGTCCATGTCCGCCAGACCAATATACTGTTCTTGAGGCATCGACTCTTCCGAATCCTCTTGTTCCGTCCAATTCTTGCCCGCACCTGCCACGCCTTACAAGATGGCCAAGCCCCCGAGAGCCTGGAAGATGGATTGGCGCTTGAAATCACGCTGCAATGTGCCGTCAGCTGTGTCCGAAGCGCCCTCGAGGTCATAAGCTTCTTCGACGAGTCCATCGCCGCGCATGATTTTGCCGAGCTGGACGAAGTGCTTTCTTCCTGGTGGTACAATATCTTCTACTTGTACACGGCCGCCACTGTACTTGTTGCGGGACGGCTTCATCCCTCGATCGAGACGCACTTGTCGAGGACCGTCGTTGATCAGGCGCTTCGGAATTCGATGCGGCTTCTGAATCACTTCTCGGGTTTCAGCAGTCATGCAGCTAAAGCAGCTCGCATAGTGGCTTTGTTGCTTGAGAAGGCTACTCGGCAGCGCCAGCGTGGTTCAGGTGCTCCGTCAGGGGTGAAATCGACTCATTGCGAGGGAGATGGCCAGCGAGCAGCAGGATCATCGTCTTCGACAACAGCCCACTTCGAGGCAACAGCTCGCGGGCTTCGACATGTAAGAGGGGAATCAGATGATACAGGCCTCGAAACGACGCGTGGAGTCCAAGGTCAGGTTGTTGGGAACGACAATCCCGGAGAAGCGGGACCACAGATCCTGGCTGACAGCTTTGGTGTTGGCTTTGATCTATGGCAATTGGACGACGACTTTAGTAACATGGCTTGGTTGACCGGCTTCCCATCTGAGTTTGGCACCTGGTAGAATGGCCAGCCGCCGAGTTGGCAGGCTGAGGCAACATAGCCAGTGTGTGTGATCAGATTCGGAAACAATTTGCTCCCAGACTATGTATCGTCTGTCGTCTGTCAGCGGGAGAACGAAACGGGACTTACATGCTGTGAAGAGGATGCAGCGTGGCTACGCCTCGAAGATCGTATTCCATTGAGTCTCATCAAAACTATTGAGACAGCCAGTAATCGAAGTAAGCCACCAAGCTCTTGAGCGACTGCTCCTTGCACCAACCTACGACACGTTAGCCATGATCCACGGAGAATCAACCACAAATCCTGAACTCACCCTCATATGGAACGTCAAGATTCGCCCTCAACGCAAACCCATGTTCGACCCCATGGAAAAGCTGCACCCCGTACTCCTTATTATCTTCAATCATGATATCCACAGCCTTGTTCCTCGACTCGGTCCCGAACGTATGATCAATCTCGGAGCAGCTCAGATAAAGCGGCGCCTTCAGGTTGCGGAAATGATGGTCCTTCAAGAACGCCGGATGGGCGAACCCGCCGACTTGGCAGGTTCCGTCTGCGAGGGAGTTGCAGACATACGGCGCTCCGAAGCAGTAGCCGACGCAGGCGTACTTGGTGCTGGGCTTGCCGTAGAGTTCTTTGACTTCCTTGGTCCATTCGGGGACTTTCTTGTCGGCCCAGGCGGCGTGCTTCATTACCCAGGCTTCGAAGTCGAAGCCTTCTTCTTTTGGCTGCCGGTTGGAGTCTCGGTGGAGGAAGATTGGGTCGTTCTGGAAGTAGTCCAGGCCGAGGGTTAGATATCCGGCATGTGCAGACCTGTCAGTAGTGTGGAAAGATTGATGAGTAGGTTGACGTATCTGCGAAGGTGTCCATGACCAATTGAGCGTTTGTGAACATCCCGAACACCTAAGAATCTGTGAGTACATGGCACGTGAGTTATACAGAAACGGAGAAGCGTACATCGGCGTAGTAGAACAAGATATGACCCTGTTAGGATGAATGTCAGCTGTGTCTATCGCATCAAGGCGCCACTGTTGACACTCACATTGCTCTGGCCAGGATTTGGCGATGAGATGTACGTATCGACTCCAGCAATGTTCTCGAACTTGCCTCTAGGACTTCCAACATGAAGGTGTCCCTTCAAACAGCAGTCTCCACTCGGCCTGCAGCTCCATGTCAGCTCTCTGCTCGAAAGTGTATTTCCCAAGCTCGACGAACTTCGCCAGCCACGGCACATCAACGTGTCTCTCGGTGGAAGTCATTGTCGTCAATTTCAGCTGTACCAATGTATTGATGTCGTCAGAAGAAGGTTCCTCACACAGCTCTCAAGCATGAGCTCAGATATAAGACGAGGCCTGCCTCGGTATCCGTCGGAGACAGCTCTCAAGCTGTTCCCTGTTCCCCTCTTCCAACAACCCGTAAAGCAGCGATTGGAGTCATTCTTGATCAGCGTTACTGTAGCGATGACTACTTGTTTTGCTCGCCACTGCGACTGCGAAAGCGAGCGAAAGTGAGTGGGCGGTTTGCAGCCCTACCTCCGGAGGTAAGAGGTCTCGTTGTTCAAGATCCGAGTTCTCCAGGTGTTCTCGGAGAAGTCAGGGGTGGCTGGAGCCCCTGTCCATTGTTGAACGTCCACTTGGAGAGGAGGGAGTCACGTATATATGCTGCAACATTCCTGGACGCAGCACTCGCCCATATGGTCAGTAAATTGGCTTCAATCTTCAACCCACCGATGGGCAATGGCTCCCGATGTCCTTCGACTTCGGGGCGAAAGGACGGAATACAGTAATCCTCACAGAATTGATTGTAAACCAGACAGAATCGCTAGCTCGAGTAAATCCACTGTTACCCATTCAAAGGTAACAGCTATCTCGGACAGCAATGCGTCTTTTCTCAACTTGCTGTTCGGCAACTGCTGTTTTGTCCGGTGCCAAGCATCGAGTTTTCCGACGGGAAAGTCGGTCGCCCGTAGGAAACCAGACGGAAAACATCAAGGGACCAGCTCCTTCGTAAAGATAAGATGGGATTGCAATCGATTGTTCTTTCAAAACCGTCGGAAAGTGTGTGAATTCCTCAGTATCATTCACACCACTCCAGCATAGCATATCTCAGCCATGGCTCGATTGTACGAAAACGTTGACCAGGACCAGCTCCAGCGTGATGCTGACGACTCGCTGTTGCATTATGGTATCCGGATTCCGTACATCCATGAGATGACATTTGGCTGACACAATTCAGGCACATCCTTCCATCCAGAAGTCATTGTTCATGCCGAAGGCCGAACGATCGTGGGTAGCTCTGGACTTCGGATGCTGGACTGGACCTCAGGGCAGATGTCAACGTTGATCGGCCATGGAAATCCAGAGATCGTCGAAACGATTCACAGCCACGCGAAGAATCTTGACCATCTCTTCTCGGGCATGCTGAGTCCGCCTGTGATCTCTTTGGCAAAGCGTTTGACGAGCTTGACGCCCCCGGGATTAGACAAGGCGTTCTTCTTGAGCACCGGTGGCGAGAGCAATGAGGCTGCGATCAGACTCGCGAAGTTCTATACTGGCAAGTTTGAGATCGTCGGGCTAGCGGCGAGTTGGCATGGTGTCACTGGCACGGCGATCGGAGCACAGTACCACGCCGGAAGGGCAGGTTATGGTCCCAACATGCCTGGCAACTTCGCCTTGCCAACGCCAAATGCATACCGATCAATCTTTCGACATCCAGACGGCTCCTACGACTGGCGCACTGAGCTTGACTATGGCTTCGACCTGATCGACAAGCAGTCATGTGGTTCGTTAGCAGCACTGATCCTGGAGCCCATCCTATCTTCTGGAGGAATGCTAGTCCTTCCACCCGGCTACCTCAAGGCTGTGAAGGAGCACTGCGAGCGACGAGGGATGTTGCTGATTATTGACGAGGCTCAGACTGGCATTGGTAGAGCTGGCGACATGTTCGCTTTCCAACACTTTGCCGAGGACGAGGGTGTGGTGCCGGATGTCCTGACGCTGAGCAAGACGTGTAAGTTCCTGTCAGATTGCTCAGACAAAGCCAATTAATTGACTGACGATGAGCGCAGTGGGTAATGGTCTTCCACTCAGTGCTGTGGTGACAAGCGACAGGATTGCCGAGTTTGCCAAGGAGAACCACTTCTTGTTTTACACAGTAAGTTCATTCATGTTCTGTCATGGAGCGAAGTCTAACTCGCCTCAGACTCACATAAACGATCCATTGCCGGCCAGCGTTGGTGATAAGGTGCTCGAGATAGTTGTCAGAGACAATCTGGTGCAACGCTCGCGGGAGCTAGGCCAGAAGTTCCAGAAAAGGCTACAGACTATCAAGTCTCGTTACGGCTGCATCGGCGACATCAGAGGGCGAGGTCTCATGGCCGGGTTGGAAATAGTGGCTGATCGCGAGACGAAGATAGGAGACCCAGAGCTGGGGGCTGCGGTCGGCACCAAGATGACAGAACTTGGGCTGTGGGCGCAGCTCAGCACAATGCCATCTTTTGGTGGAGTATTTCGATTGGCGCCGCCTCTCACGACCACCGATGAGGAGTTGGAGACTGCCCTTAAGATCATTGAGGATGCTCTTGCGTCGACGCCTGGAACCAAGCCGCTGTACTCGGTGACGGAGCGGACAGTCTCGACGCCTCAAGTTGAAGCAAGGCTTTGAACTTCAATGCAAGACGTGTGAATTGGAAGTCTGTCGGAGGGACGATTTGGTGATTTGATAGATAGATCAAAAACTTAAGGAAGTGATGGGAAGGGGGAACTGTCAACAAACTCGAAGTCAGGGTTCATCCCGTGGCCCATGCACCTTCCCAGCCTCCAAATTTCTTCTCGACGCGTCTTCTCCTTCACTTCAGCGCGTCCATGTTATTGAATTATTCTTGATGTAGAATACGAGGACGAGATTGCTGTATACCAGTATCATGAAAGAGAGGTACACCGTGACTCCGCCTTGCAGCGGAATATTCGCCTGGGCGGCCGCGGGCTTCTCCGCCATGACAAGGTCTTCCCGATAAGATCAAGGCCTCCTCTATCTCTTGTCCAACTCTCACTTCTTCTTCAATTGACAACAAAACGCCTTAGGTGCCCTGACAATACCTAGCTCTCATGGAGAATGCCGTGATATCGACTCCAGCTGAGAGCCGCCCGTACCGCTCACACAAAGTTCCAGCCTGTGACCTTTGCAGACACCGGAAAATCCGATGTAATATTGATATACCCGGCCAGCCATGTCGATTCTGCAGGGAAAGAGATTATACTTGCGAGTATTCACAGAAAAGCGAGCATGTCGATGGCGACTCGCCGGCAAAGCGACGCAAGACACACGCAACTTCGTTCTCTGGAGGAGGCTCTCGGTTGGCAGAGAAAGGCCTCGCACAGTTCCCAAGCGTCGCTGGTACATCGCCAACGGAGTCATCTCTCATACTCAATCCTCCAATGGCCGAAGATATCGAAATCCTCGAGCACTATCTCACGTCTAACGGGCCAGGCGGTGCGTCGACAGGAAAGCCATACAGTTTGATCTCGAGTGCACCCGGAAACCCTATAATATACCTCACCGTACCTAGGCGGCGGCAAGGACTGTCTACGGCTGTAGACCCAGGTCGCACGCAGCGAGAAGTCATAGAGCAGGTGCTTGGACCTTTGAAAAGCGATGTCATCGCTCTGTAAGGCAAACGAACCGACCTCATACAGCCGAGTCGTTGACATTGCCAGGTATTTCGACAAATTGCATCCTTGCTTTCCTATCCTTGACGAGAAGACCTTTCATGAAGTCTGGCAGAAGGACCCGAATAGGTTGTCCTCGACTTTGGTCTGCGACATCTACGCATCAGCTTTGCACTTCTGGAACACTTCCGAGAAGCTCAAACGACATCCCAGGCCAGACTTAGTGGTGGGTTCCAAACTAACGGGAAACAGAGATCTCATCACTGACTACATGGAAACAGTTCCTTTGGAATCAAGCGGTCGCTGCTATACAGGAAGACTTCCTAGGCTCAACGATCTCCACCGTACATGCAAGCCTCTTAGACCTCATCGGGCGGCCAGTCCTCTCCATTACTGGCAACATAGTAACTTTGGGTCGTACTGTGACCCTGGCGCACAGTCTTGGACTCCACAGAGACCCAACAAATTGGAAGGCAACTGAGCACGAGAAGAATGTCCGCATCAGACTGTGGTGGGGCGTGCTCATACACGACTATTGGTGTGTCCAACACTGCTAGAGGCATGCAAATACTGACCAAATAGGTCGAGTCATGCCCATGGCACCCCACCTCTGATCCACAGACAGAATTGCGATGTTCCACTCCCCAAAGTGGAATCTCTCCTCACCACAGACGCAGCAGAGACCCATCAGCGATCTGCCCACTCATTCCTCTATCTTTGTCTCTTGTCAAGGATTTTGGGAGACTTGCTACCATTCGTGTACGCCCTGCAGCCAGATCACGAGCAAGTATCGAGACATGTCCGTCGACTCGAATGTGCGTTGGACGACTGGGAAGCTTCGTTGCCTGACTTTCTCCGCGTTGGTGTCTCGCACGAAGTCGTGAATGGAGCGAGCAGTCTCCATTTCTGTTTCCTCTCATTGAAACTGCTGCTCTGTCGAATAGCATTTAAGGTAGGTCAACGCAGACACTTGCTCCTACTGATTTTTGTGCTGACAACTCAGAAGACATCGAGCTCGGTGCTAGCTGAAGCAAGATCTTACCGACTCGCAATGCTTCGAGAGGCAGCGTCTGCCTTGACGGAATTCGTGTGCTCCCTGGAAGCTACGCAACTTTCTGAGTTCTGGTTACCATGTAAACCTCTCTACGAAACTCTTTCTCTGGCTAGCTCGCTGACAATCATAGACACCGCGCACCTGCTCGTTTCTGCGACTACGATACTGTTGCGATGTCTGCTGGAATCGACAGATCTCGCAACCAAGAAAGACTGCGCTGCAAAACTTCTCCGCCTCCAGCGACGTCTTGAAACGGCCCTCGAGGCTTCAGAATGGGACCTCGCCGACTTCTGTCTGGAGAGATGCACCGAGCCCATACACAAGATCGCTACTGCAATGGGCATCTTGGACGAAAGCCCAGCTCTACCCTCAACATCCGCCCAGGACGCTTCTCACGGCCATAACGTGTTTGAATCGGACACGACCTTCCCCGAGCTCCCCTCGGACTTATTCCTTCCCGTCGATTCTCTGGACTATCCTTTCGACGCGTTGTGGGACGTTTCGCTTTGAGTTCAGAATCCTCGTTTTCTCTATCGACTATTGCTTATGATACAATCCGGTTTCAGGAGGCGGCACCCCATACCAATCGAGACCAAGCTTGTCCTCTGGATCTGGATCCGGCATCTGATAGTAGCCGTCGTATCGCCACCAGGTTCTACCTTCCCAAACATCCTCTACTGGCAGAACGCCTTCAGCCTTCATGCAATCGCGAGTCTTGACTGCGCCTTTCCAGACTCGAATCATATTGGCACCACACACTTTCGCAAGCTGCTCTTCCGTTGCACCGCGGTCAAGTATAGCCTTCAACAATGCTGGATAGCAGCGAACATCCTCAAGACCTGGTATGACGCTCGCGATACCATCAAAGTCGGAGCCCAAGCCGACATGATCCCAACCGATGCGATTCGCAATGTAGAACCTGGAAGTCGTCAGCATGGCTTCGAGGATGTGATGGTACTTGATTGCGGACAGGTGATCTAGAACCATTTCCATCTTCGCGTCCTGTCTCCTGGTGGTGACATGCTCAGGCACGAATGTTACGGCAATCAGACCTCCATTCGCCGGTATCATGTCTAGGATTTCGTCTGGGACATTCCGAGGGCAATCAAACACAGCTTTCACGTTGGAGTGTGAGAACATGACAGGTGCTCTGGTTAACTCTAGCGCTTGACGAGCGCAGTCTGGAGAGACATGTGAGAGGTCGATTAACATTCCTGCCTGCGTTAGTTTCGGGTTTGCGACAAACCGCTACGCGCCGCCTACCTAACCTGTTCATCTCCTTGATCACAGATCGACCAAGGTGCGAAAGACCTCCATGGACTGGACCGATCTTCGACGTGGACGAATCCGCAAACGCATTGTTACATACATGCGTTAGAGTGCACTGGATCAACGTGCTTAGGGGGCGTTATTGTATCGAACACCTGATTCTGGACTTACATATCGCACACCGAGGGAGTAAAAGGCTCGAATGATCCCGATGCTGTTGCCTGCCATATGCAGACTATTGGACGAGTCAGCCGATTCCATGTGTCGACAGAGAGGCCACACACCCTTCGATGCCAATGGAACACGCAATCTTGTTATCCTTGTAAGCTTTTTCGACATCTTCAGGCTCGAAGATGAGCTGAAAGGTATCCGGATAACTCTGGACCATCCTGACGGTCATGTCGATCTGCTCAGTAGCATCACGAGCCTGGGCGATGTCAGTACTGCAGTTAAGGTTGCTTGCGTTCACCTGCCATGTCGCTATACTCGGGAGTAGAGAAGTTCTCTGCGGACCGGAGACATGGGACGCAAATGCTCCAGAATTGGGCACCAACGGCGCCCTGTCCTGGATTTGAAAGTCAGCCTACCTGAGACTCTGGACGAGGAACTGTCGAACAACGTACGGAGTCGAGGAATATCTGTCATCCCTCTTTCGAAACCCTTTTGCAAGTCGAACTTTGGATTGTCGTGTATCCTGCCATGGAAGCAAGCTCGCCTAGCAACAGACTGGTAAGCAAAATTCTGGGCTTATCGACTGCATATGCTAAATGGTACTAACGGTTGTTGTGGGAGGTCATTGTGAAGATCGAAGAGTGGCGTGCTTTTCAGAACTCGCTTTACCCTCGAGTCGATGTCGAGCGCTTGGTATGAATCCATCGCTGTCTGACCAAATCTGGAAATTTCGTGTAGCGACCTCTCTCTGAATTCTTCACGAACAGTGAACATGAAGAAGAGCAATGTCTGCCAAAGATGCGGAATGACTTCCCTATCAGCTATCGATAGGTGGACAGGGATCCAAGATATCGCGGGCGGCCAACTTCTTGCCCTTTGCAGGGTTTCCCGCGACGGAGAACTCTTTCCCGGGCTATCGGGTCGATGCTAGCACTATGTCCCCTCCTATCTGTCGTTCCAGGCATATGGTTGGAAGAGATACGGTGTGACGCCGACTGCAAACACGGAAAGATATATACGACGGGCTCCAGCCCTAGCATATGCCTGGCCTAAAGCTTGCTGGCATACTTCGCCATGATCGATATGGAGTCCGGAGACACAAAGAGCTTTCGTGACTCTGTCAACAAAGCAGAGGTCGATGCTGCGTATGGCGTTTATGAGGACATTCGAGGTTCCGAGGTGGACAGCGCAGCGCAGAGATCGTTGTTGTGGAAGATTGATCTGCGCTTGATGCCGTTGATGTAAGAGCATTGAAGCTGTCGTCGGGCTCTAGAAAGCAATGCTGATCGTAGCAGATGCATCACTTACATGCTGCAATCGATTGACAAGACGACACTGGGCTATGCGGCCGTCTTTGGTGTAAGAGACGATGCGCACCTCAGCGGCACTGAATATTCCTGGCTTGGTGCTCTGTTCTACCTCGGATAGTGAGTGACCATGTCACTTGTTGTAATCGCAGCGCTGACTTACACAATCACAGCCTTGCTTGGGAGTATCCAACGGGTGAGACATCACAAAGTGCCCAGGCTTGGATGTGCAGGACTGACTACTGCTCACAGGCTTGCTGCTACAAAAGCTACCGATCGCCAAGTTCATGTCTATCACTGTAATCCTCTGGGGTATCGTCTTGATGTGCCATGCTGCCGCTTCAGACTTCGCCGGCCTCGCTACCGCACGTACCTTTCTCGGAGTGTTTGAAGCTTCCATCAATCCTGGCACGATGCTTCTGTTCTCAAGGTGGTATCGTCGAATCGAACAGCCTCTCCGCATAGGCATCTGGGTTGGAAGCGCGGGACTCGGATAAGTGAGTCTTGTTTCAAGGAAAAGCTGGATCTCGGACGCTGACACAACGCAGGTGCTTGCTGGTATAGCGTCGTTTGGCATCGGTCATATCGGTGGAGCCCTTCCCAGCTGGAGATACATATTCCTCATATGGGGTGCCATCACAACTCTCTGGGGCATTGTTATCTTATTCTTCCTTCCCGATAGTCCCGTTAAGGCCAAGTTTCTGTCGGAGGATGAACGAAAGGCTGCCATCGATCGAATTAAGGAAAACGAGACTGGCATTGAGAACAAGCATTGGAAGAAAGATCAGGTGCTGCTCATTGCCTTGCGAGTGTAGTCGCATATACTGACTGGCCCACAGTTCATCGAGGCAATGCTTGACGTAAAGACCTGGCTTCTGTTCGTCTTCGCTGTCACGAGCAACGCCCCCAATGGAGGGCTGACCAACGTGAGTAGAAGGCGCTCGTCCGGCTGGTCAAGACTAACACGTAAACAGTTCCAAAGCCTCATCATCAAGGGCATGGGGTTCTCTACGCTCGAGACAACACTAATTCAAATGCCGAGCGGTGCCGTACAATTCTTCGTATGCACCGGAGCAACGTAAGCACACATCGACCGATCGAAAAGCATTCACTGACCCTCCGCAAGATATTTTGCCTCTCGCTATCCCAATGCACGCCTGGTGGTGATGCTCATATGCCTCATTCCGTTCCTCGCCGGCACGATTGGCACCTGGCTGGTCCCGCAATCTGTCCCGTATGGTCGGCTCGTATGTCTCTGGATCTCGTTCTCCTATACGGCGACATGGACATTGAGTATGTCCGTTGCTACTGCAAACACCGCTGGACACACAAAGAAAGTCGCCACGAATGCGATGCTGCTCATTGGTATGTTACACCACCCGAAATTAACCGCTTCTACGAGACTGACTAGTCTATAGGCTATTGCCTTGGAAATTTTGTCGGCCCGTTCTTCTTCGTAACCAAGCAAGCCCCTAGATACGAACTTGGCGTGGGTATGATGTTCTTCTGCATCGGCATCCAAGTCCTCAGCATCGGCGGCCTATGGGTTCTTCTCTGGAGACGTAATGTCTCGAGACGGAAGCTGAATGCTACCAACGACCGTTCCGCTGGATATGAACTGGGCTTCCAGGATGTGACGGACAAGGCGAACAAGTACTTCGAGTATGTATATTGATTCAAGAAAGGGGATAATGCAGACAGACGACGTTGTTTGGCAGGACTGCGAGCGAATCAGTACCTAGAGCCGCCACCCTATGAGGAAAAGCCCTCCGTGCAACTACAAAGCATTTCCGTGCTTCTGTGATGTTCGCGTTCATCACACGTACTGCACTTTTTCGTCGTCTTCCGGCACCATCCGAGCAGCATGCTCCAATTTGAGCGGGCCATTGACGTAGGCGTTGCGTTGCGAAGCTTCCATCGAGCTCCAGCCATTGGAGCGGCCGTGGTGGTTCGAAAGAATATGTATAAATGGCTGATCGATCTGACAGAAACCACTAGCTGCCATTACACATCGTCGGCCGAGAAGACTGAAGTACGGTACAGCGGTTCATATATACAAGGTCGGTCCTCACCACGGACAGCAAGCGAACACAAGAAGCAATTTTCTGTCCATCAAATCGAACCACGTCCATCGAAATCGAACAGGCAGACATGTCTTTCCGCGTAATCGAAGATGTCGCCTACCGCACCAAAGAGGGTGTCAAAGCCCCCGACCCCGTGGCCTACGAACAGAAGATCTACCAACGAGGTCTAGAATACGAACGACCACCATTCACCTTCCAAAGCCTCAAATGGGAAGCCCAGGCCGAAGAACGCATGGCCGCCGAATCCAAAGGCTACGTCGTCGGCAACGCTGGAACAGGAGAAACAGCCAGGAAGAACCGCGAGGCGTTTGCCAAATGGTCCATCGTGCCCAGCCGTCTGAACAAGACCAGTGAACTACCAAACCTCTCGACGCAGGTTAAGAGGATCTCAGAGCAGAGATTGCCGTTTCCGATTGCGATTGCGCCTGTTGGGGTTCAGAGGATCTTCAATCCGGATGGGGAAGTTGCGTCTGCTAAGGCCGCGGCGAGGGAGGGTGTTCCGTATATTATGAGCACGGCTTCGAGTACGAGTATTGAGGATGTGGCGAAGGCGAATGGGGATGGCGTGAGGTGGTATCAGCTCTATTGGCCGTCGAATGAGCATAACGAGATCACGGCTTCGCTTTTATCGAGGGCGAAGAAGGCTGGCTTTTCGGCTTTGTTTGTTACCTTGGATACGTACATTCTTGGGTGGCGTCCGAGTGATATGGACAATGGGTGAGTCGTTCGCGTAGAATGTTGTCCTTGTAATTAGACGCTGACGAACGCACAGCTACAACCCTTTCCTCCGAAGCGACAATATCGGCGTGGCAATCGGCTTCGCTGATCCCGTCTTCCGAGCCCAGTTCAAATCGAAACACGGAGTCGAGATCGAAGAGAAGATCCACGATGCCGCAGCCGAGTGGACCCAGACGGTCTTCCCAGGCTTCTCCCATAGCTGGGAAGATATCAAGTTTCTCAAGGAGCACTGGGACGGTCCTATCGTCCTGAAAGGAATCCAAACCATCGCTGATGCCCAGAAGTGTGTCGAGCTCGGCCTGCAAGGTATTGTCGTGAGCAACCACGGCGGTCGACAGGTCGATGGCGGCGTCAGTTCGTTGGGAGTACTTCCTCGAATCGTCGACGCGGTAGGCGGCAAAATCGACATATTCTTCGACTCTGGCATCCGATGCGGTGCGGATATCGCCAAGGCATTGGCATTAGGTGCCCAAGGCTGTCTCATCGGAAGGCCCTACGTCTACGGCCTGGCTCTGGGAGGACAAGAAGGAGTTAGCCATGTGCTCAAGTCATTGCTAGGAGATTTGGAGCTGACACTGCATCTCGCTGGCATCCAATCCGCCAGCCCTGAGCATTTGAATCGATCAGTGTTGATTCGCGAGGATGAGTTGTGAAGTCGGGGCGAGATAATACATAGCAAGGGAATAGTCACATGAAATCTGGCTAAACCCTTTTCAGTGTACGAACGCCCCTAGCAAGGTTTGCTTGAAGTCGCCCCCAGCCTGAACGGGCAAACAACGGCTTCGGTCTTTCGCTCGATACAACTCTCCATGCTGATAGATGAAGTTGCTCCGTCGACGTCTTCGAACTGGCGCTCTAAACTTCTCTATTTGATTCGTACAGCAGCCTTTTCGATGCTTCGCTTTCTAAGCATCCTTTCAATATGCCGAGAAGAGACCATGGAGACGAAGTGTCTGCTTGTATATATACCCGTAGAGAGGGCCTGTAACACATCCATATCAGCAAATCATCATTCTTGACAAGCAGGCTTCGACAAGAACCACCCACATTCAATCACCATGTTCCCCGTCACCAAAGTCGCCATCGCCGGCCTGTCAGGCAAGATAGGGAGCCTCATCGCCCAATCCCTCCTCAAGCACCATCCAACCGTCCAAATCAACGGCATAGTCCGCAGCCCATCCAAAGTCGCCACCACCATCGCCTCCAACTCCAACGTCCACATCCATCAAGCCGACCCCTCCAACCCCAGCGCCCTCCGCAAGGCCCTCGCCAACGTCGACGTCTGCATCTGCTGCTACCTCGGCGACAATGAACTCATGGTGCAAGGCCAGAAAACCCTCATCGACGCATGTATCGCCGAGAAAGTCCCCCGTTATATCGGCTCGGATTACTCTTTCGATTTCCGCGGGTTGAAGAAGGGGGATCACCCAGCTAAGGATTTCGCGTTGGAGTATAATGCGTATCTGGAGGAGAACGAGAAGGAAGGCAAGATCAAGGGGGTGCACATTTTGAATGGAGGGTTTACTGAGGTGATTTTCTCGCCGTTTCTGGGGTGGTTCAATGGGGAGGGGAATGGCAAGTTTACGTATTTTGGGACCGGGGATGAGAAGTTGGATATGACGACAATGAAGGACACGGCGGCGTTTACGGCAGAGGTGGCGATGGATGAGAATGCGAATGGGTATTTGAATGGTGAGTGCATCGCTTCGGTATTCTGTTTGGGTCATCGCTAACGAAAACCAGTCGTCGGAGATCGCAAATCCGTCAAAGAGCTCGCCAAGGTCTACGAGGAGGTGTACGGTGTTACCCCTGAGGTCCAGCGCCGAGGCTCTTTCGAAGACCTGCACAAGATCATGCGGGAAACGTTCCAGAAGGATCCATCGAATATCTTCGCCTGGATGGGCATGCATTACCAGTATTATATGGGAAAGGGATCCGTCACCCTAGGCAAGGATGAGAATGAGCGGCTTGGAGACAGGAAGCCTCAAGGCGTGAAGGAATTCTTGCAGAGCTGGCCAAGGGAGAGGGTGGCTATGAGTTATATGTCGTAGCTTTAGCTGGGGTTGAGGATATGGAATGTGTGAGCCATGGAGTCCATCGGTGATGAGTCCAGTCGGTATGCAGTTTTTCTACAAGTCCAATGCCATTGTCTCGAGTTCGTAGCCACAGGCCTTCGCGGGAAATGACAGCAGCGCTCTTATTCGGCTGTTGTTACTTTTGTCCAGATGTGCGCAGATCCTCGTGCATTCGATGGTAGCAGACTCTGAGATCCACCATTGATCGAATCGGCTGAACAGCGCACACCAGTGAGCAAGGACTAGCAGTGCCTCCTCCTCGTCAGCTCGAAGTCTGTTTATGAACTGAGGTGTTGCATCGGCGATGAAAGCCAAGAAACCGGTGATGTTGTGGTAGGTGGCATTGGGGTGGAAGAGTTTGTCCAGCATCGCGAGCTGCATGTCCGTCTCAGCGATGTAGGGCGAGGTAGGTTCAGGATCGCATAGGTCTCCGAAAGAATTTATGGTACAGGATCCCTGCTGAGACCCAGAGTGGCTTAGGTCGTCCACGCCTGTGTTTCGCCATTGGTCGAACTCTTGAATCAGGGGTAGCCAGATACCATTCTCTAATCTTTGCCGAAGACCTGCGGTATCTAAGAGCGTCCTAATCCCTCGCATTGACATGATCCAGGTAGGTCCGTTGTCATCCTCGAGGGCAACGTGTTCCGACGCTTTCGGCGTCTTGATGAAAGCAAGCATAGCGTGTAGAAGCCCACATGCGAAGATTGCATCAGCGTCTTGTTCTTGAAGATCGTGCACAATTGCTGAGGAGTACATGCTCAGGGAGTGATGATAGTGCAAAGTCGATGCGATCCAGAACTTCTTCCTCTCCTTGGGTGACGTCTGTCTTTCAGCCAGATGAGCAGCCGATATTGCTATGATGGCATGAACAAGATGCCCGGCGTTCAATGCCAAGCGTACGCCATGCTCTTGAAAGATTCTTTGACAGGTGGGTGATCCCAGCCAAGAATCCTGACAAGCAGCGAAATGATCTATTACATCGAAAGCGTGGTTCCGTTTGTAAACCGCGGTTTTCTCAAGCTCCGTGCAAGGGGCGTTGCTTTCGATCAAGACTTCCATTATGCGGGCAGTAATGATAGGGTCCCATGTGATGCCACCATTGTCGTTTTCGTCGGTACGTCTCGGTTCTGCACGATGTGGCGAGGGTCGCGAGCCAGGTGGGTATTCGCACTGGATGCCCTTGTCCCGACATTGATTACATTCTGGCAGACCTTCATCGCACTGAGAGACGTCAGTCTAAGAACTTGACACAATCCATGCCAGAAAAACCGACTTTCACTCTTCTCTGCTTACAGCCTTTGCAGCCTTTCCGGGACTTGTGATGAAACCTCCGACTGCGCAAGCCGTTCTCATTATATAGTGATGATTCGTTCTGAGACTTAGTGCCTGGCTGCTCTATAACCCAAGCCAACTGCGTCTGCTTCATGTCAGTGGGAATGACCGAAATGATGGTTTTGTAGACTCACCACTGCCATGTATCTGGTGAAGACTTTTCCCCTTGAAGGACAGGATGGGTCCACGAACACAGATGGCTTACTACGAGATCGTCTCAAACAGTCGCCCTATCCCTACGATATTGAATCCTTCGCGACAAAGTGCTAGCCAGCTGAGCGATGTGGTTTCAGGGGTTAGGTAAGCACCATCGGTTTCGCCTTAGCTCGTGCAAAGCTCGGGTCCGAAAGTTTCCTGCAACCCGACCAACACCAATACCACCGGCAAGTAGTGTTCCTTTGGCTTTGTCAACTTATTTATTGCAATTTTGCTTGACGACGGCGTATTAGTTCAGCCAAAGGTACATCGTCTTCATCGTAGAAATCGGCGACCTCATCGACGCCAAAGTCGGCCAAACGTTCGCCTTCTTTGTTTCGCCATCCTTCTTCACCGGCATCATCCTTCGCAGTTGTTCGTCCACGAGGCTTTTCTTCCTCGTCGGATTCCTCATCCGTCTCGATTGCATCCGCGTTGTCGACAAAAGGATCAGAGTTCTGCTGAGTCGTTTGTTCGAGACGCTCGTGGAAGGGACGTCTACGAACAACGTACTCTCCGTCGGCGTCTTCGTATCGTGCGATGTCAGCCGCTTGTCTCTTCTTGAAATCGTCAATGTTCCAAGATTTCGTGAATCCATCGCCGACCAAGTTAGAGCGCGGGACTCTGTAGAGTCGATCTGGATCTGGCGGGGGCCATGGCTTGCTTGGGTCTGCAACAAGTTAGTAGTGGGTAGGTTCAGAAAGTGATGAAGGACTACCATCAATCTCGTTGTGCTCGAATGAAAGCCCACTTTCGACGCTTGGGCTTCGCGCAAACGGCCAGAACCATGCGATGGGATTCCAGGTGCCCATGCCTTGGCATATGTTCGACAGGATACCGACGTCCCATGGAAACTCTTGATGCTCGATGCGGACTTTCACCCCGTCAGGACCATCAAGGAAGCCACCTAGAACGCGGGCTCTTCGTAGCAGGGTGTGATGACGTTCAATCTCCCATCCTTCGATCGTCCAGGTGTTGACTGCCAGAGACCATAGTGTTCGCCCAAGCAAAAGTGTAAGCATGAACAAGATGCCAGAGTTCACGACGCATAAGACGAAGAGGTGGCTTAGTTGAAATGAGGACGGTCCGAGATACTATCAAATGCGCATTAGATGAACATACTTTGTGTTTGCAAAGTAACAACATGCAACATACATATGGTAGGCTGCGTTTCTGCCACAGGATTGCAGCTCGTCCATAAAGGAAGCATTCCAGATATGCCATCGATGCAACGGCATAGAACAGGAAACGAATGAAATGCGGGACCGTAACGTGAGAGACGCAGTTGGCTGGGAATATGTTACTTACCTTCCAATGCAATTGTGTTGAAACTACCTACCGGTCCACACACAGTGATGGTCCATCTTCTTAACACACCTAATCGTCTCAGAATGCTGCCTTGCACAGACCGTTTGCGCCCTTGAACTGACCGTTTACACGTCTTGCAGTGATGAGCGCGCGGCGGCTTGAATGCCTCGCACCTTCTGCACCATCTGTTACTCTGAGCTGCAACTTCAGCAGCAGACTGAGGAGAGCCTGGCTCAGTGCCATGCACTCGATCCTGCCAGTCCTTTGGGATCCTGCCTGGGTCGGTGAAGCAGGTCCTCCAGTAGCATATCAGCAGACACGTCACCAGAGTGTTGAATAGGTACGCGTCTCCCTTCCGCAGCGGCCCGGGTTCGATGTAGTGGAATAGCCATTGCGAAGTGAAGGCCAGAAAAGCCACCAACAGTGTCACGCCGGGCGGTGACAGTCGCTGTACTGATGGCAAATCCATGAGACGTTGTTGGAGATGTCCAAGTCGCGTGTCAGGAGTGAAGGAGAAAGCGCCAGTGAATAAGGTTCGGCAGCGTCGGCCCGATCTCCGTTGACGTGAATCTGCTGCAGGCCCCACCATCTCCAGCCAGCATCACGCCGCCCACAACCTCCTCTTGCCAGACTCGCCATATCCACCCCTCACCGCGCCGCCAACTGTGCCCGCCGAGGCCATTCCTCCCTCCCGTCGCCGCCCCGATACGACCTTGGACACAGTCTCTGAATCTATCCATACGCTTGCATCAAAACACATCTGCCATCGCTGCGATTGAGGTCGACATATCGGCGGTGTGAGGAGCCCTCGAGGTTCGCAACCATGGCGCGCGTGTACGCCGACGTCAATCAGCAGATGCCAAGGGCATACTGGGACTATGACAGCGTGAACATCAGCTGGGGTGTCTTGGAGAACTACGAGGTGGTCAAGAAGATTGGTAAGAGCGGCACATGCGCAAGATATGGACAGAGCGTCTAACACTGGGACAGGCCGCGGAAAGTACTCGGAAGTGTTCGAGGGTGTCAACGTGGTTAACTACCAGAAATGCGTCATCAAGGTGCTCAAGCCGGTCAAGAAGAAGAAGATCAAGCGAGAGATCAAGATTCTGCAAAACCTCTCTGGCGGACCCAACATTGTCGCACTCCTCGACGTGGTCAGGGACAGCCAATCGAAGACGCCCAGTCTTATATTCGAGCATGTTAACAACACCGACTTCCGCTCTCTATACCCCAAGTTCCAGGACTACGACGTGCGCTACTACATCTACGAGCTTCTCAAAGCTCTGGATTTCTGTCACAGCAAGGGCATCATGCACAGAGATGTCAAGCCTCATAACGTTATGATCGACCATGAGAATAGAAAGCTGCGCTTGATTGATTGGGGTTTGGCAGAGTTCTATCATGCAGGGACCGAGTACAATGTGCGAGTGGCGTAAGTTTGGCACACTGAATTTCACACGACTATCGTCTAATAGCCTCACAGCAGCAGATACTTCAAGGGCCCTGAACTTCTGGTCGACTTCCAAGAGTACGATTACAGTCTGGACATGTGGTCGCTAGGAGCTATGTTCGCAAGCATGATCTTCAGGAAGGAGCCATTTTTCCACGGCAACAGCAACAGTGATCAGCTAGTCAAGATCGCCAAAGTCCTCGGTACGGAAGACCTCTTCGACTACCTCGATAAATACGACATCGAGCTGGATGCACAGTATGACGACATTCTCGGACGCTTTCCAAAGAAGAGTTGGCACGCCTTTGTCAACGCTGAGAACCAGCGTTTCGTCAGCAATGAGGCCATCGACTTCCTCGACAAGCTTTTGCGATACGATCATCAAGTACGTTGAAGGAAGTGTGTCCCCAGTGAAAGGAACTAACAAGAATCAGGAACGACTTACCGCGAAAGAGGCCATGGCGCATCCGTACTTCGCGCCTGTGCGCCAGGCAGAATACGATCAGCAAAATTCGAACAGTATTCATCAATAATGAGACACTGAATGAATGCCTTGCAAGAACGCTAACAGGACATCGGTCTGTTAGGCAGGGAGAATCAAAAAGCTGCTCAAGGAGTCCCATTTCAGCCCATCAATCGACCTATTCGCACGGCTGAGGATGGACGGACTGGATCCCCAGATGATGTTCCAATGGGGGGAGTTCCGTTGGGCGAGCACCTGTGAGACGCCGAACACCGTCGGCGCCACGTTGGGACAAGAGCAAGCCTTTCTAGGAAGGAGACAGAGTTCTGCGACAAAGGTTGGACGTTGTTGCGTCAGAGCGAGCGATCGTTTTATTCGTTTGGAGTTACATAAGGAACGCATGAGGCAAGGTTGAACTTGTACGCCACCAAAACGTGGCCATCCCCATGCCGCAGAATTGCATATGCTAATCGTTCAAGTCATCAATCATCACGAGCGCGCCTCTTATTCGTTGCTGTCACATCCACACCGGCGCGCTTCGTGTGTAACGTATGCGTTCTAATGATATCGCAGGGGTCGAAAGCGATTGTCCTTCAAGATCCACTCCCCTCTTTGCGGACTTTGGCCAGCCAAACGATCGTCCTTTGCTATTCAATTCAATCACGCCGAGCGCTCGAAGTTTTATTGCCTTGTGATGCAGTCTGCTGCGAACCCAATTGCGCCAGTCTATAAGCCCGAGCTTCATGCGGCTGGAAGTCGTTCTGGTATTGAGTCATCGCCCAAGAGTGGCCGGATTCGCTGCCATTCTGTCGTTGAGACCCGTTGGTGTTACTCTTGCCATTGGTACTGTTGACCTGATTCGGACTGGGAGATTTCTTGACGGATCCATGCGTGGTAGCGATGCTCACTTGATCGATGCTTCGCCTTCAAACATCTCAGCGGTTGGCGCATCATCTTAGACATGTACTGCCAACCTGTTGGGATTGCCGCCACCGCCGCCGCCGCTCCCACCGCCATCATTCGAACCTTGTCTGGTAACGGCAAATGACGAGCTCATACGGCCACTCTATGGGAGCCTGAATTATGGTTTAGTTGGTACTTGAGTTTGAGGAGAGCATGGCTCCCTGAGGAGAGTGAAGGTGAGATGATTGAAGGACGAACAAGACAGCAAGCATAGTGGCGAATGCCCGCCTACTTATGCTCGCCCATCTCCACCCGACGATGCCTCCCCCATATCATTGACAACATTCCCAAACACCACTGTACGACCTCCTTATCCCTCCCATTCGCAGGCGCCGCACTCATCTCATATCGCTCGCAGGATGCATGTCGAGGAACCCAAGACGGTGCCGATTGCGACTTGGCTGTACCTTCTCAAGGGCATCATAGGTCATTCCAGCCGGGTACAGGGCTGGAAGAGAGGAGGACAACACGAACAACAACACCTCCAATTTCTCACGATGGTTACTCAATGAGCCCGCTGGCATTGCATGGACCTTGAAACGCAGCTTCGGCCGGGAGCTGGCCTGGTACGAGCCGGTGTCCCCATGCTCCCACACCACAGAGGTGCTGTCGTCGTTGGTCACAAGACTTTCCCTCCGCCGCCCGTCATTTGATATCAAAACCACCGAGCAGCCGCGACGGGTCATTGGCTCCCTTACCAGGCACGTGGACCTTTCGTGGAGAGGATTTCGAGGTCCAGCGTGGGTTGAACCGGGAAATCAGAGACGGATCTTGTGACCTGGTGACGACGTGCTGCAGCGCGGCTTATGGAAGCATGAGATAGTCTTGTGCGATTTGGCATGACAGACTGTGTGGGATGTGTTCGGTATAGCGAGCGGTGAACCTTGCTGGCTCATGAGCACCTGAGGTCAGTCCCGGATACAGACGTGCATGCAGACGCGAATGCAGCTGTCGCTTGCTCGCCTCGTTGGCACCCTTCGACCGAGTAGCAAAAGCGTGTTCATCGGCGCAAGCGCGCCGCCGAACCGTCGCTCGTGCATGCATGCGTGCGTCTCACGATTGACTCCCGCCCCGAGACATGCCGAGAGGATGAGGATGACACTACACCCACATACATGTTACCGGCAGCAGCATCCGCCAGCCCTAGCGGTTTGCTCCCCGAACGCAGTACGCACTCGTTGAGGAGAGACAGCAGATGGAAGACACACGTCGTGGCTCTCATCCTCCTCGAACGAACCCAGCAGCTGGGAATGGGACAACGACAGCAGCAGCTCCCCAAATCGCCACACGCGCGCAACAGCAAGATGAATGACGCAGCACACCGCTTCATGCGAACGAGGTCCGACGGTGCCACACGACAGAACCGTGGACAGCCCGCGAATGACAATTCGCATCACGGACACCCGCATGAACAACTCCGTCAGAGAGACCAACACCCCCTACCCCTGAACACCCTCCCCTCAAGATCAGATAACGTGCGCCCCCGCGAGGCGCCAGATCAAATCACTCATGTCTACGGCGGCTAATCAAGGTCCAAGCGGGACAGGTAGGTGCCACAACATCTTCTCGAAGCCTGCGAATGCCTACGGGTGCGTGCAGATCAACCAAAATTATGCGTTTTCGCAGATGGTCGGTCTCCGCAGGGAGGTTTGAGGGGTGAGGTGAGCCGTGATTGATGGAACCTTCCTCAGCAGAAAGTAAAAGAGAGGAACGGAGGAATGTTTCGAACATCAGTAACCGTGTCACGCTTTCGTTCCTTGTCTGACTAACTGTGCTTCGCTTTGTGCATGTGAGGAGGCTAGGAACGAGCGGTCCGACGATCACGAACACAAACACATTGGATATCGACCAGGCGTTTCACGTGAGCGACGGAACACATGACTGTGAGTCAGGAGAAAGATTCCCAGAGCGATGGGACGGGGAAGTGTGGCTCTGTTGGTGCTGTAACGATAGTTTGAAATAGTTCCAATTGCGCGTGCTGATTCTACCCATAGCCACTTTTGGTTACATGCGACTGCTGTCCCATCGGCCCGTCCGTCGTGAGGCGGTCCGGTGAACGCGACGTACAGAAGCACGAGAGAGAGGGAAAAATTCCGATCATGCAGGTCACCGTCAGAAACCTATCCGCCTAAAGCCACCCCTGGCACCATTTCCATCATGTATGCATATCCCGTGCGCTACCTTACAGCTTCAACTGCTCCAACCGCGCCAGACTCTCCTCAAACAACCGCTGCTCCGTCAGGAGGTCCTTAAGCCGCGCATCCTCCTTCTCGCGGATATGCTCTCCAACGCCCTCACCCAGTGTGCCGATCAGCTTCTCCTGTTCCTTGACGGCGTCGGAGGATTTCGTGAGTTTCGGCTTAATCTTCTTGATTTCGGCGTCGGGGTCGACTTTGCCTTTAAGTTCGAGGAAGACGGCGGCGGCGGAGGAGACGGGGTAGACGGCGCTTCCGGCTGGTGCGGATTCGCCTGGTTTTAGGACGTCGAGTTGGGATAGGTACTTGCCGGAGAGGGTCTTGATTGAGAGGGTCTCTGCGAGGGCGGTCTGGTATGCTTCGTTGTTGAGAGGTGCGACGTACGCCTTGCCTTCCTCCTTGATGCTGTACTCGTTGAGGAGGGAGCGGATACCCTTCGAGCAGCCGAGGAGGAGCTCATAGTCGCGCTCAGACTTGGGGTCGTCCAGGCTGGCGTCATACTGTGGGTAGGCAGCTCTGACGATACTGGGTGTATCATCGCCAGGTCGGCGTGGGAGGCGTTGCCAGAGCTCCTCAGTGAGGAAAGGCATGAATGGGTGGATCATGGTCAGAGCCCCTTCAAGCGCAGTGTAGAGAGTATCGATCGCACTCTGTCTCTCCTCGGGGGTTCCGTCTCGGATGATGGCTTTGCTGTTCTCAATGTAGACGTCGCAGAGGTCGCCCAGCCAGTAGCCATGTACGGCTTGAGTAGAGCGTGAGAACTCTCTCTTGGCCAACGCCTCGTTGACATCGCGCGCGGCGGTGTTGAACTTGTGCAAGATCCATCGCTCAGGTAGAGACTCCTTGCCTGTCTTGCCACCCTTGGCTTTAGGCGTGAAGTCTGAGGGAAGGTTGCCAAGAACGTATTTGGTCGCCTGGTAGATCTTGTTGCAGAAGTTGCGGTAGCTGCGCATGACCTTGACGTCGAAGTTGATATCGCCACCACCGGTCGTGTAGTTGATGAGGGAGAATCGCAGCGCATCGGCACCGCACTCGTCGATGCCATCAGGGAAGGCTGACTTCTGCCACTTGGTGGCACGCTCGATCTCCTTTGGTGCCATGTTGCCAACCTTGAGCTTGTCGTTCAGAGCCTGCAGAGTCACACCGTCCATGACATCCACAGGGTCGATGACGTTGCCGAGAGACTTGGACATCTTGCGACCCTCCGAGTCACGGATGAGAGAGTGGCAGTAGACCTCTTTGAAAGGCACCTTGCCCGTCAATTTGATTCCGAAGAAGATCATTCGAGCCACCCAGAAGAAAAGAATGTCCCAGCCAGTCTCAAGCATGGACGTTGGATACAGTTTCTCGTAGTCATTCGTCTTATTCGGCCAGCCCAGCGTCGAGAAAGGCCACAACCCAGAGGAGAACCAAGTATCCAGACAATCAGGATCCCGCTCCAGCTCAAATTCTTTGCCAGGGAACTTCTTGGCTGCCTTCTCTCTGACATCTGCTTCTGACTCGCCGCAGATCCAGTAGTCTGCGTCACTGTCATATGCTGGGCCATCCTTGATCTTCACGTAGTATGCGGGTATTTGGTGTCCCCACCATAGTTGACGGGAGAGACACCAGTCGTCCACATTCTCCATCCAGCGGTAGTAGCTGGCTTCGGCAGATGCTGGCTTCAGCTTGATCTCGCCATTTTTCACGACATCGATAGCAGGTCCCTTCAGCGGCTCCATGTTCATCCACCATTGTGGCTTCATTACAGGCTCGATCACGTCCTTTGACTTGCTGCAGAGTGGAATCTGCATCTTGTTGTTCGCCTTGCCAACGTAGAGGCCGAGCTTGGTCAGCTCATCGATGACGGTGTATCGCACGTCGAAACGCTTCTGGCCTTGGAAAGGCCCAGCATTCGAGTTCATGGTACCGTCGTCGTTGAGGATGTTGATGAATTCGAGGTTGTTCTCCTTGCCACGCTTGAAATCGTTGAAGTCGTGAGCTGGGGTGATCTTGACGGCGCCGGTTCCAAAGTCCTTCTCCACCGTCTCGTCGCCAAAGATGGGCAGCTTTCGATCGACGAAGGGGTGCTTCACGAACTTGCCGATCAGGTGCTTGTATCTCTCATCAGTTGAATGCACGGCAACACCAGTATCACCCAGCATCGTCTCTGGACGTGTCGTTGCAACTTCGATCGTCTCGTTCGTGCCATCAATTGGGTACTTGAAATTCCAGATACTGCCAAACTCGATCTTCTTGTCATAGCCAGGCACGTCAATCTTCGTGGAGCCTTCCAATTCCTTTTGATCCACCTCGATGGTAGACAGCGCGGTCGTGAGCTTGCAGCACCAGTTCACGAGGCGGTTCGCACGGTAGATCAGGCCTTCCTCGTGCATTTGCACAAAAGTCTGTCGTACAGCAGCTGACAGGTTCTCATCCATGGTGAATGCCTCCCTGCTCCAGTCCATCGAGCCACCTAGCCGCTTCAGCACCTTGTTAAGCTTTGTGTGATACTCCTCCTTCCACTCCCAAACGGTCTCGACAAACTTGGGTCTGCCCAGATCATGTCTCGTCATACCGTTTCGTCGGTTGTACAGCATGTTCTCCACAACACTCTGAGTAGAGATACCAGCGTGATCACAGCCCGGCACGTAGAGCACAGTCAACCCCTTCATGCGGTTCCATCTGATCATGGCGTCCTGGAGGGACGTGGCCAAGGCGTGTCCAATGTGCAGAGCACCAGTGACGTTGGGTGGGGGTATGGGCACAACGAAGTATCCTGCCTTCTTCACATTGCCATCTGGCCCAAACTCAGGCTTGTGGAAACCCTCCTTCTCCCACCAGTCATACCACGCACTCTCCACGACAGATGGAATGTATGCCTTGTGGTACTCGTCATCCAAAGGCTTGAGGATCTTCTTCTCGCCCCTGGGCGTCTCTTCCTTGTACGGCGGCAGCTTTTCCTGCTGCTTCTTCTCTTTCTGCTTCGGCTGAGATGCAGCTTGCAACGCTTTCTGTTTCTCCTGCTTGGCTGCTAACTTCGCCAGCTTCTCGGCCTTTTGGCGCTCTTTTGCCAGCTCTTTCTCCGATTTTTCCTTCTTTTCGCCATTCTTGTCTCCGCCATCCTTTCCAGGCGCTGACTGGCCCACGATATCGCCGTTGGCAGCATTCAGGATCGCGGACTTGGTGTCACTCGCTGGTGGGGGTGGCTGTCCGGTCGCTGGGCCAGTCTTTTCGCCGGCAGGGTTGTGAGAAGCGTGATTCAACGCCATCTTGAAGGATCGCTGGGTTATGCGGATTGGAGCATAGAGATTGCGCCGGAATAGCGCTCTGGAGAGTATCTTCGCGGACTTTTATGTCTGGTCGGGCTTAGGATTGTTCTGTGTGACTCGGGGGCTGTATCGAATTTGAGTCACTTCTGATTGATCGCAGAAGTGAGTCAGCCTCAATGCAGAGTTGTAAGCGATCGTCGTCGTGGCGTAAGGAGGTCGCGGTGGTGTTCGTGTGATCGCCTTGGAAAAGTTCAAGCTCGAGGTTGACTCAAATGCGGGCGGACATGGATGCCAAGAATCGATGAGAGGTGGCATTGAGATGACTCCTGAGTAACGTGAGTCGGAACACAAGACAAGAGTGAAACAAAATCGAACAGCATCTGCGTTAACATCTTTCATTCGCTCAATGCGGGTATCTATGAAGTGTATGCAAATGCACGCGAGGCATCGTCGCAGTCACAGAATCTACCGTTCCATCACATGCGTTTTCCACTTTTTAGCTCGTCTTTGGAGCTTTAACAGCAGCTGGCGTCACATTTTCTTCAAGCCATCGACGAGAGATGCTTGTTCTGCTTGTCGAGCGATCCTCTGCTTCACTTCCTGTTCGAGGTTCGCCATCTCGATCAACACGCCGTCCTTCTCTGGGTGGTCACTGGGAAGACCCATCTCCTTGATCTTACACTTGCCTGCCGCAAGCTCATCGTCTCCCAGAATGAGAGCGAAGGGTACGCCGTTGGTTTCTGCGGCTTTGAATTGGGCAGGAAGTTTCGGCTTGACCTTCCAGCTGAACTCGGCCTTGATGCCTGCGTCCCATAACCTCTTCGCGACATCCATGCGCTCCTTGAGAAGACCCTCAAAGCCCTTGCCACCAAATGCCATGACGTAGACATCGACCTCATTTGTCCGGATGGGAGCTGCTGAGCTGTCTGCTGCGAGGCGCTGCTTGGTGATGCTGAAGATGCGATCGACTCCGAACGAAATACCGACACAGGGAATCTGTTGCTTGCCGCTGAACATGCTGACGAGGTTGTCGTATCGGCCACCAGCGGCGACTGAGCCTACACCTACTGATGGGTCGTTCGATCGATCCTCCTCGCCGTCGATATTTGACGCGTGCTTCTTAGGTTTTGACTCCTTCTTGCCCTGTTGCTGTAGTGCTTGGCCTTCTGAAGTCTGTGGTGCTGAGCCCTCGGTCACAACTTCGTAGATGACACCGGTATAGTAATCGAGACCACGAGCAAGAGACATGTCGAAAGAGATCTTGTCCAGGACGCCGAAAGTTCGCAGGTAGCCAAAGAGTAAGTCCATATCTGAAAGACCGGCCTTTGCAGATTCGTTCGCTGACAGCTGCTCGTCCTTCTGCAGTTGTTGAAGAAGGTCGTCACCGCCCTTCTTCACGACATATTGTCCGATCTTGTCTGCCACTGCTGGATCCAGACCCTTCTCTTTAGTCATCTCTTTCCGTACTTCTTCCCAGGGTGACTTGTCGAGTTTGTCCACAGCTGATGAGATTGTCCGTAGCTTGTCCGTAGGCACACCACACACCTGGAAGATTCCATCCAGGATCTTGCGGTGGTTGAGCTTGATCGTATACCGTCCCTCCCATCCTAATGCTTGAAAGATCTCGCAAGTGATTCGAATGATCTCAGCGTCGGGGAGCATAGGATCGTAGGTTCCAGCAATGTCGAAATCGCATTGGTAGAATTCTCGCATGCGGCCCTTGGTCATGGCCGGTTGATCTCTTCGGTACACCTTTGCAATGTGATATCTCTTGATGTTCTGAATGTTGGAGTTCATCGCGAGCCATCGTGCGAAGGGGACAGTGAGGTCGTATCGTAATGAAGTAAGCTCGCCGCCTTGGTCTGCGAGGTCGTAGATGAGTTTGCTGTCTTCGCCGTATTTTCCCGCCAGAATCTCTTTGAGCTCGAACACTGGCCTGCAACAACACAAGTTAGCCAATGGCTCCAAAACGATCGACGAAGGCAGTGACCTACGTATCGATTGTGACAGCTCCGTGACGCTTGAAGACTTCGGTGATAGAGCCAAAGATCTTGTCCCTAATCACCATGTCCTCGCCAGCCCAATCCTTGGTACCTTTTGGCACCTTGAGCTGGAAATTTGTCTTGCCCTCCTTGTCTTTCCCCATTTTGTCGTCGTTCCGAATGAAGGTTTGAGTTGAGAATGATTTTCGTGCGATGTGGGGAGATGATGCTCTGATAAGCACAGAATTGCGGAAAGGAGTTGCTTCTGTGCGAGCGAGGAGGGCGAGGCGAAGAAAGCACTTCATAAAAGAAGCAGCAGCATGTGAGTGTCCCGCAGCAGTGGTGACTCTGCACACGCGAGAGAAACAGAGTCACAGGTCGGAGAAGGAAGGTGCGGCTTGACCCGTCGCAAGCGAAAAGAATATCCACCAGCCACCCAACGTCTCTTCCGCTGCCTGCTCTTCGTCTAAACACACTCAAGATGTGACATGGCTGCCCATCCGGCCGCAAAGGCCATAAACACTCAAGAAATCACCGACAAGGCTCGCAGAGATTTTCTCCGTCTCCTGGAAGGTGTCAGTATACGCCGCCCTCAACTATACCACCGAATCCCGGCTCACTGTTCTGCAGGTTCGGGGCAAGAAGAATCTGGTCATTGAAAAGTCCTTAGCTGGCACTATCGGCCTGATTGTCAAATTCAGCACTCTCCAGGAGTATGGCGTTGACAAGCTCTTCTTCTTGGAAAACCACAATGTTGACTCCACACAACGAAACATCATTCTTATGGTACGAGGCGAAGATGCGAAGAAGATCCGCATGGTAGCAGGTAGGTTCGAATTCTGCATGTCGACAACAATTCTCCCAACTCTGGAGAACACATCTACGGGATCTTAAAGTAGAGTGCACAGATGTATTTCTTCTACTCTGTATATTCAGTCTTGATCCCAAAATCGACCTTAGCTTAGCATGATCATTGCCTCGCGTGTACCTCTTAATCATGTGCAGAGCTATCAGAACATGCTCACAATCCTTCATCATCAACTATATCTAAGGACGCTGGCTGATCAGAACAGAACAGATCAAGCTCGTACGAAGCGAGAGCAAGATCGACCACGACTTCTCCGTCATCTGGGTGCCTCGCCGTACCCTTGTCAGCAACATGATCTTAGAAGAACATGGAGTATTGGGCGAAGCCAACATATCCGAGCTGGCTCTCAACTTCGTCCCACTGGAACAAGACTTGTTGTCACTGGAGTTGGAGGACTCATTTGAAGACCTCTGTCTGAGAAAAGACCCCACCAGTATATTCGCGTCTGCCCAAGCTCTTATGCTCTTACAAAAGCAATATGGCCTCTTCCCAAGGATCTTAGGCAAAGGCGACAACGCAAAACGGCTGGCTGATTTGCTACAGCGCATGCGTAACGAGGAAGACGTCAGCACTGCGGCAGATCCAAACAGCGTCCATCTGACTTCGTTTGGTCTCACACCCAGCTCATTGATTGAGAACTTGATCGTGATCGACCGCGATGTTGACTTTCCGACAGTACTGTCAACTCAGTTGACCTATGAAGGTCTCCTGGATGAAGTTTTCGGAATTGCCAATAACCACGCTGAAGTCGACTCGTCCGTGGTTGGTGCAGCACCCCAATCACAGCAGCAGAATGGCTCGACCACCACGCCGACTGCTGCCACTAAACGGAAGGTCCTGCTAGACGGCACAGACAAGCTATACCCGGAGCTTCGAAACGCCAACTTTGCGACTGTCGGGCCATCTCTCAATCGTATCGCGAGGAGGCTCGCTTCGGATAATGAGAGCATGCACAACAAAGACCAGACAGTAGCAGATCTCAAGAACATTGTGCAGAAGCTGCCTTCATACCAAGCAGAGTCAGCCAGCTTGAAGATCCAAACAAGTCTTGCTGAAGAGATCATGAAAGCCACTCGCAGTGAGAGCTTCAGTCGGATGTTGGAAGTTCAGCAGAATCTATTAGCAGGCACCGATCCTGCCAGCCTGCATGAGAACATTGAGGAATTGATCGCTCGAGATGCACCTTTGACCACTGTCCTGAGGTTACTATGTCTCGAGAGTTGTCTAGCGAACGGCATCCGCCAAAGAGACCTTGATCAATTCAAACGCCAGATCTTGCAGGCTTACGGCTACCAGCATGCCCTCACGCTCTCAGATCTGGATAAGATGGGTCTTCTATGCACACGAGAAAGCCATCGAGGCTACCTCAACCCCATCTCCAACACAGCCGGCCAAACCGCCACAGACTGGAACGCCGTACGGAAATCGCTTCAACTTTGGATCGACGAAGTACAAGAAGCCGATCCAAACGATGTAGCCTACGTCTTCAGCGGATACGCACCTCTCAGCATACGACTCGTCCAGGCGATTCTCCAAAAGTCATACCTGCAGCAGCTCGTCAACCCACGCAACGCTTCTTCAGCACCAGGAGGCACGGGTTGGAAGGGTTTCGAGGATGCCGTGTCCCGCATTCGAGGACCGAGTGTTGATGTCACGCAAAAGGGCAGTGACGCGGATGCTTCGAACGCGAGGAAGACGCTTCGAGGAAATAAAGAGGGACCCAAAGTCAGCATCGTCTTCTTCCTAGGTGGTGTGACGTATGCAGAAGTCGCCGCGTTGAGGTTCATCAGCAACCAGCTGGAGGCGAGCAGTGGACGGAAGCTGGTGATCGGGACGACGTCAATGTTGAATGGCAAGAAGGCTGTCGATGTAGCCATCGAGCAGCGGGCATTTGCTTCCTGATATCTGCAAGAAAGTAAGGGGAATGTATGTTCAAGACGTCGAGGGTCATTCCAATTCATCTCATGTCTCAAGAGAGACAGAGGCCATTCCTATATTCTCATTACAACAACAATGCTCAATTATCGTTCGTCGCCAGAAAACCTTCGCCGTGCTTTTTCGAGAAGACAACTCCATCGCTCGAACACACACGCACGCCAATGAATTACCCAATTGCTGAAACGCTATGCTTTGCCCAAAATAAACATCCATCGAAAAATGTACACCATGTCTCTTGCCCCAAGGAGTGTGAGGACACCATCTCTTTCTCTTCCCATCATCCAAAGACACTTCTCTTTACAACAACATGGCAAAACCACCAACAATCCCCCCAACAAGCGCCAGCGTCCCAAAAGTCTGCCCAGCACTCAGCGCCCAAACCCTCACCAGCGTCGAAGAAGCAGCAGAGGAATCCCCTCCCCCACTGCCCCCATTCCCCCCGGTGCTACTCGGGCTATCCCCCGCAAACCCACTGTAAATAGTCTGCCCACTCCCATCCGTCGTCGCGGCGGCCTCCTCACTCCCACTCCCACTGGCACCCGCACTCGCCGTCTTACTCATCGTCCGCGTCAACGTGCTCGTGTTCTGGCGGGTCGGGTTGCTCGCGCCGCAGGGGTGGTCCTGGGTGCAGGCGCTCGCGCAGGCGGTGTCGCCGTTGCAGTTGGAGACGCACTGCTGGCCCCACTGCGTGCAGATGTAGTAGGGCAGGGTCTGGGAGTACTCGGAGATGTTGGGCGAGATGCCGTTGTCGCAGACGCAGGAGTAGGTGAGGGCGGACGGGTCGCAGTCGTTGGAGGTGGTGGTGGCGCTGTTGGCCGCGGTTTGGAGGCAGATCAGCGGGCATTGGGCTTGTTGTTGTTGGCACCAGTATTCTGCGGGGAGGATGGGTTGTTAGCGGGTGGTTTAGAGGAGAGTGTATTATCGCGGACTTACTTCTCGTGCTTTCGTCGACGGAGTTGGGGTCGATGGAGTATTGGCTTTGGGCGGTGACTACGGCCGCGAGGAGGCCGGTGGCGATGATGGACTTCATGGTGGATAGATGGATGTTTCTCGAAAGTCGTAATTCGTGAGATGGGCTTTAATGCAGCCTGGAGGGAAAAGGTCAGTACTTTTGTGTGGAAGTTTTGCTTGGTAGCGAGAATGGTGTCCAAGAACACGGTTCGACATCCCGATACAACCGATCCATGCTTCTGCTGTACATGTAGATCAGGTGGTACTTACTGCTTGTATGCAAAAGCAAGGAGTAGCGATGGTCTCAGTAGTAGTAGCAATAGCGATGGTGAGTGCTGTGGTTGTGCTAGAGAAGGGGCAAAAGCGAGTGAGATCCCACGACGGTTTCTACAGCGATAAACAAGCACAGGCAGTCCAGAACTCTGCGCACTGACGAGCAAGTGATAGATGAGAGGTGAAGTTGGCAATCTGAGCATCAAGCCGGGGGGACGTTGAGGCTAGATATTAGGCCCAACGGATCACACCACGGCACAACAGCAATGTTCCCTCCCAGGGAGCTTGGGCGCCATCCGCGGGCGATGTATCATGCACCAGCATCCAGGACGCCACTCGTGTGCTCGTCACGTCGTCGCCCGCATAGCTTGTCTCGCAGAGAGTGAACAACCGGCCAGGCGAGAAGCGGGCGACGCGGTATATCAGCGTCCAAGCTCCCAGATACAGCGCCGCAAATAGCTAAACGCAGGGATCGACCGCCGCACTAGCGCTGCACCTGCTAAGCTACCCGGCCATTTTTTCTCGCCCCAGCACGCCTCGCCGCTAGTCTGCCTCTTCTTACTGCCTTTTGCGTTTGCTGGATGCAGCTCCCCTCACTGCTCTCACTATACTGTAACAAACTCGTTGCTGGCGCTGCATATATGTGGTGTCTGGGACGCGCGTTTCGCACGGAACCTCTGGCTGGAAACGCTGGCTCGGGCTTGAGTTTGACTTCCCGCTCCTCGTCTGGCTGTGGGTGGTGGTAGTGGTGGATGGGTTGAATGGGGTCCCGCGATGCAGCACCACCGGTCGTAGGCGGAGAACAGCATCCACCCGTCGACACCCATGTTTCTTTATCGGACGAGAACGATGATGGACACGATTCTGTGCCGCCGCCGGCGAGTCATGTGACCGAGGCACCACCCTACTGGTCCACTGGTCCAACCCGCCACAGTCGCAGCACCAGCTACCATTCCCTGAACCAGACCCGGCCACCTGCCATTGTCCTCGAAGACAACACCGACGACCTTCACGACCACTCCCAATCCTGCTGGGCGCAATCCGTCTCGATAGATGAATACGTCGTCGTGTCCGGGCCCACAGGCATTGGCGCTTATGTCGTCTGGCACTGTACCGTGAGCACGCTAAAGGGTGGCGACCTGTGTATACGAAAAAGGTCTCCGGCTTCTCGGCATCAGAGCTCTTTGCCCCAATGAGTATGACATTGACGAGTGTAGCAGATACTCCGAATTCGACCGTCTGCGCGAGGACCTCGTTCGCGCCTTCCCGCACGCCGAAGTCATGATCCCGCCTCTCCCACGGAAAAGCGTCGTCTCGCGCTTTCGACCCAAGTTCCTCGAGCAGAGGAAGATGGGCCTCGAGCATTTCCTCAAGTAAGGCTATCATTGCTTAGCTCCTATTTTTGTTAGCTTTATGCTTTGCGGAACCCCCCAACCCCCCAACTGACATGGATCCTAGCTGTGTGTTGCTCAATCCTGAGTTTGCCTCGTCGCCCATCCTCAAGGACTTTATCTTTTACTAAGCGGCATCCTTGTAGCGAGGAGTTTCCGAGGCCGTGGTACGAGAACATGTTCATGGCTTTGACGGGGGTGTCCTGGGCTGTTATGAGAGCTTGTATAGCGGTGGTTTGACTTTTTTTTATGAACGAGGTCATGATGATATGGATGTAATGAGAAAGACTTGTATGATCAGAGGAGATTTGAGAGACGATCGCCGTAACGACAGAAGAAAAAGTATCTGACGATGCATGCTCAACGCCCTCCCGACCTTCTCGATGCTAGTTTGGCCATTCGATCTTCAGCTTCGACTGTCATGAAACCATCGGCGCCCCTATCCAAAGTCAGCACCTCGACGTCAACTCAGCGTTAACATCCAACGTGTCCCTGCTCTATCAACCCGTCCAAGCTTCTACCTCCATCTCTTCACCTCCACACTAGCGAGCACTCTCCAAGCAAGCCTCCACCACGACCTCAAAGCTCTCATCAACCCTCAAAACACCCGGAATGGACTCGAGCTCACGCGAGAGACCTCCATTACCAGCGAGCGCCTCGAGCCGCACGACGACATGGCCAAAGATGTCCTGGAGGCCGACGAACCGCTCTGGCTGCGAGACGATGCCTTCGAGGCCCTCGATGTCCAAGTCCTCCTGCAGACCGACTCGTCCGTTAAGGGCGAGATTGAAGAGCTCGTCTGGCAAGGCCGATGCGATCTTCGCGTGCATGCAGGCGAGGGTGGTGCCGACTTGCAGGGCCGTGAGACTGTTGTCTAGGCTGGCATAGAGGCGTGTGGTCGTGATTGGGATGGCGTTCACGGTGTTGTCTTCGGCATCGTCTTCTTCTGGCTCTGGCTCTGGCTCTGGTTCTGGTGGTGGTTGCGGTTCATCGTGAAGAATGAGAGCGCGAAGGACCAGCCCGAATTTGACGACGAAAGGACCAATGGGCAGAACCGCCTGCGCGAATGATAAGCTTTGATGCCGTCAAAACTCCAGCAGTCGCCCGACTTACCAAGGGAGCAGCGAAGTCCATCCTGCTTCAACCCTCTTTGTTGTGTTCAGAGATTGCTTGGTGCCTTGTACTCGCTCCTTTGTCTGTACCCTGTCGGACGAGGCGAGTTCTTTGTCGACTGTTTGGGGAAGAGGAGGGCACGCTTGGAAATCGGCACCCTCGAAGTTCGATCTTCACGTGCGGCGGGTGGTCCGTGTTTCGCTGCTTAGCGCGTCATCTTCAACATCTAACGCCTTCCGACTGCCACACTCTGAACACACACCGACAGACCGCACGGCAGGAAGCGTCCATACAATCAGCATGGCGCAGCACATCTTCCGGTTCTTCGACCTCCCTGCGGAGATTCGCGACATGGTGTATGGGTACCTGACCGATGAAACCAGCTTCCCACACGCCGAGATCAAGACTCCGCACCTCCCATCGATCATACGCCTCGCCTTCCAGGGTATGTGGGTTCCTCGCCTTCTGCTCATCAACAAGCAATTCAAGGATGAATACTTTGACTACGTCTGCGCATATCAGTTGCGCTGCTATGTCGTGATGTCCATCCGCCCACCCCTCTATCAACGAAGCACACCACACAACCCGAGCTCAGCCATGGCCTGTCTCTCAAAAGTGCGCACTCTGATCGGCACTCGCGGCGCGGAGCCTTGGTGGTATTTCGGTATGTACATCACCCTCTCCACACTGCCATTACCAACTTGCCATATCCTGACAAGCTCGAACAGACGAACACTGCACGGCCTTCAACAATGTCATAGCAGCCCTCCTGGCGGACCTCCCAAGCCTCAAGACCTTCGAGGAGCGCCTATGCTGCCGCCTGTGCGATTTCGAGGAGTTGCTCGGTCGCGGCAATGACAGCGCCCTTCGCATTATGCAAGGCGACGCTGGGCGGTTCGCGGCTGCTCGTCTCCGCCACGACGTCTCCCGGGACATCACGCACAAGCGGGCTCTTGGCATTCAGGCGCCGCTGTATTTCGATTTCGAGAGGAACAGCGATGAGTGGTCCCCGAGGGTCGACTGGATTGCTACGCCCGTGGCTGGGAAGGTGAAGCCCGAGTATCTGTGGCATGGCTTCGCGCTCGAGGCTATTACCGACTAACACGAAAGCTACGGGAGTGATTCGAGATGGAGAGGGTTGGGCTGATTGAGGAGCTGAGTGGATGGCTTCGCTAGGGGATGTGGCGTTGGGTGATCCATCCACCGGAACAGAGGCCGCGACTTCCAACAGCTCAACAAGATCCTTAGTTGCGAGTATCTTTCGATCGATGAAGTGTCTCACGAAGCAAAGTACTACTGAAGTGCCGGTGATGCAGATCAGATCATGCACGCCAGGCTCTACTTCACCTCGATAGCGGCATAGACTGGATACTTGTACTAGAATTATAATCAACGACTCAGATTACTTCTATATTATCACTCGCCTCGCGCGCTCTTGACATCGACCGAACAGGAGTTGGTGAAGACTCTGCATCGCTGTTATTGAGTTTGCACGCAGAGGGCGCAGGGAAAGTTCGGCGTCTCTGAACATTCACCTCACGCACGGGCGTTGCCATGTGATACGCCGCTTAGCGCGTTCCGCTTAAAACCTCGCGGCGGTGGTCGCAATCTCTTGAACATGACCAAACACACACAAGCGAAAACACATCTCGACCGAGTCCCGTTCGCAAGCATCTCATACAGCACCCTCGGGGCCGTTTCGGAGCAACGCAATAACGCACTCCGTCTTACAATCGGCAACCAAACGAGGCACTTAAGATGTCGCCTACAAAAACCAGCGACCCTTTCCGCTTCTTCGACCTTCACTCCGAGCTTCGAGGCATGGTCTACAGCTACTTGACACGAGAGGACTACATCTACGCCATCATCAAACCATCGCCAGTCGACCCAGCCAGAGAATTCTGCTTCGGCCATACTTGGTTCTCGCCCCTCCTCCTCATCAACAAGCAATTCGCAGACGAGTACCTCGATCACGTCTGCAAGCTGCATCTCACCTGCCACGCTCTCTCGATCGCTCAGCCAAGCAAGAGACAAATCAACCCGGCCCCTGCGATGAACGCTCTTTTCCGCGCCCGCAGCTTGACTGGCAGTGGATACATTTCTACTAAAGAAGAACTAGGTACGTTCCCGCCAAAGTGGCCCACTCAGCGGCTCGATTCGACTAACTAACTTTCCTTCGCAGACGCCTTCAACAACGCCCCCAACACCACCCTGCCCGCCATCTTCGCCCTCATGCCCAACCTCACCACCTACAACGAACGCCTCTACATCTTCGCCTGGGCCATCACCGCCGCCCTCGCCACCGGCGACGCCACCTTCCTGTACGTCTTCGCCGCCCAAACCCTCAACGCCAAGAAGCGTGACTTCCTGCTCGCGCTCGCCAGCCACGGCATCACGGGCGACATCGCCTACAAACCTCGGGCTTTCGTCGGAGAGCTCCTCACCAGCGATCTGGGGACGCGGGGCCCGAATTCGAGGTTGTGGGTCATGTTTGCGGCGACGATGAGGGCGAGGGGGGAGGTGGATGGGGAGTATTTGTGGAATGGGTTGGAGTTGGAGGTGGTCATGACAGGCTGATTAGTGAGTTACGGGGATGCTTTGGTTTGAGAGGGACGGGGTGTGGGTTTTTTAGGGTGGAGTGACTGGGTGTTCGGTGTGGTATGGAGAGGGAGTGGATGAGATGAGCCGATGCTGTTGAGTCAAAGAGGATGGAGGCAGCTTTAGCTTTGATAGGAAAGGGACTCAATTAGCTACGCTTTGTTTCTTTGTCGTTGATTGTAAATGTGGTTCTGTATTGTTACATCGCTGGAGTCCAGAAAGCTGCTCCCTATCGGAAAGATCTGTCACGCTTATCGATTGTCGAAGTGAAGGGTATGGGGCGATTTAAGCTTTCTGGACATTCACTTCACGACGGGGGTTGCCATGTGATCCGCCTCTTAGCGCCTCGCGCTTTAAAAAGTCTCGGCTGCAGTCGCAGCACCACTACTAAAACTACAAACAAGTACAACGCTCAAGTGCACTGTCTCCGTCGCCGGGTCTCGCAGAACACCGTTTAAGGGAATCATCGAGTGACACCTTTTCCACTCTAAACCACTGCGTCCTCGAAACACGCGCGCAAGATGTCGACCACCGACTCCAAGGAAATCTTCCCCTTTTTCGACCTCCCTCAAGAGATGCGAGACCTCATCTACGGCCTCCTCACCAAGACCGGCCCCGTCTTCGCTATGATCAAGCCCCCATCTGCCAGCGAATCCACGATCATGACCTTTCAAAACATATGGCTTACGCCACTGCTTCTCGTCAACAAGCAGTTCAACGAGGAGTACTTCGACCAGGTGTGCGGCCATCGACTTCTTTGCACCACGACACTAGGCAGCAAGAGCAACTTCGCCGTCAAAGCGCCAGGTCTCGATCTCCCAGAGAACCCTGGATCAGCCATCAAAGCACTCGCCAAGGCACGCGTCTTGATTACCATCGACGATATGTCCCACAAGGAGCTTTTAGGTATGTACCAACTTGGAATCCATCACGACAAAGCCGTCCGCTAACCACAAACACCCCCTCCGCAGCCACCTTCGCCAACCCCCTCCCGGGCATCCTCCCACGTCTCCTCGCCATGATGCCCCAACTTAAGACCTACCTCCAGCGCCTGCACATCTACGGCCCAACCCTCTCCGACTCCCTCTCCCACGGCGACGACACCTACCTCCGCGCAGTCTACCACCACTGCCCGACCGCGAAGAAGAAGGAGCGGGAATTCCAAGCCCGTCTCGCCGAGCTCGGCCTCGCGAACACGATCGCGTACACTCCAGAGGTGGTCGTGAGCAGCATGTTGTCCAGCGATATTGTGACGCGGCGCTGCGGGTCCGGGGCGTATGTTGTGTTTAGTGCGGTTCCGGGGATTGGTGGGTGTGGCATCGGGGATGAGAGGCTGTGGTGTGGGTTGCACTTGGATCCGCTTCTGGTGGTAGATGAGGAGGGTCAGGTTTGGTAGACCCGTTAGTCGGTGCGTTGGCGGAGGTGGGTTCGACTGGCTACGTATTGGGAAGGGTAGGACTTGGGCAAGTGTGGGTTCAAAGGGAGCGGATCAGCTTCGGCGTCAAAAGGGGAAAGGGGGGACGTTGGTTACGCTTGGTTCTTTGTCTGTATATGAGATGGAGTTCTTTATTACTACAGCGCTAGAATCGAGAAAGCTACTCATGAGCTACGTATACCTCTCCATCGTACATTCATCTCCTTCTCCCCAGCATACATCCTCCCCTTAACCAACGGCTCCACCTCCAAACTCGTAAAACAACAATGCCCCACATCCTCCCCACCCATCCCCTCCCCGACATCCCTTACTTCCCCCCATTTAACAGGCACATACGACGCATCCCCATCCCCCTTAGGCCGATGACAAGCCGACGCAACAGCAACACTACAACTCCCCACAACCGGCATCCCGCCCTTAAACCTCCTCCACCCCAGCCCCACCGCCCCCACACTCAACACAACCCCTATGAGGATCGCCACGACGATCGGCGGACACGAGTAGCCCACCTGCGTGATATTTCCGTCGGAGGACTCGACGCCGTCGTCGTATTGCACGATGATGGCGAGGAAGATGGATTGAGAGATGATCCAGTGCAGGGTGGCGGAGATGAGGAGGAGGGGGAAGGAGTATCGCATGGGCAGCTGGAGGTAGTAGGTGCTGCGTTGGGAGCCGTGGGGGGATGTGACGCGGAGGGATTTGCGGGTGAGGGCGTATTGGGACCATTCCTTGTAAATAACCATATCAGTATAAGTTCAGCGTGGTGTTGTGTAGTGAGTTTTGGAGATTGGGGGTCAGGGACATACCTTCGCCAACAACATCGACGTCAACAACCCATTATACAATAAATACAAAAACGACACAATCGCCTGCGGACAATTCGCCAGCAGAATCGCCGCCACGAGTCCCCCACCGCCTTCCTGAGGGAAATCCGTCTCGATCAAAGCCCGCGAATCCACCGCCCCGAAGCCGATCGAGAACGCATTCACCGGCGAGAGATTGCTCACGCCCATAGCGAGCAACACAATCGACACGATCAGCGCGAGGCTGATGAGGCTGAACGTGGTAATCCAGCGCTTCCAGCTCGCGGCCGCGAACCATCGTGGGGCGCGGGCTTGGAAATATGTCTTGGGTAAGGGGTTCGTGTTGGGTTTATCTTTCGTGCCTTGCAGTTTCCAGTCTTTGATATCGGTGCGGGACATGAGACATCGGCCCTTGGTCAGCTCGTCCGGTTGGTCTAGATAGCTGGCTATGGCGTCTCCGATTGTCACCAGCGTGGCGTCTTTCTGGCGGTAGAGCGTCCAGAACATTGCGGCACTCTTCAGGGCGTTGCAAACGATCACCGCGATGAGGACCTGTAGGGAGAAACCGATTCTGCAGTGCGAGGGTTCGAGTTGGCTGAGGCAATAGTCGATCTTCTTCCCGTTGATCGTCCACTCGTCGGCGTTGGCTTTGATCTTCTTCGTATCGCAGGTCAGCGAGCTCGTGGCGTCATAATCCGACGCGCAGAGCCACATGTAATTCGGCGTGGAAAATTCGGCGCCGCTGCTCTGCTCAGCGTAGAACATCGTCTCATTCGTGAAGTCCCCGTCCTCGTTGGTGACCGCGAGGACATGATTGAACCCCGAGATGAAGTTCTGGCCGTAGGTCTGGATGCACTCGGCGTTGGACATGTTGCGGTAGGCAGTGGCGTTCCAGGTTTGGGAGGCGTTTGCCCACATCGCTTGGAGGCCGTCGAGATAGCTTTGGTCATAAGGGATGGTCATGTTGTAAGCATCAGCAGGAGCACCTGCCCAGGGAATGTCCATGGAGAAGTTGCCGCCTTTGAGCCATTGAGGGTTGGCGACGACGACCCAGTATTGGTTCGTGTCGATTGATTTGAAGACTGCGGAGTTGTCTTATCGAAAGTCGATATGTCAGTACACTGCCTAGAGGTGATACATCATGCCCTTCTCGATACTTACAGAGTAGATGGATAGGAACACTTGACACAGCGAGCACCCACCAAGCCACGACTCGATGCCATTTGATCCTGGACAGGTTGCGTATCGAGGCGACTCCAATATCCATCCAGTCACCCTTGCTATGCGCTCGATCGACTTCCTGCCTCGTAGGGGCTGATAGTGCCTGCATCGTATAGTTGGACGCCGAGAGCAATATCGAAGACAGACCGTTGATCACAAGATGCAGCCAAGTCGTGACATGGTTAACATACTCACAAGACCCATCAAACGCCGTCCCAACGCCACCGGAAGTCCCAAACTGCACGGCAGCTACAATCGTAAAGATCACGTTCAGCAGGAAGACGCTGGAAGCAGTCCAAGCGGCTATGGACACGCCGAAGTGCCATCCTTGGAGTTTGCGTTTCTTCTCTCGATTCGAAGACGCAAATGACGCTCTGCTGATGAGCTCTTTCTTGGTCGAATTACCGCCCGGTAAGTCGAAACCAGATATCGACCGCGCGTGGTGGATGAGTGACTCGTCGTCGTCGTTGACTTCGTAGGTATCCTTCCACTCCACGTTCTTGGACGTCGACACATAGCTGGGTACTCTGATGATGGTCAGCTCTGGGTCCAGTCTGCGATCTTTATAGCTAACACGAGGGTCCTGTACACAGCCACCGCTCGTACAGTAGTAGAGGGAAACAAGACGACCTACCTCGACCTAGGCACCTCCGCAAGCTCTACCTCATACTCCCTCCCATCATAGCTCTCAGCATCCACCCTCTGATACGCCGAAGAGCGCAGTCCCAAGTCCATCCCAGCAATAGCCCGCACTCTCCATAGGAGAAGAAAGCGTCTTCGATCGTTTTGGGAGCCTCAGGTCTCCCAGCATCTCAGCTGAAAACCCGTGTGCGGTCCGTAGGATCGACGGTGACGTTTTTAGCTCCAGGCCGATATGGTTTTGGCGCCAGGGGCACAGTGCGTAGAAGTCGCTGACTAAAACGACTTCTACGGTTTAGTCGAGATTCGAAGGAGTTTGAGCTCACATAGCGAGAAGTTTGTTTGGGAAGCGAAGGGCCGAAGGATTCGGTGTCCCGAGCCGAGAGTGGCATTTGTCTCGCCTTGTAGTAGGTCGACGATGCTGTTGCTCTTTCCAAACCCAAAGAGGCATGTCAAGTCTATGGACTTGGATGTCTGATAGCCTGACACTCCTCAAGCCATTCGATCATAGCCGGAACAAGTGCCGTATAGTTATGCCCAGCATCCGGGACAATTTCCAGCTCGCAATCAATCCCCTTTTGGTACCAATTATCCTGCAAGTCCTGCAGTGCTTCCAATCGTCCCTGCGGTCTCGCCTGCTTCTTATCCTTCAACGCACCCCCAAACGCTCCAATCGAATCCCCAACCCTCTTCGACAGCCACTCCCTCAACTCCCCCTCCGGCCCCCTCGCCTCCTCATCATCCCTCTCCCCAACAAACAGACAAACGTCCCGAATCCTCTGAATAACATCAAGATAAATCTCCTGCTCCGCAAACACCTCCCCAATATTCCCCGTGCCCCTCGGCCAAGGCTCCGGATCCAGCCTCGTCACACTCCCCGGCGCCGCAATCGCCACCGCAGCGATCCGCTCAGGATAGAGGTACATGAACCGATGCACAAACTGCGCCCCGCCAGAGAACCCCATCAACACGACCGGATCGCTGCAAATCCCCGGCCAGATGTGCGAGATTTCGTTGAGGATGTCGATGAGCACGAGGTCGGCTTGGAGTTTCTTCGTGCGGAGGTTCTTGTAGCTGTCCAGGTCGAAGACGCCATCTAGAGCCGCCGGGAAGAGGGGCGCGAGGATCGCCACGCCGTGGCTGTCCGCGAAGGCGATGAGGGAGTCGCGGCAGGTGACGGCGTCGCGGCGCGTGCTGTGGATGTTGACGACGAGGGGCAGACGGGGTGGGATGTCGTCGAGGGTTTTCTTTTGGAGCGTTTTGTGGATTTTGCAGTATTGCTCTGGGATGTAGAGTGTGTAGGAGACTCTTTGGTCGCTCAGGCAGGCTCGGAATGGTATCTTGCCAACGAGGTATGCGGCTCGTAGAAGGTGGGCGGGGAGCTCTGTCGGGTCGAGGGTTAGGCCATTGATGTCTTTGCGGGCCTTGTTGTCGAATTTGGTTCCCTGTGACATGTCTGTGTATATGTTGAGAGAGACGGTTGAAGTTGACGTCGGAATTGAAGTGAAGTGGTACATGTACTCGACATGGGTACATATCCATTGGTAGCGGCGTCGGCTGACTGAGCTATGCCGACTTCACCTCGTGAGGATTCGCTATCTTCTGCATCGACACCACAAGTGCAGTGTAACATTGGTTTCTTCACCAAGCAAGGTATGTATTCAGCCTCTTCTTTTGTCAACATGGCCTTCCTTGACTATATCTCTTTACACCACCTTCCCCACTGTCCAAGTTCAACACCACTCATGCCAATCTCTTCCAATCCCACATCAACACGAGCAGTACCACCAGCTCTGCCATCCTCCAAGACCATTCCACACTCAACAAGCTCTTCCCATGCACCTCTCGCCACCGCCTTGCCCCATACACGGTTCCCCGCACCCTGCGCAATTGCACCAGCTGCAGAGGCTTGCAGCTTCGCTTTTGCAGCAAGGTTTCTGTACTCCTCGTAAGCCAGTGCGAAGGTGATGACTTCGGTACCGTAGATGTTCGTGAGGCGAGCCGCGCAGATTAGGAGTGCTAGTTGTATAGTGCTGAAGGAATGAAGCAGGCTGAGTTTCGAATCCGGTGGTTGTAACGGAGGGTGCGACAAAGCTGACGAGAAGTGATCGAGAAGGATGGGTATTGTCGTTGTCGAGTCGATGGGCATGTTGGCGACAGCAATCGTCAAGGATGCGAGGAAGTCAGGCACTGATTTTGTGGTGAAGTAGAGCCGCCGTAGAAAGTCATTGCAAGGCTTCGACTTCAAGATGTCGTCGGCCAGCGTGTTCCACAGAAGCAGAACCATCGGTTCGCCAGACATCGATTCTTGACTTGTCGTCGACTTCGATAGCGAGGTCTTCTCGTCCAGGCTAAGCTCCTTGCTAGTGATCGAAAGAGCGGCAGTGCATATCTGCTCGAAAGCTTGGAAGCTCTTGGGCCAGCCAAGATGCACGTAGCGGTGACTGAAACGACTCTTGACTCGCTTCTCTAGACTCTCTGCGACATCAATCCTAGTCGTCAGCCCCAGAACGGCGATCGGCGCCTTTCTACTCTGCGCGATGTCGAACAAATTGTAGAGCAAAGTCTGGCGTGGATGGCTTGCAAAGAGCTCAAACTCATCCAGAATGAAGATGACACTCTTGGTGATCTGTCCTGGCTCTTCTGTCTCCTGTTCGGCTGGATGTGAGAGTAAAGCGAGGAGTTTTGACATGGTGTCGGCGTAATTCTTGGACGTGCTCTCTTCTTCCTCGAGGTCCATCTCTTTTCCGAGTTGACGCCAGATCTCGCGAAGAGCAATCTTGTCGTCCGTGTGTATAAAGCCGTTAAGTCGTACTGCGTGAAAGTCGTCTGGGTGTTTTGAGCTCTCCTCCCGCAGGATTTGGTCGATGAGGGTAGTCTTGCCACTTCCACGAGCACCTATCAAGAGCATGCTGTTGCTCTCGCCCGCTGTGATGGTCTGATGTATCACGGTGTTTACTTTTGCATGTTCAGCATCTAAATTCGTCAATGGTATCGCCCGTTTCCGTAAAAGTTTTTCAAGCACAATGCGCTGGACACATTTCAAATGCTCTTCTTCGAAAGTCTTCAAAGCTTTGGATCCTGCGACCTTCGACACTCGAGGGGTCACTTTCTTCGATGCAGGTTGTCGACTACTGCGAACAGAAGCCGGTCTTTCCAAAGCCTTCGCAGGCTTTTCTTCTTCTGATTCAGGTACCTCCATTCCGGACATTTCAGAATCGGATCCGCCATCCAAGATATCCTCTAGAACGAGCGGCTTGGCTTGCTGCACTTTCTTCCGGTCTGGCGGCTTTGATGTCCTTGTTGATGGACTTGGCGCTGGCTCTCGAATTTGTTTTGTCTGTTCCACTGAGCTCCTCTGCGATGGCTGTCTTGCCGACGACCGTCTTGATACATCCGCTGTGGCCAGCTCATCTTCGCTTTCGTCGTCCGCGGCGTTTTTCCGAGCACTCTCTTCAAGCTCGCGAATCTCGTCCTCGAAGGTCTTCTTCGGCTTCCCGTAGAACCAATTCTTAGCTGTCCCTTCCGGCATTGCCTCGCCCTTATTTTTGTTATCAGATACAGGCCCTGCATTGCCCTTCGCTCCTGTGTTGGCGGTGGTAGTCTCCGCCTTTGGTCCGTGAAACTGTTTGAAGAATCCCAGACTCGTGCCAGACTTTTTGGGACTTGCAGCCGCACTTTGCTGCGCCTTTTGATTCCTGAGGGGATCCAGGGTCTTCTTGGGACTAGCATTTTCCTCCTCCTTTGTGGCCTTCGGTAGCCCAGGGCCATGTTTCTTCGGACCCACAGTCTCCTGCTCTTTCTGATTCCTCAACGGATCCAAGCTCTTCCTTTTCAAGCCCTCACTTTCTCCTTTCCTCTGCGTTGTCTTCCCAACGGACGGGCGAGCCTGTTGCGATCCGGCGTTTGCGCCCTCAATATCATCATAAACATCAACGTCTCTTCGCGAAACAGATCTTCTAGATTGTTGCTTGTCCGCGAGCGCCTTGGCTTTGGCTTCCTCCCACAAGTTGCGGCTCGAAGAAGTGCTCGATTTCGCAATTCTATTCCCGTTGCCGGCAGGCGACGATTGCGTCAATCTGCCATTCCGCTTTTCCGTCGCCGGCGTCGATGGTGCTCTCGTTGTCGAATTGCCGGGCGAGCTCTTATTCAAATCCTCCTGGTCGTCAAGGCGTCGACGCTTGAGCGCCCTCATGGCCGACATGGCAAAGCTATGTAGAGATAGCAAGGCGCTATATCGGTCGTGTGTCCAAGCCGGTCCTGGTGTGTTGTCAATGGCGCGCGGGGCAGGTGTGGTGCAGGCAACGCAGGGTCAAAGGGAGAAGGGAAATTGGTCGCGAACGCGAGATGCACGCGAGCGACACGAGTTCACATGAGGTGCGAAAACGAAACGAGATCGACCAGTCTTAAACTGGGGTAAATTGCAAAGTGCATTATTGACTCTCCCCCTCAACGACGACGACCTCTTCACTCCAACATCGTTCACCACCCCAAGAAATCCCTATGAAACTCCCTCATGACCGCCGCCTCCGCAAGATACACACCCGCAAACTCCCCAACCCTCAAACACCACTCATCGTCCCACCCATCCACCCGAAAAAACACAGACGCACAGAAACACTCCCAAAACTCCGGTCCCCAGCCCGCGCTCTCCCAATCGACCAGCACGACCTCGAAAACCCTCTCCCCAGTACGCTCACACCTCCTCTTCTCGACGAGCAAAATATTCCGTCGATGCAGATCCCCATGCGTCAGCACCGTCCGATGCCCCCTGATCACATCCCCAAGATGCCTCTGCCAAAACCCCGCCTTGAAACCAGAATGTCCGTTCCTCGAGACATGCGCGCGATAGTTCCCCGCGAGCGCCTCGACGAACGCGCGCTCATCCCGGAAAGGACCCAGATGCTTCCAGTGATCCCCCTCCCGCTCACTAACGAACAGATCATGCCGCACGCCACCCCCATCCACACCCCCTAGGAACCCCCCGTCCCAGGGACACTCAGCACCTCTCAACCTCCTCAAAATCTGCCCCAACTGCTCCACCACCCCATCCTTCTCCCCCTCGCTCAGGACCCCCCAAACCTCCTCCAGCTGCACCCCCTGAACCCTCTCCATCACCAACAAAACCCGGCCTTCATCATAGTACATAGCGTACAGTCTCGGCGCACGCACCTCAGGAACGTATCGCTCCAGATAAACCAACGCCTGGCCCTCAGCGACATTCCCGAATTTGACGACCACGCGGTCGTCGATCGCGACGACTCTCCCCAGCCGTCTTCGTGTGTCCAAGACATCGGTGCAGGCGCGGATCTCGGAGGGGGTGGGTAGGGTGACGGGGTGCTTGTCGGTTATGTAGGGGAGAGGGACGGGTTGCCACATTTTCTGGTGGGGTGGATGGACGAGAAAGGTTGACTGCGCCGCGTGAGTTTGACTGACGTCGTTTCAACCTCGTATCGTGGCCCCCGTTCGAAGATTATCGACGATACAATTCGGAACACGATATCGTATTCACAGCAATGCGTTGTAGGTGCTGTGTAACATCGATCTCTGGGTCCTCGCAAAGTGATCACGACCAGGTACATGCGGCGCCAGGCGGACACGCCTAGCGCGAACAGAAAGAAGCACCTCAAGCTGAAAAGTAGATACCATGAGGGTACGATGACAAGCGAATCCGAACGAAAGAGAAGTACAACTACTTGTTTGCGAGCAGAGAGACTCCAACTCAATTCATTACAATTCGTGGGTATATCCAAAGTCAACAAAAACACACATCCCTCCCTTCATCACCATCCCATCTCGTCTCACAATAATAACGACGATGACATCCCAACCCCAACAAGAAGCAGAAGAAAAGGCGACATACCACGCCAACTGCCACTGCGGCCAAATCAAATACACCATCGCCGACGTCTCGCCACCGCTGGAAAAAGGCCACCAGGTCATGTCGTGTAATTGTAAATACAGCCAGCCCTACACATACTCCAACAAACATCCATCCCTCCAATCCTGACTGAACAACCCTTCCCCCTCCACTAGGCTCCATCTGCACCCGCGACGGCAAATGGAACATCTACATTCCCAAACAAAAAATCTCCTTCGTGGCCGGCGAAGACAAAATCAAAGTAAGATCATAACAAGCCCGCCCTTCCCCATAATACATGTTGTTGCTGACGTGTCCACGCTTCTGTGTGCTGTGTAGGAGTATCATTACTTGAAGCTGACACATGCGTTTTGCCCGGACTGTGGCACCTCTCTGTACTGTCATTTCTCGGATCCGAATCATGAATGGGCGAAGGAGTGGGCGATGAATGTTCGTGCGTTTCATGAGGTGGATTCGTCGCTGTTGAAGTTTGTGTATGCTGATATGAAGAGGGAGCCGCCGTTGTATGATCCGGGGTGGTGATGGGAAGATGCTTATGTTTGTTGGCCATGATAATAGTTCGATGATGTAGAGATCCCGAGTATCATAAGTCGTATGACGTTTCAGATAACCGTGGCGTACATTCAAGTTCAGTTCCGATAAGGCTGTGCATGGTAGGACGACTGAGAAGTAGTGCGGGACATGCTCGGCGAGTATCCCAGGCCCGAGTCCACATAATGATCTTTGTTCATGTGACGTTGAAGGTTGTCGGACCTAGTATAGCTCCTCGTACAGTCTTCGAACTGACAGTAGAATCGCTCTGGGTTTACAGTCGCATTGGCCTGGTGGCTCTTCTCGTGTCGCCGAAGATCCTTGGGGTGCACAAACGCCCACGGACAACCCGGCTCAGAACAATGATGAGGGCGTTCCCATACTTCCGAGTGCGTTCGTGTGCCGTGGCGTCTGCATCATGTCAGTATCAATCCGTTCCTAGATATCAAACTCCGGCACTGCACATACCTGAGATCGTCGAATTTAGCAAATGTCGCTCCGCAGCGAGGACAGTGGTGAGGCAGGTTCGGGTCACGAAGGGCTGATCCGGTCCGACGGCTTTGATGCGATGACCCCGACCGAACAGACATTGCACCAGGTGACGCCGGGGTAGAGTTGCCGCTGGAATGTGTAGACATTGGCTGTCGGTGACTGCCTCGTTGTGTACCTTCCACCAAATTGTCGATATTTCTGGGGTTGTCTGTGTACTCTGGGCGCAGGATGTTTGCGAAGTTCCCCATCGGTATCTGCAGCATGTTCTGGGCAGGCATTGGTTGTTGCTGAGGCGCGGCAGGATACATTGGAGTGCCTAGATGCGTCTGCCCACCCGAGTAGTTGACAGATAGATTGAGTTGGCCTTGGTAAAGTCCTTGGACTGGAGCCGATGCCCTCAGCTGTTGAGCAGCAGCCATAGCACTAGACTGTTGAACATTGCCCTGAGCGCCATAGGCACTAGGAGTTTGACGTCTGGTCGGCGGGATATTACGAGCTTGTCGTGCAGCTTGGGCATACGATCGTTGTTGTGCAAGTTGTGCAGCATTGGGTCTGGACGGCGCGGAGGGGGCAGCGGGTCGCGGGACGGTAGACTGTACTCGAGCTTGTTGGGGAAGCTGCGGCCGTAGTTGGCGAGCAGCTGCCAAAGCAGCAGGAGATGTGACTTGAGATGTCCCCAACGCTTGCGCTGCAGCCTGTGCATATGTTCTACCGGGTGTCGGCGACCGCTCTTGAATGACTGGTATGGGTTGAGGATATTGGGCCGGCGGTGTTGGGGATAGGTTTCGCATGTATCCTGAACAGTAATAGCATTCGTCGACCGGGCAGGTGTTGCGGCATCCCGGATCATGGTATCTGTAGAAGAACGTCTTGACACAAGTCAGTCTTCGACAGGAAGGTAATGGTAAGCCGACAATGCCACATACCTGATCCAATCCAGGTCCGGTGCCAGTATACGAGAGGGAGCTGTCTTCAGTAAAGTCACAACTGCCAAAGCAGTTGTCCGCCGGGAAGGAGTTCATGGTGACTCAGTAGGTGTGAGGTAAGTCAAACGTCCTGCCGACGAGGACGTCCGACCTTATAAGCGAGCAACAATGGTAGCCGCCCTCTCGCACGAGGGGCAAGACGATACCATGCGCTTGCTTAGCTGCTGGCGGTGCTGGCGGCCGGTGGTGAAGTTGCCCTTCCAAGTCTGATGTCGTCTGGTGGTGCAAGCGGCGGCCAGGCGTGGTATCCAACAACTGGGGAAACGAGGCAAACAACCAGACGAGCGCAGATCACCTACATCTGAAGAGCGTCGGACTGTTTCAAGAGCGAGATAATAAGGAACAGGAAAGCGACAAGTGAGAGGTGTGTGCGTGTGTCGTCCCAGGCTCGCCCTCTTCGCAGCAGTACGCAGCCGGAGGCCGCCCTTCTGTGAAGTGACATTGTATCCCGCCGCTAAGCGTCGGAGACAAGACAAGTGAACGGCAAGTCCACTATGCCGCTCGGTCGGCTGCGAGGGTTAATCGAGAATCGAGAGAGAGTGGGTGGCTGCTGCTGCTGATGCTGCTGCGCCAGCGTACTCCGGTGAAGAGAGTCGCGGACGGGTGCAGACAGCGCGCCCGGCGAGGGATATGTCTCGCCGGAACGACGACGTCACGCATCTGCAGCGCAATCTGGACGCTCCCCGGCAGTGTTAGACGTGCCCGAGCAGGCGGGGGAGGAGGTGTGTGTGGAGGTGATGCAGCAGCGCATGCGAGTCCAGGAGCTTCGTGGGTGTGGTGATTCGCTGGCACTTGGCAGGCCAGCCCATCTGCCTGTGCGCCGCCGATGCGTGCTGTGTTCGTGTGACCCTTCATCCCGACGCCCCGTCGGCCGCGCGAACGCAGCAGCGCCCATGAATGCGCGCGGTGGTGAAGATGTGCCATGTCGGCGCTGTGTATGAAGAAACGCAGCGCCAGCAGCAGCACCACCAGGACAGGGACAGGGATCTCCCTCACCACCAGCGCGTTCTTCCCGCGGTCCGACGGGGCGACGCGGAAGCCAAACGCACAGACACCGCTGCCCATCGCTGCCACGAACACCGCACAGCCACAGCCACACTGTTTCCACTGCGATGGGTTGATGATGGCGCAAGAACAGAATCGCCTAGCATACCTAGCATTGAACCTGCACGTCACTCGAACATCCACTCACACCGGCTCGCGACGCTTGCTAGGCCGAACCTCCACGCCGTCATCTTCGCTCGGGAGAAACGACCCTCTCGAAGGGCGAGACTCACTCCACTGCCCTTCCGTCTGCTCATCACGCGGAAGACGCCAAAAGACTACCTTACGCACGTCTGCCTCTGCCTCTAAGGCACGAAAATGACGACGACCTTGACCTTGACCTTGGCGCATGTCAGGTCTGATTGGCCGCCGCTGGTTCGCTGAAATGCAGGGCTGGCTGTCCAGCCGGTCGGCGTAACCACTGTCTGTCAGATCGCAAAGGGGAAGTTACTCAGACGTCTGTTCTGGATCGTGAGTCAATTCCGAACGCGTACACTACCAAGACTATCAGGCCACGCGTTGGTGAAATGTCGGTGTGGTGAAGGCGTGGGATGGGAGATTGACAAGTAGTGACGAATTCAAGAGTGACGTTTTGATGTTTGCAAGTTGTCTGCAAGTGGTTCGTATTCTCTCAATCGACTCTATGCCGTAGCTGGGTATCTCAAAAACGCCGCGCCGTCCCCTTCTCACTGTAACGTGAACTGGCTTCTTCCCATACTGTGGGTATTGAAGCAATGTATAAAAGCATCAGAGATGCCGAGAAATGGAGCGCAAACTCCGTTAATATCCCATTTTCGATGCGCCCTGTTTTCCCACCTGCGCAATGCTGTCTCCTGCTGCAGTACCGCCACTGATCTGTTCGTACAAGGCCGTTAAAGTCGTAAATCTCATGCGTGCGTGGAAGAAGGGCGTGAAGATTGCTGAGGTGTGTCGATGCGGTGTTGAGTCTGGATGTGGCGGTCGAGGTGATCTTGCCTCCCAAACCCTCGGTTGTGATATTTGCACCCTTGAAAGATGCAGTAGTACTTCTTGCGATTCGGGTCGTGCTTGGGGAGATGGCGCATTAGATCTTTTCGGTACTGAAATCGCTTGCTGCACTGCTGGCAAACGTGCTGTCGGCTAAGGTAGGGTTGATGGGATCGCAAATGGTGGGTCAAGTCGCCTTGCGTGGTAAAGCCGTCGTTGCACCAGTGGCATACGAAGTCCCCCGTCATCTCCCATTTCTGCCGCCGAGACCCGGCGCGAGCTGAAGATCCTGTAGTCGAAGCAGATGTTGGCGACCGATTGGCGGAGTGTGCTTCGGGCGGAGCCAGCATGTTCGTGTCAAGGCGAGACGGCAACGTTCGTTCTCCAATGGCTGGAGCGCGATTGATCCAACCCAGCATGTTCCCAGGTGCGCTGGGTATCATTCCGGGCTGATAGTTGGGGTTGTTGATCACTTCGGTGGGCAATATCTGCGGGACGCTGTTCATAGGTGGTGAAGATTGGAAGCCGTTTTGGTCGTCCATAGACGGCACAGGCAACGAGCCTTGGGCAGTGAACTGGTCGCCATCGAAGCCTTGGAAGCTTGATTGATGTTCAGAGAGTGGCAGCTGTGGTTGCGCAGGCCAAGATTGATGATGTGTTTGAGGTGCGTTCGGATAGCCATACATATTGGCTGCATTGGACGAAGCAACCATTCCACCAAACGAAGATGGATACTCCGTCGAAACCGGTATGGGCTGTTGCATCTGTGGCTGCATCGCGCTTTGGTCGCCAACCCATTGCCCTAAAGGAGTGTTGTTGTAGTTGTTCATGGTCGGCGTCTGGTCTTGCGCGAATGTGAGGATTGGAGCAGATTGTGGCGGATGGCTGAGCCTTGGTCGACTTTCCATCGTCCCAGGAAGACCCGCGCCCGTGAAAGCAAAGTAGTCGGGGTCATAGCGATTCGAAGGTGCTTGGCTTTGCTGGAGCTGGGGTTGAATGAGAGGTCGAGAAGTGCGAGGTGGTGAGGTTATGCTGCGACTGTTGGTAGGCCGGGAGTGCGGTGCCTTAAGACATTGATGAGAAGCGCATCGATGATATGTTTTGTAATGAAGTCTTACCATCTGGGTATTGAAATGATTGTAGGCGAAAGCGTCGGCGAACTGCTCGCCCACGCTGAAGAGGTCCGGCCATTCCATGTCGATGTTGTCGAACGATTCGTCCCCGCCATTGGGGTGGGCATGCGCGCATACCGCCAGTATGACAACAAGGACAAGCACAGTAGCGAACCGGTTCCTGGTCCAGCTCATCGAATTGTTGGAGTTGTAGTAGATGGTCGTCGGTGTTGAGCGACGTCCCGAAGCGGATGTGTGAGGGATTGGGTGGACGACGACGGCAATATATAATGCACACCAAAGAGACGAATGGAATCAACACTTACTGACGGACGGCCTTTAGTATATTCGGGCGCGGTGCATGTCGAGCGTGCTCGTGAACGTCACGTTTGTGCTTTCTGGCGCTCACCAGCCCACTTCGACTGAGGCGCTGCTTTCGCGCGGTGAAGGCGCAGCACCCAGTGTCCGGCCTGAGGGTGAGCTAGCTACGGAGTCAGGGTTGTCCCAGCTCCAGCGGCGCCGAATCGAGTAAGCAGATGCATCATTAACGACGGGACTAGCATCTTGTCGGCGGGCTGCGATGAGTTCCAGTGATGGATAGAGATGAAGTGTAGTTGAAAGAAAGCAGACGGAGAGTTGTTGTCTCCTTGGTTGGGTGTGAAACCGCCGCCCCTCTCTCTCGCTTTCCAGCCAATCACAACCTCTCTCCTCGGTTGCGGGGATTTGCTTGTCTTGCGGTGGACCTCACCTCTCCAGTCTCACGTCTCACTGCGCTCTCCGTCTCGCACCTCACCACCACTCCCCATTCCACTCGCCCCCAAACAATCGTGCACCGTGCCGCATACTGACCTCGTCATCGCAAAACATACCTGTGGCTTCAACGCGCCTTCAAAGCCACTGCCATCAGCACAAACATCCTATCAGGAAAGCCCTTCCACCATCACGCGCATGTGATCCAACTCACTTGCTCCCAGCACCTCACAAAACCTCCGACACGCCGCGACAACATCCACCACCCAGGAGGCGTTACGAGCACAAAGTGTTGGTTCAAGCCTCAAAGGATCTCACTCGAGGCGCAGCCTGCAGCAATGGGGGCCGAAAAGATAACGCTAGCCGGCTCGCTTGGCTGTACAGCTCCCCCAGCTCCGTTCGATGATGGCGCGGAGTATTGCTTCTCGCAGCAAAAACATGCACTATCCTGGACGATCATGCGCGTGTTGATGATGGATCATCATGCCTGCCTCATTCATCTGTGGCGTGTGTGTCGATTACGAACTTGCTGCCGCACACCGGTCGGATGTATCGGGCATTGGCATGCGAGCGAGCGCAGGTCACACGGCGCCGAGATCAACAGGTACCCGTACATCCGCGCAGCTCCATCCCCAGTCCAATGCGACTTAGCATCGGTATCCGGGCGTGCGAACGCTTTCTGCGCCAATATCAGGCCTCGCGTAGTTTTCGTGAGCAGATGACGAGTTGTGTGTACGTTGCGTTTTGTCTGGATCGAGGAAGTATACGCTTGTTGAATGACGACCGTACATGGACACAGCTCGTTATCGCTGTGTCAAGCGCTTTCGCATGCGTGCACTGTGATTGTAGCTCGTGTGGAAGAGGTTCCCGCAGCCATGGTCGTCGCTTGTCCGCCTGCTCCCACATTCTTGGTACCATCAAAGTTCACGATAGAATCGATTCGTATAGACAATATTGCATTCGAAGAAGGTGCTCTTTCTGCACAAGGGGTATCACTAGACCTCCCACCGAAACGCCTCGCTAAATAGAAGTACAATGACTTTTTGATCCAAGTTCCTTTTCCCATCCCGTATGTCCACACCGTCTAGAGAGACCGACATAGATAGAGAGCGATATCACCCACAACCCTCAACGCCTCACGGCCCACCATGACCGTCAGTATACAACCTGCGATAAAGACAGCCCCCTCTCGCCCCAACCCAAAGCAGAGCTTAAGAATCCCAACCCCAGTCCCCATTCTAGCAGAAACAACACTCCCCACCCACCTCCTACTCCTCCTCCTGCTTATGCTTCTGCCTGACATGCCTCACCAAATGATCCCTCCTCTTAAACCCCTTATGCCGAAACGGACAATCAATATAATTACAAAAGATATGCCGCTCCTTCTCATGCGTCTTCATATGCCTCTTGACATCCTTGTCGAACAGGAACGGCTTGCTGCAGATACTGCACAGCTTCGTGCGCTTGCTGGGGTCGTGGTTGCGCGCGTGGTGGTCCCGCTCGCTTTTGCTGTCGTGCGCTTTGCCGCAGGTCTCGCAGAGGAATGTTCCCGTGCTGAGACCGCTGCGGGCGGAGGCTTTCTTTTTTCCCTTTTTGTTGTTGCTGGGGGTTTGTTGGGGTGGCGGGGTTGGGAAGTTGTCAGATGTGCCCACGTTGTAGGCGCCCTGGGCCCAGGTGTACATGTCCTCTGTGGGCGGGACGTTGGGGTGCTGCCAGCCGTGGAAATCGGCCGCGAGGGCCATGTGGTCTTGCGTTGGCTGTGCGAATGGATCGTGAGTCGGTCCGCGCCCGGTCAAAGGTGACGGTGCTACGTAGGCGTTGTCGAAGAATCCAGCTTGGGCTTGCTGTTGTGATATAGGTGTGAGGTTCCCGTGTTCATCGATGGCATTTCCCCCTGCGAAGTCTTGTTGCTGATGGATATGGGCAGTGTCAACACCCAACAGGCTGTAAGGGTTGTTGGATTGCCAGGCAGGAGTATTCTGATGATATGCGCTCGAAGTCTGTCCGCGTTGATGTGAAAGAGAGGACGTATCGGGAGTCGGTAGCATATGTTGCTGTTGGCGTGTAGGGTACTTGTGCCGTGGTGTCTGAACTGTGTGCCATTGTCCTCCGTCGTGTGTCGCAGGCGTTGGGAAGGGGGTTTGTGTTTGAGCAAGGTCAGTCGGTTCAGCATATGTCTGTCGTCGAGTATTAGTGAATGTGAGAAGCTTGGACGGAAGACGTGCATACCATTTCGACGTCGACATTGACGCTGCGGTCAACATCTTGCACGGCCTGCTCTACCGTCGGGACGCTTGTGCTGTTGTGACTCTCTTCAGAGTTCGGCCAACTCCCGACATTGTTTAGTAGTCTCGGGTCGATGTTCGCCTCGTCAAAGCTCTGCTGTGCGTTCTGCTGGCCAGGCCATTGCGAGAAGCCGTCCATCTTGTGCGAAGTAGTCTGGTTTATGGTGTCCGCGGTGGTGTCAAACGAGAGTAGTGTAGGTGTTTCACAGGCAGGTTGGTTATGTACAGAAGAAGGGGGCAGTGGGGGTGCTGTACAGTACGAGAGAGCAGGGTATAGAGAGATGGTAAGGTAGATACTCGGGAAGAATCTCACGCCCGACTGCACGGTAAAGATGTGGTGAAGATCAGCAACAGTCGGTGTTCTGCGCGAGAATGAAGAAACGAAAGTCCAAGATCAACGAGAGACGTGGAAGCAATTTGCGGTGTGGTGGTGTTCGTGGGCGGCCCCTTGGGTTTCAATTCAGTGATGGCCGGCTTGATGACGCTGGGTGGGCGGGCGTGGAGCTGGTTGTCAACACTGGACAACAGCTCTCTGTGTGGAAGGGAGGCGCAGCAACAACATCACCACCCATCACTGCTGCTTGATGCACCAAAAGCAGGCATGTACACCCACTTGAGGACCGGTCAGGAGAAAATAGAAAAGACAACGAGCTTGCAAGCGAGCAAAAAGTGGAAGAAGAAGAAGGGAGGAAAAAACGCTCGTGCTCTCCGTCTTTGTAGAAGGCGCTGATCATCGGGTTGTTTTGACGATCCACAGAGCGGGGCAGCTGTATCGATTGCTCGAGTAACCAGATGGCGGATGGGATTCACTCTTGCGTTGATCTTGCTCATGTTCCTCTATTTCGTTGTCCTGGTCGCAGTGACTTTTGCCGGTCTGTACCAACACAAACCATCGCCATGATCGCCGCGACGAGAGCGCATCGGTAGCTGTCCGTCCTACTCGATCTGGGGAGCAATGGCATACAGCTTGGGACCACTAATCAGCCGCAGCAGCTTCAGTCGACGTGCTTCGCCGCCATTGGATGTTGACCGTGGGAGGACGAACAGATGCTGCGTCGAGCAAAGCAGAGCCTCATCTGCTTGCTGATTGACAGGACATGTTCGGCATACCGTAGCCCGCTCAGCTCTCTGACTTGTTTCGACGCTGAAAGGTCGAAACACGCACCCAGCCTCCTGGTGCAACGGAAATTCGTTTCACGATACGGCCGAACGGTCGCACGATCGCCGCAGCGGATGCGGACGGAATCCCCGAGTTTGGCTTCGGCTGGCCGACAGCCACGGCTGGGCGGCGTGGTAAAAATAAACGTCGCGTGCTCGTGAAGGTCGATGGTCGAAGATGCTTGCAGATGTCGAGATGTTGAAAATAGAGTCGCCAGAATGAGTTGATGTTTTGGTCTCGATGTGGAATGGCCAAGTTGCTGTAGGTACAGCGTTGTGCTGGGAAATGGCAGAGCAGTGACTTCCAACTTGGGTATCAAAAGTGGGTCCAATTTCCCTTGAGATGTTCACGAAAATGACTGTCTCTTTCTCCATCACGAGTAGTGTCGTTCAGTCCTCTGCAATGTGTCTGCGGGTGCTCATGCCTAGGTATCCTGCTTCGGTACTCTTACCACGTTTCGATCCGCGACAATCCAGAACCAAGCTTTCCAAGATATGTGACAAGGACATGGCACTTTTCAAAGACAATCAACGTCCCAGTGCTGACAGGATATCGAGCAGACCTCACATGCATTGTGAAGCGGACGAATTTGTTGCCGTACGAGACACCCGCTTGTCTCCTCGAATCGATCCTGTGTTAGCCTGTTCGACCCATGTGACCATTGGCGTTATGTTTATCCTTTTCTGGTAACGGCTCGCCGAAGACATGACTGGGTATCGACGGCATTGCCATAACCCCAGTCAAGTATAAGCCTCGTGCCAGGCGAGAGCAGTTTCCATCATCGGCAATTCACGCCTCTTGCGGAATCAGATCTCTTCAGAACCTCTGGCCGCTCACGTACTTCTTGGCTTGGGCACCTTTGGCTTCCGTGATCGCTCAGAGATCTTGATATATGCTTTCGCCTTAGTCTCAGCATGAAATCATCCGGTCGGAAATTTGAAAGGTCCTTGTATTGTCCGACTCCGCGAGGTGTCAAGCCATTGGTGGCCACTCGTGGTTCCCTCCATGGCGTTGAGTCGCCCGTATCGCCGTAAATTCAACATGCCCGATCACCAGGACGAAGACATGGTAAAGAAGAAGGAGAAGAAGTCCCCATCTCACCGCAAGGCCATGAAAGAAAGGGTGACACGTGTCGGTCAGCAACTGCTCGTATGCACCGCCCCCATAGTGGACCCCAATGGATGCAGCCCAACACCGGCTACCACTCCCATTGCTCCAATGCCGCGACACCGTCACCAAGCTTCTTTGAACGCAGATGGAGAGAATGAAGTGAAGTCCAGAACGATGACACACTTCAGAGACTGGTTCGACCAACGGCAAGGCCCGTCGACAGCGTTCCCCCGTTTGGTAGGAAAGTATAAATGTCTGGACCAATGGCGGAGAGATATACGTGCCGGTGTGTGAGAGGTAGAGTGGTCCAATGAAGTGTTAGGGCAGGTGTTGAGGGACGTCAGGGCTATGTGTTCAGTAGACAATGGGAAAAGATAAGTGCACCTTTCTGTTTGACTGAACATTAAAATTATATACGCGTCCACTATGTAAGAAACAACGCTAAACAACAAGCACATATGATGCCGACGATACCAGCACGTATCGATACTGCCCCTCCAGTCGAAGCCGCAGGAGTCGCCCCTGCATTCACACCTGCTGTTGGTGAGGCGAATGTAGGTGTGGCCTGCACGATCTTCCCACTCGCATCACTGATCGTCTCTCCACCGATCGTTGCGACTCCTCCTGCGGAAAGGGTATTTCCATCGATGACAAGCGCACCATTGCTCTCCTCGGTTGCTGTGTACGTATATGAGCCAATCGTGACAACGGTCGTGTAGGCCGCGGCGTCAGCGAAGAACGAGGTCGTCTTTCCATCGATGATCAGTCCGCTAGAGGCGTCGCTCACGACATGTCCATCAATGGTCGTGCTCTCTCCGGGGCGGAGCGTGATGGATGAATCAATCGTAGCCGTTCCAGCAGATTCTGTCACGGTGAAGTCCTGATTTCCAAGCTCCATCAGTTGCGTCACGGGCCCAGATCCGCCACTCCAGAGAGAAGTTGTTCCGTCGACGACCAAGCCACTTGAGACATCGCTGAGTGTGTGGCCGTCTATCGTAGCTACCTGACCGGGTGTCAGAGTTGTGCCAGAGATGACCGCAGTGCCCGCAGATTCAACGGCCGTCATTGTCTGGGAACCGAAGCGCATAACGGCTGTGATGGGCGCTGCTTGACCAGAAGCCCCTGAGCTCGCTGTGAAGAGCGCAGTCGTGCCATCCACAACAAGGGCGCTAGAAGCATCGCTGACTACTGCACCGTTGATGGTAGCGACTTGGCCAGGGGTCAAAGTGGTTCCATCAAGTACGACCGTTCCCGCGCTTGCTTGAGCCGCCAACGTCTGGCCTCGAGCTGTGACGATGGCTGCCGAAGCAGGCGTTGCAGCTGATCCTAGTGGCGAGAATGCTTTCGTTGCACCATTGACAACAATGCCTGACGGTCCAACGCTCACAGTCTGTCCATCAACGACAGCGATCCGACCAGGTACTATTGTCTGTCCTTGTATGACAACTCCACCTCCGGACACGGAAGACGCAGTCACGGTCGATCCACCCAGATTCAGCACTGCTCCGTTCCCGCCATTGACACCTTGAGACGGAGCAGCAAGGTTGACGGTAGTGCTTCCGACCACCACCTGTCCAGAGCTACCCACAGAGACAGGCGTCTGGTTGATAACGGTAGTTTGTCCAGGGGCTAAAGTAGCAGTTCCACCAACAACAACTGCGGACTGACCAGGGCCAACGGCAAGCGGTATCGAACCTACTGTTGTAACTGCCCTATTTGATGAACCAGACTGGTCCAGATTCGAGCCAGAGCTGCCCGAACCTTGTGCGTTCCCATCCCCATCCTGCGCCGCTGGAGCTGACGGGGCCCCAATCACAGATGCAATGATGCCTCCCACATTCGCAGTCTCGGTCGTTCCTGAGGGCGGTGGATTCTGGGCTGGACTTGGAGAGCTTTGGTCTGGCTCGCCGTTCTGGTTCGATGATGGGCTTTGCGGCGAGGAAGGGTCTGAATTGCTGTTTTGATTCGATGAAGACGACGGGTTCGAGTTGCTGTTCTGATTCGAAGGACCTTCAGAAGAAGATGGATCAGAGTTTCCGTTTTGGTTCGACGGCGATGATGGATTCGAACCACCTTTTTGGTCTGGCTGCGGTGATGGATTCGAATTGCCATTCTGGTTTGATGGAGATGATGGATTTGAGCCACTGTTTCCATTCGACGGAGACGACGGATTCGAGCCCCCATTTTCATTCGACGGAGACGAAGGGTTTGAGTTACCATTCTGATTCGAAGGAGATTGAGCCGACGGAGAGGGATCTGCTGGTGCTGGTGCTGGTTCGGCAGGTGAAGGGGACTCAGAGGGTGAAGGTTGAGCAGGCGGCGGTGGTGAAGGCTTCGCTTCGGCTGAAGTCGACGTCGCCGGGGCTTGCGTTGGCTCCGGGGTCTTCTCAGGCAGAGCAGTCGCTGAAGTAGGCGAGGAGCCTCCAGGTAGGGTGGGCACTACCTCATTTGCAGCCTGGTCATTGTCAGACATACACGACAAGTTAGAACACCCATACTTACAGCAGTCAGCGCAATGGGCGGGTCGAACACAATGTTCAAATCATCTAAGAAACCACAAGAAGCGAAACCAGGTCCTGCGCTCTGGACAGCCGTAGGAATAGCCAACTGCGGTGTAAACGCATCCCAGATTGTACTGCAGTATTGTGGATAACCTCCACCGCCTCCTCCGCACATTGCCATGGCCAGATATGCACTGGCGGGGACGGGAGGTTGGAAATCACCGAAGTTGAAGGAGAAGCCTCCATTGTAGCCGTTGTGGTACGCTCCACGCTGCGAGCTGATCTGATCTGGGCTTTGCTCGAGTATGTAGTTCGTCACGGTGGAGACAGGGTTCGTGCAGCCATCTTCCAGGACCAGTGTGTCGAAGGACAGCAGTACGTTTGGCGAGACAACGGTGGTGCCAAAGATGGATGCAGTCTGCCGCGTGGTCACAGTAGGGGGCACTGTGGTTCTGTTGCCACAAGGGTCGCCTACTCAACACCATCAGTACAGTTACAACATGAGCAATACAGTTCAACACTCACCCGTAACGCTGACCGGCCAATATGCCATCTGCACGGACTGTGCCGAGATGTAGCAAGTACTCGCAGAGGTAGTACAACCAGGATCAGTATATGAGCACGCTGGAGCAGGACCTTTGAATCCATTCTCATAGGAGCTGTACAGTCGACTGCACTGAGACGGGTTGATCGTGCAAGCAGGCGGGGTGGCAGTAGCATTGTCCCAGGTCGTTACAGGGAACGTGCTCAGATCTGATACCGTCCTTGTGACAGGCGAGAAGACGGGGTTTCCATGAGCTCGTGGGTAGCCATCGCACAGTGTTGTGTACGCCGTCGAATTGGGCGGTATGAAGGTGTACGTGTAAAATGTTTCATAGTAGGTGCCGGATGTGACTAGGGTTGTCGAGGCATACTGTGACAAGAAGGAGTTCGATGCAGAGTTGCAGGCGTCTGCGTAGGCATCCGCAGAGCTGTTTGTTGAGTTTAGTCCTGTGCCATTGAAGCTGAGCGAAGTCGAGAAGCCTGCTGATGCTGCTGTCTGTAGAAGCGGCGGAATGGTCGTTGCGTTTGATTGAGGTGTGGTTTGGGCCAAGAACGAGGAGCTCACAGCGCTGGTCGAAGTCGTGGACGAGATCGAGGAATCGGTGGATGAGTTCGAGGAGTCGGTAAATGAGCTCGAGGAGTTTGTAGATGAATTCGAAGAACCGGCCACACTAGATGATGTTGTAAGGACAAGTGGTTCCCTTTGCGGAGCAGTAGAGGTGGATAAGCTCCAACTTGAGAGCGCCGACGAGACTGTGCTATGCACCACGAGAGGCGAAGATCCAACGCTGGAGGTGAAGCTAGAAGATGTGATAGTTGCAACGGAAGACGAGGTCGAGTTCACAACCGCTGCAGCGACCGACGAAGAAGTATTGAAGAACATCCTGCAGTAGAAGAAGAATGACTTACAGCTCATCAGAGGCTGAGGATCGGAAACGACCCCTTCTTCATATGCTCACGCGGGTCGCCCCTCCCCAATGCCGACGAGACAAGCCAGACTCTTTCGGAGAATTGTGAGATTGAATGGCGTTCATAGATCTGGAAACATCATTCAGCCGCAAGCAGGGGCCGGTCGAGAATGCTGACTGAAGAGCATAGCGTTGACGACGTTGGATTTGATGTTTTCCAAAAGTAATCTTGTCCGCTAGCTCGACTCCTCGCGCGTTTAGTGAGATCACGTGCAAGGGGCAAGATGCCCGATTAGGAAGGCAGTGCTGCGTTGGGCCATAGCATTCGTTGCTTACAGGGACGAAGCGCACATTTATGGCCTGGTGGATGTTCCATGGCCAAGATTGAATCAGCGAAGATCATCAGGTTCCACCGGTAAGGGTGTGGCGGGACTCGTGCTTGCTGCAGTGCTTCAAAGCCATGTGTCGGAATCGGATGAGTGCCTCAGGGCGGATTCGATGAAGCCTGGACCAAAAGCCGGAACAATTTTACCATCTGTAGCTGTCTTCTTGAATCCTCTTCATCCCAGCGTCCAACGTTGGGTTCTGAGCAGTGACTTGATATCACTTGCATCGACGCTCATCTGAGTGCGGCCGTATTCCCTTTGCTTAGACGACCATTGTTACAGTAGTCTTCCCATCCGTATTGTTGAGGTCCACCCTCCTTTGTTGGACACATGCGGCAGCTGCTGAATCCAGAGCATAAGAATGAATGCCTGGAGATGAGAGTGTCTGCTTGAAGATGAGTAAGTTCGTCCAGAAAAGGATCTGTGCCGGGACTCACATTTCAAGCAGTTCCCCGGCAAATGGCCAGATCGAGGAGTGCCTATCGACCTTTCAACGCCAGAGAGGAGCAGAGATACGAATTGCCTCAAATTGCCTAGCCAGCTGGATCGATATCCACGATCCAGATCAATGAATTGTCCTTGCGACGTATGGTGAGTTTTGCTCCGTAATGTTGAGGGGACTTCGAAAGTATCACATCTAACTCAAGGCGACGGTCGCACCTCAACCGCCAGATGCCATCGTGTGCCTGGCTATCAGCATAGACTGATGAAGCTTGCTCGATAACGTTGTAGTCTCCTCCCTCTATTCTCTTTTCATCATCGTCAGAGAACGCGATGATTGGCTCAACCAAAGCCTTCTCCGCACCAGAATCTGCCAGCATGCAGATCGGGTTGAAACGAAAATCGAAGCCAAGGGCAATCTGTTTGAAAGGCAAGCCCTCTCGCAATTGGCGGATCTCAAGCTGACAGGGCTTCCGCAATGGAATGGGAATCGGAGCATATGCATGGACATCCTCGCGGCCTTTGAGTAGACGAGCAGGGATCAGGAACCCATTCTGCCCTACCGCCGAGTATACCAAAGGTGTTTGTAGATCCAGGGCAAAAGGAACGAAAAGACGCACACTCCTCGACGGGCGAGGGTGGAACTCCATGTGACATTCTTCGTAAATGCGTTCATTGTCCCAAAACAAGCCACCATTGCCGTAAGGATCGATTCTGGCGTATTGATCATCTTGCCTGAGGCGGCGCAGGAACAGTCCTACTGTCACGTCGTGAGAGAAGCGCTTACTTTGCTCACAGTCAATGAATGCCAAATAAGTGTCCACCATCCAAGGCGTGAGTTCAAGCTCAATCGACAGGCCTCGATTCGTGATTGAGAAGGGCTTACGACCTTTCCAGCGGTTCAACGCTTTCGCGCTAGAGCAGTCTTTGAAATGCCTGTGACTCGGCGCCAGAAGACCGGAGAGCCTGTATTTTGTTGGATCCATTGACCAGGCAAATATCGTGTGATCATCGCTGTTCCTAATGAGTTCTTCCTGCAGGCGGATGAAGGCCCTCTCTCCTTCTCCATAGATCGGGACCATATTGATGTTGAAGAGTCCTAGCAAGCAGTATGCCCTATCCTCTGACTTGGTTGTCTCTCGGTCGGCGGCCCATGACATCTTCTGTGCGATGGAGTATTCTTTGATTTTACGGTCCAACAGTACTTCGACGTGAATGCCAGTACACTCCGATATCTCGTTGGCACGCGTCTCCTTGGAGCCCAGATGTGTCCATTCGGAGTCAAAGAATTCTACGACGGCGGGAGCAATGAGTTCTTGCAAAGTCCATCCTCGTTTGAACCATCTGCTTTGGCGAAACGATATGTCAGACCCCGGCCCAACATCTTGCAAGTACACGTAACATCGATCCGCTTCCTCATACCATCTGTACATCGAATTGATGGCCTCAGTGGTTTCAGCACTGCTCCGCTTATCGATGCAGCAGGTGTCGATCCAGATCCAGTCGAGCCCTTCCTTTCTCGCTTGCCTTGCTGTGCCTTCCACTTTGGGGAAGCCTGGTTTCTGGCGCTTCCATCCAGAAATGATATCGTCGTACTTGACCTCGTGGTCATTGTTACTTGCCCAGCAGTGAGACAGGATGACATACGGCCTCTTAGAACTATGTTCCGAAGCGGCCTCTTCTTGATGGATCTGGAGCGGGAGCTCAAAGGTCAGCGTCGTCGTATTCAGCAGGCGCGGCTCCATGATGAAGTCGACCATGAAGATGATCTGGGAGACTGGGAGCAACTAGCATGGCAGGCTGTACGCAGCCTTTTTATCGAGGAGAGCCAAGTCATGTGGCGTCTGTTGCCGCCGCAGTCGTAGGGTCGAAATATGCACCTACACAGCCTTCCTACATCATTGGACGGTTAGCCTGTGGAAATGCTAAGCGCTGAGGTTGGAATGACTTTCAACTAGAGCCAGCTGAACCTGCTGAACACCGGTTTGGGTTGGCAAAGGTCATTGATTTGTGAGGTGAGAGGATTGCGCGGGTGGCAAAACTATGCAGCCCCTAACAGTTTTTCGAGATTAGATAGTGCTGGGAAGGATGTAAATGAACACCATCTAGCAGGTGCGCCTGTGGAGTTCATCAGCTCTTGAACTCCAAGCATGCTTTATTTCGGAGGTAGTTCCACTGCCTATCTCCTATTGCTCCGCTCACTGCATCATCATCGTTGTCCTGCACGGCTTCACAGAAAAGACTCACCACAAAGCTTACCACCACCCAAGATCACCAACGTTATCAACCCCAATAACTAGCCCATTTACTCTTCCCATTTACAACCCCGACAAACTCCCTCGCGATGACCCGATCCGTCTGCTCGCTCGGATGCAAAGCGTCATACCACATAAAACTATCCGGATTGTCACTATTCGTGCATGCCTGCCCCGAAGCATCGCACTGGTGAACAGTACCTGTGACATTCAGAGGCGCCGTGCCGTTGAGGTAGGCGGATGGGTTGTTGTATATGTCGGTCATCTGTGGGAGGAAATGTCAGCGTGCTGAGATAAGGGCTGGAGGTTTGGAGAAGGAGACTCACGAGTCCATGCACATCGAAGACGGCGAAATTGGCGCCTTTGAAGGAATTCGAAATTTGCGCAACGAAAGGCGTCTGGTACTTGTAAATCGCATTCACCGTGACGACCTCCTCCATCATGCGATAGCTGATCTCCGTGGTATTGCTGGGTTTGTTCGGCCAGTAGCTGCCATTAATGACACCGCCTCTCTCAGGTAGTCCGTACAAAGGTGCAAGGTTCAGTGGCGCGGCATTCAAAATCACAAAATACCTCGCCCCATTCCCATACAGACTCTGCAACTGCTCATACACGCAATCTGTGTAATCCACAATATTCTTCCCCTTGACTTGCGAGTCTGTGAGCAAGGCATTGACCCCCAAATCGTTCGTCCCGATCCAGATGGTATACACAGTCTCGTCAGGTGGGCTGATCACAAACTTGCTTCCACTTGGCTCAACATACTTGGAGTCCGCGATGAAGGCTGGGACTTCGTACTCCCGCACGGCGGGGAAGTCGTAGGTGGTGAAGGTGCGTGGGGTGATTTCGTTGCTGCAGACGGCACCGCTAACGGCGTAGTTGTAGAGGTTGATGCCGGTGTATTGCTTTACGTATTGGACCCAGATGCGGCCCCCGCTGCTGGCGGCGTAGTTCTGTTGGACAGAGGTTAGTATGTGGATGTCCTAGGCGTGGAGAGGATTGCTCACAACTGGATCAACCCAGCCGACTGGTGGTGCATCGCCGTTATGAGAGCTGAAGTAGCCCAGGCGCGAGTCATCCGTATAGCTGTCGCCGAAGGCAACTAGAGATGTGAACTTCCTCAAACCCCATTGCTGTCCTCCTTCTCCTCCGTGCTGCGGCCCACCCCAAGGCCCATGTGGCCAGCCTGGTGGGTTAGCAGTCGCCGCGGCGATGAGTCCAAACCATGCAAGCGCTGAAGCTACCATCGTCATGATAATTCACCTGCGAAATGATGGTGCGCTGCGGTGAGGTAGCAACCTGCTATGCTGTGCTTATAAAGTGAGCGACGGCGACATGACCACCAGTCTACTCCGCACTTTCGCATCCTTTTCTGCCGGGCTCTATTGTCCACCTGCGTTAGTGGCATCGTGTTAGGGAGTAGTGGAGGGAAGTGGGAAGCTTTGCTCCTTCGCGTGACCTGCGGCTGTACTGCCAAAGCTTAATCGCGTGCCTGCCTTTTTGGGGGTCCCCGGGTGAAGTTGAAATAGCCTATTTGCACCAGACCTCACCGCACCAGTGCCACGGCCGTGGTCCATAACACATGGCTTTGCGATTATACAGCTTCACTGTCGCGCCTCTTGTCGTCGCTCGTTCAATCACACAATCCAAGAGTCGTCCTAATCCATTCCATTTTTTTCGCCCGAGGGTAGTTCGAACTTCGTATTCTGCTGCCCTCTGCCAAATCGGACAACAATGCCGTTGCATCTCTTTCGGCTCTTGGATCAATACCGCATCGCTCCCCTGCCTTTGTATTTCACGGGTGCATGGTCTCCGCTTCCCGAACCGCTCAGCCGACCGGCGTTATCCAGCCTCCCTTCGTCGTGAAAGCGATTCTTCGATGGGCGGTAGCGATCATCTTCTCTTCTATGACCCGCGTATCCATGGTCCTCTCGCCTGGGGCTGGGGCGATACCTGTCCTCATCGGCATACCTTCGGTCTCGTTGCTCGTTATATTGGTTGGGAAGACTCCGCCGCCGTCGCTCGTACGTAGCATTTTCATCCCGTCGATCCTTGTGCCGGCTTGGAGATGGACTTCGCTTCCGCTTGTGCAATTCAGCCGGGGATACTTCCTGGTCATCCTCCTCCATGATGGGGTTGGAAGGCGACCTCGATAGCGAGCGCAATCTGGGTCTGCCTCTTATGCCTTCATCGACCACATTATCGCTCTGCCTCCTCTTCCTTCGCCTCTCCGGTGGTGGACTGGCATCCATTTCGTCGCTGGACGGATCTTGATCACTTTTTCGCCTCCGACCTCTATCAGTACTGCTCTTTTTGGGAACGCCATCTTCGTGTTTGGAGTCGCGCTGCTTCTTCTTCCTCTCCAATTCACCGCACCGTGACACAAGGACAGGCTGCAGGGGTCGGTCGTTCTTGTCTACGGGGACCTTTGCGGTCCGTGACAGCGTGTCTTCGCCCGAGACGATTCGTCCGAAAATGGTGTGCTTGCCGTTCAGGTGTGGACAGGGGTCCAAGGTGATGAAGAATCTGGGATGAAGCTGGTCAGTTGCATGCCTCGCGAGCTGCACGAAATCATGGGTCGAGCCTCACTGCGAGCCATTCGTATCCTTGCCGCGGTTGGCTGAGCATACCAAACCTGCGGCGTCCATCTCCCTCCAGTTGAGGTTTTCATCTTCGAATTCGCCATTGTAGATGCTCGCCGTGCCGGTCCCGTCTCCTTCGGCAACATCGCCGCCCTGGATCATGAACTCGTCGATGACCCGGTGGAAGGGCACCTTGGCGTAAGACATGCCATTGTGTTCGCCGGTGCACAGTTGTCGGAAGCTGGTATGCAGTGTCAGTGTTTCGTTTCTCGGATGCAGGCGGGCTGTAGCTGGTGTTTGCTGCTCACTTTTCGCAGGTCTTGGGGGTCTTGTCGTTGAAAAGTTCGATGTTCAATCTGCCGGCGGGTTCCTCCCCAATGCTCACATCCAGGAAGACGCGCGAACGAGAGGCCATGTTGTTGCTGACGGCGTTCATGCGTGTGACAGATGCAGCAGCAGGAGCAGCAAGACGAAGATCACGCGGCGATCAAGCAGCTAAAGTAGCCGTTTGTGGGGTGCAGCGGCAGGGTTCGACGAGGTGACAATGCTGGCCTGAGCTCAAGCTTCGTCCTTGGTACCTTTTCACTCTTCTTCTCCTTTTCGGCACTAACAAACATGTAGGAGATGGCTGTCGATGGCGTCCTAACAGCAGAAAGTGCACACGACCAGGCTGCCACCCATGCAAAGCCAGCGATGATGCAGGTGCAGCTTCTCAGCCTGACCTCATCTGAGTCATGCCTGCCTCGGCAAGCACCGAACTTGGGTGACATGTGACGACGTGCAAGCCTCAGGCATCTTTTTCGGATCTTCATGAACACCTCTTGCCGCCTACTGCACACTCCTGCTTCATCCGACTTAAATCCGAGGGACCATTGGCAATACGTATACACAGTAATCACGTGCGTGCGTATACGCTGTTGATGCACAGGGACTAAGAAGTAGTTGTCAAAGTGCTATTGTCAGGGGTTAACCAGATGTGTTTCCGAACAGGTATGACTTATGATTAACCTGTTGAACTACCCTTCGCACATAGTGGTGGTGTAGGTGCCCATTACCGACTGCCACTCATGGCTACCCTTGGCGCGATCTGCGTACAATCTAATGTTCCCCTTGATCAAGGCACCTCTCCCGACATCGTGCATGCGAGCCAACAGAGCCACCAGGTGAGCATCGGCAGCACTGGGGCGCGGCAAGTCGAAGAGCCAACCTTCGGACGATGGTAGTCGCTGATCGACATGCTTCAGGAATTCCTCAAGGACTCGCTCGGCTTGCTTCCCAGCTTCCAAGCCGAACACTGTGTCGAAGTCCAGATTCGCAACTCTGTGGAACAAAGCTTAGCTGAAGTCATGGTGAAAGTCTTTACTTCTCTTGCAACGTGAAAGAGCTCTCAAAACGACAAGCAATGTCAATATGACGGGGATAACACATACGGTGCAAGTTTCGCCTCAAGCGCCTTACGATATGCAGGAGATATATCGTCCCGGGCCAATTTGTCCTTCATCGCCTGCATAGTACCTTTCAAGATGGGCTGTGCCCGATGGCCACCGAACGAAAGAACGCCATAGGGGAGATTGTGGATCTTAAGGAGCATCTCGTCGATCTGGACCTCGTATCCGGCAGGTTTGAGGTTCGGAAACATAGTCGCAAAGTGGTTGGTGATGTCCAGGCTGTCCGCCATGGGTTTCTCCAGTGCCGGGCTCGTGATGGCGGGGACCTGTGTAGTGAACAGATTTACATGGTCAGTCTTGCATTCTGTGCACTTTGTTTTTGTTTCGATGAATAGACTGAATGTGGAAGACATACCTGTCCTTTGGGGTTCACATTCAAGAGGAAGAATTCGCTCAGCTGAGTTCTCTCGTAATGGATGTCGACGACTTTGCCCTCGAAGCTGATCTCTCGGCCATCTTTACTGGGTCCACGAATCGCCAGAGTGTAGCGGAGCATGTATGAACAAAGAGAATCGATCGCGTAGTAGACGGTATACGGTGTTGGAGTCATGGCTGGTGGTGGTGGCTCGAATCTATACGATGTAAGACGTATTGCTGGGTATGGCACATCAAAGGATATACATGCACCATGCTCTTTGGAGGCTCTCCTAACTCGTGCGGCTGGAACAGCATTCCGCTGCATCTCCGCAATCGAACCAGGGCAGGATGATGTGGAATCAACGCGTGTAACAGAAATCGTCCGCGGCTCCTTCTGCACGAGTCTTGCAATAACTGAGAGACATACGTGTTTGAGTAGCTAGCATGTACATCTGCAATATTACGCCCCTATACACCAAACATTTCTCTACATCAACAACTGGATGGACACCCGTCCATTTAGAGATGTAGTGATGTATCTATATTAAGTTTATAAATGTCTCCTCTTTCTTAGAAACTAACAAGTTTGAACTGAATAAGTAGAAACATAGTGGTAGAAGATAGTTGTAGAGCCGGTTTACTTTTGCCTAGAGGGTAGTCTTATTGCATTACTCCTAAGAACCCGCTCTACATTCTCCTCGCCTCCAACAGCCTCCTCCAAATTCTTATCAATCTTCTGCTCAAGTTCCACGGCCAACGTCTCCGGGACATAGGGATAATCACTCCCATACAAGAGCTGCGACGGATCCGCAATCCTCAAAAGGCCATGGATCTGATCCGGGAAGACAAACAACGACAAATCGTACAAGACTCGGTGTCGCAGCAAGTCCCGTACAGACGCACTGCTCATATCCGGTCCGCCCATCGAAAGCATTTTGGAGAATTGTATCAAGCGTTCCACGAGTGGAGGCAGGACGCCTCCGGCATGCGTGAAGATGAACTGGATGTTTGTGTATCGTTGGATGACGCCGAATAAGAGCAGGCTGACGGCTGTGCGGGTTTCATCGAAGGCGAACTCCATCATGGCAGTGAAGGAGTTCTGAGAGGGTGCATCGAATCGCATCTGGCTATGCTCGCGTGGCAGGGTGGGATGGATGAAGACCGTAGCGCCTCGCCGATCCAGCTCCTTGAATATCGGCTCGAACTTGGGATCGCCGAGATATGTTCTATGATGATTCGTGAGCATAGTTACCCCATCGGCGTAGAGGACGTCCAGGGCGTGAGATATCTCGACCAGGCTACCTTCGACATCAGGTAGAGGCAAAGAAGCCCAGAAGCCGAACTTCTCTGGATTCCGTCGCTTGAGGTCGGCAGCGAACTCGTTACATTCTCGGGTCAATTTTCGTGCCTCCTCATCTTTGCCAGGGACGAGATGAGTTCCTGGATCAGTGATGCCGACTATACTTTTACAGATACCGGCTTTCTCCATCCATGCTAGGTGATCGTTTTCATTCCAAGGCTATCCTTCATTCTCAGTACAAGATGTCTGGACTCGTCGCCTCGCTTGTTTTCGCAAGAGTAAGAGTCACGTACAGCCAATGGTCTTCCTAAATCAGCTTTCAAGCACGCTTCTCGCCAGACCGGTGGCACGAAATGAGCGTGCATGTCGATTTTTGAGCGGGCCATCGCAACAGGAGAACACATTCAGCAACATGTTCAGGCCCAGCTCGAGACTGTGGAAGGAGACAATTAAAATACTATTATCGTAATTTTCAAGACCAGACCCCGCCGAAGGATTTGGGCAAGATGATCCGCGGATGAATAGTTCGTTCCTCACCTGCCGAAGGAAGCGTGTCAAAGTTGTTGTTGGTCGCGAGACAAGCAAAATCCTACATGCGAACATGACCCATAATACTGGAGCAAGAAGGCGCCGAAACCAGACTAAGCTTTTCTAACATGTGACTGAGGCGGCCGTGCGGGCCCGGCGGAAGTGCCGTTCTCCACACGGACTCGAACAGGAAACAGAGGCCTGGGCGTGCAGACGATCTTTGACATTGACTTACTCCTATAATACTTCACAGTGTCGCACATCGTCAATTCTACTGCCTCGTGCAGCGTTGCTGGAATTGTACAGTCCTACTTCATTGACCACCTTGACTTGAGAAGCAGGCTGTTCACCAGTATTCGAAATTCCTACTGCATCCGCCGTTCTCGGAGGACAACACATCGCCCAATACTTCAAATGTACGCTTCCAGCCGTCGAACTGTTGCAAGCCGCACCACCACGCCCAGGAACAACGCATCCTCCATCACGCACCTCTGATCTCTCGGGCAAACGATCTACAATCCTCACCACTGGTCGAAACATCTCCAAGGCTCCATTTCCAAGCAACAGGCCCCACAACTCGGATGGATGTCGGCCCGAACGAAAACCGGCGCCGTCCGCCTGCAAGCAGCTGTATAAAGCAATCGAAACATGCATGACGTCCCAAAAAACCAGATCTTCCATCGAGACGCGGCCGTTTTCGGGGGTCAGGAGAGTGAGGGTTTGAGAGGATATATACAAAAAGACTTCTGCATACCCGGAGGTTTCCCCTTCATCATGACTGCTACGGTCAAGTACTCGAGATGGACACTCCCACCGACAACCGGCCATCAAGCTCTGGCGCTGGACCGCGAAGCTACGCTGGGCTCAGTGGGGGACGATGAGGTGGTTGTGGAGTTGCACGCTGCTTCGTTGAATTATCGCGAGCTGGTTGTCGCAAAGGTATCTTCAATGTACCTCCCCAGCAAAACATGAACGGAAGCTCACGGCTTCGACAAGGGCGCAGCTCCAGGGGATGTCAAGGCAAACGTCGTTCCTGGCTCAGACGGTGCGGGCATAGTCAAGGAAGTGGGAAAGAATGTGCAAGAGTTCAAAGCTGGAGACCGAGTGGCCACACACCTCACGCCCACGATACCTAATGATCAATTCCCAACACTCATCGACATCGGCGCCGGTCTGGGACAATCAATCGATGGAACCCTCCAAGAAGTCGGCATCTTCCCCCAATCCGCCCTCGTCCACGCTCCCAAAGATCTCAGCTTCGACCGCGCCGCCACACTCACCTGCAGCGGCCTCACGGCCTGGAACGCTCTGTTCGGGTTGAAAGGCAACGAAGTCAAGGCAGGTGACTGGGTCCTCGTGCAAGGCACTGGAGGCGTCAGCATCGCCGCATTACAGTTCGCTTCTGCCATTGGCGCAAATGTCGTAGCAACGACATCGACCGACGAGAAAGCAAAACGATTGGAAAGTCTGGGAGCGAAGCATGTGATCAACTACCGCGACACGCCGAAATGGAGTGCAGAGGCTCGCAAACTCACACCTTTGAATCGGGGGTTCGATCTCATCGTCGACGTTGGAGGGGACAGTACACTCAACGAGTCGCTCGCAGCTGTTCGGGCCAATGGTGTTGTAGCCGCGACGGGAATCCTGGGTAGTGATTCGCAACCTGTGCCGATGCTGAAGACGATCTGGTATGTGTGTACGGTGCGAGGGATCGTCCTTGGGACGAGGGATCAGTTCAAGAAGATGGTCAAATTCGTGGAGGAGAAGAATCTTCAGCCAGTGGTGGATGATGTGGTCTTTACTCTGGAGCAGACGAAGGATGCGTACGAGAGATTAGCGGCGCAGAAGCATTTCTCGAAGGTGATCATTAAGATTCGATAGGCACAGTACAGCACGAAGAACAGAAGACACGACAAAAGGCATCCTCATTCTCAGCCCTTTCCGAACGACACCATTCAACCCCCGCTCGTATCAGACCCCCTAACAACAGCCCCCATCACCCCTCCCAACTCCTCAAACGACCCCAAGCCCCCCTCAGCCATCTCCCACGTCTGCCAAAAAAAAACCTCATGCATCCCCTCCCACCTCCTCAACCCCAACCCCTCCACCTCCCTCACAACCCCCCTCCACGTAGCCTCCCCAACACCTTTCTGCTCCTCCACCCGACTCCTCAAAACACCCGCCATGCGCCAACTAAAAGCCCGATGAGGCCGATGATGATAAAACCACGTCTTCACAAACCTCACCACCACGCGGAACCGCTGCATCTTCTGCATGTTGAGATTAGACATGAGGAGGGAGAGTTTGGAAGGGAAATGTCGCAGTTCCCACTCCGTCTCCACAGTAAACCTCACCTCGCAACGCCGCACCCGGCTCAACCATCCCGACTCATCATCGGAGTGCGATAGCGTGGCGATGGCATCCGCTCGGCCGAACGTCGCGACTGGACCTCCTCTCGATGAGCAAACAGGCTGACCTTCGAGGTATTTCGCTTGCCGGGAGAATTCCTGAAAGGTGATTGTGACGTGGGAGAACCAGACGTCGAGGGCTTCTTCTCGTATCGCCTTACACACGAGGAAGACTCCGTCGTTGATCTCGCTGCGAGTGGATGCTTTCTGCTTGGTGTGGCCGGGGTATCCGCGCGCGGTGGGAGTTTTGGAGATGCGGTCGCGGTCGATGAAGAAGGTGAAGGGGTGGAGGTACTGGTTGTAGGGGTCGTTCTTTTTCTTAGACGGCGTTTCCACGTCAGTTTCCCGGACGAGGAGGTAGCTAAGGATTCGAATTCGAAGAGCCGGTGGAAGATCGAGGAGCGTCGGCGAAGGGTTCATGTTGTTTGGTGCTTGGTTTCGGAGCCTCATAGTCCATGCTCTTGATAGAGTGTGTTGTGTGGGAGGAGAAAGATTAGGCAGAAGATGATGTGGCCTAGTCCCGCACGGGCCAACTCGAAGGATCACATGTGGAGAACGGCCAGACGGTGCAAAGTGAAAACAAAGTCAAGGTCTCTCGGTATACAGGCATGCTTGTTGCATCGTGGTCACCCACTCCGTCGCCATTTCTTTGCCCATCATAATCAGTCCGTTAAAGCTACAGTTGTGTATCATCAGTTAGACGAAGCTAAACACTAACATACCAATTTTCCTGCTCCCAGAAACCCATACAGGACCCACGCCCATTCCATGTGCCAAGGATATACTATTCTGTTCATTTCTTCTTTCGCTGACCGCCTGAGGAGGACCCAGCTGCAGTTTCATCCTTCTTGCTGGAAATGTGCATGAGCACTTCGCTGACATTCCTCGCCACCTCACCGGCTTTCCGTGCCGCTTCAGCAGCGTGTATCGAAGCATCCGCGGCATTCTTTAGTAGTTGTGAGATCAATTGTGTCGTTTTATTGTTGTTGGCCTGCAATGATCCGGACTGCAGCGCTTTCGCAGCGTCCATGAGCTCTTTCGATGACGGCAGAACCTGTTCGGAAGAAGTCTGCGTCACTGCTTTCTGTTGAGTCTCGAGTTTGTCGAGCTTCGTTTCCACGTGTTTGAAGTACGGAATGATGGCTTCGGCGACCGTGGCAGTGATGAGCTTGTACGCATGAGCTCCTTCGTCTGGCGTGAAGCCTTCGGGAGGCGGGCCAGGTATCTCAGACTGTGCCTCGCTGTCCTGTGCACCAGCTGTCGCTTGATCTGTGATATTCCTGGCCGCTGATGTGACCACCGCCGCGGCTGGCCTTGCTGGTTCCATCGTTGGCGAGGGCATCGATGCCCAAGACTCGGCCGGCTCTGAGCGGGCATCTCCTATGATGCTTGGCGATACTGGGCCGTACTTCTCTTCGATGGCTTTCCTTGCGGCGTCCGCTGACTTCCTACGTACCATCTCATCAACATACGCTTCCTTCGCCTGCTCAATGTCCATATCGTCAGGGGAAGAAAGAATCGAGCTAAGAGGCGAGCTATCACGGGAGGTCCTTTCGTGAGATTCGTTGGCGTTCTTCCTTGGTGTGGACTTTTTGCGACGATTCCCGTCCATTGACGGATGATAGCTGCCGCTGTCGTCACTTCCTGCCCGTCTTCTCCGTTTCGAAGCGCGCTTAGCTTCCTCTAAATCCTCCTGTTCTGCAGCTTCTTCAGACGTGATGGACGCTGTCTTTCGCTTGTTGGAGCCGTTCTCTGAAGGGGTCGCATCTTTCGCACTGCCGTACCCACTATCCTCGGTCGCATGATGACTATCCAAACGACCGTTCGCGTTGCAAGACGGGCCTTGTTGGGAGGCCGACTTACTGGTCGCCTTTGTGTTGACCTCGTCCTCAATCTTGGAGACAACCACTTTGGGCGCTGGCGAATCGAGGCTTGTCTTCCCCTTCGTGGTGACATTGGTCGGGGCTAGTGAAGTGACGAATGTCTTCGAAGTCTGCTGCGGCTTGCTCTGTGACGATTTCACATCCGCCGACTTTGGGGTCGACTTATCCAACCCGTCTACCCGATCCTTGTAGGGTGGAATCACGCCGATCTTGTTGGCCTTTTCTTGCTTCAGCTTCCTCTTCGCCTTCCGCACATAGTCTTGAAATTCGTTCGTCTCCGTCTCGTTACATCTTTGGGTGAGAGTCTTTTCGAGCAGGATCCTCAGATCCATATTCTGCAACGAGTCTTTGTAGAGCTCATGCACGGCATCGGCAAGATCAGCCTTGCCGACTTCCCTGGCTCGGGTCATGGCCGCGTTGACAACGCGCTCAAGCTTGACAGCATTGTACTCGAAGTCATGCCGCTCGGTCCGGGACATGTTGTACATTTTGGCGGCGTGGGCGGCGAACTCGTGCGCGCTACCAGATTTGACTATTCTCTTGCCAACCGAAGATACTAATCGCTTGACTTTGCTGCGGTAGTCCTCTATGCGAGACGTCAGTATGGAATCGACAAAAGAGCCGGTTTGAAGTGATCTACTGACCTGGTACCTCTGCAAACTTCCTCTCGTTGGGCCCAGGTTGAGTAACCACCCAATGCCAGTGATCAACGATGATGGCATCCAGCGCTTTGGAAAAAGCTGTCATCAAATGATCGTACTCGCTGCCCTGCTCATGTCCTGGTCTTCGCTTCTTGGTGCCGTCCACCTCTTTAGTCCAGGTGTAGACTTCCGCGTCGAGGAAGACGGACAGCTCATCGGGACCATCGAGGGGTGGTACGCCCTCGTAGTGGAATGTCTTGCCGGCGTAGTTGAAGAAGGAAACGTAATCGGGATCTCGGTCGCGATATTCGTCTTTGATGGCGAGGACGTAGCGGAGGAGCTGGGTCTTGTACTCGGGCGTCTTCTGGAGGTCCGCGGCGGGTGGCATGGTCGGCTATCAGAATTCTCCCCAGCGCTTGCGCATAGATTACATTAACGGCTAGGAGGCCATTGGAAGTGTACACGAGGCGCGCATGTATGTGTTTTGGGTAGATGTGTCCCCTGGAGACGAATGCGCCCAGGTCATCTAGCACTTGACCCAAGAGACCCGTGAATCCGGAGTGCTGAGGGTTACTCACGTGGTATGAGAAGTACCGTGATCAACTCTAGCGGCATATTGACACGAGCTATCGCTGATTGATTAATGAATTCATTAATCCGAGAAGTTCCAATGACGCCTCATTTGACTGTCCGGGCAACAGCAATTGACAGATCAGCCATGGAGTCTCGGTTCGATTCGTTGGTGAAGCCTATTTCCCCGAGCCTTCATGATTGACATGTGACAATATTGTTCCTCGCATCGACCTCATTACCTTATGTCTATCTTCTTCACAAATATCATTCGATCCACAACTATTCAGTTGGGTGCATTCGTAGAATACGTGTTGAACAGCCAGCTCGTGATCTCTCCCAGCCAGTGAATTGAGACCGAGCTATCACCACTCAACGAGCAACTTCCATTCCTGTACTCCCACCTTCACCATGATTGGAAGAACCCACCCACAACCAACAAAGCCATAAAACCCTTTTAGGAGAGCGTTGCGTCCTCGCCTTAGTAAAAGGATACCTACCCTTCGACCTCACTTCACCTCCTACACCCACTTCAACCCCAACCGATGCATCTCCACCGCCAACTGGAACAAATAATCCAGACTCTCACACTGCGTCTTCGCCTGCTTCACATCCTTGCCCCAAACATAGACCCCATGCCTCTTGACCAGCACCGCACACGTCTCGGGCCACTCCTCAATCGCCTTCTCCAACGTATCCTTCAAGTCCTCCTCGTGCGCCGTATTCTCGATAATCGGGATCTTCATCGTGTCGAAGTAGCCCAGGTTGCCTGCTTTGCGCCCGCCCTCGAGGATCTCCGTGCTGCCGGTGCCGCCGCGCGAGATGCCTTTGATCTGCTCGATCTCTTTCATGGCGAAGACGTTGGGGCCGTGGGCGTTTTGGTGGCCGGCTTCGCAGATGAGGGTTACGAGGACGGCCCATTGGGAGTGCGTGTGGATACAGCAGCCGGCGCCGCGCTTGGTGAAGGCGGCCAGGAAGAGGGGGGTGCAGGCGGAGGGTTTGAGTGCCTACCTTGATCGTCAGCCTCGTGACGCCTATAACGATACTTGAGATTGGTACTGTTCCTACCTGTGGCCGTCGCAGATACTCCTTGGTGGTGTAATCCATGACGAACATATCCGTTGGCTTCATGAGCTCTTTCTGCACGCCGGACGGCGCGATGAAGACGTAGTTCTCATGCTTGATGGACAGACCACCACCAGTTCCAGTCACCCATCCATGGCCGTAGAACTTGTGGCAGAGCTCGCAGATGTGGTTTGCCGGGTGTAGAGGATCGTCTGAGGTGATGAGGGCGTCGTTCGAGCCGCCATTGCTCGAGCCATTATGGTGGTCTGGGGCCACCTTCTTAGGATGGCCATTCTCGACCTCCTCGTCCGCTTTTCGTTTCTTACTAGGTGAGTCGGAGCTCGGCATGCTGAATACTGCTGTTGTCGCGGCGTTGAGCGCTTTGAGCAGTGGTTGAGATCGCACGTGGTAGAGAAGCCGCGGAAGTCGTTCCGAGCCATTGAAGATGGCGTGCTGGCATTCACGTACTCACGTACACTGGCACACGTATAGACTCGAGGACATTGAGACATCACAGTGGATAGGGTAGAGCCTTGGGGTTTTATGAACGAAGTTGCTTTCACGGCAATGCATGTGCCTCGCTACTACGCTCTTATGTTACATCGTGTTTGCCATTCTGCTTTTTGTGGCGCCTTCACAGCACCTCCACTGCCCATTTCAAGGCAGACATGCTACAAAAGTGCCGTGATGAGAACATAGCAATCTTTCCTCCCACCACCCTTCGCTGCTCTCATACTTTTGACATCCTTAACGCCATCGCTGCCTCATCTCGCCATATCCTGCTGAAAAGAAGATCTGGATGGGACCAGACGTCGGATGCTCGTCGGATGCTCGTCGGGTTCTCTGCTCAAAGAAATCGCTTGCTGAAAGTTCGATGCGTCGTCGGTCGGATGTGCTCGCTCGCTGCTCTGTCTGCTGTGCTCTGCTGCGGTGCTCTGCTGTGCTCGATTGTGCTCTGCTGCACTGCTGCTGCCGCTGCCACAAAACGACAGACTTACCATGCGTTCACATCAAAGTACTCCTCGCCGAAGTACGTGACGACCACAGTGCGATCCGCAAACTTCCTGCCAGCCAAAGCCGCCAGAGCCTTCGCCGCGCTGGAAGGCTCCTTGTACTTGAGATACACCTTACCTATGCCGGTGTTTTGACGAGAGCCGCCCGTTGGACGAGGCATCTTGACCTCCGCCAGCTCGCCGTACTTGGCGCACTCTTCCTTGATGTCCTCGAGGATTTCTGCATAAAAGAGTCAGCATCAAATAAAACCCCAGTGACGACAACATACCATCAGCTTCCTCTGCGTCCATGAGCTCTTCTGGGGTGATCATGTTCATGAGGCAAAGAACACGTCCAGTGTCCTGAGCGTCCTCCTTAGTAGTACCTGCGAGCATGCTCATCGCACCGACACTCATCTCCGAGCTGACCTGCTTGAGGCCGATACTGGCCAAACGCACTTTCATAGCAGCGTCGCCAAGCTCCATACCGTGCAGGCCATCAACGGCGTCCTTGGTGACTTTCGGATCCTTGTACTCGCAGAATGCTATACCCCTGCTCTCTTCGGTAGACGTATCCTTGACCAACACGAAGTTCTTGAGCTCACCGAAAGATTGCAGCAGCTCCATGATCTGTTCGTCACCCAAGTAGATGGGCAGGTTCGTGATGGAGATCTTGTTCTGGGTGTCGGGAACGACGTTGGAAAGCACGCCAGCTTCATTCTCCGTCTCGTCGGTCACGGCTGGGACGATGTAGTCTTTTGGACGACGAATGTCGAGTCCTTGGGGACCGCCTTCGCCATTGCCGTTGGTGACCATGGCGTCTGGGTCCATCTGGATGCCGTCGAGGGTGAGGGCATTAGTAGCGTCCTCGGGAGTCTTGAATTCGACAAGTGCGAAGTCGGTCTGCTTGCTGGTCTGGGCAGAGATGCAAGGGTCAACTCCACGGGTGACGTTCAAGCCGTTGAGCTGCAAGTTGAAGAAGTCGACGATCTTGTCTTCATTAGTGCCTTGTGGCAGGTTGGATACCATCAGACGCTTGGACTGGCGTGCTGAGGCAGGCTTCAGAGCCGCACTGTTGGCCTGGTTGCCTGGCTGGTTCATGAAAGCTTGAAGGCGGGATGGGTCCATCGGCTGCTGGCGTGGTGCACCTGGAAGTGGGAACATGCCCGAGAGCTTGGCTTGCTCGGCCGTGACATTCTCGTAACCTTGTGGCTTGATGTCCCACTGAGTCAGACGACGGTTTCTCTCCAACACCGAGACGACGTCAGTCAGGTCTGGAGTTGGCTCCTTGGGCTTGCGTGGTGGGGGAGAGGCACTCTTGCGAGCAGTCTGGCGTTCGAGCTGGCGCATGTCGTCGCGATCTTGGCCACGTGGGTCTCTCTCGCGGCCGCCGTCACGGCGATCGTCACGGCGTGGTCCTCGACGATCAGCAAACAGGTCGTCACGGTCGCGGCGGGGCTCGCGACGGCGGTCGTCGTCGTCTCGGCGTGCATCTCGACGGGCAGTGCCGCGGTCTGGTCTGCCCCACTCTCTGTCGTCGCGGCCTCCACGTCCACCGTAGCGCTCCTCGCGCTCTCGCTCGCGGTAGTCGCGGCTGGTGGAGTAGGTGTCTACCTCTGGCTCGTCACGGCGGCGGGTGCGCGGCGAGCGCGAGCGGCGGCGATCACGGCGGTCGCCATCGCGGTCCCGACGGCGGTGGTCGTGAGAGGACTGCAGTCTCCTGTCAGACATGCTGAAGTCCTGTTATGTGGGTGGTGTGTGCGCTGCACGTCTTACAGGCGGCCGTGGTCTTGAGGCTGGGTGTCAGTAAGGGCGGGCGTGTCGTCGAGTCGCTGTCGTTAGCAGGGGTGGTCGGGTCGGTCGCTAGGTGTCGGCGGAGGTGTCGGCGGTCATGGGGTGAAGGAGGTGGTTGAAGGTGAAGCGAGGCGAGGTGAGGGGAGACCACACGAGCAATTGGTGGTGGTGGATGCTCGCGACGTGGTGGTCGTCGGTGCGAGGTGATGGTGAAGTTGAGAAGTTGAAGTCGCGGCAATCAGCACTTTGGACAGCTTCGAAGGTTTTCGCGCTTGCCGACATGACAGGGGTGGCACGGGCCATCTTGAATCAATATATTGACGACTTTCAACGGCACCGAATTGACCGGCTGCACCGCACTTCAGCCTCATATTCTCTGAATCTTGTTCTTCTTATTATGCTATACATCCATCTATTGGAAACATACAACATTGCACGATGCGATCAGCCCTGTTAGAGCTACCGGCCGAAATTCGTGTCAATATTCTCGAGCATCTGCTGCAACGTCCCATCTGGCATACAATTTCCAGGCCGAACACACAGGCTGCCAGAGATCATGGGTACACTGACGGAGTTGGACATGTAACTCTGGTCCGCGAAAGAGATGAATGGAGGTCTATTTCCGTCGCCAGGCCACCTGGCCTCACTATACTCTGTCCAGCTATCCTACGCACATGCCGTCTCCTTCACAACGAAGCCATGGGTCTGCTCTACGGCAAATGTCTCTTCGTCCTCAACATACAGAACATGCGGCCCCCAGCCCTTCCCTTCGTCAACGGACAGCCTGCAATAGCAGCAGGCCCTACGAAAGCCTCGATCTTCTTGCGCTGGATCAACCACGTACATATCCGCCAGCACATCACTCCAGAAGAAGACCTTTCGCAAAACGCTCAGGCTTTGGATTCTTTGATCAGATGTCTCAGTCCAGAACGCAAGACGACATCTCTGACTCTACACTTTGATTCGATGTGGTTCGTCAACGATGGAGAGTGGCCTCGAGACGCTCGGCCCGAGTATGTGTGGCAGCTGTTCGGTGCTGAACTCGCTCGTATGCGGATAGGTGATCAACCTCAAATCCGGGTCTCTTCGCACTGGTTGGAGCTGGAAGGAAAGGAGAGATTTGACGACCTGGCTTTGAAGATTGGAGGGTATGTTCGGCTGGCGTTGAACCTGATCATACCCAGCTGACTTCTGCAAGAATTGTTAATGGTCTGAACTTCATCTATTGGTAGTGTAGAGAAGGCCAACATACCAGGAGATCATTTGGACAGTGCGAGCATTGGCACTACGTTGGATGGCCGACTTGCGGTCTACCACTTCTTCTGTTGGCGCCCTGTTCGAATAAGATGGATTCGGCAGCAGAGCTGCTCCAAAATGCGGCCACTACTGTCTCGTGCCCCTTTTCAAGATCTCAACTGCACGCGAAGCTGGAGCAACACGGCTGCGTTTGATCGGCAAGACTGTTTCGATGTCGGCATTGGATGCTGTACCAAGATGCAAGTCTTCAATATATCCCTCTTGACAACCGCTAGAGGATACGCTCCTGTTCCGCCCTCACGCGATGACATCTCCTGTCGCCTGCGCAGTGGGCGTTTCTCATCCTTGATGTTCCGTGAAAGAGTCTTCAAGCTGTAATCGGTCTGCTTCGAATCGGCATGGTGGTGGTGAGGCTGCGTAGCTGTTTCAGCTTCTGAGAAGTCGAGAGAACCATGAACGGCTTGTTCTTGTCGAAAGGCTCAATGACGATGCATTGGAGAAGTCGTTGTTCCTTCGAGACGTATCCGCGTTCAGCATTGGGATGCAAAACCACAAAAGCTGCGACCGCTGCCATACTCATGGCTGGCATCGAAGGATCAGAGCCAAGATCATTCAAGCGAATTGTGCATGCCCTAACAGTCTTGGCAGGCGGGAGGAGGGATCGTACAGGAGGACCTCAGAGGAGACTTATACCTCGACGACAATTCACCGTGCCAACCAAACTCGGCGAAGTCTTTCGCTCAGATCGCTCTCTCGGATCGTATCGCTTGCGTCAATCAGCGGCAAATATCGCATGTGTCAACAGCATCTGGGAGAAAGAGCCCAATACTGACGCAAGCGCTACCAGTTGCATGTCCTCACACAGGAGAAAATTGTAGTTGGGAACGTTGTCTCGAAGCCACCAAGATGTGACGAGAACCTATTGGGTATCCCGTCTACGTCAACCGTGCATGCCCCATGCTGCTGAGCCTGCCACATCACCTCGAAGACGTCGTCAAGGGGCGGTGTCAGAGACACTCCTTTGCTGATAGCATCAGCATTGGTGCTCCGCGGGCCGGGAAGCAGAGCATCCGATCATATATCGCCATCACAGCCTCACGAAAAGTTCTTCGACTCTTCTATGCAAGGTACCAGACGTGCCACACACAACACCATTGCTCAGCGAGCGACGTCTACTTTGTCTTCACTAGCGCCGTCAACGACTCTAACTTCTTCAGGCGAAATCGAGCGCTCGGTAGCTCACCGAAAGTCAATTTGCATGAGCTTTATTAAGTGAGCTGGCCTTCCTGCAGCCCTGTGACGAACCTCCAAGCAATCACAAAAGGCTTGACAGCGGTTCCATGTTCCATGGCCGGCGTTCCTTCGACCGCGTCGGAGCAGGCTTGCGATGCTTGCCGAAAGCAGAAGAAGAAGGTCGGCATATCCTCTCCAGGTCCTCCGCCTTTGATATGAGGCTGAAGTGCTCTGTAGTGCAATCTCGCGACCCCAGCATGCTCACGATGTGCTCGACTGGGGCTGACTTGCGTTGGCGCTGGACGTCGACGATACGTCTTCAAGGAGCACAAGTCGTTCAAACGTAAACCGCGCAGCACGGCGGCAACACCACAGCCGCAAACCCCAAGGTGCTCGACAGTCAGCCCGGCGCCCACGAACGAGTTGACTCTACTCATTGCCACGTTTCTTGATACGATCAAACCATCGACTCCTGTACGGTTCAATCTCGCCGACACTCTCGGTCCCTTCCTCCGTGTCTTGCCTCAACGCCTAGGCGGAAATCGTGCTCTGGATGCAGCAACGCGAGCATTGGTCTCCGTGCATTCAAGCGTCTGCAAAGGGCGACCGGGAGACGCAAAGACATCGAGGCTTTATTCAGAGGGTCTTGCTGCATTGCGGCTCTGCTTATGCATTCCATCAGAGGCCAGCTCGATCGAGACCGTGTGCGCGGTATTATTGTTGACCTTCTGTGCGGTAGGAAGAATGTCGAGCAGTCTGGGTCATTCGCATCTGACGCATTTGCTAGAAATTCGGTGGCTTCGGTGGACAGCACTGGACCAGTCATTGCAATGGTGCGGTTCAGCTGCTCCGACTGCGGCACAATCGCGAGTCCCGCGACGACTTTGAAGTCCAGGTCTTGCAATCCTTGCGCGGCTCCGTGGTACGCCTCATGCCATACACCCATTGAGATGGTCAACAGTTGCTGAGTTTAGCCCCAAGATTTGCGAGGTCCTCTTCAACCGTGAAACCCTCATGAACCCTTGGAAATGGAACGACTTTGAAAGATTGCTCTTCCCCGACGACTTCAGCCCAGACTGGCAGAATCCCCTCACGATTCTCGGACAGATACCCAGATTCATCCAGATGTCACAGTGTATTGGACGCGATAGTGGCCACATAGGCATGCTCAGACGGCGCATCGAAACTGCATATGGCATCATGAGACGAGCCGAGAGCGTCCTCGCGCTGCAAAGAGCCATGAATGAACCAGATCCAGGCTTGGAAAGAGCAGCGAAATATGCCTGTACGCTGTCAGTGTGCTGCATGCTGAACTGTATGGTGCGGACCTTTCGGTTCGACGAATTGCTCATCCTCAAAGAGGCGGAAGAGCTTGTGGATTCGTCCTTGCAGCTGGTGGACGAGATGGATGCTTACCGTCCATTACGGGCGAGTTTCATCTCCCTGAACTTGTACACGGCCTGGATGTGCACGAACGAGCCGTCGAAAAAGAGGCGTCTCGAACAGGCGATTTGGCAGTTTTCCAGCGACTTCAGACCTCTGAACCCGGCGGATCGCCCTCAACTGATTTCGTTGCTTTGGGATCTGTCTGCAGACATGCACCTGAGTACCGCATCCTGGAAACCGTCGGCAAACGTGCTCGATATAGGGAGTCAGTATGCAGCTCTCACAACGTTTCAAACGAGGCAGTTTTCCGAGAGTCTCAGACCCGGCCTTTGGTAAGAAGACCAGACACCGAGTGATACGAGCCTCGAATCGACAGCAATGAATTGCGAAGCCGGATGAGGAATGTAGGATCTCGATATCGCTGTCGAAAAGCTCAACGCGATGTCGACACGACTCGGAGCCAACATCTCCTCGAAAACGCCGAGGCCAAGACCATCTCGTGTTAACGCCGAAGCTAGAGATCGAGCATCAGGTCACTCGGACATAACAAATAAAGCGCGACGCCATCATATTCCGGGGTTTAGGCATGACGAGACGATAGGCGGTCTCGATGTCCCAGTGCTAGTAGAGCGCCTTAGAACAATGCAATGAAGTACTTGCCGAGTTGTTCAGGGTCTGGGGCAGAGTGTATGCGCAGGGTGGAGTCTAGAGTCCAGACACTATTCAGAGAACAGAGAACAGTCTGTGCTGTGGCTCTGAGATCCAATGGAGGCATATGATGTGCTCGCGTCGGCGTCCTCTTTGAAACGCTTCTTGTACTTTATTAGGCAGTTGTGGTCAAATGCGACTAGGCCAGGTTACCTTCCTGATACACGCATGCATCGAGAGCAGATATTGTGGCGGTCTTTCACGAAGTCGAGTTGCAATTGATTGTCTCCGTAGAGGATAAATGCGAGATTCTGACATGTGAATCCATCCAAGAAGAGGTGATGTTGAAGGGGGAGGGACAACATGTCCAAGACGGGAAGGCTTAAACAACGACTCACGTGAAAAGCGGGTCTTCTTTCCCCACAATTAACTCTCTTGGAGCGACCTCGGTGAGCCGCCAGTATGCGCCTAATGATAACCTGGCCGCAGCGGGGGAGCAACGGCGAGAAGGTCGAGAGTAAATAATAAACCACACTCCAACACTACTAATACCACCTCCCGCCCGTCACAGTCAGCGGTAACTTGTACCTCAACCAGCCATCTCCGCTCTTCCTTCCTACATCTCGCGTCTCTTTAAGTAGAAGACGACGAGCTCCATTGCTGCCACAAGAACGATCTTCACCTTTGGATCTATGACAATGGCAGCTCGACGAGCCATTTCTAGCCGCACACTGCAGTCCATCTCCCTCCGACCAGCCGTAGCAAGAGCCTCGCGAGTAGCGGGCAGGATGCCTCAGAACCCCAATGCGACACAGAACGCTGTGAGGAGGATACATGCCACGAGCCAGCACCTCGCCTCCGCCACAACCACCGCAGCAACCTCTCCAGCACAGTATCCTACCAGCCACGACAAAGTCTCGCAGCCACTGGACACGACCAACTTCCTTGACAACCAATTCGTCCCTTCCAAAGCCACCCAATGGATCGATCTCCACGACCCCGCGACCAACAACCTCGTCACCCGTGTGCCACAGTCGACGGATGAGGAGCTCAAGGCGGCAGTAGACAGCGCTGATAAGGCGTTCCCAGCATGGAAGGCGACGAGCTTGCTGGCGAGACAACAGATCATGTTCAAGTATGTGGCGTTGATCAGAGAACACTGGGACAGACTCGCAGCCAGCATCACGCTGGAGCAGGGCAAGACATTCGCCGATGCGAAGGGTGATGTGCTACGAGGACTGCAGGTCGCTGAGACGGCTTGTGGTATCACTACACAGATGCAGGGTGAGGTGCTGGAGGTTGCGAAGGACATGGAGACTCGCTCGTACCGCGAGCCATTGGGCATCATTGCTGCCATCTGCCCCTTCAACTTCCCTGCTATGATTCCTCTCTGGACGATTCCTGTCGCGACTGTCACTGGCAACACCTGCATTATCAAGCCCTCTGAGCGTGATCCTGGTGCTGCGATGATTCTGGCTGAGTTGGCTGAGAAGGCGGGCTTCCCACCGGGTGTGATCAACATTATTCACGGTTCGGCGAAGACGGTGGACTTCATCATTGATGAGCCTCGCATTAAGGCCATTTCTTTCGTTGGCTCGAACAAGGCGGGAGAGTACATCTTCACCCGTGGCAGTGCACAAGGCAAGCGAGTGCAAGCAAACTTGGGTGCCAAGAACCACGCTGCTGTGCTCCCTGACTGCAACAAGAACCAGGCGTTGAACGCCATTGCCGGTGCTGCATTCGGAGCAGCAGGTCAGCGATGCATGGCTCTGAGCACCTTGGTTTTTGTCGGCGAGACGAAGGACTGGGCACCAGAGATCGCTGAGCGTGTAAAGGCCTTGAGCATGAACGGTGGCTTTGAGCCAGGTGCAGATCTAGGCCCAGTCATCTCTCCACAAGCGAAGAAGAGGATCGAGGACATCATTGGCACTGCTGAGAAGGAGGGTGCTACGATCGTGCTCGACGGCAGAGGCCAGAAGCCAGAGAAGTACCCCAACGGCAACTGGGTGAGCAAAAGTCACTCCACCACGAAAAGCGATATCCACTAACATCTCTATTCTAGGTCGGCCCCACCATCATCGCCAACGTCACAAAAGACATGACCTGCTACAAAGAAGAAATCTTCGGCCCCGTCCTCGTCTGCCTCAACGTCCCCACCCTCGACGAAGCCATCGAACTGATCAACGACAACGAATACGGCAACGGCACCGCCATCTTCACCTCCTCAGGCGCCACGGCGCTCAAATTCCAGAAAGAGATCGAAGCCGGCCAGGTCGGTATCAACGTGCCCATCCCCGTCCCGTTGCCCATGTTCAGCTTCACGGGCAACAAGAAGAGTGTGGCGGGCGGCGGTGCGAATACTTTCTATGGCAAGCCCGGGTTGCAGTTTTATACGCAGTTGAAGACTGTGACGAGTTTTTGGAGGAGTGAGGATGCGATTAGTACGAGGGCGAAGGTCGATATGCCGACGCATTCGTGAGGAGTATATATAAGAAAAGTTGAGGGGATGTGGGGTATGCATGTATTGATGAGTAGTTGTTGTGTGCACAAGGCTTTGAAACTTATGTCCTCCCCTTCATAGTCCCTTTTCTTTTCGATTTCTCTACGCCGCTTAGAATAAGCCCCTTCCCCAAATCCACAAAAACCTAAACTCCTTTCCCCGTCATCTCCCAGATCAACCAAACCACTCCACCCTCCGCCCCCTCCTCTCCAAATCCTCCACCCCCCTCCCAAACTCCGAAACCAACGTCCTCACCTCCGCCTCCCCAACCTCCACATCGCCCAACCACTCCTTCAACTCCCGCAGATACCCCTCCCATTTACACAACCACTCCCCACCCCGCGGAACCTCCGTCTGAATCTCCATGCTCAGACTCCTCAGATTCACCGCGATGCGCACGGGCCGCAGGGTGTACCTCCCCGCCAGCGCCATGGCGATGCCGTGCGGGACGGGGTGGGGGTGGTTGAGGTGCGAGAGGAGGGGCACGCGGTCGAAGCCCAGCAGGAGGATGTTCTGCAGACAGGGGACGTATTTGTCGGTGAGGGCGGCGAGGAAGAGGTGGCTCGTGTGCAGGGCGGAGAAGGTCGTGAGGGGGAAGATGAAGGTGTTGAGGGAGTAGAATAACGGGAGAGTTTCGTGGCGGAGACGCCGGCAGGTGCGGGCTATAGGCGGGTGCGTGGAGGAGAGGGTGCCGATGAGGAGGCCGCGGGTGGAGGTGGGTGGGGCGAAGGGGGTTGTTTTTGAGGAGGGGAGGATGGTGTAGCTGAGGATGGAGAGGAGGAGTTCGGTTGGGAGGGAGAGGAGGCGGGACCAGGGTTGCGTGGTGGTGGGGGCTTGCATGTGGTCTTGTCGCCAGATTGATGGTCGGGGTGGGGGGCGTGGTTTTAGTTTTTTGGGGGAGTAGGTGAGGAGGGATGAGGAGATCCAGGTTGCCCAGTGGGCGCTGTGGTTTTTGGTTTCTTCGACGAAGGCCCGGGCGGCGGAGAAGGCTTCTGGACTATGCGTTAGTTTCGTATTTACGAATCGATAGGGTTGCTAGAGATTGTTTTGCGTACCTTCCTCAGTGAGCGGATTCCGCCATCGTTGCATCAAGTAGTCGACAACGCATTGCACGGACTTGGAGTCTTCTCGTTCGTGTGCGACGCAGTCGAGAAGAATCTCTTCCTCTCCTTTGAATCTATGCTTTGTTGTCAGTATGTACCCTATCATATGTCAAAGAGGTACCTCACTGTTGATAGTACAGACTTCGCCGGCCTCGAATGACCGACAAGTCGTTCTCCCAGTCCTTGGACCTGCTTCTTCCAAACAGAGTCATTTTGACACCGCCCGCCGTCCGTCAATAGTAGTCACAGCTCAGCAGGTGAGGTCAAAGAGCTCGTTGGCGATCGAGCAATCAAGCAAACGAGGCACATGCAAGTATTACACGTGATGGCTTACATGTCTCACTCCACTGCACTTGCCGTTGTGGACAGCTAGACTACATTGCACGCATTGCGAGCACTTGATTGAGTTGCCCGGCTATTATTTCGAAACTGGTTTTGGCAGGTGATGGTGAGCTGAGCGAGTGACCGGGGAGCTTTTGAAGCTCGAAAGTCTGTCAGGCAACGAATTAGGCAGCAGCACCATGGTTTTGGCGGCCTCAGAACACAGCCCCCCTTCTCAGCAGTATACGAGGTGCAATCCTACGACGGCTTCACAGCAATCTCCACTCCATCCCACACAGCCGTCGCACAAGTCGTCGACGCAGTCATCATCAAATCATTCCTCTCAATCGTCGTGCCATTCTTCACCCAACAATTCGAGCCCCCGCCTCTCGACGACGCCCGATACACCGCCGCGACACATTGCGTTTTCGAGTTCGCCCCAACCTGGAAGTCGTTCCATATCGAGCACATCTGAATGCAGTCGTTGAACGTTTGTGCGATTGCGCCTGTCATGTCTGCCCCGATGAGGTCGTATCCGCAGTGCTTGGTGAAGGTGTACGAGGATTGCAGGCCGTTGCTCCGGTTTGGAGTGATTGTTGAGCTGTTGCTGTCTGGACAGTCTGTTGTTGGCGTTTGCGTTGGGAGGGACGTGGAGGTAGCGGTGCCATTGACAGATGGTGGGTTGGATGTTTCGCTGGAAGCGAGTGTCAGCTGAGTTTGCATTCACACGGCGGTGTCCAACGCAGCTCATCCTCATGAGCATACTAGCATCACCCAGTTGGCACTTTTGACGCGTAACGTACCGATCATCATACTTCTGCACACTCTTCACCCCACCAACCGCGCCGCCCACAGACGCACCAATGGTGATGACCACGAGAAGTGCGACGAGACTCCAGAAAAGCCACGTGGGAAGCCCAGCAATTCGACGAGAGTCTGTCTTCCTGTGCCATAGGGCAGACTCGAGGACATGTGTCGGCGCCGTCCCTGGTTGCACGTACACCTGCTTGTCGGATGCTATCGCCTGTGCTTCTGGTGCTTGGTCGTGCCGAGTATCGACCCACTCCAACGTGCAATTGGAAGGAGAAGAAGGCATGATCTCTGCCTCTGTGGATGGATTGTAGTAGAATAGACTGTGTGGGAATGGGCGCCCGAAGACGCAGTTAGCAGTGATCTAACGTTCTCTCACCGGCTGACTGTGGAGTATAGTTGTGTCGCGCAGCACAGTGGTCGCACATGTGCGTCCCCATGGACTTTCAGCCGTCATTGTTATCGGCTTAGAGGCTTGGTACTGTCGCCAGAGTAGGACAAACTGAGCCACCTCAAGGAAGGACTCTGCGTTCAAGCCATCGAAGCCACCTTCATGGGGAAGGAAAGACCACGCCGGTGAGAGTGCAAGTCGTGCTGCATAATGGAATGTTGGGGGCTAGGCACACCCTGGAATACCGCTCGTGGGTTAGTGATCGGGCCAGCAGCGACTAAGTAACGTTGGGCGTGCAGTGGCTTCGAATGCTGCGATTGAGGGCATTGCGATGGGTGGATTCGTGGATGTAGTTGCGAGAGCGTGGTGAAGGAGGAAATGAGCTTAAGAGAGTCCTAGCCGACCAGAATTCCTCCTCTCATGAGATCTTGTAGTTAGACTCCTGCGATGGGCCTTCGAGGCCAGTTCCTACGGTGTACGTCGCTTGGGCAAAGCAATGCTCGAGACATCTTGCCCAACCCGAACTTTCACATCCGCGAAGTCGATTCGGGTCTTTCCAATGCGCTTTCGAAGATCTGCAGGCACAGCCTGCTGCAAGCCAACCGTCTTCTCCAGTCTCTGTGAAGTAGGAGGTTGTAAGGACCAAGCAATGCTGACATGGAACGCTTCGGAATCCTTGACATTCTGCTCAGCCTCCAATGGCTTGGATCTGGTAGGTTCATCCTCTTCGTACAACAGAGGCTGACCGAAGTCCTTGGCAAGACGATTGCATGCCTGGAGAAGCCTTGGCAATTCGCGTCCCTCAGTTCGCTCGAGCTTGAGGACGAGGAACCATCTCGTCGCGTCCTCATTGGGATGCCAGATCAAATTCGCCGGCGACAGATCGAATTCCCGCACTGCGGTCTCAGCTGTGACTGCTCTCAGACGGTTAAGAAATGTGTTCTTCTGTTCGGTCTTCAGGCTCAATGGCCGTGATAGAGAGACGTGCAGGGGTAATTGAACACCTAGATCGTTCTGCAAGAGGCTGTGCACGTTTTCAAGGCCATTTTCAAGAGCATGCTGGACATCCCGAACGGCCAGGCGAAGCAGCTTGTAATCTTCCTCCTCAGGATTCCCTCTTTGGCATCAGCATGGATGAAGAGATGACGACTGAACTGAAACGAGTACTCCCTTTGCCTTACTTACACTCAAGATAAACATGCGCCGGCCAATTCCCCGCGACATGAGGTGTTACGCGTTTACGTCCCCCATGCAGCGATGGGTCGTCCTGGGTGCTTGTCCTGACGGCCGACGAGTACAGATCACGAAACGCCGGAGGCAGTGGAGGGAGTTTGGGGTCGCTCCCCGAGACTCTTCGCTTCTTGGCCGGGGGCAGGGACGAGTCCGGGTGGTTGGAATCGTCGCTGTCGGAGTCGGAATAGTCGACCAGAGCCATGACGAGCCTATGAGAGCAGGCGAATGGTCTGGATGGTGCTGGGACGTGTCGATGCCGTGGCTCTGGTGAGGTTCGCGGTGCCCGGCGATGACGCCAATTCTATTTTAGCTGGACGCGCAAATCGGGCGTTGCCAAGGAGTCGGATTGCACGTGAAGCCAGCGTGCACTGTTCGCGTGTGGGCGTTTGATCGTGAAATGCAGCGGGTAAGGGTCCTCACCACGTCACTGGATCCACCGCAGCAGGAAGCATGGGAAGCTGCGGATGCGTGAGAAAGCCGCGTAAGACCTGCTGCTCTCCTTCTTGTAGCCACTGTGCTGTACAATACTCGCTTCGTCTGTCCCTGTTCCTCTCTCCTCATCACCATCTACTGCGTTTCATTCCCCATTGAACTGCACTACTCGCATTGGAACATCGGCTTGACTAATCCCATCATGACCCAAGCAATGGGCTCGAAAGAGTAAGCACCTCATGCAAGGGGCCGCCCATTGAAACAAGGCTGACGATACCTCTCCTCCCACAGGGCGGCTGCGTACCTGATTGACCCAATGAACGACCCAGAGCCGTCCGCAGAGACGGGTCCTGGAACACACTTCGGCAGCACCTTTGCTCCAGCTCCAGCGCAGAAGACATCCAGTCCTACCACTCCACCACGCACATCGCTCAGCTCAAACAACCCTTTTCGCGATAGCACTGAGAAGCGACGATCGCCCAAGGCATCACCCAACGGCAAGAACGTTGCCTCCGCCTCCGAGCGACCTATCAGCCAGCGCAGCAGCCCGCGTGAACGATTTCCCGACTACCGCGCGGAAGCCTTCAGCGACTACAAGGAGTCTCCACGACGTCGTTCGCAACCACCGCCATCTTATGATGATGCGACTGCCTCTGCGAGCAACTCAACAGCCCACCGCCACCGTCGCCGCACCAGCTCGCTTAAGGAGCGCTACCCAGGCGATCGCAGCCACGAACCATTGGAGATCCTCCGTAGGGACAGCAAGAAGGCCTACCGTAGCCCTCACTTGAGGAAAAATCATATTCCGGGTCCAGACACCATCGACCGCCTTGATCCTGCCATTGCAGGCCGTGCATACCATCACGAAGGCCCATATGACGCGGCGCTGCTAGCGAGGAACACCAGTTACGAGAACTCGCCTCTGGCAGCGTTGAAGACCAGCAACGACGAGGCCCTGAAGGCTACTCCACAAGAAAGCATTAAGGATGCTGTGGAGCGTCACAAGCCGCTCGATGGAGTGGCGAGCGTACCCCCGGGAATGCCTGATAGGTTCGGCAGGACGTACAACTACGAGGAGGGCGCAGATCTCATGCATGAAGAGAACAATGATGGGCCAGGCTACAAGCGCTGGGCCGGAAAGGTCGGCAAAACATGTCTGGTTCCTGGTTCAAGTACTGACGTTTTGGCAGGATTACTCCCCTGACGACCTCAAAGGCGAAAGCGAACCTGCATTTTCCCTCGACCGTGCTCTAAGGGCTCACAAAATCAGCGACAGCGGTATCGAATTGCAAGAAGGCACCCATTTGATGAAAGACTACAGCAAGAAGAAGGAGAACGGAACGCTGGACAATAGAGACCCCGTGCACATTGCAGGCGACGATGCCAAGTACGCCGATATGCAGTTTGCCAACAGCCACGATACAGATGCCGGGGTTCGACGCAGTGGAAGCCTTCGCGAAGGCTTGAAGAAGCGCATTGGCAGTCTGAGGAAGAAGAGGGCGGACAGCTGAACTGCTGCTGATTGTCATCAACTGCATACGACATTCCCTTCATGTTTTGATTTCGTGGGTCTGAGGATGCTCTAAATACGAGGGCATATACGAAGGAGTTTGCCGCAGGCTTAGATTGCACATGTTTGATGCAGATTATACGAACCAAAAGATGTACGAAGCATATCACAGACAACCTATGGACAAAGACTGTATACCGACGTGGGCAAATTGCTTGTTGAATCTGAGGCAGTAAGTGAAATTTCCACTGTTTGCTATCAACGTGACTCTTGCGAAGGTCAGGCATCAGTGGACAAATTAGGCGAATGACCACGTTGTTCAGTGGCATGACTTACAAGACAGCAAACGCTTGCGCAGCAACATGTTGACTGTCCACAACTGCAACTGCATTTGACTCTGATCTTCGATCGTCAAAAGAACAGAGTCTTCAGCTACACTACAAGAATGAGCGCAATGGGCACTTCATCAGAGGCCAATTCGCCAACGAAACCCGCCAGCGGCAGCTCTGAAGGAGTGGACGAAGAAGAATCACAGCTCGATCACAGAGCAGGCGATGGACAAGACCGGCTGCATCAACTTCGAGATGAGCATACGATGCTCGAACATACCGAGCAAGTACAAGCTGAGCCTCTGGCTTCAAGATCTCCAGCACCCCGTACGCCGCAGGAGCTCGATGAGGAGAGTTATGGCTCCTTCTCCGCTGCTGCTTCGGCACAAGACCAACCCATCGACTGCTTTGAGAACGAGGAGGGAGAAGCTGAGCTGGCGGCGGCGTTGGAGCGATTGCATCACAAGCATACCAAACTAGACCAAGAAGGCGTGCTAAACGGCCAGCTTGACGGTGTCCCCGAGATGGACGATGATGACGATGAGTGGTGTGATATGCACGAGGACCTGAGGATGTTGGGTGCGAAGGGGTTGAGGGCGAAGGAGGTGAGAGAGGTTGATAGGGGTGTAGGAAGGAAGTGTCTGAGTCAGGTCGAATGAAAGACAGAACGGGGCTCTCGAATGTGTCGATGCGGGTGGGAATGAGTGGCTGAGAGTGTCTCTGCGGTCTTCGCAGCAGGGTATGGGACGCCGCAGTACGTGATAGCTGCCTGTTGCTTGAGGGGGCCAGATCGGTTGGGTCTTGTTTACACTGCATGTTTACTTCGTTGTGGGGCAGCATTCGATATCCTGTATAAATAGCAGGGCCGCATTCACTTCAACCATTGTAAACTCACCTCGAACCTAATCCAAGCAATCAAAAGTACCCAACAATGCCACCCATCAACCTCACCATCCACTCCTTCACCCCACCCTCCCCCACATCGCCAACACCACTATCCATCAAACTCACCCTCCCCTCCGCCCAACAACCCAACAAAAACGCCCTCCACCCCGCCACGCACCTCCAACTCGCATACACCTACACTGAAGACAGGCAAGAAATTTTTAATCCTAAGCCGATCACGTCGGCGGATCTGGTGTTGCTCGATGCGGAAGAGGGGCTTTACGAGCTGGATGTTGCCAAGGGGGAGATTCCGAAGGCGAAGAGCGGTGGGACGGCGGAGGTTGTTTTGTATGCTTTGGCGAGGGAGGAGGTGCTTGGAAGGTGGAGCGTGGGGGAGGTGGAGATGGAGGGATAAGGGATGGTTGATGGTGAGAGGAGTGATGTGATGTGGCGAGGCGAGGCTTTGGTTGAGACAGAGGTCGTTGATGAGGCCATGCGGGGGCGGGGATTCCGAAGAATAGCCGATGGTCTCAGGTTCAGGGAGGGAGAGAGTGCGGTTGTTCATACATCAACAGATAACTCGAAGAGTGTCAACAATGTCGTCGCTCTCTAGACTTCAGTAGTTATAAATGCAAATGCAAAACAACATGGCCGCTTACCAAAGCACGTTCAGCTCTTCGGCTTTCTTTCTCGGCTTTCCGTCTCGTAGACCTTCCTCCGACACATCCATCACGAAACAACGATGTGAGGCGTCGACACCATGGCCCCTGGACACACGGGCAAGCGAGCACGGGTCGTGTGCGTTCGATGCCACGAGAAGAAGATTCGCTGCGATTTGCAGCTTGCGCGTGATGGTTCCCTTCCTCGACATTGCAGCCACTGCGTCTCGGCCGATGCGGAGTGTACCTTTCGGCCCTCGAACAAAGGCCGTAGGTCCAGGAAACGGGAAGGCATTGCGGTCAGAGCGGTTGAACTATACCAGAAGAATGGCGACGAAGGCAATGCCCTTCGAGAATCATCTGTGCCTCGCGATGGAAACCATGCTACAGCGGTCGACAGGAGTAAACATCATGTGGCGACCACCCAAAGAACTTCAATGTCTCGACTTGATGACATCGACGATATCCCTCCCATGCTCCAGCAAAGCAATCTCGAGACGTACTGGGAGTTCATCTACCCGTGGTGCCCAGTCATTGATCCCGGCCCAGAAGCCGCTTCAGAGCCGATCCTCAAACATGCGATAGCCATGTTAGCCGGAAGTGTGAATACACCGTTGATACCTCATGCCAAGCCAAGAGACCACTACCGACGCGCCAGGAACTTGTTTCATGCCGAAGGAACAGATGCTCTCACACGCGTGCAGGTGGCTCTCCTACTCTCCTGTTCAAGTGCAGGACCACCCAATGTCGGTAGTACTGGAAGTCCATTTTGGTGGATTGGCGTTGCCATACGCCTGGCGCAGGATATCGGTTTGCATCGTGAGCCTCCATCAGGAGTATCAAAAGAAGTAGCTGGCTTGAGACGGCGGATCTGGTGGACTCTCTACGCCCGGGAAAGGATTATTGCTATCTGCCAGGGCCAGCCATGCATCATCGACGAAGACTACACTGATATCGAGCCTCCTCTAGAGGATGACTTCCCCCCTGCCTGCGCCTCTTATGCATTTGCCTTCACTAGATGGGTCCACCTTTGCGACACTATCGGCTTCGTCAACAAGCAAATGTTCCTCTCGCACCGCACCGGTCGGAGCCTCCCAACTCACGACATTGCCAACCGGCTAACTCACTGGCTTCGAAGTATTTCTCCAGCCTTGCAGCTTCCCATCTCCGAGAATCGCACAACATCTTTCGATCGACATGTCCACTTCCTGTACCTTCCTTACCTCGCGACGATTTCGCTGGTGTATTTGAACACCTCTCAACGGATCCCAGAAGCGTGTGCCGCTGCTGTTATTGCAGCGGCGTGTACCACACGCATATTTGAAGACTTCCTCGCTAGAGGTTGTGTTCGTTTCCTTTTAGGGCTGGGCGATTGGTACATCGCCATCGCTGCCCTCTCCCTAAGACCGCTGCGGTCACTGGACTTTCTATCTACACACGCCATGGCACAGATTCGCCTTCTATCTATTGCTCTGAAACAGCTTGTCCCAACCTCATGTTCAGCAAAGCTTATAGACGCAGGCTTGGACCGACTTATGAGCAAAGAGAGATTTGAGCACGCTCTGCGGACGCCCCTTCAGGGGCACGATCATGCGGCAAATCCAGCACGAGGTCAGCCGTCAACCCTGGACGATCTTTGTGCCGGAGATGGAGTCCCTTGGCCAGAGTTCTTCCCTTTCGTCTCTGTCGAGACGAGTCCTCTGCTCAAGGCGATTTTGACGGAGTGTCAGCACACATTCCCGGAGTTATGGCCGGAGGTGGACCTGAACCAATTCAGTGACTTTCTCGAGGAGTTCAATGATGGCTCTGGCGATTGGTCGTCCTCTGGAGTACTTACTTGAATGTGATAGTGTTTGGCAATAAAGCGGCTAATTCTACGGCTAACTTGACGGCTTTTAAGACTTCAGAAAGCCGTGTCATGTGGACACATTTGGATTGGCTACATCACACTGAAGGAAGCCGAAAGGAAAGCCGACAGTTCTGCTTCAAACTTCAAGTTGAGCCCTGAGATGCAATGTCTAAACGGCCGTTCGGACATCGTTGTCATGTCGACATTAACAAGCAATCAAGATGGACGAATTCGATATAAATCGAGGCGACAGAGCCATGTCGACGATCAACAACACAAACACGAGTATCAACGCAAACGAAAGAAATTAGACACGAACATTTATCCAGAAGACTACGACCCTTTGAAACCCACCGCTTATGATATTCGACCCATACTTGGAACCTCAACAGCAATGTCCACACGTCTCACAGTCGTCGGTGCCACTGGCACACAGGGCGGTGCAGTCATCGAAGCAGCACTTGCGGCAGGAGGTTACCAAATTCGTGGCATCACCCGTAACACGTCCAGCGAAACCTCGCGAGCTCTCCAAGCCAGGGGCGTCGAGATGGTCAAAGCCAACCTTCTGTCCTTCGACTCGGTAAAAGAGGCGTTTGCAGACTCCAACGCCATCTTCGCCATGACCGACTTCTTCCAGCCTTTCGCCGCGCTGGAAGCAGACGCCGAGAAGACTATGGAGATGGAGTGGCAGCATGCGTTCAATATCGTCACGGCTGCTGCTGAGACACCTACGCTGAAGCATTTCATCTGGAGCACGCTTCCACATGCTGCGAACATCAGCAATGGGGAATATAGTGTTCCGCACTTCGTGGCGAAGAACCGCGCGGAAGATTATATCAAGAATGTGCCAGATCTCTTGGCGAAGACGACATTCTTGTGGGTTGGGTGGTATGCGAGTAACTTCCAGTATCCCATCTTCAAGCCGGCGTTGATCGTGAGTTCAACTTCAACTCCACATGTAGAGTTCTCGCCGCTAACTGTTTGCAGAAGACAGCCAACATGCACGCCCAATTTGCCCCAGCTCCAGGAGACACCCGCATCACCTCAATCGGCGACACCCGCAACATCGGCGACTTCGTCGTTGCAGCCTTACGGCAGCCTGAGAAGACCTTGCCCGGTCGATACATCAGCGCGACCATCGAAGACACCAGCATGAGGAAGATGCTTGACGACTGGTCCGAGGCCTCGCAAAAGGAGGCGATCTATATCGAGGTCTCTTTGGAAAGCTATGATCGATTGTGGCCGGGCTGGGGGTTGGTTGAAGGGGAGTATCTGAGGTTTAGCCAGGAGTTCGGGGAGAAGGCTTGGCCTTTCGAGGGGGTTTTGACGGCGAAGGATTTGGGGGTTGAGACGGGGAGGATGAAGGGTGTGTTGGAGACGTTGAGGGGGATGCAGTTGTGAGTGGTTTGGTTTGGCTTTAGTGAAAGTAGATCTCTGCTTTTCTTTGTTTGTACAGGATATAGACATATCGAGCAACTGCGTCGAGGATTTTTCATGGCTCCTCTCTCCCAATCCGTTCCATCGCCTTCTTAAACGCCCTCCCTCATCCAACAAAACGCTCCATCGCTAAATCGTACTTTGAACAAGAGAAGAACATCTCCAACTCAAAGAATAAAAGCCTTCCCCCTCCTCATCCCCGGCCTGTTCTCCCTCCCCTCAAACGGATAAGGACTCCCCCTCCGCATCCCCGGCCTCGACGACGAGCACCCGTATTGAGCCATGTACCCCTCGCTGAAGGTATTATGACGACTGCTGGAGGTGCTGGAGCTCGATTGAGGGGATTGTTGATCCTGTGACTGAGGATTGAGAGGATCTTCGGGTGCTGCGCGAGGTGAGGCGGTGGACGAGGCAGAAGACATGGGCGTAGGTGTTTTCGAGCATTGAGGGTTGAGTTGGGGTGGTATGGTTGCGATTTTGAGGGGCCGGGGTGGGGTGCCCGACGGTGGTGTTATGTGGTGGTGGTGTGGTGGTGGTGGTTGTGTTGTGGGTTGTTGTGAGGTTGGCTTATGTGATTGTAGCCTTGATAGTTGTCGAGCGTAGATGTTGTTGATGGGTTGTTTTTGTGAGAGACAGATGTTATACTGTTCAATGCTGTATCGAAGATGCAATGACAAAATCCAAACCTCCAACAGACCTACCCTCAAGCGATATATATCTCCCACACCGCGCGACGGACGGATGACAATTCCCCATGCCAAGCGTCCTTCGTACACGCATACCACAGCTGCTCAGCCCTGTAGACCCGGCAAGGACAACTCCGAACGAGGCGGGCTCGTCAGAATTTCCAAACGCAGAGCGCACCAGTACCAGCAGTGTCTGCGTAGAGTAAGATGCGTGACAGATCCCTGTGCCCTCATTGAAAGAATAGCAGCGACGCACACGTATCCATAAGCAGGTCCCGACGGCATCGTACCGGACGCCGGAATCGGATATGATGTCTCCTGCTGTAGATAGCACAGAAGAGTAGGGGAGATCGGTACGTAGGGCAGGGCGGGTACATGTCAACGGCAGACGAGCACGGAAACTCGCCAGGCATAATTCCAATACGCACAAACCTTGCTTTCCGCCAGTCGTGAGGATCTTTGTTGCGTCAACACTTAGGAGGATTATGCGATTTGAGAAGACGCGCTCGAGATTCCATCTGTGGCCTTCTTCCCGCGGGCTGTGCTGCGTGTATGTCGGGATCGGCATGCCGGCTGACGGTTGGTTCCTGAGGATATGACGTTGCCTCTCAAGTACATCTACCGCAGCTTCCGCCGTTCTCGCTGGTGTCGATTCTCGAGGATTTGTGTTTTGGTCTTCTGGATCGTGGGGAAGAGGCGGATCTAGAGGTTTATGAGGTCTGCGAGTTCGGTCCGACGGTCCAACTTGCCTGGAGATATCGGAGGACTACTATTATTGGGGCGACGACATCGCGTTATAAGCGATGGCTCTTGGAATGGAGCAACACTCGACGGCCGTATACATGTATATGTCGACCTCATTCCTCCCAGGCTCCTCGCGGATGTGATCTCTTGGTCTTCAGTCTTGCCTGAGGAACGCAGGAGCATACGGCCGTCCACGAATTGCGAGGATGCGAGGAATCGAGATCTTCGCTAGTTTGATGTCAAGAATTGCTCGACGTAGCATATTGGCTGCTCGCAAGAGCTCGTCGTGATGCAGAAGGACGTTGCCAGGTGTCTTTCTGATGGAGGATGAGACTGAGAAGAAGACCACGGACCGTTGTCGACGCGCTACGGACATGGTCCGTGCTATCGTGGTAAAGTGTAACCACGACGCATTCTTCGCCAGGTCCTCTCTTCAAGAGGTCACCTCTACAAATCTCACTGACATACTCGTATTCGACTCTCATCAGCTCATATCTCAATGCCCTAGAGTCCTTCGAAAGTGGAATCGTACACTTACTCACAATGCCGGCTGCACGCATCAGTCCTTCAGCCTTGAATGATCGGGATCCAAATACGCAGCTAACACGAATTGCCGATAAGCCCACGCTCAAAGCGACGAAAGAAGTACCACCAAAACGGTCAGATGCCAACATCGAAGCACTCAAGAAAGTAGCAGAGTCATTGCGGCCAGAGCCATTTCCAGAAAGTGCAGCAACACTTCCCGAAGTTCAAGATCGAGAGGAAATCCGAACCTCGTTCTCCCAACCGCAGCCTGATTCTTCGGCACTTCTCGCACGTCTCGACTCGTTTCTGGAGGTCCAAAAGCATCAGCAGAAGCAGATCAACACCCTCATAGCCGCAGTGTCAACGCTAACGTCATCGATCGAAAACATCGACTCTCAAGTCGACTACATCGAAGGGGGTGTTGATCATACGAATCGGGGCATCACCTGCTCAGGCTTGACCCTGGAATCGATTCACCATTCAGTCGTGGGAAAGAATATGTAGGGTCGTGTGAAGAACATTTTGGACGCAGTAGACAACCTGGAGGCCATCGAAGAGACCGTTAACAGCGTGGAGAACAAGGTAGAGAATCTGGAGTGAATTCAAGACATGGTGGAAGAGACCCGGGATACCGTGAATGAGATCAAGTCGAAGACTGCAGGGCCTTCCGCTGGGCAACCCCCTCCAGGTGCTGCCAAAGAAGAGACCTCGGGGGTTATCCTGCAAAATGTACACCGGCTGGGCGACGCGCTGAATCAGGTCTACATACAGGTGTTCGAGATAGCCCAACGTTTGGACCAAGGTGTTTTCGTTGGACAATTGGCGCGACCGGGACAACAGTGCGCTCCACGATAGGGGAAGAGACCCAGACTCTTGACTGTACGTATATACGTATGCAATGCAGCAACTGTTGTCGTATTCTGAGCTGTCCCTAGAGGATAAGACCAACATGAGCATGCAACGACAGGCTTTTTGGAGAGCCACTCTGGATATTGTTCAAGGTGCCACTTAAATAAGAGTCACCACAGGATCAATGACCAGGATTTTCCAGCTTGAAAGAATCAACACAGGATGAGAAGGTTGCGATGAGGCTTGCGACTCGCCGAATGAGCGAAGGCACAAAAGGAGACCGTTGCCCGAAGTCAATGCGTTATGTTGACATGGTCTGTGCTAGAATATCTAAGAGCTTCAGCACACGCGTTACTCGAATTATTCTGCTTCATCTATCAAAAAACTGAGGCAAGACTTCGCCGTCTTTCGCTATTCACCATGCCGGCCACAAGAGCAAAAGCCAGCGCCTTGCGCGCCAAAAACCCCAATACCAAATTGCTCAAGCAGGTTACCAACAAGCCAGCACTCAAGAGCCAGAAAAGGAAAGCCAGCGCAAAGTCAGTTGCCAATACTGCTGCATTGAAGGAAATCGCTGGGAACGCAACCACTTCCTCGACATCGCCGGCTTCATCGACACCGAAAGCTGCTTCTACATCCGCATCAAACTCGCCGTCTCAATCCGAAACGCCACAAGACGGTGTGTCGAAAGCTGATCTCCAGACACTCATCAGCATCTCCAGAAATGGACAGAAGAAGCAGGAGAAGCAGCTCGACAAATTACTCTCTGACGTCGCCGCCCTGAAGGCTTAAATGCAAGCCAACGACGCAAAGATCGATCAACTAGGCGCTCTCATCTTCAGCCGGGTTATGCAGGTCAAGCAGGACGTACGAGACGTCTTCGACATAGTTGCGGAGATCCCGGACAATCTCCAATACGTTTCCGACTACGTGGAGAGGCTCGACGACATTGAGGAGACCGTCAACAACATCGAGAGTAAGACCGAGGATTTGTCGGTGTTTGAAGACAAGATCAATAACATCGACGAGAACGTGGATGACATCAAGCAAACATGTGCTGAAGAGGGTACCTTACAGACGTCAATGCAGATGATGAACCACATGTTCGACCACTTCACTAATCCGGTGGCACCAATCGACCTGACCGAGCTGCTTGACCAGCATACTGTCATGCTGAACCAGATCTTCAAACAAGTCCTCAGGGGCCGTTAGAAGATGTTCAGAATGTTCACCCGAGTTCTTTTGCACACAGAATGTGTCGCTCTTGGCAATCTGTCTATTTGACCGAGAGCCTAGGCAGCTACAAAATGTACCAAAGCAGCAAGAGCGTAATGACTTACACATTCATTGAACTAGCATAGTCTGTGGCCTCCACGTCTCGCACGCTACCAATCTCTCTACGGAGGACGTCTCGCTCGCATTGAGCTTAAGCCAAGCAAATCTCGAGCCGAGTACGTCCCTGCCCGATGGGGAAGTTCTAGTATGCAGATCCAAGCCTCAAAACAATGTCGTCAAGACTCTTTGTCTGGAGCAACTCTCCAAGTCTAGTATAAATGGAAGCAGCTCCCGCGTAGCAAAGACCAACATATAACTAAACAGAGCTCTGAGGATTCGCAATTGAGACTTCCCTGCCATGAATTCATCCGCATCGTACCAGGGAGGGTACATCGACCCCAACTTTCCAAATCCAATGGGTCCTAATGATGCAACGATTATAATTTATGGGTACATTGATCTTGAATAGTCCAATGATAGCGATGGCATCGACTGACTTCCCTACCAGCTACACTCCTTCTCTCGCAGTGGGAGTCCTCGGAGTCGTCCTCTTCACAATCGCCTCAATCGCCTCAATCGCCCACCTCTACCTCCTCATCCGTCACCGCACTTGGTACTTCACGCCCATGCTCGTCGGAACTCTCATGGAAATCGTGGGCTACATCTTCCGGATCCTATCCAGCCAGCAAGATCCTTACTCGGTCCCTTGGTTCGTGGTGCAATACTTCTTCATCGTCATCGCTCCGGTGTTCTTCAGCGCGGCAATATACACCCTCGTCTCAGCTATGATCAACATCTATGGAAAGGAGTATGCACCGATGCCGCCGAACGTCGTTCTCGGAGTTTTCATCACTTGCGATGTGGTAGCGACGATTGTGCAGATTGCGGGTGCGGCGTTGGTCGGGGTGGCATATTCGAATCAGAAGAACCCGACGACGTACAATCACATCCTGCTGGCTGGTCTTGCTTTCCAGGTCTTCTCCTTCGCGGTCTTCTTGGTCGTTCTGGCATGGACTTTGGCCAAAGCCCGAAAGAGCCCTACGAGCATTGAGAGAGGCTTCATTGCGGCTCTTGTGGTGGCAACGCTGGCCGTGTATCTGCGGACCTGCTTCCGTCTCGCAGAAACGGCGGAAGGGCTCATGCAGAACTTATCCACGCACGAAGCCTTCTTTGGCTGTCTGGAGTTCGCACCTATCGTTGTGGCTGTCTTTCTCTTCACGTACTGGCATCCAGGCCGGTGGCTCAAGTCCGGAGTACTCGCCAGCGGCTGACTTCGATCGAGCTTCAATCAGCATCCAAGCGGTAGTGACTCCTCGAGAACATATCCCAGAAGACGCCACATATGTGGGATATCCGCGTGCTCGAACGCAGCCGGAAATGGAAGCAATGCGGTGATGGCGGGATCGTCGAGAGCGCAAAGATATGCTACGATAGCCTTGCACTCGGACCGGGCTCGCTTCGTTAGCCACCATTGGTCGATCTGCCTGACCAGTGCAAACCAGTATGATACCAATAGCAGGCCTCGTGGATCTCTTCTCAACAGCAGCGTCTTCAAATTTGACCAAACTCTTCCCAGGCACGCAAAGAGTGTGGCGTAGTTCTCTGTGCTGGGCTTGAGATGAAGACAGGGTGTAAGAATCCGGACGATGTAATGGTATGGGTTGTTATCGGCAGTGGATTTGGCGTCCAGTTTACAAAGATCAACAAAGGCCCATGGCAGTCCATCGATGCCCGGTCGAGGACTGCTGAACGTACCATCAGCATCATCGGTGGATTCAAGGATCTGGCTCCATCTCGATTGCGGTTGAAAAGAACCGAAGATGTAGAATAGACTCTTGAATCCACCTGTTGCCGCGAGAGGATCAATGGTACGAGAGAATGCATCCTGGGCACTCATATTTTTTTCGAGAAGTACGTCGTCATGGATCCCGAAAGTCAGCATGATCTGCAAGAAGAATGCGGCCATGACGGAATCCCAATTCCCATTATCGCAGCCTGGCTTCAGGAGGGTCAAATGTTGTCGGTGGAGCTGTAGGCCTCTGTCCCAATGCGTAGCCTCCGCCAAGGCCAGGCCAGGTTGGATGCTGTCACGATGGAGATGTCTTTGGTGAGCACATGATATCTGTTGAACTCAGCATCAGAGGACCATACGTTGGCTGCAGTCGGATGAACTCACAGCAAGAATCAAATGCATGAGAGACGGCTGACTCCACGCATTGCTTCCCACGAAGGAGTGCATGATGACTTGCATTGAGGAGCAACCAAGCGTAAGCGAAGTTACCGATTGGAAGTGCTGTAGCATACGCGCATTGCTCAATCGGGAAGTATTGCCTCCATGTAAGAGGTTTTCCAGATCCGTATCCACCAGATCCACGGCCATGCTGTACATGTCGGACGTCACAATCTGTGGCGAGCTCTTCATCGATTGCGAGGCAGTCGAAGGCGAGGAAAGCTCTGAATAGACGCACTCTGCTTTGAGTTTGGCACATTTGCCACATTGCGGCTTGCCTTCTTTTAAGAGTTACTGTCTGCATTCCCAATAGCTTCTCAACCTCATAGGGACGTACCATCGCACTGCACATCATGTTAGTGATTACACTCGTCCAAGAGTCCTGAGAAGACTGACTTTGAGCCTCCGCCTTTTGCAGCCTTGGCAGCCATCTCGAGACTTTCGATGTGTTTTCCTCGGGACAAATGGACGCGGTTGGCTTTCTGCGTTTCGTTGTTGCTGGATGTCAACCTTGAAAACCGACTGGAAGGGCTTCGTAGCTCGATTTGACACCATTTTCAAAGAAGCTCGTCGGCGGTGCTAATCTGCTTCAGTGCCGGCGAGTCCTTGCGTGGTTCAAGTACAGAGCGTTGGTTCTCTCGTACATCAAGGCAACCAAATTGAATCATGGTAGGCACCGAGAATGTCCTCGAATGGAAATGTCATGGTTACGATCTTCGTTTCCTTGGCTGCGGAAGAGCGCCATGTCGTCTGTGCAGGTGGCAATTAGAGTTTGAAGGAATACGACGTGGCCCTGTTTCGGAAAAATGACTTCGGAGCTGAGTCTGTTCACCAGGGGCTGAGCTGCTGAGATGAAATGAGGTCGTTCAGGTCGACTCTCTAGCTCGTCGCACCGGTCGCAGTCTTCTTCTCAGCTAGCGCAAACATACCACCATGCCAGCCATAATTCCGATTGAGACGCCGTCCATGCCTACGAGCAACGTAGAACGGGATCTTTCCACTCATCGATCCATGAGGCTCGTGAAACTGTATCGGTGTCTCAACATCAAGTCCAGCGGGTGTGAACTGCCACACCGAGCCGTACAGCTTCTCAGGCTTGAACTTTGTGGAAGTCATTGCCCACAAGAAATCATCCCATTTCACTTCACCCGGAGTGGACGTTGCTGAAGGAGTATAAAAGAGGGCGTGAAACACTTTTAGAGCTCGAGTGTCGACACGGAATACTGGCTGTGCGTCTGGAGGCGTAGCAACCTCTACCAATGTTGCATCTGGTACAGAAACGGGCGCCGGCTGTCCACGAGTCTTCGTCTTCGTCTTGGATGAGCGACTCACGGAGCTTTTGTCGGTTGTCTGCTCCGTCCTATGCTCAAGGTCGAAGTAGACTTCAGACAACGGCTTGATCAGCATCTCCACCTTTTTGTCCTTGTCCGCGCCACTGGTATTCGGCTCAACCCATTCTGGCGTGCGCTGCAGACCACGAGGTTGGCGCAGAAGATCTCCAATTACTGTGCCTTTGAGGTCGCGTGCATTTCGGTGGAGCAATTCATCGACTTTGAGCCAGAAAGCATCGAGGTTCTGTTCAGCTTGCCTCACTGCCTCCACGCTCTCGCGAGTCCTCTTTTTGAAGATAGGGTAGTGAAACCTGTTGTCAGCAGGAGAGCCGTAACGAGCCAAGACAGATTCGCTTCCCTTCCAGGCATCAAGTATGTTGCCCGCAGAACGGACGAAGCCTGCTTGTTCTCATTCGATTGTGTCCTCTCTTTCGACCGCTTGGTCTTCGAACATGTTGGCCCAGGGTTGGTACGATTCTAGCTGCCGCATGCATTCCGCAATGATGGCAAGATCGGATATTCCAGCAGCCACGAACGGGCTAATAAGGTCTTTGACTTGTTGCTCGGAATCGATCTTGCGCTGCAGCTCATCGAGAACATTCGTGAATCGTAGTTGGTATAGCTTGTCGCTATCTTCCCACAGGACTTGAAAGAGCCAAAAGAATTCGAACTCGAGTGGGTCTAGAAGATGTTGGTTCTTCAGAGAGCTCACATTCTCCATCCTTCGAGGGTCGTCATGGGCCTCGCGGACAAAATGATGGCGACAAGCAGGCGACGCTGTGAGAGAACACTTGAGTTGCCCGAGGGGTCCTGGAGAAGGTTAGCTCATCTGATCATGAACATGCCATATCGTTGTTTTGTGGTCCGCCTACCTTGTTTAAATCGATTCAGCAAAGATCGGAATCTGACATCGATTAGCGGTGGGTTCCAGTGAGACTTGGAAGAGAGCGGATGGTATACCCCAGAATCGCGTTCAGATACTCTTCAGGCAGGTCTCTATCCGTTTTGATCTGTGCCTCATACTTCTCCTGAAGGACCTTCAGCCTCGACATCTGTTTGTGAAACTCTGTCCAGTGCTCAAGGTGTATGATAGCTAAGCCAACAACAGAATCTATGACCTATCAGCTTCCAATCGATGCCATCTGGAAAAGCGCCGCAACCTACTGATTACTCGGCCCCATAGTAAGTCCTCCCGCCCAAAGCGAAACAAGGGATGAGGCTGTCCATATCGGTCTTTAATGTGATCTTGTGTGTGATCCCAAGCGTCTTTCAAAACACCGGAGAAATACGCAGGATCTTCACGTAGCGACCACAGGTGATCTTCGACTGCGTCACGCTTCGCTTTGAGAAGGCTCTCCAGGCGCGCAAAGCTCAGGCGTGAGGGAAGTCTGTAGGGTGCCTCGGCAGCTAACAAAGTCCACGAGATAGTCTCACCGGTCTCGAGTTCAGAGGCTGGAGGCTCAGGCTGCGGTGCGGAGTGGAGCAGCGCCTCCTCATCAACGTCATGCAAAATGGTCTTCGCACATTTGACAAGAAATTCCATAGTCTTGTCTTGAGATTCAAGGATCAGTAACCCTTCACCTGGCTGCATATGCTTTCTAGTCATAAGCCAGTCGAAGGCATCAGGATGGTCGTCCCAGCTTATCAGCTGACCATAAGTCTCTGCCGTGTTCCTACCGGTGAAGAGCATAACATGTTCGTTCAGGAAAGCAGGCTTGATGGCGAATGAGACGATGCCCAAATGAATAGCCTCTATATCAGCTGCTGCAAACTCGGCCGGTGAATTGCGTCCGCGGGAGTTCAGTAGAAGCAAAAGAGAACGAGGCTTCAACAAGTCTTCCTGGTTGAGGAATGGCCACATGAAGGATTCTCGCTGAATCTTGCCAGCCTTGCCTTGGCTATCCACCTGTCTGCGGAAAGCCTCAAAGTCTGGCCGATGCATTTTCGGGAGATCATCATCTTTCCAGGCGGCGGTGATGACCTTACGTTTCTGCTCCTTCGTTTTCTTCTTCCAACGCTTCTGGATCGTAGCCTCATGCTTGTCAAGAATGTCACGCAAGAGTTTTAAATTCTGGAAAATCCTTGACGCTCGCTGACTTCTCTCCTTGCGAATCTCACCAGGCGTGACATCAGCAGCAGGAGGCTGCCAGGGCATGTTAGGCCCATTGGACTGCGGATTGGATCCCGATAGCTGGGCTAGCAAGCTCTGAATGTCCTGCATGTTCGCCATGCTGAGTAGTGCGGCCGGACAAAGAGTGTTTAGGTGAAGAATAGGAGTCCAAACGGAAGAGAAACGCGTGAAGTCGCGTTTAACCACTCGACCCAGTTTTCTAGGTTGGCGCTAAGATCGATTGGGCAAGGGCGATAATATCCCAGACAACATGGATTAAAAAGGAGCAACATTCTCACTATCTTTGGTTGCAAGAGCGAACTGTGTTCAATTCCAGACACGAATCGAGCTGTGCCGACCACCTTCGAATTCTGCTGTGGCTGATGTCCTGAGCCGGTGAACCCTCCACAAGCAACAGCCAAGTGATGTCCCGACATTTGTGAGTATTATTGCCCTTGGACATCCGCATCTCTCGATCGAGGGGCAGCCCCACGGATATCAAATACATGTTCTCAGGCAAACAACACGATGAACAGACAAAGTTCCGTGCCGCTGCAACAGATCGTATTTGACTCTGCTCTGCATCGGTACTCGCACAGCTAAATTCAAAGTATCCGAGGCACAAATGGGGTGAGGAATCAACATGGATCTTAAAATCAGGAGAGACCGAAATGGCTGCAAGTCACTCACATGTCCCGAAAGGTACGCCGTTGTCGTACGGTCGCCGGTGATACGCTGTCCCAGAAATCTTACGTGCTCCCTGGTACAAAGGCATAAGCTAAAATGGTCAAGCCATTTCTCTGCGCAAAGAGGCAATTCTGGCCGGAGATGCTACCGCTACCTGGTATGACACGGGAGCCGATACCGAATGAAGAATTCGACCTAATCAGACCGGCTCGGCAAGGCTTAGAGCAGGTACCGAGTTTTTCTCGTATTTGTCTTACGGCAGAGTATGGAGCACACCTCTAATATCTCACTTGCATCGGTGCATGTTATCCATTGAGGGCTCGCAACTACTTATGATCAATTCCAATCCTTACTTCGAGAGGTTACTCTCAATCTGACATGCAAGGCAACCGATCTCACCTCTTCGCTGATGTACAATAAATCCAAGGTCTCTGCAAACAAGGCAGTCAGGAACTCGACAGCATTTTCCTCGTAACGATCGCCTACCAACAAATCCATCTACATCTTCGTGATGTACTGGCAGAGTCTGTTTGGGTTTGCCCCGTTGTTTCTTGTATGGACTCTGGCCCAACAACCTAGCTGTGCCACGGTCAGCGGCGGATGTGATCAAGGCTCAACCAACAATGCCGCCATCCAAGTAGCGATCAACAGATTTGACACGTCGAAATCCTACGGCGGCCAGTCAATTATATTCTCGACTTTCCTCGACGGCGAGACTCTAGCACAGATCTCGTACACCTGCGAAGACGTTAGCAATAATACGCCTATTATCGACGGCAGTGAAGCCCAGGCATTGTAGGGGATACTCTCAACCAACCAGTGTCGGTTAACACGAGGCTGACACTGTTTATAGGCTGTCTCAAATCTTGCAATGCAACAATCAATGCGGTTCAACAGCTGTGTCTTCTGACAGCTCTTGTGGCTTTGGAGTGCTAGTAGACAGCAATGCTGGAACTGAAGACTGCTTTTCCAAGGCCATCAACATCACACCAGAAAGCACATCAACCAAAACACCACCACCACCGCCTCCTTCAACAACTTCACCACCGACGACAAGTACCACCTCGACCAAAACCACAATCACAAGTGTGCCTGCCTCAGTGGTCAGTGCTGACGCCAGTGATGTACAAAGCAAAGTCTCAGCAGCTATGGCGCAAGCAGCAGCATTTCAAAACAATCCCAGTCAAGATGGCCTCAGCGATACGCAGAGCGCAGTGCAAGATGCGCTGAACAGTGCCCAGAAGGCTCAATCCGATGTTGGTGGAGACCCAAGCGATTGGGGAGGGTTCCTGGACCAGATCTCGAACGTCATTTCTGGATTGGAGAGTGCAGAAACAGGACTGACAGGAGCAGCGGCGTCGGCTGCAGTGGCGGCAGCGGCCGCCGCGGCGATATGTGAGTCCCCATCCAGCTATGCCAATGAGGTCTTTCAACAGACAGGCGCTGACGCTTTGAAAAGCTGGCGCAGCTACAGCGGCCGCGGCAGCCGTTGCTGCGGCAGCCGCAGAGAGCAGTAACCAGAATCCAACCACGACGCCGCCAATAGGCACAACTCAGTCTCCAAGCGCTTCCATGTCATCGTCGAGCTCTCAGACCTGCAACCTATGCGTCTCATGCGCAGACTCGACTCTGCCCTCCGTTGATGATCCACCGCAAGAGACAGATGCCCCAGACAGCTCTTCGGCGCCAGCATCAGTGTCAGGGGCCTTATCGAGACGAACGATGAAGAAAATCCAAAGGCGTGACACCTCTGTGAAGATCATTACTGTCTGCAGCAAGACGTTCACCAGCCGGCCCTACTCTCCGCCTTCTTCCGGAAATTTCCCATTTTATGGATACAGGATCGATGCATCGACGTCCCGATGCTCCAGGAATCCAAAGATCTTTTTCAACGCCGCGGTAAATCCAACACCTAGTGACAGCTTCGACACCGAACATGTCTTCGAGGCTCAGATCGTTACGCAGTTCCTGAACTCCTTGGCTTCTTTGGCCGCGGGAGGCAAAATAAGCAACAACGGGGACTGCGGTGCCAACGGCCTGCTGATGAGATACTTCTTGCGAACGGCCGCTTTCCCGGGAATCGCGGGACAGGCGAATACGCCGTTCAAAAAGAAAGGAGGTATCATGAGTGCCGCAGCCGCTGACGAGCTCATGTATAACCTGTCTGCGGATAATGATCCGAACGAACCAGACTCGGACAACGAGTTGGTGTTTCTGGAGGAACGCTTAAATAGTCTCAAGCAGGCAGTGAGTGATTGTCCATACGATACCTTTCACGTCTTCCAGGATCGCTAAATTGAACGCAGGTCTTCAACTCCAAGACGGGACAGTTCTCCAGCTTCGCGACAGCTACTGACCAACTCGCCGCAGTGACGAGACTCGGTGTGTTGGCCAACTACTTGACCGACAACACGGTCGCCGCTATCTTCACCAAAGTCAGCCGCAGGATGTTCGCCACCATGCAAAAGTTCGACCAAACGATCCAGAGCAGCACAATCGCCAAGGTAAGAACCATTTCCCCCCACACAACACAACGCTAACACTGCATCATAGCCAGTTGACTCCGATGGCGACCCAATTTCGTTCGCCACGCTCTATTCAGTATTCCAAACCAACTTCCTCTTTTCCATCGACGGTCCCCCACGTACGAGTATGAGCACTCAGATTACCAGTGCCACCAATCAAATTTCGAGTGATTCGAGATTGGGATCTCCTGGATTGAGAATGATGTTTGTGGCGCAGATAAACGAGATCACGGCCGCGGGGCAGCTGATGTTTCCGGACAAATGGTTAGATGTTTCGTCTACGTTGGAGGTTGATTTTTAGGATGTGGCGCGCAGGTGAGGTGATGTAGTAGGGGGTGGAGGGAGACGTGCTGGAGTGAGGTCTTCTCGGCTGTTGCTTCGAGAGGGGTGAGGGATGCAGCATGATTGCTTCTTGCGCCTAGGGCAAACCTGTTCTCGGTCGACAAGTGTGTCATGGTGTTAGCAATAGGAGTAGTCGATTGGGGAAGGGGCTGGGGGTATAGGATGTCTGGGAAGGCAATGGACAGGGTATCCAGTTAGGTGGTAGCCCATGAGAACGTTGCGTTGCTCTTGATAGGTCAATGTCTATATAACACAAAGGTACAAAGTGATAATGTACGTTGCTCTGAAGTCGAAGCTCTGTTTCGTTGACTCAGAGTGACACCCATCTCGTGTTTCGGTGAGGAGATGATGATTGATTTGCACGTTAGGCCAAAGATGTCACCTTGGAGGAGCGGAGACACGAATCAATTCGCCACATCTATGGAACCGACGCCTGGAGGGCGAAAAGGAGCCGAGTGCCCCCATTAACTGATAACAGTGCTGAGAAGCATGTGCATGGCTGGAGACGTCAGTCAGTCGTGATACAAAGCCTCGTGAAGTAACGACGCAGGACTAGAGCGTGACTGGACCTGGAAATACTACGTTAGCTCCACATAGACCATGCACCTGGCGGCGGACGGTAAGATCCCACTGTCTGTGCGTCTCAGCTTACTTTTAAGAGACTGTCAGGCGCAATGCCGAGTATGCGTCTTTCATATTGTTTAGGGCTTGTAGGAGCAGTACAAAGCCAGGGATCTTTAGGTTCAGAAGGAGCTTTCTTTATGCAGCGAAGAGTGCTTACGGGGGGTCCGTTTACGTGGGTCAACATTCTACTTACGGAAGGAACGTGCGCTTAGCGCTTATATTAATTACCTTTATTGCACACACGGGATGAGAGATAATTAGGGCTCGCTCCTGCCGATAGGTATACCTTACACCGTGAAGAAAGCCATAAGCCGTAAGTATTTTCTGGCCTTTTCTAGCGGCAAAATTATCCACAGTTCAATCATGAGTTCGGAAGGGAAGAGTCGATATTCCTCATCCCACTGAACGCGCTGTCATTGTTGTCAATGTGGCCCGCGAATGCCCCAATGGGGCTGCCATGTCCGACGGAGTTCTCGCTACGGCAAACAACATCGGGTCTATGCTCCGTGAACTGTCTCCTCAACAGATGATATCCGAGGCCAAAGGAGTTGCGGCTGTTGCTCGCTGGTCAAGGACTTCTCTTTCGTCTACCTCTCTTTAGCCGTACTGCCCTAATACTCAGCATCGCGACCGCAGAGATAATACGTTGCCAAGATTCAATATAACATTCGCCTTCGGGAATCCGCAATGTATTCTCACCATCTCCTCAGAGAATTTGTACAGGTCGTAGATGCTGAAAGAAGCGGCCAGAGATGCATTGTTCAAAGCACAAGACTATAGAGGGGTTCTCAACTACACGAGTTTGCAACCTGTGGAATTGGAAGAGAGCAGTTGCGACAGATATTCCACTTCATGCCTCGGAACTGGCGTGTAGGGAGAAATATATACCAGGAGGACCAATGGCCGGTTTGAATACATAGACATATCTTGCTGTATGAGCTGCCGGTTCTGTTACTACGAGCATTTTCCAGCGCACACACAGTCCCTGTACGACGCGTACAGCATAGCACCGAAACTCTGACCCTCTGGAGATCCTGTCTTGAATGGTGTTCTATTCAACCAGTCTGTTGGATTCACTGCAGGCGACAGTATACCACTAGAGTCGATATGGGACGCCACTGCCCGACGACTGTCATCAGCCCAGTTGACATAGTCCCTGGTGAACGTTCCTGGCGCCAGTACGGCCATGCGGTACACAACGGCAGCCAGCAACGCGGCAGTGATATGAATCAACTCAATCAGATCAATCTGAGCCGATAATCTGATTGAATTGCTCGCTAATTCGCTCAGATTGCAACTAGTTGCAACTGATTGATCGAATATAATTGCTTACTGTGTGGCTAAGACGCGCTAAAACACGTAAACAAACACGTGTGCACGGCCGCCGTTGAGGATTAATAAACCTAACGGCTGCCTAAATAGGAAGTAACGGTTGCCCCAATCAACTTCAATCAATACTAGCTAAATATTGACTATCTCGGGCTGCCAGTTGATCAATATCAATCAATTTAAGGGCCGAATCGAGTTGAGTTAACGAATCAATTCAATTCGATATCGATTTAGGTTGAGTTGATTTCATATCACTGCAACGCGGTCCCGCTAGTCTCGCCAAACCAGCTATTGTCTGGCAGATAATTTCGTAGCAGCCCACTAGAGTCACGGCCTGCATTGCGCGCTCCATCTACTATCTCCTTAATCCAACCTGTAAGCTGGTTCTGTTGCTGTCCAAGGTTGGATGCGCCATTTGGCCAATGCATGATAGTAGCGAGTACTCGTGCCATGCCCATAGCGGCCCAACCATTGCCTGTACTCCAAATTCCGCGATCTGTAGTCCCACTTGGGCCGGGAACGATATGCTGCCAAGTCGAGCCGGAAGGTTGTAGGATCCCCCGGTACAAGGAGCACTGCGAAACCGCTTGTTGCATTAGACCTAAGTCGTTGTCACGGACGGCAGTGTAGGCTAGGAAGGGAGGAGCCATAAAGATAAAATCGGACCAGGCTTCGATGTCGTTTTCACGATGTGAGATGGCGCCGTTCGCAAATCGAGGAACCGTGTTTAGAATGTGCCCCTTCTGGCGCTCCGCAGCGTTGTAATAGTCTCCATTCGTTTGGCCAATGAGAAGTGCGCTGACTCCCAATGAGCATGGGTCTCCTGCAGCGCCATCGCTGCCTACGAGGGTGTTTCCAGAAAGCGAAATGCGCGGCATTGCGTATGATAGTGAGGCTATCCTTGTATCTGGCCGAGGTAGTTGACCATTAGGGAAAGCACTAGAGGAGAATACAGACAGGTCGGCGTCGTACAATTCCAAAAGTGCTTCAGCACAAGTGCCAAATTCCCAGCTGTGAGACGACAGTAGCTGTGCCTGAGAGACCACCTTATTCTGATCGAAACCCGCGTTGAAATCTGGACACTGGGCTTGAACATTATGTATCAGCGCGGCAAGGGCCAATACCACATGTTGAATGAGGATAAAAGACATTTCCAGATGTCCAGGTCCTTCTGGTTTCTGAGCGGTGGATAGCGAGACGTTTTGGGCGGTACGTCACAAGCGGATGAGAAGGGGACGCAACGTCGCAACACTCACTCTCTTTATATCGCCGACCTAAGTGAACACGTGATGAGCCACTAGAGCTTCTCGTCTTACGTGCTCCGGAGCAACAAGAATCCTACCTCTCAAGCTGGGTTGCCGGATTAGGAAATCCTGTTAGCCTGCTGGCGATGCCTAGCCTTGCGCCAGTAAGGCTAGGCATTTTCTTCAGCAAGGGTCTGACTTGGGAGGTATCAAGAATCCACGATTAGCACGAAGAAGTCAATAAGCCCGTCCGGAAAAGTTTACGAGAGGAGCAAAACGGAAATTTAGCCCATGGCGAGATGTCAGCACGTGGATAGTCAGACGTTCTAGCCAGATTAAGATCATCGCCGCCTTCAGCACTAACTGTATAACTTCCGCATAAGCATCCATACATATTGTAAGGTCCTCCCCGCATCCACCCGTCTCCTGAATGGGTGACTCCATTGTCCCACCCTCATATGCTTAGCTGCAGAGTGCGAACAAACCCTGTAATTGTTACTAAACTTTGCGGATTCCAAAAAGTACGACAAAGCTTACCTGCGAGTTGGAAAACACTCCACACTGTCAACTGTTAGCACAGCCCCCGATCTTTACACCTGTGGTGACTCACCTTGCCGGATCCGCCGCAGGGAGAGCTGCCATCCTATGCTCTTGAGTTAGCTCATGTTTCGCTTGGAATGACGGTGACAGGCTGACGTACACAAGGGATGTCTTGGTCCGCGAAGTTTGAGTTATCAGTACTGAAGAAGCACTCTCCATTGTGAGCTCCAGTGTCGAAGTCGCAGTTCCCGTTGACGATAAAGATGCCACTGGGCGGGCCACTGGGCGGTGCAGCAGGTGGATCTGAAGGGCGAGAAGATCAGCGGGTCTCACTCCATCGCACAGCCTGATTTTTCTGCACTTACTGCATATACAACCTGCGAAATGACCGTTACATCTCGACTTGCCGTCCCCGTCTTGAGAGCCATTGCAGTTATTAAGGGTGCAGCTCTGCGGCTGGCCGCACGTATTCGTAGTAGGTATGCATTGACATCCTTTGAAGTTGCCTTTGCAAGTGGCCAGTCCGCTGCCATCGAATGTTCCCGCGCAGCCGCGGTCGTCGCACGACTGCGGCTCGCCACAGCTACTTGATGTTGGGATACAAACGCACCCTGCAAAATGCCCGTTGCATCGAGCAGTGCCGTCCTGATCCACAGCACCGTTGCAATTGTTCAGTCCGCAACTCTGCGGCTGTCCACACGTATTGGGCGTTGGAACACACTGACAACCAGCAAAGTGCCCTTTGCATGTGGCTAGACCGCTTCCGTCGAAAGTACCACCGCACTGGTTCATGTCACAGCTTTGAGGACTACCGCAGGTATTCGTTGTAGCCTGTATATTCGGTTAGACACGTTCATCAGCTGTGTATCAGTTAACCCCGTGCTCTCTCACCTGGCAGACACATCCAGCAAAATGGTTCGTACATCTGGCGATCCCATCCCCCCCCCCAAAAGCTCCATTGCACTGGTTCATGTCACAACTTTGGGGGTTTCCGCACGTATTGGGCGTAGCCTGGCAAACGCAGCCTGCAAAATGGCCAGTACATCGCGCGACGCCGTCACCGCCAAACGCTCCACTGCACTGATTCATATCGCAATTTTGAGGATTCCCGCACTGCAAGGCCTGCGGAAGACAACGGCAGCCAGCGTAATTAGCCTTGCAGGTTGCTTGACCATCGGAATCGAAGGATCCAGCACAGCCTCCTGCGTTGCAACTTTGCGGAGTGCCGCACTGTGAGGCTTGGGGTAGGCAAGGGCAGCCAGCAAAATTAGCTTTACAGGTAGCCTGGTCGTTAGAGTCGAATGTTCCAGCGCAACCTCCTGCGTTGCACGACTGTTTCTGTCCGCACTGTGAGGCTTGGGGCAAGCACGGGCAGCCAGTGAAGTTAGCCTTGCAGGTAGCCTGATCATTAGAGTCAAAGGTTGGAGCGCAACCTCCTGCGTTACACGACTGTTTCTGCCCGCACTGCGTGCTCTGAGGAAGACAGGGGCAGCCGGCGAAGCTTCCCTTACACGTGGCCTGATCATTGTCATCGAAAGATCCTAGAACTTGTAAGCAGAAGTCTTCAGGCTAGTGCGATCAAGACCCAACGACCTTTGCAATTGTTCATATCGCAACTCTGTTTCTGGCCACACATTTGTGCGTCAGGCGTGCACGCACATCCGGCGCCGAACGTTTTGCAGGTCGCGGTGCCATCGCTGTTGAACGATCCGCCGTTACATCCATTTGCATTGCAGCTTTCCCCTGTGTCACATGAAAATCCGGGCGTGTTCTTGGTAGGGGTACAGTCGCATCCGTTCTGTGATTGGCTTTTGCAGGTTCCTCTCCCCCCAGAGAAGGTGCCTGAACACCCTGATGCTTCACAGAATTGCGAGGCTGCTGCGCAGGAGACCGTCGGCGGCGCTGGGGTCGAGGTCGGGGCAGTATGGATCGGATTAGTGGTGGTGGGTGGCGGACTAGGTGTAGTTGAGATACTCGGGGCGCTGGTAGAGTGTGTCGTGGAAGAGGTAGATTGCGGGACAGGCACATTGACAGACGCTGGCTTCTCGATAGTCAACAATCGATTCTAGCACGCCGATTTCTGGAGCGACTTGTGTATGAAAAGAAGAGTATCGGCCCAGGCTCCGGGAAAAGTGCAGGACAGAGACTATCGGCTCGCTTGACGAGAGACGAAGTGCCATTGGAGCCGAAGTCATCGGGAGAATATTCGGATTCCAGTAGAGCATATGCCTGCCCAAGCAAGGCTGCTGTCAATACAAAGACAAGTCGCCACATCGTTGACACAAGAGAGATACAATCTCGCTTCCCTGGATCGTTCAATGGAACCGAGGAATGGGGGACCGACCATGCCTAATAAGATGAGAGCAATGTGTACGCTGCTCGCTCACGTGCATCCTCAACGTAAAGTGTGAATGGGATCTGTTTCGGGCATCTTCGCACGCTGACTTGAATGCATTTTTACCTAGTCCCGCATACAGAGGTTGGTGTCGAAAGTCCTTACCTGGTGTGTTCCGGTCGATATGTACGGAGCTTATACAGGTTTCATCAGCGCCAAGTTCTTACTAAACGCCTAGCACAAAGCCTAAAACCTCGTTGACAAACTAGTACCCATGTACAGGCAATACCCCGAGAATTACTCCTATGGGCAAACTATAAATATACATCAACGCTGTGTGGATATGACGGACGAGATGTAGACGGCGTAGAGATTCCACACCGTGCACGCCGCTTGACATATTTCTCTTGTGCGATCACGTGATTATAATCCTGCTTGAAAAGGCTGCTGCTTCCGGAGACTTGGCGTTACGCTAGAATGATTACACGTTTCCATGATTCTGCTTCTCCGGCCTCAGCAAATTCAGCTCGACGCCAAGTCGATCACAGTACGAAGAATGTTCCATCTTTGGGCATGTGCCATTCTATGTCAGGCATACAAAATGTCGATGCCTTCAGGCACTGTGTGCCCCCTCTCTCGCAGATTGGACGAGAACATGGCCATTGTGAGAGCTTACCATTGCGACCCTTCTGAGCCGTCCAACCCGCTTGGTATTTGAGTTCCCCATGGTCGGTAGCCACAAACGCGGACGGCACACGATGATCATGGCAACGTCATTTGTTGTCTTTGTAGGTCTGACACTCCTCTTGGACGAGCCGGCTTTGATTTCGCTCGCCATGCTTTCTTTAGATAACTATTCGCTACAATGCCTTCCCACATAGCCTGGAATGTGAAGGTCCAGGATCATCCGGGATCGTCAAGACAAGATATTGATAATGAGCCGGACTGGAAAAGTGATCACCAGCATCGCATTGGCTTCCGCAATCGGCAAGATCGAGTTCCAGGCTTGACGCATGCCGACGATGAAGACGATAGCAATGTTCCGGATCTGATCAATTCTGCAAGTTCCTCGGAATCAGATGACGAGCGACAATTTGATCAGAAGGCGAAGAAGAGATTCGATGATCTTAGGTACAGGGAGAAGGAGGGCGATTTGGTCAACTTCCGAGACATTATCACGGACCAGACTGACTTTCACTTGCGAGACTCCAAAGACAGAAGTATCGGATGGCGGTACGTACTTCAGGCGACCGAGGATTGGGTGAAGAACGAGCAAGAGTGGCCTGCAAACATTAAGAAGCGAGAGCAGGAGGAAGAGAAAGACAAGAAGCAGCAAACTAATGACAAGCCCACTCCCGCCGAGACAGGCCAGGAGGAGAACGATTGGAAACGCCAACAGGGCGAATCCAAGCATCACGATGCCTACGCAGCAGATGACGAGGGCTCGAATGATGACCAAGGAGAAAGCTCCGAGTATGAGAAGCTCCTCGAACGTTACAGTCCTCAAGAGATTGCCTTACTCAGAGCGTTGCAGCATGAGAAAGACTACCGCTACAAGCTTCAACAAAACGATGGCAAGAGGAACAGCCCGCAGACCCACAATCGCAGCACCATATCTATTGACGAACAAGATCAGTTCTCGCCTGATAACTGGCTTCCACGCTCTGATAATCTGGTAAGGTTGACAGGCAAACATCCAATGAATGCAGAAGCAGACTTGACAAGGCTATTCGACGGCGGTTTGATCACTCCCAACGAACTGCACTATATTCGTAACCACGGCGCAGTCCCACGACTTCTCTGGGAATTTCACGAACTGGAAGTCGAAAATGGCAAATTAGTCTTGTCGATGAATGATCTAAAGGACAATTTTGAACACATCAATATTCCTGTTGTGCTCGCATGTGATGGCAACAGGAGAAAGGAGCTGAATATGATTCGACGGTCGAAAGGCTTCAACTGGGGATCTGGCGCGACTGGCTGTGTGTACTGGAAAGGACCATTGCTACGAGACGTCTTGTTGGCAGCCGGAGTACAGCCTGGCAGATACACAGGAGAAGGCAACTTGCGGTGGGTCAACTTCGAAGGAGCAGACGATCCGAGCGAAGGGAATTATGCGACCAGCATACCTCTGGACTATGCAATGGATCCCTCTAATGATGTGCTCCTCGCAATGTACATGAACGATGTACCTCTACCGCCAGATCATGGCTACCCCGTACGCGTGCTCATTCCTGGATATGTCGGAGGGAGATGTGTCAAGTGGCTGAAGAAGATCTGGGTCACCGACCATGAGAATCAAAGCCACTATCACATATGGGACAATCGAGTACTGCCCAGCTTCATCACAGAAAAGGATGGAGAGTTTGCAAACACTATGTTCGCGCATCCCGACACCGCATGCAACGAGCAGAACCTCAATAGTGTCATAGTCAAACCCGCCCAGGGCGAGAAGATCTCTCTCAGCAAGGCCAAGCGAGGACAGACTTACAGAGTCGAGGGTTACGCCTACGATGGCGGAGGACACGAGGTCCAACGCGTGGAGGTCAGTTTGGATGGAGGAGAGACCTGGCTCTATTGCATCCGCAAGTTTCCCGACTACCCCATCAGACATGGCAACAAATTCTGGGCGTGGTTGCACTGGTATGTGGATGTCTCTATCGTGCATATCTTGCAGGCACGAAGTATTTCAGTGCGAGCGTGGAATGTGTTCAAGAACACACAGCCAGAGAAGCCGAGTTGGAACACTATGGGCATGATGAACAATTGCTGGTACGTTGTCAAGCCTGAATTTCAACAGACAAGGGACGACGACATGCCGCACATACTCTTTCGGCATCCTGTGGAGCCTGGTACTGGCGACGGTGGGTGGATGAAGCCCAGCGTGGAGAATCAAATTGCTACAACCAAGCAACAAGCCGGTACGCCTCAGAAGCAGTTCACAAGACAGGAGATCGAGAAGCACAGTACGGAGAATGACTGCTGGTTGGTGGTGGACCAAAAGGTATACGACTGCACTTCGGTACTTTCGTGGCATCCTGGAGGGAAAGCTGCGATTCTAGGTCACGCTGGCAAAGTCCACCAAGAGACCAGTGACGAATTCGCCAGTATTCATGACGGGTTTGCATACCAGAAGCTGAAAGAGTGCATCTTAGGGGTTGTCACCGACAAGGCCGCGAACTTCATCAAAGCCAACGCTGAAGCTTCTGCGAAGGAGAAAGCACAGAGCAGCCAAAAAAGTGGCGACGTCGTACTCCAAAAGCATAGATGGGTGCCCGTCAAACTTGTCGATCGAGAGTCGCTTTCGGAAGATACCCGAAAATACACATTCTGCCTGCCAGATGATATGAAAGACCTCGGTCTGGGTACATGCCAGCATATCCAGCTTGGCTTTCATTTGAAGGACAAGATGTTGATCCGGTCGTATACTCCGACCAAGCCTCTTCTCCCAGATCCCAAGAAGGTCAAAAAAGACAAGGACCCGAAAGTCAATGGTACGAAGCCAAGCAAGGAAGTTGTCAGCATGCAAGACGGCCAAGGCACTTTCGAGCTCGTAGTAAAGACCTACTTTCCCACCACCGAGCAACCAGGCGGTGCAATGAGCAACCTCCTCGACTGCATGCCCCTCGGCGAAGAAGTCGAGATCCGCGGACCAACAGGAGAAATCGTGGATAACGGCAACGGCCACTTCACAATCTCAGACCAAGAAATGACATTTAAAAAGATCTCACTGGTACTTGGCGGCTCAGGTATCACCCCTGGATATGCGCTAATTGCTCGAGCACTCCTGGGCCAGGGAGAGAACATTCAAGTGCGTGTGGTTGATGCGAACAAAAGTGAGAAGGACATTCTCTTGAAAGATGAACTTGACCAATTTGAGAAGGAGAGCAATTGTAGACTGAAGGTGACGCACGTTTTGAGTCATCCGAGTGAGAGCTGGAAAGGATTGAAGGGGCATGTCAATGCGGACATCATCAAGGAGAAGCTATTCCCACCGGAGGATGGCAGCGTGGTCTTTCTGTGTGGACCGCCTGGGATGATTCAGAAGGCTGCTTTGCCGGCGTTGAAAGGTATGTTGTGTTGTGGTTGAAGTGAGAATGCCTACGCTGACTATCGTACAGATTGGGGGTATGAAGAGGATAAGAATATGTTTGGTTTCTGAGGCGGCAAGAGGATACGGCCTTGGACTAGAGACTTGTCTCGGACCCAAAGCACATGCAGCAGAATCGCCGACTTGACCACGAGCAATATTGTATCCTATCTACATCAGTGGGAGATGATGCACAGAACACCAATCTCACAGCAAACAAACGCTCGACGAAAATGGCAGTTGTCTGACCTGAATGCGTCCACTACCAGACTCTCCAGTCTCCCTACAACAACATTTCTAAGCCGGCAGGCCCTCCTCCAACAACGCACTCAACGTAGCATTCGGCGCCGTCCAATCCCCAAAAACCTCCTCATACTTCTCAACCAACAGATCACTCACCAACCTCCCAAATACCGTCCCGCCCCACTCATTCAAATGCGTCGTATCGCCCTGCCTCGTCGCATTGAAAAGATTATACCTCCAGCTCGCCTCAGGCCCAATGGCGTTGCAGTAGTCCTCACTGGCGATGTTCAGGTCGATGTACTTGGATGACTTCGCTTCAGCGACTGAGATCGCAGCCACGCGCTCGTTGGCAAGGGACTGTACAACCAGAGGTGGATCGCCGCTGAAGACTCGACGGGTCAAGGAGGTGATAAGGATGGGTTCGCCGCCTGCGTCGCGGACTTCGTCGACGAAGACGCCGAGGTTCTGTGAAAATTGTTCGAGGGAAATGTTCGCTGCGGCTTTCTGGTCGTTGTGGCCGAATTGGATCGTCACGTAGACAGAGCTGTCGGCTTGATGGGTGGTGATTTGGGAGAGAACGGTGGCCCAGTCGCCGCCGGCGCGGAAGGAGACTGTTGTTGCGCCTGAGTGGCCGTAGTTGAGGCCTGAGGCGGGTGCTTTGAGGGTGTGGTTTAGGAAGCCGTCACCCCAGCCGCCGCCGATTGCGGTTGTTGAGTCGCCGACTAGGAGAAAGAAGGGGACTTTGGGGGATTGTCGAGATGATAGGGGCGAGGAGAAGACGAGGCTAAAGGTGGAGGCCAAGATGGATAGCGTTCTCATGGCCATTGATTATCAAGCCTGGAACATCGACGATGACCTCCAAGTGATTTGATTGACACACTTTGAAGCCATCTTATACCCATTCTAGCAAGGACCATTTCCTATACTGTGGACTATGATGCCTGCTCTCCCCGCCTCTGTCCAATATATTGTCGATATGCACTTCGGGACATCTCAGATCGTGCAGTTTGAAAAATTACACCAATAACCTGCCACAAGAGAAAATGCCAAGGGTGCTTTCTGCTTCCAGACATTACCATTCTGCTCTGAGTTGAGTAGGTACTTTGTATGTCAATTCCGTCTCTGGCCATTCGCATCTTCAGCCGTCATCATCTCTTCACCTTCCCCGCTTCTTCCTAATCTCCTCCATGACCTCTCCAATCGACCGCTCATCCCCCTTCCGCTCCCCGTCATCATCACCTTCCTCCTCGTCCCATCGTCTCATTCCGAAAATATGCTTGCCGCCCAACCAGCTCAGCTCGACAGTCTGAGAAGCGTACTCTCGCATCTTGGCTTCATATGCACCGATCGATTTCTTGCTCAAGCCTTCGTCCACAAGTGTCTTGCATAGATTCCAAGCGTCTCTCAAAGCCGTGATTGCACCAGATCCGGCAGTAGGGCCCATCAAGTGGACTGCATCTCCTAATACCGTGATGTGGGAATTAGGTTCCCAAGCAGCGAAGTCCGGCTTGACGGAACGAATGGGCAGAGTCGATGTCTCGCCAGATTGCTGATGTTCCACGATCGCTCGTGTGCTCGGATGCCACTTTTCTGTGACCTTCAAGGCCAGTTGCTCTGCCTTCTGAGCGTCGAAATGCGCGAAGTCGTCTTCTAGAGTGTACCCCATCGTCCGTGGCTTTGAGACCATAACCCAATAAAGGTAGTCTGGGGGACATGTGAATCCTTTCTCCTCCATCTCCTTTCGTCGCGGAAACGTCGTCGGCTCCACGACCATAGACAGGATGTCTTTCTGCGAGTTGTCTTTGACAGCGGACATTCCACCCATGATGTCCTCGGAAAGCTTCTTGATGACTTCGTCCGTGAGCACGGTCTTCCCGTAGATACACCTCCCAGCCGTATCGACAATCTCCAGTTGTGGCAAAAATTGCCTCCTCACATGAGAATGCGCACCATCGGCTCCAACAATCAACGCTCCCTCCGCCGACGTTCCGTCTTGGAAGAAAGCCTTTACTCCATTCTCACTTTCCTCATACCTCTCCAACGCCTTCCCGTACTCCACGTTCTCATCCCCCAACCCCCTTAACAGTACCTCCCTAAGCACAGTCCGGTCCACGGTAGTGGGTGGTCTCTCGCCTTCTCTCGGCGGCGGCGCGTTCGTATTACTACCATTATCGCTTTCGCCTTTTAGAGCATCAACAACGGTAATCGGTCGCCATCGCATGTCCGCGCAAGTTAGGAGGAAGTTGTCCCATGTTGCCTGGTCAAGCAAGTACTCCAAGGCTGTGAGTCCTTCGGCTGCGATTCGGAGTCGGTAGCCTTGGGCACGGTAGGCGTGGGAGAGGTCTCTTTCGAATAGCTTGAAGGGTATGTTGTGTTTTTGGAGGCCGTGGGCGAGGGCGAGGCCGGAGATTCCTGCCCCGATCACTAGGATTGGGCGCTGTTGGGTCATTGTCGATCAGGTATATTTAAGTCTTGATGCTGTTCTCGTGTTTTTCGATAGGAAGGACTGCAATAATGGAATGAAAACACATCAAGCCTACGATTGCCGAAGGTCGGTCTTATAGTGGACTTAACGCTTCGTACTGCCATCGCAGCCACACTTTCAGACCCGTCGACGCCATCGTCACCGGCAACGCGAAACCAATCGTTTCCGCGTAGCCGGAAATGCACCGAGAACGTATTCGCGTGCCTGAAGAGACCTTCTCATCGCCCGAATCCACATGGTATTCGAGAGGAAGAAACGAGGAAGCTGAAGTTGGGGTTTCGGACGGCCTCGGGTCCGAGCAGGTACGACATGTGATTGGTGTACGATGAATCCTTGCCCATGACGTCGGCTCTCCTTTTCTAGGAGCATTGGACTTGTTCGTCCATCAACACTCTTCGTCACCTTAATTGTAGCGGCCGTGCTCAAAGACAGACAGTCGTCTCCATCACTCGCGAGATGTCTAAGCCATCTAGAGCACGATCAAGAGCTCAGTGACTTTGGAAATCGAAGGGATTACGATACTATATGTTCCACTTTGACTGGAACCACGGGGAGGACGGTTGGCATCTTGTCCTTCATCATTTTGAGCTATTGCTAGACTACTGATGAAAGCTTACGACTGTGTACGATTGTCGTTACCTCTGCAAGCGCTTGCCAAAAATTATGATTCTGCCTACTCCACGCCGAAGACTGTCCATGGACATTCTGGAACGCAGGCCTGCGAGAAGTCAGCATGGTCTCTCTGGCGATGTACTTCACATGAATTTCACCAACCATGTCGATGCCAGGCAGTTCTGGAACTTCAGGCGGCATGCCTCTCACTGGTGAAGGGGAGCTCTATGTCTGGGCCCTGCTACCTCTCCATGGCTCCTCGGATGACTTCTGTTGCAGCCAGCGACGCATGCTATACCCGAGATCCGTTGGGACATCGACTTTGCATTTCTCAGTGATCTCGTCAGAGCTGACTTGAGATCCTGCGGCCGCCCGAATTGAGGTCGCCGTGCTTTGGGTCGACTGAGCGCTGCCGACTGATGCCCGGTGGGTTTCTGTCTGATTGCAGCCCACAGACTTGCTGGAAGTGGTCGACATGGTAGGATGGTGATGGTGATATCGCTATTGTTGTTAGCACCCTTGTCTCTCAAGAGCTTCTCGGTCAACCAACCTCTCTTTGGCCTGTTGAGCAGCACAGATTCAGGATATGCTGCTGGGACCTCGATTGTCCGAATTCGATGCCATGTGTAGGGTTATAAACTAGCGTTTATATGCTCTCGTCGGTGCATATCAAAGCAGAGGCATGACAGACTGCGGTCTATGGTTGAGCTCGTGCTTGTACGCCCGATAGAAGTATCGCAAAAACGGGATGTGTGGCCCCCTTGACTGTCCGGTTCATCCTACAGGCTGTGAAGGGGCTAAAAACGCCATATGAGGCATTCCAAGAGCTGCTGATTGTCTGAAGGCAGCTTGCACGCGCTCCAGCCTTCGACAGGATGGCACCGCGTGGGCACGATATCATGCTTCTCGATCGATGTGATGGTGATTGTCTTCTCTCGAATAGAGGCATGCCTTGATCGACGCAAACGGTATAAAGCCTTGGTGTGGACATCGAGACGCAGCCATCACTCTCTTGGGACCGGTCGATCATCGTGCCTCCAGACATAGCCACGTCTTGGTTTATCAAGGCCCAGACAACGGCACAGATCTCAGCTGGAGGCATACCTGCAGCAAATTAGTGAAGGAGCGAAAGGATCCATCATCTTCGCGGTGTCTATGCACTGTTGAAGGCTCCTGCAGCTGCTCAAGCCACAGCTACCCTGGTCATTCCGGTCACAGTGGGATGCATCCCATCGCCAGTCATCTCTCCGGTTTCTAGAGTGACCAAGCTCTTCACCGTACTGCAGACTGCCTTGTCAGCTTACGAGTAACGGAGATGGATGTTCCATTTTGGGCAGAACGAAGACGATACTTAGTAGGTCCTTTAAGAGGCATGCCATGCGTAACGTGAGGCTGTCCGAGAGGCCGCCCGCAGATCCGGTTCATACAACTGCACATGGTTGGCCATAAGCAGCCGACATTGCTTCCTGCGTGGCTAGCGTGAGGCATGGCAGCTCATCAATTGGCTGAGGACAGCAATGTTTAGACAGGGGGTGGGAGGTAGCTGTAATGCTGCATTTACATAAAGCCAGCAGGACTGACGGAAGTCAGCTCTCGTTCATCGCCACACCCAGCTTCACAGCATCGTCAGGGACAACATCGACGCTTTCGACCATCGGCCTTACAACTCTCGCCTCTACGGCTAGCGTCTGTAGGGTCCTCCAGGCTGCAGTACCAGCTTGCCCTTTCGGCTCGAGATGTTGACGCCCACTCATCATAAGCCCTTGGACACCAGCACTAAGGAATCAAATATGCCCTCTTTCTGAGCAAGGAACGATATGACGAAGGGGCGTCAACAGAGAAAGAGTCTTTACTGCATTGACCTAACCCGTCACCTGGCGCGGAGCTGGGGTCTCAGCGCATTTGATCCTCCATTCCTTCCATTACTTATGAACGCCCCCTCTTATACGAGCATCACGATTTCTTCTTATCCGAGAGCGACTCAAGAGTTTCGCACTCAATCGTCTGCACAGAAATCAATCGAAGACTTGAAAGGCTCGCGTATGTCAACCCCTTCGAGGTTGAGTACGCTCTGAATCCAACCATTCGACCAATACAGGCGTACTTCGACACCTTTCTCTCCTCATCCGACATCCCCAGCGACTCTTCACTTCGCACTGGATACCTTGGTTCTCTGGTGGACCAGCGAGACAACGATCAGCAACCAGCGACTGGGACTGGACTTGCACCGTCAGACGACCAGCGAGACGACCTTTCTACACCTGGGAAGGCGATTTTGCCGTCGTCTCCGTCACACACCGATACGACTTTACCGTCGTTTCTGGAAAGCAGCGATGCAATTATATCAAGCAGCCCACAACCACCACCACTTGCCCGCCCTGCCGAGCCTGCGCATGCTGGCACAGACAATATCCACCGCTGTCCAAATTGCAACACCAGCTGGAACACGAAGAGAAAGCTCGACAAACACATCTCTGCCGTCCACAATCGTCGTTTCAAGTGTAGCGCATGCCAGCAACCGGCATTCGGCTTTCGAGCGGACCTTCATCGTCACCAACGAAGCTGCCATCCAGGCCTTCTACCGTATGCTACTGCACAGTCGTTTGAATGCCACGCAGGCTCTTGCAATGGCCAGCGCTTCAAACGGAAGGACAACTATGAGCGGCATCTACGACAAAGACATGGCATGGTCCGACCAAAATGGCCATAGCAACTATCTCGAGATTCGGAGAATATCAATCCAAAATATCACGTATGCGTCGATCTAGACTGGCCTTCTGTTCGATCCTCCATCCCAGACCCCTCCCCGAACGGCGTTTCAATTCTGGGCGGCATTTTGTACTATATGATTTTCTGAAACACGGGAAACACTGAACGTGTGTAATGGGGTCGTCAAGAGAAAGATGGAGTAGAGTCTCTATGAACAGGATCGCGTGGGCCTTCTGGATTCACTTTGAGTTGTCCTTTGGGGAAGACTTTGCATTGGAGATGCGGCCAGGATGCGACAAGGCCGCAGCGCTAGGAAGCTCTGTAACTTGGAAGGGAAAAAAGACCATCCCACCGAAAAAAAAATCCGTCCGTCAAAGCCGCAAGGCTCGACAACTGGCGTGCATCCACATCTGGGAGTCAAGGGACCAGCCAATCGATGACCTCCTACACTTGCCGAAGACATCAATCGCAAGCCTCGTTGCTACGGTTGAAGGTTCGGAAGCCTATGATAAGCAGTTAGCTCTTTTGATCGCAATGTAGATCCAGCTTGCCGCAAACTGTTCTCCTTATTTTTTAATCCCCTGTCCAGCTTCTGGCATAGTATTATAGGGCACACAAACCCATTAGTCGTGAAAGCTAACATTGGAGGGGAAGAATCTGATCTCTTACCTCTTAAGGCCTGTTTCAGCGCAACGAAATACCTTAACGCCGGATGGCCGCTCTAAATATTCACGTGCGCGCCATCGTTGTATCTACGCTGAGACTAAACCGGACTCGCACTTCACCCGGACCCTCTTCACCACTAAAACTACACACTTTGTAATAATATCAATTATAAATCACATCACCTTTAGAATGCAATCAAGTTAAACAAGTCTAACGTGCCCCTAAAACTTCTTATATATAAAGCCGAGCTCCGAAACCATCCTAACTAGTGAAGCCCACCCTAAGCACATAACCTATTACTTAGGGACCGAAATTTCAGCATAAGGCATCAAGATCCATGTGAGAATCACCTCCAGGTCCAGGTAATCGGGCAGTCCTACTTAGTTGCTGGGATGTATCAGACTTCCGTTGAGTTGACATCAGTGTCATTGTATTAAGTGAACATGAGCTGGCTGTCCAAGGGTTTGTTGTCCAGGCTTTGGCCCTTCGTACAGCATCTGTATTTTGCCCTAAATTCCTAAAGACTCCGTCGCTATGCTATTCTCCCACCCGCTATGCAACATGCCCATGCCGTCTGGTCGAGACGGCCAACGTTAAAAACGGCCTGCGAATGCATGCCCACCATCCACGGACGTCTCATCACAACCTGAGCAAGTCCTGATTCTTCGGCACCCTGTAGATAGCATCCGCCATCTTCACCACCCTCGCCATCTCCTCCACATCATGCACTCTGACGATGCCCGCTCCCCCCGCCACAGCCGCCGTCACCGTCGCAGCAGTCCCCGCAACTCTCTCGCTGGCCTTGCCGACCCCCGTGACCTTGCCGATGAAACCCTTCCTGCTAGTCCCCACCAGCCACGGCAAATATTTCATGCCGAAACCGGTCGTGAGGCGAGGCATACTGCGGAGGAGTTCGAGATTCTGCTCCGTCGTCTTCGCGAACCCGATCCCTGGATCGAGGATGATGCGCCATCGGCGGATACCCGCTGCTCGTGCTGCGTCGAGTCTCTCCCTGAGTTCCGACGCGACCGTTTCGACGACACCTCGCGGGTATGAGGTGTTCTCGTCGTTTTGCATCGTGTGTGGTGTGCCACGCATGTGCATCATGACATACGTACAGCCCAGTTGCGCAATGGTGGGCAGCATTTCTGGGTCGAGTATGCCGGCTGATATGTCGTTGATGATGTGGGCGCCAGCGTTGACGGCGGCTTCGGCAACGGAGGCGCGATAGGTGTCAACCGAGATGGCCACATTGGAAGCCTCAGGAAGGCTTTTGATGGCCTCAATCGCAGGCAGTATGCGTGCGATTTCTTCTTCGGCCGTTATGTCTGGGGCGTTCGGCCTGGATGATTGGCCTCCTATGTCGATGATGGCGGCACCGGCGGCGATATGCGATGCTGCGGTAGCCTTGAGTGCTTCTTTGTCTGCCGGGGGATTGTCTCCGCCATCTGAAAACGAATCCGGCGTGACGTTCAAGATGGACATGATCAAGGTCTTTCGCCCCGGATCCAGGGATCGTAGAGGGTCAAGAGATGGAGCGAGAGGCGTAAGAGGGTACATTGGCGTAGCAGATGGCGGAAGCATGGCGAGGTGCGATCGCATGCTTCGGCGCGTTACTGGGTGTACAAAGCGTTCGGCAATGCTGCTTGATTGTTAGCAGGCGTCGGAATAGGTCTTGCAGCAAGCCATACCTAGACAAAGGTCGCAGCACGAACTCGCGCTCCAACATCAGTCGATGAGGGATTATCAGGCGATCTGTACTAAGCTGTCGTTGGCCGTAGGCCACGATATCAAGGTCAATATTTCGAGGACCTTTGTCGATAATCTTGACACGACCAAGGCCATTCTCGATAGCCTGCAATTTGTCAAGCAAATCCATGGGCTCAAGTGAAGTGTTGATCTGTTGCCATCAGTCGAAGAAGAGTATGCGTAATAGGTAAATGAGGCCTTACCTGGCAAACTCCATTCAGGAATCGATTCTGGTCCTCCACATACATCGGTTCTGTCTCGAATAGCTCACTGGTCTGGACAATTTCCAGATCGGGATCTTCGTCAATTCTCTTACAGGCACTCTCAATCGCCGCGAAGCGATCACCGACATTGCTGCCAAGGGCTATGAAAATACCATTTTGCAAGCCTCGGACGTACGCCTGGTTCTGCTTCATTCTGACGGCCCATTCCGGTTCAATGAAATTGTCCAGTGCCTTCGCTAGTTGACTTTTAGACCCTGCGATCGGTTCGAATTTGGCTACTGCAGGCTCGGATGATGGAGACGCATCTGCGATAGTCACTGCCGGATCTTCATCTTTCGCACAGTCGATCTCAAGCTCTAGGTCGTCGTTCTGCTCACGTACGTTGGCTTGGTGTCGCTGTGTGACCACGACCTCAACTTCTCTGGTGTCAGGGTGCTCGCTCATTGACCCTTGACTTCCGGTTTGCCATCTAGCCACGGCCTGGAGTGAGACTGCCGGATCATTGCCCTGAGACGCAAAGTGATTATTCAAATGCAAACGATCGAGTCGCAAGACCGGCGTTCGGAGTTGAATAACACGCAGGAGGGCTTCTGCAATTGTCGAGGTAGCGTCTTCGCGGGTGTGGAAAGTCATCTCGGCGCAGAAGCGTTGGACCACCATGGTAAAGATGTCCGCAATGTAGTCGATTTCATCCTGGATTTTAATGCCGGCCTGAGTAGGAGTTGCGGATCTCAAGGCCTCAGAATCGGGCAAAGCCATGATGGTCAGCGAAGATACCGGGATGGACTGCTGCCCAGGACCTGCTCCTGAAAGGCTGCATTGCAATCTCTCGAGTCGAACAGGAGTCAAAATGATTGAAATTTTGTCTGGCCCATCTGTCCGTGACTCCACATGATGCCCGAACGACGATCCAGGTGAAGAGCGCATCAGTCGTTTTTGGAAGACCATTGAGTCCCTGCTACCAGAGGGCAAGGATCGCACATTACGTGATATGGCATCCACATAACAGGCAATTCCAACGTGTGGCGAGGAGGCACAGTTGCGTCTGAATTGCTCAAAGACAAAGTTCCGTTCTGGGACATGTGAGCCATAGAGCTTTGCCCCGTGACGAAATACCTTGACACGAGGGTTACAGTGTATGCCAATCTTGTCTCTCAGCCAAAATAGTCTACATTATCGGGTCGTCAGTAGGGGGATAAAGATGTAGACACATGACCGACTGACAGCTCGAATCTGGCGCTTGCTAGTGAATCTGTCGTCTCAGATCTCTTCGGAGCATGCGTCGAGAAGCGATTGAATGGTGCTGCATTTGTGCGCTTCAAAAACAACATTCGTCCTCGTTCGATTGCTGCATCACCGGTAAAGACTGAACGAAGTGCCCCGGTATTCATGATGGTGCAAATGGGGACGAAATGAAGTCGGAAGGGGAAGTGCCGGACCAGCACGACTCGAGCCTGGGCAGCAGCATCTGAAGGTATGCTGCAGTCCTTGAGTAGGAGGGAGGCGTGCCTTGCGGGAGCGGAAATGGCGGTTCGATGGATGCGGTGCTGATATGAGCTCAGACATGTCGTTCGCGGTGGATTAGTTTCTTCGGCTGCTCCCGCGTGCCGAACTAACTCCGGGGGCAGTCACATGCGGGAATGTCCGTGAATACATTGCTTAAACATTAATCAAAATCGACGGCTGCCTCACTGTTGAATTGAACGAGAAACGCAGCCGCGCCAACAAACGCTCTGGTAGAGAAGTCGAGCCATGTGGCTCCCCAGAATCAACCCCAGATCCCGTGGTCGTGTGGGAGTCTGAGATCACCAATCAGCAGACAACCTTAAGCGTGCCTCGGCCCAAACGCAGCAGATCGGCTGTTCGATGCACTCCACCCTGGCTGTCGGCTCATGACTTGGATCAGCGACGTCGACCTCTTCTTCTTCCTTCACATCCCTCCATCCACACACCTCCTCCGAGTCTCTACTGACTAGAACAAGATCCTCCTTTCCCTTCACTCAGCGTTGAACCAAAAGCACAACCGCAATCATGGTGGGCCAAGCGAAATCCTCCCCTCGTACGCAGTACCACTACCCAACCCGAACACCACCACCCAGAACTAATGCGTATGCGTGACACCAGAGCAAATCCGCACCGTCACGACGGACCTCCTCAAGATTAACCACCCCGTCATGCTGGCCGGCATGAACGTCGCCGCAGGCCCCAAGCTTGCCGCCGCCGTCTCCAACGCCGGAGGAATCGGTGTCATTGGCGGTGTTGGATACACTCCAGACATGCTCCGGGAGCAGATTGCAGAATTGAAGGGCTTCCTCGATGATAAGAATGCGCCGTTCGGTGTGGATCTCCTCCTGCCGCAGGTCGGTGGTAGCGCACGAAAGACCAAGTAAGATATACATCATACTTCGTCGTAAACCAGGACAATGGCTGACTCGCATGTCCGCAGCTACGACTACACCAAGGGCAAGCTCAACGAACTCGTCCAAATCACCATCGACTCCGGCGCCCGCCTGTTCGTCTCCGCCGTCGGTGTCCCACCCAAGGAAGTCGTCGACAAGCTCCACGCCGCCGGCGTCCTCTACATGAACATGATCGGCCACCCCAAGCACGTCAAGAAGTGCCTCGACCTCGGCGTCGACCTGATCTGCGCCCAGGGCGGTGAGGGAGGAGGCCACACCGGTGATGTCCCAACGACCATCCTCATCCCCGAAGTCGCCAGACTCGTCAAGGGCCACAAGAGCCCTATGACCGGCCAGCCCGTGCAGGTCATTGCCGCAGGTGGTATCTTCAACGGCCAGACCCTCGCAGCAGCCCTCTCGCTCGGTGCCAGCGCCGTCTGGGTCGGAACTCGATTTGTCCTGTCAGAGGTAAGCTTGTCCATCCCTCGGCAGATTTGACAAACAATCACTAATCACCCTCACCCCACACAGGAAGCCGGTGCCCCACGCGCCCACCAAGAAGCCGTCCAAACCGCCGGCTTCGACGACAACGTCCGCACCATCATCTTCACCGGCCGTCCGCTCCGCGTGCGCAACAACCCCTACATCCAAAACTGGGAAGAGAACCGACAGAACGAGATCAAGGAGTTGACCTCCAAGGGCTCGATCCCCGTCGAGTGGGACATTGAGCGCCTGGGCGATGATGTCGACGATGATACTATGGATAACGCAAGGCCGTTCTTGATGGGCAAGGCGTCGGCGGTGGTCAATGAGAGGAAGAGCGCCAAGGTGATCATCGATGAGATGGTGAGCGAGGCGGTGGGTGTGATTAACAGCAACAATTCGTTGGTTGTTAGCAGGAGCAGGTTGTAGGGGACGATGGAGGGATGGATGGATGCGAGATAGTTGACGAATGTAGCACCAGCATGTAACGCCAGTCCTCTTCTGCTATCTGACACAATTCCTGATTCGTGTTTCAACTTTCCACCGACGAAGTATCCGAACTCTCATCACTTGACACGACATTGGTCGCCTCCGGTTCCTCTGGCTCCTGTTCCTCCTCTGGCTCCAGTCCCTCTAACTCCTCAGGCTGGTGACCCGCCTCCTCCACATGCTGGAGAAAGTCCTGGGCGACGAAAAAAATCTCATGGCAATAGGTGCAGGGATAAATCTCCATCGCAGCAATGTACTCCTCAGCAGTTGGTGAAAGCTGCTGCGGCTCCGGCTCCGGCGCAGCCAGAGAATGCCCCGTGTTATCAATATGCTTGCCCAGACTCGATGGCCCTGAAAACGTCTGCCCGCACACCGTGCATTGATATGTATTCGATGCTTCGTTGTAAGCTTTGAAGCCGTGTGGTGGACGATGGCCGGACTCGGCCGTGTGCGTCAGGGAGTCCTGTTCGCGGATGAAGCTGCGTTGGCAGGTGATGCAGACGAAGAGGTCTTGGCGCGCGATTGTCCGTTGGTCCTATGCGTGGGCTGAGGCGCGGTGGGCGTCGCGGGCCGGTGGGAAGTGGTGGAAGTTTTGCTCGACGTGGGATTGAAGCTGCGCGTAGTCGGGGAAATGCTCGTGGCATAAGTTGCAGTAGAAGGTGGGTGGGAGATTGGGGTCGACGGCTTGAGGCTGCTGGTTCAAGGAGGGTAGGTGGTGGTTCGTCTGCTCCATGTGCTTGTAGTAGTCGTCAAAGACTTGGAACTCCCGCTTGCATACTGTGCACGTAAAGCCCGAGCCAGCAAGGGAGTCGTTTCGAGTGGACAGCGCGTCGCCAATTCGGGGGCCAGCGGTCAATGTCACAGGTTGTCGCCGTACTGCTTCTGCTCTAGACACGGCTCGATTGACCATTTCTAACAATGCCCTGCGGCGCTGTTGTTCGCCCCGTATCGCACTCTTCTCCCTCAAATACATGCTTAAGTTCGGTGCAGAAACCATTTCGGTAGGGCTGCCGAAGAATTGGTTCTCTGGGGTGCTCATGTCGGCGTGCCTAAGCCTTTTGGTTGGACATGCCATGCTGAGATGTCGATTGGGATGTGCTGTAGCCTTGGAAAAGACAGCGAAGGTGTCAAGGTGTTGACCACTTGCTCACGGTCCGCAGTTTCTGCCCCATGTGTGAGGCAAGTCCCTCTTGCCTGTCCCTCCCCATGCTCTTCTTCTTGTCACGCGTCTGCGCCTTCTACTTCTTCTCACGATCCACCATATGGATCTTCGGTACTGCCTCTTGCAGCCTCTGCTTATCTTGCTCAGTCGCTTTGAACCCAAACGTCTCTTCTGCCTTGTCGGATGCCCAGAGGCCGAACACAGCGTACGCCATGACTCCACCGCCGATGAGCATTCGCGTGCGTGGAGAGAGGTTGCGGTAGGACCTGCGATTCGTAAGCTTGTGAAACATATGCGCGATCTGTACGCATTGACATACTGCCACAGCGACATCTTGCGGAGACTTCAGGTTGGGCGGTGCAGGTAGGTGAGGTTGGAAAGAAGTCGCAAGTGTTGAAGGTCCTCTATCCTTGGCAGACAGGGATGCAGGAGCTTCAAAACTCTATTGCTTTAATCCAACATTCACTCACGCTTGCAGGACCGGAAAGACACTCGACGAACATCATGGCAACATTTCATGAATCGCAGCGCCGCGCGGCCACGAACAGTGCGATGCACTCCCTACAGCAAGAGTTCAACATAGCGTCTCATGCTAAAACAACCTTTGGACCATCTCCTCGGACGGCGTGGCAACCTACACCCGCCCACGGAGGTCGACCGATACTAAAGAATGCACTTCGACCTTCTGCTTCTTGTCCCTTCCTTGACACCTCCTTCTTGCTTCTCTTGCCCCGGCGTCTGGATTCTATGATCGATGCCGAACGAACGCCCACCCCGGTCTCGCGTGCCAGGCTGAAAGTCGGCAGTGGCCACCCGAGTCAAGAAATGACTTCTCTTTGTTCAAGATACCCACTATTGCTCCTTTTTGCCGGTGGGTACAAATGGAAAGCGATTCGCAGGTCTTTTCTTCGATTCCTTCTCTTCCACCTCGAAGGCCCTGAGATCCAAAGCTCTTTGGAGATCAGTGTCAACACGTCCTGACTTGGACTCTGGAACGAAATCGATGATGGAGCCTGGCCAATGGAGATACTTTTCCGTCTTTCAACCTGGATGACGGACTGGTTCGACAAGTGATCATTCAAGGAGACTATCTGGTTGACATAACGCTGCCGGGTATACATTCATCATCAAAACAAGAAAAAGCAATCAGCCGATCCATCAACTCATCGACTTTACATATCCTTGGCCAGCTTCGCCACGGGCGGCGTGTACTTGTGCCTCGCCCAGACACCGTAGTAAATTGCAGCAACAATGGCGACACCTCCATAAACCGCGCTTGCCCAGTTCATGGTCTGAAGGGTCGGGTTATTGAATAGCGGGAAGAAGGCGAAGAGGTATGCCAAGATGATATACGCCTCGCCGATGATGTTCGATGCCCAGCCGAGTGGGACTCCCAGGCTCCAACGACAGGGAAGCAACTGTTCGCCGCGAATGCGCTTGATCAAAATGCAGCCGATGGAAGTCATGTACGACGTCAGCAGAGCAACAGTTCCGAGCGAGAGGAGAGCGTTGAATGTGACGGTGCTGCCCAGGTTGATCAAAGACAAGATGCAGGTGATGGTGAAGCACACCATGACGGCGTTGAACGGGATATCCCAGCCTGGACGGACGTGACATAAGACCCTGGCGAACGGCAGGCCGCCGTCACGGGCGAACGCGAACATCTGTCGGGAGGCTGTGGCAACATTGCTGATGGCTGAGCAAAGCGTCAAAATGATGATGATGCAGGTCATCACTGTTGCACCCGCATGGGACTGGGTGGCGTTGTAAAAGGTACCAATAAAGGCGAAGTTGTACTCCGGCATCATGGCAGCGTCGATGGGGCCCAGGGTATAGGCGAACGTGATGGTCATAATCAGACCAGTAATACCGTTCGTAATGAGGGTCGACACCATGGCCCAAGGGATCGTGCGAGAGGCGTCCTTGACTTCCTCGGCCATGTGCACGCAAGCGTCCGGTCCAATCAAGGCATAGATGGGTCCAGTGAATGCGACCAAACCCGCAACCCCCATTGTCGGCCATTCGGCGACCTGGGTCCAGTTCAGCCAGACATCGGCGCTGCTGGCCTTGGGGCCAAACACCCACAGCGGGATGAGAATGGCAAAGAAACCGAAGACCAGCAGGATCAGAACAAGACCCTCCAAGAGCGGCAATCTCTTCGCGAGGAAAGTGTTGAAGACAACCGCCGTCGAGACAGTTGCGATGGTCAACAAGACAGCATGCCACGGCTGCGGAACATAGCTCGCATCGTTGAGAACGATCAAGCCCTGGATCTCACTGGCGACAGTGAAACATTGGCCTGCGATGCCGGCTTGCCATCCCAAGACGCAGAACCAGCCGACTAAATAGCTGAGCAGCTTTTGGCATCGCTTTGGAGCGAATTCGCTGACCCAGTGATATTGTCCACCGCTTGTTGGAGCCATGGAGGCCATTTCCGCCATCGAGAGGATTGCCGCGCCGAAACCGAAAAGAGTGACAATGTAGATCCAGATCATTGCTGGTCGGCCGCCATTGGGGAGGATGTAACTGGCAGAACTGCGCGACAATTAGTCCTGAACTCTGGCCATTGGAATTCCTGATCGATGCTCACCTCAATACAGACGCCCATGTCATCATCAACACGGCTGCGAAACCGAAGATGGGGATGAAGCTGAAGTTCCGCTTGAATTCCTGCTTCTGTCCCATACGAGCCATGTCTTTCCTGTCGGCCGCCGTGCCTGCCTTCTCAGGCGGCAGGTCAGTCGTCTCAAAGGCCTCATCGGTGGTGACATTGCTGGCGACCTTGCTCTCGCCATAGGCGCCGTAGGCGTCTCGATGCGACATGTTGGACGGGGTGTAAACGTGCAAAAGGGTCTCGGGCAAGCAGTTGAAACAAAGAGTGGGAGGGAAGAGGAAGTTGAACGAGAAAAACTGCTGTCCCGCCCGGCCTCGCAACGAACCCACGTGGCGAAAGAGCAGCTGAACAAAAGGTTATCAAATAATATATGGACCAGCTCTGTCAGACCATGCAGATGCGCGAAAGGACCAAAAAGAACGAGTCTGGGACGGAGTGAAGTTTAGGAGGAGCTGCGCGATCAAGTCGTTCAACCTTCCGACCAAGGACAAGCCTGATGCTACGATGCCTTCTCGGTACACCCAAGCGCAGAGCTTCCACCCGACGTGGGGCTCATACTCTGGCTCTAGCAGGAGCCGTTAACCCTGTGCTGCAGGGGTCGTACCACGCCGTGCCCAGGGAGCAAGGTCAGGCCGTTTCGAAAATTTCACCAATTGCTCGCCTGTCTCTCTCCGGCAGTAAGCGCGATGTCCAACGGCTTTATTCATTTCTGGCTCTTGGTGCTGCTAATTCAAGGACTTTGAGGATCTCTAACTTTCTGGATCGGCAAGGCCCATCCGTTGAGGAATAGGAGAACAAGGCTGAGGAAGAACCGCTGATAGCGCCGACTTCCCTGTTGCTTCCGGCCGGTGGTCTGTCTGGTCTCCAGAACTCCGAACGGTCGCTTCTTCGACATGTGGAAGACACGCTTTGGGACGTGACGGGCCCCCAATGCGCTCGAGCACACCTCGGGAGGCGTCCCGGCAGATGAAGCTTAAAGCGCTCCCTTCGAGCTTGGCTAGCTGGCGGGGACGAGGGCTGCAGCAGCCACTCTCAGGGTTCTCCGCCGATCTTCTCTCCTTCGAGGTGACACGAGTTGCTGCCCGCCGAGTTTCGCAGTGCTGTGCCGTCGAGTGTAGCTGCGTGACACGATTGCTATTGCATATGCAGCGCGGAGGCATACGTGAACTCTGGCCGAGCGAGGGTCTCGCCAACTCAAAACGAACGACACTTTGAAGGAGGGAGAAAAGCTAGTCAGGATCACGACAGATCTCATCCCGCTTCTGCTCTCGTTGCTGCTCCGTCCTATCCTGCTCGTCGAAGGATTTGAGCCACTGCACTGGCAACCGGGATGAAGTCGCTTGTCACCCGCCGCCCCTGGCACAACAGCTAGGAGAGCTGGGCCCGCCGAGAGCCGGACATGGAGGGGGGGTTCACATCAGCGCACGAAAAATGCTAGCGGAAGCACGAATCCGTCGCCAAGTCTGTGATAGGGAGCCATGGTGATCTCTCGCATCGTGGTTCGAAGAAGGGGTACCCCCTCGTCGTTGTCCACACGCTTGCACGCGTTGCAAACTTTCCGCCTATCAATACAACCCCTTCCCGGATCTGCGAGCTTGGACCGACAAAGTCGCAGAGACCGTCAGGGCGCCTTCGCTTGGCTGAAGTATCATTTTGAGCTAGTATACCGGCACCGCTTTCGATTCTTGCGAACAATGCACGCCACCATTTAGACGAGCACTGCTGCTGCTTGCCTTCGCTCGCGACGCCCTTGGCTCGACTTGTACGACAGTTTTTGGAGTTTTAACACATCACATTCCTTTCCACCGCGACGAGAGCTCTCGCGAGAGCCCGAATACCCTCGAGATGTCTGCTCCTCCTCCCCCGCCGACGCTCCCCGACCTGGATTCCGGACCGCGCAGCTTCATCACAACCGATCAGGACCATGGAGGCATCGCGCTCACGATTTCGACGTTGATGGCAACGTGGGTGGTGCTGTGCTTCTTCGTGCGTATCTACATGAGAGCGACAGTCTCCGGCCCCTTCGGAATGGACGACATTGTGTGCAGCATAGCGACGGTATGTCTTCGGGGTCATTTCGCAAATGCGCAACTGGTCTAACACGCCATTCTGCAGATATTCGGCGTCATACAAATGATCGTTTCCTCGGCTGCTGTGTCTTTTGGATTCGGAAAAGCGCTTGAACTGCTGACCGAGGCGCAAATCGATCAAGCTTCGAAGGTATGGAAATTGATGTTCTGCTTGACCGCGCGTGGAAAGCTGACTTCGGCAATAGGCGGTGTATGCGGCGCAACTGCTCTACATTGTCACGAACACTCTAACAAAGTGTACTGTTGCGCTTCTGCTTGCGCGCATCGTTTTCATCAAGAGCCGTGTCTACGCTTGCTACGGAGTTCTCGCAGCTTCAGTCGTTTGGGGCGTGGGATCGTTCCTTGCAGAAGCCATTCGATGCACAGGTAGCCCGCCTTGGAAGACTGTGGGATCGCAATGCAGCAATCTCGTGCGTATGCTGGTGGTCAAGGACAAGGATTTTGTTTACTGACTGGTAGTAGTTCCTCGCGTGGCAAGTGATCACTGCCTTCAATGTAATCCTTGAGGCGGTGCTCCTTGCAGTCCCTGTTTGGCTTGTTTGGGGCCTGCAAACTGATCTCATGAGGAAATTCACCGTAGTTGCTGTTTTCTGGCTACGATCACCGTATGCGCTCACTAGCTCTCTAAGACGAACACAATTGCTAACTACTCTACAGAGTTATCGTCGCAGCACTCATTCGCATTCATTTCCTTGGAAACACAATCGGATCTCCCGAACCTCTACTCCGAGGCGTCGTGCCATTCATTCTCCTGAACGTGGAGATGCACTACGGCCTCATGGCAGCCACAATGCCTACGCTCAAACCGTTCGTTGGAGCTTTCAATACCGGCTGGGGAACATACGACACCACCGGTCAAAGCGGCTACGGCCAGAATAGCAGCGGGTCGTATGCCATGCAATCCCTGGACAGGAGGAGCAATAAGAGCAAGAAGGCAGGGTCCAAGCAGAATAGTGCCCTGAGGAGCACCGACAGAGACCCGCCCTCGTTCAGCAAGAACATCACACATATCCGCTCCATACCAGTCAGGGATGCCGACTCACCGAGAGCGCAATCGGCGGAGAGCTCGGAGTCGCAACAGATGATTATCCGTCAGACACTCACAACAGAGGTGCATTACGAGGAAGAGGAGGCGCGGCGGCGGGAACTCAACTCCAGCAGGGGGAACGACTCGATTGATTACAACTTGCATGTCAAGCAACAATGAGCACGGCTTTGAATGATGCTTCTTCGATTCATCTTGTACAGGATACTAGGGCATGATATCCAGGGCTTTACAGCGCGACCGGCGTCAGCATGAAAGATTGGGGACTTCTCACTAGAGGCAAGGCGTTACGGGAGTTTATCATCATGAGTCTTGCACTGTCAGCGATATGGCGGGGATGCTGTGAATCGTTGTACGCAGAGAAGCATGTCCCAAGTGTCTGGATGCAACGCGCGGAAAAGATACCCAACCAAATTCGATCTATCCTATGAAATCTTCGAAATCTAGACTCATGTCCACGTTTTGCCCGTCTTGTTATTACTCGCATCGTCCATCCCTACGATTGCCTGACAACGCGGTCGTGCAGCACGCGCAGTGCAAAACTCCGGCTCGCATGCTCTGCTATTTCCAGCAAACGCACGCACGCGACCCAAAACGCGAACCGACTCGTGAGCAACCCACAACCCACCCTCCCTCGCCACCCCTCACTCTATCTAACTTTCTGGATAGACGAGCAAGAACCCGCGAGCGCCGGGCTTCGCTGTTGCCAACGGGTCGAACGGCAACGACCAACAAACGAAGAAAAGCGGTTGAGGCCCGAGGGAGTCTGGTAGGAATCAATGTTCCTGCATATGTGTTTCAGATTACGTTCGGTTGTGGCTTGTGATCGCCCCTGAATCCCTGCGGATGCGGGTGTGGTTTTGGACGCCTGGACGCCACGTTTTTCTTTGGGATGGGGTTGGCTTTGGGTACTTCGAAAGTGAGTCGGAGAGGAGTTGGCTTTTGGTACTCTTGGATGGGGTGTGGTGACTCCTGACCTGAAAGTAGGGGATTTGGGGCTTGGTGAGGGCTTTTGGTGGGATGTGGTGAGAAGAAGTTGATAGACGGTGTGGGAATTCCGGGATCTGTGTGAGAAGTGGGAAGTGAAGCCTCCCAGAGGAGCATGCTTGTGTCAAGACTGATGCTACAGTAGAGACAGAAGTTGCGTGTGGTGAAGTCCTGGTAAGTCCTCCTTGCTTCAGCTTCTCATCCGTTCCAACGTCCTCACCAGCGTCCATCCAGCCTTTAAAGACCACTGCACGACTTCACTCCTGTATAGACCCCGCGACTATCCTCGCAGCCTATCTCCCTGGCCAAAAGCAATACTGGCCATCGTCTCCCCATCGTGACCTACCGCACCACCCGCCGACCTGACCTCGCTGATGTTGCAGAGTGTCATTCGTCTGGAGAACGGAGTCTGTCCGAAGCGCTGTTGTATCCAGTAGTCGCTCTTCGAGGAGAGGAGAGGCTGGCTCAAGGCCGTAGTAACCTCTTGATGTTCCACATACGCCGTATAGAGCATGGCTTGCTCTTACCTCGTTGTCTTGTTTTCTTTACGGTAGGAGATTCGACGGACATTGCGCGATTCGTTAATCCTACTCGAAATGTAAAGTCTGCCTGAAGTCTTGGTCTCACGCAAGAATGGGCTCGTAGCTGAGCGGTCAAAAGAGTATAACGAATAAGCTCTCACGTACATTTCTTTTACTTTTTGCCAACAACCCTGCCATCCAATACCATACTTCTGGATTGAGGACTGGCGACCCAATCGTCCACGTCCTTTCGCAACCTCTCCATATACTCATTGTTCTCGTTCCTCGCCTTCGCGAAACCGATTGCGCCCTCCGACATTGCGGGCAGCTCCTCTCTCTCGTTGTCAAATCCAGCACACCCAGCTTCAATCTGCCCCCATTCGAAACCCGCTTCGTGCATCCAGATATGGTTGACTTTACCAGCACCCTCGCCTCTCGCACCGCGGGCTCTGGAGTCCTGCCAGAACTTTTCCAGATTCTCGTTCATCAAGGCTGTTGCTCCGACGTGGTGGAGATGAGCCAGGTCTCGTATCCCGACCACGCCGCCTGGTTTGATGATTCGGTGCACATGGCGCAGTGACTGGACCGGGTGAACCAGATGGATCATGACTTGATGAGCATGAGCAATGTCGAAGGTATCATCCGGGTACTGGAGATCCTCTACATCGCCAACCACGAACTCGACATTGCTCACCCCTTCCCTTTCGACTTGAGCTCGTGCGGTGGCGATGGACTCTGTAATGCAGTCGTCAGATATACGTCTAGCTATTCGCCCCTATGTTGCTGATCCACGAACGTTCGCTGTGATCAATGCCAATGACAGAACCTTGAGGCACCCTCCTAGCAAAATCTAGGGTTATGGTACCTACACCGCAGCCAACATCAATGATCTTCGAATCTGGTTTGATGTAGCGGATAAGATGAGGCGCGCATTTTGCCACGTTGCGATTCTCAAAGAACTTCTTGAACTTGTCCCAATCGTGAGCGGCCATTGTCGAGGCGAGATGAGCGGTTCACAGCAGATTGAGGCGGATTGATTGTGGGGGGTTGGCAGATATGTTTATGGCACTGCATGGAGTCGCCGCGGCCATTTTGCGCGTCTCGCACCCATCGTACAACCAACTGATCGCAAGTGTCCCTCCAGCGATCAATCACAGTCACAGGGTTGGACCGGCATCCATTGGGCCCACCGGTGATGTCACGCTTCTCCTTAGCCAGCGAATTCGCAACTTGTGCCTGGTTGATGAAGGTAGTCTGTCCGCGTTCGTTTCTCGGACGGATTAAACGCAAAGCTCACCGGTTGCCCTACAGATAGGGCTGGAAAGTGTCACGTGACTATTTGTCTTGCGACTAGCCCGATCGACTCTTGGCGCTGTTTCGACCTCACTCCGTTTTCTCAACAGCGAACATTCACTTGATATACTTTTGATGCACGTGATCGTGCGTCAAAACGACTTGTGATTGGCCGATGCTGCGGTAAAAATGTCTGACCGCAGTCACGGGCTTTGCGCTTGCCTGGAATTTACCCTCTCCTCCTTCTGTTGAAATAGCCCTTCCACCCAGCATCTCTTGAAGTCGACCGCAGGGCATGACACCCGACACTTCTGGATTTGACTGTCACGCTGGCTTTCCATCCGGCCAACCCCAATTCCTTGATACAACTTCGCCATGGCGCGAACCACGTTTTTGGCGCATTACATCGAGTTCCTCATGTCGCCAGCCGGCGCTTTCGCCCTTCTGTTCGTCCTCCCGCTTGTGTTCTACATATACACGGAGGCTCGGAGACGCAGTAGAGGAGGCACATTCTCGATTCCAGGATGCCTGAGACTTGTGCGACAAGCCAAAAGCAATCTCGGCGATCAGTACAACTCTATCGCCCCGGAAGACTCAACGCCTCGAGTCAAGTCGCTCTTCGTCTATCCCGTCAAGTCCTGTCGTGGCGTGGAGCTCTCAGCATCCGAGGTCACTGGCACTGGTCTCAAATACGACCGACTCTTCTCTTTCGCCCAACTCGTTTCCAGCAAGAAGCAGGCTTCGGCTGATTTGGGAGGCATCAGCGAGGTCAACTCGGAGGTCTCTCATCAATGGCGGTTCATCACTCAGCGAGAGGTTCCGCGTCTTGCGCTTCTCTCTACGGAGCTCTGGATCCCAGATCCTCGCAAGACCGCAGCCACACCAATGCACACGAAGCTCAGCAGCAAGGTTGCCAATGGTTCGGTTGCTCCTGGTCTGACTTATAGAAAGGGTCAGAGCACCGAGAACGGTGTACCAAAAGCAGGTGTAGCGTCTCGAGACCATGAGTCGGCCGACCGCATCGAGGACTGGAGTGCCAACGGTGGATGTCTGGTCATTCGCTTCCCTTACGAGCAGTATGGCTCCATCTTCGGCAGTGCTACTGAGCTCATCACCGTCAAGCTTCCACTACAGCCCGGCCCTGAGAGAGCGAAGGCCAAAGCTTACACCTATGAGAGTATGGCCATCTGGAAAGACTGCCCCGAATCGGTCAACTTGAGCAACGAGATCGAGGCCGAGTCGCTTGCAAAGCTCAAGTACTTCCTTGGCGTCACCAACCCACTTGCGCTCTTCCGTGTGGATGACGGGAACTTGCGTGCAGTCACTCGCGGTTTGCCGAGGGATCTACCAGATGAGAAGTTCAAAGTCGGCTTCGCAGACGCTTTCCCGGTTCATGTTCTAAACATCGCCAGCGTGCGTGCAGTCGATGATTCGCTCCCTGGCGAAGCTAAAGTGAAGGGAAGTCTCGACTCCCGACGCTTTCGCGCCAACATCTACGTCTCTGGTCCAGCTGCCTTTGCTGAAGACAAATGGATGCGGATCTCTGCTGGACAACCGCTGATAGGCCATCGCACATCAGGAATCGCAGAATACCACGCTGCATGCCGTACCGCTCGCTGCACCCTTCCCAATGTGCACCCAGATTCCGCGATGAAAGACAGAAACGAGCCACATGCCACACTCAAGCGCACACGCCAGGTCGACGAAGGTGCGAAGCCTCATCCTTGTCTTGGCCTCTCCATGATTCCCCTCTTTCAGCAGGGCATCATTCGTTGCGGGGACAAGATTGAGGTGCTTGAGGAGGGTGAACATGTGTATGAGAAGATGTTCAAGTAAAAGGTGGGATTCTCCCCAGAGCTTGGGTTTGAGGCACGAATGCTTGTTTGAAGATGGATCGTTCATAAGTAGGTCGCTTTTTCAATAGTGTTCCCTCCGCGCTGTTGTTACTGCCTCCCTGAATTAAAGACTAACATCCAATAGCATGCCTATGCCACCTGCTGTGGCTGAACTGCCACCTCCTCAACCTTTGTGAAAGGTGCAGCAAACGCGTATCGCTTGACACCAGCACCATAGTCCTTGCCGGGAACTCGCTCTGCAGACAAGGTTAGAAACATACTCTAAACATGCAAATACATGACGATGCTTACCATGATCAGGCGGGAAGTTCTCCCGTCGATCGACATAGTATCTCGACCTCAGGTCCATCCCATCGGTCTTGGTATGATACGTTGCATATACGCTAGCCCTCGCCTTGTCGCTCTTGTTCGCCGCAGATCGATGTGCCAGATGAGAACCGAAGATCAAGAGATCGCCACTTTCCAATACCACCGGGGTCCAGTCTTGGGAGGTCTCCCATGCCTTTGAGATCCGGCCTCCTTCTGCCAGCTCTACGTTCATCTTATGCGACCCTCGAACAACTTCCACACAGCCGTTCTCGATGGTTGCCGGATCGACGGCCAGATTTGCAGTTGTGTGCTCGATCTCGCCGATGTGGTCATATGCTGGCGCATCAAGGTGAGCACCAAAGCCATTCCCGCCAGCGAGTTTGTAGTTGATCTTGTCCTTGAACAGAAGCATGTCGTCGCGAGTGACTTGCTTCAAAATACTCGCAAGCGCCTCGCCATGCAGCAGCGAGGTGAAACCTTCATGATAGTCAACAAAGTTCTCGGTCCTCATGAGTTGTCTTTCGCCGGTCGCAGTGATCTCGTCGTACGGCATCCATTTCCCGTTCTCTCTTGGCAGATTCCGGACTTCGTCTGTCCATTGCTGAAGAACTGTTGGATCGATCAGGCCATGCTCATGTGATCTGAGGACGAGGAATCCTTCCCGGTCGAAATGAGCGACCTGCTCGTCTGTGAGAGTGAGAGCTGCCATGGTAATGCTGCCGTCCAAGGACTTGTTGCCGTGGTAAACGAGATCGCGTGCTATGTTGATCTTCAGCAAGGCAAGGAGTCCGTTTGTCCTCTTATTATTGACTTCCTTCGTACTGCACCTTCCCGATGTAGAGTATGTCTCGCCGGCACGAAAACCGATACACGTGATTGGCGGAGTTCAGGGCAAGGTTTTGCAGACGGCATCCATAGCGAAAAGACTTTACGGTCTTCTCGCCGAAGCAACTCCTGTACGACACAACTCTATGGCGCTCCCAGAAACGGACACTTCACCTATTGGCCTAGCGGCTTTCCCTCCGTAGAAAGTCGTCCAGCACATCCACGCGCAACGAGAAGGATCATCACTGCACGCCATGCAGGAGACGGACAACTCTTTTTCGATTTAGACTTTAGGCGACTATGCTGTTGGGAGAAGATACATACATCTAGAGGACCATCTTGGCCATTAGCATCATGGCTTCATCTCTCTATCTTCTCTACGCTCTGCAAGCATCACGATGGCAGTCGCAGCAGTCTTGCCCTCCGTCGAGGCAAACGCTCAAGAAACCATCCGTGAGCTCTTCGAGTTCATCGACAAGCAAGGCCAAGGCGATTATCTCGGTGAAAGAGTCTCCCAGCTTCAGCACTCGTTGCAAGCAGCCACATTAGCTCAGCAGGCTGGTGCGTAGCCTATCAGACACTGTAATCCTCCAGGATCATCACTGACTTGAGACGTAGGTGCCGATGAGGAAACCGTCCTCGGTGCCCTCCTCCACGACGTCGGCCGCTTCATCCCAGCAGCCGACAAGATGGCCTCCATGTTCGCTGAAGATGGAACCTACGTCGGCAAAGCGAGCCACGAGATTCTTGGTGAAAGGTATCTTCGTCAGCTGGGCTTCAGCGAGAAGATCTGCCAGCTCGTGGGTGCTCACGTCATGGCAAAGAGGTACCTCACTGCCGTTGATAAGGGCTATTATGATGGTTTGAGCGCAAACAGTAAGACGACGTTGAAGTATCAGGTTCGTTGGTCATCTATTCACCGATCGTCGATGTGTACTGATGAGGTGTGATAGGGAGGCATTTTCACGGACGAACAAGTCAAAGCAGCCCAGCAAGACCCTTGGCTGGAGAACAAGCTCGCCGTCCGACGATGGGACGATCTGGCGAAGAATCCAAAGTTGAAAACGCCCGAGTTGCAAAGCTTCGCGGCGAGCGCCACGAAGTCTCTAATTCAGTCTCGGTCCCAGATCGAGCTTCATGGACGACGGTACAAGGTTCCAACACGGCCGTCTGTAGTCGTCTGCGTGGATGGCTTCGACCCAGAGTACCTACAGCAAGGAATCTCGGACGGCATCCTGCCCAACTTCGCAAAGTTCACATCCAATGGGTTCCATGTAACAGCGAAGAGCTGCATGCCCTCCTTCACCAACCCAAACAACGTTTCAATCATCACAGGCAGACCCCCAAGCTACCACGGCATCGCAGGCAATTTCTTCCTCGACCAGAAGACAGGCGAAGAGAAGATGGTCCTGGACGATAGTCTACTCATAGGATCTACGATCCTTGAGAAGATGTCGAAATTCGGCGTTCGTATCGCGGCGGTCACGGCAAAAGACAAACTACGCAAGATCTTGCAACACGGCCTCAGTAAGAACGCGATCTGCTTCTCAGCCGAGAAAGCAACCAGTTGCAACCAAGCGGAAAATGGCATCGCGGACGTGGAACATTGGCTGGGAGCCAAACAGCCATCTCAGTATTCTGGAGAGCTATCGATGTACGTACTGGACGCCGGCATCAGACTTCTGGAAGAAGACCGCGCGGACCTTTTCTACCTCACGCTGTCGGATTACATCCAGCACAAATACGCCCCTGGCTCGAAAGAGTCGAACGATTTCCTCTCTGCATTGGACGCCAAGCTTGGCCGTTTGGTGGAGCTGGGTGCTCTTGTGGCGGTCACTGGCGATCATGGCATGAGTGACAAGGGTAATTCAGACGGCAGCCCGAATGTTTTGTATCTGGAAGATGCGATTGCCGAGAAATGGGGCTCAGGACGAGCAAGGGTCATCTGCCCGATTACTGACCCCTTCGTTCGACACCACGGTGCTCTCGGGTCATTCGTGAGGGTTCATCTCTCGAAGAAGGACAATTTGGATGATGTTCTGCAATACTGCAAGTCTCTCCCTGGTGTCGAAGTTGCTCTCGAAGGCCGGGAGGCGGCAGAGAAGTACGAAATGTATCCGGACAGAGAAGGCGACATCGTTGTGATACCATCTAAGAATGTCGTTATCGGAAGCCGCAAGGACGAACACGATCTCTCGAATCTCGGTGGGCGCCGTCTGAGGTCTCATGGCGGGCTGTCAGAGCAAGACGTTCCACTCATCCTTTCAGAGCCAGCAAAGAAAGCGGACCTCTCCAAGCATTGGCGAAACTTTGATGCATTCGATTTGGTGCTCAATTATTGAGATCGGCGTGGCTGAGCTACATGTTTTGCATTGAGTTATAATTCAGATCGGGTTGATAATTGTTCATGGCATCTTGGTTGGACAGGAAGTCAAACTCGCCCATGAAGAAGTTGTCGAATGAGGCTCCGTTCCACTCACTTGATATGTTGAAAAGGCTGTCGTCGAATGTTGGCTGGCTCATGGTTACATGCGCATTTGAAGGGACAGGTCCTTGAATCTCCTGTGGATGGCACCGCTCGAGAAGGCTTTCTGCGCCCTTTGCAACGCTCACGAGCAAGTGCCGAGGGTGCATGTTGGAAGTGACGTCTTTCAGGACTGTGACAACGTCGGATACCAGACTTCGGATTTCGCTTGTGTCGACACGGACCGATGTTGCGTATTTAGTCGATACTTTGAGCACGAAGACCACCGCAAAAGCTATCATGAGGTCGAAGTACGTTGGCAAGCCGTTGAGAAAGCTCTGTATCTCAGTGTCTTGAACGACTGCTCGGAGAATCGCAGTAGCTGAGAGTACGGCCGAATTGGCGATTTCATCGATATCGAGGGCGACGTCTGGAGATTTGAAGCCCGGTCTGCCGATGCCGCGGAACGCCATACTGAACAAGTATAGCTTGGCGAAATGGTAATGCAGGCCGACACCCTTTCTGGGGTAATCGCCAACATATTCGTTCTGTCGAAAGCGCTGCGTCCAATCCGCCCTGACGCGGTCGAGACTGATGCTGAAGCGGCGAAGCGGCTCGATCATTGAGGCGTCAAGCGGTCGCTCCACATCAATGCCGAAGGTCGAGTAGATCTCTGCAGAGTCGTTAGGTCATGCGCTATCATGAAGTCATGGCAGGACGAAAGCATCGTGGAGTTCAGATCAATGCAGTGATGTACGAAGACCACAGATGAGTGTACTACTAGAATGCGGTCATGGAGATTGTAAGAAGTAGAAGGCACTCACCGGAGCCAATAGACCAAAACTGGACTTGCGAACACAATCGAGCGTCATCTTCTACGGCATGTTCGGTTTCGAGGAACTGCAAGGCTGCTCGGATGGCATCATCTTGCCTCGTCATAGGCGGTCGTCCATACGCCACTGAAAAGTGATGATCACATACGAAGACAAGATAGTACAATCTTGTCCGTTGGTAGTGAGTCTTATCCCCGTTCAAGGCTTTGAAGATGCTCCGATGAAGTTGAAGCTCGGTGGCGATGCGCACAGCGGCGGAGACGCAGGTCCAGGAGATACCACTAAGCCAGAAAGCTGCAACACAAAGTCCTCGAACATCATCGACATTGTTACGTCTGGAGAATGTCTGGGATGCGGCTATGGAGACGAATTCCTGGTAGCATTTCTCGAAGTCGGCTGTCGCCAGATGCAGAGCGCCAACCGCGCAGATAGCAGCCAGCAGCAACGGAGAAGCCTGTCGCACTTGGGTGAGATCTCTTCTGTCTCCAATAATGCGGTATAAGAAGTGATCCAATCGGTTTTGGTAGATGTCGAGGTATTGTTGAGCCTGGTCGACGGTGATAACACCACGAGTAATAATGTCTTGTTCGGCTCTGTTGGTCTCATTTCCAGGTATGGCGATAGGAGACACGACTGATCCTGGAATAGCGGCTGGGCCAGAATCCGGGTCCATCACGACCTCGAAGTTCAGCGGCGTGTGTTTCTCAGCCTGCGGCGATATCTGCGAGTGGGCTCGATGCGGAGTCGGTGCCTGTGTTTGCTCGGCAACATCATCCTCCTGGTCCATCTCATCTTCCAGAAGCTCGCCCAGAGAGAGATGGTTCGCCACCTTGCCGAGGGCAGATTCCAAGACTTGGATCTTCCGGGTCATTAGATGCTTCCAACTTGCATCGGATTCGAGAATCATTTGTAGACTCTTGTTGACCGTGCACGACAGCCCGCGCTTCTTGCAGCGTGTGCATGGCGGTTCTCCATCTCGCATATGGCATTTGATCTTTTGCTTTCGACAAGCGACGCAGGCCGTGATCTTTCGGGTGATATCAGGCGGTTTCCGATCGCCAAACTGGTCCCGCAATGCCAGTACGGCTGCAGGGTCTGACGGCGAGCCACTCATCCTGGTCGAGCGCCGTAGGTCAGCTCATAGTATCATTCTGCGTCCGGAAAGGTGCTTCATCGAGAGGTAAGGTCAGGATTGAAGGTCTGACCGGCCGTCGGTACGTTCAATGCACAATCGCCGCTAGTCAGCCTCCGTCGAACTCTGCAGGTGAAGTCAGGTCAAGCTTTGGAGCTAGGCCAATCTTGGCAGGCTGCTTTTGGCCAGCATTGATGGACGCGAGTCAATATTTGATTAGCCACTCGAACCACGTGCTTCGTCGTTTGGCGCAAACCTTTCGCTGTCGTTAACCACTTCACATCTTACGATCCCATCTGTTCCAATTCTACAAAGCAGAATGCAAGATGAACAGCGCCACATACCTCGAAACCGAACAGTCTTGCTGCACTCCGGACGGCACCGAACCCGGTCGTGGTAGTAGACAACTTCCCGATGGAAAGATCCAGTGATTAGAAAAGGACCATTGAACGTGGGATACATTCCTGTTCGGGACAGCAAAGTGACAAGAGCTCGAGCACAAGTGAAGAGGCGAAGACTGTTCCAGCTATGAAGTCAACCGCTATGGAATACACACGCTTATAGCCATACGCCTAAGTCAAGAATGGAAACATCGTCAGTCCTCTCGCCTTCTACCCAGGTCCCTTGGGCTTGGTGGCCCGAACAGAAATGTATCTCCCTTGTCCCCAATTACGATAAGCCTCGACCCCAGCCATGATATTGATGAAGCGATGTTGTTGGCCACAAAGCTTCAAGATCTCGTAAGGCACGGCGCCTATGATTCCGAAAAGCCTCCATAGAGGAAGCACGTTGTCCGTCATATCGTCGATCGTGGTGTGCCCAAAGCCGACTTCTCCAAGCATCTCCTCGTAGCTCCCCTCTTTCAACGTGTTCTGGCAATGCGACAAGCGTAAGACCTCTTGCAGCACCTCGGAGTCCCAATGGAAATCGGCCTCGTGAAGTACCAGGACGCCGCCTGGCCGGAGGAGGCGATAGAAGTTCCGCAACACCTTGACAGGATCATCGGCGTGGACAAAGGTCTCCATGGTGTAGATGCCGTCGAATGAATCGTCTTCGAAGCCAGAGAGGTCATGATAGTCGCCAAGCTGTACGGAAACGCGGTCGCTGAGTCCCCAAGATTCGATATTGTTCGTGGCTTGCTCCACATGCAAGGGCGTCAAGTCGATGGCATGTACCCGAAGACCTTGCTTCGCCATGTAGGCGGCCACCAAGCCCGACCCTGCCCCGGCGTCCAAGACCAAAGAGTCTTTTGGCAGATCCAGCCGCTGGTATAGCTTCTCTTCCATGACGCGCTGAGCCCGACCTATCGGGAAAGGCCACCACGTTCCTTTTGGCCAGAAGCCACAGTGTCGAGCGTTTCCGAGGAGTACAGCATAGCCGAGGCGAGACTCTGCACTCGTGTAGTACTCTTGAACCGACGGGTCGTTGGTGCCTTGGCTGGCCATCGTGCCTGATCGGGGTCAGTACTTGACAAGATCGGTTGTATTTGCATCAAAACTTGGACTTACCAAATAGCATGGCGACCACGAGGAATGCGATGCTCGTTAATATGACTTTCGCGGTCATTGTGGAGGTAATTGTTGAGAGTGCAAGGGTGAAGGAGGGTTTGCGCTAGTTGGTTGGAGATGTTTGCAGCAAACAGAGGCAGTGTGCGTCGTGTGAGGAACGCAAGTGCACACGAATTTGCTCAGTACTGTCACTTCATCACGTGCTATATCTCAACTGCACTAGAACTTGCCTTACACTCTGGCTAGCGAGCGTCCCCATCGCGGCCGGGCGAGGAGGTTGCCCAGGGCAAGGGGTTGAGGCCACGCTCATAGCGAGGGACTCGGAGTGCACTCACTCCCTTGCATGAGTATTGGAACCAAATACAGCCTTCAAGAAAATGTGTACCGGAACATCGAGAACGGTCAGCAACTTAAAGGTGCCCGGGCGCTCCTGCTAGCGCGAACGCTGCCAAGCGCATGTGACAATACGTGATGAGGATTCGGAAAGAACTTCAGCGACAATGTTCTCGGTGTAAGATTAATCAATTGGCCCCGAGAGGATCAACCTGGGGAATCAGACGACTATTGGCAAATCTGCTGGCGATCCAGAGCTGAGGTCGCTTGGAAAAGGGGTTTGGGTCACGCCATTTGACAGTCCACGATGGATCGCGAGATCTCTCTGTCTACACATTTCGCAGCACTAGCAAGTATATCGGCTCTTAAATCTACAACGAGAGTCGTCAAGTCGGGTCGCTGTGATCTGCTGCAGTCCGATCGCCCATGACTTGAACGTTGTTGCCCGAACCTCGTTCCAACTTGGACATGGAGACACGAAGACACGCTACCACACGAGTAGAAAAGGCGTTTTGCATGCAGCAGTGTCACCTCGATTGTGATTCACAGTAGATGGAGGCAACCTGTAACATTCTACTTCATGTGGCCTTTTTTGAAGGCGAAAGGTGATATGCTTCTCCGCTGCCGCTGCTTCCACATACACTACGGCGTGACCTCCAGTCACCGTGGTTGCACCCGACCCTTCAGGCTGTCGTCTTGCTTGTATGAGTATCAATATGCGTGAATGCTCCATCACGAAAATACAGAAGCAGAGACTTGTCTGCGGACAGGTTTTACTTCATGCTGCTCACTCTACTCGGTCCGGAGCTAGTCTTTGCATTGGCTTGCTGACAGTACTCGGCAGCACGTCGCTCGGCGCAAGATTTCAAACAAAGCAATGTGGTACTAGCAGGATGTTCGCGATGGACCGTCGCTCACGGATTCTACTCCAACACGAGTTGCATTACAGTACGCCCGCAAGCATCACCAGATCGAAGAACTCAGGACTCCAGAGTCAACGCCAAATGGTTACTTTCTCTGGTGGAGAAGGGGCACTTGAACTACCCTGACACTCCACGAGAAGATATCCGGTCAAGAAGCAAAGGTGGTAGACTTGGAAGGCATGTAGTCATTTGATCCGATCAGTACTATTATGTGCTGACCGCTCACGATTGTCACCATCATCCAAACCCTGTATTTCGTCCTTACGACACTAGCCCGCTCATTCCAGAAACTGGCCAGAAGGGAAACGAAAGGCGGTATCTCCAAGACAAACACTGCTCGACTTAATTAGCTGCGAACGGAAGTCGCTGCTTAACTCGTGCTCCAACCCCTCGAATAAGGCCAGGATGCTCAAACGGAGGCCCAGAGCGTCAAGTCACGAATTGGTTCTGTATAAGGACGGGACCTATGGTCCGAAGTTCCAAGACCGCCTAAGAAGCCATTAGTATGGATCTCCTACTAACAAATATCGAAGGATCAAGCTCCCTACCACGTGCTCCGTCCGTTGGCCCACATCCACCACCACCTGCCCTTCGACCCAGCACATCGCACCGCGAACACAAAGGACCCCGAAACCTCACTTCCATCCTCCTCTCACCCACCGGCAAGAAGACCGACCTTTCGATCCCAACCCCCAATGGCTTGCGACGCCTCTCGAAAGGGAAGGATTCGAGGAATCACGTCCCACGAGCCCCAGACGCCGAATAGGCCCAGAGTCCACATACACGTGGGTGAGATTTGACTTTCTTATCGAGCGGTGCTCCGTTGAGGGCCGCTGTGTGTGATGGTGAACCGTGACGGCTGGACGGCCGAACGGCCGAACGTGCCAAGTATCTGAGATATAGTCTGCTCGGAATGATATGGGTCTATATATGCCCCTTGGACGGCGGGAGAGAATGGTCTGTGGATGAGTGTGAGCAGTGCATTGACAGCAGCTCAGCATTGTTGTACTATCATTGAATCAATCGATCAATTCGATCCACAATGCCTACCTTCTGGAGCAACGTCAAGTTCCTCTCCATCGCAGGCGTAGGCCTCTTCGCAGATGGCTACCTCAACATCTCCATCGGACTCGTCGTCCCCATGATCGGATACGTATACTATCAAGACGACAAAGGAACAGTCCCCACCGTCTCCAGCGATGTCATCAAAGGCGGCCTGTCCATTGGCATGATCATCGGACAACTCATGTTCGGACTGTTCGGAGACGCTCTTGGACGACACAAGATCTATGGCAAGGAACTCATCCTGACGATCTTCGGAACGCTCATGCTCATCGTCATGCCCCCGAAACTCGACCACTCCGGCGTCGTGGCGTGGATGACAGTCTTCCGAATCATCACCGGCATGGGTACTGGAGGGGATTATCCCATGACCTCGTCCATCTCCGCCGAAACCGATCGATTCGGTTCGCGAGCCAAGCTCGTCTTGACCGTCTTCTCCTTCATCGGGTTGGGAAGCTTCTCGTCCGGCATCGTCTACATCATCCTCCTCGCGGCGTTCAAGGGATCGATTTACGATGCCCAATGGCATATCCAATGGGTCTGGCGCCTCCTCTTCGGGATTGGCTTGGTGCCTTGCATCGCGACGTTGTATGCACGTTTGACGATGAAAGAGAGCAAGCCTTACGAGAAGTATGTGTCGAAAGATACGGGGTTGGTTGGGAAGGATAAGCGCGGGTTGAAGGAGCAGTTTGCTGATTTCCGGGTGTACTTTTCGAATTGGAGGCATGCGAGGACGTTGTTTGCCGTGTCGTTTTGTTGGTTCCTGTTGTGAGTACTCCCCAGCTCAAACAACATTGGACACATGTACTGACCTGTTCGTTGTGTAGTGACATCGCCTTCTACGGTATCAACCTCAATCAATCCCTCATCCTCACCCAAATCGGCTACGGCAAAGGCAAGACGCCCTTCCTCACCCTCTGGCACACCGCCATCGGCAACATCATCGTTTCCTGCGCTGGCTACCTTCCTGGCTTCTACGTCGCCATCTTCCTACCCGACATCATCGGCCGAGTACGCCAGCAGTTCTACTCCAGCATCGTCGTCTGCATCCTATACGCCATCTGGGCTGGTGTGACGAACCACGTCTCGACGGGAGGGCTTATAGCCATCTTCACCATCTCTCAATTCGTCCTCAACCTCGGACCGAACGCCACGACCTTCTTGATTCCTGTTGAGGTCTTCCCCACCAGAGTGCGAGGCACGGCTCATGGCATTGCTGCTGCTTCTGGCAAGGCTGGGGCTGTGTTGACCGCGTTCGCTTTTGGTACGATCACGGAGAAGATTGGACTCAGTGGTGTTCTAGGTCTGTTCTCTGGGATTATGGCACTTTGTGCTGCTGTCACGCTGCTTATCCCTGAGACGAAAGACAAGAGCATTGAAGAGATTGAAGCAGGTGTTGTTTTCGGCGAAGCCCCCGAGTCGCAGGGAAGTTCTGAGATGGACGTCTCGTCTGCGGAGGCCGTTAAGATCACTGGTGACGGAAAAGTCTGAATACATTAACGTGATTTTCGAATACGATTTTTGAAGACCTCACGCCTTCTTTCAATCCTTATCCTCCACACCCACCATCTCACAAGAATCCCTCCACAACCGCCCCGCCAGCTGCACATCATAAATATACTCCTCATGCCCATAAAACGACGGCCGTCCCTCCGCCTTCTCAATCCCCTTCCGACTAACCTGACAATCCTCGAGATACAACCCACCCTTCCCCTCCAAAGCCTTCCCCACCGCAGCCCACACCTGCGTCGCCGCGCCCTGCCCCGTATTCTTCATAACCTTCGTCGTCGCCTCATCAACCTCCGTCAACCGCTCCCGCAACCCATCCGCCTCGCCCTCTTGATGCCGACTAATCCCCGTCTCGAAAATCACGCCGGGATGCACGCTCCACGCATGCAAGCCGCGGGAGCCATAGCGGCGTTCGATCTCGTTCGCCATGAGGATGTTGGCGGTTTTGGACTGGCCGTAGGCGACGAAGGGGGCGTAGGCGCCGTTTTCGAGGTTGTAGTTGTCAGGGTGGATCGAGCTGCCGCGGTGGCCGGCGGAGCTGAGGGAGATTACGCGGGAGGGGAAGGTGGGGGAAGAGGCGGAGAGGAGGGCGGGTTTGAGGAGTTGGAAGAGGAGGAAGTGCGCGAGGTGGTTGGTGGCGAATTGGAGTTCGAAGTTTTGGGCGGAGCGGGATTCGGGGCAGGCCATTACGCCGGCGTTGGTCCTGAACACGATGTCAGTATATCGTAAGGCTTTGTGGTGATGTTGATGTGTTCAGGACTGACATAAGGATGTTCAACTTCGGACATTCCTCAAGGAACGCCTTCGCGCCTTTTCTCACGGAGTCCAGAGCCGACAAATCGATCTCGACAACCTTGACAGCTGGATATGGCTTCCCATCGCTGGAGATCGACTTGGCGATGTCTTCGCCTTTGGTCTTGTTGCGAGCTGTGATCCAGACGTGAGCTCCCGTGAGCCGGAGCACTCGAGCTGACTCTGTTCCTAACCCTGCCGTTCCTCCAGTGATCAAGATGGTTTTGCCGGTCAGTTTTCCAATGAGATCTTCATCTTTGAGGATCTGTTCTGCTGTGGGCCTGGAGTCGCCTGGACCGTTGATGTTCTCGTGGAGGGAGACGTAGCGATCCATGATGAAGGCGGCAAAGTGACAGGTTGTTTGTGGTTGAAGTCGATGTGCTTTCGCTCTTGGTTTCAGACAGTGGTCTGTTTGTAGGTCGGTTCGAGTTTCGTTGTGTCAATGGCTCTTTTTTCTCTGCTCGACCCACTCTATGCTTGCCTTTAAGTACGGTAGCCTGTTAGTCCGGACGTAGTCTTGTAGACAAAATCCATGGTCAAGTTCCGACATTTCAAATCCCGAGCGCGAACTTCTCGTTTTGGTGTCGGGGGCATTTCCTACTTCCAGACAGCCCTGACAATAGAGTGGCTACGGGAAGATCATGTGTTTGCTCGAAGCATGGGCAGAGGTAGCAATAATTTCACCAAAGTTCGTAAACTCCGTTCAATGTCCGCTGAAACTCCGAACTTGGATGTCGTTCGTACTGACTAGCTGTATTCGTCTTTCTGAAGCTCTATAAACATATTTTCCTGGCATGATCGGCCGCACTAAAGCGAACAACATGCATCAGCTACAGGAAGGAGGAGGATCGTCCGAATACATAGGCCCATCTGCGGCCGCTGCCAAGACCGGTGCAATCGACATGTCTTTGCTGATATTCAAGTCCAAAACCGATTTGACGTGGATTCAGCACTCGCAGTAAGACTTCGTGTCACATTGGAAACTTCGTTCTTCAGTTAGTACATCGAGGTATCGAAGTCGAGATATACACTCACCACTCCGGAGTCCCCCGTTCACATTCGTAGTACCATGTACAGATAGCACAAGCCGTCTCATCGCATTTGTCTGTCCTTCTGCCGCTAAATTGTGTCTGTGCCTCTTGCTCTTGGCTGGAACCAGTCGGCGTCGGTTGTGCAGTGGCCGCCATCTGTTCGCGAGTCATGGTCTTGGTGTAGAACTCAAACTCGAACCGCGTTCTGGTCGTTGTGAAGTGGAACGTCAGAGTCTCGACTTCTTCCCCTCCAATCGGGATCTGCTGGAGTCCGTTGTGCTCTCGATCGAGCATGACGCTGGCCAATGCGGGAGTGACTGTGATCCAGAAGAGGATGGAGAGAACGTGCGTGAATTGCATTGTGATGTATTATTGGTCCCGCCAATGGTTTGAACAGAGAAATAGGAAGACCGGAAGTGTCGCGCAACAGAATGTCTCAAAGGAAAGAGTGGTTGAGGAGTGTGACACGACCTTGTGGCTTACCATTCAGACTGCTTTATGGGTGCCGCCTTCCACAGTCTTGAAACGCTTAACACTGCTTTGGCGCTCATGGGGAAGCCGTCTGTTCGCATTGCATGGGCATTGACGAGTGTGAGCATGCTTCTATCTTTGCAAGCGCTGCTGTGCCGTTCGGGGCGCGTACAAATGGCAGGGGAGAGCAATGCATGTTGGAAGTGGAGACGACTTTCGAGCAAGATAGCTTCCTGCAGCGCATAATGTTATGAAAGTTCAGCCGATGTGTTCAACCTGATGAGAAGGAATGGGATGTCGTTGTGTTCAAGATGGGTTGAACATCGTCGAAGTTGAGAAGTGGACGGTGTTGCAGCCTCAGGTGTCAACGCCAAGCACTTCCGCTGCCGACGAAATGCCGCTAAGCGAGGAACACACAACTTTCAGTTTGGTTTCAAAGACTCCGAATTCTCGACCCCAGCGACAAGAACAGTCCCGCCGCCGACCACCTCCTCGACAACCAACACCGCCAACATGGGTCGCGTTCGTACCAAGACCGTCAAGAAGTCCGCCAAGGTCATCATTGAGCGATACTACCCCAAGCTCACCCTCGACTTCGAGACCAACAAGCGCATCTGCGATGAGATCGCTGTGATTGCCAGCAAGCGCCTGCGCAACAAGGTATGCATCCGCTGAAGATATCCAAGCAATACCATGAGCATGGACTTACGATGTTGCGTCTAGATTGCCGGCTACACCACCCACTTGATGAAGCGCATTCAGCGTGGCCCCGTCCGTGGTATCTCCTTCAAGCTGCAGGAAGAGGAGCGTGAGAGGAAGGATCAATACGTGCCAGAGGTGTCGGCTTTGGACTTCACACAGAACAGCGAGAGCGGCCAGCTCGATGTGGACCAGGAGACCAAGGATCTATTGAAGTCGTTGGGCGTAAGTGCTGGAAAGAGAATACATTCGAGGATACAATGGCTGACAACTACACACAGTTCGACAGCATCCCAGTCAACGTCGTGGCTGTTCAACAGCAGCAGGTTGCCGAGCGCCCTCGCCGCTTCGGCGACCGCAACCCACGCGTCTAAGCGACCACTCCATATTCTCACGACGGCTACGGGAGTTTCAGGCGTTCATCAGCAGCTTGACTACGATTGTCGCTGCGGTTATGCCTTAGCTAGCTCTAGTTATCTGAGCGAATGGAGTTCATCCCTCCAAAGGTGTCGCTGAGTCTTCCTCACGGTTGACGAGGCTTGATTGCCAAATCGCTTTCCCCTTGTCACATATGTGAAGTCCTGTGTGCGAATTCTTGCTGAAGTGCTGCAGAGATCCAGCCGACCATTGGCCTGACCAAGGATCACTATGCCCTTCCAGAGGCTCTTGAGACTCTAGTGCATTTACGTGTATCTCTGGTGTGCCCCTTTACTTGCAACGAATGTCCTCTGCCAGGCGACTAGAGTGAACTTCGAAGTCCATGATGGTCAGCTCGGCATGCCACTGCAACCCATGATCTAGGCTGTCGCCGAGGAGACGACGTGGACCCCTACAAGATTGTAATCAACCTGGCACAGCAAGACGTACAGCTGCCATTATTATCGTAGACGCCATGAGCACGTTGTTGTCGCGGCCATGATCATCACAACGTTCCCCAATCGTAACATGCGTGTATCTGAAGCTCCAAGACGTGAGTCTGACGCCGATGATCCTAGCATGACATCTGGAGTGCTGTTCACAGAGCCATCTGAACTTAACGCAACTACAGCGCATTGTGTGGGCAAGGCAAGGCAATAAGATCCAGAAGCTTTCGACTGATCCCACGACGCAGCCTGACCAAGCTCTCCAGCAGCTGCTAGAAGTCGTTGTAGAGTCTGCATCAACGGAGAGGTCGCTGTTTTCCTTCCAGAAGACATCCGGGAATAGCGAATTTCGGCTAGGGATTCCGATAGAACTATGGTTGCATCATCGGATGGATGAGAGCTTCACGTGAAGAGCATAGAATGAAGTATGAATTGAGTGAAAGGAGTCCAATAGAACATTCATTTGATTTAATCAAACTAAACAAGCAGAGTCATGATGTAAAGATCGTGAAGTGGCGTTGGGTTGGCGTTTCCGGGAGAGAAGGTCATCGAAGGGGAGCTTGATCGTGCACGGGCCCACGGCCGCAAAACTTCATCGACTCCTCGTTTGCGATTCCGTCTTCCATCTTGCGCTGCAACATCCATCTCTCCACCCACGCCCTCTCCATCGCTTCATCTTCTCCCTTCCCATTGCGTGTATCATAGTGTGTTAATACCGCCACCATGCTCTCCTCCAGACTCATGCGGAACGTACGTCGAAGCTCCTCAATCCCCATCACGCGAGCATCTGAACTGACATCGAGCCAGGCCGTTCCGCGAGCCACCTCCACCTTCAGATCATCAGCATACCGAGCGCCCATATCGTCGCAGTTCCGAAGAGGATATGCCGAGGACACCAATGCTGAGAGCGGCAAGGTGAAGGGTCCCATCATCGGTATCGATTTGGGTACCACAAACTCTGCGGTCGCTGTTATGGAGGGCAAGGCGCCGCGTATAATAGAGAACTCGGAAGGTATGCAAGACTCGGTGATGAGATGGATATGATATCAGATGGCTGACAATCGACATAGGTGCGCGGACAACTCCATCAGTCGTTGGCTTCACCAAGGAGGGCGAGCGGTTAGTCGGTATCTCTGCAAAGCGTCAGGCCGTCGTCAACCCAGAGAACACCCTCTTCGCCACCAAGCGTCTCATCGGCCGCAAGTTCTCGGATGCAGAGGTTCAGCGCGATATCCAGCAGGTCCCATACAAGATCGTCCAGCACACCAACGGTGATGCGTGGTTGGAGGCCCAGGGCCAGAAATACTCTCCTTCGCAGATTGGTGGTTTCGTGCTCGGAAAGATGAAGGAGACTGCTGAGGGCTTCCTCGGAAAGAACATTAAGAACGCTGTTGTCACCGTTCCCGCATACTTCAACGACCAGCAGAGACAGGCTACCAAGGACGCTGGACAGATTTCCGGTCTGACTGTGCACCGTGTGATTAACGAGCCAACTGCTGCTGCTCTGGCGTACGGTCTTGAGAAGGACGACAAGGTTATTGCTGTCTACGATTTGGGTGGTGGTACCTTCGATATCTCCATCCTCGAGATCTCCAACGGCGTTTTCGAAGTCAAGGCTACCAACGGTGACACCCACCTCGGTGGTGAGGACTTCGACATCTCCCTCGTCCGTCACCTCGTCCAGCAGTTCAAGAAGGAGCAAGGCATTGATCTCTCTGGCGACCGCATGGCCATCCAGCGTATCCGTGAGGCCGCGGAGAAGGCCAAGATCGAGCTTTCATCTTCGCTCCAGACCGACATCAACCTGCCCTTCATCACTGCCGATTCCTCTGGACCAAAGCACATCAACACCAAGATGACCCGTGCCCAGCTCGAAGGCCTTGTCGACCCGCTCATCAACCGTACTGTTGACCCCGTACGCAAGGCCCTCAAGGACGCCAACCTCCAGGCCAAGGACATCCAGGACGTGATTCTTGTCGGTGGTATGACCCGTATGCCAAAGGTCATCGAGTCCGTCAAGAGCATCTTCGGCCGCGATCCAGCCAAGTCTGTCAACCCAGATGAGGCTGTTGCCATCGGTGCCGCCATTCAGGGTGGTGTCCTCGCTGGTGAGGTCACTGACCTGCTCCTTCTCGACGTCACTCCTTTGTCCCTTGGTATCGAGACCCTCGGTGGCGTCTTCACCCGTCTGATCAACCGCAACACCACCATCCCCACCAAGAAGTCGCAGACGTTCTCTACTGCTGCTGATTTCCAGTCTGCCGTCGAGATCAAGGTCTACCAGGGTGAGCGTGAGCTCGTTCGCGACAACAAGCTTCTTGGCAACTTCCAGCTCGTCGGTATTCCCCCGGCTCACCGTGGTGTGCCACAAATTGAGGTCACCTTCGACATTGACGCCGACTCCATCGTTCACGTTCACGCCAAGGACAAGTCCACCAACAAGGACCAGTCCATCACCATCGCATCCGGCTCTGGTCTGAGCGACGACGAGATCCAGAACATGGTCAACGACGCCGAGAAGTACGCCTCCGCCGACAAGGACCGCAAGAACGCCATCGAGGCTGCCAACCGCGCCGACAGCGTCGTCAACGACACCGAGAAGGCTCTTAAGGAGTTCGAGGACAAGCTCGACAAGACCGAGGCCGAGCAAATCCGCGAGAAGATCACCACCATGCGCGAGTTCATCGCCACGAACCAGACTGGCGAGGGCTCTGCCACCGCCGAGGAGATCAAGGAGAAGACCGACGAGCTTCAGACCGCTTCCCTCACCCTCTTCGACAAGATGCACCGTGCCCGCCAGGAATCCCAGGAGGGCCAACAGCAACAGCAGGACCAGTCCACTGGTGAGCAACAACAGCAACCAGGCAGCGAGGGCGAGAAGAAGCCTTGAACTTCTTAATCCTTGACCTGTTGTTTTGTGCCCTTTTCGAATGTTGTTTATACCCAGCGACTGCATTGCAGCGACTTGACTCCAAAAGCGCTTTCTCGTACCACTCTTTGCGGTGGTTCTGTAAAAATACCTACCTACTCCGCCCTTCTGGATCTTCCTCTCCGCTCGGATGAGAAAGATGAAGGTCTTATCAATGTCGTTATTACATACAGAAAGATGAGTGCTCAGTCTGGCAGGGAATGTGGGCGGAGTACATGAGGCGCATCACCTGTTCACTACTGGGGTGCATACGACATGGAAGTGTGGGCTGAAAGGGTGTAGGTTTTGATTGAGCGTTTGTATGGTGGGTGTGTAGTTTTAGAGCATTTGTTCTTGGATGTGTAATGAAGCACAGAAGTTCTCCTCTCTGACGAAGGCATTTGCATGTGTTCCAACTCTCATGTGACGGCCTTCCTTGCTGGCCGCTACTGCCTCCCGTCGCCGGGCACAGAAACTCGAGAAGGCGCGGGTTGCCACCACTCACCAAATTCCGCCTCCTTTTGTACACCTACACCTACAACGCAAACTTCCAACGAGAATCAAAGTGTCGCTACCGTGGCACTCGTCAACGCATACGCGCCACATCAGCATGGTAGGCAAGTTCAGCACGTATATGGCAACACGTCTGCCATGCATGATCTCTTCGCTGACAACCCGCAGAAATCCTGTAATCTACTCGAAATGCCAGCAGAGCTTCGCAACGAGATCTACGAATATGTGCTCTCGAACACAGATCTCGTCGTCAGCACCGCAAGCGACGGCGGCGTGAATACCTCGAACAAAGTTCTATCGGCTTGGCCTTGATGTCTTTCGCATGGACCAGTCACATGTCTTCAAACCAGCAGGGAAGTGCATTAGAAAGCCAATGGGCAACTCAGTTGGGGGCCAAATTTCATACAACAAACCATCGGGCGAGCAAGGCGTAGAAAGACACCAAGAGCAGACTCCTAAGCGGTATTGCTGACTGCCCTGCTTCAGACGTGCTGGTGCTGCTGGTCGATGCACTCGCTACTGTTGCTGAGGAAGAAACTGTTTCCTGAGCTGTCATCGTCACTGCCGGCGCTGTCGTCGTGACTACTACCACTTCCGACGAAGGCATCGTTGCACTCGAAGCCTCAAGTCCAGTAGAAACACCAGAAGAAGACGCACTCGTCGCCGTCCCCGTCTCAATCACAGACCCTTCACTCAAAGGATTGGACAGACTCGCCCGATGACTATTCGTTGTCTGATAGCCCCAGACATCGGAAGTTTCTGTATCTACGCAATCAATATTCGTTATGCGAGAGGGAGGTTCGGGAAGCAACTCACCACTCCCGCCAGCCGTGATCACAGCCTCGTACAGCGGAAATGCGTAGCCTGAATCCGCTGGGTAGTGCATCATGACGGGGCTTGGGAACGCATAGCCTGGGGATGTGGAGGAGAGGGTGCAGGAGGCGGAGGTTGGGTCTCCTGAGGAGGGGTAGAGGGTACAGTTGTAGATTGTCGTTATCCTGGAGGACTTCAGCCAGAGAGCTTTCGTTAAGAGAAGGAAACGTACGGCTGATCCGTCTCATTGAATATCGCGGTGCCCGGTCCTTGGATTACCGTCACGGGCCCGCAGCTTCGGTCCTCGCAGCCTGGGGGAAAGACGTAGGTTGTTGCCGCGGCATCCTGGGGACGGTATTAGGATCAAAGGATTTGTTTTAGTATCAGCGAGGGGACTTACTGAGCCAGCGATCGAAGCGGAGAAAGTATTAGAGACGTATTCGACGGGGACGAAGAGGCTTGTTGTTGGGAGGGATTGGGCAAATGTGACTGGGAGGAGGGCAAACAGGAGGAGTGGAAGCATTCTGCCTGTGCTCGGGTCTTCCAGCGCTTTTGGTGTTTAAAACCTCTCGTCTGTGAGATGCGAGGAAGAGTATGTTCATGTGGATGTGGTGGCAACAGGCATCGATTGACAGGTGAGGACGAGACGCCCAAAGACGCTAGCGAATTTGGGGTTGGTATTCTAGTGGTATGAAACCTAATTGATCCTTTCGCATATGAGTCTAGGCCTCTGGCCACTAGAGCGGAGATCTATCGCCTGAAGACAGTCAAGAGCAGAACTCCATGAACCATTCCGAGACCTCACAAAACCTCTCTCTGCAACCATCCACTCACTCACCACCTAACTCCAATCCCCATCCAGCACCGTCCTCTCCCCCCTCCCCCTCGCCTCCATCAACCCATCAATCGTCCAAGGAACATACACCATCCCCTTCGGCACATTCCCATTCCTCCACTCCTTCTCCCTCCCCTCCCCAACACACCTAACCGCCTCATCCCACCGCTCCCTCGCGTAAACCTCCGGATCATGCTCGACGATCCACTTGCCCAGCCGGACTTCGTGCTTCTTGTCCTTGGGGTCGTTGTTCTTCGTGTTGCGCGCGTCGCGGTTTAGGACCCCGAAGGCTTGCAGGCAGGAGACGCGCTCGAAGCGGAGGAGGTTGTGGATGCGCAGGGCGAGGGGGAGGGGTTGGTGCGTGGTGTGGGCTAGGGAGAGGCAGGTTGCGAGGGAGATGGCGTCTTCGATTGCTTGGGTGCCGCCGTTGCCGGAGGATCTAATATAAACGATTCTTGTCAGGGGGTTTATTCTTTTCGGATGGGGGTGCATTTCGTGACTTACGGCAGGAATGAATGCGCTGCATCGCCGAGCTGGATCACTCGTCCACCGGGGGAAGTCCACTGCGAATTGGGGTCTCGCCACATCAGTTTCCAGTCGATTAATTTGTCTGGAGGTGTCAGCTTGATCAGCCGGTTGGCGTAGTCTGGGAAATCAGGGATCTTTGCTGTGAACTTTAGAGCTTCCTCGACATCGACCTTATGAGACCAGGACTCTTCTGCTGTACCATGATCCTAAAGAAGAAATCAGTCAGCTAAATCCACAGCCTCGTCGAGAGGACACATACCGGATGCGTAAGAGTCCACGTAAAGCGATCCTTACTCCTGAGAAACGTGCAGTAAACATCCGGCCTGCAAACCATCAGCCTCATCTCATCCCCATCTTCTCTCGAAACCTCAGAGGTAGAACTCACCCAACCCACAACTCCACCACGGCCCTCCCGCCCTCCTCCAACGGCCACCTCTCCCTAACAGCCTCATCCGCCATCGCAACATCCACCCCAAACGCCGCCCTCAAAATCCCATGCCCACTACTCCTCGCCCCAACCTCCTCCCCCTGCACCAATTCCCAACTCCGCGTATGCACCCCATCCGCCGCAACAACCACATCCCCCTCCACCCTCTCCCCACCCTGCACCACCACACCGCCCTTCCCCCTCCCCTCATCCTCATAGTACCCAACGACCTTCCTTCCATACTCCACCTCCACCCCACAAGCCCTCAATTGAGTCAGTAACATCTCATGCAACCGCGGCCTCGCATGCATATACACCCTCCCGCTGGCGACCACGGCGTCCATATCGATCGGGCCGCTGAGCCGCTCGCCGCGGTGGTTGCAGTAGTACAGCAGCGGCGTTTCGGTGATTTCGAGGTTGCGCCCGTGCAGCCAGGGCCAGTTGCGCAGGCTGGAGAGGGCGGAGGGCCCGATGGTTACGCTGTCGCCTTGCGCGGAGGAGAAGGCGGCGCGTTCGAGGATGCGGACCGTGAAGCCAAGGCGCCAGCATTCGAGGGCCGTGAAGAGCCCGCCGATGCCCGCGCCGGAGATGAGGATGGTTGTGTTGGTTGGTGGGGAGCGGGTGGGGAGGGTGGAGGGTGTTGGTGTTGGTGTTGTTCCTGTCATGGTTGGGCGAGGAAGGGTGTTGAACGCTGGACGAAGTGTGTTTCAGAAACACCTCTGTCTTGCTTCAACTAAATCCCCGAGAACAAAGCGATCAAGACTTACTTATACCACGCCACACCACCACCCTCCGCTCCGACCCTCCGAAAAAAACCTCTCAGCCTCCCTTCCATCGCATTCACCACACGGAACACCCTCCTCCCTAAACGCAGCACATCGCCCCAAACGACACATCTCCAAGGACAATGCCCGCGCCCGGATGCAAACATCTCCAGCTAGACGTCAACATTCCCCAAGAACAGCATCGTTGCACAACGTCGAGCAGCGACTACGATGAGTGCGACAAGTGCGAACAAAAACGTGGAAGAAACACGTATCCCATCCTTCCAGCAAATCCGCGTAAAATCTGATTCGTTGTTTCGCAGAACTTACCTGAAACAGGATTCACAGAACGGAGATTTCCAGCCTCATACATTGCACTCGTCGCATAGATCTGCTGCGGCTGAAGTTAGAAACGCAAAGGGGGAAATGTCGATAAACTTATGGAAAGACGAGGGTCCGTATGTCTGGGCATAAAGTCGGTCGTCGGAGAGGGTTGATCTGGCGTGGCCGTGTCCGTGGAGAGTCCGTTTTGAGGGCTGGAATGGGGAATCAGAATAAGTTGGACGAAGTGTGAATCAATCTCTTTCGTGTATGCATTTCGCTGAAGCTTGCGGTCTATTACTTCGCTCCGTCTACCTGTTCATGTCATCAGCACGCATTCATCAAGATTACACAGCCGCACAAACGTACCAAAACAGTACCTGCCTGTTCAACGCAACACTCCAACTCACCTCTTCGTACTTCACAACGCCACCTCTCGTCACCATCCCCTCAACCATTCAAATAATTCCTAATAGCACCCTGCAACTTACTCGCGCCCTCGCCCAGCATACTCGTCAAGTTCTCAATATCATCACCAGCCGTGATTCCAAACTTCCTGACAAAGTCCTTGGCTGCTGTTTCCAAATCTCCATAGTCTCCTTCGGGAATCTCATCTTCAGGACGACCGAAGTATGCGTTGGAGGAGATGGACGTCGCGCCTTCGAAGCCTTGCAGACGGGTCTTGGCTTCGGATTGTGCGTTGGAGTCGAAGGTGCCGCGGCCGAAGAACTCGTCGGAGGAGATGCCTTTTTGCTGGCCGAATTTCTCGCGGGCGAAGCGTTCGGAGTCGTCTAGAGATCATCATTAGTCACGAGTTGAACACAACTGAACACGTAAATTGAGGATCTCACCTTCAACAGGAGCAGCCCGACCCACAGACCCAAAGCCCATAGCCTTAGGCGCAGCAGCAGCCGCCTTGGGCCCACCAACCTGTCCAAATCCCAACTTCCTCACACCCATACCCAATCTCTCCATCTCACTATCACTCCTCTCTCTAGGCTTCGCTCCCGCCGCAAAGCTGCCCGCCCGAGCAGGGCTAACAGGCGTAGGCTGGTGAAGCGTAGCCGTAGCAGAAGCCGGCTGCGCAGCATTGATCTGTGTCTCCGAAGGCGTCTCTTCGTCAGGATCGTATCCCAACCGCTCTTTCCTCTCCGCCTCTTCGCGGGCCTTCTTCTCCGCCTCGTCGAAATCCAGCGCTGAAGCGTCGACTTTCTTCGCTCCGAGCTTCGTCTTCTTCGCACCCAGAATGTTCGCTTTGGGCTTGCTCGTAAGTGCAGTCTTGCGCACAGCAGACGCAGCCACAGCCTTCGGCGCCGCAGCCTCCGCCGTATCAGACTGCTGCAGCGGTGACTTGGACCTCGCGGTGCCATTCCCATTCGCATTCAAAAACGGCGAAGCGGTGCGGTTCAAGCTGCTCGGCGTGCCTGTCCGACTGGGCGGGTTGCTCGGCCTCTTCACCGCGGGCTTATCCCAGCTCGAAAAGAAGTCATCCGCAGGCTCGCCCGCAGGCGTATTGGCGCCCGAACCCGCCGCATCCTCCTGCGCATCCTCAATCACCACGCCATCAGGATACCGCTTGACATCCTGCTCGACTCGCCGCGCCAGCTCATCCTTATACTTCCCCGCCGCGGCGCTCGTATACTTGACTTTGGGATCCTTCGACTGCAGCGCCGCCGTCCCGCCGTTCTTCTTGAAGAAGACGGTCGCGCTCTCGTTGCCGCCGACTTTCATGCGTCGCAGCTGATCCCATTGCCACTGGTCGAGGTTGGTGCTGCGCACGAAGGAGATGTGCACGCCGAGGTTGCGGTGGTTGGCGGAGCAGTCGAGGCAGAGGTAGATGCCAAAGGGGACCGAGGACCAGGTTGGGTTTTTGGCGCCGCAGTCGAAGCAGATCTTGTTGCTTTCTTTCCGTTTGAGCTTCTCGAAAATCTTGTGAGATTCCGTCTTGGACGCGAGGGCGGACGAAGCCATGGTGGGCGGTGGTGTGGTGTGGTGTTGGAAGGGGGGTGTGTGAGATTATTGAGGGAGGTTGCTGCGATTGCGGGAATCCCTGACTTGAAGTCGACGGGAGTTGAGCCGCGGAGCTTGGACACTTGGCTTTCACCGACTCGTGCCTGAGGCCGACAATACTTGAACAAAGCACTGCTATGGATGGATATGTACAGCCACCGCAGGGAGGTATTCCATATGCTTTTCGTGGCCACACGTGCTAACAATCCCATTCCCCGTCATCACAAGACATAACATCATGCCTCGTCCATATGCAACGCCCTCATGCAGTCAAGAAAACAATTCTCATGCCTTTCATCGCGGCTCCAGCGCAGCATAAAACATCCTCCCCTTTCTCCTCATATTGATTTCAAAAATGCCTGCCTCACACGCTGCCCATAGCATCGCTCCATCGGGACTCATGGCCAGACCAGCAGTTCTAACGCCAATCTCACGTCCACTGTAACCCCTCACCCCGGATCTCATACGTAGTGCCTCGTATCCTTCAGGGAAGTTGGCTATTCGTCGTGCTTGTGCGAGTGTGAGGGCTTCGCGTTCGACGGCTGATGACGATGCTCCGTTGCTGGCAAGGCGATTCGTTCGCCATCGGTCACGGGCTCGAGATTGGGCCAGCGCTATGCGACGCTGGGCATCGAGTTCTTGTTGGAGGCTGTCGGGACTGACACGATCAGACGCAGGTAGTGGTGAACCTGCTTGTGCTCGAGCAGCGCTTTCGAAGAGAGGGCCACGCCCTACCGACATCTGCTCTTCCACGCTCCTCCATGGGTTCTCATCGTCGACTTCTGCTGAGGTGGCACCGGGTGTTGAAAACTGGCCTCTGTTGGCTCCATTTCCGTTGCCGGCTGAAGCAGACGAACCACTGTTAGAGACTGGTGGGTTCAACACAACAGACTGTCTCCGTCGTGGTAGTCGAGAAGTCTCTCCTATCCGCGGTAGTCCAGATCTCGCAGATGATCCCCAAATGCCGTCTTGTAGGGCGTGCAGCGGCGGCAAGTCGTTCGATTCAGTCGCATGCGAAGAAGACGGCCGAGGGCTCGCAGCGTGTATCCTCGAAAGCTCGGGCAACGACTCCTGCACTGAGCTCAAAATCTCACTGATAGGTCTACCAGAGTCCGCATTCGAGGGAGAAGCTGACGACCTATGATTGAACATATCCGGTGTCGTGTAGTTCACCGATCGCGGTATCTGTCCACCAGCTCGTGCCTCTTCCCTCTGCCGCGACGTCCTCAGTGCCTCAAGAATCTGCTGCTCTCGAGACGTTAGCCCTTGCGGATCGTCACCATCAGGCGTTTGTCTCGACGCCGGTGTGCCTGTCTGTGACCTCCCGTGTGCCAGGTCTTGCCTCTGCTGTCTCTGCCTCCTCCTGGCCTCGATGTACTCAGTAGCGAAGTTGACCGCCGATGTATTCTCTGGCACATTCCTGTACCTCCTAAGCAGCTCTGCCTCAAGATCGTCCAAATGTGTTGGCTCTTCAGACGGTATATCCTCGAATGCCAGCTTCGTCAAAGTCTCCTCTTTCGGCTCCAAGTTGATCGTCTGCTTGCTCTTCAACCCTGTCCTCAAGTCCCCAATGCATATTCGCCCCTGGTCTTCCGCCCACACAAGCAAGTCCCACGGCTCTGGCGAAAACACCATACTTCGTATCGCGCCTGGGTGTGGAGAAGGAAAGTCCGCTCGAGAGCCAGGCACGACTGCAACAATCGCCTCGTCGTCCTCGTACTCCGGATCCGCCAGTATCTCTGCATCAATGACTGTAATGTATCCACCTTCTGAACCAACTGCAACCAGCGTCCCACTCGGTGACCACGCACTGGTGAAATAGCCCACTGTCGCATCCGGACTGCTCACATGGAGCGTCACCACATTCGTCAACCGCCAATCCACACTCGCGCTCGTGAGTCGATTATGCGGCTTTGGAATCTGCGGCGGTGTGTCCACAATATCCCTGGTAAAGAAGTATGCCTGGTTGTAGTCTCCCACTGCAACCATCACCGTCCCGTCCGGCGAGATGGTCGCATGGTTGATCGCAAAAGGCAGATCCTTCACCCTCGTCTCTTGTCCCAGCGGCAGACTGTACACTCGCACCGTCTTGTCATTATTCGTCAAGACGGCCACGATGTCGTCCAAATGCGCCTCTTCATCCTGGATGCGGTGGATCGAAATCGAGTTTACTATTTCCTCGCCAATCCTTTCCACCTTGACCGTGGGTGCTCGTCGCCCGAGAGTGAGGCTCGCATGCTGTGGTCGCCAGCCATCAATGGGCAGAGCAGAGTCGACATCCAGTGTCCGTTGTCCGCTCCCGTCGAGCTTGATTGTGGCGAAATGGCCCTCCTCTTCTCCACCCACACAGACGTATCCATACCCTGAAGCCGTGCACCGCGCTTCAAAGGGCAGTGTGGCGATGTGCTTTCTCTTCTTTGTAACGGTGTTGAGGCAGAAGATGTCGTGTGCGCTGGCGTAGTAGAGGTGGTCTTGCTCCGGCGTGGAGATGTAGTGTCGTAATTGCCAATGTCTATGCCATACCCAGTCAGCCCTCACCTCATCCGCATGCACTCGTCCACCTACGACACAGGTATCCTCATCTGATAGAACCCCTTCTCCGTCTGCGCCAGCTCATCCGTATCCGGATATCTATACCGCAAACAGTCAGCCCCAACACCACCCTCCACTCTCCCTCTCAGCCACCACTCACGGAATATTCGCATCGATCGCCATATTGCAAGAATTCCCCCTCGTCCGCGCCTGCGCCGGTTGCGTGGGTGTTATGCGATGCGCGTCCGTCGAAAGGTAGAAGTTATCGCCCAAGAGAAAGAACCACAGTAACTCGCCCGTCTCAGGGTCCGCAGTGGCTATAGGTTGGTCGAGACTGTTGGGCGCAAAGAGTTCCACGTTAGCCTTGCGCTTTGTGTGGGAAGAATGGAGGAGGAGGGTAGTGGGGGAGGGCGAAAGACGTCAGCGAAGCCAAGGAAGAGGACCAGGCTGCTTGCTGCTCAAGCTGCGGCAAGGATTCTGGCGTGGATGGTATGTCCATTGTTGTTGTTTGACAATCGTCGATTTATGCTTTCCCAACTCGTCTGTTGATTTATCTGGTTGCTTCTATTCACGCTGATGGTGCATGGTACCACGCTGATGCGAGCCATTGGTGTCGCACCGCATCGCCGTCACTCATCTTGGTACGGAAGGCGTCAGGCCATCGCACATTGGCTGACCGACGACCAGGGGAGTCACGAACCACGGTACTTGGAACTTCACGGATGGCAGGCCTGGAAAATTGGACTGCAGCTCCGATTTGTTTCATTGCAACCAGTGCTATTAACTCATCTAGCCGCTACTTAAAAACACTTTTCTCGCTCGCTTCGTCTCTTCATGCAGTCATGTGCCTCGTCTATCGTGGCAAAGCCGCCTCGGCGTGCTCTTGAAAGGGGGGATTGGGTATGTGTATGTGTGGTGATCAAAGACTCGCTCATGCTGTGGTGCTGAGAGGTCGATCGGTTTCTGTGAGGTCTGGTGAGTAACTTGACAACGTGATGAAGAGTCAGGACTTACCAGCATTCGCATCTAACCGCTCTGGACCTTCTTGACGACCTCCTCGACCTTGGCAAAGAGTGGGTGGCCCTCCTCGAGACCGCAGACCTCCTGGACGATGGTCTTTGGGTCCTTACTGGCCAGGATCTCCTTGAGCTTGACCGAGTCCTCGTCGGCCTCGACATCGGTGAAGCGGAAGGCCTGCTCAATGCCGCCGAGCAGGTAGTCGAACTTCTCGCCGCGCTCAGCGAGCTGGGCAGCAGGGCCTATGAAGCGCTCCTTGCGGGAGAGCTTACGAAGAGGAGCACGGCCGACACGCTCGACGTTGTCCTTGAGGACGGGGTTGGAGATGCGAGTCACAATCTGCTTGACGTAGTCCTCCTGCTCCTGCTTGGAGACGTGGGTGTGCTTGGAGGTGATGAGGTGGGCGGTCTCTTTGAGAGTCTCCTGAACAATATCATGGAGCTTCTTGTCCTCGAGGACCTCATGGATGTACTGCTTCTTGGCCTGGTGGCCGTAGTACGCAGCGGTGGCGTGACCGGTGTTGACCGTGAAGAGCTTGCGCTCAATGTACGGCTCAAGGTCGTCGACGTAGTGAACGCCCTTGATCGGTGGTGGTCCGCTGCTCTTGAATGGCTTCTCCTCGACGCACCACTCAAAGAACTTCTCGATCTTGACGTTCAGGCCGGCGTCCTTGTCCTGCTCTGGCACAATTCGGTCAATAGCCGAATTGGCGAACTCGGCCTTGGAGCCAATGTTGGCCTTGGTCTCGTCGGACAGCTTCTGCTCGATGAAGCCGCGGAGGGTGTCGGTGGCGCCAATGGCGTTCTCGCAGGCGATGACTGCAAGTGGCTTGGACTCCTTGCGAGCCTCAATGCCCTTGGCGATGGGCTCGGCAATGAACTTGAGGATGTTGGGGCCGACGGCGCAGGTGACAGTGTCGGCGGTAGCAATCTCTTGGATGACCTTGTCCATCTCATGCTTCGAATTGATGGCGCGGTAGTTGTCGATGTGGAAGGTCTTCTCGCCGTCTGGACCAATCTCGGTGACCTCGTACGACTTGGCCTTCTGGAGGGCATCGATGATGCTGTCCATGACATCGACGAACACGACCTCGAAGTCAGAGTTGTGGAGGAACTCGGCGACGAAGCCACGGCCGATGTTGCCTCCGCCGAAGTGAACACCCTTGAGACCCATATTGTCGGTGTTGGTGTGATTGGTGAAGTGTCTATAGGAAGTTAGTTGAGGAAGGTGTGGTGTATAGGTGCTGTGGTGTTGTTTTTTGAGGTTGGAAGTGGTGAGTGTGTTGGAGTTGGAAGGAAGTGCTTACCTTGAGAGAGATTGGACTCTTTTAAACCCCTTCACAGCACGTGAAGACGGTTGCTGGTAGCGTCAGTGAGCTTTTTGTTTATATGAAGCACCTTCTCGCTGCTGCTCTGCTCGTGACTGCGCTGCTGCTGCTCTTGCTGCTGATGTCGTCGCCGCTGTTTGCAAGTAAGGTGAGAGAACGAAAAGCAACTTACATTGTCAAGGGAGCTTGGTGAGCCCGTGGCGGTGCCTTGGAGAATGGTGTGGGTGGTTGAAGAAGGAGGTGGATGAAGGTGTGTTGGAGGTGAAGGTGTGGAAGAGAAGTGAAGAAGTGTGTGTTGTTTGGTGTGTGTTGGAGAAAAAGTTGCGGTGTCTGTCGGTGGAAGAAGTAGGAGCTTGGTCGAGCTCCTTCTTGAAGTCAACGCACCTGCATCACCAGCCCCGCCTAGAACGCGACAAGCCCACCTTCCGCGCGACAAACGTGCTTGCAACGTCACTGCCTCTTTCGGCTTTACGGCCCGATTTTAGCCGCCCTCATTGGACAGGGGTTCCATGAGACCAGCGCCTAATATTTCATTAACACATTTACTTCACACAGTGGAAATGAAAGAACTTCACTTCTGAACGCTTCATCCAATTCACATGTCCATTCAAAGTACGTAGATAAACTCGCACCAAGTGGATCGAACCCCAACCTGCAGGTACACCGCCTCGCGGACGTGAGATCCGACCAAGATAGCGCCTCGCCTCCCACAATCTCTCTCCACGCCCCCCAAAGCCTGTGGAAGATCCCCAGACGAGACCACACGTCGTGCGGGAAGTCCCCCCGGGGCCAAGGAACCTTCGCGCGTTGGGGCTCCAGCCTGCATATCGAAGGATGTGAGTGAGGCGAAGTGTCGGACAAGCGAGCGCGCTGCTGCTGCGTGAAACGCCATCTTTTTTTCTTGTTTTACATACCGCCCTTTCATTCATGTCCCGAGGTTCCACTCCTGCGCACGCTGTGTAGCGCTGTGCTGCGTGATCCTGGGGACGTGGGCGGATCGTACAGTGGGGTTCTCTTCCAACCAGAACCCTGAATCTTGTGTGCTTTTTCGAGGTCGTACAGCTTGACACCTGCTGCCTCAACCGAATGTACGTGGGAATGTGCAGACTGTCCGCCTGCCGCTTATGCATGTATGGCCTGTTGCACGTGGGGATACACCTCTATCATGCGGCGGTAAAGGTCTCCATGCTCTCTCATCAGGACCTCTGAATCCCACGCTGCCGCCACGAAGATCGTATCGATTCCGCTGTTGAGAGGCACCACAAAACAGCCAGTGACCTGGAGGCCGATCAAGAAGGCGTACAAGACAACGACTGCGGTGAATTTGCCCCCTTCGTTGTATGGTGGATCAGTCACTTCAAGGTAGATGTAGCTGACCAGAGCGCAGGTGACGGCAACGAAGAGGCATCCCATCGAAAGGACTGGCCCCACAAGACATTCGTTGATCAGCGCATCGATACCACGGTCCTTGATCATTCTCCACGTATCTTTGGCGGATGCGAAGTATGCCTTGCCGTAAAGTGCCATGTAGCTGAATGCGTATCGGTTGATGAATTCGAGGGCCCATTGGACAAGTCCGAGAATGCACTGCAGCACACAAAATGCACAGTCAGCCATGAAGTTGCCAGTACCAGCGCTGTTGTCTCGCGCGATGGAGCAGGCAAAGCGAAGTAGATCCAGGATGGCAACCAGCAAGCTGCCCAGGCTAATGGAGCCAAAGCTGTAGGTGAGTGCTCTCCTCGCAGCTCCTCGAGTTGGCGCACTTGGGACATTGTTTGGCGAGAAGTACCAGCTACCATAGACACCGGAGATGGTGGTGTGGATTGTGTTCTTGAGCCACTCCGTGATCCAATATCCAGCGAACGTAATGTAGACCAGGAGACCGATGACAATGGCAGAGCTACATCCACCGGACCCACCAGCAGCAGCATTGCAACTCGGATTGGCGCCAGGTTCGAATCTGATATACACCGCGACCATTGTCACGGCGAACCAGGCAGAGAAGGCCGCCGCAATCAGACCGCCGAGGAACGACACTAAGTACACATGTCCGGTCTTGCGCGAGACGTCAATGGCCGTCTGGAACATCAGCACGCTAAATGGAATGCGCTTGATCCAGGAAATGAAGCAGAAGATGGAAAACACTGCGACGACCAGCCAGAGCGCACCACCGACCCATGCTTTGCGGTAGAAGTAGTAGATCGCAGTCGCCAGACTCAGGACAATATTGAGAATGCCCGAGATCCAGATGAACTGCTTCGTGAAGATGCGCGCAAGCGAGATGTAGCCATAGCCAAGGACGAGCGCCGCCACGATGATAAAGGCAAAGAGCACGATCGTATTGGTGTTGAGACTGAAGGTGTTGTCAGACCCGTAGAAGCCGTCGCCATTGAAGTTCTTGTTGCCCGCGTATCCTGCGATGCTGATGCCAGAGACCGCGACGAAGCCGAGGAAGACGAGGATGAAGAGAATACCAGCCCAGAGGTCGTTCCATTTTGGTCGCTCGATCTTGAAAGCCTGCGAGAATTCCGGCTTCTCGCTGCCGAAGTTCTGACCATAAGAAGGCGGGTTGGGCATCCCATACTGCTGCTGAGGTGGTGCTTGATTGTACTGCTGCTGCTGCTGCTGCTGTGGCTGCGCGCTGTAGTACGAATCCGCAGCGCCATTCTGGCCCTGGCCGTCATATCCCTTGAGGGGTTCCATTTCTACTCCAGTCTCGTGCGCCGAAGGACCCGTATACTCGTTCCCGTCGTCGGTGGTGTACGCGTGATAGAAGTTGTCGTCGTGCGAAGAAAGAGGTCGCGACGTCGTCGTTGATTTGAGCGGACCCACTTGAGCCATAGATTTCGTCGATCCCGCCCAAGGCAATTTGAGATTGCCGAAGCCAATCGCCGGCATCGCTGAGTAACTGTGGCAACGGCGACTGTGGAAGCGAAGGAAAGCTGGGAAAACTGGAGGAGAAGTTGGAAGAGGCGTTTTTCTTTCAGCTTGCTGAATGATCAGAAATATGTGAGGAAAGATATACAAACCCAATGCTGCGCAGAGGCACAGGCGGCGTTGGTGTTGGGTTTCATAGCATTGTCGCCATCGAGCTGGCGCTTCGCAGTTGCACAGCCCTGAGGCACTGGCTTTGCAGGTGCAACTGACAATGTCCTACCTGTCCTTATTTTGTCGACTGCAAGTTCACTGCGAGATTCTGCCACTTTGAGCTTGTGTCGCAAGCTCTCGTCCTGTCGCTATGCGCCCTCGAGAGTTCGTCCGCTAGCATGTCGAGGAGCTGCCTCGATAATGCCGTCGGATGTCGAGCCGTTGTATATTTGGCGTAGTCGTGATTGGAAAGGGGCAGGATCGCGGAGAACGCCATAGCAAATGGGCCATTCAAGAGACAGGAACATGAAAGAACAGAAATGGGGTGAAGTGCGGTCTTTATACACCTGATCCACCCCAGGATGGCACAGACAACGCGCACGTCAGCAACTTGCATCCGATGAAGCCGAACATCCTTCGACGTTGGCCCGAGCAACATCACCTCAACCTCACCAATACCCACCCAACATGTAAAAGATGGGAATGTGTCTTCGGCCTATGAGAATGAGAAAGACTCATGGGATGAGACGCCTCGACGTGAACGTCAGATCGTTTTTCTATCAACACCCGGCAGAACTGTTCTGAGGGGCTCGCATTCCCAGCGCCTCTTCGAATCTATTGTACAGATTAACGATCATACTGCACCAGTGGAGGCCATGACTCGTCTCGCTGTTCCGTGGTCGACGCTTTGTGTCTCCTTCCTCTTGCCGTTGCTCGCCTTTCAACCCGTACTCGAAGCTGGTGACCACCCTTCCAATCCCTTCAGCCACTCCACACCGCCGAGAAGGCACTGTCCGCGAAGTTGAAGACCTTTTCGGCTTTGTGGGGCATATGGGACCAGCCGGGGGACCACTGGATGTACTCGAGCATCTCATTCCGTATTTGCTCCCTGCCATTGATCCCGAAGTGCAAACGGAAGCTGCGCTTGAGTGCAGTGATATGAACGCGCGCCTCAATCAGGACCTTGACGCCGGTGTTATTGAGATATCGCAGTCCCTCGCCCATAACGCGCAGCCTGCTTAGGAAAGAGGTCTCGGTCTGGCCCGGAATGAACCATATTTCGATTCCCTGTCGCATTCCGCACGCCTTGTGCTTGCGCACGATCTTGTCAAACCATGCGTTGCTCTTTTTCTCATCGCTGGGCAAGGCCAAAATGATCTTGTTGACACTGTAGATGATGTTTCTGGACTCCTTGTAGATCTGCTTGCACGTCATGGTGAGGGGGGCGAGGGCGGTGTTGGGCCGGGATATGCGATGTCCTCGCTCAGTAGGATCGCCGACACGAACGAAGCCGGTCGAGAGGGCATATTCGTAGATCTCATTGCGAAGCTCGGCGGGCAACCCAAGGAGGCGGCAGAGCTTCTGCGTGAGAACTCAGTAATGATCATTTCGATTGCCGGTGTGCGGAGGTAGACATACCGATGCATTCTCAACGTTGCTCGCCATGTTGGTATCGACCGCCTATCCGTTGATCGGCGTCGATGATGATTTGTCTTTGAAGACACCGTATGGTGCTGTTGAGGTGCTGGTGAGGAAACAGAATGAACTTTGGCAGCGATCGGCAGCTCTGACTCGGCTAGCGAAGCGTTTGCATGTGCCAAAGCTTAATTTCCAAACATCCACCAAATGCGGAAGTCACGTCAAAACTACCATTCGACAATATTCAAAAACTCAACAGCGACCAAAATCGAAAAACAATCGATCAAATAAATCGAAGACCTCCAAATATTTATTCAAAAAGATCACCCCCTCAGACTCGCCGCCCACATGGAGGTCGAGAAACAACCCGGTTCGAACGGATGGTTTGCTGCGGTTTATCCGTCAAGCGCGTACACCACTGAGCTAAGCTCAATGGCCCGGTTCTCTTGACGAACTGACAGTGGAGGGGTAGAAACTAATTATGTAGTTTGATTGCTTTTCGGCGAACTTTCGGAAGTGAGGCATTTGGGCGGCGGTGGCGGCGGTGGCGGCGGCGGGGTGCGGAGGCGGGCTTGGGTGATGTGTTTTGGACTGTTTGTTGCTGTCTGTCGAGGTTCGTTCTGTGGTGTTGGTGAGTATCTGTTCCATTCGTAGGTGTATTTGGATGTCAGTCTGTTTGCTCGAGTGCTTCACCTTTCACGCCCATCATCGACTTGCTCTACTCACCGATTGGACGATGCAGCATCAAGGCGACGTGACGTCCATAGTACATTGTCAATCTATGTAACTCAATTATCCCTCGCCCAGTTCATACCGTCCCTCCGCGCATTTGTCCCTACAGCCCCCTGTTTCTCTTCGATATGACGCCGCTAGATTGCAGCTATGACCATGAAGATCTGCTCAGCTTGTCTGTTGTCATTATCAGAATTCCTCCATGATGTCCCTGCTGCAGGATCGCATCAATCGCTAATACCGCTGCTCCATATGGCCCTGTGCACGCGCATCCAGTAATATGCACCTCAGGCTGATCATTTCCACTCGACACAGGGTTAGTGGTGTTGTTCAAGTCTATGAAGATTTTGTCATGATAGACTCCATCGCAGACTGTACGTCCAACCATCTCGAACTTGCGAAGATGGGCAACAAAGTCATTGGTGGCGGTCGACATCGTCCAGTAGTCCCAGAACGTGCGGTCCCTTCGCAGGTCCATAGTAACCTCCATTTGACCGTAGAAGTAGGTAATGACCTCATTGTAGATGTCTGGACCTGGAGTACCAGGTGGCTGAGGTCCATATGCCCTAGCCAGCCCAGGGACATGCAACTGCGCCAGCCGGACCTGTTGGTTGAAGTACGCAGTAGCGCTGAGGTCATCGGAGAGGTATCGTCGATAGACCATGTTGCCGAGCTCAGCGGGCAGGGACAGAAAGTCGAAAGACATGCTGGAGTGGTCGTGGAGTAGTAGAGTTGGATGGGGTGTGTAAATGAGTGTACGATATCTCGACCAGCGAGTATATCAAGTAATGAACGTTTGATCGGGATGTGTGAATGGTGTTGAAGTGATCTGCTGAGAAAAGATCCGTCAATCGAAGTGTGTGCTTTAATACCTGCTGCATCTTTCCTCACCAGCTGAGATGTTGCAGCATCGCCCTTCGTGCCTTTGTCGTCTTGTTTCAGGGAGGAGAGACCGTCCCATTTCAGCATCGAGCTGAGACTCGGTGACTGGTTTCAAACTGGTGGAAGGTTCTGTTACTGCCCTCGAGTGTTCTAGTGGCGGTTCACCTTGTGTAGTGGTTTCTTTCCAGACAATGCGATTGTGCCCTCGAAAGTACGAACAAGATCGGTACATCGAGACTGTCTTAGTAGAGTGTCTCGCATAGTGTGACCGGACGCCCTGCTGGCCACTGCACCCCGAACATCATGCCAGCAGCATCAAACATCCTCGCCAGTGCATCTTTCGTCAGTACCGTCCTGCCGTCGACAGCGCTCAGGCCATCGACAATCGCTTGCAGCCGCTTCACAACGATATGAACCATCTTCCCTTCCAGACAAGCCTTGAAAGCCGGGTCTAGAACCGAGACGGCCGTCTTTCTCAAGTCGACGAGGATCAAAGCGTGATGCTCAAAGTCCAACGAGCCATGTCTGAACGTGATGTCTCTCATCGACGAGATGGCAGTCTCATCCTGACAGGCAAGCCACCTTCGCGCGGATTCTATGTCTTTGTGCCAGAGGAAGTCGAAGGTGAATGGTGTGGAAGAATAGTATGTGAAGAGCGCCTCGTATCGGATCTCGCGACAAATTTGCGAGATGGAGTACGGCGTCGTTGGCGAAGCTGACTTTCTGCAGCTTGGTCGAATGCCGAAGGTGAACACTGACCCGACTGAGAAGTTGGTGGGTTGTGGCATGAGATATTGGTATATCTCTTCTCGAAGCTCTTTTGGCAGGTCGAGGAAGCGGAAGTGCTTGGATTTTTCGTAAACTCGCGACATGATATAAGTTCAAGGTGGCTCAGGGGACACAAGGATGAGAGTGAGCAGAGAGGGACATTGGTGGAGAAAAGCCAACGTGCCGTGATTGAAAAACCTGCCCTCATTGACTGAGGATCGGTTCCTGAGGGCAGTTTGATCATCATTAGAGTTTCTCTCGGGCGCATGTCAGGCTCCGAGCTGAACACCATTCGCTGCTGAAGATTGCCAAGTTCGGACAATGCTCGCAATACCAACAAAGATCTCGTGCGGTATTGCACCAGTAAGTAGGGTTGCGAGAAGCCGAGCCTGGCCATCGCGGCTGACTGTGAGCGGCGCGGCCTATCATGGTATACACACTCCGTGTGCCAGCCGGACGATGTTGTCGAGCACGTTCTTAGTCAGACGCTTCCTCCCATCAGCCGCTTCGATGCCACCGACAACCTCTTGAATCTGCTTGACAATCTTCGGCACCACCTCTTCCTTGATGCACTTATCGCATGATGCGAAGGATCCCTCGTCCAGAACGACTGTGCCTCTGAGTATGTCGACTTGGATCTTAGCTCGATGCCAATCGTCTCCATGATCGACGTTTGAGTGGTGCAAGAGCTCAATCTTCCGCATGCACGACACCGCGACTTCATTCTGAGCATCAACCCAGCCGTGACTGGCGGAGCATTTGCGACTTGAGATGCGGAAGATGAAGGTCGTCTTGGAGAAGTACACAGCCAGTGCTTCCTGCCGCAAGACACGGCTCGCCTGTGCCAGAGCGTAGCGTTTTGGCATCGTCGTCTGGTAGGCGCCCACCTTGATTGTCGTGTTGTTAATGGGGACAGGTGAAGCAATCTGATAGACTTTCTCTCGGATCTCTGGTGGAAGATCCATGAACCTGAAAGGTTCTACTGGACTTGCAGATGCTGCCGCGTCGGGGTTGAGCGGATTGTGATTCTCGAAGTCGCAGGCGGAGGTAGGGACGTTTTCTTGAGGCGGTGCCTCTCCAGTAGATAACATCTCGTTTGATTGACTGGAGGCTGTGAGCTGTTGAATGGTCTGCTGAGGTGGTGCCAAATGTACCTGGTGCTGGCCTCTACCAGTGTTCGCTTGGCTGGATGTACAGCACCGCGCAGCAGATTTTCAGTAGGACGACATGTGGGAGTTGGCACTGTCTGCGGGTAGAGGTCGGGAAAGCGAAGACATATCTGGCGTTTGTTCGTGGAGCTAGTGTTGCAAACGCCGCCGTTGCCAGGCAGCCGCGCAAACTGCCATCAAGATGTGAAAGTTGAAGTTTGTTGCGGCTCTTCCACAAATTATGTCCATACTCGAGCTCTTTCTACACAGATTCATCATTGCGTGGCTTATGAAGACTTCTTCGCCTCTCTTTCCGCCTTCCTCAACGCTCTCTTGCGGATATCCTCATGCATGCTCTTGTTGATGTTCAGAACGATGCCGCTCATGGTGCCCACGAACGATTGGATTGCCCAATGCATGATGCCATGCGACCAGTACGGTGTGCTCGTACCAGCCATACCTTGCGCTCCACCCGACCTTCCAAGCCGACTCAATGCAGCTTTGACAAACTGCTTTGGGTTCGGAATAAGCGCCGATGAGCGTCTAATCTTGCTCATCGCAGAAGTCACAAGATATGACTGCACAAGCTGGACGTGGATGTTGTAGGGTGCAAGTTCGGCGCTCAAGGCTGTCGACCAATGCTGAAGGAAAGCCTTGCTGCCGCTGTATGTGGCGAGCAATGGTGTAGGAGTCAAACCACCGAATGAGCCCATGGTCAAGATCAGGCCACGCTTCCGCTGGATCATGCCCGGGGTAATCAGCTGCGTGACGCGCAGCGTACCCATACAGTTGATCGTGATGATGTCCTTCATCTCTGATTCGGTCGTCTCGTTGAATGGCACAGGAATGCTGTGACTCTGGCCCACATTGTTGATCAAGACAGAGATGTCCAAGTCAGAGATGAGCTTGTTGAGCGCCTTGTAATCCGAATCTTTATTGGCCGCGAAGTCCATCGCATACACCTTGGTCTGCACTTTGTACTTCTCTTGAATCTCCGAGGCCAGCGCATCAAGCTTCGACTTTGTACGGGAAACGAGGACGATGTTGTAGGTCTTTGCAGCGAGCTGGAGTGAGTATTCTTTGCCAATGCCGTCGGAGGCTCCGGTTACGACAACCCAAGTGCCTTCTCTGCCAAACTTCGAAAGCTACACACAGTTAGCTTAGTGACGCTTATACGATGCGGCACGATCCATACCGATTTACCTGGGAGGATGAACAGCGACGCTATCATCCTCCAAAAGGTGAAGATCTTGTACGAGACGAACACGATGCCAATGACCGTGAACACCTGTTGCGTTGGGGACGCCCAAGGGTCGTTTGTAGCGAAGACATCCTCGACTTTCTCCATCTTGAAGCCTCACTTGGTCTGTTCAATGTTGTATACCAGAACGGCGTTGGGAGTGAGGTTGATGCTGAAGACGACAACGAGGTGGAGCTGATGTCGCGCTATGCCTGTTCCTGAAATTCGCTTGGCTCGGCCCGGTGCACAGACATTCTCCTGAACTCCAGGACGTGAGGTGAATGCTTTCTGTTCTCCATACCGTACACAAGTTCGTACGCCGACCACCGCCAGTACCGATCAGCCTCAAACATCGAAGTCCCAGAATATCTTTGTTGGCACAATGTCATCACTGGGCGCCATCGGCTCCTACCTGCCGCCAAGCGACGGTCTGCTCCCCAAATGGCTCCTATTCGTATGTATTGCCAGCTATTTTCATCGCCCCATGGGCAGCACCATCTCTGACCGCAGCAAAGATAGCAGTCGTATCTATAGGCAACAGCGTCCAGGCCTACGTGTCGCTGGCCGGCACTCGAGAGGTGTACTCCGGGTCATCCGCTACCACAACCCAGACCACCGGTTCAGGCGACACGAAGACGTCGACCACATCGCCGGTCAATGAGCTCAGCGCAAGAACTTTCGGCACTTGGACGGCGCTCAGCAGCATCGTCAGATTGTACACGGCTTACAACATACACGATCCTCTGGTGTACCAGTTGTGCTTGTGGACCTACGGTCTTGCTTTTGCTCACTTCGTCAGCGAGTGGCTGGTCTTTGGGTCTGCTAAATGGGGGCGCGGCCTGGTCTCACCCCTGATAGTCAGCACTGTCACGGGAGTGTGGATGTTGTCCCAGTGGGACAGCTATGTGCGGTGAAGGTCGTGTAGCCTCACCACGGACGAATCTCCAGTGCTTGACGGCATTTCGAGGCTCCTCGCAGTTGTGCAGCTGCAAACCTCTCAAGTTTTTTTGGTGGCAAAGTCCGGAACATGCATCACGCAAGATCAAATTCACAAGCTTTCGTTTTGGCTTTGACCAAATTTAGACTGATCCTTGAACCCAGCCGTAGAGCCATGGTCAGAGCGGTTTGCACTCCATTGCTTGGCTTTTCCGAGCAAGCCCAGGCCGGACTTATAGCAGCGCTTTTGACCTATAGACAGGTCTCACAGGCTGCTTCAGTGGCCGTAATATCTTGAAAATCTCCGACATTTTTCGTGCATTCACAGTCATTCAGTGAGGTGCTGGAGTCCACTCTCAACGATTCCGGGACCAGCGCTACATTCCGACTCCACAGTGGTGACCAAGGTTTATTGGAAAGATGGAGAAGGCCCTGTACGCATGTGATCAGTGCTACCGCTGCAAGACGCGTTGCGCGAAAGAACTCCCTCGGTGCCAGAGATGCCAACGACAGAACAATGTATGCACATACAGCGTGACTGGATCCGAAATCTTCACTCTCGCCGGCGAGATCACCACGGACCAGACAGACGCCGCTCATGCCAGCCGTCACAACAGCTCAGTACGATCTGCCATCTGTCGGCGCGACAAACCCTGGACGAACGTCACCCAAGGCCATCGAGCGCTGATGAGCAAGGCAAATCAATCTTCCCAGATCGCTGTAACATGGTCGAGAAAAGCACCCGAGGGCGAGCTCAAGCCAGAACTGTCGCCAAATCACTCCATTTCGAGTCATTCCGATGTGTATCACAATATACTACAGAATGCAAGCGCGACAACACCTGAAAACCTATGTGATTGCATTCGTCGTAACCTGGAGTCCACGAGGGATATCTATCTTGGCAGTATTCGGTGGGATACGTCGCACAACATGACCGTTCTCAACCAAGGCATATTGTCTTGCGAGCCTTGCCTCTCGTGCTCAGCTACACGTTGCAGAATGGCCGCCATTAGCTCACTCTTGTTCCTCCAAAGGGCGTTGATGTGCATGACGCAGGCTTCATTTCCTTTAGTGGCCGCCTTCGGAGATGGAGGGCTCGCGTTGCTGTGTCAATCAATTCTCAGTCATCTTCAAGCCAACTTCTCTTTGAGTGTGGCCGATGGGCCTGAATCTCTCCACTCGGTTTCGCAGCTGTATGAGAGTATACAGAAAGGCTTTACTGGACTCCTCGCTGGACCTTGGCTTAGCACATGAATGCAGAGGGCGTGTAGGACGAGAGTCCGGATCATGGTCCTAAGCATTGCTTGTACCCGGTGCATGGCGTCGTCAAACTCTGAATCGCATAATCCGGACACGCTCGTATACTACAGCCATACCTTGTGTCGCTGTCTGTTCTTGCCAGGTCTATCGAGCACCCGAGTGGACCTTACGCAACGCAGGCCTGGGTCCCTGGCAAAGTTTGGCTGCTTCAATAGAAGCATTGACCTCGTTGCCCCTTCTCCGTTGACGTACGTTCGAAAATCGGACAAGTTGATACCCATCGCCTCAACCTTTAAAAGAAAGGGGCTGCATCCCCTCTGCCTTCAGACCATCGCCAATACTACTGTCGCTACCCTCCATACCGTTCTATTGACATCGTTTTCGACAAGCTTCTTCACAATGAAGTTCAGCCATTCGATAATCCTCGCCTTCCTGGCAGCCACAGCTTCGGCGTACCCCATTCATGAAGGTAGGTCAATCCGCGTGTCCCCTTGTTGTCTACTTTGCTGACAAACATCGCCCAGGGAAAGCCGTCAAGAAAGATGCTAATGTCGATGCGGCTGATGTTCACAACACTGGCATCAAGCGTTCTCCTGTAGACCAATCTGCCGAGGGACAGCCTCAGCCTTACCAAGCTCATCAAGAGGCTCCTCCTCCGGCTCAGCCTGTCGCACCACCGCCTACCTCTGAGTACGGGAAACCACCCGAGAAACCCGCAGCACCACCTCCTGAGAAGCCCGCCACGCCTCCTCCCGAGAAGCCTGTCGCCCCACCGCCTGAGAAGCCTGCAACACCACCACCTATCTCTGAGTACGGCAAACCACCTGAGAAGCCAGCCACGCCGCCTCCTGAGAAGCCCGCCACGCCTCCTCCTGAGAAGCCTGTCGCCCCACCGCCGGAGAAGCCTGTCGCCCCACCGTCTGGGAAACCTGCAACACCACCACCAGTCCATCCACCTGTTGCGGAATACCATGCTACACCTCAGGCGCCGCCAAAGCCAGAGAAGCAGCCCCCACACGAGGAGCCCAAAGCACCTGTACCAAAGCAGCCTGAGGCACCTGTACCAAAGCAGCCTGAGGCACCTCATGCTCAGCCACCAACATATGCTCCTCCGCCGCCTAGTAGCTATGGTTCATCTCCTGCTCCTGGTGGGGATCATGCCTCTGCTCCGTCGGCAAATATGCAGCAGCAGCAACAGCAGCAACAATCAGGGTCTGTTCCGGCGAACTCCAACCATGCAGCTCCAGCCTCTCTCCAGCAGCAGCAACAACAGTCGGGACAGAATGGTGGCAAGGGCGATGAGGAAAATGAAGACGAGGACGAAGACGAGGAGGACGAAGACGATGAGGACGAGGATGAGGACGAGGACGAGGCCGAAGAAGAAGGAAAAGGAAAGGGAGGAGCCCCGCCAATGGCTGGAAGCTCTTCGAACCAGCAATCTGATTTGCACCACCAGGCCTCTCAGCATCCTCCTCCTTCTAACGGAGCTGGCGGTGCTGCTTCGGATCCACATGGCGGGCACTAGAATGGGTCGAGTGAAGAGCTTGGTGCATAACACTGCTTGACGCAGTTTCATGCTCGCATGTTGAGACACTGACGCTTGGTGGAAAGGGATTGCATTCTGTTGAGAGGACGCTCATTCTTCAGCACTTCGTTACGATTTTGTATTGTTTGATTCGTGTCTATCGCTCATTTGCTATACTGCCAACTTTTATACTTTACGGCCTAATGAAGAACACTTTTTGACATGTTTTGTGTTGACCTTGTACCTTCCCCTTCCCCTGACGTCGATTGCGCACGTGTTGCCAAGACACTAAGACTTGGCTGAACTCGACTTCACCTCTAACATCTTCTCTTCTCCTAACACTTCATCCACCAACACAAGATCATAGCAGATGCCTCGCCCCGGCATATGTGCTGTTAATATCATTGGTCATATCCATCGTTGTTCGGCAGCACTTCGGCTTCGTCCACTGGACTTCACTTGCTCCCGCAAGGTTCCGCAAATCGACTTGCCGGAGCATGAAAACATGCGAAACTGCAGCACATCTTATGCGCATATCCAACACTATGGTATTTCCTTCGCCGACAGCTGATCTCTTCATCAATTGGTCCTGGTGCATGAGCAGCAATCCTCGGACTTACACGAGGTTGGGAAGGCACGCAAAGTGAGCTATATATAAGTCTCACCAACATTGCCGCAGCTCGACGCTCTCCGGTCAGCACAAACTCTAAGGATTCAAAGTTCTTACGACAACGTCCATGGAGCTTTTCTGGAATTCCAGAAAGGCTGGGATCGAAACCGCCCCCTTGACTTCACAAGCATGCTCCTCCCACGTTCAAGCAACGTGGACGCTTTCTCGAAGCACTCGCCAAGATCTCTTTACCGACCATTAGGGGACTTGCGAAGGAACCATACCAACAGCTTCGATATCAGCCGGTCCAGAACCGCTTCAGAACGCATGGCTTCCGAAAGCACATCGCTAACTGCACAATGACACTTTACTGCCCCTGATCTCCAAGCCCAAAATGGCCGATCACGAACGGCCGCTGGCGCCCGAAGAAATTGCTGGGGATGCGAAGTATCTCATCGTTGACCAAAACACGATTGCTTTTTTGGACTCCCATTGTCTTCGACCACTAACGGCGTTAGAACAGCTCCAACAGGTTGTGGACATCACCTTCATTGGCTCGCTGGGCTCATCCGTTTTCGACACTTTCAAGTCGTATTGATAGTATGTTGCAGCTCGAAATAAATGATGCTGCATGAAGACAATCGCTCGATCGACTTTGCTGATAGGCCTTGCAACAACAGGTTCATACACGCTCCAGCACCTTGGGCCCTGAACGGCAACGGTAACAACCAGCGGAAGGCGCCCTTCCGCGATGGACGAAGACGATTTTTTTAGTATACCAATCGTCAATCCATACCACAGAAAGTATGAACTTTGGGCTAAAAGAGTTCTCGAGCACGTGGAATATGAAGACCAGGACAGGCTGCATCACGCGAAACAGTCGACATTGCCCTTCACATGTCTCCCCTGTATGCAAGGTTCCATGCTTCTCCGTCGTTTTCTGGAAGCCGCCGAAGAGCCATACATAGCTATGAAAGCTCCACCAAACATCGGGTATGTGGGTTCATTTTCGTCTATCACTGGTTTCCTACTGCCGTTCGCTACATAAATTCGCTACACACGCTCGCTATTTACATTCATTTTGACGATGCCGACCCCTTCTTGCGACCAATGTCACCGTAAACGGCTTCAATGCGCTGGCGGCAGGCCTACCTGTGTTCATTGCGCCAATACTGGACAGGTCTGCACATACAGTACTGGAAAGCCCGTCGGCAAGCCAAAAGGTCACAGAAAAGCGAAGAGAAACGAATCTGCAGAATTTGAAGTGAAGGACTTGACAGGAGACTCCGGTGTCCGGCATCAGCGTGATAGTACAAGCGACTCGTCACCAAGCTTCTCAGACGTCAACGAGACCGGTAGCATGTCACACATGGGAATGGGCCGCAGTCCCATTGTCGGATTAACATCATCTCCATCGGCTGCAGGATCGATACCAGCGGACACGCCTTTTTCCTCATTCACCGCTCCCGGCTACTCTCATGCTGCACTTATCCCAAATGCACTATCTCAGGACGTCAATATGGTACCTACCGACTATACGTCCGCTCTTACGACGATGCCGGTGCCCGTCAACAGTGTTCTGTCCCCAGACTTGACTCAACATGAATGGCAGTCAATGCTCCAGCAATCTTCTGCAGCTGTTTCCATGCAGATTGGCACCCAGCTTCTGCCTTCGTACTATTCATCGGCGTTGACTGGACCTCAGACTAGTCTACACGAATCTTTCACATACAACGGCAACACGGCCTTCGCCAACGGACATTATACGCCCTCGGGCTTTGCGATGCCTCCGGAGCAAAGTGGATCGTCATCTGGCGACACAGACAGCCACGTTCTCTCACGGGTCATCGAATTGCTCTTCAGATGTCAGTCCCATGATCCAGGCTCCTTCGACACGACTTTAGACCTAATACATAATTGTATTGAAGACGCGCGAATCTCATTCTATCGATGCTCTGCTCCAAGCGAACGATACTCGATGATGTTCGTCATGTTTTTGCAGCAGTCGATCAGCGGATGCCAGAAGCTGCTGCAGCTGGCAATGAATATTGATGAACGACCACATTCTCGACTACCGCGACAGACTGTTTCCCGAGACACGGACCAAGCAGCCAGCGAGACTTCTAGGATGGAAACGCAGACCTTGGAAGCTAGCGTCAGAGTCTCCGTCGCTCAAGCAGAATTGGCAAGGCTTCGACAGCTGACAGAGGACTTCAAGGCCTCGGTGGTACAGAGAAGCTGCAATGCGGGAGATCATGCATATTTGTGGTCTTTACTCGAAGCTCCTGACGAGTCGCTCACTGCGTTGCAGCAGAGAGTTCCCTGCTTGAGATTCTGATGTCAGCGATGCCTGCTGGCAGTGCTCAAGAGATAAATCACTTGACTCTGGTCATACCCACGTGCTTGCACTGCGCAGGCACCAGATGGTCCGATATCACCTCACCTTCTTGCATAAGATACGCACTGCTACATGCTACATGCTACATTGTCGCATTGGCGTTGTTTCAACTGCCGAACTCATACTACATCATACAGTAAGTCTTTCAACCGGGAGGTGCGGCCAGAAAGTACGTACTGTACATCGTACCACAAGTACATTTCACATGCTACATGAATCTTACAGTTCAAAGAAATCGAGCAAGGCGGTGAGGTCAGCCAGCTGCTGAGATACCTACAATCTTGTTCGCCTCGGTATAGACTGCGGCTAGAACAATTATCATCGCCATGGCATGTGCGATGTCAAACTTCAACGTCGCTCAAAGAGCCGCACGAGGCCAAATATAGGGGGCCTCGTCAGGGTACCTGCACTTGACGGGCGGAATGCAGTCGGCTCCCACATGGAGAAGACTTGTACGTCGCACGCACGCAAAGTTCGCGACCATTGTGCTCGAAAGAACCAGCGTTGTACTGCCATCAGACACGAGTCGCGTCTCAGGATTAGACATTCGACTCGTATATGCTTTGCACGACTGACAGGCAGAACCGTGGGCAGCATCGACGTGATTGGCGGTCCACGAGACGCTGTACCACTGCATGGCCAATCTCTTGCATATTCCATTCTTGACGAAGGGCAGCAAACAAGTGGCTCGGATGTGCAGCGAGAGAACGATTGGGTGGGTGATTGCGACGCGAGCGTACAGCACGCGGAGGCTGCATGGAATGTGACAGCTGCAAGGCGCCCGAAAGGGGAGTGCGTGGCCGGGGCAAGAGTGCTGTGGCTGCTGGAAGAGGCCATGATGCCGCGCTCGGTACACCACCCCGACCCCATTGCGCTCCGCCGTCTGCCCTTGTGTCCAGGATGGGTGGATGTTGTTTGTCGGCTGGAGGGTGGTGGCCGTCGAGGTTTGCCTTTGCCGACCGTTGCGCTGTCAAGCCGCGGCGTGCAACGGATACAACGTGGGAGCATCGTGGGATGAGTTGGGGATGACTGCCCTGATGATGTTTGATTTCGCTCTTCCCTGTTTTCACACCACCCCGTCGTTACGCAGACACCATCACCAGACCTCGCCAGCGATCCATCGCTGCGGTTCTTTTCCTGCGCTGCGCCCGTAGCGGTCATTTGCCGTCGCAGACCGAATCCTGCGAGCGACCTCGCCGCCGGCCAGCAGTCATCAGCTCCGTTTCGACTTGAATGTCCATCACCACCACCTCCTTCCTCCACCGTGGCGGCTGAATTCGACGTGTCTGTCGGCCTTGTCAGAGCCCCTGCGACTGTCGCCATCTCGCACCCCGCAGCGTCGATAACGACCCCTGCTCTGGAGCGAGCGGTACAACTTTTCTAGCGCTTCGCCCCGCCCAGCGATCAATACTTCCATCTGACCTTGCCTTGCGTGAGCCGACGCAGGAACACTTTCTTCACGTCGAACCTCTCCCGCCATCTCCCTTTCTTTCATCCAGACCATGGCATTGTGCTCCCTCCCGTGACCGCTGTCAGTCACGCCCCCCTCGGCTGCCATTGCCACGCTGCGGAAACCCTGCGACGACGTGCATACTGCACCTATCCGCCAGCCCTGAAGCTGAAACCACGGCTCAGCAAATATCCTGCGTCCCGCCGATACTGCTCTCGCCGACTGCGAGCCAAACATCTTTCCTGCCTTCCTGCCTCCCTGCGCCGCGGCAGCGGGCTCGCTATTGCAGCTGTCGAACATCCGTCCCGACCCATAGATTCCACTGACACCTTGGGGAACCATCACGAGAACGCAGCGACTGTCATTCCGGCCGGCGAATATATCGGCTGGGATCAGTGGCATCTGGAACCACCCCGCCGGCGCGCGTTTGCTTGCTTGCATGGGACATGGCAGATGTCTTCTACTTCAACAGCCCGCACGAGTCTGCTTCTGATCTGGCCAAGCACCGTTCGACTTTGAAGCGCAGAGCTGATGCGAGGAGGAAGATCAAGAGTCGATTCGCGGATGTCAATATGTTTACCCAACGAGCGTGTGTTGCTCACTATGATGAGCCTGTTTTCTGCCCCAGCGATGCATCGAATCTGCCTTTACCTGGATCTTTGACGAATGCGATGCCCTCGACGAATTTCGAATTGTATGACGACTGGAACGAGGCACTGGACGATGACGACGAGGGAGGAGGTGTTCAACTTCCTCCTGCGAACGACGATACCATCATGGCCGACGAAAACAATCTACACGATTCTTTACAAACTATACAGACAGCATACGATTACTCTGCTTTCAGCGACGATACCACCCCGCAAATGTACTTTCACTCTGTACCATCCTACAATTCATCTATTAGAGGACCTAGCATCCCGAGACCTGTGCATCCAAGGCCGGAAACTCGAGATCTGTGGGAGGATGAAGACGGTCGCAGACTGCGACTGGCATTAGAAGGCGATGGACCTGACGAAGAGCCACGATTTGATTTTCCCGCATTAGCCTCGCATTCTTCGAATCAGACTCCTCGAGGATTGGCATCAAGATCTGAATCTCGACAGTCAAGGGCACAATCACAAGCTTCCAACACAACATCGGCTTTGCCCTCACGGCGAGCGTCGACACATGGTGCTCTTGACCAACAGCAAGCACAGACCGATGGTTGGTTTTGGTCGAATCTTGATACTTGGCCAGCTCCTCTAGGCCAGCTCAACATGGAGATGAACTTTGATGAAGACGCTCTAGCCGTTGACGACCCCCGACGAGATTACGACTTTGCAGACTTCATGGACAATTGGCGGCTGAGATCGATCAAAGACCGCCGTTTGCCGCCTTTCGAACTTGGACCGCAAACTTCAATCCGACTTGGACGGCCCACGCGGCCTGTATCGAGGCATGATGTTGCTTCAAGTATTGATGTGCAAGGCATTCGGTGGGAGGTCATTGGCCCATTGAGAGGGAGCGCTGTCAAGGCACGAAGTATCTTGCATCCCTCGCCAGCCTCTGTGACAACGGAAGCTCGACATGCGAAAAGAAATAGGCAGCACAGGAAACACTACCAATTTAGATCTTTCAACCCAGCACACAAGGCGAAGGTCAGTCACTATCAGCTGCGCAACGTCCTTGGAGCTACGAGCCGCAACGAAGTTTTCTACGCTACCGGAAGCCAAGTGATGCGCACCTCACTGGCATGCCCAGATCTCCAGCAGACCGCGATGGACCTTTCGAGACCGCAGAGCTCGAATGCCGGATTTCGCGTCACCTGTCTTTCAGCGTCGCCGAGGCAGAGCCTACAGAATCAGGGAGTCCTCGTTGTTGGTGGATTCTTTGGCGAGTATGCTGTGTGCAACATCGACTCCGCTGATGGAGCTGTCAGTGAAGGCTTCGTAACTCATGCCTATAATGGACTGGTGACGCATATCCACACGTATGGCAACCGTCGCTCAGGGATGCCACAAGCGGCTTTCTGCTCAAATGACCGCATGGTACGGTTGATGGATGTACCCTCCTTGCGGTTCACGAACGAATTCGCATACGAACATGCGATCAACTGCGCCTCAACATCGCCAGATGGACGGCTGAGAGTTCTTGTTGGCGACAGTCAGGAGACTCTGATTACGAACGCCGAGACTGGCCACACGCTCGTCACACTCCGAGAACACGGCGATCATGGGTTTGCCTGCGATTGGTCTCAAGATGGCGTGCATGTTGCTACAGCAGCCCAAGATGGCGGCGTCTTGGTTTGGGATGCTCGGAACTGGTCCAAGCCGTGCAAGTCTTGGGGCAGCTCAACATCGTGCGCCCGGTCTGTACAGTGGACTGATAATGGCGCTCTCGTCGTTGCGGAGAATGATGATATCGTGAGAGTCTATGACGGGGCGAAGGGGCAGCATTACCAAGAGATCGACTTCTTCGGTTCGATCGCCGGCGTTGCATTAGTCGACGGTGGCGAGGAGCTGATTGTTGCGAACGCTGACAAGACTGTTGGTGGATTGCTCTCGTTTGAGAGCTCGGCTCAGGGGTTCGGCGAGTGGAGTACTCGTGGGAGGCAGGTTGATGAGAAAATGAGCTGGAGCTCGGTGAGAGAGGTAGAAGCCACGTCGAGGCTTGTGGCAGATATCTTCGTATGATGATGTTGATGGTATCCCACTTTCCAAGACAGAATCCTGGCCAGACAGTCAGTCTGCTTCCATATGCAGCTTCGCATCCTGCGTTTCAGACTGTCGTGTCGGCGCGTATTCGAGTGGGCAAGCCACCCACGTGAATCTCCTCTACACTCAAGACTTCCAGCCTTTCGATTCAAAGTGCTTCCAGAATATAGAAGCCACACCACCACCAGCTAATCGTTTTATAGCCAGGTCACGCAAGAAATAGTCGGGATGCAAGCCTACCAATACCAGCCTTTGCAATCAGGCTCAATCCGCGTTCTACACATAACCGCCGGCACAGGCGACTGCATTCAAGCGAAGTTGGAGGCCGTCGAGCTCCGGAAAGGATGCTCCAGTCAAATATACAACACACTTTCGTATTGCTGGGGAGTGGAAAGAAGTACCTATGACATGGTGATTGATGGCGCCACCCTCAAAGTCAGACCAAATCTCCATAACATTCTGCTCCGGATCCGACAGAAGGCCTTCAAGCTACCGATCTGGATCGATGCGATTTGCATAAACCAAGAAGACGAAACAGAGAAGGTTCAACAGATTCAGCTCATGTCACAGATATACTCGACCGCTGAGAGTGTGATTATCTGGCTTGGTGAGGAGTCTAGCTATACCAGACAAGCTGCCAAGGCGTTGAAGAAGATTGAAAGGAGATTTATCGATGACGGATATTTCGATCGAACCCAGATGACGAGAAACGCGGAACGAGGCATTGGAGAGATGCTTACCAGTCCGTGGTTCAATCGGCTCTGGGTACTTCAAGAAGCTATCAAAGCCAGACACCGTCTCGTACTATGCGGCAGCCATTCTATTGATTTAGAGGCATTAGGCTTTGCAGCGAACTATTTCCGCGACAACGGCCTGATCGCGAGCTATCTCAAGGATAACAACACCGAGCTTGCCCTCACAGGCTTTGGATGTATTCAGGAGATCCAACAATTCGAGACATCGATCCGCATTGGCGAATGGTGGCCTGCGACAGACATGTGCCGGGAAAGGGGTTGTTCTCAACCCAAAGACCGTATCTACGCCATCCATGGCATCGTCCCGGGTATTCATGAGCGAATGCAAGGTATCAGGTCTTATCGATTTGAGCCCACGACCACTGTGAAGGACCTCTACGTGCCGTTCACGGCGATGCACTTGGATCCATTTGGAAGAACGATTCGAACGGCGCCAGCAAAAACCAGAGATCCAACTCTACCCAGTTGGTGTCCTGACTACCACCAAAGTCGGATTCACGAGCCTGTGGATCTGGACATAAGGTCAGACATGGCGGAGGAGTACAAGAAGCTCAGCGGTGAAGATGTGATTGGCCGTGGTAAACCCTACAGCTGGAATCAAAACAAATCCAAAAGGCTTTTCGTCGATGCTCTACTTGTGGATGAGGTCCGACTTCCATTAGGCCGCCTTGGCTTTTCGCGGGAAGTACCATAGATGGCTATGACGACGTTTACTCTGGCAGACAATGTTCACCAAGAGCTCAGATTGAGGTAGATCTACACAAGTCAACTAAGGAAACACCTAGACAGCTCAGATTTCTCAAGTTCAATCTAAATTTCATTCAAATTCTAGTTCCTAGGCTGTCAATTTGTCCTGTACCGACTTCGACGCGCATAGACTCTGGATTTTACTGCAGACCGTGCCGTTAAACAAATCAGGACATCAGAGATTTTGTGTCGAATGAAAACTTCACCTTCTGCTATGGCTATTTATCCTGTTATCGAGAGCCTGCCAAAGGTTTCGGCGAGTTCCCTCTCCCTGCGAAGACTGCCTTCTAGGACTGTTCTTAGTCCTTCGCAGAACCGAGCGACCTCTGACAGAGTTGGGTCGACATTGGTGGAGAAGTTGAAATCGATTATACTGTCTGGATCGAATGGCCGAGGTAGTTGCAGATAACTGAATTTTAGCCCGAGCTCATCCGCCGACGGAGTCAAAGGACCGCACAGCAGGCTAAGAAAGGCGATTATCATCGTGACTTGGAACTCCCTCCCGAATAGTGCGCTTATTAGAACAATCGTTGGGAAGATAGAGGCGAAGTCCGATTGTTGACTTTCGCGTCGTAGGCGTTCCCTTTCGATTCGAAAATGAAGCTGTGTATCGCGAATGTCCCGGCTCCAGAATGACTCAAGGGAGCCACATGTATCGGCATTATACAGCGAGTCCCAATGCACGGCTCGATAACATGGATCGTTCGGGGAATTGCGAATTGGTCCGTAGAATAGGTACTCCGAGATAGGGTATCTTGGATTCAGCTTGGATTTCTTCTTGTCATCGTCTTTCGGAATGTTGTAGACTTTCATCAGCACAGTCGTTGGGAATATAGCCATATCATGTATCTTGCGGGTGTCCATGATTGCGATGTGGACATTCGTTTTTCTCTCATAGTTGCGCATGCGAGCGGCATGCTCCAGTACCCAAAGCAATGAGCTAGACCAGGAAATAAAATTGGATCGATTCCCATATTCCCACAAAAGATGTGCTCGCAGCATTGAGCTTACGGTCTCCCGGGGACAAGAAAATAGGCTCTGTCGTGGAAACTGTTGACTCTTATCTGGCCGCATCTCCGTGGTGTTGTTAGTGCCGCGGGAATCCTCCACGGAAAAGGCTCGAAAAAGAAAGGGCGGGATCCCAGAAGTGGCTGCTGAGCTGAGTTCAGTCGCCTTGTTCAAATGCTCGCTCAGGACCAATCTACCTTGTAGTTCCTGGACACCTTGATAGTCCAAAAATGTCTCCTCTGTGACTTGCATCGTTGCTTCAGTAACAAGCTCCTAAATGTGACTTGGCAATTGAAACTGCTGGGTACGACTTTCAGACAGAGGCCGCTTTTCGTGGTGGGGGGAACTTGTTGAGATTTCGAATTCAAGAATCAGCCGGGTCGGCTGTCTACAAGTATCACTCAGCACAAATCGTCTGCTCAGGGAGGGTTGCATTTCTACGGTGACTCGATGATCACCACTACGTCTACTGCATCATATGCACTCCAGATCACCCAATGACTAACCACAAAGCATGCCGCGGAGGGTCGCTGATCAATAGGTACTTTGACAGACCGGTGAAAGTCGCAACTAATCACTTCGTTGTTCGATCTGGAAGCAGCCAATCGTGGCATAGTCGTCCTGCAAAGCTTTCGCTGGCGAATTGACGGGGCAGGCTGAAGCCTGTCTTCACTTCACATTCTGTGAGCTCCTCTTTCTTGCTCAGGCATCCGGAAGTGCTTGGCTACTTTTAATGCCATCTGCCCACTGAGCTTTTGTCTCGGTCCAAACTGCGACATTTGCGGGCGCTATTAGCTCCTGTCCACCGTCGTTCCCACCAACAGCTTTGCCTCTACGTACACTCACCACTGCCAACTATTTGAGGTGCTCCGTGATCTTATCAGCCGGTCCATTTGAAAACTGAAGAATTCAAGTCTCACGTAACCTATCGAACAACAGGTTTTTGTATCGAACATCAGGTTTGTGTCTCGGTCTTACACTGCCGGACGATGATTACCCCTTCGCTCATGACGAGAAGATCGACGTGTGCTCTACCGAAAAATGGTTTTCGCAGTTTGCATGGGATGCACTCCTGGCAAACATGTTACTGATTGTCTCGGAGAAATCCTTCAAGTCATTGGAAATGAAGGCGAACATTCGAGAATATTTAGACGTGCATTTGCGAACTGTGTGGACGAACGTCCCAGTGCCAGAATGGTCAACTGTCGATATGCTCGAGCACATATGCTACAGAATGGTCCAGCACAGGACGGGCTATGACAGATTTGGCAATTGCAGAAGGGGTTGAATACTGAAAAGAGCGGAATGTCCGGCGCTCACAGAGGCGTATAGGATTCCTCTCCCTACCATATAGTAGCGGGGCTAAAGTTCCGTCCGGCAAAGTAGCGTGAAACATGTGCGTTGATTTCACCTGCATGGGACTAGACAACGACTCGTGACTAGTACAGCCTGTAATCGGACGGCGGAAGCGGCAAGATTGCGCCGGGATACAGTCTGCATAAGACCGGTGAGGCCATCAACAAACCAACTTAGAGAGTACTACACCATATGGGCAATATGGGAACAGCGAATTGCGGCACAGACAGATTCAGCAGGGCCAGCACCATCTATAGATATCTTGCGAAATAACACGGATTCACACTGCAACTTCCCTCTGTTCAACCTTGCTGCTTAAAACTTTCAGATTCAGTCTTTTTGAAATTTATCGACTCCATTCGCAACTGGCTGCTATGTGTTTGGCAACCAGTCCTCTAGAACGACCGCCAGTCGTGGGGATATACGGGGTTAGCGGGTCGGGGAAATCGCACCTACTAGCACAACTAAAGCACGAATTGAAGGACGACAGGTTCCTCTTTTGGGAAGGCTCAGAAGAAATAGATGCAGTTGTACCTGGTGGACTCGAGGCGTTCAAAGCGCTACATCACAATGAACAGGCAAGGTTCCGTGCTGCTGCTACGGATCGAATTCGGGAACAATGCACAGAAAGCGGGTGTGTTGGGGTTGTCGCAGGCCACTTTATGTTTTGGAACGAACAGGAGGAACAAGGGCAAGCTGTTTGGACCGAATCGGATCAGAACACATTCACTCATATAGTGTACTTGGACATTCCACCATCGCAAATCGACGACATGCGACGGCAAGACGAGAGACGCGCACGCGAGTCTATGTCTGTTCGCCACCTCGACCTCTGGAAACGGACAGAGGAAAAATCTCTGCGTGCTCTGTGCGGTACGCACGGAATCCTGTTTTCACGTGTCTTTCCATACCCAGCACTGCTGCCGAAAGTCGCCGCTCTCATCCGCGATTTTCAGCGCCACACAGTGGAGCGCAACTTGAAAAGGGCAGAGGTCGCGGTGGATGTCTTGGTTCAGGGGGCCAAGGCTCAACTTGAGTCTATGCTAGTCATCGACGGGGACAAGACACTGGCTCCGGAGGACACAGGAGAGTTGTTTTGGCACCGGATCTGTACAGATCGGTTGTCATGGGACTTGCAATGGAGCCCTTCCGCTGTCTTCAAGAGCCCACTGGGATACTCTTATGCCGCATTTCGCCAAGTCAGTTTGCTGTACGAAGAGGCTGTCGATGAGGAGGAGTTCGAGGATGTGTGTGCCTATGTGGCCGAGCAGGTTAACCCCTACCTGGATTTCGTCTCCCTGTTGAAGAGAACTGTCGACCACGCTCACGTAGGCGCCGTGATCGTGACGTGCGGGATTGGTCGCATATGGGAGAAAGTCCTCGGAATACAGGGTCTCTCTCACGATATCAAAGTGCTTGGAGCAGGACGCATCTCGACAGACTTTGTCGTTACCCCGGCTGTGAAAGCAGCAATTGTTGGCCGCCTTCGAGATACGTACGGCTTGCATGTTTCGGCTTTTGGAGACAGTCCATTGGATCTACCAATGCTTAAAATGGCTAACAAGGCCTTTGTTGTCGTGGGGACGGAAGAAGAGCGAAGCAAATCAATGGAGCAAAAGCTGAAGACCGCTATTGATGAGGATGGCCTTCGAGCCTGCCAAATTCTCCTTCCCGCTACGGCAGTACGTCGACTCGACTACTCAAGGCTACCTCCGGTATCCCTTGCAGACTGGCGATTGATTGAGACGATCTTCCGACGCCGAGCGAGCCTCACGGTCCTCCACGCAACCACCAAGAATGCAGCCAGACTACTGATGGCGCCGATGAGGGACGCAAGACTTTCTGGACCGGATCTGAGGGAGAGACATCGCCAGTCTGGATGGTACTTGGCAGTTGAGTACATTTCGGCAATTCTCGGGGTAGAGGAGTATGGCATGCCACACGTACAAGGACATTCCAGCACAGGGCATCGTCTTTCTCAAGAGGAACAGACGATGATTGTAGCACTGATGCGCGGCGGTGAGCCCATGGCCCTCGGAGTCAATGCTGCGTTCCCACTGGCCAGTTTCGTACATGCAAAGGCCCCAAACGACCTGAAGCCAGAGCACTTCGAAGGCCGGAAAGCTGTCGTGATTGTGGACTCGGTGATTAATACTGGGAAATCGGTAAAAGGCTTTGTAGACTATATCCACAATTGCGGGTACAATGTCCGTATCATTGTTGTGGCCGGTGTAGTGCAAGCTGAGGCTGTGTCTGAAGGAAGTTTGCTATCAAAATTGTCCCAGGAAGGAGAGATCAAATTTGTTGCGCTACGGATATCTGACAACAAGTTCAAAGGATCTGGTTCAACTGATACCGGTAATCGGCTGTTCAACAATACTTATATATCTTGATGCAGCCTGAATACAAAGCCTGTCTTCACCCAAGTCTTAAAAGCTCGTTCATTACACCGAGTCAAGCCCCTCCTTTACATGTACAGGCCTTTCACGATGTCACGGACGTTGGAGATGGTAAGAGGAGTTCCTGTGATCGTCGATCGTAGAGTATCAGGTGAGCGGCCATGTGAGTCAGAGCTGCTATTGCTAGCCTCGATCTCAAAGCTCAGAACATCTTTCGCGACCGCTTGATAGGATGATCGCTCAGAGGAGCTGTTGGCTGCAGAGTTGATCTCCACAACAGTCGAGGCCTTGGACATAATGTTGGGCAATTTGATGGAATTCACAGCAGTCTTAGTGAATGAGGAGATAGAAGCCTTGTCGTCGACTGGTCGGCTCCCTTGCGGGATAATAGAAAGACGGAGAGTACTGTAAAGGGTGATCTCGGTGGTGAAGCGAGTGCAGAGGGTATCATTACGAGGGAACGGAATCAGGGCACGGAGTCGTCTTCCGGCAACGAAGATAATGAAATGCCTATTGCTGCATCTGGGCACGGTGGAGGCGATTCCCTGTCGTCTAAGGACTGAAGTAGGGTTTCGTGACGTTGTACGTCATGTCGACCATGTCCAGGCTCTGCAAAGCCTGGTCCCAATTCTGATTTATGTTGAAACAGTAGCGCAACACGGGTCGAAGTATGTCCCATAGAACATCCATACGCGATTCACAAGACGTGCACGAGTTGGCGAGAGAGCGCACCGATCGCTAACTTGAGCCGACTGAACGGTAGCCATGGTGCACTTAGTGTGACAAGTTCTCTGTTGCTAGAACTTCGGCCTAGGCGACAGGATGATCATGTTGAGGTTGTGTTGACCATCGCACAGCTGTCAAATCATCCACAGTACGATGTCCTTTCTTACGAATGGGGCTAAGGCAAGAAAGCCGAATGTGCTTACTAAGCGCTTCCTGATTCTCATCTTTCGTCTCCCAATTTTCGAACTCGTTAAATGATCTTGATGGCGTTAACCCCGTTGAACTTTCCTAGATCATAATGGCCTCTTACCAGGCATTGAGTCCGGTGAAGCTATAGCTGGGGCATAACTTTTCCCGTGAAAGACGATTGTTTGCCAGTCTTGATTTCTGCGATATGGGACTGACCTACTACTCAAGTCGCAAGTTGGATCGCTAAAAGTCATGGCAATATTTGGCAACAAAATCTCAGTCACGGTGGCCTGCTTGGGCCTCTGGTCCATTTTCAAACAAAGATAGGTCGAAGACTTGTTATGTATTCGCAAGCATGGTGGAGTTTTGCTATCGTCTTCATGAGGAAAGAGCTTGTTGGTAGAGCCGCCAAGGCGGCCGTATAGCGGAACCAGCAGCGCAAAATTCCTAGCCAGACCGTTCCGCTGAAGACCTCATCCAATCAGCGTCGTTCATCAATACCTTTTTCTGCTTCCGTGGCATAATTGGCCTGTCTGAAGAGTCTTCCCCAAAGCCATTCGCTAGAGAATATCCATCCTCCCTTTCTGACAGGCCCAAGTCCATTCTCGACAGGCTGACGTCAGCTTGCTCGTCCGAGAATTTATCACTGTCGATGATATCAGAGTCAGTGTCGGCCGATAGACCCTGCAGCTCATTGATCCGGAGCGCTGCAAAGCATGTCAGCCAACTGTGCTTTCCCTCAAGCCCTGTATCTCGTTACCTGGGGCTCTCATGCTTTCGATCGAATTCAGATTAGCTAAAGCCGAATAACACAATTCGAGCCTGTCGTCGACCTGGCCCCTTTCCCAAGCCGCATTCTCCGTCTCCATTGCGATTTCGCTTATGGTATCATCATCCAATGCAGCAACAACCTCGGGAGAGAACAACCCCGGCATCTGAGATATTAAACAATCCTCGATGGCCAACTTACTGAAATTGTCCACTAGGGTTTCTCTGGCAATCTGAACAAATAAGCGCATAGCTTTAGAGGTGATGTTTGACTGCTTCCAACTTACCTTGTAGTAAGCTCGCATCTCAATGATCGCCTCTGAGGCTGCAAAGCGTGGCAAGTCCATAGGCTGAAATACTATCTGTTCTTCGAACAGCCATTTCAATGTGTCCTTGGCAACGACTTGTCCACCTTGATTTATGGCCCTCTCGTACTTGTCCGCAAATAACTTCTCGGCCATTTTCTGTTTTGCCTTCCCAATGTTTTCCGCAAGGCTACGATTGTAAGTAATTGGATGGCTCTCCAGGCGACCTCTCAGTAGTCGATCAACGATCATGTCCAGTGAAGCAAGAAGTGTGTCAAGCGCCGGGTTGATCACCAGCTTTCCCAGACGAGTCCTTGTGACCTCATCTGTGGCATGCTGAAGAACAAGATCAATGCATGTTTTTGCGGCTTCGCTGAGTGTCGACCGGTATTTGGCTGTTAGCTTCACCCACGGCTCGGATTGTGCCTGAAATAAGTCTCGAACAGTCATGGGATTGTGTGTGACCATGAGTTCACGACCTCGAGAATCCCTCATGAGCTCCATGACACTGTCTTCAAATTCTGTTTGTGTAACTTGTTGTGGATGTCCACCTTTCGTTCTTGCAGCTTCGTCATCGACGATATGTTTGGCGTGCCCGCGGTGCCGCATGTCCCTCGAATACTGTACAAGAGTGTCTTGGACAACGGCGCGCAGTCGCTTCGGTCTGTACACGTCTTGATCGCCGGTGGTAAAGAACTTGTCGTCGTAGGAGCCGTTGATGCAGGATCGCATGATGACGCTGAAAACTTGTGCTGCTTGCATGAGATATCGTTGACGGTCCTCAGCGCTAGCTCGAGAAGCTCCGAGTCGTGCTAGATCATCTCTACAGCGGACGACTTCTGTTTCTGCCTCCTTGATTAAGTCTGGAAGTCCTTCGAGGATGTGCTCTCGTAGAGCAATACTCAAGCGGGACCGTAGTGAAAAAACCCCTTTGTGATTGACAGGAACCTTGGCCCAGACTCCCTCCGACAAGAACTTCTTCTCGAAATCGTCACGCTGCTCCTGGGTGTAGGACCTAGTAGAGTGATCGCGATTGACCAGAACATGCCAGCCTCGGTGAAGAAACTTCAACCTATTCTCGGCAAGCTCTGCAAACTTCTTCTCGCTGTCGGACCCCACGTCCAGTTTATCTGGCTTGGTTATGATCCCCAGTGTGCGCAAGCCTTTTGGATCCTCAAGTCCGGAAAAGTTGGTGACTGACTGAAGGACGAACTCACTCTTGGCGGAAACCACTGCGAGTATGACACTTCGCTTGTTATGCATGTAGCGTCGGACTAGATCTTGCACGGAGCTAATGTCTTCCTTGCTCTGGTAAATGCTGTCGGCTTGAAACAAGCCAGGCAGATCGACAAGCGTAAGTGAGGGTTGGCTTGGTCCAGTAACTTCGAATCGCAAGATGTCGTCGCTGAAACGTCTTGCATTTGGATTTCGAGGGTCTATACCCATGGTACTCGTTGCCTGCTCGATGATACTTTCAATGTCATTCATGTTGACATTGCTCCGTCGAAATGCCTCTAGAGCCCTTTTCTCGTCGTGAGAGCGGTTGCTTCCTGGCACAATAGAGACAGCAATATGTTCGGGTTGCCCTGGTCGCATGATGACTTCCGTTGCAAACCGAGTGCAAAGGCCATCTTTCGCAGGGAATTGGAGCGTAGACACAGCATTAAGAACTGAGCTTTTTCCAGAGCTTTGGTCGCCACACACGATGATCTGTGGAAGTTCCAAGATATCGCCGACGCCCAGCTGACGGAGTTTGTCGATGGTGTTGAGGATTGTATCAGTCTCTTCCGGCTGTAACTCGTTCCACGGGGAAGTCATAGCGAACTGTGAAAAGAAGAGCTTCCGTGAACTGTATCTGCGAGATGGTGAATCTTCCAAAGAACACCGCCACAATTCATATGGCCCAGCGGTCGTCGATTTCGATGCGTGAAACCGGCGGACTGGTACACTACGAAGCGCATTGAATCCGGGCGAGGCAAACGTGGGATCTTTCAGACCAGTAGCCACCACTTTAATGTGCTCGCATCAAGGCGCATGCATTAGATCAGCATGGCATCGATAAGGGCAGCCAATGAGATGACCCATTGGAGCAGACTAATTCATCGTACGGACGATTAGAAGAATACTGTCGCAGGCTAAGGCACTTTGGGAACACCAGTCGAGAGTGCAGAGCACGCTTGCCAAGAAACTAGATAGTTGAGCCCGGTCTACCCGGCCGCGGACTTAGACAATAACAACAATATTACTGCCTTTTATCAGTACCTACTTTTATCCCTATCTTGTATTAGTTATAAGCCCGGAGACACTTCCTTATACTATATAGTATTACTAGCTATAAGGACTTATCGTAGTAGTATTTTCTTCTATAAATTTAGTATCCGCTATCGAGTTATATAATTATAATCCAGCGTTTCCGTAAAAGCGGAGTTAGAGAAAAAGTAATAGTATTACTATATTATTAAGATAGAGGTTTAAGAACGAAAGGGGATCCTAATAGTCGAAAGACGAAAACTAGTACGTAGAAAAGAAAGAATTACTTATTATATTAATTAAAAATTATAATCTCCTAATACTTAATACTCGCGGTAACTAGACCGACTAGATTAACTCTATCGAGGATCTCGTAGTCCGTAACGATATCTAGAACTACTACGATCC